TCTAGGATATATAAAAGTAGTATAGCTCCTACTATCGTGTTTTTACCTTCCTTAGAGAAGATAAGTATAGGGAGTATAAGAACGATATCACGAAAATAAACTATAGGAACGTAGCCTCGGTCCTTTTATATTGTAAGCGTTTAAGGAAGACTACCCTTCTTAGTCTGTCCGGTTCCTTCGAGGTCGACTATCCGAAAGTGCACTCTGCGTTTATACGTTTCCGAACTAAATATACTATACTTACTTCTAAGATTAATACTAAGATATAAATCGGCGCTCTTAACAAAGAAGAAAATAATATACCTGTATTCGATATAGTGGAAGATTCGGCGTATATTAAGCCTCGGTGCTTTAGGGCTATATAGTAAAGAAAAGTACGAAGCCAGATATATTACCTCCTCTCGACGCTTTTTCCGAACTAGTAACTAGACTCCCGCTTTAATATACTATTATCCTAAGCGTATAAGAAAGCTTATAGCCTTAGAAATCTTATATATAGAAGTCGTGACGCCCTAAGATGGTTCTTTAGAATCAGTTTTATAACTAGGGACCGGTAGGCTTACTGCTTCTCGGTTAATAACTTTGTTCGTGTCCGAGATAAGGAGCTAGTACGGATTAATAGTATCTTCGTATATAAATTCACTGCTACTTTCCGAGTTTTCCTTATCGTTACGATTACGATAGGCCCTGTAACCGAAGATTCTATCCTTAGATACCCAATATACTCGCTAACCGAGGATAGGATTATCGTCGGTTTGCCTATACTATGGGAAGATAGGGAATAGGTTATATAGAGAGTAGATAAATCGCTTCTTCGTTACCCTTATAATATATATCTCGTATAAGAGATAGAGCTATTTTAATATTAGTTTTACTAAAAGCTCCCTGGATATTTCCTCGGTTTATAACTCGTGAGGCGGCTCGTGAATCGTTAATATTAATACTGAATCTCTTACGCCGTAAATTTACGGGAATATTAGCAGATATTTTCCTTTTTTTCTTATTAGCTATCCGACTATTAGTAAGTCCGTGAAACTTAATAAGCTTAGTCGTGACGTTACTATCTAGAATAGAATTTACATCACTACCTTACCCCGCCTAATATACCCTTTACCTTCTATTATACTCCTATCCTCTTAATTCATTTTCCTAGTAAAAATAATTCCTTTAATCTCTCCACCACACGTCTTACACTATTATTCTATTATACCCTAGACTATCTATATATTATCTTTAGACTATCTATCTATTATATAATTATACCGTTATTTTTTAATCTAGTATTAGATTTTCCCTATAACGGTTCTTTGGATATACGCTATAGAGAAGTAAGGTTACTACTCGAGTGCGTTAGTAGGCTAGCCACCCTTTAATAGCCTCTTAATAGCTTCTAAACTTTCACCACTAGCTACCGCTAGAGTACGTTAGTAGACTTCTAGTTTACTAATAGTGTCTTACTAGCTTATCTGTAGCTAAAGTTTACTGCTAAGGGCTAAAGCTCCACCGCTAAGGGCGAACGCTTTATCGCGGGGGGTTAAAGCTCTACCGCTAGGGACGGAAGGGGGAATAAGGCGATATACCGCTTAAGTGCGTTAGCGGACCTTTAGTCTGCTAATTATATCTTACTTACGTCGCTTAATACCCGCCTTAGTTATAATATCCGCGAAATATATAGCAGAATCTTATTAGCGATAGCTTTAAATTTACTCGCTAACTAGTGAAAAAATAATAATCGAAGCGTTAAGCGCGGTGCGGTATATTATTAATCCTTATTACCTGGATACTCCTTTACCTTACTCTAGCTTTCTAGTAAGCCTATTAATTTTTACTATTCTCTCCCGCGCTCGATAATATCTATCCCGGAAGTTTCGCTATATAATTTAAGATAGTGTGAGTGCTAATTCCCTATTATTATATATGCTTACTAACTTAAATATATATCCTTTAGGAGTATATAATACTTATTATTATTCTATGATAAGGCCTAGTATATAGGTAGAACTATAAGTTGCTTAAACGTTTTACGGATATTCTCTTCATTTTATATCTTCTAATATATTAAAGAATTATACCTAGGCACTACTATAATACAGGTAAGTAGCGTCCTAGCTATAGCCCGATATCCTAGATTCCTCTCTAATATTACGCTCCACTTCCTATCGGTTAAAGGTATAAAAACAGACTCCCTCGACTATAAGATTAAACCCTGGAATTCACTAACACTATACTAGGCAGGATGGTTTAACGATATAGTATCTAGGCCCGACCGATATAACCTTTACTAACTGCTATAACTAGGAGATAATAATACCTACGTAACCTAAAATGTAGAATAAGGTATAATAAAGCTAGGAGAGAACCTAGAAGTCGTGATAGAATGATAATATAAATTATATATTTAACTTAGGCTTTAGAATTCACTAATTATCGTAGAACTTAATCGAAACCTAACGCGTCCTGATTAGATCTTAGTAGGAATATACTAATATACCTTATTAAAGTACCTAAGTACCTGCTGCTATAGTGCTACCTGGCGTAGTAAAACTTAATAGTATAGATAATTAGTTATCGTGGTCTTTATATTATCCTATTAATTAGGTTAGTATAACTATCGATAGCTATTATAGTTAACGAGTTAGGATAGGGATTATAGCTAGGCTATTATCGCCGATAGTCTAAAGAGGAAGGGCTAAAGGGATATTCTGATTATAACGTTAAAATTAATAGAATAATAGTATAGATATAATAATTAAGCTAGAATATACTATCCGATATAATACACTATCCAGAGGCTAATATACTAACTAGTCTATCACGCTAGTCCGGACTAGTTACCGTTTTCCCGTTCTTATACTAGCTATAGTGATAGGATAAATATTACTATGTAGCGATTGCCTAAAATAGTAAGGTCGCTGGATATACTAAATCCTGGATATAATAGTATTAACATATTGTAGCGCGTAACTGACCAGGCCAGTCATTCTGTCAACAGTCTAACCAGTACACTGTCCAGGACCCCCCCCTACCCGGGTAGGTAAGGTACCTAGGTAGTACGGAGCTCAAAACGGCATTTCACTTTTGCATTGGGCATCACATCGTATTTAGGGATGACCCAAAAAAGATCATTCTTCCGTAATAAGAAGGATGCGATGCGGGTTCCATTTTCCCCATGATGGCGTTGATGGCATTTTTCTCCCGCTGCAGGGCCAAGACTCATGCCGTACATATGCTGAAAGTTCCGTTCTGCGACAGAAAGTGAAAGAGAAGAGAAAGCCCGTCTTCGGTATTTTTCTTGGTGTTTTCTTGGTATTTTCTTGGTATATGTAGATCACTTGGATCGAGACGAGTCGCCATACATACGGAAGAAATACGTTGCGATGACGGATGGACGGGTGATACTGGAGAAGAAAGTAATTAAGGGGTTGACGGGTTGAGATCCATGGACCAGTACCTTATCCGTACTCCGCACATGACGTTCAAGGTATCGCAGCCAGGTACCCGCAACTCTACACTACTCCGAGTTGCCAGAAATTGTTCTTACAAAATTACACACCGGCAGTGGTGTACAGCCTAGGTAAGGTAAGCTAATGTCAGGAAAGGTAGGTATGGAGGTATCCCTACCTTACTTCAAAGCTTCAAACTGAACTCCCGCTCCGCATATCTACCTTACGAAGTAAGGTACTTCGTACATCGTCCCCCCCCACCCCCACTAACCCCCGACAACGGTAAAATGACGTCACAATGCTTCCTTCCAACATCAACCACCGGGTGTCAACATTGCACGAATATCTTAGTTGTTTGAAGTCATCGATTCACCTCGGAGCAATTCCGAACCCCGCTTTCGAAAGAATCATGCCCGACAGTTTCAGCATTATGGTATGAACATCCCACTCAACGCGATGCCATGATCGTGGTATCCAGTATACATACCGATAACGACATAATAGGCTTCTAAAGCCTTCTGTCGTCAGCCATCCGATGTCGAGTTGTTGACCCGCTGTGGCTTTCTCTCGAGTCCAGGGCCAGGGGCTCGAAGGGAATGAATCCGAATGATATCGAGTGGCAGACGGGAAGGGCATCCATTCCATCGAGTCCTTCGTCTCAATGGTACCTTGAAAGCAGTGTATAGCTGCCTTCAGACCGGTAGGTTTTATTCGGTGAACTTATTCGTTGTGCGGCGTGCGGCGGTCGGTGGTCGGCATGTTGGGCAGGCCAAGACAAGACAAGATCCCTTGTCGAACCAAGCTGTTAGCAACTCAAACTACACGTGTATACGTACATAAACAAGAAGAGCCAAGTAAGTGCATGGCTCCGCAGGCTCGGGACTAACATGAACAAGGAGGAAGGGATCTACATCGAGAGTGGCGGCTCTCCCCTTTTGTGAGGTCACAACTTTCGAAAACAGCGGAATCTCGATCCTTGAGACCGGTCCAAAACCTCCGTCCTCATCCGGGTCCATCTAATCCCAGACAACGTCCAGTCCGCTTCTTTCAACAGGTCTGTTGCCCACTCAATAGCCACCGTCTCCATGGCTGGGATCGTCGTTGTGGCTGGGACCCCAGGTTTCGCGTAAAACGTACGTCAAGTGACGCACGAAGCCGAAATGTCTGCTGCAGCAGTGCAGTCCTCCCATGCATGATGCCTCTGATAGTGTAGATATTCTCCAGAAGCGGGCAATATTAAAGACCTGTACAGCCCGTCCTAATCCTGTCCGCTGTCGCAAACGCTTTGTTCCTCTGATATACCTAACAAATCTTTTTCCCACTTTTCCCCCTTATATCTATCTTTCCTACTACCTCCCTCCCCCACTACACATCATGTCTTTCGCATCATCCACGGCGCCAGCAAGAATCATGCTCTCTTCGGTACCTCGACACCGCGCCTGCGCAGCAGCTCTTCGGGCTCGGATTGCCCGGCCATCTCCCGTCGCCGTCTCCATGCCAATCGCGTCGCGGAAAAGCAACTTCCACGTTTCTGCATCGCAACAAAACGCAAAATCCATGAACCCGGAGCCCCGAGAGAACCCTGCGACAGAGCTCAAACCCCCGTCAGATTTCGAAGTTGGGCAAAAAAGGTTTGCCGATTTCGACATCAAGGATCGCGTCTTCATCATCACCGGTGGTAGTCAGGGCCTTGGCCTGTCGATGGCCGAGGCAGTGGCAGAGGCTGGCGGGAAGGGTACGTTTTATATGGAACCTTTAAAAAAAATAAAAAATAAAGATTCGGGGCAAAAAAAAAGCAAAGGGCAGAAGACTGACATGGAAATAGTGTATTGCTTCGATATCTTTCCTGAGCCCAACGGCGAGTGGGAAGCGGCCCAAAAACGCGTCGCCGAGCTTTCAGAGAATACGGGGTCCCTCATTTACCGACAGCAAGATGTAAGAGATGTGGAAGGCCTCGGTAAGCAGATCACCGAGATCGCCGAGGAGAACGGCCGACTCGACGGCGTCGTCGCCGCCGCCGGCATCCAGCAGATCACCCCGGCCACCCAGTACAAGCCCGAGGACGTCTCCCGCATGATGGACATCAACTTCCAGGGCGTCCTCATGACCGCCACCTCGGCCGCGCGCCAGATGTTCCGCTACAAGTGCCGCGGCAGCATGGTCTTCATCGCCAGCATCTCCGGAACCGTCGCCAACAAGGGCCTCATCTCCCCCGTCTACAACTCTTCCAAGGCTGCCGTCCAGCAGCTCTCCCGCAACCTTGCCATGGAGTGGAGCCCCATCCGCCCCGACGGCACCGGCGGGATCCGCGTCAACTGCATCAGCCCCGGCCACATCCTGACGCCCATGGTGCGGAAGAACTTCGACGAGGTCCCCGGCCTGCGTCAGAAGTGGGAGGGCGAGAACATGATGGGCCGCATTGCCGAGACCCACGAGTTCAAGGGGGCTGCGCTGTTCCTGCTCAGCAATGCTAGCAGCTTCATGACTGGTAGCAATATCATCATGGATGGTGGACATACTGCCTGGTAAATTTTGGCACTGGAGGAAAGAAAGCAAAAGAAAGCCGAATGGACATGTCACATAATATGCCACGAAATAGGGGAACGGTCAGATGGGGGGAAGCATGGCGCAGGCGCTCTGTCGGAGCATTTCATTTTGTCTTCATGTTTTCTATGGCACAGGGACGGTCCCGACTCCCGACCTGTAATAAATACCAATTATGAATAACTTGATCTTACTCCTAACATTGTGAAAGTACGGTTAAGTACCTCAAACGCCCTCTCGTATCTGGCCTTTGATAGGCACCAGACCTCAGGGCGAAGCACATATGCCCGTAGGAGGCAATGATTGTGAGTTCCACGCCCGGATGGCCGAACCACAGGTTACGTACTGCGCGAGGTATATTCCCATATTGTCTGTATCGAAGACCACTATCATTTGTAAGCCTAAGAATCATAAGGCTGTCCGGAAGATGTGTTATAACTTATCACAACATACCTGTCGCAGAGCGCAAGAATGTCTCTCCCAACCTGGCATATCCCGTGCTGCGCGATCTTGTGATGCCCAGGACGCAATAACCAGGTCCATCCTCGGTGAACCTATTAGGCTGAAGGACGAGCTCGCCGTAAGGGACGTCAATATACACGCCGTCCCCGAAACCGAACCTGACATGGGCCACGATGTTGGCATATTGGCATGGGACCGAGTAAAGGTTATCCCCGGCTAACTCGGCTTCGGGAAAGAACTCTAGGAGGCGGTGAAAAGGGGCATCTGGGAGTTCCGTGAATGTCGACGTCGTGTCTAAGCAAGCACCGAACACATCTTCGGGGCCGGTCAAGGTCAAAGACTGTGACTTGGACGTTGTGAGAAACAGGATGGTATTAAGCTCAACGCAGTACCTAAGAGGAATATTGTGTAAATATCCATCGTAGACGAGTAGCTGAAATTGGGAAAACTTACGAGAGGCCGAAAGCTGTTTCCCAGATGCTCGACAGTGGTAGCCTGTGTAACTCCCCGTGATTCTTTCGAATGTCAACACCGCCAAAGACAAGTTCCCCTTTGCTGTGTTAGCCACATCACTTTTGTACCTCCTGTTCGTTTAGGCGACGAGAAGCAGTACTGACCCTCTCCTATAGCGCCTTCGTTTTGAGTCATAGCTGCGCCGATGGACAAGCTGAAGGTAAGGTTCTGGATGTCCCCCGAAGACAACAGTCCACCAAGGACGCCATCGTGTCTGCCTCGCCCGCGCGGTATGGAGAGACCCAACTCGAGACTGCCCACCGAGAGATCATCTCCTGGTTTCTGGTTTAGTCCGAACTGGGCCTTCTGGATACGATGACCTATGGATTCTGTTAACCAGCAGTCGTTCTCTGTTTCGAGGGCTCCAGGCTCCAGGATCCTGTCAGCAACCTGGAAGGACGCACCATCAATCCAGACGTCATCCTCGAATGCCCACAGCCGGAGGAACATCTCACGCTCTGCCGTCAGGAAGGCGGTTGAAACATTCCGCGACGTCGAGGATCCGTGGGGGTTGTACAGTCCCGCCTGTGTATCGCTGCAGTCTTTCCCCGTGTAGTTGCGCCCGGAGTAGTACTCCTCGTAGAACGTGCAAAGGGGTGTGGTCCAGAGGTTGTTGGAACTCAGTCCGATGGGAAGCCAGAGCGGTTGTCTGGGCGTCCCGATCTCGACTGCCGCGTTACCGCGTATTAGACAACGTCATCAGAAAGACTTGACGTTTTTGGGTCTGAGAGTCTCCTGAATGGATGGGAAGAGAAGGGGATAGAGACATGCGTACCTGCAGCCTCGTAACTGTAGGCCCATAAGAATGGAGACACTGCGATTACACTGGCAGGTACTGACCCAGGGGGCTTGCATGACGCAGAGCTTCTCTTCCTGAATTTGTCGTCGGACAGGACCCTGCTACGGAGCGGGAGCTTTATTACACCTTCGGGGACGGTGGACTCGCGCTCAACCGCAGACCCCAAAGTGCAACAGACGCTTAACGTCACCGCCAGGAGAAGGGTAAGGTACTGCATGATGACTGGTCTCGTACATAGAGCTCAGTCGTTGGCAGAGGCGAATTTCCGTACTGATACTCTGTAATAAGATATCTGTCCGCGAATTTGCCTGTTGAGAACTTTGAGGGACCAGCAACAAATTTTATATCGCACGACTGCACCAAGAACTTGTTTATGTACATCAATGCAAATCAACCCTGATCTTCGTACATCTACTTAACTTCAGTGCCCAGATTCGTTTCTGACAAATGTGGGTTGGCTGCAGACTGCCTTATCTGGCCGTGGATGGACAGGAATCGAGAGCAAACATAAGCGACTGGAGTATCCCGCCGAGATTTTCGTGTTACTTGGCTGCCACAAGGACGAGCTGGCATCCAAGGTTCCGGCCGCTGGGTATGACCAGCCCGCAAGATAGATGTCGCTTCAACGACTGGCATGTAGCCGCCCCTGTGACACCCGGCCTGGAATTTGGAGACTTCATGTTCTTTGTGTGTCCAGGCATCTGCATTCACATGCCGTTTCAGGGGCACTCAAGCAACACACGTGCAACGTCCACAATACCAGACGTCTTATCGTTGGTCATGCCTAATTCAAGAACAGTAAAATCAGTACACTCTAGATATTAGTACATCCCAATATATCAAACTATCTAACAAGTCATCAGAGAACATTCAAAATAACTGCGAGTCATAACTCGTAACCCAATGCAGAGAACGTCGACGGTAGCCAGGACATGAAAGAAGAACCGGTCATAAGATGTACCCCCCTAATCCGACCAGATCACACACACACAGATCGTCCAAATTTAGCCACCCGCCACGACGTTCTCGACAATGCTGTAGCACTCGGCTGGATCCTCGAAGACATGCCATGCGTCGCGTGGGACGCCCTGGAAGGCATCTTCAAAGCGTTTGTCGTCGTTCTTAGACTGGATGCCGATGGAGTCGATGTCCGTCGCCTTGCGGATGAGGATGAGTTTGACCCAACCTTTGAATTGGTTGTAGCTATTTCCCAGAGTCAGCTGACTCCATGTCTTATCGAAGTTGAGGGCAAGAGCCGGAAGCGGTAATTGAGATTTGGGAACGAAAAGAAATAATGGGATCGTGATTCAGACGAAGAGAGACTCACATTTCACCGTAGGCCTCCGGGTCAGATTGCGTCGAGTCCCCGACAAGAATCATCTTGCGCTTGGGGAACCAGCGGTGAACCTTTTGGATGCGATCCGTCTTGTACTCCTCCGTCCCGAGTGTCAGTGCCGTCAGCAGTCCCGCCACAGTGCGCCAGCTCTGGTCCCGCAGGATGAGGGTGCCTGGTGGGAACCACTGCTGGCAGAACCCCCTCAGGAAAGGGTACAAGTTATAGGGCGAGGCAGAGAGGTAGAACCAAGGCGTCGTGGTCGGAACCATGGAAGAAATGTACTTGTACAGCTCCGGCATGCCAGGTATGGGGGTGGGAGGATCCACGAAGGTCTTCACGAGAATGCTGAGGGGGTTTCCGGTCTGCGTGATCTTGATAGTGTCGTCAATGTCTGCGAAGGGCAATGTTAGTCGTCCGTAATACGCGGCTCTCATCAAGTTACCAATCTCGGGGACCTCGCACCTGACAAAACGGCCCATCCTTCTGGCTCGGCGAAATAAGTCCTCATTTCCAGCATGCCCTGCGTACCCTTCGGCACGATGGCTTGGGAGGTCACAAAGGCACCGTTCGCGCCCTCCAGACAAGCGCGATTATCAGTGCTGATGCCGTTGGGGCCAGTCGGGCCTAGGCGGAATTGCTTATCGACGTGGGCCACCTGCGTGTAGCGCGCGGGCCTGACATCCCTTAAAAAAGGCAGCAAGCGCTCCTTGATGGTCTCGCGCTCGGAGGCGTCGTCGGCGATGCCCAGCTTCTCGGCGATGGCGGCTACCATCTCAAACAGCTTGCGGTCGAGGTCGCCGGGCGTCTTCTCGAACACGGCCGCGACGAACTCGGCCTCCCAGCCGCCGCCTGGCTTTGTCGAGCGGTAGGCGGTGTTGTCGAACAGCCATACTACGTCGTCCTGGGTGATGGGGCGGCCCATGGGGTTGCGGCTTCCGAGGTAGGAGGTTAATCTGTCCATGGCGGAAGACGTTGGCAGGACAGAGGCCGTGTTAATTTGGTTACGAGGGTCGGAGAATTGCGATTCCATCTCGTCGAACTTGCGTTCCGTGCGGGTGCGCTGCTGTAGGTCGTCGGCGGACCTCGCCCTCTCGGAGGGGGTTTTAGTGCTTCGGAAGCTCATGTTGGGTGACTAAGAATTCGGTGTCTGTAGGTCGAGGGCAAAGACTTGAGGCACGAGATGCGTCCGTCAAGGCTCGAGGTTCGTGGATGATAGGGTCACTTCCTAGACAGTGATTCTCCCAGACTCGATAAAGGTGTGGACCGTGTGGGCAAGAGTAGGTGTTAAGGAAATGGGGACCGAGAAGGGTGGTGATGTACGAAAGTAAGGTAGGAAAAAAAAGCATAAGGCTTTGTTTGACCTCCTAGCAGCGACCGTGACCACTGACCAGCAACTTGATAGCCCGGTGACGGAGCGTCAGGGGCTCAGGTGTCGCTATTTGCCGCCATCGCATCGTGCATGGTTCTGAAATGAGGCATGCCACTAGCCTATGGCCCTGTGCCACCCTCTGCACGGAAATTGCCTGGGTTGGGAAAGGAGACGAACATGCTGTTGAACGAAGCTGGGAATAGAATAGGAGAAACCCAATGAGACGGAGGACTCGACCATGGTCATGCGGGCTGGGAATGATCAACGCGCGTAGTGAGTTGTAGTGTAGTGTACTTGGTGATGGATCATGGCCCTGTGACCACTGACAACAGATCATTTGGATCGTCGCCTCTGATGACGTCGGTGGACATTTGTTAGGGTTCCCCAAGTGCAACGTCACGTGCGCGATTTGTACCCAGCATCGAGACCTCGAGGCACATATTACCTACGTGTACGGAGTAAGGTACTTATGAATTGTGGCTGTGCACTGCTTTGTCTTTGAGGCGTCGGGACCACGTTACTTACCGGTGCCGTGCCACGCGTCCACCGCAACTTCGCTGCCGCTTTTTTCTTTCTTTTTTCGCTCACCGGCCGATTCACCCAGACAGGACTCTCTCTGCGTTCATCTCTGCTCCTGACCAGCCCCATCGGCATTTGGCATTTGAGAGAACTGACCTGTGACTGGGTACCAGCGCCTTCATTCCCACTTCTGAACCACTCCCGAATTCCATCTTGGGGGGCGGCATCCTCTGGACCAGAGTATTGAGGCTAAGAATGCCATAACCTTCAACCAACAAGACCAGCGGCCGACACAATCTAGGTCTTCCACTTTCTCATCTTTGGTTCCGTCCCCCGTTCTTGTATACACTCTGGCATTGCGTCTCATATATACCACTTTGTTTCTTCGATGCTCTTGTCATCGCGCCGCCTGCTCTCGTTTCCACCCAGCGCCTCGTTCGATTCCTTCCAAGCACCACCATCATCATGAGCGCTTCGAATATGTCCCAATTGTGCACCAACAACAACGCCGACTCTACCGGGGAATTACCCACCAATGAATGGACGATATGGTCGGGCTGCGGCGTCCCCACTTACACCGACACCGCCCCCTACCTGCAAAGCTGCTGTGAAGCCCTCGACGGCTACGTCTTCTCCTACCAGGACGTGTTCCCCCTCCTCGTTGATTCTGACGCTATCTCAGACTGCTGGGCCAACTGCATGGTCAACATCTCCGGCACGTATTGGGCCGACTCGATGAACATTACAGAATGCCTCATCGCCAACGACGAACAGTACAACAACGAGAACGCCGCGGCCCGTTGTGCCGGACCGGCCATGCGGACTCCGAGGAATCTCGCCACCCGGCAAACCCATCCAGGTGGCTTGATGGGGTGGAGTGTTGGCATCGTGGCCCTCGCTGCTTGCCTCCTGACCGTGCCTTTGTAGCTGTCTTGGCTCTGCGGACGTTTGGGAACTTGGCAGGAGATAGGACGAGGAAGAGGAAGAGGATGCACACCATGTCAACGAGCCGGGTTCTGGCCGAAGCTTTATGGGGTGCTGGGCTACTTGCTCCCGGCTAGGGCTCTCTGGGCTGTCCTTTCCGACTACCAAGGCTCTTGTTTCTAGCATCCGATCAGTGTGCAGGGACACAAGGCCGGCCCTTCATATACCATTATCAGGCCGTTCATCTTTCCGAGTCGGTTGTCAGCGCAGTATCGAATCATATTCATACTTTGGCCTTACTTTGGCCCAAGATGGTGCAATGAGATCTCGATCTCAATAGCAATCATTCTTAACGACTCGCGATCAAATCCTCCGAACGATTAATGGAGCATGGGAATTGTTTCCGCCCCTTGAGAAACTGGAGAAGTCCTGGTTGTCATACGAGTGCTGGATAATTGTAATTCAGCTTTCTATGTCGAGGTCACCGAGGGCAATACGGACACGATGATTCCGCGTGGCTCCACGGAGGGCGAGCAGCTGATCCTGTCGCTCAGGGTCTCGGGGGGTTGACGACGACAATCGCTGCAACTGGTAACTGCCAGAAGTAGTGCCACCAGGGAGCCAGAGTGGAGGGACTTAACGGGTGGTTGCACTAACCGCACATGGATGACTCACCCGGTCTGTCTGCGCGAAGTCGAAGTACGCATATCGTTTCTGGGTTGCAATGTATTAGCCATATATCTCGAGACTTTCGTTCCTCCGGTTTCCCCAGGAAAAAGGCGTGGCTCGAGACGGTTCGTGATTTGGAACGCCTTCCATCTTGGGTTCCTTGCAAAGCCAATGATCCAGAAGCGTCAAGATGAGAATCATTCCCATAGCTTCTTTACGTTTTCCTGTCCCATTGTGTTGTGTTAAACAGGATACCTAGACACGTAACTTGTAAGTGACTTCCTTCGACCCACCCGAGTGGTGGACGATGGTACAGGTACATAGGTCTCTCGAGTACGCGGTATAAGCTGAAAACGTCGACGCGTTACCCAAACGGAACAAGTATTCATAAGTTCTCTGTCCTAGTACGAAAGAAGGTTATGAGACGTCCACAGTGACATAATTGTTACTTCGTACATATGTATTCAGATCGTTTACGAAACATTCGACGCGTACGTTGTCCTTCCTATTACCGGGCCGATTGACGTCATGGATAGCTTTCTCCAAGAAGCTACCGCTGCGAGTCGACGTAGGGGGAGGCCCCGGGCCCCGGGGGGGCTCCAAGCTCGAAGCTTGATGAAAGAGAACAAAATGTCGAAGACCCCGAATATTGTCGACCAGAGCGTTACGTTACCAAGTAACCTACACAGATGCTATTACGAACTGCTACACTTAGCTTGGACTTACGCCAGAGGAAGTCATAGTTTCGAGACTCCAGAGTCGAGACGATGGATCCAGCCAGTGCAGCCACGCAGCCAAGGCCCCCAGGACCACCGCCGCAGCCGCCGCAGCCGCTCGAGATAGGCCAGGAGGGTCCTGCTGTCCCTTACGATGAAGCGCGACCGCGGGGAGAGGAGCCAGCGTTGGCCCCCGGCGAGAAGCCCGAGGTCGTCGATGCCGTCGATGCCGACAATCCCACGGGTAGCCACGAACTCGCCGACAAGTCCGCCGCCGAGAAACCCGTAGAAGAGAAGGGCTACGCCGAGATAGAACACGGCGACACGGAGGTCAAGAACCTGGGATGGAATAGCGAGAGCCCAGACATGGTCGCCAGCCCGCTAGTCGGCGGTCTCACCAACGAAGATCTCTGGGCCCTGATCCGCCGCTTCGACAAGCAGATCTTCCACGTCAAGTCCATTCCGGATCCTCCACTTGGAGGCCTTGACCTCAACATTGCCGACGAGGAGGAGTTCTCCCCGGACAAGCTGCGAGCTCACATCGAACGCCTCTACATGCATGTCATCGTTGGGGCTTTCGGCTTCTGGAAGCACATCGTCCGCCTTCGCTCTTGGCGTGAACCCCGTCGCACGTCCGCTTTCCTCGCCGTCTACGCACTTGGCTGGGCCTTGGACCTCGTCGTCCCCACGCTGCTCACCTTCCTCGTCGTACTCATCGTGTATCCGCCCAGCCGAGCGTACTGCTTCCCGCCGGCCCCGCCGTCCGTCGTCGACCCGTCCACCGGAGGTGTGAAGAAACCCGCGTCTGGCGTGCTGGCTTCGGCCAATTCCGTTACCGGTGCCCCCGAAAAGCACTCGGGCGAGGCGGTCGAGCAAGAGGCGCACAGCTTCGTGTCGTCCATCTCGTCACTCGTCGTCAGCACCGCTGCCGGGAAACACCCGCAAGGCGACCCCCCTTCCGACCCGGGCCCAGGTGCCTCTGCCTCTGCCCCCGATCCGGCCGATGCTTCCATGGATCTCGTGGATGCCAAGGACAAGGCGGCCGGGGAGGAGCCAGGTACGCACCATGATAAGACGAAGAAACCCGTTTCGGAGACCATTTGGATCAAGGCCAGGCCTGGTATGCGCATGATGGCGGATGTGAGTGATGATATCTTCACGACAAGAAAAACGCCCATAGCTACTGACACGGGACTGGACTGTTAGTTCGTCGATACGTACGAGAGGTTTGGGAACGCCCTGAGCCCAACAACACCGTTTCCGCAGAACGAATCGAGACTGAAGCTTGCCGGTGTTTTCGTACCGCTGATCTTGGCGTCTCTGATCCTGTCGCCGTACACGGTTTGGAAAGCCAATGGCTTTTCCACGGGGTTCGTCTTTTTCGGCGACCCCCTCATTCAGCGAGGCTTGGCCTTCATCAACCGGTAGGCGTTCCCCATGACCAAAAATGAAGGCTCTTGGCCGTGTACTGATATCAAGCAGGAGGTTCCCTCACTGGCAGGAGTATCTCGAACTCCGCAACACGGTTCTCAAGGGAGTTCCCACGAATGCCCAACTTACCATCACATTATTGCGCATGGGAGAGCGTAACAAAGCGCCCATCCCGCCACCTCCAGCATCCAATGCCCCGCCTTCAATTGAAGAAGTTGACATCAAAGGCAAGGAGGAGACCATGCAAAATCTAGGTGAGGCATCCCGACCCCCCCAAAGGCTCAACAAATCGCGTGGCAAACGCATCTTAACTGATCCGGAAGGTGCCGACAAAGGAGAGGTCGAAGAAGCAGTTCAGCCAGATCACGACGCATTGGCACCAGCCGAGTCCGACACTCAACCGGAGAAAAAACAGACGAAAGGCCGAAAGATTATCAACTTCATCAAGGGCACCACCAAGGGCAGCATCAATACGTCACTCACCGCGAACAAAGTGCGAGCCATGGCCGGCAGCGTCCACGCCAGGGAGCGCCTGGGTGTCGTGAAGGGTCTCAGGCAGCAGGATCCGGCCAAGGGCCCCGTGCGGTTCCCGGCCCGGTACAAGGGTCGGTCAGGCCACGCGTACATCACGGCGACGGCGACGACCCCCGCGCTCAGCTGGACGGCGGAACTGGAGGATGTGAATCCTGCGTGGAGCGTGACTATTGGTGATATTGAGGTGAGTCCCTCTTCCGCGATGTCTGGACTCTGGACAACCCTTCAGGTGCAGAGATGCTGACGGGATGGTGGGTGCAGGAACTCCAGAAAGTAGGCGGCCTGGGATGGAAGTCCAAGATCGTCGTGGGGTGGGCGACCAATCGGGAGATTGCCGACGGGTTGATTATCAGGGATAAGATGGGTGGTGAACGACATCTCACTGCGATTTTGACGAGGGATCAGCTGTTCAACCGGTTGGTGGCGATCGGATCGCAGATGTGGGAGGCATGGTGAGCAAAGGAAACAGTTATGGAGTCCGCGATTCTTCAGCCCTATTCAAGGTTTCAAGCGGTTGTGCTAGGGAGCATGTTAAGCCCTTCAATTCAATACTGATATGCCTGACCTCTCCACTATCCTGACTGGCAACATGAAAGCTACTCCATCTTCCCCATGTCGTGGTCAGACTCTGCAAAGAGAACGAGCCATATATCTCCGAAACAAGATGCTGCCACGCCCACCATCTTCAGACGCCGCGGTATATGCTGTGGGAATCTTGTGGTCTAGCGCATTTAAAGGACCGAGGCCCACGATTCAACGAGAAGAACGATAAAGAGGTCGAATCCTGAATATCTAGCCGGTATACCCGAGACTCGACACCTGAAAGTGGCTAGGCTTTGTCCAAGGTCACTGGATGGAAGCCAGCTGTCTGCACAGTGGAAGAAGCGTGTAACTCGGACTCTGGACTGGCGGAGTGGTAGACTCCAAGGCAGATATATCCTCGACTCCGACCTCGAGGACATCGGTCGGTATCGAAGCCGAGGCGGACGCCAGGGGGTTGTGGAGGGGGGTTGTATTCTTTGTATTATCTTTTAAGTCGTCCAGATCGGCGCGGCTGACTGTAGATACCACCCGTGCGGGCCGTGCCCGACTGATGAGCTTGGAAAGAATATAGGTTGATGTTATGGCGAAAAACCACCCTGCCCACGGTGGTTCGATCGTATGCGAGAGCCTGACGATTACCTGCACTGAGGCGAATTGGATCACGAATTGGATCAGATCCAGACGATCTAAGCAGAAAAGGTTCACCATTATCGGCGGTTGTTTTGATTGTTATGGGTTGTCCGCCGAGTTGTTTGGTGTCTGTCTTGAAACCGGATGTGTTGTCTGTTTAGGGCTAGAAGAATGTTGGAAACACGGATAGATGGAGGAGGACAAAGAGGAAGCGGAGGAGAGAAGGGGGAGGAAGAGAATGAGGAAGAGGAGCAGGACGAGCAGGACGAGGAGGTTGAGGAGGTCTGAATAGGGGGAATAGGGGGAAGAGAAGAGGAAGTGATATTGAGCATACGTGGTTCATCAAGGTACGGCAGCACTCCCGTAGTACAGGGGAAACGAACGCCTATATCATCTAAGTGATGATTAACTTGGTAAAAGATATGGCTAGAGTGGCAAAGTGTACTCGGTTGTCCTGGTCCATCCGTCAATCCCATCTGGGACTACCAAAGACTATCCGAAAGTGAGCAGAACAAGACATGTCAAATAAGAATAAGGCTCGACTCGCCCTCCCTGTAAGTTCCAAACGCCACCCAAGCCCCAAGAGGTTTCTCTTCGCGAGACGCCACGCCGCCGCCATCCCATTGCCCAACCTCTGTACAAGGTTGAACTCTAAAGCGGACGGTAAATCATAGCATGCCCCGAAGCCATGTCACAGTCCGTATAGGAGTTACCTCCAAGGTGTAGGGAAACTCTCAATCCTTTCAGTGATAATCCGTAAAGTTGTTCTGCCGCCACTGCGGATGTTGACAGTTCGGCAATGTGTCTGGTACAGTGACAAGACGGAAGGTCGAGACAAGCCAAACTCGGAGAGAGAGATAGCTAGACAGCTTGTGCTGGAGCAAACCGTCAAGGGCTGAAGATGCGTCTCCAAAGTCTCATACTCCCCGTTTTCAGTTATTCATCTTACTTCCGCTCAGTGCTCGGGGAAGCCGGATAAGGATCGAATCCGTCCTCATTAGCGAACCGCCATCTCAGCTCATTCTCCAAGTTGAGCATCTGCGCAGAGTGTTTCTGTTGGAGTTTCTTCTTCTGCTCATGAAAGTCGTGTCGGGTAAGGATGAAGTCGGCAAACTGATTTCGGAGGATGTTATACTCCGTGTCCTGAAACTTGCTCAGCTCTTCCCGGGCAGCTTGGATAAAGAGCTCTTGTTTACGCTTCTCTGCATTTTGCTTTGTTTTCAGTTCGTTTTCGTTCTTCTTTAGATCGCCTCCCTTCTGCTTTAATTTGTCTTCTCTCTTCTTCAGTTCTTCTTGCATCTTCTTTTCCTCCCCTTTTTTTCCAGGGATAGATGGGTTGGCGCCCCGCATGGTTTTGTCTCGGACACTGACAAGGCTAGGAGTTAGGGAAGGAGACCTGGCGCGAACTTTGGCGGTTGACGGGGACTCAACTGCCGGCGCCTGGTATGCTTGATGCGTAGCGGTGGTAGCAGCCCGTTGTTCCCGTCGGCGCAGTACGTCTTGGCGCTGCTGCTGGAGTCTCCGACGAGAGGATTCCTCCCGTTCGGTGATGGATTCGTCGCTTTCCTCAGACTCAGTCTCGTCTGTAATCGGAATTCCATCACGGTACTTGTGACTTGAGGCGCCACCCACGCCACCATCGTGGTTGAGAGGAGCAGTGCTTTCATTTCTGGTAGAAGCGCGAGGACGATGGGACGCGGGATTGTGGTCAATATCTGTCCGCCGCCCGTTGTGAGGGGAGGGGCCATTGTCGACGCTGCCGAGACCTCGATAGTGGGGATAATCATCAGAGTCAACGTCAGCAAATGTGACACTTCGGCGCCGATCTAAACGGAGGGGGCTTCCATTGGCTTCATCTTTGTTCCGAAGTGGATAGTCAGAGTCATTGCTAGAAATGCTCTGGCGTCGATGAGGAGCTGGCTCATGGTCATAGTCGTCCAAGGGCCGGCGATCCTGGGGCCTTCCGTGCCCAGACTGCTCCCTGTCCCTGGCCAGGAGGGGAAGCCGGGGTTCCTTGCGCTCTACCGATGCCAGAACGTCACGAGCATGGTCGAGGCAAAGAACAACGACACTTGTCTCTGCAGCAGCATTATTCGTTCCGTTGCGTGGATGGGCTCCGGAGATGGCGGCACACTTGATGCAACCAGGAAGTACATCAAATCCGGGACGTGTATTTGGGGCGTTTCGCGGATGGCTTCTGTTCCTGTAGAACTCCTCGTACGTCGGGCCCGGATTGTGCATGAGTGAGTGGAGATCTGAGGCCGCCTTACTTTTAGTACGAGTTGTCAAGCTATAATGCAACTGGAATGGTGGACTTGCGCTTGGGGCACACGAAAACGTTACCAGCGTCGGGATGAGTATCAGGGGTTGTGTGGCAACCTGGAATGACGCAAATCTCGTCTGAACAGTTGTCAGAGTCAATCACACAAAGGCAAAGGCAGAACGACAGAATTGTAAACGTCCAGTTTCAAGATCATGGCGAATCAACTGCAATATGCCAAACTTACGCCTCTTGCAATACGTCTTCCCAGTCATGGTAGGCTCTGTACAAAAAGTGCCATCGGCTAGACGCGCGCGGCAAGAGTCTGGCAAATGGTGTTGGACAGTGTTAGAAAGATAGCGTCGAAGATGATGGCGCCGAGTTAATATCGAAGGATACTCACGAAGATGACAATAGGCAGAATAGACTCGCATGCCCTTCGCTGTGCGATGCGTGCGGAGATAGCGACACCCAGCCACAGGGCAATGGATAGAATTGGAAGCTCCCATGTTGGGATTCGACACCATCTGTGATGAAGAGCCAGGGAGATATCTCAGGGTTCTGGATCGCTTAATAGTACACAACTGAGAGAGACTGGTGGGTGTTGACGTGTGGTTGTAATGCCAGAGATCTGAAGAAGAGCCTGATCGGCTGAAGTGATGAAGAAGGAAGTGCGGGATGAGAGCCAGGTCTATGACCAGAGTCCGGAGAAGTGAAGAAGAGAAGTTTATTCCGGTGTTAAGGGGACAGGCAGCCACTTGACAAAGCCTGAAGAGTCAAAGCCGTGGTTTACTAATGGTGAGCTGTAAACAAATAAGAGGATTGGCCCCATAAAGAATAATAGTAAGTGTCATTCTCATTGTGTATTATTGCTGCCTGGTGTGTGAATGATTAGAGGAAGTTCTAAAGGAAGGTGCATAGCATAGGTCCGTGTAGTTGCCGGTTTACACTAAGCTCAGGACAATGCTCCTGTAGATCTTAGACTATAGAGAGATATCCAGACTTTGTTGTTGCTATTCTTATAGTAGAGAGCATTGCCTTGAATGTATACTCTAAAACGAACGAAGTAGGTTATCTCTTAGGATGATATATATTATGATAAGTGTTATGATAAGCTCTGCCTTTCTTTAACTCCTAGTAGTAGCAGGTCCTGTACTTGTGCTGTACTTAGTTTCTAATGCTACCTCTGTAGGAACTAAGTCTTCTGCTAATATGAAATACAAAAGTTCTTGTAAATATATTACGTATAATTATATCAAGTTGTGTAATATTTAATTATTGTCCATAGGTAGTCCCTGGCTAATTAAGAAGAAGTGTATTAACCTGGAAACGACTAAAGCCAATTTACCATAGTCAAACTGACCCAAGTTGCCGCCTTAATACGGAGAATACGTTGACTTTCAACGAGTCACGAGTTCGCGCGTTGTTGAAGGATATATATAAAACGCCAGCTTCTAGATTCGACGACCAATATATAACATAGCTTTGATGGTATAACTCTACATTAACCGAACGGCTCCGTCAACACTAAGCTAAAGAGTTTGGAAGTTATTATTATTGTGGTTATTGTGGAGGCCGAAGCTTCAGGGGTAACACTGTCTACTTGCACAGCAATGGAATGGACCTGTCGAGTGTCGACGACTAAAGTAGCAACAACATATGAGTATATATTCAGGAAATTCCTTTATGCCATCTGCTCTTTACTTAATCAAATATTTAAATTGCAGCTGAATATCGTCATCAGCCCCGTCCACTGATCACACGGACTAGCTGCCTTATATACGGGAGCCTCGTGCCCATCTCATCATTGTGTCCTAACTCATGTATGCGCAGCAGATGATCATATGTCGTTGAGTAAAGTGGTACGCATAATGTGATCTGATATTGTCTGGTGTCATATTCACAATGCTCAGCCACTACGGACCTCCGCGCCACCGACGAAGAATGTCAGAGATTCGGGATCTGGAGAGGTAATCAAACCAGCAGCATCCTCCGCGCCGTCAGGGTTGACATCGTCATAGGGAAAAGTGTAGCCCCTCCCACCAATCACATGCTCGTGGACAATGCGGCTATAGTGTGAAGTTGGACTCCTCGTGTAGTAGTGCTCGGCGTCCAGACCGGGCTGGTAATCCCCCCCGGGGAGAAGGAGCGTGGTGCGCGTGAAAGCGGCGCAAAGTCGCGGCACCACGGCTCTATGGACACCGTTATCGGACTCCCAGACGGTGAACGGACCCGAGTTGCACCCCCAGATATCACCCGCGGTGGGTTTCCCGTACGGCCGGCTGTCTCCCTCGCACGCGAGCTCGTCCCGGTAGTTGACGCGGCACGCCACCACGCCGAGCTCATTCTGGAGGTTGACGCGCAGCGTGTTGTGCCTGTAGTGCTCCCACACCGCGTCGACGTACCCCGTCCAGTAGTCCTCGAAGGCAGTGGGGTCGATGTCGGCGTAGTCCTTCGGCGAAAGCGCGCGGAGCAGCCTGCCGCCGCGGACGATGCAGTGCGCGGCCCACGGGCGGCCGTCGACCTGGCCCTGTCTCCCGAGATTTGCGCAGATGCTTTCGAGTGCCGTGGAGCGGAGACCGAGGACCTCCTGGACCGTCCCGCTCAGGCTGCGGAGGACCATGCCTACGGCGAGACCGACGTAGTCGACGAAGCTGATGTTGGCCCAGATGACGCCCCGGGTGGTGAGGGTCAGCTCTACGAAGCCCCAGTTAAGCCCGGCGCTGGGATCTTGAAGGTTGACAATCGAAGGCTGTACTAGGCCGTCACCCCAGCCGGTCCAGACCATAAAGAAGCGGAGGTCGCCCTCGCAAAAGTAGATGCGGCCCGAGCTCATGGCGATGGGGAGGGTGATGGTGAGCGTCTGGCCCCGTCTCGGCAGGGGGATGGCGATTTCGTCGTGGTTGACGGGGATGGGGATGAGGGAGCCGCCCGAAGTGGGATAGTGAAGACCGCCGTCCCTTCTGAGGAAGACGACACGCCCGTTCGAGTCTTGGCCGGAGATATAGGCGTTGAGGGGCCCGCCGGCGAAGTTGTTGACCAAGTTCAGGGGGAGGTGGCCCGCAACGGGGTCCATCATCCGTCCGTTAGTGGCATCTCGGTTGTCCGTACCGTTGAGCGTGTTCTCATCAGTGATGATGATGTTTTCAACACTTCCAGGTTTGGCCTGGGTGTATTCGTTGGGAGTGCTCCGGATAAAGTTGATAAAAGGGGTAGCCATGGCAGTTCCCACCATGACGGCAAGGAGCGTAATGAACCGCATTGCGGGCTAAAACAGAGAAGTGGGATATATGGAATGACGGTGAAGACTTCAATGTTGGCTCTGATTCCTGTGAGACTCAGGAGTGAAGGCTTGTCGGATGAGAGATAGTCGAGATACTCTAAAGGACATGGCTCTTTATATAGCTTTCAGGTTTCCATATTGACCGTTATGCCAACTTTCCAAGTCCATGTCGCTTGTGAAGTCTAGCAATGGTGTCTGGTGGTATCAGGAGGTGGAAACTCTCTTCACAGCTTCATCATCTCCCTCCCGGCACAACAACGGCGCATCCTGTTCATGGGAGGGTTGACCGAAAGCCTCGCAAGTCTGCTCCAAAGCATGATTTGATGTATGATTGTAGGCACATGTTCCCGTCTGGAGTCAGGTTCAAGACCAATCGTTGCCCATCTCGGCGGGCGGAAGAAAAATATGATGGAGCGGAGAGCTTGCAGATTGCGCCGGGGAGACGCCGTGAACAAGATGTAAGTCGTAATTAAAGGCACGTGTCAAGATACAAGGCATGGCCCGACGCGACTAAGATGGTGGTGTTCTCGAAGTCATCTGCGCGGGAAAAGAGATAGATGCTAGGAACAAGATAGTTGAGATGTTGGGAACACAGAGCGGTGATGGCCATTCACAGTCGACGAAGCCGATACTCATGACGTCCCAGCCAGCTTCAAAGAGGTGTCGGAAAGCAGAAGGTCTATTGGCTTCCGACCTCAACATTTGTTTTTGTATTCATTCTACGTCGTCGTAAAATCTGCCCTTCTGCTCTCCCGGTTCTCGTGACTTACGGGTTCTCCTAATGGGGAAATTCAGGGGGTGGAGGGGGGCTCAGGGGGGAAAGGACCTTGTCTTACTCCGTCCGTTCCAGCTCAGGGCCCGAGATGGTGACAGGGAGGGATAGTAAAAGTCATCAAATACTTTCTATCGACGGGAACGATGGAGCTCAGCAGTTAATTCGGAAGAGAAATACTCGTCAAGTGAGATGGTATCCAGCGTCTAAGGTCTTCACGATTCGATTCATCATGCAGGCAAAACTTCTACGGCTGCCATCGCAACATGGTCCAAGTGCCGAGCCGGTGTTGTATGACTGGCAGAGTTCCTCTAAACTAATGGTGCCAAAGGCTACGGTCACACTCACTCGTAGATCTGCCTGGTTCGTGGATGCCAGGATGGTTCATGTTCCCTGCCGAGTTAAGTTCCCGAGCGAACATGAAGCCATGCCCCTTTTGCTGCCACATGCAAGTGAATGAGATCCCAAGATGGCAATTCCTACCGTGGCAACATTCGAGGAAGAGGCTGTTACGTTGCAGCACTCGAGAGTCAGCCTGGTTTTCATGTTACTGCGCATAATGGTGGTCGATCGTGGGCTGCATGCCTCGTTTTCTTTATCCCCGAAAGATCCGGGTTGTTGCCATCTGGGGTTTCATGCAAGTTTCTCGGCGGCACCCTCAAGAACCACGATTAGAAAAAGAACTTGTATACAGGTTGAACAGCTGGGGGGAAGAAAGGGGTTGGGATGTCAGGGGTAGCCTGGGTGGAATTTCTCTCCGATTACCTCGCAGGATCAAAAGCCTAACAATTGTTCTAGAAAACCCAGAACTTCGATCTGGAGCAGCCCCAACCCGCTTCACAAGCGTCATCCTGACCTCGGTCTGCAATAAAAACTGTCCCAGAACCGGCTTGTCTAAGAAATAGACCAGAGAGAAGATGCGGGTGTAACGTGGCGCTAGGATTCATGCACGCAGTTTATCCCATAGGCTGCATGTGTATTCTCCCCAGTTCCGTTCCATCCCGTCAACCCGCCGCCCCCCTAAGGTGATCAGCCAGGAGCACGCTGATCCTTAACGTCTAGGCCAGGAACCGAGCGCTTGTTGATCTCTCTGGGGCCTAGAATACACGGGCCCCAACACTTATACTCTTGCGTAAATCTCCGGCATGTCAGGCCACGCGGGAGGATCTACGTTTACCACGAACCTAATACAAGAACCCCGAGGAGTCCGTGTGTTCACCTTGGTCCTTGGAATGGGGGATAGTTGGCCCTCGTTCTGGATAGTGAACATTTCTTATCCCAAAAGACCAGACCAGACCCTAGCAAGCACGAGGGGCCCAGGGGGCCGTCACTGGCCGAAGGGTAACACGGCATCGTCATGATGCTAGTGACCTCGAGGCTCTCATGTTCCAGAAGTATCACGGGTGCCCCCCGCACATTTTCACCCCCTTTCCCCCAAGTCTCGTGAACAGTCTCCAGCGTTGTAACTGGGCTCCTCATGGCCGAGGCTTGCTTTAGAGTGGCATAGGTAAAGGATATGACCGAGATGAGGCCGACGCTAACAGACGGCACATGCATGGAGCAAGATCAAGGAACCCGGGGAAGAAGCACACCTCGAATGCATAAGGTGGTCACTGCTTGGCTTCTGAACACTGACTGGACACTCTTGTTCGTTTGGTCTTCGTCGAGGTGGGATTGGCGAACATCATCGCCGGATCCAGTCTGTTGACCAAGGATATCACCATGTCGCAGGGTCTCAGGATGACAAGTACGGAAAGCAGTGGGCTTCAATGTTACAATCGGAACTCTCAACTGATTATTACTATTATTATTATCAATCTTCCTTTTAGCACAGAGCCGTGGCACCCAGGGTCTCCAGCATTTGACCGCCGATGGGTACCGACATGGACGTACCGTTATCAAGAGGGCAAAGCTGGCGCAGAAATTCATCGTACCTATCCAGTCATATCAGATTTCAACTCTTCTTAGAACTTGTCTCTTACAGCAAAAATGGCAGACGCAAGAAACTGTGCAAGTCGAGCACCACACCCACCGAAGTATCTGCCGTAGTCTTTGGGCTCGCAGGTCTTTCCCACGCACACTGTTTTGTGGTTCGAACCGGCATTAGTCGGTTGAGATTTTCCCCCTGCATACTGAAAGAAAAAGAAAGGGGGATGACTTACCCGGCGTAAGGGACAAGAAAGAACCAGAACCCAGTCCCCAAGCCACGGAAAAAAACGTAGAGTGCCGCAATGTGAGAAGTCCCAAACGGCACGAGGGTGACGGCGGTGGATATTAAAGTGACCGCCAACATCGAGAGCAGCACGTTGAAGTGGCCCAGCCGGTCGCCCACCAACCCAGGCAGCACCCGGCCGAGGAACGACGCGCTGTTCATGATGGCGATGAAGTTGTACCCCGTTTCGGTGGGGAACCCGGACCATGCGACGAAGGTGGGCAACATACCGCCGACGCCGAAGATGGCAAACTCAAGCAGGAAGGTTGCAGCGGTAACAAAGGAGAAAGGCGGCGTTTGAAGGCAGTGAAGTTCAGAGCTGCTCCTTTGCTTCTTTTCCTCCTCGGCGTCGTCTCCGTTCCTGGGGGTGTCTGTTCTCGAGACCGAGGCTCCAGCGCCGTGCCGTCACGCTCAGCCATCCTCTTCTCGCCCATGAGTTTCGGATACGGCATGAGACAAACGACACCTTCCAGTCGGAGGCAAACTCTAGCCTGAATGCATGTGAGATTGTCTGCCCCTGCTTCTGCTTTGTTCGAGCTCGAGCTCGAGTGGTTCTATCGCCGGTTCTTCATCCTTGGCGTTATCTTTTGTCGGTAAAGGTCGTTCTTCCGCCGAGACGCGGGTTTTCACCGTCATTGGATCCATGCGTATGTATGGATATGTTTTTGGTAGTTGGCTTGGGGGTTGTCCTGGGTCCAACTCGGTCCTCGGGGAGGATGGGATCCAGGATCCACGCAAACAATGATTCGAGCGCCTCGTCTTATGACGCCTTATCGGTGACAGACCGCCTACAGACGGCCTTCGTTTCCCAAACAGTCTGTGCATCATGGCTGGTCTAGACCCTGGACCCGACCATTGTCCTCCCCTATCAGCGGCGGCGGGTTGCTTACCTACACGTAACACGGTTACACCGTTATTGTTATCCGTTGACACAAGTACAAAGCATGAGCAACACGACGCCAGTAGGTACACCTATATCACACGCGAAACAGGAAACCTCCTGATACGTTATGCGGAGGCTTCCTTCCGAAAAAGGGAAGGTGGCGGCATCCGGCGTCGTTGATAGTCTTTGATACCCGGTCATTCGGGAGTCGTGTATCGGCTTCGGCTTCGGCTTCGGCTTCGGATTTGTGCCTTGTCGGCTCCGACGCCGGCCTGTGTGATATATTTGTCAAGAGGTGACAGCCATAGCGAAAGATGACAAGACTGCGCCCCGTCTAGTCGCTATGGAGGACCTATGCTAGAATGAAATATACCACAGCTCCCGCAGAAGATATATAGGGGAGAACAAAAGATATATAGGATAGAAATATTCTCGATGTATAGGTTGACTGACTGGATAGGGGTAAAGGGGTGACCATGGTCGTGGTGGGAGGGGAGGATGATTATGTCAGCTAGACGGCACCCATACATGTACTTCCTAGCGTACCTTACTAACGACGGCTTAGTACAGTGCGGCGCAAAGGGTTTCTACACCGCTACAGGTACCTCTCTATACGGATTAAGCCTGTGAGATATATTAGACAGTGTAGTCACTTTTTGCGCCCAACTGTACACCGTATTGCGATCCGTATAGATGGACCCTGGATGCTCAAGCACCATCCTCTCTATCACTGCCGGATATTATATCAAACAACTACCCAGCCTTTTTTCTGCGTTAAATCTCCAGCCTACCTACTAATTACTATAATTGCGAGATGTTCCCGGGCTGTACCAAGACATTTACCACTCAAGGGCCAACCAGCCCCGCTATCCCGCGTCTTACCCCTACGGTTTCTAAAGAGTCTCCCGGGCCCCGACTTCTCGCCATCGATTATCCACGATATCAAGGTAGGTAGGGTATATTTCTTAGCGAGGTTATAGTTCCAGATCGAGTTCAGAATTTCACTAGAGAATATAACATGTCCAGTATAAAATATTCATTGGTATTAATGTGAACAGACAGCTACTCGAAAAACTCGATATAAAAGACACACACTTCCAATTCTCGGTGAGAAGCAATACACGCCCGAACCCCGTCAAGATGATCCCCCACAAAGCCTGAATCCATCCAAAAAGACAGTAGAAACCAGAAACCAGCATCCCAAAACATATCGTGACTGTGTCCCATCTCATGTATCCATCTCATCTCCACAACCTGCCGCTTCTAGCGAGATATATAGGAAAATGCGTTCAACCTAATCCGGAAACCGGGCACATAAACAGATGGCGACAACAAAGTTCCAGCGGTATCCGCAAAGTCAAAAGCCGTTTGACATGTCTATATGCCAATTCATCGCTCATCATGAAAGAAAACAAAAGAGAAGAGAAGAAAAATATTGGTCGTAAATGCGAAAGCGACGAGGAGATGCAGCTCAACCCAGCTGTTTACCAGACTCCATAGGCGTGACAAGCACTCCCGGCGTGCTGGCCCCAGAGTCGAGCTTGTCGTACTCTGCCGAGTCAGAGCTCTTATCCGACTTGGAGTCCTCGTTCGGCTCGGGAGTCTTATCGGCGCCCGTCTCGTCCGGCTGCTGCCCCTTCTCCCTCTCCTTGGGTTCCTCGGGTGGTGAAGGTGGAGCCTTCGCATCCCCATCAACGACCTCCCCCTTCTCTCCACCGGACGCGGCCTTCGTTTCTCCCGCGTCCTGCTGCGCCGTCTTCTCTTCGGCTTCTTCCTCCCCAGACGGCTGCTTCTCGCGCTCGCCGCCCGCATTCTCCTGCGCATTGTCGAGGTCGGCACCTCCCTTCTTGCCCATGCCGTTCTCGAGCAGGTCGCCCCCTTCCATGACGACGCGCAGGTCGAGGTCCTCGTCCTTGGAGTACAGCCGGAAGCCGACGATGCAGATGGCGTTCCACGGCTCCGGCGCGTCCTCGTCCTCCGACTCGAAGATGGCCGACTTGGGGAGCGGCGGCTGGGCCGGCGCCAGCCGCGGCTTGCGGACCATGTCGTCGCTGCTGTACAGCTCCTCCCAGTCCTCGATGGGCGAGTCGGACGACTCGCCGTCCGACACGGGAGGCGGCGGGGCGGCCTTCGTAGCTCGCCTCTTGCCCTCCCCCTTCTTGGGCTTGGGAGAAGCGGGCTTCTCATCCGACTCTTGTTGTCCGTCCGCCTTGCCCTCTTCTTTGCTCTGGTCCGCGGCCTGCTGCTGCTGCTGCTCCGGCTGCTGCTTTACCTCTTCTTCCGTTGAGCTTTCGTCAGCATCGTCCACCGCAGCCGCGGCCCGCTTGCGCTCGCGCTTGGTCGTGTTCTTCTCCTTCTGCTTCTTGTTGATCACGCGGTTCATATGCCGCCTCTCCCACTGCTTGCGGCGCTCCTTCTGCCGCGACGCCGACGCCTTCTGCTGGTCCTTGATCTTGCGCAGCCGGGCCACCTCCTCGAGATGCGCCGCGCCCTTGCTGTGCGCCAGGTCGTAAGCGTAGCCCACCTGGGCCAGCTTCTCGTTCTCCGTCCGGTTCTTGCACTCGCGCTTGACCACGTTCTCCACCGAAGGCACCGCCGTATCCCTCTCGGCCGTTACGCTGATGAACACGCTGTACTCACCCGCCGGCATGTCCGGGATTTCGATCGACACGCCGCGCGACATGAGGTAATTGCCGTGCGACCGTACAACGTAGTCCTCTGCTTCGGGGCGGCCCTTCTCGTGGATGCGGAAGTGCAGCCGGAACCTGTACTGGCCCTGAAGACCCTTGAAGTACCGGTCGTCGAGCTGTGTCAAGGTCAAGACCAGCGGCGAATCCTTGGTCAGCGTGAACTGGAGCTTCTCGTTGTACTGGGGCTTCCAAGGAGCCTCCACGCCGATCCACCGCTGACAACACCGCCAGTCGGTGTCCCGGAACAGCCTGGTGCGGTCGATGTGCTGGAACTTGTTGAGAAAGTCTTCATACGAGATCCAGAAAGAAGAGTCGTTGCCGAACATGTGGTTGAGTTCCGCTTGCGCATCCGGCGTCCACTCCTTGGACCCGTCGGACCATGCACCTTCCCAGATGCCCTTTCGGATCTTGCCCCAAGGGTTTCTCAGCTTGAGCAGTCGCTGGCCCGACTTGAGCGTCTTGGCCTCCATGAGGACGTAGGCGTGGCCTTCCGAGATGCCATCGCGATCTCCGTATCCACATTCGAGCAGCCCTGTGGAGCAGCCAAACAAGAACTCGTCGTTGACCCTGGCGAGCTCGTCCCAGAAACTTTCCGTGTCGAGAATGTCGGAAACAAGGATCTCCGACGTGACACCGCCGGAGAGATCTTCGAGGGCCTCGCCGATCCAACCGCCAATCAAGGAAGCGTAGTCGCCGTGGGCCTTAGCGTAGGCCTTCTCGAGGAGCGGGACCCACGTCTCGTTCTGATCCTTGCATTGTCCGAAGAAGAGAGCTTTGGAGCCGGTCTGGTATGTCTTGCGGTAGACGCGCTCTTGATCCTCCCGGTCGATCTGCTGCAGAAGATCCCGCTGCATACTGCGCGAATCCCATGCGGGCGATTTGAGGTAGAGCTTGTCATCGATGATGGAGTAGATCCATTCGCCATCTGTGGGTCGCCTCGAGTCAGCAAAATATTTCTTTTTTTTCTCGTTCTTTTTTTTCTCTTCTTCTTCTCGCTGTTTCTTCTCCTTAAAGGGATAGCATTGATGGAATGGCATACCTCTGTAAAAGACGAAACCGTAAATGCCAATGCCTGTTTGGCAAACGTCAGCAATGATCCCGAAAAGCATGAGCAGGAGAAACCCAGCATCGGCCCACTTACGTTGATCGTATTCCACGCAAATCTTCTCCAGCGCACCCGGAACGTGGGCCAGAGCCGTCAGACTAGCGATAAGCCAGCAGTCCCCGAGGCTGCCTTGCTTGACATCGTCGCCACTGAGGGACTTCATGAACGTAGGTTTCTCAAAGATTTCGTGCACGCGCTTGACAGCCTTGGGCACGGTAGCGCTGCTGCTGGAAAGAGAAGACCTGCTGATCGACCACTTGGTAGAGCCCAGGTGATTGAGACAGTTGCCCTTTTCCCATTTGAGGTCCCAGTCCTGTGAGAGGAATTCCCATATTAGCTCCCATTGCTCCAAAGATCCGACTCCTGTCGCACACACAGAGGTGGCCTTGTATGGGGTTGGGGACCAATGAACATACCAGATCAAAGTTCGGATCCCGATAGCGAGTATTCACCCTGCGGCATTCCTGGATAATCTTCCTAACCTTCCGACGGCACTCTTCCGCAGCCCGTTCATAGCCAGCGTTCGGCGATTCGTTGGGTCTCTCGGGGCCTGCTGGAGGGAGGACAGGGTCGAAGGGCAAGACAGCGAGGGCCTTGCTGAACTTGCGCTTTTGGAAATTCTTCCAGATCCAGTTGATGGTCTGCTGAGGTGGGGGCTTGGGCTTCTTCTTTTTCTTCTTTTGGTCATTACTGTTGCTGCTACTGGTGCTGGGTTGCGCGCGGGGCCGGCGAGGGTCGTCAGACTCCTCGGAGGAGCTGTAGCCGTGCATGGTGTCGTCTGTCCTTCGGTCGTTGGGTTAAGGGCGAAAGGCGTATAAAACAGGTTGGTGGATCAAGACTTGGTCGGAAATGAGGGCATCCCAAATGCGGCCTATCAGGAGTACAGATGTTAACACAGGGGAAAGATCGAACAGGGTCAAAAAGACCGAAGCGAAAGGAGAGTTTGCCAGAGCAAAGAAAGCAAAGAACGTGCCCGGTGTGCCGAGGAGGGAAAACCAAAGGGGGGTAAGGCGAGAAGTCAGGACATGAAATATATAGGAAACGAATAGGAATGAAAGTGGGGTGCGAAGACGGGTGGGTGTGAGGACTAACACATACAGGAAGACCGACGTCTGGAGGAACCGGCCGGCGTGATCCAGCACGGCTCGGTCCCTCAAAATGGGCGGTGATCAGGAGTCAGGGACTCACACCGCTCTAGGCATGAGCCTGGGATTGACTGCAATCTGGGCCATCCCCGGGAGTCGACGAGGGTTAGCGGGGTGGGGTGTCGCGTGGATGCACGAACCCCTGGTCCCCTGGTGAGCCAGAAGGGTCGCGGGAGAACGTATGGATCCCAGACTTGATTCCAGCATGGCGGCAAGGGCATCCATCAAACTAGGGGTACGGACCAAACTAGTTGGAGGCCGATCCGCCTAGTCCGATTGGCGGGTAGGGGACTGATAGCCATCTCTTTGTTTCATTCGGAATTCTGGAAAAGGGGGGGCCAGTGGGCGGGTTGACTGAGTCGAGGGTTCGGTTTGGGGGGCGTGTGGGAAGAGGGACGGATAAAAGCGAACATCGCGGCTCTGCTAGTACAGGAGCGGTAGCGATAGCGCTATCGGATAGATGGCGGTAATAACCCCGGCCAAAAAGGAGAGTACAATGTGGCGGTTGAGATGGGAGAAAAACGGCCGTCCCGGATGGATCTGAACGTTTGAGAGTCGAGGCTTCAGATAGTGGAGGAAGAAGTATGGGGAAAAGTGGAAAATGGCAGGTCGAATCCGATAACCAATTCAATTCGAGGCGTGATCATGGGTGGAGCATTACTCGGTATTTCTTACAGTACGCTTCTGGCAGACTTAGAATGAATAGATACTGTATGGTTAGGCGCCAGACCGGAGTACAGTACAGTGTGGGTCGATACAGAACACCGTTCCGTGCATGGCTCCACTAATACAAGTCGGGGAAGGGGGGTACGGAGCACTTCATACGTTGTACACGTACGTGTCGTACTAGTTAGTGGCCAAAGCGCCTGCAGGGCGCATAGCGTAAGGTATGCGGCAAAAAGGAGGGTCTAGTGACTTGCCGTCCACTAATAAGAGTACGAACTACTACTTCGTAGACTCGTAGCTAGACCCTTACCCGGTTTGTCTTACCAATTCAGTGCCTGTTAATAGAGCCATGGAAATGGAGGAATATCAACCCCAGATCCTTCTTGCGGGGCTGTTCTGGCGGTCGGAAGGTCCCCTGTTCTGTTAGACTTGTCTTGTTCTCGAATGCACTTCGCTCCTGCTCCGCTAACTGGACTCTCCTCATGCTCCTGATACACTAGACAGGCAACATTTCGGTGAGATCGTCGCAGTCCCAAGACATTTAGACGAAGTCGGGGGGCTAAAGGACTGCGACTGGATTGCCTATATTTCCTCGGCATCGTGTATCGTCTTCATAGGCTGCCTCATGGTATATGGTTGAAACACTGCCCGCGCTGCTCGCCACAGCCTACCTAAAACTGCAGCAAAACATCTCGGGGGACTTTTGCGATTTCGTGCCGCTGCCTAGGGAAGGCATCGGCGTATTACAAATTATATACCTGCGACTGGTGCCTGGAGAACCTCCACGCCACATTATTCGGAAACCATGCAGCCTCATAAACCGTCCCTCATACCATTGGTTTATTATGCTCTTCTTTTACTGGTATGCATCCCATATTTTGCTTGGGAGCAGCTGAACGGATGCCTCCCCAAAAATATCGGTCGTCTAAAAATAACAAAGTCGTGATCGAAATACAAGATTGCCGAGTACCACACCGATTTAGCAAGGAGGTGGGGTTGGAGCCGGAATACAACGCTGCGATAAGATCAATGTGACAAGTCTTTATCACCGGCGGGGAACACTCGCCAAGCTGCCGTTGGCATGGGTACAACGTACAACCTTAGTGTGCTGCGCTAACCACCCCACGGGATAGCGTGGCAGTATGCTGCAGGGGGGGACCCTGGGGAGTCAGAAGGTCCGACGTGGGGAGGCCCTTTTGGCAACAACACCAGTGGTCCACGATGTCCGGAGATAGGCAATTCGAATATGTATGGAACTGCACGAGACTCGACTGGATGACTCCGAAACGTGCAGAAATGGAAGTGGAAAACAGTACGAAATCTCGGGTCATTTGATCGTTAGTTTGATGGTCATCTCCGCGCACGACGAAGGATGCCCGATACGCGTGCGGCACAGCCTCTGCATTACTAGGTAGGCACCGAGGCGTCAAGCTTTCCTCCAGACTACCTTACCTGAGGTATCCGTGATAGGATTATGCATGATCGGTACAGGTGTACGTTGTACTTACTGGACACAAGCGCCATTGGCTTGGTGCTGCTTTCCGCGCCATTAGCGGTAGGTGGTGTTACCCCCCCGACTCTGCAATACGAGTGCTTTCGGTGTCCCTGAAAGGATAAGTACTTTAATGCACTTCGTAATCGTTGGGATAGACTGATAGTAGCTTATATACATATATTGAGGCTGTAGGTGGTTGAGCTGATCATCCCGATGCAGCAGTGATAGTGGCAAGGGTCCTATAGGTACAAAGGCATATCGTATACTAAGAGTACCTAGGTACCTTATATACCCCGCTTGTAAGTACATAGGTACCTCGTACAATTACCTAATTCGTCAATTAGTCTTATAAGTATCCACTAGAAGGTCCGATACCGGGTTTTCGAATACTGTCCTAATTACTCCGTACCTTTAGGTGGTTGGCAACTCTCCTCCTACTAGCAATTAGGTAGGTACTTCGTGTACACCCTGCTATATACCTATAAAACGGACTTCTTTTCCCATCAACTTTGGGTTGCTGAAAGTGGCTACTGCACATGCTTCTTCCCTCGATACTATAACCTACATGCTAAGAGGCGGCCGCCTATCGACTGTACACTACGGAGTATGAAACTGGACGCAAGGATAGCCCCACTTCCCTGGGCTGTTTTGTATATGTGCACGCGAGCAATTTGGGGTAAATTCCCAATGTGCCGAGAAGCAAAAGGGGAAGCGGTACCGGCCTACCGTCGGGGAACAATCACCGTGGTACGTAGGCACTAGCACTTGACCGTGATCACGTCCACTCCCGGACAAGGCTGTAAAATGTACCAAAAGGAACATCGATCTCTCGTCGCTTCGGATTTCCCCCGCCAAACTGACTCGAGTCGCCACCTTGGCCCGAGTCGCTCGACTCGCTCCATTCCCACGTGTGGTCCGTTCCTAACCAACCACACGTGTACTCCGTAAAGCCTCGACTAAAGCCACGAAGTAGCGCATGGCTGAATTACTGTACAGTGAGTGAGCAAAAGTTTCGGGATAACGTAAAGTAGAATGCTTCGAAGCTTTTAGGGAACACTTTTCTATCAGTGGCAAAACCATATCATATCACAAAAGTAACGAATCACTGGATCTTTAAAATATACCGAAATTATTGCCCACCCACTATACAACCTAGACTTGTAGCCCGCTTGGATGGAGAGTGCGCTCGTCTTTGGTGTATAGGTAGTCTGGGGAAAGGAGGGACCGCTGGGGACCACTGCGGACCGCTGACCCCGAACGGGCCGGGGTTGGGTCTAGGACAGCAGGACTGACCACCATGGCACGTTTGACTCGAGATGGCGAGCTGAGTAATGCCGGTATCGTGATGTTGGTTGGCCAATCTTATCATGAATAGACCCCCAAAGTATGGGCATTCGTCATGGTCTGGAAATGAACGAGATGCTGCCGGTCGCCATTCATCCAAGGGATCGTGAGGAAACGGCCTGTTGAAAAGAGAGGTGGCCTGGGGCCCTGGCAAAAGGATCAAAGCACCTTATATGAATATATCGTGAAGAGCGCTTCGGTGCTTCTGCTGGACCCTGACGCGTACATATATACTCCGTAGGAGGCTTAAAACAGAGGGAAAGCGCATTTATCGACTACTTTACCACCGCTTCTCGTATTCCCGCACAATAACTCTACCTTTCGCCTCTTAACGCACGTGTATCTCAGCAAGCTTGGGGTGATATGGCGTAGGCAATGATGGAAATTATCAGTGAAGTACGTACGAAGTATATATGGGTCTGAACCGCCCAAAGGACTAATCATCTTTCACAACTTGTCCACGACCACGACGAGGAGTTTCAACGTCTTAAGGCTCTCGGGATGCGAAGTGTGAAGATTAACGGTGTCGACTTGGAGATTATACAAATCTTACTATATGTATTGTCTCTGAAAATAGCAGGGAGAGGAGGCGACCTCAGGCCATGGCAACTTGGCCAGATTCATCCCTGATATATCCCCGTCCTTGGGCCCTTACTGATATATCAGGCCCCCCATCGCTCCACAAACTCCCTCTGTTTTCCAGTCGGTCCCCTGTTCTTGTGCCTGGCAGACGACCTCACGGATTCAATCTCCTCCACACGCGCCTGGACCTTAGCAACCTCCTGCCTCAGCACAATGATAGAGCTCTCAATGGCCGGGTCCACGAGCTTGACGTCCGCCCCGAAGGGACTCTCGGCAAGCACACTATCACGCAGGAGCTGCATCGCCCGCCGTGCGTCCGCGAGATGTGCCGCCGTGGCGTGCTCGAAAGATTCCTGGGCATTGAGCGCCACGTCATCCGCCTTTGCCTCTCGCTCGGCTTGAGTTCGGGCCAGAATCGGGATAGCGTCCCAGCCGCTAACTGCCAAGTTCGGATTCTGGGGAGAAGACGTGGAGGTGGACGGCTGTGCCACGTCGATGGCGAGCATGCAAAGAAGGGCTTCAACTGGGGACTCGTCGGGCAGGTCGGAAGAGCGGCGGTCCCAGCTTGGTTTTAAGGTTGTGTTTTTTCGGACCCGGATAGGCGATGCGGGCTGAGGTGGTGGGGCTGTCTTTTCTGCTGACACGGAGGGGACGGCCAGTTGCGTCTTGATCATGTGGGCGAAGCTGGATATTGCCGCTTGATGAGAGCGAAGTGTCCCGATATGAGGTGTGAGCCGGTCTACACGACCTAAGAGGTACTCGAGACAGGCGTTGATCTGGTGCAAGTCAGCATTCCCACTCCTCTCTTCTTTCCACGGCTTTGCGGGTTAAAGAAGAAGACCAAGTGGGGAACGCAGAGTAGAAAACCTCACGTAGACAACAGCAGCTGCGGACCGGTTGATGGATTGTCCATTCTTGGCCGACAATGACTTCAGAGCTGGTTCGAGGTACTGCTGCTCGACCGACATTTGAGCCACAGGGAGAATCTCAGCATATAGAGACTCGACCTCCTCCTGTAACGCCGTGACATCCTCCATCGAAGCACCTGCATCGAGCGGTGCCGTATTCAATGCCTCGAGATAGAGTCTGTCAAGTTTTGTGCGTGTCGTCTCGACAATACTCTTTATGAGCCTTCACCAGGTCAGTACCTAAAATTGGCAAGCAGTAGAATGCCTGGAAAATCGGAATATTACCTCATGCAGGTTTCTCGGAGTCTCTCCACGTTTTCCTTGTCTTCAGGATCTTCCGAATCGAGTTCCCACCCAAGCTTCTGCAGGCTCGACAGAAGCTTATCATCGGAGTGGAGAAGCTCGTCCACAGTTCGGTTCAGGTCGTCGTCGGCGGCCTTGGACTGTTGTTCCAGGTCGGCAATTCGGAAGCTTAAGCTTTGAGAAAGTTCTTCCACCTAATTGCGTGGTTAGTGGCCCGATGAGGAAGGTTTGATTCAAGATGGAAGATGTATACCGTGGTCAAAAGCCTCTTGCGCTCAGCATCCTGCTTAGCTGCCTTCTTAGCCGCCAACATAGAGCGAGAGTCGGCAGCTTTAGCATCAGCTTCAATGAGCTTCGCGAGCGCATTGTGATGTTGCTTTAGGGTTTCAGTCTGTCGGGTGATAGAGGCCGTGGATCTGTTGAGCTCCTCGATCGCCGTCTTGAGCTCTTCTTCAGTGACAGATGGGACAATGGCCAGATCCTGGGAGGTCACGAGCTGGTCCACCTCACCAGATTGATCGAGAGACGCATATCTGCAGCATTATAAGCTGCTGATCCATACGCGGGGGATTAGGAGGCGCTTACAATGCAAGCTCGCCTTTGGAAAGGAGGTTGTCGGCGCCTAAGTGGAGGTTTGCCCATTCTTTGAACGCGGGGCCGTGGGTGGGATCATCCAAGGCTCTCTGCAAGGATGCATCGTCGATACGAATGCCGGTATCGAGCTTCCTCAGCAGTCCATTGAGCGTCCCGGCATCGACGAAGCCATCTCCCCAAGCCATGGCGTATGGGGTAGAGATGTGAGTGTGAGATGAGGGTCAACGGATGAGGGGCCCTATTGCTCCACGCGTTGGAGATTTGAAGGTCGGTGTCACATAGACACTGCCAAGAACCAGGTGTCAAGGAAAAAAATCAAGTCGTCTGCTAGTGTGGCAGCCTCGATGTCGCAGGCGGGGGACGTACGTGGTTGTCGTTCGAGTTGACGCAGGGGCTGATCCGGGGAGTTGAGACGACGGCTCATGCGCGACGGGCCGAGACGGCAGTCACCGGATGTCACCAGAGCACCACACCGCCTATGGAGATGGAATGAAATCTAGTGAGGTGGGTCGCCGGCGAACACTCTCGAACAAAACTTCTGGCGGTAGGACGATGACCCCAGACACAGGCGAGGTTTACCGAGTACCCCTTCTCGTGCGCCGGTACACGACTTGAGTTCCTGGGGACGTTGAAGGAGAACCCCTCCTCAGCACCTAGGTGTAACGAGGGAGGAGCCTCGGCTTGTGCGAGCGAGACGGGATCAACGGACCACACTCGGGTTGCTCAGAATCGACTGGTGGTAGGACAAAGGCCGGAGCAGGATAGAAGTAGACCTTTAGAAACATTGAGAGTATATCAGAGACCAAACCTGGCCAAGAAGTAAGCGAAACCGTGGGCGGCCGTCGGCTGAGGCTTGTTGTCGTCCGTCGGTCAGGGAAGCAAACATCGAAACGGGGATGTTATGTATCGGACCAAATAGTGTCATTGACGTTTGGAAGTACCGCAGTACCTTACTAAGCACCGTGTCGTGGCAGTGCTAAGCGAACCAACCAGAGAGGCTACCTAGTCCTTATCGATAGCCAAGGCCTAGATGCCGACTGAGATTAGGGGCTCGGATATCGGGACGGCAGACAACCGATGCTAAGGTACGTATCATAGTGGGGGAGCGTAAAGAGGGCGGGATCGGTTGGACCAGTCTGCAACTGTCCGGGACCCGAAACATTTGCCCACGCCGTCCCCGATTTTCTTCTTTCGCTTCCAACTATGGGTTGATCACCTTCTATTTGCTATCCGCATTCTCACACTCTCTCATACGTGATATAGATCCTAACCGGCCTGCAAGGCCGGCGGGTAGTCGCACGTCAGGGGCACCAACACTGGGACCCGGTGTTCGTGATCCGACGTGTCATCATGGCGGGACAAATCAGCGCAGGCTGCGCAGCATATCAGTGCCAGAAACCTGGAACACTTACCGTCGTTTGTCGGCAGCCACAAACGCAAATGCTGCCCTACGACTGCTGCCGTGTCCAGGCAGAGTCGGCCATCTTCACCAATCTTGTCAATTCTACCTATGAACAGACCTAGTACATAATATCTGTAATCACTTGAGGTCCATTCATTTGGTAATGCTGGTTGATGTCATAGAGCTTCCTCGTTTGAGGTTTGAGTTATCATGGTTACCCGCAATATCTGCTCGGGCGGTTAAACTCGTGGTCCATAGAACAGCCAACGTACACCGGAGTCTAGCATCTACAAATTCCTGGCCCATCCGGAGCATGCTCCGGGCTGGCACATCCTGATGTGCTTATCTTGTGTGATTTGTAGTCTGATGGTTTGACAAACGAACCTCGGAAGGAGAGATATGGGGAGGGGTTATTCTGTTTGTGCTCTGGTATCAGCACCCCCAAGTGTGACAGGTCATCTCGATTCTCTTTCCCCCCATGGTCTCTCAGGTCCCGGGGAAGGAAGGAAAAAATCTCCACACTTGATATTCCCAGTGAAGTCTTATATTGTAGAGGAGAAGGAGCAGAGGCAAGGCTAGAAACAGATCGGCAAGTGCGGTTAGTCTCATTATTATGCAATCCACACTCAAGCATATGATTCACATACCGATTTCTCTGGCATGTTACTCAAGATTCAGAGTTAATAGAAGCTCTTCTGTAGCTGTTACCCGTTTCTTTCTACTGATATCAGAGAAGCAGGCGGGTAAGTGCCTGCCGCGCGCTCAACCTCTTGCCGTGTTTGGAGATAATCACCACTATCTGTTGTTGCCTCCAGGCCCGGGTGTAACTGCTTTTTAAAACAAGCTGGTGCTCACGCGTTCTCTTTCATTTTGTACCGTTGAACGTGGATCCCTGAACTGAAACACAAAACTTGCTCTCCTAACTTACGGCTTTGTGGTTGTCTTACCTCCAGAACATGATCTAGGATACCCGTGATCTTCATCACCCGGTCACGCGAACTGATCATGGGTGCGGTTACTTATCCCAATGGTTGTCTGAGACAACTCGGTGCTCGCATGGCCTGTGCGCCGTATTTGCATGGTGTGGCAGGAGTTGTTAACGAGCTCTTCTGGGTTGTTATCATCTACCTCTTCAGCGAGCTTCTGATATGGAGTCTCAGTCTTGCTCTCCGACTTGCTGCCTTGGAATATTTCTCGGCCATTTTCAGCATGGTCGTTGTTTTCCTGTTTATGACTTTGCTGCATCAAGTTTGCAAAACCTCTGATGAGTTCTACCACCTCAGAGTCAAGTCCAAGGTGAGTCCCAGATAACTTGCATTGTCTCGGATCACGCGAAGTAATTACTGACACAACCCGGGAAGGTCGACTTTATCAACAGGAACATAGGGATCGGTTTCCCAGTGCCCCTTGTGGCTATCAGTCCCGACGAAGCCCTAGGCGGAAGGGAAATCGGTGCAGTCATCGGAAACTTTGGTATATTATACCCATGCCTGACCTACATATCTGCCTAGTTCCAATTGGCTATATCGCTAACGGCAGTCCTAATATCATATAGTTCTCACAAACATCATCTTCTGGCCCCTGATCTTCATACTGGGCTGGGGAGTCTTAACCGGAGTCTCATGTCTGCCTCGCTACTTCTCCAATAACAAGGGAACACCATCACAAAGGCCTGACAAGTCGACCTGCATGCCTACGCCGCCTTCTCAGCTTGAGTTAGCTCCGCCCTTGATGCGGAGATCATCCGACGTCAGCACTCTCCGGAACTCAGCTACCCTTACAGAACGGGAAGGCACACTGGTCCCTGAGGCTAGAGCCGCTTCGATCTACCTTGCTAAAGTCGAGAATATCTCTCCGACATCCGAGTCACAGCTGTCGCCCCAAGAAGCGCCCAAACAGGGCGAGACTGAGAGACAGCAGCAGAACGAAAGAGATAATGAGAAACCCAGCAGTTGGAGCATTCCGGCCTCTTTCAAGACATACTACCCCATCGCCCTCTCCTTGTTCCTCCTCATCACGGTTGCCATCCCGGTATCCCACCGGACTGGAGACGATCGCGTTTTAGATGGCTGTGTGATGTGGCTTACCTGGATTACAAGCACCAGGCTCCAACGTATCCTCACAACGCGAAGTCAGAGCAGACCGTCAACCACCCCGCTGGCCTCGAACCTAAAACTGACCTTCACCACCCTCCTCAATCCCGTTCTCCTCACTACGCTCGCCATGACAGCCTACACCCGCGCCAAATCCGCCGCGACCAGCACGCCCCTCCCCACCGTCCTAGCGACCTTCACAAGTGGCACGTCGCTTTCGGAGCTATGGTCGCACCAGGCATCGATATACCCGCTCAAGCCGACGAAAACCCCCCACTTCGGAGCAGGCGACGCCGCACTCTCGCTCCTGGAGAGCGGCATCGTGGTATGGGGCTTCAAGCTGCAGGAATGCAGGGCGCAGCTCGCCTCCCGCGCGGGCGTCGTCGTGGTCCTCATCTCCACGGCTGCGGCTGCCCTCAACGCCTTTGCAGCGCCGCTTCTGGGACACTTCGCGCTCGGGCTAGGCGCGGCGCCCAGCCTGGCGTTCGCAGCACGGTGCACCACACTCGCTCTGGCGCGGCCGGCTATGGAGGCACTAGACGGAAACCAGGTCGTCAACGCGGCTCTGGTGGTGAGCAATGGGATCGTGGGACAGCTGCTCTATCCGTTCGTTCTCGGGAGGTTGGGCGTCGTTGACACTCCTGGTTGCCATGGAAAAGAGAAGGAGAAAGAGCGGCAAGATGGGACGGGAATGGAGGAGGTAGGCGATGATGATAATGACCGTGATGACGCGATGATCATAGCGGCAGGGACGACTATCGGGGTCAACGGCGCTGCGATGGGCGTTTCCTACCTGTACGAGAGGAAGAGTCGGGCGGCGCCATATGCAGCGTTGTCGATGACTGTGTTTGGGGTAATGACGGTGGTTTTCACGGCGGTGGAACCTTTCAGGGGCACTTTGAAGGCGCTGATGCGGTGAGAAAATCCTATAGTCTACGGGAAGACGAAGTGCAAGACCACTTGTGCCTGAGCATGACTCTCTGAATACGGATTGGGGCCTGAGGAAGGTTTAAAGAAAAAAAGAAGAAAGAAAAAAAAAAGATAGCTTTCCCTATACTCGCTTTTCCCTGGCTTGCAGACGGGTTACAATCCCAGAAAACGAGATACAAATGTATAGTGCGGTAAATGACTGTCGACTGCTTACCCATGGTGATACACGGCGGCCACCTCTCTGTAGTTCATATCCGATATCGCCATTTTCACTTCCTGTTCCCTGTCGGTGATGCGCAAACTACTCCAGCCTACAATATGGTGTCAGGACCTGCCAGAGGATCAAAGCGACTGAATATATGGGGGAGAAGGAAGGGAGGAGACAGACCTCTCAATCAAATGGACACCGCTAGCAGTCTCGACAATGCCAGAAAGCTCGCCGACCTTGAGAGAAAATGCCGCATCCTCGAACTCGCGCTGCATATCGCCCTTGCCAAAGTAGCCGAGGTCCCCACCCTTACGGGCACTGCTACAGTCGCTTTCGGTGACAGCGAGTTCGGCCAGGGAAGCCTGGCCGGAACGAATCTTCTCTTCGTAGCCGCGGAGGATGGAGCGAGCTTCGTCCTTGGAACGTTCGATGCGTTCCTGGCGCCATGAGGAAGGGCGGCGGCTGTCTTCGTGCTTGACCAGCAGGTGAGCGGCGCGAATCTTCCCTTCGGGGATCTGGCCTGGCGGGGCTGGAGGTGCGACGGCGGCCGAGTGGTGGGTGGCCATGTACCGCTTCAGTTTTTCGGTGTCGGTGCCTGGGGGAGGTTCCCAGCGGGAGACCTTGTCGGTCGTATTGAAATAGTAGGGTAGGTTCTTCGAATTGGAGTGTCGAACCTCCCAATTGGCGGGGAGACCTGTGTCAGCCTGGCAACGACGGAGCAGGCGCCGGTGTGTCAGCAACAAGGACCAAAGGATGGGAGAAACGTTGAGGGCGGGTTAGGGTTCCTTTGTTTTCATACCATGTTTGTAGACCCGGAATCGTGTGCGCGTGGCAAGCTACTGTAGTTTTTTGTTTCGTCTCCAGTGGACGATGGTGGGTATAATGGGCAAAGCGAGAGGCTCTGGACCTGCACAGGATTGAGTAGCAGACGGGAGGGAGACCAGAGAGCAGGCGGATAACAAGCGATTGAATAGAGCGAATGTGAAGCAATAAAGACCGGGAGTGTCTGAGAGGAGAGTGAGTAAGATATAAGGGTATGAAGTGGGAGAAGAATTGGAATTAGGCCTTGATGTTGTTATAGTGCACGAGCTGAACAAGATTGATGTGCCGGATGGGGTGGGAGGAGGTACTCAAGAACTCAGGTAGTACCTGGTACAAACGAGTTGTCCTTCCAATGGGGAAGTGAGAAGAGCAAGTCACACACCATGGCGGATCCACATGAAATCAATGAGGGACCTGGGGAAGCTACCAGTCGAGACCTGGTGGCCAGTGACGTTGGAGGATGTCAAGGGCGGTAGGAGGGGTTTAAAGGGTTTGGTCTGGAGGGGCACCGTAAGGTTATCAGACATAGACACTGTGGCGGGCAGGACAGAACCACCCCCGAAGCGGATAATGCGCTGAGTCCAGATGCACTGTGTACCGTGACCCCTGGTGGTATGGAAGGTGTGGGGGTCGAATGATGGAAGCAGGAAGGCAGCTGGTGCGCCTTGTACTCGGTAGTATACAGTACTTCGTACTTCGCGTTGGGTATTGGCTGCGTGGAACCAAGGCATCGTGCGAAATTGTACCTTAAGGTACCTACCTTAGGTACCGCAATGCCTCGCCATTGTACGAAAGTACGAAGTACCTTAGAAATATGGTCACGCGTGTTTCGCTTTAAGTTGACCTGCCACGAGGGATGAGGTGCGTGACCCAATATGTCATTGTATGATGGATGCCTAGTGGACCTAATACGTATCGATGTTTTATCCGTACCTTTTTGGGAAGAAGGCTTATTTCTGGAAGGAGATGACTGATTACCTAGGTTCAGGTAAAAAGTAACTGCGCCACCAGTTAGTTCACTGACGTCTTACCGCCTACCACTTTTGTTTGTCACCCTCCCACTATAGACCGGCACAATTCTCGACTCGACTCCTCCGTTTCCTTCTCCCTACAACGTGCGGATACACGAACAGGCAACACACAACGAGGCAACGAACCAAAGACCATTTCTTCCTCGCACCAATTTCAACCCTACGAGCTTTCCCTCTCCAGAAATTTTGCGCTTTTTTGCACTCAGCTTCTCTTCGTCCCCTTTCCTTTCCCATCGCACCACTTCCACTCGCAGGAGAATCCGCAAGATCCTCCCTCAAACATGTCGACGCCCGCGTCTACCGCCACCGATGACCACCAGGGCAAATCCGCGGTCGAACAGATCACCTTCCGATTCTGCTCCGAGTGCTCCAACATGCTCTACCCCAAGGAAGACGAAGAGACACACCGGCTTCAGTTCACCTGCCGTACCTGCCACTTCACCGAGCAAGCCACCTCGACCTGCGTCTTTCGCAACGTCATGAACAACGCCGCGGGCGAGACGGCCGGCGTCACCCAGGACGTTGGCTCTGACCCCACGGTAGGTAATATTTCTTATGGTACTCAGTGGATGAAGGGGGAAGAGTGGGAGAAGTATGGCCGGACTTTCATCCCGGAGACCTGCCTCTGCTGCGGCGAGACGCTGCGTTGCGATCAGTGCCGGCAGGGATCTGACCTGTTTTACGTCGATGCGATTCCTGTGGCCGACCTGGGTTACCCCGAACATCCCTACATTCACGAGGGCGACGAGGAAAAGGCCCAGCTCTGTGGGGCAGCTTTCCACCTCGACATCACGGGCATTGGCCTCGCTCCTATTGATCAACCTGAACTGCTTCCCAAACATAATGCTGCAATGTCCCTCCACGAGGTCATCCTCCTGGCCGAGAACGATCCCTTTGCTTGCTACGACGAGGAGCCAGAGCCCTCCAGCGCCATCACCGACAACGGTTCGACTTTTGATCCGATGGACGCAATCCTGAATACTCCCGGCCAGGGTGTATTCATGGGGGACTGGTAACGACAGCCACCGTGGCATTCTACATTCTTGTGCAACGATAACACCGGATTAGGAGCGACGCGACCTCGATGAGACGACCTTTTTTTCCCCCGCCAAACCTTTTCTTTTAACTTGCCAGGATTCCCATTTTCTTTCTTTTTTTCCTTTAAATTGGACTTCACCTCGTTTCTTGGAAACCAGGCGGCTGACTGAACCTGTCCGGTCTAGCTCCCCCGCGAAATCATCAACTGCCCCCAGTGCAACCACAACGAGGCCGTATTCTTCCAATCCCAGCAGCGGAGTGCAGAAACGGGCATGGTGAGCACACAATCAACTACTTCAAGCATTCATTCAGCCTGCTGACCGTTTATTTCCTCCCAGAAACTTTTCTACGTTTGCTGCGAGTGCGGTCACATTTTCCAGACGCAGTGATGACATGATATGACGACTCTTATGTCATGCTACCCAGGCGGACGAGAACCCGTTGGACATGTTGACGAAAGAACCTGAAGAACCATATAAAACTTGGAAAGGCGGGAGGCGTTGCTGGATCGGTTTTATTTGGCATTGTAGCCTACATTGCCCTGCTTTCGGTATCGCGGTATGGCGTGCGGTGTTACTATTTCTGGCATTATACAGACGCTCAATACACTGGCATAATACGAATGTGATGGCAATGGTGATGTTGGTGGGTGTTGTTTCGATATTCTTTTCCTACTATCCACGAGTTCCATGTTTCTTCTCTGCTGAATTGTACAACGGGCCCCCAAACAAGTAGATGTGCCCGGTCATCCACTTCCCAACCGGTAAACGCCGGCTCACGCAAAGAAAGAAAGAGAAACGTATTGTACACATCCGTCGTCGTGATGGACTCGGACTAGGTGTTTTCTTGGTCGGATCCTGTTCCTCCTCTTACACATTACAGGGTATGCTTCTTCTCGTTTTGCTTCCACGACTGCCGCTGCTGAGATGTCTCAAATAATCTTCGCGAGCCCTTCTTCGCGTATGCGTCTACGCATGCATAGGGGCCATGGACAAGATCTTGCTCCATTTCTTCCTCCTCAGTTCCTCTGCCACGACGCCGTTGATGCGGGTACCGACAGGGTCGCCGGCCTTGTTGATGAGGACGCAGGCGTTGTCGTCGAAGCGGATGACGGAGCCGTCGCGGCGCTGGGTCTTGTATTTCGTGCGGACGATGACGGCGTGGCGCATGTCGCCTCGGCGGACTTTGTTGGCTTGCGAGACGCCCACGCTGTCGGCGTTGCCGCGGTCTTTCTGGACGACTACGACGATTCGGTCGCCTGAGAGGACAAGGTGGGTTAGCTCGAGAGTTGAAGTTGAAGACCGGGAGGGATAATGGTTCATTCGTACCGATGCGTGCGGCGCCTTTCCGTCCGACGACCATGGCGCACTCGACGAGGGCAGCGCCCGAGTTGTCGATGCAGTTGATTATTGACTATCGGCTTGTTAGATTTGTTTGGGACGGGTTTAACGGTTCGGCCGTGAGAGAGTAAGCTGGAAAAGCTCCTGACCTTTAATTGGATCATCTTGGCGGCTCTGGTCCTCCTCGCGAGGCTGGCGAAAGTCGAACTCGTCGTTGTCTCTCCTCTCAATTCGAGAAAAACCCAAATTCAATGTTCAGACCGACGCAACTGGATCGTGAATCTGGAATGGAAATATGTGGTGCCGCATCCGAAGAGTGGAGCTTTACTCAGCCACTCGCAGTGGCACTGCCAGCCACAGTTTGAGGCGGACAGCCAATAGCATGAGTCCCTGCTATCATCTACTCACTACTTTCTCAGGAGCTCCTTCTCATACCTTAGCAGCGAAGTCAGGTAGGTATAGGGTAGTTTGTACTACCTACTTACAACTTCGTACGATCGCTTCCCTTTATTTCCCTCTTACCTCTTCTCACATTTCCTTTCTCAACACTCCCAAGTCCTTTGGGGACCGACATTAATGAACGAGAACAAGAAAAAGAAAAAGACAGATAGTCTCATTTGAGACTTTCTATTGCGCTCCTTTAATTATCTTATTCATATACCATCTCCCTTGACCGACATCCTCCCTCTCTCCTACAACAGCCCAGGAGATTCAGATTGCCGACTCGTCATTCACTTCACCAACACCCCCAGAGCAGATACGACAACTAATTTTCATGAACTGACATTTTCCGATACTTCCTTTTCCGTTTAGGCAACTGCCTCTCGCTATCGTGTCGCCATACCCCATCCCTTGCCGACACCGTACTTTCCACATTGCTCTCCATTTCATTTCAGTCGGAAGTCTCGACCAAAGCCGCCTCATTGTTGGGAAATCTTGCCCGCATCTCACTCTCGAACAGGACCACCTGCTGCGACTGAGATTCTGGCATTCGGTATCTCTCTCTCGTCCTTATCGCTCCCTTCGAACCTCCTTTCCCTCTCCACAGTCCGCACTGGCATTGGACTCTGTGCGCTCGGTTGCCGAGACAACATGCCTGCCAAGGCCAAGGCTGCGAAGAGGAAGCCTCTGACCTTGGCGCAACTCGCCAGCTACGACGACATCTTGACCGATGCCCTTGTTGACCATGTACGTTGGTAGCTCCAGATGGTGTTAAGGTGTCGCTCAATTGGACTTTCCTTCTGACCTCTGCTAGGCCTTTTACTGGACCACCATCCCCAAGAACCGTTCCTCCTACCACCCGTCCAGGGGTGTCCGAGAAGAGGAGATAAGCAAAATCATCCAGTCGGAGATTGTCCTCAACAAGGACCTCGCTGCCGCCGAAAGTAGGTTGCTCGCCACCGACGGCCTGAGCAAATTCTACAATGGCCTCAGGACGGACAAGGAGAAAGCCGACTTTCGCGGCCATCTGCGGCGATACATGCAGATCTATCTCCCCGATTCCCCCTGGGAGGTTAATTCGACCAACCGGTACACCATTGTATCGCACGAAGCTGCCATCACCGCACGTCGCTTCATTAAGAGGAACGAGACCATCAAGTACCTCGCCGGCATCCAAGTCGTCATCACGCCTGAAGAGGAGCGTGAGATGACGGCGCGGAAGAAGGACTTCAGCATCGTCGTCTCGTCCCGGAACAAGTGCGCCAGCCTGTTCATGGGCCCTGCCCGCTTCGCTAATCATGACTGCAAGGCCAATGCCAAGCTTGTGACGACGGGTCAGGCCGGCATTGAGATCATTGCCACCACCAGCATCGACGTCGGCGAGGAAATCACCGTCACCTACGCCGAGAATTACTTTGGTCCGAACAACTGCGAATGCCTTTGCAAGACATGCGAAGATCGCCATGTCAATGGGTGGGCCAGTACAGACCAGTCGCAGTCGGTCAAGCCCAGCATAGAAGGTGAGGGTGCGCCGACGCCGACCGAGGAATACTCGTTGCGTCGTCGGAGGCGGGACGATAGCGTCGACCGCGCCTCGCGCACCCTCACCCGCACCCCTGCGCTTACCCCAGATATGCGCCCGCGCATTTCCAAGTCGCGCCCCTCTCGAAAGTCGAGCAACCGAGACTCCCTCACCAGCGATGCCAGCAATCTCAACGCCGGCAATGCTCACTTTACCGGCAATGGTATTATAGCCGCCAACTCGCCCATGCTTCCGCCACCTCCTGCCTTCACAAATAAACGTACAGCCACCGATGCCATCATTACGCCGCCTTTCACGCCCTCGAAGAAATTGAAACTATCGGAGTCGCAGTCGGCTCCCATCCCCCTCGTCCTCGGAGGCTCCCGGAGTAGCTCTTCTTCGCAATCGGCCCGTAGTTCTTCGCTTGCCCCAGGTGATAGCGGGCCCTCCACAGACATCACATCGCCAGATCACGAGAGCCCCGATCCTCTCGTTATCTATTCACCCAGGCCAATGGAAGTCCCACGGAAAATCTCCGTTCTCAAGCAAGAGGACTCGGATGATTCGGCGGACGATGTCCTATCTCAGATGACCATGTACCACAGGCCGCGCGAAACATCCATCATGGATCGACGGCCTGACCGACCAGTAAGGCCTGTTCCCGTCTCTGTTTCGGTTCTTCTTTCTTCTCCCGAGTTTTCCGGCCACATGGCGACGCCGCCATCCAGCCAAGAGTCGGCCTGCTTGGCTTGTGAGGAGGACTCGACCACGCTTGCTCTCAATGCTCCCACCGTCGAACCCATCGTCGACCCTGCTCCGACTATTGTCCATGTCGAGACCGTAGAGACGACAGAGGAACAAGAAAACGAAAAGGACGACCAAGGGAAACAAAGCATGACGTCTACGCGGGAAGGATCTGGGAGGAAGCGGAAGTATCAGAAGAGGCGATTTATCAAGGAAACCACGCCGCCTGCTCGTAATCGGGTACCCGGAGATTACACACTAACGCCGCTCCTCCTCTCAGAGCCCGAGATGGCGTGGATCCGATGCATGGTGTGCGAGAAAGCCTTCGTCCAAGCCAACGCCTATTTCACCAAGAGCTCTTGCCCTCGCTGCGAGCGGCACTCCAAGCTCTACGGCTACGTCTGGCCGAAGACGGAGAAGGCCGGTGCTCGGGACAAGGAGGAACGGATCCTCGACCACAGGATGATCCATAGATACCTGGATCCCGAGAGCGAGGCCAAGATCCGCGGTCGCAAGAGGCCGTCGTCGGTGCATGTATCGAAAGCGGAGGAGACTACCACCCCGACCATGTCTGACGAGCACCAGCCGGCGACGAAGCGTAGGGCCGTGGCTAGGGATGAGCCTGGCGGGTCGGAATCTCCTGCGTCCGCTGTCCGTCGTAGTGGACGGGCCAGGAGGGTGAGTAGCAGGATCGCCGCTTTCTGAGGACGGGCGGATTGATTGACGGGATGCCAATTTTGGTTAGGGAACATAGTAGGTATGTAAGGTAGCGAAGTCGAGCGCATCGCTATCATGGATTCATGTACACTATATATACTCATTCTTAAGACAACAGATGGACTGGTTTGGGTCGACGGCAAGGGCGAGCGCCTGGCGTAGAGCCAGTGTTCTATGGGCGTCTTCCGAGGGTGTTGAGAGGCGACCCCTCCGGTGCACTGATGGGCGTGGGAGCCGTATTATCGGGCATTATATCCGTACATTTTAACATATGTATTTCCCAACATTTGTTGAGGCGTGTCTCTCCATTCACGTAAACCAAGAGGAGATATAATGAAGCACTTGATATTTGGCATCAATTAAGTATATATAGTAAGATCATGAAGGCCATCATGGGTTTTCAAGACCATGACATAATGCATACATGTAGACATAGGAAAGTTGAGTTCTAGAGTCAACTCGGGACGATGTGGTTCAGCTCCATGTGCTTTACTGTTGTCAGGATCGGTAACAGAGCCCGAGGAACAGTCAAAGCAGGTGAAGGATGGCCCTTTGTCCACGCAGGAGAAGTGCTGATACATCTATCTCATCACTGCCGCGCGTAGACAAAGGCCAACCTATCAATCTCGCTCCCACCGCGGCCCAGGAATCCAACGATGCCCCAGCCCGCGGGAGCCTTGAAGTGGGCACAGTCAGCGGTCGCCTGACCGGCCTTGAGCGAGCGACCCGCGCTGGTACGGGCCTTGATGTAGAAGATGCGCGTGCGGCCGTCGCGCTGGGCCTGGCACAGGGTGGCGTCGGACCAGACCTCACGGTCCGCGAGGCGTAGCTCGGCGAGCTGGCCGCCGGAGCCGCCGTGGGAGAAGGTGGACCCGTCGCTCAGGGAGAGGGACACGGCGTCGACGCGGGAGGCGCCGCGGAAGCGGATGACGGAGGCGCGGCGCGGGGTGGTGCCGACATGGAGGGAGGCGAGGGCGGCGGCGTCGGAGAACCAGGTTCCGTGGGGTCCGCCGTGGAAATCGGACTGGCGGAGCGTGGAGGGGAGGGACCAGGTGAAGTTGGCGGCCACGGGGTTGTGGTCGGAGAGGATGGCGCCGTTGGGCTGCAGGAAGCGGGATGCGTCGTACCGCCACGCTTCGGCACGAAGGTCGAGGAGGGGGCCCGGGCGGTAGAAGATCTTGTCGACGGTTTCGCAGTGGTCGGTGGTGCTGGGGTTGGTGCAGAGGGATTCGGCGGTGGGCTCGACGTTGTTGCGGATCAGCTCGACCCAGGGGTCCTTCATGGCGTTCTCGCGGCGGAAGATGCGGATGTCGTCGGCCGTGCGGGAGTAGCGGCTGTTGGTGTCGCCGGCGATGATGACGGCGTTGCCTGCGCTCCAGGCGTTGATGTAGGAGCTTAGCTGGCGCAGGTTGCTGGCGCGAGCGGCGAGGTCGGCGGCGCTGATACCAGCGTCGGCGTGGAGGTTGTAGACGTCGACGTAGGCGGCTCCTTCGGGGCCTGAGGCCAGGGCGACACGGACGAGGGTGAAGCCCTTGGGGGTCAGGCAGTCGGCGCCGGAGGTGTTGGAGCACTCGTTCCACTTTACCCTGGTCTGGTCGATGAAGGGGTGGAGGGAAAGGGTGTTTAGGCCTGAGCCGAAGGGGACACCGCCTGAGGTGGGAGTGCGGTGAGGGAGGGTGGCGGTTGAGTAGAGGGCTGCATGGTAGTTGAAGTCCTGTGGAGGTTCGGGTTCCCGCCAAGTGTTAGAAACAGATGTGCATTCATCATCAGTTGGGAGAGTGTGGAATCGTGGATATATGGCTGCATGGCATGTGGCTGAGATATCAACTCACCTCTTGGACATTGATCACGTCGTAGCCGTATTCGACAAATTTGGACCCGATGATCCGGTGGTTTTCGGCCTTGTCGCCGGGGACTTCGTTCCCTTGGAGGAAGTCAGGCAGACCGGCGACGTTCATGGCGAGGACACTGAGGTCGCCCGCTGTCTGAGATGCCGCTGCGAGGGCAGCGGACACCACACCACCCGCCAAGCTGGCGAGGGTGTACCGACGCATGGTGTCGGGTTTTCTTTTTGGATGAAATCTTTCGTTTCAAAGCGTTCAAGTTCGCGGTCCCCCGGAGAGGAGAGGACTGAACCCTGGGGAGGGCTTGGGGAGACAAAAGCTCCCTCCCGGACAGAAAGGCCATGAGGCCAACTATTTGAATGACTGCGAGATTCACCGCCGGATGGACATTTTCCTCTTTCTCTCCTTCTCTACCGATGGTAGCGTCGGATTGTGGGGACTTGTTTGCTGGGCGCATGAAGCTTCATTACCCGTCATTGGTGCCACTTGTTGAGGAGGAAGCAGTTGACCGGGGTCCGTGGTCGACTCCGTTGACCCAACCTCTTATTCTTCTTATTCTGGCAGCAGAGACCACCAGAGAAGACGAGAGAGGAAGAGAGTTGGTCCAGTGGAATAGGGGCATGAATAGGGTTGACCCGGCAATTGGTCCAACCACCCCCAGGTCATCTCATCTCGGCATGGAGTTGAGGTAATTAGAGTAGGAATGAGGGTACGAATGAGAGTACGAATACTTAAAATGATATCATATCATCCCGATCCGGGGTTTATCTCCGGGTCCAGGGCATATCAAGGCCGGTGTGGTCGATGCAATGGATGGCAGTAATTGCTTCGTTTATGTCTCCCGGCTTTCATGTGAATGCATCAATGTCTCAATGTCCAGTCTGCACTGAGATTTGATCATATAAATATAATACAGCATATAATACAGCATTATGCATACATGCAGGTACAATTCTTGGTCTCACCTCTTTTACCCCAGCATAATTAATACGAATAATGCCCTGGCCCTGCATGGATGGCCATAGCCTACAGGCCCATAGCTCTTGGAGTGCGTGCGTGCTTGGGACAGTCAACCCTGAAAACCTGACTCTCTTTTGCCTTGTTGTTGAGACAGAATCACCTTGATAGTACGGAAGAACAGCATCTCAAAATCTAGCACGATGTCGGTTGACTGGACTCGTTCGGCAGACGATATGCACGCCATGCATGCGAGGTCCGGGGGCCACTATGATGGATGAGATTGGGCAGAGTCCGAGAAGGATTCAGCTTAATCACGTGCTGTCGTCTGACAGGCAGCAAAGGCACGAAATCAGAGAGAGGGGTCTGAATCTGAGAGCCTGACTCTTGACCGCCGGTTCTGAGTCCTGAGTCCTGACGATTTGGACGATTTGGACGATTCTGGTGATCCGACGTGCTTTGCCTCGTTGCTCTACACTTGCCCGTCCCAATCTTACGGTTGCCAAGAACCATAAATCCCGACTCAAACCACATGCATCCATGGACTCTTTCAAACGCTTATTCCGCAAGAAAGTGAACAGCGACTGCCGGTGCTGCCAGGGCCTTCTAGGACCAGGAGTATGGATTTCCGCAACGGACCTCATCCAGGGCTCGCAAGCCGGTTGCCCGGCATGTCAACTGCTGTACCAATCAATCAACCTTTCGGACCTGTGTGATCCCAGAATCGAGCTCGTGTCTGTCCATGCCTTTGGCGACTCGTCGGTCCTCCAGACGTTCGACCCGAAATCTGAGGGCATGTCCCGCCAGCTGTACACCCAAGAAGGTAAAGACTCTGCTTGGACTGTTCTGCTTCTCGAACATTGAAGGAAACCAAAGACGACGCCTTTGCATCACATCCACTCACAGAGAACAAATAAATCATCAGGTTTCCACAAAGGACGTTGGGCTGCCGACCCTTCGCGGCCCTCTCATGCCCCCGATCGTCCGTATCCTCCGGTGGAGCGCTCGGTGGAACTATTCAGCCTGGAAGGTGAGTTCAAGTTTCCACTCGGAAAAGTACCGCGCAAAGGGAGGATGCCAGCATCTCATCTGGCTTGGTCTCACAGCCACCGTCCATCCAGAGGAACCCCCAGCAGCTTGCACGACTAACGCCAAATACAGGAAACACCTCGCACTGGCCTGTGGTTCGCGCCGCGAGACACGTAGCCGCCGTCGCCGATGCCCCTGAATGTCTCGATCTCATCAGAACCTGGGTCTCGGACTGCGAGAAGAAGCATCGAAGCTGTAGGAAGAAGAAAACCCCAAAGACCCTCCCGGATCGAGTGATCTTGATCAGACCAGGGAATGATCCCCAGCTTGTCGACTCCCAGGGTCTTCCCGGAAGATACATCGCCCTCAGTCATCGCTGGGGCGGAAATGTGTCGCTGCAGTTAACGAAAGACAAGCTCGAAGACTTCAAGCGCGGCATTCCCTTCTCGTCCTTTCCGAAGACCTTTCAAGACGCCATCCACATCTGCCGCGCTCTGGAGGTTGACTACATCTGGATCGACTCGATTTGCATCATCCAAGACTCGAAAGAGGATTGGGATGTCCAGGGGTCCAAGATGGACCAGGTATACGCCAACTGCTTGCTCACTCTCGCGGCAGACGCTGCGGAAAATGGGGGAGCGGGATTCATCACAGGGACCGAAAGACAAGACCTGAGCGGGAAGACGCGGAAACTCATCTACCACGGGCCCCAGGGCGAGGAAGGCGAGCTCTTCGTCAGGCCCCTGCGAGAGTTTGGAAGCATGGGAGGATTCGGACGACACTATCAGGGCTGGGCGCCCCAGCCCCAGCCCGAAGCCGAAACCTCAAGCTCCCAGCCGTCAAAACACCAGTTGGTAGAGCAGGGTAGTTACCTCCTCCGACGCGGCTGGGTACTCCAGGAAACCCTCCTTCCTCGGCGAATGTTGCACTTCCTCCCCAACGAAGTCAGCTGGCGGTGCGCCTCGGCTTCCCTGTGCGAGTGCCAGCTCCGACCGCACGGCAACGTCGCGCACGCCCCTCTGGACCTGGAGCAGCCACGCGAGATCGACACGGAGGACCTCAAGGAATTTTGGAAGGAGGTCGTGGAGCAGTACACGCGGCGCCAACTCACGTTCCCCTCCGACAGACTGGCCGCCCTGGCGGGCATGGCTAGCCGTGCGCAGTCGGTTGCGCCGGACGCCCACTACTGCGCCGGGCTATGGTCGGACGCCCTGCCGTCCACGCTTCTCTGGACGGTTGACCGGCCCGTCCAACTTGACAAGAACGCCGAGGAACCCGCCAGTCGTCGCATCGACCCCGCTATCGCCCCGTCGTGGTCCTGGGCTAGCGTTACGGGCTATGTGCTCTTTCTGTTCTGGAAACGCAACTACGACCGTGGACGCTGGGCCAAGAGTGCCCCTGACCTGACGGACATTCAGGTCCAGTGCACGCCTACGGGGCAGAACAGGTACGGTAGCGTGAATGTCGCCGACGCCAAGTTGACGGCGCTCGGATACCTCTGCAAGGTGCGGCTCTGGTTGACGGGAGGGTCTAAGTGGCATTTTCCCTTCCGAATGGAGGGGGGGACACCCGGCGGCACGTTGGGCCGGACGGGAGGCTACTTGTATCCCGACACGGACGAGTTCCTCGAGAGTCTACAAGCGAGCGGCAAGCAGGGCATGTCGATGACGGTGGTTAGCGTCTACGGGTCTCGGATGTTCCTGGTGCTCAGACCGGTTGGGGAGGAGGAGGAGCTGGTCTTTGAGAGGATAGGGGTTCTCTATTGTGAGGAGAAAGATGCGGTGGGTCTTTCGGAATGGGGGCGCAGAGACCGATTTACACTCGTTTGACCATCTAAAGAGTGAACTGGGAGCCGTATCCCGCTAGAAATATATCGAGATCAAATTCCTTGCCACTTGTTTGAGACTAAATCATCCTGCTTTGGTAGCTCATGGCTACATGTAAGTTCAGGACGTCCTTATTCTGTTGTTGGGAAATGGCTGGGTCTACCCCTTAAATGTCAAAGGCTACTCGCTTGATTCCTGGCCGAGGGCCCCGGTATCTCTTCGCGCCACCATAGAAGGCATACATGGAATCGTCGTCTTCGAAATTTGGCTCGTCCTTTGCGTTGGAGAAGAAGATCTATCCGTCATACCGGACGTGTCAGTGAGATTATCAATGCAAGCACGAAAGATGAAAGCGGCGGGCGGGAAGAACGAGAGACGGACATAGCGAATGGCGGAGAAGGCCATTACGGTGGCTGAAAGTGCGGCAAGGAGCAGCAGAAAGTAGTTGAAGAGGTTCTGCGCGGGTAGTAGTTGCAGCATCTTTGAATCGGATATCTTTGGTTTCCTTTTTGCTTATATATCGCTTGGTTCAATGTTTGGTTCCTCTCCTGACAGCGTTGACTGATGAAGCTGTTGTAAGTGGGTATGAGTTTCGACGATTATCCGGGGGCGTAACAACTCAGGGTAGGACGAGCGATCGAATATAAAGGACTTCGTGATCCGCGGAAGTCTAGTGCTGCCACTTCGAAGGACCCTACTTGAAGCAGGGCAGGATATCTGATGTGCAAGCCTTTCGTCACAACTTTCAACGTGAATGTTATGTTTCACTCGTCTTCAAGACAGCAGGTGGTGTCAGTTGAACAATCTTGTCCTCGATGAAAACGTTGGAATGTTGGGTTATAATTCTGTGATGATTCAATGCCTGCCATCTTGGACACTTCTGGTCTGCCACCTGAGGATATCGGGTCCTTTTCTAGATCATGGCGGAACAAAGCACAAGCGTATACGCAACACCCAGATCTCCCCACCTGACCCCAGAAGGGCCATGTCAAGCTTACCCGATAATCGGGAACCCCGCCTGCGGGGTGGGATTCGGGAGAGGAGGACAAGAAATAAGCAGCCACCAAAAGGGAGATGGTAAAGAGGGGCTGCATGCTGCGGACGATGGGGCAGTCTATTCGTCTGCCGTCCGGATTCCGGGGGGATTCGCATTGTACTTCCACTTCCCCCGCCGTACTGGGACGGATTCGAACACATTGTAGAGGAAAGCATCCATGGAATCAGTCCGGTGTCTTTGTGTGATGCAGACGGTGGCTTGTCTTGGCCAATCATGGGATCTTCCGTCCTCCAGAGCAAGACAAAGGGGCGGGGAAAGGAAAGGATCAACTTACCAAGATCCAAAAGTATAAGACCAAGGGAAAGGTAGAGGGTAATATGTGCAGATATATAGAGTTACAGGAGGATGGGGGGAAGAGCCGACTGGTCAACACGGTGGGAGGAAGAATCTAGTGACTAAGACAAATGTTGAGTCGCTTTTAAAACTTGATACGGACCACAGGGTGTCTGACTTGCTATGTATGATGCGTCTTGGCAAGGAATCAAAGCAGGATGATGGGTCTGACAAAAAGCAAAGTGTCGAGCCTATCAGACCATGTGCAGAAAGACAGTTGCACATTCAGTATGGATGGGGTTGAACGGCGTCTGACCTAGCTGGGCTACCGTGACATTCGAAGCATCTCAGGGGCACTGAACGAGCTGAGGGTGTCAATGACCCATATCCCAACGTCACGGAACGTCTCAGATGCATTCTTCCCCATAGAATCATCTAAACGATCATAACGATGTTTGCCAGACGTTCGGCACCTGCATCCTCTTCTACGACTATCCGCCAATAGTGGGAAAAGGGTCAGCCCCTGACGGTGGGAACGGAGGTAGGTCAACTTCAACAATTAAAAAGCCTCTGGTCACATCGTTTGCATCAAGTAGCTTTGCACAGAACGGATATACGCAAGAGTTAACACACCCAAAGTGATTATCTTCAGCCCGTCAATCTATCAATGTTCACGTGCAAGTTTACGTCCGCAAGGCCAGCATCGGCGAATCCAATCTCTTCGAATTCCAACAAACCGCTATCCTCCCCCGTAAGGAAGGCGAAGAGTCCTGGAACAACTCTGCTCACATGCACTCTTCATCTCTCAAGTCAAACCGAAGGGCTTCCATCTCCTCCAGTGATATCATATCATCAGGACTCCACCACTTCGGAACATAAGCCGGCGAACGGGGCTGGGGACACATGGAACGCCGAGCCCTGGAGGGTCTGTGTTGTAATACACCTGTACAGGTCGTATGGAGCAACGATATACTGCTCCTTCGGCACCACCGTCTTGTCGGAGCTGTCCGAGGCCACAGAATTGCTCCGGCTCCGACCCGCCATTTGAAGAGTATCGCTCCGGTTCCAACCCGTCCTTCGAGGACCGTGGCCCTGGCTCGGCATCTGGTGTTGGTGGCTGGAAGACGCTTCGGACCCGGATTTGATGTCTTCAACGTCTACTGGATCGTGAGTCTCCTATCCCTTCCGCCAGCCAAACCGTGCGGGCTGTCGTGTCAGGCACTACCCAAAGTCAGAAGGTATGGTCTGGGGCGCGGCCGGAGCGCATATGTATGATGTAGCTTCAATGCATGTTCTTACCGTCCCGTTAAGATCTCGGAATTGTTCTTTGTCGTCATCGTCTTGCCCCTCGTCCTTTTCTTCGTCCTCGCTTCCTGCTTCTGGGCAACCTTGGAATCTTGCCGACTCATCGATCCCCGATGGGCCAGCTTCTTCTCCAGGTGCCGGTTCGAGCGACTGGAACACGGATTCTTCGGACATCACCGTCACTTGCATGAAGGAAAACGCGGCCCTCCTTCTATAAGTCTCCATGACTCGCGCTTCCTCGCGGGCGGTGATGCCTCCGTGAGGACTCCAGATGATGCCGTCTCTGTTGTTCTTCTCCCCGTCCTCGCCGTCAGGAAGAGGAGGGAAGATGGAGCCTTCTTTTTCTTTCCCCTTCCACTTTCCGTTCTCCTTTCGCTGCGATCGGACCTCCACGCAAGGGGAGAGAGGGGGCCCGATCGACCAGGGGTCGCCCGGGCCGCCGTCGTGGGCTTCAAGCTCTTCGTCCCGGTTGGAATAAACAGGAGCCAACGTAGGGGTTTCCTTCCCTTTCCCCTTCCACTTTTTCTTTTCCTCCGGCCTGTAGCTAGAATTCGAGGGAGGGGAGGGGGGGATCAGGTAGGAGGGTAGAGGGCGAGGAGGGGTCGGGGGATCACTCCGAAAATTCGAGAATAGGGTCATCGGCCTGTCGGTTACGGGGATTAGGGGCGACGGCAAGGGCTCGAAGTCGAGGTAGCTGAAGTCCTCGTCCTCGGCAAACAGAGGACCGATATCATGGGAGTCTTCAGGCTCTTCAGAGTCTTCTGGTTCTCCAGCCTGTCGGGCCTCTCCAGCCCGTCCATTTTCTCTGGAATTGCTGGAACGCGGGCTGCACTCGCCCCAGGAGGATGTAGCAAAGGATTCGTAACTATCCGCTGACCTGACCTCGTTTTCCGGACCCTCTTGATAGTTCGAGGAAGTCCAGACTGAATACACGATTCCAGGGGCCGAGTGCATCGAGTCGTAATCTTCGCTATCGTCTAGTGGGAACCGACGAGTTGCCGGCCTGACGCAGGGGATGCCGGGGGACACGTCCATGATCGGCGACTCTTTGGGGGCATAGTCGTAATTGGTGTTGACTGGGCTGCGGTTGACGGGGCTAAGGCTAATTGGGCTGTGGATAATTGGGTTGTGGTAGACTGGGCTGTGGTCGACTTGGCTGTGGTCGACTTGGTTATTCTGGCTCATCTCCCTCTCTGCCATGTCGCCTTGCTCCATGTTGTCTTGTTCCATGGTGCCTTGCTTCACGGTGCTCACAGTCAGAAACGGGTCTGCAAACACTGGGAGGATGCCTCAAGCTGATTTAAATACTGTCGTTTTCGTGCACTCGTTGCTGACAACGGCTGAATGACGTGCCTTAATAGTATTTCGTAGTAACCTTATACGATTCTCGCATGGTACTTAGGAGGACTATGAGGAGTTTAGACACAAAAAGGCGCAAAGAGGCGTCGACCGGTCACGGCCCGATGTCGTGTTTGTTGTAGCCATAGTTTAGAGTGATGATTATGAGGCTGTCCCGGGTCGGTCCATGTGGCTGGCTGTAGAGAGTACGGAGTATGACGAGGACAAAGACAAAGACGAGGACGATAGGTATCCGTCTAGAGATTCCAAGGACAAGCTCAGGACTCGAGCCTCTGAGTTCGGCTCCTCTCGTCTATTGACGCCGGACTTGAAGGGCGCCGCCAAGGAGGCAAGGCCTCGACCTGTTTCTAGCTATACGGGTATGCATCTTGCGTAGCTCAAGCCTCATTTCCATCAGAAACAAGGCTAACTTCTGGGTCACCCGCAACTCTTGGTCTCTTTATTCCTTCGGACATTTTGGACTCGGTGGGAAATGTGGTGTCTAATAGTTCGCACATTGATTGCCAAATGGATTCCAGATCGAGTGCATGAATAACGACGGAAGCCATTCATCCCAGTTTACGCCAGAGTGACAGCCACCAATGAACTGTCAATAAAGAGTTTGTGAGTATGTTGGGAATAAACACAAGGTACAGTTCGGAGATACGTTCAGGGGTAAGTTCAGGGGTAAGTTCAGGGGTAAGTTTAGGGGCAAAATTCAGGGGTAGCCATATCCGAGGGTCTACTATGTGAAAAACAGGTTCTTACCCGAGCCAATATAGAATAGGAGAAAGTAAATTTACACAAACAGAAGACGAGATATACCTGATCGGAGATCGTATAAGGGCAGCCACGGACAACGAATAAATAATGCATAAAGTTCAAGCAAAGTTCAAGCCCCAACTCGCCATCATGACCTTCACTCTGTGGACTATGTGGCTAGGCTTTTCGGTGCAGGATGAAAGGGCAAAACGAATACTCCGTCCGTACCGTCTGCCAAAGTCTCGGTTGAGAATTCGTGGAAAATACTGCTCTTCGTATACGTATATCCAGACACATGGAGAATAACGTACATGTAGGGAGTTGTTGTTTCGTTGATATGCGTGATGGACGTTTTAGTACGTATGGAAGGTCAAACACCTTGTTAATGACCAGGCACATGGTGAGGAGCTAACCTTCGCATAGTGAGTACATGCAAATGATACATGTATGCTTTTCGACGGGGTGAGCATGAGTGTCCGAATTACGACAAAAGAAGACAACTCGTATCAACCACTAACAGTCAAGATTAATTTGATACTAGGACACGATAAAGACACATGAAGTTACATAAACTTGTCGTTTCCGTTTCTCACTATCTGGAGTAGGTAGAAGCCAATTCATGTATAACGGCAAACATTCATGTTGTCAACGTATAGTCACCCTTGATCCTTCTCACAGATGCCGTAGGAACCCCCGTAAGACACCTTGATTCTAACCCCTTCAATAATCGTAGAGAGAGGCTTGCGCAAAGGAGAGGATGTGTGACTAACGGTATGTGACTACGACTGTTAACCGTATCCTCCTCTTTCCCAGGATATGGAGCCAGTTCATTTGTGGACAATGACCCTAACACCCTTGCTCTCCTTCCTAGGCATGGGCATGACAATATCCAGCACGAAATCGGCATCGCTGCGGTCCGTCTCGAACAGCTCGAGCTCGTGACGACGGAAGAGGGTGGCGAGGGCGACGTAGAGCTCCATGTACGCCAGGGGCATGCCTGCGCAGACGCGGGATCCGCGGCCAAAGGGGACGAGGTAGTTCGAAAGCGGGTGCAGGCCGGCGGGGCCCCTGGGGTCGCCGAGCCACCTCTCGGGCTTGAACTTCTGGGCTTCGGGGAACACGTTCTCGTTGGTGTGCATGTGGTAGGCGTCCATGCCGACGGGGATGCCGGGGGGGATGACCCAGTCGCCGTACTTCCATGCGTGGAGGCGGTTGACGCGGGGAATACGCTGGACTTGGCCGTAGGAGAGACGCAGACCTAGTGTATGTTTTGTTAGTTTCAAGTTGTCATTCTTTTTGTTTGTCCCGCCTTTTTTCCTCTTTTGTTTCCTTTCTTATACTCACTTTCGGCAACGACACCCGACAGGTACGGCAGCTTCTCCAGTTCAGCCCACGGGAGGATGTATGTCGAGTCAGGCATGGCTTCAGCCAGCTCGGCCTTGAGTCGGGCTTGGACGGCAGGCTGATCGAGGATGTGGAAGACGGCTACGGTCAGCGTCCACTTGGTAGTCTCCATACCAGCGCCGTTAAGGCTGACAGCTTCGTCCGTCAGTCGCTTCAGTGTCAGTTCCTGCGGGGGCAAGTTGGAAGCCAGAATGTCGTGGAAGATGGTGGGATGCTGAGCGTCCACACTCTTGGCATTTTTGCCCGACAGAATGTCTTTAATTTGTTGACGTGTATCCTATTCTTCTGCGTCAGGGGTCTTTGTCGCCGTCAAAACGAACATTGAATGCATGTGTTCTACAAATCAAAGTTGATTCTTTCGTAGCTCACATGCAGGAGGGAACATTGAACTCACTTCACGGAAGTCCAGGATGGGCTTGAACGGCGGCAACACGGTCCCAAGAATGCCATCCGGGATCCATCCCATGAGATCGACCAGAATCTTGAAGTGCGCATTCCAGTGTCCGGCCCAGATGATGGTCTGCATGCCGACAGAAAGAGGCGACTTGAATTCCGGAGCGTCCGAGCAGTTGACGGACCGACTGAAGGCCAACTCCGAGGTGACATCGATGGTCATACTGGACCACATGTCGCCCACGTTGAGGACGCGACCCGAGCCGGCGTATTCGGTCGCCAGGCGGTGCGAGATGCGGTCGGTCGTCTCGGAGATTCTGGGGTTCAGGCTGCGGATGCGCTGCTTGGAGAAAAAGGGGGCCAGTGCGGCGCGGCGCTCCCGGTGCAGCTCGGCATGGGTGGTGCTGAAGGTGGCATCGGGGATGCCGAACCGGTACTTGAACTTGCCCGACTTGTCCATGGGCTTGGACGGCGTGCTGGCGCCGTACACCTCGTTCCAGAACTCCGGATCGTCGATGTGCACCTCGTCCGGGTTCACGCGCACGATGGGCCCGTACTTGTCGTGCATCTCCTTCACCTTCCAAGTGAACTGGCCGCCGGTGCCTTTCGAGAAGAGATCGTACCAGACCTCATACCAGTGCGTTGCTGCTGCCAGTTTGGGGCCGGGGAACTTGGCAAGGGGGCTGAAGTAGAGGCGGTAGATGACCAGTCCGATGCCATACGCCAGGTAGGCAAGGGCGGCTATGCCAGCCCATGATGACCAACTTAGCTTGGCGAGGAGGCGGGCCTTCTCATGCGAGAGGACCTGCTCGACGAGGCCACCCATGGCGACTGCCGATGTCGATATGTTTCTTTCTTATGTGTTCGAATCTTACCAATAGAGAAGAGAAGTATGCGAGGACAGCTTAACTCAGTGCATGTGCCCAGTTAGACCGAAAAAGATGCGTTATATGAAAGCGAATGGCAGGTTACTTCTATCTTGTGAGACACGAGACAACTCCAGTCCTCGATACTTTGATCGGCTTTGACGAAGCGATTCAGGGGGGCGATTTGATGGGACCTTTTAGCACATAGAGAAAACACTGACAGCCCGCCATACCTCGTATACGGTAGAAGACATCAAGCTCCTAAAAATTCACGGCATGAGAATCAATTCCATGTCATGATCTATCATCTAGCTTCATACATGTAAGCAGGCATAACTTAGACGTCGGCCGAGACACAGGAAATGGTACCATTGAACGAACTCCTCAGTGCTAACTATACATGCCGTGTGTAGATGTGCTTCTTATTGCCACTTTAAGTAAGCAAATCGCGAGAAGTCCATGATGCAAGTAAGAAAGGCAGATAATCGTATCAAATTCGGCCATGTGAAGGGGCGTGGTGGATGACATGACAGAACGTCGAAAGAAGCATGCATGCAACATGATTATTTATTATCAGTTCAAGTTCGTTCTGACGCTGCTTAGGTCTTGGTCTCAAGATTTGGAAAGCCAAGCATCAGATACAGTCCAGTCAATGCAGAGAATAATCAAAGGGCTCAATTGTGGCGGCTACAGCCGACGGGGCCAGTTTAGGGGGGGATTTGGAAGATAACCGCGGGATCTAGAAGACGAGGAGGGCCCAGGGGGAGATAGCCCCCCTGCAACCCCACTCAAGTGGACATAGGCAATGTGCAATGTAAGCTCTACATGTCGCAGAGAGGGTCCAACAGTGCGTCTCGATGCTACCAAGGTGACAAGGTCCATCCAATACACCAGTAACCATAATCATACATCCCCCGCTCCTGATTGAGTTGAGTTGCTGCCCTGCATATCTTTCAAACGGTAAATTCATGTTTCGAGCGTAATATCGATACAGAGCGAGGCTTTGTCAGAAGACAAGGGACAACTGGACGTCGGCGTGGAGGGGGGAAGCGACTGTTGGACCGTTGGCGGTCCAGTTGGTGTTAATGAGTACGGTGCCCCTTGTCTGGGCGTTCCAACGTCCCAAGATCCTTGTCGACTAACGTCTCATTAAGCTAATCAAGACCAACTCGCCGTTCTAGAAGCGCGAGATCACATCAGCTTATAAATCATACAGTGATTAGAAACCCAATAGTCCGAGCAAACAGAACTGTCTTCATGTTGTCACGAGTCACGACAGCCTTCAACCGACTGGAGTAGAGGATCAATCAACCTACTTGAAGACGAGAAATCTTGATTCTTTGCCGCGTCCCCCCTTTCCCTTTCCCCCCCTTGTCTTCACCCTTCAAGCCACACCAATATACCTAGTACCGACTACCGAGTGAACAAAGGTGCAGAATCACTTTCCCGAAACAGGATCCCTTCACGTGCTCAATAATCAACATGACCACCACCGTTTTCATTACCGGCGTTGGAAGAGGTAAGAAAGAAGCCCAGCGGCCCCGGCAACGGAAGCCGACGGCAGTCACGGCACCCGCAGTCTCAATCCCAGGGGGTGTACCGTGTCCTGACCCCTGATCGACTTCTGATTCCTACTCTGCCCCTCCCCTCCCTCCCAAACTGACCTCAATGTTCGCATCTTCAGGCATTGGCAGGGGTCTGCTTGAGGCCTACCTCGCCCGTCCCAACCACACCGTCATCGGCTCGGTCCGGAACAGCGCCGACCCGAAATACGATGAACTCAAGGCCCTGCCCGCCGGCGAGGGCTCCAAGCTGATCCTGGTCAGCATCGAGAGCAGCTCCCTCACCGACCCCAAGAAGGCCGTCGAGGAGGTCCAGGCCGCCGGCGTCTCCGTCATCGACATCGTCATCGCGAACGCCGGCTACGCGCCCCCGACGGTACCCGCCGAGCAAGTCGAGATCAAGGACGTCGTCGAGGCGTTCAACGTCAACACCGTCGGTCCCATCGTCCTGTACCAGGCTGTTCGGCCTCTGCTGGAGAAGTCGGCCCAGCCCAAGTGGCTCTCCGTCTCCACTGCCGCTGCTTCGATAGATCGCCTTGACGCCTATAATGCGTCGTTTGTCGCTGCTTATGGTATTTCCAAGGCTGCGCAGAATTGGTTCACCGTGGGTGTGCATTCTGCGAACAAATCATTTATTGTTTTCGCCATCCACCCTGGGTAAGACGCCATGATCCCATGTGCTGTGTGACGTGTTGCTATGAGGTCAATGGCCATATTGACTGACAATGCGAAAACAGTTTGGTCCAGACTGAGATGGGCAACGCGGGTGCTCGCAGCCTGGGGTTGAAGGAAGCCCCTAATACCATCGAGGAGAGTGTTACCAAGACTATTGACTTTGTACGTTTCAAGCCAACCCTACATACTCTACCAAAGATGGATTACTGACACCGAAAACAGGTCGAGAAGTCTACCCGAGAGGAGACCTCTGGCAAGTTCTTTAACGTTATTGATGGGGCTGTCATCCCCTGGTAAGGAGCATCAAGGACATAGGTTAGAGCGCAGTAATGAAGATGGTTGATGGTAGTCACGAAAACATATGTTTCAATGGCAACAAGAACTGTAGATACCTTGAACTATTTCCTTGTTTATACCATATGCAGAAAACAGTACACTAGTTTCCCAAAGCCTCGCTTCAAGTCTAAAGAGGAGTATATAAGACCTGGGATTGACGTGATACGTGGTATGAGATGAGGCTTCTAAAGGATCAAATCCCCTAGATGCCACCATCTGGACATCCTCGTTCCGTATTATGCTTCGGTTTCAGAATACCTACTCCCGTATTTTGCTGACGCTCCATCATCACAAGTTTGAGGAAAGCTGAGGATGCATTAACCATGCATGTGATCTAGCTAGTTCTGCCTTGGTAACTGGAGGCATCTTTCAGGTTGCCCATATGAAGGGAACATGGCCTGGCTGGCTGACAATCCCATGGTCTTTGCTAATGCTTATATATATATATGTGGACTATAACGGAAACTGGTATACGGAATCGTATTGATATCGTGTACGTCTATAAACAAAACAGAAGACAATAAGACAGCGTGTCCCGTTCTACAAGACGGAAAACTCATACAACAAGTGATCAGTATATGATGTACAGTCTAATACGCACATGCACCGTCAATTACGCTCAGTATATCGCTCCGCCACCTCATGCAGTGATTCCAGTCCTGCAAAGACGGCCTTCAGCATCCGGAGCCCAAGCCTCGCTCCCCACGCCGGTCAGGCCATAGAAAACGTTGTTCGGGTCATACTTGGCCTTGACTTCCCTCAGCCTCTCATAGTTGTCTCCATGGTAGTCCTGGGCGGTAGCCTGCGCCCAGTTGGCCTCGTTGAGGTACGCACCAGCACCCGGGGTGGCCTCCTCGTACAGCGGCAGGAGCACGTCCATAAACTCGTCCTGCAGCTGGTGGGCCTCCTCCCAGGGCGCGTACCAGTCGAAGGCGGCCGGGATGATGAGGTTGAGGTAGGCGTGCTTGAAGTCCTCCTGCATGGCGTTCTCGGCGATGGGATCCGCCAGCCTGCCCTGGCCCTGCGAGTTGAGCGCCACGGCGGCGACGTAGAACCTCCCCTCCTCCACGGTGGCGCGCATGGCGTGGATGAGGGACGTGGCGTTGGCGGCGACGTTCTCCCCCGTGACGAAGCGGCCGCCGGTCACGGGCGTCAGGACACCCCCCGCAGCATGGGGCAGGATGGTCCGCGCGTAGAGCTCGTAGTAGCTGTGGCTCTCGTAGAGTCGGAATCCCAGCTGCTGCGGCGTGATGCCGTCGACGGCCATGCTGGAAAGGACGGGGCTGACGATGGTGGAGAGCTCGGAGCTCGTCACGTCGGGCGCGATCAGGGCGTAGAGGTCGGTGGTGTCGTTGGTGACCAGGAACTGGCCCACCATGCCGTGGTCGTCGACCATGGGGCGGAGCTCGGTGATCATCCGTTCGACGGTCTGCCAGTAGGTCTCCACGCCGCCGACCGAGTCGACGCTGAAGGTGAGCGACGCCATGGCGACCTGGCCGTCTGGGAAAACCCGCACCGTCATGGAGACCACGACGCCGTAGGTTCCGCCGCCGCCGCCGCTGAGCGCCCAGTACAGGTCCGAGTTTTGTTCAGGGGTGGCGATGAGGTGGTCGCCCAACGCCGTCACGACTTCCCATTCCAGGACGTTGTCGGCGCCGAAGCCGTAGAGGCCCGTCAGGAAGGAGTGGCCGCCGCCTTGGGTGTACCCTCCGGCGGGTCCGACCGTCGGGCACGAACCGCCAACCATCCGGTAGCCGTTTGCCGCTGCAAAGGAGCCCGCCTCGCCGCCGTTGACGCCTGCCCCGATTTTGAGGGCGGGGCCCTGGTAGTAGGCCGCGCTGTAGTCATGGATGATCTCCTTGTGGTTCAGGTTGCGGGTCCACAGGGCGAGGGCTCCTTTGCCGGTGCTCTTCCCGTAGAAGCTAGAAGTGAGAGTGCATGTGGTCAGCAGAGTCTGGTGTGGAATTTGCGAATGCAGCACAGACGTACTCATGACCGGAGTTCTTGATGACGAGCCGGACGTTGTTCTTCTGGGCAAAGTCCAGTCCCGCTTTAACATCGTCCACGCCGCTGACGTTAAGGGAGTAGCTAGCATAGTTGCCGAGGTCACAGGCCGTTGATCTGTCCGTGTGTGGCACGCAGGTCTGATTTTGGAACCAAGATGACAAAAATTCGCCTGGGCGAGGAGTCCTGTTTCTTCCGTCAGCGCTGCTTTTCGAGAATACCTAAAGGGGGGCAAAAGGGGGGTGGAGGGGGCTGGGTTGGCTCGTTGATTGGCGGCGACAGAGACAAAAACGGGGGAAATAGATAAAAAAGGAAAAGAAAGGGGGGGGAGGAGGACGAGACCAACATGACATATGCGGAAAGCCAGTTGTCAGCCACGTATTGACACTCTTCTGCAGAATAAGAGGGATCATGGCAAACGTGAGCAACGGGAACCGTCTGGATCAGCCTCCCTCCCACGGTGCCGTTCAGCGAGTTCCACGCCTCTGGTCCCGGCCATTTGGCGTCACCGGGGATAACTCTGCATCTGGACACACATTCCGTGGTGCTCCTCCGAATGGGGGTGGAAAGGCCCACGGCTGGGGTTGCAACGAGCCCGAGGGAGAGAAGGAGGGCGCTGACGCCAGCGATGGAGTACGGAGGCATATCGTTCCAATAGGTAAGACAAACTGAGAGAGGGGCCCGGCCTAGATATTGCGATTGTAACCCAAGGACGTAGCGACGTATGCAGGGGACACGTGGGCTTCAAACTTGCAAACTGTGGTTCTCGCCGTCACGTCTTGTCTTTATGTACGCTGATCATGGAACGGTCACTGGCTACAGACTGAGCAGTCTGGAAGACCAAGACCCCGATTCCAATACCTAGGCGACGTTGAGCCATCGGGGAAGGTTGAAAGGTATCACCCCTGGCATCCTTCGAGTATCGGAGTATGTCTGCTTAGTGCTTACTCGCTTGCGGGCCGGAACTTGGACGGGCAAAAGGCATAGATAGAAACACCGCACACCAGGGCCTAGAAAGGAGACATCGAGCCATGTGGCGAAAGTACTCGTTCCTGTGTGCCTGTTTTTCGGGTAGTAAGGCTATTGCTCCGGGCCCCGAAAGGATTGAGCCGATTGACTCCCTAGTGACAGTTCAGCTGTGGGGCTTTTGGGAGTGATGACTTTGGATGAGGCGTAGTTAGGGCCCTGGAGGTTCTGGTCCTCTGGATGTCTTCCGAAGCTCTGGGCATGCAGCAAGAGGATGGCGACCGGTGATGATATGGCCTCTCGCAGCGTCGCAGTTCTGGGCTGCTTATGACTACAACTTGTGGACCCGTGGTAGGTACGTTGTACACTAATACCACTCTACATATAACGTAGGCAATGGTCTTCGTCGAAGACGTCAAGGCAAGTCTTCCGACTATGCAAGCAATAATTTAGGAACGGCACGAAATAGTCCCGCCTCTCGCCAAAAGAAAGGGACGCCAGAGCCTAACTTTGTGATGGGTCGTCAACAATTCGTCCCGATAACCTCTATGAGGCCCACGACATGTTGCTCAGGGTTCCTTGTCTAACTATCCGATCTGCCGGGGCATGACGGAGATCTGTGGTCCCTATGCCTTGCGCTAAATCGGGGCAGAAAACACAACAACTCCCGGTATCCCTGCCCGGGCTGTGGGCCGCGCGTCACGCGTGGGGTTAGCAGAAAGAGAGCCGAGGATGATGAGGTGTTGGTGTTAGACGACGGAGTTTAGAAATTCAATATCTAGGGTCTAGGTATGTGATTGAGTCCCCTGGAGGGACTCGGGAGTATGTATATGCTTCATGCTCTCCCTTTACTACTGCTTGGAGAGCCCTGAATTCCACCCAAGACACTCTGTTCTGTGTTATTTGATAGTACAATGTAGCTATATTGCGTCGTAATGCTCGCCAGCCTCAGCGGGGCAATGTACTCCCGAGTGGGGTTGGGGTCAGCCGGTTGCGGGATCAGCCGGCCGAGCGCCGGCCAAGGCGGCCCGCATGAAGCGGAACTTCGGAACAACGGAACCCACCGGTAACTCCACAACCCGTTGGCATTACAAACGGAAATCCAATCCTCGGTTCGGGTCAATAGCTTAGAGCTAGCTTGGAGGAAAAAAACAAACGCCAAACAAAAGCCCAACTTTTGTATTTCCAACGTTCGCTGTTCTGAGTTACTGGAACTTCTTTATTCGGGTGACGGGTAACGGCTGGGGTAACGGGTCCTGGTTTCCTCCCTCCCTCTCTTTACCAGGGACGGAGAAGGCGACCCTACATAGGACGACTAATATCCGAGTATATCCGAACTTGTATCCGAACTTCCGTTCTCTTCTCCCGTAGGCATCGGAGAAAACCCGCGATACTGCTTAGATATCAACGACGAGGGAATTCCGAATGTCCCGCCCCCTGTTCGATCTCCCGTCGTGGCTTGCCCAGACTAGGACTGTGAGTGGCCAAGATCAAAATTAAAGCGGGATTGAAGATCTGGGATCGTATGTCGCACTGAAAACACGTGAGACTGTTTTCTGTGTTCCTATTGGCTGTTACCAGCCCCCAATCCTCCCGTCAAACGTGACAGATGTATTTAGAACCCCCATACCTTCCTGTTTTTCCTTTCTTTGGTTGTATTGAATACAATCATCCATCCATTAAGTCAACGCTCCGGCCGGATCACATGCCCGTCAATTCAACAGTAAAGCCCATGCTTCCTATGCCGTCTCTCCAGATTCGCGATATTCTGAATAAGGCAGTTCGCATGTACGTGTTCCGCAGTGCACGTTTCGGGTGGGGGAAACCGTGCTAGTTTAAAACGAGCCGATAACCATCGCCCTTCGTAGGATCGTATCTGCGCTATGCGCCGCCATCCAATATCGCAGAGAACGCCACCAACGGCCGAATACTACGCCTTTCCTCCCCCCCCCCCCTTCGGGTGGGCAAGCCGCATTGGAACCCTTACTTTCTTTCCCAGACGATCTACAACCAGGCCCCCGCCACCATCGGTCAAGCTTCTGCAGCAGGCAGGGTCAAAGCCCTGTTGTTTAACGAATGGTTGGCGATCAGGCGTTAATACGTTATCAACTCCAGCAGGGGGAAATCCTCGTCGGAAAGGGGAAGGGGGGAGAAAGGGAGAAAAGGAGGGGAGAAAGGGTCTAGTTGCTAAACAGGCCGATAGGCCGATCCTCTCCGGACCCCTGACCGTCTTGACCCTGTGCGCTAGGTAGAATTTGGAAGGAGTAGCGATTAAAACCATCCGTGCTATGTATTCGGGGCTGCCCGCAGAGCACCGGTCTTCCGCCCCCCCTGTCAAGTCTTCCGGGTCTTCTTAAACCCTTTCTGGATTAAATAACAAAATTGGGTGGGGATGTAGTGGATAATTTATTCCAGAAAGGGTTTGAGAAGAGCCAGAAGACCAAACAGGGGATTGCGGAAGACCGTGACTCCTGCCCGCGGTGCGGCGGCGGTATCTGTATATAATTTAGTGCGCGTGTGGCTCGGCTCCTGCCTCCGATGTGGCTCCTGGCCAGTGGCCTAGACGGCAGAAGGAGGATTCAACCGCTGTCGAATCTGTCGATCCCAATAATCTAGGGCAGACCCAGGCGCCCTTGGCCTGCGTGCCGCCACTGCAGCGTGCCAGCGTCCTCCCGGACAGATAGAGCACTGGAGGAAACGTAGGACGGTAGGAGGGAAGACATGCCTGCAACTAATTTTTTTTTTTTTCAATCTGTCTCCCGTGAGGAAATGGGTCTTTATCTCTCTCATGACGGAAACGGATAACAAAACAGGAGAGAAAATAAATAAAAATGGGGGGCGGGAAGCGTCAAGCATCTCGCAGTCTCGCGGCTCGCCCGCCCAGCGCCTACATCATACATGTACTGATTTGGATGCATGTGCACAGCAACCACACCACGTTGACTTGGAGTCCATAATGGAATCGATGCATGTATCAATGCTTATCGCTTGATCCTAGTCGGAATGACGACTCCGTGACAATCCGAGAGACCGTTCCTCTTTAAACATGGATGGCCTACCGTGGAAGGCTTGGATGAAGTTGGATCAGCGACAGCCGACAGCCCCCACCGCGCCGCGCACACCGTACACGCCATGTGTTTCTGACAGACTGACCCAGTAATTCTCGTGCTTGCTTCATGTTGCTTCGACTATTATGACATTCCATGCAATCGATAGCATATGAGTGACAATGTTTACCGAAGATTCGGTCAGCGCCATCATTGAAACCCAGCCACCTACGGTCTCAGCTCGCCGTAGGTTGCAGAATCGAGAGGCGCAGCGCAGGTTCAGAGGTGAGTTTGGCTTGGACGATCGGTCCCGGGATGATGCATCTGCCCGTGTATCTGCCGTGTTCAGAATTCTCGTGCTCTCTTCTGGATGCCCCAGCCGTTAACCATGATATTGATTTCTTTAGAGAGGAAAGCCGGGAAGAAGAAGACTGAAGGGGAGTGTGTCGCGACCGCGGCCGGGTTTTTGCTGCCAGCACAATGGGATCGGGGAGATGGCGACCAATATGTAGTGGACACCGCCGACTACTTCAGCATCGACGACCTAGAATCTTTCATGAACGAGAATTCCCGCCATGACGCCATTCCGAGCTCTCACAGCCACCAGCTCTCCACCTCATCGACAACCGAGTCGATGTCATTCCTCATGCCGGAAACGTGCTCGGAGGACCAGCACATGGGATACGGGGAAACAATACCATCGTACTTGCCCAGTCACCAACCGACATCTTCCCAAATCACCCCCCGTGCCACCGCCGTACCGGGACTGCCTTCGAGCTCGGCCATCACCCCGCCGTGTTGGAGCGACCAGCCCTCCGCCTCCCAGTTTTCCCGACACACAACCCCGGGCAGCGCCGGGGACTTGTCCAGCATGGGGTCCGGGTGGGAAACCGGTCTATCGGGAAGCTCCGACCCGGACAGCAGACCAGGAAGCGGCCGAAATCCACCCTCATCTCTACACGGCGGAGTCGGGTCATACAGCACCCAGGGGAGGTTGGGAAGTAGCGGAAGCGGTAGCGGAAGCGGTAGCGGCAGCAGCAGCAGCAGCGTCAGCAGCGTCAGCAGCGTCAGCATCAGCAGCAGTAACAGTAGTGTGACGAGCTACCCGGCATCGGGGGCTTCGTGGGCAGGAATGGAGCCGTCTGCGTTGCCGCCGGTCTTGCACGTTGCGGTGCGAGGGCGGAACCGCAGCGTGGTGGCCACGCTCCTGAAGCACTGCTGTTCTATGATCAACGCGCACGACGAGCGAGGGTGTACGGCGCTCCACATTGCTGCTGGCTTGGGCGACGAAGCCTTGGTCTCGTTGCTGCTCAAGTACGGGGCCGACGTCAACTTGTGTGATGGCCAGGGTCAGAATGCTCTCTATCTCGCCGTGTCGGCCGGACATAACGAGGTTGTGGAGTTGCTGATGCGCGAGATGTGCATTCCGAAATGACCGTTGCCGGCTGGGTAGATTCCAGCCATGGCTTGCTTAGACCGTAGACGGGAGAGATGGGGGGAGTTTCCTTTGCTTTGCCGGCTGGGAGTTTGATATTGAAGGGCTCAACTTCAGTGGCAGGAGAAGGGTCTTCCACGTACATATATAGTTGAGCCCACAGAAGCGGCCAGGAGAATGAACTTGAATATATTGCACTGCATGTGTGCAACGTGAGAAATCATGAAATGTCTCGGCTTCAAATCGCAACCTAACCGTGCCCTTCGGCTGCCCGACCACCCAGAGACCAGCGTCAGTCACATGCATCGCATCGTTGGACCGTTGGAGTGAAGTTCATTTAAAGACCGTAGCTACATATCCCCCATGGCTGCCTGCGTCTTCCCCGGGACACTATGACAAATAGACAAGAGCGCAGTGCGACATGACCTCGCCAACTCCCCGGATGCAGACCTTTATTCGACAAATTAGAACCAACAGTCGGCGTGAATGCCTGCAGTGACCCGTGAGACCCGAGAGACCCATGACGGCATGCATGTCCATCGTTTTGGCATTTGTCCAGGCAATACGTTATACAACAAACAGCTAAACGTGTATTTATAATCAGTCAGGCGCTTACAGGCAACAGGTCTGAACGACGCCACATGATGCAATTTCCAATTGGAGATTATGAACTGCGTTGGTTTGATTTGTAAAAGATGGTCAGGAAGCGTATAGCGGAGTCGCCTGTCGCATTTTCAGGCGGTGATGCTCCGCGGCGTCCTCGGTCGACCCAGCCCCTATCCAGAACGATACGACCACTGACCTGACCCTCGCAACGAGAAACAGAATGGGGTACTCGTAGTACTCGTAATCAACAGCATCGGAAATTTGAATCTCCATGTCCCTATACGACGATGCATGTGCCTACAACTCACATACCGTACATGTGTATGCGAACAACGAGTCGTTGCAACTTGCGCTCTGGAATCGCGGGCGTCCCTGGCCAAGCTCCCAAAGAGCCAGCCCTCACATCAAGCAAGCTTACATGGCCATAATGTATCGTTGTTGAGTATAATCTCTGCTTCACCGTCAGCCTCTGGTATGATCTCGTGGACACAATGTATGATTATGCCACTAGAAATAGAAGCATGGTCAGCATGTGTCTCATCGTAATGCGTTTATGTTAGGTCCATGTCCCCATTTGCCTGTTCGTACGAGGGCGTGCTAACACCGCTTGATACGGTAAACGCATAGGAGCGCACATCATGCATATAATAGCTGAGATACAAACAGCGCAGAATATAGCATAGCACATCACGCATAGAATCGTCAAAGCCCAGTGCTCCCCTCTCCGAACGGCCAGCTTATTCGCTGTGCTTGGTCGGCCCGACTGTGGACTTGGGTACCTACGGTGTTTGATGTGGATGGAATGGTGCATGTGCCCGAGAGAGATGGTTGTGGTAGGATGCAACATCGTGAATGCGACCCTTTTCTGGACATGTTCAGGTAGTCTGTGAGAGGCTTATGCACGTCCTGGAGAGACAAAGGGTCTGGCCCGATGCAAATGCTTGCTCGGTCCCAAACCTGTAGGACCAAGTCGAGCCGTCGTTGAGGTAGCACCAGGTAGGCTGTAGCGCCCCAGGGGCCCTGGGCCAGGGCCCAGACATGGACTCGACAGGCAGAACGGGTGAGGGACAGGTTAGATGACAGGGAGTGGGAGCGGAATTACCGCAAGAGCAAGACATAAGAACAGACAAGACTGTGCACAATCTACATGTATCAACGCTGGACTGTTGGGGGGCACGATTATGGAGGGCGACGCCGCAACAGCGCGTCAAAACAGTTGAGGGCACGGTGCTAAGAAGACTGGAAATTCGAATTGTTCAAACCGGCCCGTTCAAGTCAAGCCAACATGAAGCCTAATCTCATATACGGTATACCCAACTAAGATGGAAAAACTCCAATTCCCCTATTCACGCGTCTACATCTTTCTCCTCCATCACTCTCCCAATATCTTGCGAAGAAAAGCAGCTTGAGCACCCAACACCTTCACCGAATCCTGCCCACTCAACACATTCATATGCCCCTTATTCGGAACCGAAAGCATCTCCTTCGGCTCCTTGAAAACGTCATACACCAGCGTCTTCTGCAAGTCTGCCGGCGAAACCAGGTCCTCCTCACCCGTGACCACCATAACTGGGGTGGGGGACACGAACGGCATGAGCCCAAAGGGCTGGAAGGCAGCAATGTGGTAGTACGTGCTCAGCGTCGTCTCGGGCCTGAAGGTAGGCTCGACCTCCGCCGCGCGCATAATAATCGTATACACATCCTCGACGTCGAACCCCGTGCCGAACCCGGCCGGGTGGTCCCCAGACTCGGTCAGCATGGGGAGGTAGACCGCGTTGTTGCCCGCCATGCGGCTCTCGCGGTCGCGCATCGACTTGGCCAGCACCTGCTTCCACTTGGTGAACTCCCAGACGGTCAGGGGCGAGACGGCCACCACGGCCTTGGCCCGCTTGTCCAGGGCCGCGGCGCAGAGCGCCACCATGGCGCTGAAGGAGTAGCCCCAGAAGGCGATCCGCGCCGGGTCGACCGTGGGCTGTCCCTTGAGGAAGGTCAGGGCGTCGTGGTAGTCCTCGACGTTCTTGGAGGGATGGGCCTCGTTCCGCGGCATGCCGTCGCTGCCGCCGATGGACCTGGGGTCGTAGCTGAGGACGGTGAAGCCTTCGCTGTGGAAGTATTCGGCTACTTCAGAGATGATCATCTCTTTGACATTGTTGAACTATTTCTTTGCGTTAGCTTGACCATTCCCATGATAGGGCCTGCCCCAATCCCAATGCTTCAGGTCGAGTACGTACGCCAGGGGTCATGATGATGGCTGCGCCGCGTTTCTCGGCTGGGAAAAGCCAGCCCCTGAGTGTGAGACCATCAAGTGTCTTGAACTCAACATCTTGACGCAGAATCGGTGCCATGACGGCTGTGTGGATAAGCAAACAGTTGAGAGTACACCAAGTAAACCGTGATGTTGTGGAAAGAGCAGGCTATAGACTGGACTCAGTTGACGACTGAAGCAAGAAGCAAGAAGCAAGAAGCAAGACACAGCTCCTTTCCTTTTAGAAATGAAGTGAAAGGTCGAGCTTGTATTGAAGTGAAGATCTAGTCAAGATTCTCAGTCAATCTATCAGGTTCATACACATTATCCAAGGCATCAATGATCCGTCCGGGGTGCTCAATAGTCGTCTGTTGCTTGCCACGAGAAGCCAAAGTTGCACCGAGATTCACTCCGGCAGACAGTTGAAAAGTCGCACAAACGACAACCTATTCTGCTGTTCTCTTACCTACATGTAAGATAACATAAACCTCTCAGTGCAAGTAAGCCAAAGGCGAAAGCAAAAACACCCAGAGCACGCAAGCAGCGACCTCACACCTGTGCCTAAGCCTCAGTCAGGGGCTGACTGGCATAGCTCCGACCGCCTCCGAGCCACACAGCTGCACATCGCGGAGATCCGAGCTCAGAATCTCAAACGCCTCGGCACGACGAGCGGTCCCTGCATGTGCGTAAAAGGGGAAGTCCATCTCAGAAGCAAATCCATCTAGAACAAACATGAACCGTATCAGTAAGGCTGGCCTGTCGCATTGGTGGGTGGGTGTGATAGATCGATTCGTCTATCGATCATGCATCTGCAAGTAAGCAAATCGATCTCGGTCTCACCCGCCAAGTGCATCGCCCCGTGCCGCTGGAACCCTGCAGCTAATCCTGCGTCTCAGTAATCTGTGACCAAAGGTCCAGAGCCCAGCACCAGAGTCCAGAGCAACTGAGAACCAACTCCTTATCGGTTCTATCTCTCGAGTCTTGACATAATCGTTGCCGTCGAGGACGACAACCCGCGCCGCACTGTCGCTAAGTCTTACTTGCGTCCCTTACTCTGGCCAAGGCAAAGCAATCGACCAAGCCGGCTTGATTCAGATCGCGACCGCGATGGCTCTAGGCAGGACTCAGGAGCTGCCTCAAGGTCTGGTAAGCTCAAACCGAGATACCGTGGTCTTTTGGACAACGACAAGTCGCGTCGTAGATCATAAGAACAAGCTCCTGGCTGCGAATAACTGTTGTAGATGTGTTTAACTCGTCGACGGCAAGGGATCAACAAGTAAAGGAGATAGTTGAGACTTTGAAAGCTCCATGTCTTTAACAGAACAAACCATTTGACCGAATCGAACCGGCCCGCTGCTGCTGCTGCTGCTGCTGCTGCTGCTCCTTTACCTTTTCACGCTCCCATCTCTCCTCCTCCCTTCACTTCTTCTCACCTTAGAAACTTTGTACATCACAAGACTTACACTGAGAGAGAATCACCGCAGAAAAGATGCATGTGATCAGCACTCCGACAAGCGATTCGACTCCCGTCGAGTCGGAGGTCACGAGCAAATGCTCCAGTGACGATGGCATCTCCAGCCCGCCGGAGATCTCCGGCCTCAGGGCATCCGCCTCTCCCGGACACCGCCAGCAGGTCCCCATCGCCGTCGTCGGCATCGCCTGCCGCCTGCCCGGCCACGGCAACTCGCCCACGGCGCTCTGGGAGTTCCTCCAGAAGGGAGGCATCGCCAAAAACGAGCCCCCTCCGTCCCGCTTCGGCCTCGAAGGCCACTACGACAAGACGAGGCGGCCGCGGACCATGAAGTCCCCCGGCGGGATGTTCATGGAGGACGTCGACGCCGAGGTCTTCGACGGCCAGTTCTTCAACATCAGCCGTGCTGACTGTATCGCCATGGACCCCCAGCAACGGCAGCTGCTGGAGGTGACCTACGAGTGTCTCGAGAATGCCGGCATTCCCCTCGAGTCGCTGAGTGGCACCAAGACTGGTGTCATTGCTGGCACGAACTTCATAGGTGAGTTGTCCATCCTGTGTTGGCACGTGCAATGGAAACCTTTGGGATCCCTCACGCAGACATCCTCCACGTATTATCCACAGCTGTTTAGGTTAGCATGGTCGTCATCAGAAAGCTCAACTGACAGATATTTTCATCAAGACTACGCTGCCATTCAGAACCGTGATCCCGAGGACAGAGCCGACTCCATCACCATCGGTCTGGCTTCGTCAATCCTGAGTAATCGCGTCAGCCATTTCCTCAACGTGAACGGTCCAAGGTGCGTCGCTTGAGCTTCTTGAACGTCAACAAACGTGGAAGAACCCGCTTGCTAACACCAGAGTTAGCATGACCATCGACACGGCCTGCTCGGCCAGTCTAGTCTCCGTAGACGTAGCCTGCCGCTACCTGGACGCCTTCCAAGCCGACGCCATGATCGTCGGGGGAGCCAACATGTGGATCACCCCGGAACACAACGAGGAGGTCGGCATGATGAACATGACCCAGTCCGCCTCGGGCAAGTGCCACAGCTTCGACGCCAAGGCCGACGGCTACGTCAAGGCCGAGGGCATCAACGCCGTCTTCCTCAAGCGCCTCGACGACGCCCTGCGCGACGGCGACCCCATCCGCGCCGTCATCCGCGGAACCGCCGCGAACGCCTCCGGCCGTACCGCAGGCATCGCCAACCCCAGCCCCGACGCCCAGGCCGCCGTCACCCGGGCGGCGTATAAGAACGCCGGCATCGTCGATTTCAAGGCCACCCACTTCCTCGAGTGCCACGGCACCGGCACGCTCGCTGGCGACCCCGTCGAAGTGAAGGGCGCAGCCTCCGTGTTCGCGGCCGGCCGCGAGCCCGGCCAAGAGCTCGTCATCGGCTCCATCAAGAGCAACATCGGCCACTCCGAGGCCGCTGCTGGCCTGTCCGGTCTGCTCAAGGCCACCATGGCCCTGGAGAAGGGCATCATCCCCGGCAACCCCACCTTCATCGACCCGAACCCCAACATCGACTGGAAGGCCTCCATGGTGAAGGCGTCGAGGACGTCTCTGAAGTGGCCGAGCACATCCGCCGTCCGTCGTGCCAGCGTCAACTCGTTCGGCTTCGGCGGTGCCAACGCCCACGCCGTGCTGGAAAACGCACCCCTCACGTCGCCCCACGTCCTGTCCTACAACCAGGCCGTGTCCACCAATTTCTTCGACGACGACGAAGACGAAGAGGAGGACTACGACGAGGCAAGCATCTCCGGGCCGCCCACCGTCCTGGTGTTCTCCGCCAACGACCAGGCGTCGCTCAAGAGCTACACCAAGTCTCTCTCCTCCCATCTCCTGAACCCCATGGTGTCTGTCGAGTTGGCGGACCTCGCCTACACCCTCTCCGAGAGGAGGAGCAGGCATTACTACCGGGGATACGTCATTACACGCTCGACCAAGGCCAAGTTCAGCCAGGACGCACTCGTGACGGGGAAGCAGAGGACATCACCTCCCAGGATTGGCTTCGTCTTCACCGGACAGGGTGCACAGTGGTCCCAGATGGGGCGAGAGCTTCTGGAGGCCTTTCCCCAAGCCAAGAGCGTCATCCAGGACCTGGACGACGTCCTGCAGGCACTACCAGAGCCTCCCGAGTGGAGGCTTCTCAACGAACTCACCGAAGACCGTACACCGGAGGCTCTGCGCCAGCCTGAATTCTCGCAGCCTCTCGTGACGGCGCTACAGCTCGCGCTCCTCGACGTCCTGGAGCACTGGGGCATCCGACCCAAGGCTGTCGTCGGCCATTCGTCCGGTGAGATTGCCGCCGCCGCCGCCGCCGGACTGATGTCGCGCGAGGACGCCATCAAGACCGCATACTTCCGTGGCCAGGCCGCGAAGAAAGTCGGCCCCGCCCCCGAACCCGTGGGCATGTTGGCTGTCGGCGTCGGTGCCGAGACGGTCGAGAAGTACCTCCGGCCCGAAGAGGGCAAGATCCAGATCGCTTGCTACAACAGCCCGACCAGTCTGACCATGTCCGGCACCGCCTCCGCCTTGGAGAAGCTTCGCGACCGGCTTCAGGAAGATGGCCATTTCGCCAGGCTGCTCCTCGTCGACCTCGCCTACCACTCCGACTACATGGCCGAGATTGGGGAGGTGTATGAGGGCATGCTCCTGAGCAGCAACACGCCCGCGAAGAAAGAGCCCAACGCCTACAGCCAGGCGTCCGGCGTGCGCATGTTCAGCTCTGTCACGGGCAAGCCGCTGTCGTCATCGGAAGCCCCCGACGCAGCCTACTGGAAGAAGAACATGGTCTCCCCAGTGCAGTTCACCCAGGCTGCGTCCGAACTGCTCCTCGACGCCCAGGAGGGCGCCGACTTCCTCGTCGAGCTCGGCCCCAGCAACGCCCTGTCTGGGCCCATCTCGCAAATCAAGAAGGCCGTAGCCAGCACCAACATGGCCGCCGGCGATGCGCAGTACGTGTCGGCGCTGAAGAGAGGTGCCGACGCGACCCTGGCCTTGTACAACGCCGTGGGACAGCTGTTCCTCGCGGGAGGCCAGGCCGATCTCGCCCGTGTGAACCGCGTGCACCGGTATAATGCGCGCGTCATCGTCGACCTGCCCAACTACGCGTGGAACCATTCGACCAGCTACTGGCACGAGTCGCGGGCCAGCAAGGACTGGCGGTTCAAAAAGTTCATCAACCACGACCTCCTCGGCTCCAAGATGCTGGGCACCCCCTGGCAGGCGCCTATCTTCAAGAAAGTCCTCAAGGTCGCCGATCTTCCGTGGCTCCGGGACCATAAGCTGGGCAGCGAGCTGGTCTTCCCCGCCGCAGGATACGTGGCCATGGCAGTGGAGGCCGTCTACCAGACTACTCTGGTGACCAAGTGGAAGGGCGAAGCGCCCCCTCGTTACCGTTTCCGCCTGCGGGATGTGAAGCTCCTCCGTGCCATGGTCCTCGAGGAAGGTACCGAAACTCGGATGACGCTGTCCCTTACGCCCGTCAAGGGAGGTTCGACCCGGTCATGGTTCGAGTACACGGTCTGCACCATGCAGGACGCGCTCCCCGTCGACCCCGTGCACAGCGCCGGCTTGGTGTGCATCGAGACCGACTACCAGGACGACCGCACCGCACCAGCCGGCGCTGTGGCGCCCCTTGAGCTGGCGACATCCGCTCGCGTGTGGTACAAGGCCCTGGCGGATCTGGGGTACAACTTTGGCCCGAGCTTCCAAAAGCACCTGCAGGTCGAGGCCACCATGGGTCAGAGGAAGAGCCGATCCACCGTCAACCTCGAGCCTCCTCCGGGTCATCCGAACGGACAGTCCTTCTACCCGCTCCACCCGGCCGTCATGGACGCATGCTTCCAGTCTGCATCGCCGCCTCTGTGGAAGGGCGATCTCCCTTCTACAGGAGCCACTGTCCTCGTGCCCAAGATCATCGACAGCATCGTCATCGAGGCTGGCCAAGACTGGACGCTGCCCGTGGAGGGCGTCTCCCTAGCCTCCGCGCGCTTCCTCGGGGTAGGCAACGCAGAGAACCCCCGCAACTACGCCACCAGCGTCGAGCTATACAATCCCCAGGACGGCACCTTCCTGTTCGAAATGAGCGGCCTGGCCTCGGGCGAGATGGAGACGAGCGATATGGAGAAGCCCAAGCAGACGCTTATGCGTGTGGCTTGGAACGCGGACGTCGATTTGCTGATGGCGGGTGATGAGGCGGCGAAGAAGCAGTGGCTCCAGGAAAAGCCGATTGGAGACGTGATCGACCTCATGGCGCACAAGAAGCCAGGCCTCAGCGTCCTAGAGCTGAACCTCGGATCCGAAGACGGTTCCAGTTTGTGGCTGCCCGAGGAGGAGAAGGAGAATGCCATCCGCGCAGCCTGCTCCCAATACCACCTGGCAGTCCGAGAGGCCAAGGTGCTGATCGGTGCCCAGGAACGCCTCGGTTCTCGTGTCCCTTCTCCCCAGTTCCACTTGGTGGATGCCTCCAAGCCGGCAGAGGTCGCAGGAGACGTCAAGCTCGACCTGGCCATCGTCAAGGCAACGCCAGATTCGGGCATCGATGAGGCGACGGTGGTGAAGAGCCTGGCCACGGCTGTCGCGGAGGGCGGATATATCGTCGCCAGCGGATTCAGCGAGTCGGCCTTCAGCAGTATCGGAAAGACGACGGTCTTCGGCGAAAACTCAATCATCTGCCAGGTTGAAAGCTTTGGCGAGGCGGATAATACAAGCGAAGAACCGCAGAGCAAGACTGTTGCCCACATCAGTCTTGTTGAATCGCAGACGACCAGCGTGGCCGGCATGGTGGACGCACTCACAGCCAAGGGCTGGGCTATCCAAACAGCAGTCGACCCCATCAAGGAGATCTCTTCGTCATCTGGCGGAAGTGAAGCCGTCGTCGTCGTCCTCGATGAGCTCTTCGAATCGGTGACTGACCGTTTCAACGACAACCAATGGGCAATTCTCAAGCACCTCGCCCAAGAACGATGCCGCCTCCTCTGGGTGACGGCCGGGGCGCACCTTTCTGTCACCGACCCGACCAAGGCGGCCATCACCGGTCTTCTCCGCACCCTGCGAGCGGAAGAGCAGCTGCCGTTCGCGACCCTCGACGTGGAGAGCGCCACTGGTGAGGCCACGGCCTCGGCTATTTCGGCGTGCCTGGAGCGCGTGTCTGCGCCGGAGTTTGGAAAATCCGATAGCGGTCCAACCGACAACGAGTTTGTCGAACGCGGCGGCGTCGTGTCTGTTAGCCGTCTGGTGCCTGACGCGGAGATTACCACGACCCTCCAGAGCGACACGCCGCAGACCCAGATGGTGGATCTGCGTGCGTGGGAGGCGCCAGTGCAGCTGCGCTGTGAGCGCCTCGGCAACCTGGACGCTGTTCACTTTGCCGAGGCGGCCCCCGAGGCCGTGCCCCTTGCTCCCGGCATGGTCGAGGTGGAGGTGCGGGCTGCTGGCCTGAACTACAAGGATGTGGTGGTCACAATGGGCATCGTGCCTGGCGACGAGACGGCGCTGGGTCACGAGGCCGCTGGTGTGGTTTCCAGGGTCGCTCCGGGGGTGACGGGATTCGCCCCAGGGGACCGCGTGGTCGTCTTCGGCAAGGGATGTTTCTCGAACCGGCTGCAAGCTGTACCGGCTCGCGTGCATCGCATCCCCGACAACCTTTCTTTCGACGAGGCGGCAACGCTACCGGTTGTGTACCTGACAAGTCTCTATGCGCTCTTCGATATGGGCCAACTTTCGTTCGGCAAGCGGGTGCTCATTCATTCCGCGGCCGGAGGCGTGGGCATCGCGGCTATCCAGCTCGCCAAGTACGTCGGTGCGGAAGTGTTTGTGACGGTGGGAACGGCCGAGAAGCGGGAGTTCCTCAAGTCGACGTTTGGTATTGCCGACGATCATATCTTCAACTCACGCAACACCGACTTTGCGGGCCAGATTCTCGCGGCGACGGACAACAAGGGCGTCGACGTCGTGCTCAACTCGCTTATCGGCGATATGCTGGACGAGTCGTTCCGTATGTTGGCGGACGGCGGAATTATGGTCGAGATCGGCAAGAGAGACATTCTCGATCGCAACAGCCTGTCGATGGAGCCGTTCGACCGCAACATCTCGTTCAGGGCCGTCGACTTCTCCCCCGAGAGAGCTCAGGACGCGGTCGTGTCGCGACTGATGAACAAGCTCTTTGAGCTCGTCAGGAGCGGCCATGTTAAGCCCATCAATCCTATCCACCGATTCTCGTGGACGGACATCCCTTCAGCCCTCCGGTTCCTTCGAACGGGCAAGCATATCGGAAAGATTGTCCTGTCGGATGATGGTCCCGATGCGAAGATTCAAGTTCCGGTAAGTATAGAACAAAACGGAAGAAGAAGAAGAAGAAAGACGCCTGTGACGTCGTTCGAGTGGTCCAGATGGCTGACATGATAAACACCGACAGATCCGACGAGCTCCTAAGAATCTGCGTCTGCTGGAAGATAAGTCCTACCTCATTGTGGGCGGTCTTCGCGGCCTTTGCGGTTCCCTCGCCATATACCTGGCGAAGGCCGGAGCAAGGCACATTTCCGTCATGGCTCGCAGTGGATACGGTGATGAAAAGTCGCGGGGTGTGGTGAAGCAGATCAAGGCACTCGGAGCACACATCGACCTCTTGACGGCCGATGTCACCAACGCGGAAGACGTCGAGCGGGCGTTCCAGGAGACAAAGGTGCCCATCGGAGGCATAATCCAGGGTGCAATGGTTCTTCGGGTGAGTGCTTCGTCCCCATTTCGGCTCCTCAGATCATTGCCGTGAACGCAACTGACCAACGTCTCCTCGTGAATAGGATCGGCCGTTTGACTCGATGACCCTCACCGAGTACCACGAAGCCATTGGCTGCAAGATTCAGGGCACCTGGAACCTGCACCAGACGGCAGAGAAGCTCCAGCTCAGCCTGGACTTCTTCACGCTCCTGTCGTCCATCTCGGGCATTGTGGGCAACCGTGGTCAGTCCAACTACGCGGCAGCCAACGTCTTCCTCGACGCGTTCGCGAGTTACCGCCGCTCCAGAGGCCAGGCAGCGAGCTCGGTCGACCTCGGCGTCATCGAAGATGCGGGTGTCATTGCCGAGAACGAGAAGCTGCACGATCAGTTCGACTCGCGTATGTTCAAGGGCATCAACAACGCCACGCTGAGCAAGATCCTGTATGTCTCGCTCCTGCAACAACAGCAGCAGCAAGAACAGGCGATATCGTCGTCTTCGTCTCTGTCGTCTGGCCTGGTCGAGCAAGCCCAGATCATCACGGGCCTTATCGCGCCGCAGCCGGCCGACTCAAGCTTCAAAGACGATGCACGCTTCTCCGCTCTCTTCACGGCCGAGGGCCAGGGTCAGGGAGGCGGCAACGGCAGCGGCGGAGGCAGCGGCGGGAATACGGAAGTGAAGGCGCTCTTGCTGCTCTTGAAGAGCCCGTCGGCCGATCCAGCGGCCAGGCTGAAGGCGACGGTGGATGTGGTCAACGGCTGCTTCGTGAGGATGTTGAGGTTGGCGGAGCCTATGGATCCGGCTCGACCGCTGGCCGTGTACGGCATCGACTCGCTGACGGCTGTGGAGGTGCGAAACTGGGTGAGGGCGGAGCTCGGTGCGCTCGTGACGACACTGGACATTATGAATGCCGCGTCACTCACTGCTTTCTGTGAGAAGATCATTGCCAAGCTGACGGCTGGGTCGAGTTAGGAGGAATTTGCGTTGAGAGGACGTGGGCTGGGACGCTGAGCAGGACTCAGAGAGTCAGGAGGAGGATATTTGCCCTGATGTATCATAGAGTATTTCTTCAGGACAGTAACGTTAGATTGAAATGAATTTGCATCGACGGTTGAACATGGGTTTCCGAAGTACTGCTGAGTTGGGTTGTAAAGAGAGAGAAACCTAGGGTTTGAGCAGATGTTGCGACTGGGAGGTGAAGTGGAAGAGGAGCCTTGGAAATTAATGACGAGAACAAGAGTCGGGGCGAGAAGTTGCCTAATCATGATTAGTAAACGCTCTCTACGGAATCACGTGGTCTTCCATCGAGACTGAGTAATTCTGATACCGGTCCAACTTCATCGCTTCCTGATACAATGGAACACACACAAATCATAGAGACATCGACGTCACTAACACCACGACTCCTCTCCCCTCCCCCACCTCGTGGTGGGCAGGGCAGGAGCGACGATATCGGATAAGGACCCATACCCGAGGGGAAACAAAAGGAAAAAAAAAAAAAAAAAAAAAAGCTCTCAACGGACGGGACTTTGCATAAGGTAGGTACTATGTCACCCACATGAAGAAAGTCTCTCATTGTCCCCTCTACATCGTGACCATTTTCTCCTTGGCCCCTTCGAACCCCAGAGGGCTGTCGAGAAACCCGAACATCGAAGCCATATTCTCAGGCCCTTCGATTTCGACATCGAGGGAGCCGTCTCTTCGAGCCAACAGCCACCATGGGCCGCTTTAACATCCCTCTGCCGCCTCTTCGGCTTCCTCCTCTCCTCCGCTCCCTCCCCCCAAGGTCTCTTCATATCATCGCCCTCCTGGTCGCCGTGAACATCATCCTCTGGATTCTCGCCGCCGTCATCCTAGCAGCCCATCCCGCCCTCCTCTCCGCCGCCGCCCTCTCCTACATTCTTGGCCTCCGTCACGCCCTCGACGCCGACCACATTTCCGCCATCGACCTCATGACCCGACGTCTCATCGCGTCTGGCCAACGCCCCGTCTCCGTCGGTACCTTCTTCTCCCTGGGCCACAGCACCATTGTCATTGTCACTTGCATCATTGTGGCAGCCACTAGCGGCGCCCTGCGAGACCGTTTCGACGACTTTGCCCGCCTGGGAAACATCATCGGCTCGGCCGTTAGCGCCGCTTTCTTGATTCTACTTTGCCTCGGAAATGGCTGGGTTCTCTATCGATTAATCCAGAGGCTACGGAAGACCCTGGCTGAGGAACGCATCCGAACTCGGACTTCAGCCGCAGAGGATCTCGACTTTGACGACGCCGACCATGATGACGATGCGGCTCAGAACCTTCAGCTGGAAGGCGAGGGTTTCCTGGCTAATGTCTTTCGCAAGGTATTCCGCATCGTCGACCGGCCCTGGAAGATGTTCCCCCTGGGTGTTCTCTTCGGGCTCGGCTTCGACACGAGTTCCGAGATTGCCATCTTGGGCTTATCCAGCGTACATGGTGCCCAGGGTACTAGTATCTGGTTGATTCTACTTTTCCCCGTCCTCTTCACAGGTAGGTTCTTGCCGGTACCTTGTGGAGGGAAAGAAACACAAAAAGGAAAACGGACGCCCATTTGAAATTCACGCATCCACTGACTGACCCCTTCTCCCCTCCCTTCCCAGCCGGCATGTGCATGCTCGACACCGCCGACGGCGCTCTCATGATGGCCCTCTACACCTCCAAGGCTTTTGCACGCGATCCCGTCGCCATCTTGTACTACTCCATCGTCCTTACCGGCATTACGGTCTTCGTCTCCGCTTTTATCGGTCTCGTGCAGCTCCTCACCTTGATTCAAAACGTCGCCGACCTCGAAGGCGGCTTCTGGGACGGCGTCGAGGCCATCGGCGACCACTTTGACATCATCGGCGCCAGCATCTGCGGTCTCTTCCTCGTCATCGGCATCGGTTCCGTTCTCGTGTACCGGCCGTGGCGGGCGAGGTTGGACAAGGCCAGCCGTGAGCAGGTCGGCGTCAGCCCGCCATCCAACGAAGACGAAGAGGACGGGTTGGTCGGCAGAGCGTCCACCGAGCCCTTGCTGGGTCGCACTCCGTGAAAGGTACGCCCACTCCGGATGCGACTAGTTCCAACGGAAGACTGCCATTAAGAATATGGGAAGACCCCAAATCGCTGAGTACAGGGTACTGATTAATGGAAAGAGTGGCATAGTATACCATCCAGTTGCATCAGCCGTGTGGCATATGACTTGACCTGGCAAGGACCCTTGAGCGCTCAAGGGCCGTCTGGGTGGCGATGGCCAGTTCCACGGCATACGGTCCCTATTATAGGCAGCATGGGATGAACTTGACCCATAGTTCTCATGCCACTGAGATAAAGCCGCAGAGGTGTATAGTACTTGACCTGTACGCAGACTCCGTCGGAATGCACAAGGAGGAGCCATGGCGAAGGGGAGACGGTGTGTTGGTCAAAATTTCGAAGATATAGTTGATAACTAGTCGAGAGGTTACATAGCGATGGGGCAAGAAATGTGAAGGGTTTGTTGCGTCTTGCGCTTGGGTGCCTGGGGCGTCTGGAGGGAAGAGGATGGAGAGGGCATCTTCTTAAGCAGATCCAGCGCTGGTGAGAGTGATTTGGCCTGTTCCTCTCAACGTGTGAAACAAATTTACTTCAATCCGAGAAGGCGCAAAGCCAGAGGCGAAGTAGAGTATTAAGTACCATGGCTAATCGTGACTCCGTTCGTGGGAAGTCTCTTGGATATGCTGTATTAAAAGTTGGCAGTCGCGGTCTACTAAGATACGTCCATGTCTTGTCTACATAGCCTTATTCTGCCGTGAAAATCTTGATTTACGTCTTAGTCTCGGCTCCCTCGTCGACCCAAAGTCGGTCCTGAAGGTCACAGAAAGGCGAACTGAGAAGGAACCTCGTACTGTGCATTGTACGACACGTGCCGCAACAGGGTGTTGAAAAGGCAAATCATAAACAACAGGCCTTGGCTGGGTAGAACTTCTGGCATTGGCTAGCTGAGCAACGCTTAAGTTTCAGATGGCGATTCACAGTGAAGGAGGACCATATCTGGATGATCTGGCAACTCATGGTTCGGAACAGCTATAGTCTACAGATCCAAGGAGGCATAACCTAGGGTAACTTCGAATCGCTTCTCCGTATCACACTACTGATTACCATGGGTAGTGGGATCTGAATAGTGATATGCGGGGAACGCATGAGGAGTGAAGAGTCGTCGTCGTTGACCATGGCCGGCAGTGGGTTTGCTTCGTGGTCGACGTAGGTGGCTTGAAGATGTAGTTAAAGACATAAAATCAGCGGTACGGGTATTAGCCGAATTACAAATAGTCGACATTTCTCCACGTCGGTCGAGTGAGCGTCAACTATATTATATTTACGGGGTAGCTAAGGCTATGGCAAATCTTGCATTATCGCTCTCCAGAGACACTGCTGGCTGGGGAAGTATCCATTGAATAATAAGTAATAACAAAGGAAAATTTTCAGAGAAAAGGGGAAAGGAAAAGGAAGAAATGGAAAACCCCAAGGCAGGTAGGGTCCTCACCTCTACACTAGAGAAACCGCAATTCGACTCGGGATAATTTACACTCAACCCACGACCAGCAACTTGTTTCTAGCCTTTTATTTTTTTCAGCAACTTCATCCATCTCTTGCCAACCCTTTCGACCAACTAGGCCCAGGCGGCCGGATGGTTGCAAACCCATCTCGTTCTGCACCGGAGCGGCGAAGACGCTCATCATGCAGCTCTGACTCGACATGGTTCTACGTAAGGAAGGTCATTTCTCATTTTACAAAAAGTACAACGTGGATTCATTATGCAGGAGTCGCAGGACAGACTTGGCGAAGTTACTACCAAAGGACCCTGAAGATCTTAGATGCCACCAGCTTAGTACTTCAATTCCCTATCCTCGGTGACTCCGTCCGGACGGGTTTGCCAGAACCAAACTCCCTAGAGGGGGCCGGGGATAATTTCCGCGTTAATTATTCAGTATTCTGAGATTTTGTCTGAGAACTTGCCGTGCGATGGACTCCCTTGGTGCGAAGTGCATTCCCCCAAGCTCACCGACACCCCCCACCTTCGAATGCCTCGCAGGGCTGGCTGCGCATTTGGTGGCTTGTCCGTTTCTCCCAGATTGTGGATTTCCCCGAGCCCACAAGACGGGATGACGGCCACCCGCAGCGGGGAAACGAGCCACTAACCACAGCCACGAAATACAAGTGCTGGACATACCTACCTACAACGTACGAAGTATGCCTCGTATATCTCGTCTGGAAGTCCATGAATACGCGACGCAATGGGATGAAATCGGCCGCGACTCGCAAGAGAGAACCGACGAAACATGTTATGTCCTTCGACACACATAAGCGATTCTGGCGTGATTTTGTCTCTGCGACGGCAGGTCCCGTTCCTTAACCCAGCAACATTGCGCACCGCGTCCAATATGTCCAGTGTCGGGGCCCGAAACCCTGTATCTGTACGAAACTTAAAAGTATCCTTGCCTCGTACGATGTCGCTGTACGACTTCAAGGATACCGGATCCTTCACGCGCCGTTGCTCTCACCCCCCTTTTTTTTTTTTTTTTTTTTCCTTCCCCAGCCTCTAATATGGAAAACGGCACCGAGTAAACTTGTGGGCCTTATTAAGCAGGGAGGGAGGGGTTCTCAGCTCCAACCCCCGCATCCCCGCCCCCATGCAGGCAGACCCTGGGTCTTGGCGAATAAGATGGACCCAAAGCAAAGAAGCGTACCCTAGGACTCGGTATTGGACCCGGTGTGGGTGTCGGACCGATAGCACCAGCGCCGGCTAGTACTATTCAGGCGACGCCACAGACGGTTCGTTCTTGGTCGTTCACGCGACCGTCTTTCAGCAGTCCGTATTCCGAACGGAGGACGGACTTCGGACTCTCCTGCTTACGTAGTATTTGACCTGCCTTCCTTCTCGAGGAAGCCGACAGGCCGGACCCCTGCTGAGTGCCGAGGATGGTTGGACGCTAACCCCCTGGTTCCCCCCTTGGACCCGACGTCGATCCTTTACCCGCGACGGCTCGCTCCCCAATGACGTAGTCCCCTGTAATAGATACTTTGCAAGTCTTGGTGGAGAAATACTGAAATATTGAAAGGGAAGATGAATGGTGTGAGAAACAGGGCATGGGGTCGAGGTTGGACAAGGTCGGCAAAAGAGAGAGGGAGGAGAGAGAGAGAGAGAGAGAGAGAGAGAGAGGCAGAACGCTGAGGAAGGGTCAAATCAAGCTCATATGTCTTGCGCGGGCTGCCTTGGCCGCGCCAATGGACAAGGGACGAGAACGCCGATCGAGCTTGTTTATCTTGTCTTTCTTGTGTGTCTTACCCGTGTCTTAACCCACACAGGTCCGGCCCCATTTCTGTCCGTCTTGTCCCTCCCACCCTTTTTTCTCACCTCTCCTCCCCTCAAGGTGGCATTTTGGTGCTTCTAACATACTTGTCAAAAAGGAGAGGGGGGGGGTAGGAAAAAGAGAAAGAAAAAGAAAGAAGAAAAAAAGAAGAAGAAAAGAAGAAGAAAAGAAGGGAAAAAACCCCTTGGCATTTTGTAGGATGAGCGAGCGGAGCGGGGGTCGCTGAGTGGAGGTGGGCGAGTGGGCACCTCTTGGCATGTTAGACCCCTGAACCAAGTTCAGCTTACTCAGTGTCCGTACGACCGACTACAAGTCTATAAGACTATGACCACGTCGAAGTGATTAATACTCCGCGTGTATTAATACTCCGCGTGTACCGGTCGTTTCGAAGCGCGAAACGGACTAGAGAGAGTCGGTCTAGGTCAAGGGCTCAATTAGCTTGGAGAGGAGAGGATCGAGAACGAATGTCGTTTATCCATGGGCTATGGCTTTCGTCTTACGCGTAGTAAAGATTCCTAATCTCCCCCACGAAGAGCCAGTCATCAAATCAACATGAACTGGGCAAGCCACAAAAGAAAATTCCCCGATATTGACTTTATACGGCAGTTAGAATATCGTATAGAGCAGGTCTGGTCTGCATTGGCCTGGTCTCCTTCAATACGGAATAGGGCTCTCGAGTCTCGACCTGAATACGAATACAGCCCAGGTCCTCCGTAATGTGGAACACAGTGGAAGGCTTGGAATTGCCTGTTTCCCCATACAATCCACATGGGGTGATACGAAGTACAAACAGATCCATCCCCCCCGCCCGAGTACGGCATCCGGACAAAGTAAATACTTCGTGTGAAGTAATTACCTTAGCCTCCAGCCTCCTTCCAGTAACAATTAGCAATTGCGAATGTTTTAGGCCAGGTACGAATTACCCCGCCATCAAACCTTCTTTCCCTGGTTCCCACTTCCCACCCCCCCAAGAAGTTCCCCTGACACGCTCACTCGAAGCAAAACCCATGATGTGAGATGTTTTAGTTACTTCGAGAATACGGCTTCGAGTACGGAGTACGCGAATATAACTAAGGTAGTATTTCTTTGGTGCCACGCCTGGCCGTGAGGACATCACAGTAACACAGTCTACTGCCTTAATAAGCTTAACCTCCACTCCCGCCATCCTCCAAATATTGGCCGATCCACCGTAATCTTCTGCCCGTCCACGGTCCATCCTCTTTTCCGACTTCCCCCTGTTCTTGAACCACTTGAACCAACAACAGCCCTCCATGGTCCAGTTCCCGACCTGTCATCTTTCAGAACATTCAGGCACCCATGCAGACATGAGCATCCGGCGGGTATCTATGCTCCATGCACGCCTGTTGAAGCCTCTTTACGCCGGCCGGCTTGGCCAAGATGGCCTAAGTTGGACACGAGCATGGATGAGACTAGTTCACTTGTTCACCACTCATGCTCTCCTCCCCTCGGTGTAGAGGTAGCGCCGTAGCGGAGATAACGCGACAGACGTTCGGCTTTGAGGATCCCTTGAGGTTTGTTGCGCCTCCAGCCCTCCACTTCACCAAGGAGTGGAGACTGGAGAGTTCGGGGGAGCGAAGGTTCTGGGAGCTCGTAGCTGGCGGGACCGCCATGCAAGGCTTGTGGGTAGGGGCAAGATTCCCAGATCCATCAAGCCATTAGGGCCATGGTGCTGGGTCCCCCCGCGTTGGGGGATCTACATATGTCTATAAGAGGAGACTGGCCCCAACATTCCGAGCTACGGTAGGAGTTCAGTCCTTCCCCTCTGTTACCGTGTCCGTTGCGTGCCTCCCTACGGTCTACCCTACGGGTTTACCCCTCTCATATTACTCTCCCCTTTCTCTCAACACACAAAAGAAGCTCCCAATGTGAAGCCTGAAGCTACTACTACTACTGCTACTACTACTACTATTGGACTGGACGACACCCAGAGGGCAGTCAAACTTCCTCTCCGGCGACTCCTTTGCCGGCCTTCACAATGGCGGACAATCCTCAAAGCGCGTAAGGACAGGGCCGAACATCCGCGAGGCGTGACTATCTCCATGGCTATTTGTATCGTCACTAACACCTCTTACAACAGCTCAACAGGGGCTACGGCCGAACCACTCGAAGCAGCAAACGAAAAGGGCGCTGTCCCCGCTCAATATGACCCCGACACAATCAACCGTAACCTCGAGGCAAAGTATGTTGAATCTTCCACCTTTTACCCTTTCTTCGCTGCACGAAACAATGCGGTGCGGTACAACTCACCAGCGGGACAGGATCAAGAACCCTCTCGAGGGAATCTCTTACGATAAGCTCATGTCCGACGTTGCCGTCTTCGTCCAGGAGAAGGACCTGAGAGAGCACGAGCCTCTCTTCCGCAAGGGCGCTCTCATCGCCCAGAATCCCGATGGATTCGGCGAGATCACCAGATCCGAAACCCTCACCGATGAGGAGAAAGAAACCCTCCGGCTCGAGAAGGAGCACAGGTGGCGCATGCCCATGAAGCTCATCCTCACCATCGCCACCTGCTCCATCGGCGCCGCCGTCCAGGGCTGGGACCAGACCGGCGTCAACGGCGCAAACATCTTCCTCCCCAGATATTACGGCATCGATGGCGACAGCGTGCGCGACACCTTCATCCTCGGCATCCTCAATGCCGGTCCTTACCTGGGCAGCGCCTTCTGCGGTTGCTGGCTAGCCGATCCCCTGAACTACTACTTCGGTCGCCGCGGCGTCATCTGGTTCTCCGCTCACTTCTGCATCTGGCCCCTGATTGGGTCCGCTTTCGCTCAGACCTGGGGTCAACAGTTGGCCTGCCGTCTCCTGATGGGTATCGGCATGGGCGTCAAGGCTGCTACCGTTCCTATTTATGCTGCAGAAAACTCGCCGGCTTCGGTTCGTGGCGCCCTGGTCATGTCATGGCGTAAGTGTATAATCTATCAAAACTTAAAACTCCTTTATTCATCATAATCTCTTTCCGCTACTAATTATCATCCGGCTTAGAAATGTGGACCGCCTTCGGCATCATGCTTGGTACTGCTGTCAACTTGGGTCTTTATAACGTTCAGCACAACTGGCGCCTCATGCTCGGAGCCCCCTTCCTCCCTGCCGTCCCGCTTCTGATCCTCATCTACTTTTGCCCGGAATCGCCCCGTTGGTACATGAAGAAAAACCGCTATGCCGATGCCTGGGGTTCGATGGTTCAGTTGCGGCATCACCCCATCCAAGTGGCCCGCGACATGTACGCCATCCACTCCCAGCTCGTCATCGAACACGAGCTCCTGAGCCAGAACAACTACGTCACCCGCTTCGTGCAGCTCTTCACCATCCCTCGTGTGCGCCGTGCCAACTTGGCCGCCTTTACCGTGATGATTGCCCAGCAGGTATGTTCCGTTGCGAAATCTGTTTCCGAAACCCGCCGCGACCTGAGCAGTCCGGAAGTAGGATATAACTAACTCTCCCCTTTTCTAGATGTGCGGTATCAACATCATTGCTTTCTACTCCACCACCATTTTCCGCGAGGCCGGTCAGTCTGAATACCAAGCCCTGCTTGGCTCCTTCGGCTTCGGCCTGGTCAACTGGCTCTTCGCCTTCCCGGCCTTCTGGACCATCGACACCTTTGGCCGCCGCTCCCTCCTGCTGTTCACCTTCCCCCAGATGACCTGGACCCTGCTCGCGGCCGGCTGCCTGACGCTCCTGGACCAGGAGACGTACGGCATCACGCGTACCGCTCTTGTCACCCTCTTCGTCTACCTGTTCGCCGCCTTTTACTCGCCCGGCGAGGGCCCCGTGCCCTTCACCTACTCGGCCGAGGTCTACCCGCTCTCCCACCGCGAGGTCGGCATGGGCTTCGCCGTCGCGACGTGCCTCTTCTGGGCCGCCATCCTCGGCATGACCTTCCCCTTCATCCTCCGCCGCCTCGGCACCGTCGGCGCCTTCGGCCTGTACGCGGGCTTCAACTTTCTCGCCCTGATCATGATCTTCTTCTGCGTCCCCGAGACCAAGCAGCGCACCCTCGAGGAGCTCGACTACGTCTTCGCCGTGCCCACCTCCCGCTTCGCCAGGTACCAGCTCACCAAGGCGCTGCCGTGGTTCTTCAAGCGGTGGGTCCTCTTCCAGCGCGATGCTGAGCTGGAGCCGCTGTATACTTTGAACCCGCCCGCCGCCGCTGCTGCCGCCCCTGCTCAGCAGCAGCAGGCAGCGGCCCCTGGCGGTGGTGCCGGGGGTGGCAGTGGCGACAGCGAGGCCTCGTACTCGGAACGTACGGGCGTCGAGACCCCGGCCGCGGAGAATAAGACCGCCGGCGTCGAGGTGGAGGTGGAGGACAGGCCCCAGGACTAATAACTCTGTTTTCCTTGGGTTCCAGTCTCTTTTTGGTTTTTGTTTTATTTCCTTGTCTTGTCTCCAGGGTCCTTCGTCGAGGGTGTGTCACTGGCTTGCCACCAAATGGACAGGGGCCTTCAGATTGAAATGGCCACAATCCTTGGGACGTCGGTTGCTATAGTTGATGTTGGTTACTAAGGTATGGTTGATGTTCATTTCGTCCTCTTTCTGGTTAGGTAAAGCTGGTTAGGTCTGAGCTGGGGCTGGTTCTACCTTGGATTCTTGGTCTTCTTATTTCTCAGTATACCCGGGGTTTTGATGGCACCACAAGGACCCGGAGAGGCCCTGTATATGCGACGAACAGGGCTGTTTCGCAGGGCGTCTAGTCCTTCAGAAGAAGAAACCGTTATAAGCATGGCTGTGCTCATGGTGAGAGACTTGGGCGACTCTTTGACAGAACGACTGAACGAGATGCCTCGGCTGGCGAGCATTGAAGATAGTCAGGGTCCTGTACGTAGATAAGAACAAGATGATGGTCCAGGCTCGCTCGGTCGTTCTTCAAGGGTGTACGATGGAGAATTGTAGGTGGTGAAAAGTTATCACAGCATCTGTGATCTTCAGGGAATATATTATATAAATATTATATAACGTCGACGATGACGATTGAGGTCGACGGGCTTGAGGAGGGCGAGGATAATCAGGTTGTGTTCCGGGCATTTGCAGAGAGTGAATGGGCTCCTGATCTCGTCAGTCTTGAGGTTTTCGAGTAGATTGTATTGAGGGCTCACATTGGCCGACCTCTATGTTTGCCAAAGTCCTCGAGCTTCTGCCTCAACATATCGATAGTTGCAGTCGAGTCAGCATGATTATACAAAGTGGTTTGATGTCTACACCTTGGCCACACCTTTCGGATCGGGTCTACAAACTTCGTCTTCAGACTCTGGGCAGACGGAAACAATGAATAGGGGCTGGGGCACTACGAAATTACGAATAGGGGTTCACACTGTGCGAAGTTCGACATTGATGCATCTCATACGGTAGCGGTTGGCATCGGCAATTGGTGGCTTTCTCCACCTCCATAGTGGAGCTGCTCGCTCGCGTCTACGGCGTACGATCGTCATCTCAACGCGGGGCATGAAAGGGTCGTCACATCACCTCACCAACCACGCCTCCCCGCCCCTCCCGACTCCCGATTTCCCCTCCCTGCTACGCGTGTACGGAGTACAGGTACACGTACATTCAGCCGTTACCAGCACACAGGGCGAGGTACTTTAGGTACTTGCATCCGTACTCCTCGGCGTTATCCATGACCGTGACGCTTCTTCGGTCGTCCGTCTTCCCACGAGCTGAGAGCGCCATTGGTATTGCAGCCAGCCGCCCCTTCCTCTCCACAAGATCTGCTACTATTCGATCGCCCTTGCGTCCGCGTCTGTTCTCAGCGAAGCGTCCCCCAATTTGCGATACGCGACCAACTCGACCCTTGGTCCCTCTTCGCCGTTATCTTAGCTATTCAACTCCTACAGCAACCCGAGCCTATCGACACTACTCTACCTCCTTCGACATGACCGACTACGAGACCGTCCTCAAGGGCAAATACCCTGCCAAAGCCCACGCCAAGCGTGTGACCGACTACATCCGCTCCAAGATCCCCGATGCCAAAGGCGTCCTCTACCTCGAGGGGACTCATACCAAGATGCAGGAGGACAGCGACCACCCGGAGCCCTTCAGGTAACGGACCCCCCTTTGTCATTCAGAGCCCGCCCCCCCCCCCCCCCCCCCCCCCCCCCCCCCCCCCCCCCCCCCCCCCCCCCCCCGGCCAACACTGTGCTCTGGCTTCAATTGTTGACGAAACATCCTACAGGCAGCGCCGCTACTTCTACTACCTGACCGGCTGCCCCCTCGCCGACTCCCACTTCATCTACGACCTGGCGTCCGGTACATCCACTCTCTTCATCCCACCCGTCGACCCGGAAGAAGTGATCTGGTCCGGCATGCCCGTCACCGCCGCCGACGCCAAGGAGCTCTACGACGCGGACCGCGTCCTCTACACCACCGACGTCAACGCCGAGCTCGCCAGGTTAGGAAAGGGCGCCGGCACCACCGCCTTCGCCATCCTCCACCAGGTGCTGGACGCCATCAGTTTCATCGAATTCGAGGACAAAGACTTCGACCTGCTGAAGCGCGCCATCGAAGAGTGCCGCGTCGTCAAGGACGACTACGAGGTCGCCCTGACCAAGAAGGCCAACGCCATCTCCACGACCGCCCACCACGCCGTCATGCAGATGGTCAAGAAGGCCAAGAACGAGCAGGAACTCGAGGCCGTCTTCCTCGAGAGGAGCGTCGCCCACGGCGCTAAGAACCAGGCGTACCACTCTATCCATGCTGCCGGGCGCGCCGCCGCCACCTTGCACTACGTCCATAACAACGCGCCCTTGGAGGGCAAGCTCAACCTGCTGCTCGATGGTGGTGCCGAGTGGAACTGCTACGCCTCTGACATTGTTCGTTGTCCCTCGGCTCTTTTCTTGCTTTCCACCCCCCCTCCCATTGTCTCGTTACCACCCGCCCGCCACGCTCGTCTGCCGCTAACTGCCGAGAACGGATAGACGCGAACTTTCCCCATTTCCGGCAAGTTCTCCAAGGAATCTCGCGCCATCTACGACATTGTCCTGAAAATGCAGCTCGAGTGCATCAAGGTGCTTAAGGAGGGCGTCAACTGGGACGACGTACACCTGCTGGCCCACAAGATTGCCATCGAGGGTTTGCTGGCTCTCGGTATCTTCAAGGGTGGCGATGCCGACGAGATCCTCAAGGCGCGGACCAGTGTCGCCTTCTTCCCTCATGGCCTCGGCCACTACCTCGGCATGGATACCCACGACGTCGGCGGCAACCCCAACTACGCCGACCCGGACCCCATGTTCCGCTACCTGCGCAAGAGGGGACCCCTGGCGGCCGGGAGCATTGTCACGGTCGAGCCCGGCATCTACTTCTGCAACTTCATTATCGAGCCCTACCTGTCCGATCCTGTTCACTCGAGATATATCGACGCGGACGTCCTGGACAAGTACTGGGATGTCGGAGGTGTCAGGTAAGCCTTACTATACTCAATGGTGTCTTTCTATGGAGTCAGGAACTCCTCTTTGCTAACGGACGAGGTAGAATCGAGGATAATCTTCTCATCACCGCCAATGGAAGTGAGAACTTGACACCCACTATCAAGGACCCAGACGAGCTCGAGCAACTCATTAGTTCCAACTAAACATTGACGGGTCTACTTGGCGGGGGAGTTTTCTATATATTTTGACTCTTCGGCTATGAGCACAGCTGGAGTTCACCACGCATGAGGAGGGACGGGACAAGGGACGCTGGGGTGCCCGGGCAAACACGCATGCATATCTAATCTGGCCGTCTTCAGGTGAGGCGTACTTTGTCCTACTCTCACTGCAGCTTGCCGACTCTAGGGGGTATGTAAGGGCTTTTCGGTGTCATGACATGGGGGCACCGGGCCGAAAAATGCGGATCGAAGAAGAACATCGAGTTTGAGGAGAAAGGAACCCTTGATGTCTCGACACTGTACTACCTTACCTTATTCAGTGTACCTTACCTAAGGTAGTCCAGGCTGTGTCGCATGGGCACGTGACCACAACGGGGTCCCCCTTGACTCTGGCGGGCCTCGGCCTTTGGGCATCAAAGATGACAAGGGTCCAAATGAGCAGGTACCCACAACAGTCTGCACCACCCAAACTAATAAGGGCACAGAGTCTCACACAGATGTAACTTGACACTATACACACACACGAGATTTCTGCTCAATCAGGATTGGCATCAGAATTGTCACCCAAGTGCTATTTTGAACGCGCGACAGGCTGCACCTATTAGCTCAATATGAGTTGGCCAGCCAGCCTGTTCCGGTAGAAGCACCAAGAGTCAACGGTCAAGGGTCCAAGAGGGGTTTGAAAGGCCCCGGTGACCGTATTGAGCCAGTGTGGACCATCTTACTATTTCTTCAATATCCGGCATCTCCAGGGTCCCCAAAAGGGAAGTTATGAACCGAGTCTAGATCCCATTAAGGAGGCATATCCGGCGAGAAAAGATACCTACGAGAACCAAACCGTCCAAGTCACGACGTAGGCATCTTGCCGTCTCGTCGTCTCGTCGTACGCAGCGAGGGACATGGCATGCTTAGGGTACGTACTGGTCGGTGTTGGTGTCACTTTCATCTACGATGTGTCACCTCCACTTTTATAAGGAATATACGAAGTACGAGAGATGGTGTCCCAAGACCTTGGCTACAGTCGGGATCGTCCCAGGACCCATGATCGATTGGTTATTCGGCGTGGCACGGGTATGCCTCCTGGGTGCTGACCTCCCCCTGGCTGTATTACCTTAACTTAAGGATCAAATCATATACTCCGACTGCATCGACCTTTTCGCCCATTCATTACGCCATAGAATCCTACCAACAAGATGACCGTTGACAGATCTAATCATCGGACCCGATTCGCATCTTACAACGTACCCCTAAGCCGCCCTGACGTAGCTGTGCCGCCATTGCCATGAAAACGTTTTGGCTTCGGTGTGTACGCCCAGTATACGGCTGCTATATATATTCTTCTGGTTTGATTTTATTATCGTGTGAATCACACCTACGAAGTATGTATTGTCTTTCCGTTTGTCTCGCTTCTTCTTGTCTCTCGCGAAGCGAAGCAGCCATATCTGGTAGAGGGTGTGGAGACACGTTCCATTCTGCCCCAGCCGGAGAACCCCAGTCCAGGTCTGCAGGTCCAATGACCTCTGTCCAAGTTTGGCGATCTCCCCCTCCCTATCCGTAGCCCTCCCAGACAACCAGGCGTACGGAGTACTTCATACATGTCTGTACTCCGTGCAAATATGTGTACCATAACGTCGGTGGTATGCCGAGTGCTGCCAGTGCGGCAGTGCCAAATCATGTGAAGAAGGAGAGGACAGACCCAGCCCCTGAGCCTTGTACACCTCCCTGGTACAGGTAGGGCTGTCGCCGATCTGATGGACTAGCGTTAATGTGCGTGAGGTACAGATATATGAAGATTAGTGGCCGCCTTTACCGAGCCCGCTCCCAGACTCACATAACCCCTTCCCTGGACTCTTTTGGGGCTTTGCTCTTGGCGTCTTCGTTTTTTCCACGGTCATCCCCCAGTTGGACAGCTCACGATCGGACGTTCTTCTGGTGATCAACCCTCCTCTTCGTGCTTTAACGTCAAAAAGAAACACGCGAGATAGCATAAAACACGTCCACAGTCTACTCACTCCCCTAGGACCGCAAGATAACCAATCATTTCCTTGAGTCTACGCCCTCGCCCTCGCAATGGCGACCACAAGGCCAGACGATGGCAACCTTCCCGAGGTCGTACCGGATGTGTCGCCCCAGGCCCTCACGCAGGAGGAGTTGTCCGCCAGAAGCGGCCTTGCAGGGGCGGAGGGCAAATACCCGTACACGCACGACGAGAGAAAGGAACACGTTTCCGCCGGCCTTGGCTCGGACGCGCACAAAGAGGTGGTGAGCCCGATTTCGCCAGATGCGCAGACACCGACAGGGGACGGTGCCACCGCCGGACCTTCGTCGGCACTGGGACCCCGGATTTGCGGAGTCAAGAGGAAAACGTTTTGGGTTCTTTTGGCCGTGGCCGTCGCCGTTGTCATTGCCGTGGCAGTCGGCGCCGGTGTCGGTGCCACACGGGGAGGTAAGGGTGGGGGAGACGCGCAGGCACAAGAGCAGGAACCGTCGGCGACGTCGGCGACGTCGTCAACGGAGGCATCGGCAGCGCCTACGGCCACATCATCTTCTACGTATGTGCCACACATGCATCCTTTATCTTTGTTCCTTCCTTCCACCTTATGAGCGTACCAGAGGGACGGACACTTTGCTATCCGGTAGTGGCTAACACGAGTATTTCAGCGAGGCCACTTCTTCCATACCTTCATCAACTTCATCCGCGGCCGAACCGATGCCGACCTTCCTCAACGGGACCGTGACACTACCGGCCGGGGACTTTGCTTTCCAAGGGTTCTCGGATGTGAACTTTACCGGGAACTACACGGATATTCACCAAGCAGAAGGATTCATTGACTTCCCCTTCGACGTCATGAGCTACGTCTGGCTGCACAGCCAGACTGGCTGTTGTATCAACTTTTGTCAGGGTCTCAATAACGTTACCGGCTACCGATGTGACCCCCGGGAGCAGCCCGAGGCGAGCGGCGGCTTCAACCGTCTATATATTGGCTGTGGGGGTGATGCCCCGCGAGAGGATCAAAACAGGTTCTGTTCATGATGAAGAATGCCTGCCATGGTGATGGTGTCTTCAACGCGATCAGATGTGTTATCTTATGTAAAGTTGTGGAGCAGCATGCAGGGACTCGGTCAAAATTCCCATTCACAGGCGAGGTCACGATGTGCCGCATTATTTTATTGCTTTTTTGTTTTCTTTCCTTTCTTTCTTTCTTTCTTTTCTTCGCCCTCGTTGGCTTTCTAACGTCAATATGTCAGGGTTCGGTTGGGTGGGAAACTTTTGAACTTGAAAACTGGCAGGAGTATTGAGAAAGTTAAAGAGGTTAATTGGCGGGAAATGGTAGTCCACAGATTTCGGGCGCGTGTTTCTGCTGGAAGAGAAGAAGAGGAATTGGGCTCACATCATCACATGATGTACCGGAAAAGCCCTCTTCAGCTTCACCCTTCACCGAGGTCAAGGATGCCGAAATTCAACCGCTTTACCCCTCACCGAAGGCTTGCCCGCGCACCGTCCGTCCGTCCCGCCGTCCCCACTTTTCTCCCGCAGCGAATTTCCTGCACTGTGAACGGTCCATAACAAAAATCCTCAATTCCCGGTGTTCTGCTTTTTCTTGCGCTCCACGACTGCGAACCCACCGACCCAATTGCGCCAATAAACGAATAAATGAGAGCAAGTACTGCTCTACCGACGAGATGGCATCCGAGCCTGGTTCCGTATCCAATCCGACGACACAATCGTCTTCTACCGACACCCCAATGGAGATCACTCCCACCCCGTCAACTGCTCAGGCGACCCAGCCCCGCGCCGACGAGCCTATGGCGCTTGATTCAGAGGGCGGATCTGGTGCGCTAGACAAGCCCGATGGTGGTGATAAGAGCGAGGAGAATGACAAGCAAAAGAAGCAGGAGAACCAGGAGAACCAGGACAATAAGAAACGACGAGTTGGCAGAAACGAATGGCGGTTAGCAGGCGCCCCTTCCCTCCTTTCATCCCCTTTCCCCTTCTTCAGCGTCACAATTCAACGTCGCATTGTAACTCAAAGTGTCTAACCAAGGAATAGTCGGGAAGTAAAGGACAAGCGCAAGAAACTGAGCGACGACCGCCAGGCTGCCAAGCGACGGAAGCTGAACGAGAACGGCGAAGCAGGGCCGGCCCAAACAGAGCAGAAGAAGGATAAGTGGAAGCAAGATGGGGAACCGCGTCCAAAAGACCCCAGGAAAGCCAACCCCTTCTCGACCGAAGAGATCGCCGCCGAAGAACGTCGTCCGAAGCGCAAAGTCGCCGTCATGATCGGCTACTCGGGGACCGGCTACAAGGGGATGCAGATCAACTGGGGCGAGCGGACCATCGAGGGCGACATCTTCAAGGCCTTCGTCGCCGCCGGCGCCATCGCCAAGGCGAACGCCGACGACCCGAAGAAGTCGAGCCTCGCACGGTGCGCCCGGACCGACAAGGGCGTCCACGCCGCCGGCAACGTCATCAGCCTCAAGCTCATCATCGAGGACGAGAACATCGTCGACAAGATCAACGCCAGCCTGCCCCCGCAGATTCGCGTCTGGGGCCTCCAGCGCACCAACAACGCCTTCAGCTGCTACCAGTCGTGCGACTCGCGGTGGTACGAGTACCTCATGCCGACTTACAGCCTGCTGCCCCCTCATCCCGACAGCTACCTCTGGAAGAAGGTCGTAGAGTCGGCCAAGGAGCACGGCACCTACGACGACCTCCTCGCCAGGCAGGGCGACGTCCAGGGGTTCTGGGACGAGGTCGAGGAGAAGTCGATCAAGCCCATGCTGGCGAAGATGGACCCCAAGATCCGTGAGGTGGTGTTGGAGAGGCTCCACTCGGTTGATGACGATCCTGAGAACGAGGGCAAGCCGCAGCAGGCCGACAATGTCGAGCAAGGAGAAAGTGCGGCTGGGGATCAGACGAACGAATCCGGCGCGAGTGCCGGTGCGGGCGACGCTGACCAGACGACTGACGCCACCACCCCCACCGTCGCCGATGCAAAGCAGCAGGAGACCGGTGCGGCGGTCGAGACAGCGACTCCCGCCCCCAAAAGGCCCCGAGAGCCGACGGCAGTAGACTTGGCGCTGCGCGACCTAAAGCAGGCCCTCATCAAGGCGAAGCGCGCGTACAGGTTCAGCCCGGACCGGCTGCAGCGGCTCCAGGACGCGCTGAACCAGTACGTCGGCACGAACAACTTCCACAACTACACCGTCCAGAAGAGCTTCAAGGACCCGTCGGCCAAGCGCCACATCAAGTCGTTCGACGTCAATATGAAGCCCATCCAGATCCGCGACACGCAGTGGGTCTCCATTAAGGTGCACGGGCAGAGCTTCATGATGCACCAGATCCGCAAGATGGTCAGTATGGCCACGTTGCTTGTGCGCTTCGGCGTGCCGGTCGGGCGGATCAAGGAGACGTACGGCGCGACCAAGATTGCCATCCCGAAAGCTCCCGGCCTGGGCTTGCTGCTGGAGCGACCCGTCTTTGAAGGCTATAATCGGAAGGCGGTGGATACCCTGGGCAAAGACCCCATTGACTTTTCCAAGTACGACGACAAGATCCAGGAGTTTAAGGATAAGGAGATTTACCAGCGCATCTTCGAGGTCGAGGAGAAGGAGAATATGTAAGGTTTTTTTTTTTTTTTTTTTCTTTTTTTTTCTCCTGCACGGGGTCAGTCTGGCACTAACGCGATATCATAGCTTCCACGTCTTCTTCCAACAGGTGGACAATTTCAAGTCCGACTCATTCTTGTGGCTGACGGATGGGGGCATAGCTGCGGGGATGTTACGGCCGAACAAGGAGGAGAAGGGCGACAAGGCAGTTGCGAGAGAACTGGGAGACGAAGACGAGGACCCCGAGGGCGGAGAGGGTTAGACGCAACCTCTCTCTAGAGCTGAGTCGCTACATGCGCCCCTCCGAATTCACCACGGGGATTCTGGGACGAACCATAGACTCATAGACCACTACATCTGTACAAGCAGTAGAATACCGTACGGTTATTATCAAATCTTGGTACGATGTTCTCCCTGTCATTGTGCCGCTTCCAAGATATGGCTGCGGCGGGTATCTAGCTATGTCCTCTCGTTTGAAATATATCCACAAAAGCCCCTCCCCTTCAGAACGCTGCTATGTACACGTAGAAGAAACGCTAGCAAAGTCATCATGCTCCGAGGCAACTCTGTCACTCTATGACACAGAACTCGCAGGCACCGATGGCGTAGCAGACGCAGCCGGCGTCGGAGCAGCCTGCGTGGTGACCCCTCCTCCTCCTCCTCCTCCTCCTGCCCCTCCTGCTGCTGATCCTGCTCCTCCTTCAGCACCATGCCCCTTCACCTCGACCAGCGGCTCCCACGCGCCTCCGTTCTCGTTCGCCAAGTTCGCATACCGCTTGGCCTGGATGGAGTTGAGAAGCTCGGCGCACCGCACTACGTCGCGGTCCAGCTGCTCAGCCTGGGCCTTGGCCTGTTCGTCCTCCCCGCCTAGACGACCGAAGAGCCAGAGTTCCTTGAGGCGGCGACTAAGCGCCAGGAGGTCCTTGATTGAGGTGTTCTTTTTTCGCGGGGTTTCAGTGCGAGGCTATATGGAAGAAGTACGTATACAAGGGGAAGAACAGGTAAGGGCAAAGGCAGAGGGGGGTTTCTTACGAGTCCTTCGAATTCCAGTTGCATGGACATGCCCGTCACGGCCACGGTTTGAGGGTCTATGTTGCGGGTCTCGCCTTCGGCTTGGATTGTGGCTAGCATGGTGAGCATGCGGAATCGGGCCAGGATATCCGCGATGAGGCGGTTATGCGTGTCGAGCAGGTTGGAGGACTCTTGGCTGCGTTCCATTTTGGGGGAGTGTAGGACTGGTAAAGAGGTGTAAGGAGTAAGGTTCAATGATGAGGTTGCTGATGGAACTTGGTCTTAAAGAATTTGATTACATAATCCATCATCTACAGCCGTCGTCTTGAGGAGGTATGTATGTACTGTCCTGTGGTGTCCTGGTACTCCAAGGTAAGGTACCTTACCTACCATACCTTAGGTAATTGATAAGTTGGATTATTATAGGGTAGGGTTAGTCCGACTAAGGCACTTAGTTATTCCGACTAGGGCACTACTAATGTTGTATAGGCACACGCTATTTATCTAGCTTAGAGAGACTAATTAACTATCCTAAGCGTTGAATAGTTAAGATATCGTGGCTTAAAGCGAGGGCGTTTTTAGCGCTCCTATAGTTAAGTCTATATAGATTATAACTCCGATTACGGTTAGTTCTTAGACTACCTTTATAGGTGTATTAGAAAACTAACATACTAATGTAGTATGGGTCTGTTTACTATGGGTAAATGTCTATTTTTGTATTTTAACTATATAGCTCGAATAAATAACTAACGATGCCGGACCCACACACACCATACCGCCTATGAAAGATAGTCTGAGCCTGCTGAGATAACTCCCATGTCTATATACGCACTGCCAATACCTATGGTCGTTTCCCGTGTTCTACGATGACCCCTTTCATCTAGCGAGCACCGCCACTCCCGTCACTCCCCATCACCACCAACTACCCATCCTACCCATCCTACCCATCCTACCCATGCTCCCCATGCTCCCCACCCTCCCCTTCCTTTATCATCCCCTCCGCCGTCTCCTAAACCGCGATACCACCGCCTAGATTTGGTGTTTTTTGCCTGCTGGGTTGTAAATGGTTGGTGGTGTTTGAACCGGAGCGCGTCCCCGTTCGCGGGGCGAGCGCTGTGGAATACGAAGGATTCTTCATGTTTCTTGCTGCCGAAGCACATTGCGGTGGTATGTAGAAGGTGAACCAAGATGAGGCGGCAGGACTCTAAAAGTGACAACTCGACCGTTTTCAGTGATGAGATATCTCTGGAGGGGGAAAAAAAGAGAAGAAAAAAAAAAGGGTTAGGACCGGAGGTCTTGAGACTTGGAACCGGCAATTGAACAGTTTCGCGCAGTTGGATTTATTTGTACTTATGCGACTTGTTTGCATGGTCAAGAAGTAAGAGGCCGGATGAATCAATAACCTGGTCGAACATCCGGTCTTATACCCAGGACCAAGACACATCACACACCACGAGGCGGGCTGTCCGACGCAACTGACGACAGCTCATCGAAATTGCTCTATTCAGCGGACGGTTGATTCAGCCCACGGGGCAAGATTCAGCCTACTGGACAGCCCTGTGCCCGGATTACACTCAGCTATCCTACTTTTCGAGAAGGCTTCTGATATCAGAACCGCAGCTCATTTCCGCCCCGGCCCCCCTGCAAGCCAACAACGCGCGAGGCGCGAGAATTCGCCTTACCCGAACCAACCAACTACTAAACTCGAATTGACGAAACCTCCCAGCCAACTAAGCTTTGCCAAGGGCGGTTCCGCCTAAGCTATGGGCAGGGTACGTGGGATCTTGGCGTTGAGAGGTAAACGTACGAGGTGGCACGGGCCGTCGAAGCTGGTATCCTGACATCACGGCCCCAGCCCACGATGACACTGGCTGGCTGTGCTGCGACCATCGTCGCTTTGGCCACCAACCAGTTGGTGTAACCGTAGGAATACCAAAAGTAGAAAATAGTTTGAAGTGGGAAGGTGATTTACCTCGAGCAAGTTACATGGCTAATCATGCCTGGCAATGGATGGTGCTGTACACGACAGAAAGCCGACGACTCGGTGAACTCGAGGTGAGAGAATACTTCCCGGGACAAACATTATTGTATCCGAACGAAAAAAAAAAAAAAAAAAAAAAATCGTTCTATACGCCCCCGTCGAGGCATGCATGAGTCACTGGTTGGGGGTTCCCCCGCCAAGTCCAGATAAGATAAGGGAGGAAAAGAAATTCGGCTGTTGGGTCTGAAAATCGCGGTCGATGAAATCATCACAGGCAACACATTCGAACCGAAGAAGTCACAATATAAATACGAGAACTCGGGGTGCTTTGCTAGGAACGGACTCTCAGATTCTTTAGGCGAATAACTTACAATTTATTCTTTCTCAACGCAAGTACCGCTAGATTCTCCGACGATGGCGTCCACCGCCTCTCCATCCGCTCCGCCATACACCTACACGGCGAACCGAGGCTACGAGTCAACCCAAGATGCTCTCTCCAAAGTCCAACAGAGTGGCGAACCTCCTGTCGATCCGGAGGAAGACGGCGACATCAACGACATCTTCGAGGACGACGAGGTCATGGATGACGACTGGCGGCTCGAGTCCGGCGATCTGACCAAGTCGTACAACCGACAACGCATGTTCCGCAACGCAAACGAGTCGAGTGCGACCGCGACCGCGACCGCGACCGCGACGCCCAGATCCAATGCACAAAAGCCTACGGCCAATACATTTGCCAGCGTCGACGACCAAGTAGCCGCCCTTTCGAAGCATGCCGCCAAGATCCGCCTCGACAGCGTCAAGGCCGAGGAGGAAAGAACAAGAGACAAGGCGGACCGCGCCACCACCGAGCAGGTTCTGGACCAGAGAACGCGAATGATCCTGCTGCAGATGATTAACCGAGGTATCGTCAGCGAGGTCCACGGGACCATCAGCACCGGAAAAGAGGCCAACGTGTACCACGCCGTGCTACAAGCCGACGACGGCCCTGCCGTGCAGCGGGCCATCAAGGTCTACAAGACGTCCATCATGGTCTTCAAGGATCGTGAGCGATACATCGCCGGCGAATACAGGTTTCAGAAAGGTTACGATAAGAGCAACAGCCGCAAGATGGTCAAGCTGTGGGCGGAGAAAGAGTTCAGGAACATGAGGAGGATATACACCGCCGGCATTCCCTGCCCCGAGCCCGTCCACCTCAAGCTGCATGTTCTCGCCATGAGCTTCTTGGGCGACAGGAGGGGCTGGGCATACCCCCGGCTCCGGGACGCCGTCCTGGCTGGAGATGACACCGACCAGCAGTGGAGGACACTCTACGTTCAGTTGCTGGGCATCATGCGGCGTCTGTACCGCGTCTGCAGGCTTGTCCATGCCGACTTGAGCGAGTACAACGTCCTCTACAACGAAGGGACGCTCTACATCATCGACGTCTCGCAGAGCGTCGAACCCGACCATCCTAGGGCTCTCGAGTTCCTCCGTATGGACATTAAGAACGTCGGGGACTTCTTCCGCCGCAAGGGCGTCGATACGCTCACGGACCGCGTCATCTTCGATTTCGTGACGTCGGTCGAGGGCCCGACCGAGGAACCGGGGCTATCCGAGGCCATCGAGCGCCTCTACGAGACCCGTGGGGACGAGGCCGCCGCGGATGATGCCGAAGTAGACAACGAGGTGTTCCGTAACCAGTATATCCCACAAACGTTGCAACAAGTGTACGACATTGAGAAGGATGGCCAGCGCATCGAACAGGGCGAAGGCGGCAAGCTGGTTTACAAGAACCTTCTGGCGGAGAATGTGGTCGACAAGAAGGAGCAGCAACAGGAGGACGACGAGGAAGACGACGAGTCTGAGGAGGACGAGTCTGGGAGTGGTGCGGACCTCAGCAGCGAGGACGAGTCCAAGTATGAAAAGGGCAAGCCGAGGGGAAAGAAGCACGGGGATAAGGAGGAGAAGAAGGTAAGTTGGACTTCCCTTGCGTTTTGTGAACAGGCTCTTTGTCTGACGAAAACATCCTCCAGCTGCACAAGCAAGCCGTCAAGGAGGCGAAGCGGGAGAAGCGGAAAACCAAGATTCCGAAGCACATCAAGAAGAAGATGGTCTCCGAATCGTCGCGGAAGCATAAATAGACAAGGCTGGCGGCTGCTCCCCGATATGGCGCATGGCTTTTTCTTGTAGTTTACCTACGGAGTATTCCCTCAGCTGAGAGGAGACGGAGACTACTCTGGGGCACGACAACCATACGCCGCAATCGGATGATGAAGCGAAACGATCAACCCCGGCCCCCGAACTGGCTGCTGTGTTTCGCAGTCATGCGTAACCGCTTGCCCAATGGGTGATGTCGGGCGTTGCCTGACAACGTCTTGTTGAACAGGCGTCGTGATGATCAAAGAGAGCTCTGACGATTTGTGCTGCGTTGGTGAATCCAGACCTCGGATACCGAGAAGACGGCATTCGACGGGTGATTCACGTCATAAGGGCCTGTGAATCCAAATTCTCGGCTCGTATCGTCGGTATGCCTGATAGCCTACCGTGAGTATAGGCTTTTACAATGGAAACCTTTAGCGCATCTCTGTCTCAATCCTACCTACACTGGCGCTTTAAAGCCGTGGCGTACCGATATGCTCCTCTCCTAGCTTCTGATGCGAAGTCTTGTATATATGCCTAGTAGCTTCTGTGAGTTCCCTTGATCCTAGCAGTACGCATAAGACCGCATGTCTCCGTTTGGGACGACGTCCTTGGTCCGTTTGTTTGGGCGGGTGCAGGCAAGCAGGAGAGTCAGTACGACAGTATTGTACAGTGAGAACACCACTTGAGATTTACGGTTCGAGATCTCTAGACTAGCTAGGGGGAAAAGCCAGCTTGGTAACCCAAGACTTCCGACTTCCCCATAGAGACGAATACGGATTACTATACATATCCCAAGACGCGCCGGGCGGCAAAAGACCACTCGGCGTAAGGGGACCGTCCGGGGGGGTACAAGCACCGACAACGATGATTACTCACGGCTCCCGCCCCCTTGGCTACAACCTCTGCCAAGCAGTTGGAGTAGGGTTACGGACGACGAGGACCCGAGTACGGGGGCTAGATTGCTCTCCAGACTGGCGGATGCCACCTCAGACAACCCAAGTCTGCGAAGCGAACCCCCGGAACAGAAAGAGGAGAGGGGGACACGCAGTGGCTTATTCGACTAGGAACGACGACACGAGGCAAGCCGATAGGAAGACGATAACGGGGGCGGCGGAGGAGCCGCCGACCGAATTTGGAAACGGAAACGGAATCTTTGCTGTCTACGCTGGTCACGTACAACGATGCCAGGAGACCTGTGCGGGGCGCGCTCGGGGCGCGCTCACGGCGCTGGGATGCTGGCCACGTGGGTGGTCATAGTAGGTTCAAGGGGAAGGGAAGGGAAATAAAGTCGGTGTACTGCCTGGTTGGAGAGTTGGAGGAGCATCGTCTTGGAAGATGAGAATGAGAACAGCGTAAAAGCAAAGGAACGTATATATACTTCTTGATTGGCTATGTGGCAGGAAACGTACGTGTACCGGTATCCCGTACCTTATCCACCCCCGGTCTCGTCCACTCTCTCGGTGAGGTACCTTGGGTACCAGTAGCTATCTCAATCATACGTCACACACACCGCCTCGAGGCCAGGAGATAAGATAGAGGATAAGAGATAAGACATCATGTCTCGTGCACGTCTCGTGCTCCTACTCTGTCTTTGTTTCCATCGTTGATCTTTCATCTTACCATCACCTCCTGACTCTGCATCTAATTACTTTCATTTCACTCTTTCCATGCCAAGCGGGGTCAGTTCTTGCTTCTTTATACCCTAGCAGTTCCCTTCTATGTATTTCTAAATCTGCCATTCTCACCTTCTCACCTCCTTTTGACCTGCTCATACAACGTCCGTCTATACGCTGAATCGACCTCCTCTCCCTTCTCACTATATCAACGTTTTCCAACCACAGGAACATACCACCGATCCAGGTATCGCCCATTTATTCGTGGCAAGGCCCAGCATGGAAAACTCGCCATCTTGTATCGAGTCACAACCAGACACGACGAGCTTCACTAAGCTGGAAGTTGAGGGCGCCGCCGACCAGAGCAACGGGAGGACAGTGACTGCCAACCGGCCCAAGGATTGGTGCCCCCTATTCGACCTTCTCAACTTCGACCTCCGTTGGCAGATCTACCAACACGCCTTCGCCGGCCGCGTCGTGCACCTCTACCTCCTCTATACCCGGACGCTGAAGTCGGATTCGCGCTGGCGCAAAGCTCATCAGCCCGTCGTGTCATGGTATCCGCATTCCCCAGGCGGTCTGTCAACTCTCGACCTGCTCTCCGGCGATCCGGACGCCAGCGCGGAGCAAGAGCAGTCTAGGCGCTGGCACTGGTGGGGTTGCGTCTGCCGCCTGGACGACGAGATCTGCGTCGCACCGAGACGGCGCGGGATGGAGATGGGCCTCCCGGACCCTTGTCCCCAGGGTGTCTTCTTCCTAAGGTCGGGGTCGGATCAACGAGACGCCACCTGTCTGGGGGTCATGGGCTGGTTAACAAGCTGTCGTCAAGCGTGAGTTTTCTTATTCTTGTTTCTTTCTTTTCTTTTTCTTCTTCTTTTCACTCTGGCGTTTTCGCGTCTTGGGCCCAAGGGTGGACTAGGAACTACGTTTGGCATGGAAAACTAAATAATACGGGGACCATCCCCGCGCGGCAGGTACGAGGAGACAATACAGCTACTCTACTCGAGCACCACGTTCAAACTGGAGCAGCGCCTCCAAGCCCTATACTTCCCGCAGATGCTACCCCAGCCGCAACGGAGCTGGCTAACGTCGCTGGACATCCGAATCACCGACTACGACGACTCCCTGCACGAAGCGAACATGGTTGGTGCCACGGTCCCGACGCCGACCTCGCAATCGACCATCGAACTGAACGCGCTGGGCGGGCGGGAGCAGTACCGGCGCATCCTGGCGTCGGCCGCGGCCTCTTTCCCCGGCCTGCGCCGGCTCCACCTCACCTTCGAGGGCTCGGTGCGTCCCAGCCCCGCGGGAGACTCGGACGACTCCTCCCATTCGACAACCGGGCGCCTTGCGACGACGACGCTCGGGGAGATGGAAGCAGACGAGTTGGAACCGGCCGTGCTGGGTCCCCTGGATGCCCTCCCTGCTTCGGTGCAACGCCGCGTGGTGTTCTTCCGCTCTGTTTACGACGCTCTGCTGCAGGCGGCGCGGCAGAAGCAGCCGGTGGACGAAGAGCAGACGTGCGGAGGAGGGCCTGGGAGTTCCCGGGCGGGTTGGACCCGGTTTTGGAGGCGGCTGGATCAGAAGGAGTGTGAGAGGGGCGGCTATTGGATCTACCTGCATCGATGAGTGCCTGCATGGATGATTGGGATGGGCCATTTGGCCATGTTGTGGGCAATTCTTCGACTGTATATTGGCTCCGGGGTTTACAGGCCGCGGTAGTTAATTTCACTGCTGGTCGGTGATTTTGATGGTGAGAGAGACTGGATAATGAGTGTTCCAGCAAACTGTGGTCGGTCTGTCTTGTTCATGCGAGGAAGGGTGGCGTCTTTACCTAGTATCGCATCCCCCCTTTTCCGGGCGATACCCTTGTTCATACATGATACACCTTCATAATTGCTTCTTCTGTCTGATTTTCTCTTCATCAGTCATCGCGTCGACAGGGCGATAAATCATTGCTGTTTATATTTATGCAACCTTATTTGGTTCCGGCGATTGTGGATGAGACATTCACTGGGATCAAAATGATATTCAGGCGACATTCAAACTTGGGTCTCTCGACCTTCAAAGGGAGTGGTAATAAATGACCCCTGACCACGTGATGCTCATAAAAAGGGGGGGAATGAGCAAATCTCGCAAATATCGTCTTCTATTTCTTGGCTTCTCCCCTTTTGTCCTACGCCCATCACACATGACCAAAACGAAAAAGAAAAAGAATGGAAAAGAAATAAAAAAATTCAAAGGACGGCACTCAAATTGACGCTATCATGGACCCCCGCATTATGCGGGAGGATCCCTACTCACACCTCGACCCTCCGCCGCCGTACCCCGGCCCGCCGCTCTCCCAGATAAGCTCAGAAATACCGCCACGGGTACCAGTACCTCAAAGACACGGACCCGGACTCGGACCCCGACCCGGGCCCGAACCAGGGCTCGGCCTTGGTCACCCTCACAACCCCGGGCCTCGTCTACGGCCCAGTCGATCAACACCAAACTTTCGCCAAGATGCCCATGCCCATCTCACGCCGGCCTTTCCCGGCATTGATGCTGCCACCGGTCGTCTTCGAAGTCCCTCACCGGGACCTACCTGGGGCATCACGCCATCCTCGACCCAGCCCGGGATGCAAACCGAGATGAGAACTGAGGTTCTGGTCCAGTATCGTAACCAGGAGGCGACGGACATTGAGACGCAGCAGCATCTTCGCATCCAGACGCTGAGCCACACCTTTCCCGTCATTCCATCCTCCTCTTATCATCACCACCACGACCAGCAACCACAGGTGGCACTGGCACAGGGTCCGCCAACAACGCGTCCCGATCTACCCACGACCACCTCAGCACCCCCCATAACCAAAGACGACGCCAAGGGGAAGAACATCTTCCAGCACGCCTTTGACGAAACCGTCTTCTTCGCCGGGGGGCTCATCCCCCACCCGGTGGAATCCACCCGCCACTACTCCATCCTCCGCCACTCGCCCGCCCTAGTCTGGTACCGCGGCCCCTCCACCTCGGTAGCCATCACCATCTTCTCCGACCGGCCCCTCCCGCCCGACCGCTCCTTCTGGCTCCAGCGCAAGGGCTTCTCAGGCAGCACAGGCATGGCGCTCAAGTCCATGCTAGGCGCCACGACCTCCTGGCTCGACGTCACGCCCTCCACGCGCGCGTCGCCCGCCGACCTGCCCCCGAACGATGAGCGGGGCTACCAGCGCGACATTTCGCGGTTCCTCAAGAAGCACAAGGACAACAACGGCCGCCAGATCGCCCGCGAGACGCACGTCATCCGCATCCCCGTCGCCGCCGAAGACGGCTACTTCCGCCTCGTCCTCTGCACCGGCGGGGGTGGAGACGGAACGGGCGGCGACCCACAACCTCCCGACAACAGCAGCACCAGCACCAGCACCAGCAGCACGGCAACGCGGCAAAAGACGGCGAGGAAGAAATCCGTCCTCTGCCCCAGCCCCGTGTTCCGCGTCGCCAGCACCTCCTCCGACGCGAGCGTCTTCCGCGGCGCAGGCCTCCGCGCCATGCCCCTCGAGATCGGCGTCAAGGTCGGCTCCACCGTCGCCGCCAACGTCGTGAACCGGTACGTCGCCCCCGCGCGGCTCGCTGCCACGGCTGCCGCGGCGGGGGTCGCCAAGAAGGTCGAGCAGAAGGCCATGAAGCGCAGCAAGCAGGTCGTCGCCTCGCGGGCCGTGGAGGTCGGGGTCGCCAAAGCCGGGTGGAAGACGGGGCTCGGCGCGCTGGAGGAGAGGTACGCGGGCGGAGGAGGCGGGACGGGGTACGCCCCGTTGGGGGGTGCGGCGGCGTGGGACGACATGTCCTCGTCGTCGCCGCAGGCGCTTCCGCCGGAGGTTGTCGGGTCCGACGACGGGCCTGTCCGTCCTTTCCCCGTCAAGTTGTCCGGGACGGTGGGGCGCGGGACCGGACGCGGCGGGATGGCGCTGGGGATCCCGACGGCGAACCTGCAGAGCGTGACGCCTGAGGATGTACCCCTGCGTATGCGCGGCGTGTATCTCGCCTGGGCTTGCGTGGTGCCCAGGCAGGGCCTACCGGAGTCCATGTCGCACGCGTGGCACGAGGCCATCGTCACGGCGGGACCGTCGCCGTATGCCACGCCGGCGGTGGTGGCGGCGCGGAACGAAGTGACGGTGCATTTCCTGCACGAGTTTGGTGGCGTCATGTTCTACGATGCGAAAGTCAAGGTGCTTGTCATGGGCCAGCTTAGGAGGTCTGCGCCTTATTCGTCTGTTTCCCCTCCCAGTGAGATCAAGGGAGGGAATGGCGACAGCAGCAGCGGTCACACTGAAGGGGCCATCGCGGCGTATGCGGACGACGTGGTTGTCACGGTGGCGAGCCTGAGCCGCCCTAACTGGGGTCCCATGGAGACCTGCGAGCGGTTGAAGACGCTGAAGAGCGAACGTTCCTTTACAGACAGGTACGTCGATGCCAGGGATAAGGTGCAGAAACAAGTGGACCGGATCCCGCTGCACTGGGCTGGCGTCCGGACAGAGGGAGCCGCCATGCGGGATCAGGCGTTGGGAACAGGGGGGTTCTGGGTTCAGCGATGAAGAGCAAATGTTGCTTGTTTCGAACAAATAATAGATACTGATGCTTTCTCCATGGTTGGGAAACTACAAACTGTAATTATTCTAGGGAGACGAAGGGAATCGGGGAAACTATGCCAAAGCAATACTACGATACAGGTTAAAGACCGCCCAAGAAGTAATCGGAACTTCGTGCAAACGCCTGTCTCCGGGACCCCAGTCCTCTACCCTCGTGCTGACAGTGACCGGCCGCGACAGTTGTGAATCGTGCAAACTACATTCCTTCTCTAAAGCTAAGCGCCATCATGCGTGGATGGCCTGCTGGACGTGGGGATAGACGCGGACCATCTCGTGGTAGAGTTCGGGATGGTCGCGGATCATGACCTCGGGGTCCCAGGCCGCAGCGACGAAGATGGTATCGATTCCGCTGGAGATGGGAGTGGTGAAGATGTTGGCGATCTGGAGGCCGATGAGGAAGGAAAATGCGACAATGACGGCGGTGTAGTCGCCTCCACGGTTGTAAGGGGGGTCGGTGAGGGTGATGTAGAGGAAGGCGAGCAGGGCGGACGCATAACCCACAAATGTGGCGCCGAAAGAGAGTACGGGGCCAATAAGACATTCCTGGAGAAAGGGACCAAGACGTCAGCAACAGACATGCGAGATTGTGAAGGAAGGAACTAGATCTTAGAGAAAGGAAGAGGGAGAAAAGAACGCACATTGATCAAGGCGTCAATACCGCGATCCTTGATCATGGCCCAAGTGTCCTTGGCAGCAGGGAGGTAGGCCTTGCCGTAGAGGGCGATGTGGCAAAAGGCGTAGCGGTTGAGGAAGGTGATGGCCCAGTCGATGACGGCGAGAATGCAGCTGAGGACGCAAAAGAGAGCCCAGGTGATGAGATCGCCCTCAGCGCCGGCCTGCATGCGGGCGACGGAGCAGATGTGGCGGAGGAAGTTGATGATGGCGACGACAAGGCTACCGAAACAGATGGAGCCGAAACTGTAGGTCAAGGCGCGCTTAAGGGCTCCGCGGGTGGCGGCGTGGGGGAAGTTGTGGGCGCAGAAGTACCAGGAGCCGTAGACGCCGGAGATGGCAGTGTGGATAACATTCTTGATGACCTCGGAGATCCAGTACATGGAGAAGGTGATGAAGACGATGAGGCCGATGACGCGGGCCCTGCTGCAGCTGCCGTCGGCGCAGTTTGGGTTCTGGGGGTCGGGTTGGAAACGGTCGTAGACGGCGACGAGGGTGACGGCGTACCAGGCGGCGAAGGCGGCGCCCAGAAGGCCGCCGAGCCAGGAGACGAGGTAAACGTGGCCATAGCGCTTGGCGACATCGATGGCGGTGCGCAGCAGGAGGGCGGAGAAGGGGATGCGCGGGATCCAGGTGTAGAAGAAGAAGGCGAGCAGGAGGCCAAAGATGAGGAAGACGATGGCGCCGCCCCAAGACCGGCGGTAGAAGAAGTAGATGGCGAGACCGATGGCGAAGGCGATGTTGAGGATGCCGGTGGCCCAGATGAACTGTTTCGGGAAGAGGCGGGCGAGCCAGACGTACCCGTAGCCTAGGACCACGGCAACGACCAGGACAAAGGCGAAGAGGATGATGGTGTTGCTGTTCAGGGCAAAGGAGCTTTCGTCACGATAGATGCCGCCACCGCTGCTGGAGTTGACGTAGCCGTTGATGGAGATGCCAGAGACTGCGGTGAAGCCGAGGAAGAAGAGGATGAACTGGGGACAACAATCGTAAGCGGTGAGCTGGGTCCCATGTTGAAACCAAACCGTTGGCGAGGAAGGGGAATAGATGAAGGCTGAGGCAGAAGAAGTAGAGATGAGGAAAGATATAGACATACCAAAACGGCAGCCCAGAGGTCGTGCCACTTGGGCTTCTCGACCTTGAAGGCCTGGTCGAAGCTGTACTTTTCCGGGTCATGACCCTGTGGAGGGGGAGCGGGAGGGTGATAACCATAGGCATCTCCAGGCGGTTGGGGTGGAGGATAGCCTGGCTGGTGGCCGTTGTTCTTCTGGTAAGGTTGGTTGTAGCCATAGTTTGGCTGTTGATATGACTGTTGCGGCGGCGGCGGATGATACGACTGGCCGGGCTGGTAACCGCCTGGTCCTTGATAACCAGCTTGCTGGCCGTAATACTGTTGAGACGACATGCGCGATGGCGTCAATGAACGAAACGTTGGTCTCGAGATCAGTGGTGAAAGATCCTCAAGTCGATTGATAGACTGGGAAGCGCTGGAGACTATGTGTCTGCTGTATGACGAGCTATAGTCGCTGTGATTGTCGGTATGGGTTGTGGTGGTTGTTGTGGTTGTGGTCGTCCCGGACGGCTTCCTTTACAGTATGTCGGTGATGTCGGGAGGAAATTTGCGTGGCACGGGTAATTGCTCGGTAGAGGTGAAAAGAAATCAAAAACCACAAGGTGCAATTCTAATAAAGCAGTTGAAATTAAAAGTAAATAAAAAAAATTGCAGGAAAGGAAACTACTCCCAAAAGAGAATGTCACACGTTCATGATCCAAGCCAAAACGCCCAGACAGAGTTTAGGAGCTTGTCACCCCACTAGAGTTCATTCCAGACGTCATCATGCGTTTTCTTTCGTATATTGGGAAGGGCCACTTCCAAACTAGGATGACGCGTCCCCGGGTCACGTGAAGTCTGTCGTCGTATTGTACTGCGTATTTCATACCGACTTTGTACCTTCCGATGCATGACCCACGGTGTCGAGCAAGACACAAATCATTATCAACACGGAGTACGAGATACTACGGGGAATGGATTGTCGGATCGCAATAACTATCATCCCGTCCGCCGCTCGGGCCATCTCATCCCAGCTAACCGCCAAGGCAGGCCGAAAATTTGAGCCATGGATGGAAGTCCCTGAGATTCATGTTCTCGATTTCAAGAACCATCATCCCCCATCTAACGAATACGCCTTATCATCGCCCCTAACCCCCGACATTCCATTAACGACGGATATTGATTTGAAGCCATCTACCATCAGAATCGAATCCCCTTTATTACGGAGGTCGACTACAGAAACACCGCGACGTCCCTTTTTACCGTCCTCCGGTTTCTGTGTCACGCTCCCCTTCGACTTCATTAATTCCATTCGATCCTGATACCTAAACCGCCAAGATGGTCCAGCTCGTCGAGGTTGAGGACGAACACTTCCAGAGCGCCCAGCCGGGGCCCGAGGAGGATGATGCCGACTTTACCGACACCGGTTCGTGATTTTCCAGCCCCTTCCTCCCACTCTCCCAGTCACTCCCCGACCACCACTAACCACGCCTTCTGCTTCCTTTTAGACTCTGAAATCTCCGAAGACAGCGACTACGACCCCAGCCAGGAAACCCTCGCCGAGCGTCTGTACGCGCTCAAGGACATCATCCCGCCGACCACGCGCGGCTGGATCGGCGCCCGCTTCGACACCGGGGCCCGCGCCGTCCAAAACACCTGGTTCTACGGCTCCCGCACCGTCTGGGTCGTCTGCACCGCCGCCCTCATGATTGGCGTCCCCCTGGCTACGTGCTGGGCCGAGGACCAGCAGATTGAGGGCATGGAGCGCGAGTACCGCATGCGCGAGATGGGCAGCGAGCTGCTCACCGCCGGCGAGGACCAGAAGGAAGGGAACACTGCCGACATGCTGAACCAGGCCATTGGCGGCAAGACTGAGGCCCGTCCGTCGCTCTAGGTGAAGCGCATCTCTTGACCCTCCGTCTCTGATGGGGACAAAACACCCAAGATTGGTTATCTCGAGAAACGATAGCCTTTCGGCAGCCGCCTGTTTAAGCTGCCTTGTATACTAGACGCCAAACTCTTTTTCCTTTCCTTTTCTTTTTCCCTTTTTTTTTTTTTGTTTCCCCGACTCTGCGCTTCGACGATTAATGGGCTCTCGTCTGGTTTGTCATTCTTCGACTGGTCAGTACGACGTGCGACTTGGATGGATCGATGACAGCAAGGTCCATCACGGGGATGGGGAAAAACGCTGGAAGACTTGTGCGACAGAATGACCGACACATCATCCGACCAAGACAACACGCAGTCGCCGCCGCTTACACATTCTTGCTTTTTGTGTGTGTGTTTGTGTGTATCATTGGGCATGGTAAAGGCTCGGGTGGGAACGCGGGAAAGCAGGATAGAATGGCTTGCGAAGGGGGAAATCTTCGCTCCCAACTCATGGAACTGCGGTTCCCTTGTATATTTTGTGATAGTACCCTTGATGCTATGGCTATGAATTTTCCGACAGTCGACGAGACGAGACCAGGTCGGCTGGCTGATGGAACACCCTAATAATTCTCTGCGAGCATTCTCTACGGCCCAGTGCTTTTGATCTTGCGTTGATTTAAGTGAGGGCTGGGGCGAGTTGTGCGGCGTCTCTCACCATGTATATTGTTGTTTGACATGTTGGCGCATTTGAAGACTGGAGGCGGAGGTCGCCGCGATGCCCTCCACTTACATTCTAAATACCTCCGCATTCAACTGCTCGTAGGTCTTCTCTCTCCTTTCCCTCCCTCCACACTCACACCATCCATATTCCACAGACTTGAACCTCCCTATATATCACACCTTGAAGGGCAGATTTGAGCACCATGGATTTCAAAGCCCTCCCCAAAATCGAAGTAACAGTTTTATCGACCGCCCTTTTATGCTCACCCAATCTATTGTCATAGTAATACCGAAGCTGACTCGACGGTATGAACAGCTCCACGCCCATCTCACAGGTAGTATAAACAGACAAACCCTCCACGAAATTTGGAAACGCAAGAAAGCCGCGGGAGAGACGGACCTTGAGGACCCCCTCGTAGTCATGCCCGAGGGGAAACACGACTACAACCTCAAAACGTTCGTCTGGCCTTCCCATTGACCTCTGCCTCTCAACGTGAAAACAAAAGAAAAAAAGATGGAAAAAAAAAACTCACGTCGAAATGATCGTCCTAAAACAGCTTCTTCCCCCTCTTCTCAACCTACATCTACGCCCTCATCACAGACGCAGCCTCCCTCTCCTACGCCACGCAAGCCGTACTACGCGACTTCGCAGCAGACGGAGTCCGCTACCTCGAGCTCCGCACCACCCCACGCGCGACCTGTAACCCGACCGACGGCTCCGAGCGCCTCAGCAGGGAATCCTACGTCCGCACCGTCCTGGCCGCGATCACCTCGTACGAAAAAAACGACACGGACCGACGGGACCAGGACACCCTCCGCACCAAGTTGATCCTCAGCATCGACCGCCGCGACGACCTCCCCACCGCGACGGAAACCGTCCGCCTAGCCGCCCGGCTCCGCGACGAAGAGGAGGACCAGGACCAGGACCACCCGGAGACTCGTGGACTCGTGGTCGGGGTAGACCTCTGCGGCGACCCCACGGCCCGCACGGCGCTCGACCCTTCGCCCCGGGGCGGTGTCGCCGAGTTGACGCCCGCTTTCGCCGAGGCTAGGAAACGGGGACTGCATGTCGCTGTGCACTTTGCCGAGTCGGAGGCGTCGGGGACGGATGAGGAGCTTGTTACGTTGCTCTCGTGGCGGCCGGGCCGGTTGGGGCACGTCATTTGGCTGAGTGACCGGGTGAAGGAGCTTGTGCGGCGGCGCGGGGAATGTGGGGAGGAGGAGGAGGAGGAGGAGGGGGGGATCCGGGGGATTGGGCTGGAGTTGTGCCTGAGTTGCAATGTCCTCGCGGGCATGACGAAGGGTCCCTTGGCAGGGTTTGCGGGACATCATTTTGGGGAGTGGTGGGGTGCGAAGGGATGTTGGGTGTCTCTGGGGGTGAGTATTGGCGATCTTTTTTTCTTTCTTTTTTTCTTTCTTTTCTTCTTTCTTTTCTTCTTCTTTTCCCACACATACTCACACATAGTAGACAGACGACGTCGGCGTCTTCGGCAGCCCGCTATCGAACGAATACCGACTGGCCGCCGAGCACTTCAACCTCTCAAACGCGCAGGTATGCGAGCTTGCAAGCCTGGGGATCGAGTCCATCTTTGGCGGGGAGGAGGAAAAGGCGCGACTAAGACGAATCATGTGGACGAGTGCTTAAGGGCCGATACCGCATGGGCCTGGTCTTGGGCAACAGCAAGCATTCACTCAAGTGTGCGATAGATCCGAGATAGATGGTAGAAGCAGTCGAAGCTGGATGTTGATTCACTCTTGATTCTTTCCTCCATGTACAAGTCCAGTTGAGTACGGGTATCTATTTGAATCGTCCAACTTATTAATGATACACGAGAGTGTTCCTCGTTGCTCATCACTTACGCCTATGCTGCCCCCAGCCGTCATTTCATCGCCATCCCCGCCAGGTTCGAGATATATGGCCCCAAATCCACCACAGAATGCGCCTGATACGAAAAAGCCAACCCCTTGTTCCCCACCCAATATACAAAAAAAAAATCTATAAACATTACAACTAGATGGCATCCAGGAATCCTAATTCTCCCAAAACATGGCTGTTCCAACGCTAAGTAGTGAAGCGACGACGACCCCACCGAGGTACGGTTTCCGCGCCGCACCGGCAGCCGCTTGCTCAGGAAACAGGTTGAGGACATCACCACCGGGATCTGGCCGCCGCTGTTCCTGCTCCTCTTCCTGCTCATCGTCGACCTCTGGCTCGGGCGGCGTTTCCGTAGGAGAAGAGGGAGACGGGGTATCCGTCCCGGTGGGAGTGCGACTTGTTGAAGGCAGCACGACGGATGATTCGCTCGATGAACTTGAACTGGTCGATGTGGGTATTGTTATTGTTGTTGACGTCGACGTCGATGTAGTTGTTAATATCGAAGTGGGCGTTGTGGATGTGGTGCTTGAGGACTCGGTGGTAAAAGTGGAGGGTGTTGGTGTTGGCGTTGGTGTCCTTGTCGTCGTCGTCGTCGTAACAACGGGGTCATCATTATCAACGTCATTGTTGGGGCAGAGCACGAGCGGGAGGTTCCCGAGGAGAGCCTGGGCCAGCAGCGTGTTGATGGGAACCAGGACACCGCCGCACGCGAGCTGGATGTCGGCTTGCAGCTTCGAGATACCGAACAGGCATGACGTCGAGCAAGTGGCCCCGGGGAAGAAGTCGCCGGCACGGCATCCTTCCAGCGGAACATTGTATGCCAGCCGGCACTGACGAGGAATGCCGGATTCGTCCACGTCGGAGAAGTTTCGCAGGTAGACGTCTTGGGCGGCCGCCAGGCCGGCGAGGAAGGGGAGGAGATGGGTAGCTCGTCTCATTTCTCCACGGTTCTGACTTGACTTGGAAGTTTTCTTGTAACGCCACCGACCCGGTTGAGGTAGAGTCCGGCTGAGGCAGAATCAATCCGGATGGGATGTTAGAGGACCGGTAGCAATGTCCGATAGAAGGCGACTGCGGTAGGGACGACAGACGCCCACTGCTGCGCGGAGGCTCGGGAGAGACAAGACAGCGTGGCGTGACGCAAAGCAAACAGAGCCCGATTCTTTATCAGGAAAGACGAGCGAGCAACAGGTCGGATCTGAATGCGTGGTGTGTAGGGCAACAGCAGGGATACGCAGCAGAGCTTGCGGTTCCGCGTGGCGCAGGGTTGAAAGGCAAGAATCCAAGACGGTTGGTGTATCAGGTGAAGATCAGGACAGGCGGGTTGACAGTCTGCCGGGACAGAAACCTCGGGTCACGCCGGTCCGTGACAAGAAAGAGGCAGAAGAACGGTATCCCGTGAGAAGTCCAACTCGAAGTCTGCTGTAGCTAGGATGAAAGGATGTGTCTCGCAGTTTTGAAGTCGTCGGTGTCGTTGATGCTGTTGGGCCTTTGAACGGAATGTCGAAGTTGTCCTGGAACACAGAACAAGCGCGGTAGAATCGAAAGAAAAGGAACGACTGGTCACGGCTATCAAAGCTAAAAAGATGACAAGAGGGAATATTGTATCGGTTCCGCGGTACAAAGAGACCCCGGAATAGGGAATGTCACGATGACGACAACGGGGAAGGGAGAAAGAGAGAATGGGAATGAGACAAAGAGGACCCGGACAACTGTCGGATATAAAGCAGGGACCCCTTGATGGGAGCCGGAGAGGTCCTGACAGAAAGCCCCTGGCGGGACGAACGCCACTGTCGAGAAGAAACGAAACAACAGTCCGTCGTTTGGGCGCCAATAGGGTGAGGAGGGAGCTGATAGGTATAATAGGTGGCCGGGGTGGCCGGGGTGGGATGTTTTGCGCAGGCCTCGTGCAGCGGATATCGATAACATGTAGATACGGCACAGCTGAGGAGGGAAAAAAGAAAAAGGAAACCGAAAAGAAAGAAAGAAAGAGAAGAGAAGAACACGAACAATCAGCAATAAGAGGGACACAGAGACAGCGCAATGACATGGGATTCCCGTCCACTGCAAGGAATGAGGGAGGTCTCACATCAAGCACGGGATTCTCTGATAGTATAGCAATTAGCCACACGACCGTGGAATCGCGGGCCTCACGCTTCCCTACCGTCCCGTCGAATCGAATGGCCCCTGCCGGACCCCAGAGTAGCCGAGAAGAGCACCTTTCTCACAGCTGAACAGCTCGGCGCGAACCGCAACCCCATCGTCACTTGTTTCAGAATACCCATGGTGCAGATCTTAAGAGTGACTCTTTGACCCTCCGGGCCTTCTTGGCACGCTGGACGTCATCGCGTGGTCCGATTCGACATGGCCATAGATGTGTACGGAGGGAGGACTCGGGGATGTTTCCGATGGCTTGGACAGGGAGAGCGTCAAGGTGAAACGTCCGTCATGTTCCCATGTTTGAGGTCCTCGGGTCGGATGGCTTTCGCATTCGTTGATTGGCCTGGTTCCTGTATCCATCACGAATGGTGGCTTACCGAGGTGGCTCCACTGGTTCTTATTGGTTGAATGTCATCATGGGGCTCAGATACGCTGGCGGAGGTGGCTGGAGCTCGTAACTTGGAGTCTCCACTGTGGCTGGTGCCGAATAAGATCATTCCCGCTGGTTCTTCGCGTCCTAGACTGAACCGCTAAGTTATTAGAATTCTACTTCGTCGTAATCCCTATCCGCTTCTACTACCCAACTCGAATAAAATAAAACTGCATCGATACATATACCCGTTGTCATTGCAAGTTCCTAACCCATGAACAAAAAAGGAAAGAGTGAAAGAAAGGCTCAAAAGCAAAACAACTCCAATTTCGCAAGTCCTCAAGCCCCGACTTGCACCTCCTGGCCGGCAAGGGCCGCCCTCTCCGAGGCGTTCGTCCCGCCCTGAGGCGATAATGGTTTGCTGGGATCGTACCCTACCGCTTTCACGATACCGAGCCCTTTCGTCCGTCCCTCGCGGAAAAGTAACCTGTCTCCGGGGACGAGGTACTCGGGCCGTTGCATGAACCGGAACGCCACCGTGGCCCGGTCTCCCGTCCGGATATACGGCCGGTCCACGTCAATGATGGCACACGTCTGCGACACCGGGCCAACGTGCAACATGGCCTGGTACTTGGTCCGGATCGTCGTCGCGTGCGACAGAATCAACACTATGGACGCGGGGTCAGCGTTTGTGGCGACGTAACCACAGTGGATTTCTCCCTTACCTTCGGCAACAAACTCCCTGTGCACCTGCGGGTTAGGCTGGCCCTCCAACTTGGGAAGCACCACCATCCCCTTCCTGACGTCTTTCCTCCGCACCTTTTTGAGCGCGAACGAGGCCGACTGGCCCGCGGACGCCGCCGGGACCCCTAACCGTTTGCGCTCAATCGACCGGATCGTCGTCGTCGTGAACTGGCCCAGCGAGTCGGGCCCCACCAGCACCGTATCGCCCGCATGCACCACCCCGGACTTGACGATCCCCGACACCACCGTGCCCACGAACGGCACCGAGAAGGTGTCGTTGATGTGGAACTCGAAGGGCGCGTCCGAGTCGTACCGCCCGTGGTGCGGCAGGATGTTCAAAAAGGTCCGCACCAGGTCCAGGTTCTCGCCCGTCACGTTGGACACCTGGAACACGGGGCAGATCCGCTGGCTGATGAACTGCGTCGCCGTGTTGACGCACTCCTCCCGGTCCTTGATGAAGATGGGGATCTTGCGCGCCCCGGGGCTTTTGAGGATCTTCTTGATCTGGCTGATCGTCTGCTCCAGGATCTGCGGCGGGCAAATGTCCACTTTCGTGATCACCACCATCACCGGCACGTTCAGCGCCAACGCGAGGCCCAGATGCTCCTTACTCATGCCGATCAGTCCGTTGTTCGCCGCCACCATGAGCAGGCAGTAGTTGGGGCTGCTCGAAAGCAGACCGAACACCGTGGTGCGGAGGTATCTCTCGTGCCCGGCCAGATCGGAGAATGTGATGACTTTGGCGCTGCGTTTGCCAATCTCCTCCCAAGAAAGTTTCCCTGTCCCAGCTTTGCGTTAGCCGAATTTCCCACTGTCGCTTCTGTATTACAGCGGGGGAGGAAGAAAAAAAAGAAAAAAAAAAGCCCATGGCAATAGTTTGCAAAAACTCACGTCCGGGGACATCCGAGGTGACGACCTGGCCAGCCGTGTCGAAACCTAATATCTCCATGCCAACAGAACTAGTGCGGCCCGATTCAATTTCGTGCTTGTGCCGGAAGAGATTCACTCGTGCCTTGCCGCGTCCATCGTCGAGGTCCCCCTTGACAAGAACGCCGAGGAGGGAGCTCTTGCCAGCGTCAACTATGAACTCGATCAGTACATTGCTTCTGTCCGTGAGGGAAGGCGGTTGGGCAGAGCAGAGGAGAGGAGAGGAGGAATAAAGAAAGAGGGAAAAAAAAAAAAGGGATATATGTGCGTCGACTTCCGCGTACCATTTCCGACCACGGCAATCCTCGTCTCAATAACATCCTCCACCTTATGCGGCTTCCGGCGAATCATGACTTTGCCCGTGCAGTCCTTGTCCTTGCCCGACTTGGCACTCGGGGCCTCGACGTCGCCACCTACGTTCCTGGTCACTAGCAGCTGGCAATCCGCGCCGGCGAGGCGCGCGGCGTCCTGTAACCTCTTATACGCCGTGTTCCACTGGTCCGGATTCAACCCCATCGAGTCGCCGTTGTTCTCGAAGCCGAGTTCGAAAACCGTCTCGCCATGTCCCTCGCCTAACCTGTCGGCCAGGTGGTCGCTCAGCTGCTTGCCCGTGATGCCATCGTCGGGTCCCAGAAGTAGATCTTTTAACCGTATACCGGGGGTTGTTGCGTCTGCGAGGTCGAGAGTGTCGAATAGTTCGTCTAGCTCGGCATGTTGGTGTTCCTGGGACTGGGACTGGGACGCGGGGGCTGCTGTCGTCGTGTTGCCCGCGGCGGAGGGTTGTGTATTGGGGAAGCGGAGGTACTGCTGTTTCTCGACGTACTCGGCAAAGTCACTGAGGGCCTGATCTCGGCGTTAGGGCTATGCGAACTACCTAGGTATAGGTATGTTGACAGTTGACAGTGGAAGTGGCAGTAACAACATACAGCTTCGCCTTTCCCTTTCTGGTAGGGCATTGCTATCACCGATGTGCCGGTCATGTTGCAAGATGCGGGATCGCAAGGGATAAGAAAGACCGGGGGGGCGGATTGCGCCGAGTTGCGTTATGTCGGTATTCGATCGATCATGGATGAAGTTGTGGATGATAATGGGGGTAAAGGAGCGATGACGCCGTAGTGAATGCTGGAAGAGAGGGAAACCAAATAGATCATTGATGCAAAGGAGGTTAAGGAAGGGGTCGGGATTCGAGTCATCGATTTTGACTCGGGAAAAAGGTAAAGGACAGTTGATAGTTGTAATACGAAGTAGGAAAGTAATACTAACGAGGTAGGGGGGAAACGGGAACGGGCGGTGGACGAATGGCGGTCGCGCCCATCAGTCACCTTTCGTAACATGTCGGTACCTAACTTGGGAACGGAGGGTGAGTAACTCCCGAGTCGGCGGAGACCTAATTACCTTATCGATAGCAGCTGGTGCACTGGCCATCTCGCCCGTCCTATTGGGCCCAACTTAGTTCAGTGGAGCGTGGCAGTAATTACTCCGTACGGAGTACGTATTCGTCAGAGTCACACACAGTGCTCCATCTTCGTTCCTTTCGGCCCACGTCTAAAATAACCAAACGAGTACCTTGGATCCAGCCCTGTCAAAGCAACCCCCCCCGATTGAGTGAGAGAACACGAGGACATCCAAGCTACTCCGTACGTTACCTGACTCACAATCAGGGGCGATAAAGCGAGGAGTCATGTGGGTTCTTCCCGCTTCTGGTCACCCTACGCGATGACACTGAAGCTCTTACCTCCTCAGCCGTTCTCCTCAATGATCACCTGCAACCCAGCACGTTGGGCGAGCACTACGGAGTACGGGGGTGGAAAATAGTACATGTGGTGTTCGGGAGAGTCACGATGCCCTGGGAAATCCGAATAGGAAACCTGCTTGCAGAAACACGTTTTCTTTTGGGGGTTCCATGAAGGTGGCTTCGACGAGTGTAGATGATGCAGTGTGTTCTGTGGTCTCTCAAGAGACTCTACCTACCATGAGACCGAGACCGAAGGTAAAGCCGTGGCTCTGTTCCCTTCCCTTCATAGACCTGGCCCTGCGCAGGGTCGTCCACGCCGCAGACGCCTCTGCCGATGGCAGATGTACGTACGGCATTGGCGTACGGTTCTCCCGATGCGTCTTGGTGCACGGGATTGTTCGATTTGAATATGGTGGTGTGGATGTAGCGGTTCGCTATGGTGAAGCCAGTCCATGGATCATGTCCACCACTCATGACGACGCCTGAGGTGAGATGAGGACAACGCTGTCTCCTATTTTGAGTGTCAGCAGGCACGGATTTCACCCATACAGACGGAACAGGAGAAAGGGGGGCAAATGCATATGCGTGCTCACCTCTGACAAAGAGCATCTCGGACTTTTTGCTAACGGTCTGCTCCCCATCATTAGGTCCACCGTAACTTCCGCCGACCGACGACGTAGGCCGAACGTACCTTTACCTCGTCACTTTCCTCCTCCTCGTCGACGACGTAGATGGTTTCTTCGACTTCGCCCAACACAAGGTTGCAATGGCTGTCGTAGGCCTAGGTGAAAGAATAAGCAGATGAACCAGCGGAAGGCGAATATCACGGAGGGGATGGTGAATGGTGTTGGTTGAGAGAACTCACGTGAAGCCGTCCCTTAAGCTCGCGATCGCCTCGCAATTTGACAAAGACCACCTCGTCCAGGAGCAGACGCACCAGGTCGAGGGGTTCGGAGACGTGTGTCGATTCCTCTGCTGCGTCGGCCATGGCGTAGTATGGAGGGTGAGTGCGAAATGACCGTGGGGATTGTGATGTGATGCGACCTAGTGAGATCCCTGATGTGAGGGGACAAGCATCTGGCTGCAGGAGCTGGATGAGCTTTCAGGCGGGTGGGTGGGCTTACTGGTCCGACTGCACTGACCACCTCTGGGTTCAAAACCCGCAGAAACCTTTTTGCGAGCCCCGGCCAATGTCTCCAGTTTTCTTGTTTACCTTGTACAGTACGAACCACAGTATGAGGTACAGTAAGTGACCCCGCTCGGGAAATCCAAGTGTCGTCGTGTCCCCTGAAAATGCCCAGCAAAGAGGTCCCACAGTAACACCGGCGGGGGGGCCGTCCAGCGTCTTAGCGCTTTTGAGGTCCACTTAGTGCTCTGTAAATCCGGGGTAGCACTCCACTGTTAGCACCCCTCTCTCTTAGGGCTACAGGTAGGTATCATTCTCGGTCAGGGGAAGATATCGGAGAAGAGGAAGGAGCATGAAGCGGGGGGAGGAAGGGTTTGGGTGCTTGTATTCCATGTCGCAGTACTGTGCTCCCTTCGTCCCCAACAGCCACCTCTGTCTTTTTCTCCTTTCTACTTCCCTCCCTCCTTCCTTTCCAACTCTCCAACTCATGAACTTGCTTGGTCAAACTCCTCGATGGCCCTGCTCATCCACAAAGCAGAGGCTGTCGGCCTTCATACATGTCTTCAGGTAGCACCAGCCTCTTTCCGAACGTTTTCTATTCATCTGAGGCGCTTTTCTCGTCGATACCCCACACAACCAGCTCGGAATCAACCAGAGGCGATCGCAGACCCGACCACGCTTCCTCCCTCCAGATTCCCCCAAACTACCGCATTTTCAATATTTGCAAAGACCCGCAACCATTACTTCTTCTCGTCAGTACGTTATGCGTCGACACAAGATGGCCCGGTTGATTTCTGGGAGACCACAACTATTCATTCGCCGCCTCCCCCCATTTTCGGGGACCTTAGACCTTCGTCGCAACCGTCACCACAGCCATCTACAATGACGGGCGACGGGCAGGACAGCCCTACACATCTGCGCCATTGGCAGTCCACTCGTTCGCACCTATCGTGGCATCAGACGAACAGCCTAACCGACACGCTAGTAACCTCTCTATCGCCACAACTACTCATCCCACACCTGTTACAAGCTGTTCAGAGACAAGACGCCCCCGAGGCGTACAGCCTGTTGAAGGTGTTCATCACCACAGCTCCCTCATTGTTTCGAGAGGCGGCAGCGGCCTTAACCAGTCTCCCTCGAACTTGCATCACCCAGATCTTTCAAACCCTCGACCCCGTGGAAGCAGGGTCGCGCCTTGATTGCACTCATGGACTGCTCATTTCAGAGAATCTCCAAGAATACAGTCCGGTCGCACGCGCCTTTGACGAACTGGGTGTTCGCAAAATTTACAAGGATGTCTTTGCCACTTTGCTTGCTTTTGCAGACATCGTCATCCGACATGGCCACAGCCTCATCATTCCAGAATACATCGTTCTCCTACGATGCGCAGGCGCAACCTCAGACCCGATGGCTGCGAAAGACGTCTGGAAGATGATGGACAAGGCCGGCGTCACCGACGCCCGAACGGGACATGCCCACGACGAATTCATGAAGGCCCGCTTCCTCACCGAACCCTTATACCTACAGAACGATCTGGCGCGAGGTCGTCTCCGGCCGCGCAATCTCAGCGGTGCCAGGAAGACGCGATCCATCTCTTCCTCTCTACGAGGCCGCCTCGAAAAGCTCCGACTATACAGGACACGTGCAAGGCGCTTCCAATACGGCCAAGCGCCACACCAACCAGAGAGGGACCTTGCTCGGGTACTGAGCCTGCCACATCCACTCAAGAGAATTTGGCACGGTTTGATAAACCGAGGCATCAAACCCGATCACCAACTCTACTGCACTTACATGATAGCGTGCGGCCGGGTCGGCAATCTGTTCCAGATCATCCATTCCCTGGCGAAAGACCTGGGACTCGAGTTCTCCGACGTTGAGGATCATCGATTGACCAACATCAGCGGGGGGTTCAACTTCCCGCGGGGCTCTTCTCTCGCCCCAACGACGCGGCTACTGCATGCCGTCGTCCACTCGCTCGGGACGGCCGGCTATGTCGTGCTGGCCAAGAAGGTGCTCCAGCACCTTTCCCGGCGGTACGGGCTGACGATACCGGCCACTACCTGGTCAGACCTTCTCGAGTACACGTACATGAGTTCGACGCATGACGCCAGGACGGAATGGGCCCTGTTCGAGGCGAGGTCGGTCCGAAACAGAGACATCCAGGCCCAAGACGTCATCGACGTGTGGGAAACCATGCTCTCGGAACCCTACAACACCCAACCTACCTTGGAGGACCTGGACAAGTACACGAATGCCCTTCTCCAAGTGGGGAGATTCGAAGACGCCGTCGAAGCCATTAGGCTGGGAAGCAGCCATTACCACAGCTTGACGCATGACGTCCACGACGCGCTCGCCGAATCCCTCTATCCGTCCGCCCTTCCCAGCGCCACGGACCAATACCTCCGGGCCAAAGCGCGCCAGCACCGGTCCTGGTTCACCATCCAGCGCTGGTGCGAACGGTGGCTCCGACGCACCAGCAGGCAGAACCTGGCAGACGAGACCGTGTCCACCCAGGCCATACCCGATTTCGTCGCCGAGTTTCGCGCCTTCATCCCCTCGCCCGCCGTGTATCACACCCCGGGCGGGCTGGTCCGGCTCTTCGCGTCGGAGGGCACGAAGGCGAAGTACCGATGGCGGAAGGAGGAGGTGCAGTCGACGCCCACGCTCGTTCTGCGGCGCGACAAGACGGATCCCGTCGTCGGCGGCGAGCGGGGGGAGCAGCTCCGCAACGAGCAGGGGCAGCCGCTGTATCATCGGAAGAACAGGCTTTTCCAGCAGACGTTTGAGCGCGGGGTTCGCGTGCGTAGGACGCTGGCGTGGGAGGAGGTTGGGGTCCTGAGGTATTGCATGCGAGAGGCGGACGACGTGCGGGACGGCGCGCGGTTGCCATCGCTCAGGGTGGGCAGGATGGCGGATTGTGTGGAGTGGTGAATGGGAAGAATGGATCGGCCAGTCTCGGAGTGTCTGGCCCGCGGGTTTTATTTTCCTCGATATATGTCATGATTAACTCTGTCAACGAACCCGAGCTAAAGGACGGTTCGTTTTGGGGCCGGACAAAGGTAGTTTAGATGAAGATGGTTGTGGATCCCCATCAACTAGCTCCGTCTTGGAAGCTATGATGGCTTTTTGTTGGAGAGTTTTTCCGACCCACGGTCTGATAAGAGCATGCTGCGACGCTACAAAACGGGAATGGGAGGTCTGAGTACGATATCATTTCCGCATATACAATGTATCTTAGTTGTGCCCCTCCCCTCCCCTCTCCTCGTCCATCCCCCGAGATGCCTCTAATATGCGAGAGACGTACGTTTTGTTTGTACATGTTACACTTGGTCACGGCTCAACCTCGACCTGCTCAAGCCAGAGGTCGTTCATCACCATATAGCGACTCAGCGTGATCCAGCCCCAGCGAAACCAGACCATCTGGCTCTTGTGGGCGGTGATCATGGCGCGCCAGGCCGTGGGGAGGCCCTCGCTGCCGGAGAGGGGGTTGAGGAAGAGCAAGCTGCGGGGCGGGCCGGACTTGTCGGGCGACAGGCCGTGGCTCATGCCAGCGAATGCCCAGGCGGCGAGGGTGGGGAAGATGTCGAGGATGGCGGTGTATTTGCGCAGGAAGGACACGGTGGAAAGGGTGTACAGGGCCACGGGGGACGGGCGGCCCTCGGTCCCGCAGAGGGTCCGGATGAAGGCGCGGGCGCCGGCGTGGAGGGAGACGTGGTTCGGGTGGGACGAGACGCCGGCGGCGTCGAAGGTGATGAGGACGTCGATGTTGGCTGTCGGGCGGGAGGCGCTGGGGGAGCCCGGGGGGGTGGGGCGGGCGAGGTGCGGGGCGAAGGCGCTGAAGAGTAGGGTGGAGATTTTCTGGGCGTCCCACGTCGCGGTCATGGAGTCTGGGAAGTCGCTGTGTTTCGAGCTGGAATGAGCCATCATGCATGTTGTTGGTCTTTGGGGGACCCGGGGGGGAAAGGTTATGAGGGAAGAAGATCGGATAGGGAATGGGGAGAAATAGGGGGGGGGAGGGGGGGAGGGGGCGTACGGGCTATCAAGGACAAAGACATCGTTTTCCTCGCGGAGGCCGAGGATCATGCCGCTCTTGACAAGTTCCTTCTTGCGCGTTTCACCGAGGCCGTCGGCATTGCCTGTGATCATCAGCTCTTTTGCTCTCGTTTCCCTTCCTCACATGGCTGAACTCTCCGAGAACCAACAACCTGAAGCCATTGAATGCTCCTCTCCCACTACTGGAACCCCCTGTGGTGTTCATCTCTTCCTTTTTGTTTTTGTGCTTCCGTCCCTCCTGCTCATCATCATCAACCAAACATAGTCAACGCACCTGAACTCAGACACAGGATCTTCACGTGGTTCCCGGTCTCGGGACGGGTCAGAGCAAGAACCGTCGGGGCGAAGAACATGGCCTCGTCGTCTGGATGCGCAATCAAGAGACAGATGCGCTTGTTGTGAATGCGCGGTAGGGTATCTTGATACGTCGTAGCAATGTAGGTGTAGAGGAGGGGCAGGAGGGCGGCGACGAGAGCGCCCGCTATGGGGAGGAGCCAGAACCAGGCCATGGTGGGCGCCGTACCCTGCCCCTCGCGGGTGATGTAGCTGTTACCGGGCCCGCGATCTCGGCAGACGAGAGAGCGAAGTCAGAGAAGGAACTCAAGCGGCTGGAAAGTCGACGTGAGTAATAATTGAAGGCGGGGTTCGAGCAGGAGGTGCAAAGACGCGGTCTTGTCTCGGACGCGAGGAGGGGACCGGGGAGGGACAGAAGGAGGTCAATGTGATCGTATATTGCGGATGGAAGAGATGCAAGGGAGGAATACGATGTTGGAGAGTAGAGACAGACAACCGAGGCTGGTTGATAGAGTGTGGAAGACGGGAGGGAAGAACAAACAAAGGTCGGCGAGCACCACGAGCTCAGGAAATGCCACCTTGCGATTAGGGGGCCCGGGACTGTGCGTGTCGGACCCTGAAAAGTGACCGCCAAATTGATCCACCACGCCAAAACCCGTTGGATGCTTAAGGTACGTACCGAAGTCCGCAGTGTCCGGCCGGGGAAATTGCGGCGTTCAGCGTGTCATGCGCCAGAGGACATATGCGCCAAGGTACGTACCTGCCTAGGCTCTCAAGAAAGGCCTTAGCTAACCGATATGAGTGGTTGGGTTATTGTGATGCCATGGAGCTCTGGTCCCGTGAGTACCAAAGTACCAAAGTACCGGCGCGATCCCTGTAGCAAATCTGGCCCGGCTCGGGCTCCTGCTGCTCCGGCATCTGAGCTACCAATAAATAGGACGGAGTACGGAGTACATATTAAGTACAGGGAATATATGCGAACTCTTTCGCTTATGACAAGTATTCATCAAGTCGTTTCGAGCTTCCAAAGATTCTACTGCTTCACCAGGGGGACCAGTTCCTCCGACAGAATCCGCAGCTCTCAATCGTCAGGAACTCGACAACTTGAACAGCAAGGCCTATCGGTAACCACACCATGGGGAAAATGGCCAGACAACGCAAGGAAAAGGCGGCCAACGTCCCCGTTAAGATGGCCCATCCAGATCGATCAGGCCCTACGGAAAAGACTCTCCTCGAGATCGCCCAGGAGCGGAAACTTTTCGAGCAAGCGGACAAGGATCCCAGGAACAAGTTCCGCTCCCAGAAGACGTCCGGAGAGTCTAGCGCAGAAGATGACGACGAAGAGGAAGACGAGGAGCCTGTCTTGTCCCCACGTGCCGAGCGCGTCATGGAGTCTATCCTCTGGGGTGTCAGTCTCGCCATGCTGCACTTCACCCTCGACGTCCTGGTCCAGCACCAGTATGGCATGGAGATCAATTGGGGTGACATCGTGTTCAGGACTGGACAAGCTTCTGTCGGTAAGACCACCCAAGATGTTCAAACGCATGACCATTTCACTGGACGTCGGCCCTGGCTAACTCGCGTCTCTCTCTCTCTGGCACAGTCCTGCTTTTCCTGTTCTATATCCTCCACCCGCATTACTCCAACCCCGACCTCATCCCCGGCCTCCCCCGACGTTACCAAGACCCCGCCCGACAAGTGATCTTCTTCGCAACCAGCGTCGGCGCCGGCTGCTACCTCATATACCTCACCAATACGTACGGGTATCTCGCTGTCCTGAAGCGAGCCCCGACTCTCGGCTGTCTATGGGTTTGGGCCGTCATCGAGCTCCCTCTCGTCCCCGCTGTTGGAAGTTTAGCCGTTGCCGGCGTCTTCCTGTGGCAGGGGGGCTATAGCATCACGGGGTGACGGTCTCAGAGCCTCTTCGTTCCTGGGCCGCGGTCGCTTCAGGGACTCCCATGTCGCAAACATCGTTTCCAGCCCATTTTGCCCGAACTTGCTCCAGAGTGTCCAATATGAACCGTGCCGCTGGTAGGCCATGGGTACTCGCCGTCGCCTAGGCGCCAGTGTTCTTCAGGTGCTACATTTGGATCGGGCTACGCACCACTTGTGTGTGGGCCTGCAGGGAAGAAGAGACCGCCACAGGCGAAGGGAGGGGATGGACGCTGTCGGGCGTTTGGAAAACGACGACGAAATCAATTCTCTCTGGGTCGCGCTGAACCCATACCGTCAAAGCACCAGGCCACCTTGGTCTGCACAATAGCAGACCATGGCGGCGGTAGTAGTGAAACGCCAGCTGCGTAGAACCAGAACCCATCGCTGACCAATATCGGGGTCTCGTGTGTTCCCCGCCACTCCCCTTCGTCTCGATGTTTACTACGAGACTTCCAGGCTGGGGTCCTTGAGGTTAGCGAAATCGTCCACACCGAGGGTCGTTTTCTTTCGCGTGGCCCAGGTGTTCTTCACACTCGCCTTCCCTGTCGTGATGTCGGACGGTTCCTGCGGCCTTGGCGAGTGCAAAGGTATCTCGAAGATGCTTTGATATGGCGGAAAGGTAATTAGCTCAATCAGAGACTCGTCGCTGTTACCTCAACGGTTCTAATAGAAGCTGATCGACGGAACTACTGATGGGTTCTCACTTTGGTGCTGTGGAGGATGTTACCGCCCCAAAGCATCTTCCGGTCCGGGCCGCACAAACTGACTCCAGGACCTGATCGTCGTCGTGGACCATCACCAGAGACTCATGGGATCCCCTACCCATTGAATCATGGCTCGCTCTTAGCACACGAAGATTCCGTGGCGAGGTGTAACACATAGAATATAATGGCATGATAGCATGATAGCATTATTCCTATGGCCCTTTTCACTCCCCACTTCTTTTTTTCTTCCACAACTACTGCCCTGTTTTGGCTTCGTTAACACAGCATGGAAATCAGAACTTGGGTTAACTCTCCACGGGAATCAGATTGGGAGTCTTTGGTACTTCGTACTTCTCTACCTTACTGAGAAGAATTTCATCTCAAATACTATCTCGAGGTCTTTCGACAGAATCAGTTTCTACAATTTCATCTCGCTTGGTATTGATCTTCTGGCTCTCTCACATTCATCAGCTACCGGACTTCCTCTTTTCAGAGTCTTTCCCTACTCCCATATTTCTACAGGAGTTATCCATTGACTCTTGCCTTTACGCCATTTTCTCCATGTCTCTACACTTCTGCCTTGTAATGCCCTCCAGTTTGTTTGTTTCTTAATCCCTCTTGCGTATGTTTTCTCCTCCTTTGTCTGCAACATGGCATCAAAGTTCCAGCAAACGTGATTTAGTTTTGTTATGTGCAGGTGCTTCACACGCACCCTTAATGAGCGGGAATCGCTTTATAGTAAGGTGCCACCTAAGTGCCTTCCTTAAACAAATGCGCCTTCCTTCCCCTTTTCATAGATTCTGTTTGATGTTGCTTCTAAGGTATCTAATACGCACGACTTTCTGTTCGTCTACGTAGGCACCTTACTTCTCCTCTGCTCCCGTGCCCTCTTATTTCATTTTCTGTCCATAGCTTTTTCACTTGGTTTTTCTTTTCGCTCACTTTGAAGCAGACTTGATCAACAAACCTGAGTCAAAAGCCACCGGCAATCACACCCAGTAAGTGTTCTCGCTTTTACTTCTGACCTTATGTTTTTTGTGCTACATATAGTCTGAGTTGGTTGAGTGCTGAAATTCACCCTTGACGACTTACCCTAGGGCAGTATGGGCAAGAGCAACCACGGCCAGGTAAGGAGAGCATACTGCTCTTAGATGAGCCAAGCCATGACTCTTGATTTCTAACCGACGACGTAGGACAATTCTGAATACACGAGAAGTCTCCAGACGCATGGCCCTGACCAGCTTCCATATCCTTTCGAGGACGAGATTGGCGATGACAAGTCGAGTCGGTACCGCTTCTACGACATGAAGAATGAGTATCCTTGCCCTGTATGCCACATGTACAGGGCCCGCGCCGGTCGCCGGCCGGATTTCTGCGATGTCTGCCGTAACGTCCCGGACTGCGAATTTTGCCGTCATGACTATCCCAAGACGGGCAAGGAGAGATTTGACGGTTTCTCGTTGGGCAATGGCCTCCGTGTCGTCGAGTATATTCGGTCTAATGGCCCTGGCAAAAAGAAGCCCAAGAGCAAGGGCACGAAGCGAACGAAGGGAAAGAGCAAAACTTCTCCTCTCCACAAGGAAAAGGAGGCATGCGTCCCGAGCGTGTCTCGGACCATCACGCTCACCTACGACGAGCTGGATGACTTGAAGGATATCTTCCAGAACCCTACAGGATCCACCCTCTCTATCCCCATTATGCAGACACCGGAGACAGGCAACTCCAAGAGGACAGAAGAACCGGGGAATAGCGTTGTTGACTGGGAGAATTTCGCCATGGAGGTTTGCGAAGAGATGACATCCCTTACTAAGCACATGGAGAAAACAGACAAGAGGTGCATTGAGGCTCATGACAAGATGGACGAGCTGATGAAGAGCATCCAGCCGTCGGACAAGGAATGCGCTGAGGCCTTCCGGGAACTGTCCGCCAGTCTCTCGTCCCGAGAGCAGCTGCTCTATGAGGCCGCTCGTGTCGCTAAAGATTGGTCGAGGGCAATGGAAGGTCTGGAACAAGCGAGCATGATGCAACAGACTATGCCGATGGCGACGTCTACGCCTACAGGCCAGGGTCTGAACTCTTCCTCCGAGGACAACACTGCCACTACTCCAATGGCACCAACCGCGCCGATTACTGTTCAGCGTCATTGTTCCCCTCACCGAATTGGCTTGGGACAATATAAATGGCCGCTTGCCTAAGAACAGAGATCTCATGAACCCCTGTTGCCTCCCCGAGGATGGAGTGCCGAGTGCTTGGCTCGGGGTAAGGACAGCTGGTGCAGAGAGACAAGCTGAGATCAGTCCCAACATAAAACTCCCAGTTCCCTTTGATGTTTGCGGGTTTGCATTTGAAGCATGTTTGGAGATGGCTTATCGATCATCAACACATAGCCATGGATACGCTCGGCTAAGGGCCATTATGGCAAGTAGATGACCTACTATGTGATTAACAAGCTCTTTGCCCATGTCGGAATTTTTCCTCCTCTCATAAACCAACGCTGTGTCGCATCGAATTGCAGTGATACAACACCAACTTCGTATTATTACCATGCTGAAATAGCTCCCGCAATGGTATATTCTGAAATCGCAGAATGCATCATATCACGTTTCCAGACTGAAGTGAATTAGCCGACTACTATGAGTGATTCTCCCGAGGATATGTGACTTCTTGTCAAATTACTACCTAGAAAGCGGAGGCCAAGCCATATTCCAGGCATCCTCTGGGAGCACAACGAACACACCTGAGCAGCATCACCTGTCAGTCAGAACCAGTCACTTGTTGACCCTAAAATACAACACCACGCAGCACAGAAGCACACCATAGACGCCATCTCCTGCATTAAAAAGAACGCAAAAGGTCAAAAACCCAGGAGGAACGAAGAAGCGTCAATAACAGAAATTCACAGGTAAACTACAGAACAAAGAACCGTCTGCAACCGGCATGAAGAAAAACAAAGACCAGCCCGACCTCGTCCTTGTCCGGTGGAAGCGCAAGTCCAAACACAACGTCCCTTGCGGCGCCGGCTGCAAGATCTACCCGAATGGAAAGAAAGACGTGTTGACCGGCCCGTTGGGAAAGATCGCCGCATGGATGGGAATCGAGTTGAAGACCAAGCCCGCCAAGCGAGCTGGCGAGACAGACGTTTGGGTCCAGAAAAGGGGACAAGGCGGCGTGGGGAGACATTTTTGGTGCAAGAGGCCCAACCTATTCTACGGAGTTGACGAACCTGCTATGACAGGACGCGAGGACGGCATGGGTGGTTACAGGGAAAGAGACGGGAGATATGAGAGTGAGCTTACGCCGAGTGAAGGAGAGCCTACTCGGAGTGGAAAGGGCAGTGTCTCGAGTAGAGACAGTAAACGACGGGGTTGCAGGTCGACCAGTAATACTAATAGTAACTGCAGCAGTGTTATTTAGGGTTCCGTGTCTCTATCTTGAGCCAAGGATCCTGGATCACTCCGATGGAGAGGTTTTGGAGGAAGTATGGTCATCTTTGGCAGAAGCATGAAGAGAAATGACTTGGGTGGTCAGCACATCGGCCTAGTAGTGCGAAAGACATGCATCGAAATAAAGAGCCACGTTGGGCTCTTCCAGCGACACCAGAATTAAAGACGACCTCAGGGCACTCACTCTTGGTTTTATTCGTCGGTCAGGCTCGGTGAGGTTGATGAGCTCGGTGAGCTCGGCGACTGGAGTTGGGAAGACAAGACAAGACACGCCCCGCCCCACCTTCTCGGCAGGCACCGACCAGCGTAAATCTGGGTGCCTACATGAAACTCTCACATAAACATGCGCGAAACCCAGGTATCTTTCCTGGGCACCTTTTGGCCAGGATCACCTTTCGGACATCACCCAGATCGCCTTGGTGGAAATTCATCACCAACCACGAACCTGTAAAGAAAGCGAACAGGACAGAAAACGGCCATGACCCCAGCACTCCCCTCTGCCCCACCACGGGGACCAGCCTTCAAAATCGCGTACCATCCCTCCCTGGAACGATTCAACCTCCCGCCTCAGTCCTACCTGGCGGACCACGCCCCCGCGATCCCGCCGGAAATCACGAGGTTCCACGGTCTCGCGACAAGCGCCCTCGTTTTCGATTCTCGCGGGCGCGTCCTCCTCCTGCGACGCGCACAACACGACAGCATGCCCGGCCTGTGGGAACCGCCCGGCGGCGCGGCCGACCTGGGGACGGACAAAAGCGTGCTGGAGGCTTGCGCCAGGGAACTGTGGGAGGAGGCCGGACTCGTGGCGCGGCGCGCAGTGAGGGTGATGAGTATCGCCAGGGACGTGCCGCCGGGGACGGTGTTCTGGAACCGCACCCGCGAGAGGTGCTACGTCCGGGTCGTGTTGGAACTGGAGGTCGAGGAGGTGGGACGGCAACAGGACGGTGAAGTGCCGGTGAAAATGGACGCCGACGAGCACGATGCTTTTGTATGGGCTTCTGAGGATGAGGTACGGAGTGGACACGTGCCTGGTGTGCAGGGTCCTTTCGAACTCACATTTGGAGGGACGAGGGAGGCCCTTCTGGAGGCTTTTCGGATGAGGAGGGACGAGACGTGAGCCACTGACAGGGGTTGGCGGTCCCTCGAGGCATGCGCCACATGTGACTGAAAAACGACCTACGTTGTATGCGTGAAATATTCGGGACGGATACAGGGCGGTGAAAAGGCCAATCTTCGGGTATGCCGGGACTTCCAGGACGGCATGGGGATCATGACCTCATCATGCAGGACCCATTTATCTCTCCCTGTACGTGTACACGTACACGTACACTGTACGAAGTACGAGACTACTTATACTATCTTCTCTATGAGACCTGGGCCACGCGGCCGGGCACTAGAAATTTCGGCGATACCTCCGGGTCCGGCGTCCGGCGTCCTCACGGGATTTGGCAAAGTCGTTAGCATGCCTCATGGGCAGCACGTTTACACGTAATATGCGACAAAAACTCCTTGGAACTAAGACGTACGTAACTGTCGGAGTAGACGTACGTAACTGTCGGAGTTGGCCGAATGGTAAGCCTAGGGGATTTTCCTAGACACAGCTTGAGAAAGAACATCGAAGAGTCATGCCTAGCCTTTAGATCGAAATATAGAGACGATGCGCGTCAAGCACGAAACACGAAACAACCCATACGTAGGACCCATGCGTACTGTAATAATTTATCAATCGCAGCTGGCATTCTCGCTGGGCACAGCATCGAGGCCAAGCGCACGGTGTGGTCATCACTTCCCGACAGAAACGCCCTACAGAAGCACGGGCCAGCGAGCGTTGGAGTTGCTGCTGCGACCAATAAAGACCTGGTGGTTGCATGACTAAGGTATCTAAGGTAAGGTAAGGTAGCCAAGGAGTCAAGGAGTGCCGAGAGCAGGGTTTTCGCAGTAAAAATACACGTGTACATCATCGTGCAGTGCGTGCCTGTGAGATCATCGGAAGGAAAGGAGGAAGGAAGGTGTGGTCTTCGTACTCCGTATGTACTCCGTCTCTGTTGGAATGCTCAAGGCGGGGCTACGAAGTTCTACCCTCCAACTTGTCCATCCATACTCCCTCCCCCGTACATCTACACTAGCATCTCTACTCCGTCCGCCCTCAATTTTTTTATCCTTTTTCTATCCTTTTTTTCTGCGCATACCTCGTATCCGTCTTCCCCTAACTGGTCCATTCTGTAAAGCAAGGAAAAGGGAACAAGAGAAGGAAAAGGAAAAGAAAACACAACTTATCGAAGACGTTGGTTCTGTCCTTCTCGCAAGCGTCGTCATTCATCCCATAACCGGAATCCTTAGGTTGGCATTTAACATTCCTAGCCTCTTCGCCGTCACCCACACGACACCCTTTTCCCCTCCGTTTCATCCGATCCTCGACCTTTGGCCCGATCATTTCCAACATTATCCACTAATTACCAGGTGCTTCTGACGTCTTCCAACCCAAAATACTTTCCCTTTGTGGTGCTACGACATGCAACAAAACGGCCACCGACGCGCATAGACCTCAGACCGTCAGCTCCCGTCGCGAAACGAGCCGTTTTCTTCCTTGTTCTCGACTCATCTGGACCTCTCCTATCCGTCGCAGTCGTCGATTTCACCCCCTTCAAAGCCACCTGCTTAGTGGGCATACGCGGCATCGTATCCAGTCATTCTGGTGTTGCTCTAGATCCCCTTGTTTTGCTACGCTGCGTTCACGACTTCAGTCACTTCGGTCCATGCTTCAGTCCGGACCTCCCGCGTGGAATGTGACAGCATCTCCTTACCTATCGACGACCGAACTACACTGAAACTATCCCGACCTGAACCCTCTTCGGATTATCGTCTCTTGACTCGTTCACATCCGAACCACTCCGGTATGTTGTCTCGTGTTATTGTTCTTCCACACACCCCCTTCCCTCGTTTACCCGACGACCTCTGCTATGGTTCTTTCTCTCCCAAACTATTACAACCAGCTTTGTCATATTTGTTCCTTTTCATCTTTTATTGCGGTCTCACCCGGCGCTCCCGTTTCCTCATATCCCTGGCGTGTTTCTTTGTCTTTGGAGAGATGACACTTTGTCACTTCGCGGTCTCCCGTATAGACCCAGGTTCTATTATGCCTCAATACCCTGCAAATGTCCCTGTCCCTATACCCTCCCTCCACTGATATCTTTATCCTTGTCCGCTCATCATCTACTATCCCTTGGGTCCAACACTCGCAACTTTCGCAAACCTGCACACCCAGCCTATACCTGTTGCACGTTCGGTGTTATCTAACTCGCCGCCATGACAGACTCCCAGACACTGCGCACAAACAACCGCTGGGTACAGGCACCCTCTTCTGACGACGTCTACTATTGCCCTCATCTTTTCCTCAACCCTCCTCCCTACCGTATCGCACTACCCTCGCCACCTATTCGAGCCCGCCAGTTCCGCGGCCGCGCCATTCACATAACCGAGTTCCCAGACGGGTTCCCAGAGGGGTTCATCCCCGGCGAGCTGTCGTCCCAACCGGAACTATTGCCGAAGGAAAAAAAGATACAGAGGAAGAGAGGGAAGAAGACCGACGAACTTAGGACAAAGGCTGCGAGGAGGATCGCGGACGCCTATTCTCCGTCACAGACCATTGTTAGGACCGTCATCGGCAAGCTTTTTGCTCCCTTCCATCACTCGTCATCCGCCACTCCGACCGCGCCCTCGACACCCTCGACACCCTCGACACCCACGGCACCGACTCAATCTGCCATTTCCTCCGCGACAGCTACCCCGACTCCGAGCCCGACACCGTCGACCACTGGGGGAGGCCTTCTCCGACGACTCTCCATCAATAGAGCAAGAAACTACATACATGACGCCCCGAGAACAATGCTGCGCTCCGCCAACGTGGTCGAAGCGATGTACCCCGCTATTGCCCCACCCACCTCCTTTCCATCACCGCTCCGGACCAGCAGCTCCGTCTACGGCGACAAGAACATCATCTCCGCCTCGGTGTCTGCAATTCCGAAGCCCGTTGCTGCCGGCAGTGGCGTGAGCTGCTCGATATTGCTCGCCGAGCCCCACGTCTTCCTGTCCGGCTTCGACCACGACGGTCACGGCCACAACCAGGACCTCCGCAGCGCCGGTGCCGCACTGCTGCGGGGCAAACTCCAGCTGTCTGTGACGAAGAAGGTCAAGCTCAAGGGGATCAGTCTCAAGCTCCAGGGCAGGGCGCGAACCGAATGGCCCGAGGGGATTCCTCCACTCAAGACCGAAATGTTCGAGGAGTCGTCGCTGCGTACCCAGGTCCTCACCTTCTTCAACGCCCTGAACGACGGCTGGGAGACGGAATACGGGAACCAGTGCACGTACACCCTCAATCGCGGCTCGCCCGACACACCCGCCAGTCAACTCATCGCCAATGGCCGTCGTTCCTCTTTCGGATCGCCGGCAGCAGCAGCAGCGGCGGCGGCGGCCTCGGCGATGTCCCCCGTCACGCATGCCCTATCGTCCAGGGAGGCGAAGCGACTGTCGCTGCAGGTCAACCACCAGTCGCGAAGCTTCGGGAAGGGCGACGTTACCCACACCAACGCGGTGCAAATCAGAGGCTACAAGGTGTTCCCTCCCGGTACCTATGAGTACGCTTTCGAGCTGCCGATCGATCACCACCAGGTGGAAACCACGAAACTGCCGTTCGGATCTGTCAAATGGGAGCTGCACGCAACGGTAGAACGGGCCGGCGCCTTCAAAGCCAACCTGCACGGGCAGCAGGAAGTGTCCATCATCCGCGTTCCCGACCAGCTCTCGCTGGAGACCAGCGAACCTATTTCGATCAACCGTCAGTGGGAGGACCAGCTCCACTACGATATTGTCATCTCGGGCAAATCGTTCCCCATCGGTTCCAAGATCCCCGTTGCCATGAAGCTCACACCGTTGGCCAAGGTGCAGGTCCACAAGCTCAAGGTGTTCTGCACCGAGTCGATCGAGTACTGGACCAACGACCGGAGGGTGACGCGGAAGGACGCCGGCCGGAAGATTCTCCTGCTGGAGAAGGTGGCCGGCAAGCCCCTCGACCCGCGGTACGCGGCGTCCCACGTGCGGGTGTTGTGCGGCGGGGAGCTGAGCCCGGAAGACCGGCAAGAAGCGCGGGAGGCGGCGTCCATGAGGCGGGTCATGGAGGCGTCGAGGCGCGATACGTCGCCCGAGCCTCTGCCGAAGCCGACGGACAACCTCTTGGGCGACTTGGAGCTAGGGCTGGAGAGCTGTTGGGGCCCGACGGAGCTGGAGTTGGACGTGCAGATTCCGACGTGCGACCAGATGGAGAAGAGTAGGGAGCTCCGGGTGCATCCCGACTGTACTTGGAAGAATGCGAGCGTACACCATTGGATTAAGGTGTGTTTTTCCTTTTTTCCCTTTGCTCTTCCTTGCCCGGCAAAAGCGAAAAGAAAAAAAGAAAAAAGAAGAAGAATAAAAGAAAAAAAAAAAAGGGAAAGAAAAAAGACGCTAACCATTAGCTAGGTCGTCCTGCGAATCTCTCGCCTCGACCCGGACGATCCGTCAGGCACGCGACGGCGGCATTTCGAGATCAGCATCGACTCGCCGTTTACAGTGCTCAACTGCCATGCGACGCGGGCCAACATGGCGTTGCCCGAGTACTCGGGTGCTGGCAATGAAAGCGCGATGATGAAGCGTCCCACAATATGCGGGTGTTTCGACGCGGCAGCAACACCTGGATCAGTCGATGCGTCGTCTCTCAGCTCGTCGACCGGAACGCTGCCCAGGGTCAATAGCGGGGATACGATTCTGGCGGCACCGCAAGCGGCACACCTGACGGCTCCGGGCCATTCGCCCAGCCCACTGGCCAACGTCCAGACATGGCCGCATCAGCAGCATTTCGACGTACGGCCGCGGCCGATCCATCTACTGCGGGTGCCGTCCTTTAACCCGCCGGCGTTCGACGCCGACCAACCACCGCCAGGCGTGGGCGACGAAGGGCCGGGGGCAGGTATGCTCGGGCTGCAAACACCGCCGCCGCAGTACGACCTCGTGGTGGGAACGCCTAGCGTGGACGGACTGGCGGATTATTTTGCGCGGCTGGCGGACTACGGGTATGACGCGCACGAGGAGGAGACGGATTCGGACGAAGGCGAGGAGAGAATCATGGAACGCGGCGGGCGGGTGAACGTGGCGCACCCGCGGACACCGGGAGGTCGACGGGGTCCGAGCAGGAGCATGGAGATTCGGCGGCCTCCGGTGGAGCTGCGCACGGATTCATTACCGGTGAGGAGATGACGTTGCCGATGAGATTGACGTTGCCGACGAGACCAAGTGGAATGAAACTGAGGGTGGTATGGTCGAGGTTGGTACGATGGACATGAAGAGATGAAGGCCGTTCTTATGATGGATATTATGTTCATGTGCTATTGGGGCATGTACGTTGTAGGCGACTTGGATGCTTCGATGTACCGAGATGGATTGATGAGGGCAGGGACGTTTTGCCACATGGAAAGGGAAGTATCGTTGGCATTGGCGCATTGACTCTTGGGGATACCTATTTACAGCTTTGTGCACAAGGACAAGGGAGGTGTTTGTGTTTCCGACATGTTCCTCCGTTCATGTTGGGCTAGGAATCAAGGTGGCGCAGGGGGAGGAGAAGGAGAATCCATACCCATGATCTTGTGCACACATTCTCTGAAGGCTTGACCATTGACCCCTGATGCCGAGAACGATGATCTTTTTTTTTTTGCCTTTCTTTTCCTTTTTCGAGCCTAGCCATGTTTCGTACGGGGTTGTTGGGGTAGGATGCACTGTGATGACTCGTGCTCGTGAAGGATTGCTGATGCAGCTGGAGGTGCATGCCCCTAACCTTATGTGTCGATGGCATGGGGAGAAAGCTGGGGGAGGCAGGGGAGAGATTTGTCCAAGTTGTCCCAACAGAAAAAGAAAGCCCCTGTCCAGGTATCTTTTGCTTACGTTGTATGGTACAGTCCGTCCCAGTCCGTCCAGGGGCAAAAGGACCGAAGCGGTCTACAAGACGTGATTATGTAAAGCGCTTCGGTCCTTTTGCCAGGCCACTGTACCTACCACCTGGCTGGGTATCCTACCGCTGCGTGTGCACGTCTGTACCCCGTAGACATCTGCAAGCAGTCGCACGAGCATCAGTTGCAGCACCGGTGTGATACCACCTCTGCATGAACCTGATACGAGGGCCAGGAACTACGGTGAGTTCAAACCGCATTACTCTGTAATTACAAGTCTCACAGAGGTGAGCGGATGCCGGCGGGGTCTTGCTTTTTTTTTTTTTTCTTCTTTTTTTTTGGTCTTTCTTTTTCGTACTATTTTAGCTATTTTACTGGTATGTTTTACTCTGTACGTTTTCACCATTCACACGCTTCACCGACAGACAAGAAGCCCACTTAGTGGCCGGACGCAGTTTAGTTCGGTTTTCATTCCCCGGCACGGGCAATCGCGTGTGACCTTTTGTACAGACTAATAAGGAGGTGCGGTGGGCTGAGGTCCGTGGGTTGAAGGGAAAACGGCGTCCATCATCGTCGGGGACTTCTCCTTGGTGCGTACATGTAATTACCTGGTTGATGGCCGGCATTCCTACAAGTCCGAGGGAACGAGGCGTATTTTTCCCCTTGCGAAAAAATCCGTCGTCTTTGTTCGTGCAGCTGGCTGCCGGTACGCGCCTCACATTCAGGTGGACTGTTCATGGTCAGACGTTTATGCTTTCGGGGTTCTTTCGACTAGGACACACTACCTAGATCCCGAAGTTGGCCATGTTGACTCTGTTTTGTTAGTCCGTCTTCGTGTAGAGCCGTATCGTACCTAACAACCAGCACCCAACTCCCCTATTCTAAACAGGACGACGCTTATTCCATCTTCACTCGGCATTTCTTCGTAGGGCATATCCATAATATCTATAGGAAGCGATACGTGTTCCAAGGGATCGGAGCGCATTTCGTCATACCATACGTTGTACGTGTATATACACGCATCGTCGATCGCACAACGTCCAACCAAAGAATCACCACTGACGGGAATATAATCTATTTCTTCCCTGGTTCCCTTGTCATGTCTTGCCGGATAGACCACGTGTGTCGAGGATCTATTCCCCGAGCCCTTTTGTCGATTGATTATTGTCTCTGTTTCCCTCAACTCTCTCCATGCCCAGCCTCCATGTCCCATCAACTGGAGAAACTCTTTCGGCACATGAATGGTTTCTACCCCTTGCTGGCCCTGTTTTTTTTTTCTTACTCGAGGGCCCCTGGTTCGAGGGGCGGCGCACGGACGGCCGGGGTGCAGTTTTTTTCTTTCCTGTGCTTTTCCTGTTTTCTCACACGACCGGGTTTACACCTACAACGCATGTACATATGTACGTACTTACCAGCTGCAGTTCGCCTCTCCTCCTCTTCGGCCTGGTTCCTGAATTGGTCTTTCGTCGATTTGACGCTTGCAGATGCTCGGGCGTGATTACGGATACGCTACGAAGTGAATGAGGGTCTCGTCGTTGGACCTTCTATTCGTGGTTAATTATGAATCTTGGTGCGGTTTTTCTTCATTTCTTTTCAAGACTTCTTCATGCGATGACTAAAGACAGGTACCTTGAATACATGTGTACTCGTACGCATGCGAACCAGCAGAGAGGTTTGAGCGGGGATTTCCGGGGCCGTCCGCCGCCCCTCCAATCTTGTCCAGTGATATTGCTGCTCCTCAGGCCTCGGCGCACGACGGGATCCATTTTGGGGGAGGGGGCACCCCTGGTCCAGTCTAGCGGCTAGCCTGCTCTGGCCTCGTCACCATGGACGCTTTTCCGTGCCGCTCGCCTACCGTAAACGGCTAATGACCTCTCAGCTCATTTCCTCGCCGGTCTTTTGACCAAGGCGGGGTTATTAGGGCACTATCGACGGCAAAATGGACACACATGGCGTTTTAGGGCCTGCCAGGGAACGTACATATGAGCGACCTTGTTGTGGGCTCTGTCCGGGCTTTGGATGGCATCGACGAATACGGAGGACGGAGTATGTACAACGTACATACGCATACTGTCGGATTATGGGCGAGTATGTATGTTGTATGTTCATGTTGTAAGTGGAAGAGACCCGAGGGCACGGACGAGACGGGAAGTCCAAGGCAGAGCGGAGAGCGAGCCCGACACGCAGAAAGAGACAGAAAGAGACAGGGAGGGGGGAGAGACGGCTTTTAGCGGAGTCGTTACCGGGGGGGCCAAATGCCTAGAGCCTGGGGAAGCATGGGAGACCCGGGGAGGTCTGGGGATGCCTGGGAATGCCGGCGGGAAGATCTTTCAACAAACAAGGAGTCATATAATTCTCGTATTATATCCCATATTATATCCCATCCCTTCCTCCGTCTTCCCTCTTCCATCAAATCTTTTTCCCCCGCCTGGTGAACGCCCCCCCCGGCACTTAATTACTTCACAAATCTTTATGTGATGCATGTCTGATGACCGGGATATACGAGTCAAGCTGTCAATCTCCCATGCTTCCTTTCTCAGTCACACTCTGTTTTCCCTGCCAGTCGCATAAGGCTTGAAGTTGAAGGGACTTGGCTCACGTTCCGACCTCTCGCTTCTCGTCTCGGGCTTTGATTTCCTCGATTCAATCAATTCCATATCCAGCCTCGGCTCAAACCATCTGACCTGTGCTTCTTCTGTTGGTTGAGGTTCCCCCTCCGCCCGGCCAGCGAACGCGAACAACGACACGACGGTTCGAGCCCCGTGTCTTTAGGCTCGTGCCCCGTCCATCTATGCCTCACCGGCCCATTCGGGGCTAGGACGAGAGGACGGGCACCACCTTAGGACGCCTCCTATTCCCTCCGCCTGCTGCCCGCCGCCTCATCTTTTCGCAACCTCAAACCATTCTGGTCAGGGGCGGCGACGTCCACGTCGCACGAAGGGGTGAAGGCGACGACGAAACCCGAAAAAGAAAAAAAAACCGAAGTAGTTGCCCACCATGGCGGCCGAAGAAGAAGAATGGGATTTATCCTACGTCCCTTTCGACTACGATCTCCTCCCGCGAGGCGACCTAGGCCCTCGTCTCAATGCCACCGTATGGACCTTCACCGGCGTCGCGGCCGTCATCCTCATTCTCCGCATCTACTGCAAGCTCAGTAGGAGAAAAGCCCTGTGGCTCGATGACCATGTCCTCGTCGCAGCATGGGTACGCATCATGATAGCCCCATCACACATCATCCCTTTTTATATTCCAACCCCCCAGTGCCGTCGACTAACATGCAGTCTCTTGCACCAAGATATCCCTCGCCCTCCTCGGCTCCTTCAACTCCGCAGCAATATCCCTCGGCTTCGGCAAACACAGCTGGGAAATCCCCCGCGACACCTTCGACTACCTCCTCCTACACTGCAACCTGGCCGGCACCTTCTCCATCCTCGCCGCCGCCTGGAGCAAGACGTCCTTCGCCTTGACGCTCTACCGCCTCACCGCCGAGCGCCCCTTCATGCGCGCCTTTCTCTGGTTCGCCATCATCTCCATCAATCTGGCCTGCGGCGGCGTCGTCGTCATCACCTGGGCGCAGTGCACGCCGGTCGAGAAGGTGTGGCAGCCCAATCTCGAGCCCGGCACCTGCTGGCCCAAGTCGATCCACATCAACTACAACATTTTCGCCGCCGTCTACTCGGGCACCATGGACATTGTGCTCGCTCTCGTGCCTTGGATCTTGATTTGGAGGTTGACCCTGTCCAAGAAGGAGAAGTTTGGCATGCTCGTTGCCATGAGCATGGGCATTTTGTAAGCTTTTTTTTTTTCTTCTTTCTTTCTTTCGTTTTCTTCTTTTTTCTTTCTTCTTCTTCTTCTTCTTTTTTCTTCTTCTTTTTTCTTCTTCTTTTTTCTTTTTCTCTCTGGGTCTCGTTCCCACTACTTTCATACGCAGACTTTTGGCTAACAAAATTCCCATCAGCGCCGGTATCGTCTCCTTTGTCAAAATCAGCACCCTCTACGCCATCGAGCACGCCGACATGATCAAGACAGTCGACCTCGTCACCTGGGGCGCGGCCGAAAGCGCCGTCACCATCATCGCCGCCTCGCTGCCCGTCCTCCGCGTCTTCGTCGTCACCCACGTCAAGTCGCGCAACGTCAACGAGCCCAACAGCATGGCCACCGAAGAGAAAACCTTCCTGCGGCGGCTCGATTTTTTTTCCACCGCCTCGACCCGCTCGCGCGGCAGCAGCCGGCCCGACTCGGGCGCGTGGCGGCCGTCGTCGCGCAACGGGTGGCGCAGGGTCGAGGTGAAGGACTGGCGGTGGAAGCAGCAACAGCAACAACAACAACAACAGCAGGGGGGGCAGCAGCATATGAGGTCGCCCACGGGTGAGCACATGAACATGCACGCCGACGACGTCGAGATGGCGTATCAGTCGGAGAGGAAGAGCCCGCTGCAGCCCGTGTACGAGAACCCGAGCAGCGAGGACTTTGAGTTTGGGTTCGATTCCGAGGAAACGAGCAGGGAGGCGGATTTGGATGGGTTGCGGGCGCATCCTCTTACGGCGCCTGGGCGGGCGGACTCGCGAGATTTTCCGTTGCCGCCGACCTACAGCCCGAGAGGCTGATTTTTATTATGATTCTTATTTTCCAAGGAACCGACGCCCCGAAATGTACGGTTCTATGTATGTATACCTGATAATAAGCCCTTTTTTTAGCAGATTGTTGTAACTTTATGTTGCGGGAAGCTCAACTAGTCGACGCCCCCTGACGCCCAGGGCTGCGAATGTGGTCGTGAACTTTTTCGCCACGACCCTCTCGAGGTTTCCCCCCCAAGGTTTGAGTGTAATTTGAGTTTCCTTTCAATTTTCTTTCCACTAGGTACATGTAGTCTGTCGTCTTCTTGCTCTTTTCTCGTCTATTTCAGCAAGAGAATGGGGCCTGTTTCGTCCTGGTCCATTTTCCTTCTCACATCTTCATTCCCAAATTTTCCTTCCCAACGATCGCCCTTCGTCTTCTTACCCTCCAATATTTACTTCCATCTTTACTTCTCTTTTCCTTCAATATTACATCTTATTCTGTCTGCTACATACAGACGGTCACACGTTCATTGACGATGAAATTCACAACTCTTCTCGCCGCGCTCGTAGGAGCCGCGGGTGCCGTGTCCGTCCAAGCCCAAGATAAAAACAAGAAAGGCATAGACAAGATAGGAAAATACCGCCCTCCGTGGGAATCGAAGAAATGGGGGGATGAGAACCGCCACAAGGCGCAGAAGGACGAGGAGCCTCCCGACGACCGCCGGTCGGACCCGATCGAACGGGAAGGCCCAGACGACATAACACAACAGGAGCCGTACGATTCGGCGTCATTGGACGATGGGGACCGCGACGAGGAGCCCCCGCCTCCCGGGAACGACACGATCGATCACGTCTCCGAAAGGCACCAAAACGAACAAAACGCCTTGGGGATATGGGAGACCAGAGAGCGCTACATCCAGCGGTTCGAAAACCCGCGGCAGAGCGCGGTGCTCCCGCAGGAGTGGAAGGTATACGAGGGGTTGGCGGAGGTGAACAAGGGCCAGTTATGGTTCCGGCCCGTCAATATGGACTGGACGGCGTACGCGCTGGTGGAGGACGGGTTGGTGGCCAAGGACTTTAACCTCACGACGAGGGTGACAATTAGGAAGGCGATGGTGACGAGGAAAAAACCCGACTTCGCGCCCGGGGCGGGGGTCTTCATACGGGTGCATCAGCGGCATCACATGAGCGGGACGATCGGGAGGGGGATCGTGGTGTGGCTCAACATCAACAACTTCTTGACGGTGCACAGGGTTCTAAAGGGTCATCCCAAGGTTACCGACATGGTGCCGATGTCCATCTACCAGATGAAGCCTTATAAGATGAAGATCATGGTCTCCGGCGAGTCGCTGAGGGTCTGGGTGGACAATATGGACGTTCCGGCGTTGACTACCAAGGCACCCTGGTTGAAAGGGGGGGCTTTTGGGCTCATGTCAGACAAGGCGGAGGCGTCTTTTGATTACCTTCAGGTGGTGAGGGTTAATTGATATTACGGAGTACCTTGTCGTTGTCATTGTCGTTGTCATTGTCGTTGTCGTCTTGCTATTATTATTATTATTATTTTAGTATAATAGTAAGGGCAAATAATTAACTGTCTTTTAACTAGGTAAGCTATAGACTGGTTTGACTAAGGTACCTATATTATAATATGATAATAATATATAGAGACTTAATCGGTATATATATGTAAAATATATATGTTTTTAGACTATCCCGAGCATATAATATAGATCCACGCTTCGATGTCCTTGTATCCTGGCCCTTAATTAATGGTTACGGAGTAGGACGATAAAGGCGGCTAGTATAGACGGTCGGCCGGGAAAACCTCGGTATATATATCCACACGTAGGTACTTGTACTTTGGATAAATACGAAAATATACGTTATATAAGCGTAGGAGGATATTAGATAAAGCGTAGTCAAAATCGTCATAAAATAGGTCAAAATTAATTGAGGCAATTATATACAATTATAACTATATCAGACTATTAGGGAAACGCTACTACCGTATTTTATATAGTACAGATTCTATAAACATTGACCCGGATTATACCCTTAGTAATCCGGCCTATTACGTAATCGAAAAGACTATAGTCTATTCGATATACCCCCTAATCGCCCTAAAACGTTAGTTAGGCGATTAAAGCTATTTATAACTAGTAGATATAACGGGTATACGGCCTATATAATCTCTTTACTATAGCCGCCCTTAAATTCGTCCTCTAGGTCCTCTAAATATTCTATCCGGACTTCCTCTAGCTATTTTTACTATAGCCGCTCCCGTATATCCAATACTCCTACCTAGGAACTAAATATCTTAAATTTCTCGCCGTATAACTATCGTATAGGCAGGACCACGATATAGTCTATAGGGGATCTAGGGGGGATCCACCCTATGACTAAGGGCTCCGGATATCGGGGACTTTGGATATTAGGATATAATAAGGGTGGATACCGGAAAAGACCGGATAGGATCTAAATGATATAGTATCTATAATAGAGTCTTTACCACCTAAATTAAGGGTATAAGAGACTCTCCTAGATATAACTTAATATAATATATATACACGAGATTTCTACTCTACTAAGTTAATTATTAAAGTGCCTTTTAACGTGCGATAGTTATAAGCCCGGTTTATAACGCCTAAACGATAAATATTAATAAGGCTACCCCTATTCCACTATAAAGAAGTAATCACGTCTATATAATCACTCTTAAATAACTACTATCGACCTAATCAGAGTAATTAAGAGACTAATTAACCTACCTATTAATTAACTAACCGATAAATAATAATCTAGTAAGGATATCTTCTAACGTATCTAACACCGAATAGAAGGCGGCCGCTACTACCCTTGTTAACTAAAGGGATTAGGTAGTTTAGGAGCGCGCCGTACGCGGTAAATTAGCCTCCTATTAGGATAACTACCTTAATCTAAAGCTAAGCGATAAGGAGGCTAACGCCTATCTCCTCCCTATACCTATACCCCCTAATGTTCGTAAATATAAAGCCCTCGCCGCGGACCCTAATGCGGAGGAGGCCACGGCTATTACCGTCACGGCTACTCCGCCTTCTACTATTACGCTAAAGGGCGATAAGGCCACGGATACCACGGACGCCGCCGCCACGGCCACTACTACGGCGGCTACGGCCGCCGGTAAGAGGAAGATAGCCGCTCGCCGGAAGGCTATAGCTATAACGAAAGAACTAACGACTAGGACGCCTATATCCATCGATAACCTCTTTAAAAAAGGGCGTACGCGCTACCTATAAGATCGCCGTATATACCGCGAGGAAAAGGCAGACTACGACGCGTAGTAGAAGGAGTTTAATAAGGTACGCTCCTATATCGAAGGGACTATATATACCACGTTACGTAACCTCCTCGCCTAGCTATAGGATAACACCGTAAATAACCCGCGGGCCTGGATTACTCTCCTATACGCGTATGTAGGACTAACACCTATAGACCTCTATAAGGAAGCCCTAGTCCTATACCGACGATACACCACGACTATAAAGGCTATACCTAAGGATATAGACGCCTGGGTAGTAAGCTGGAAAATAGCGATAATATACTATAAATATATAGGCGTTTTAGAGCTATTAAGCGCGGACTATGAGGTAGAAGACGCGTTAAAAGCTATTAGACCTATTACTTAGGAATAGAGTAATAACTACTTAGTAAATAACTACGATAAGATTACGGAAAATAAGCTAACGATTAACGACTTTATAAAGGCTCTAAGGGCGGTTCTTAGTAATATAAAGAGCCTATAATCCTCCGCTATAAAGCCTAGAGTTAGGAGAGGCACCTTTAATACCCTTAGGAACCTCCCCAATACTAAGAATACTACTACTACTAATAATAAAGATAATAAAAAGCGTCCTCGTAGCGACACGTCCTTAAAGGCTATCCCTCCCGTAATAAGGAGGCCCTATAAGATATACGAAAATACCTATACTACCGCCGCCTATTAGTATATAAGGCCAGATATACGCCCTTATACCTAGCGTGGCCGTGAAGATATTATAAAGGTCGCGGAAAAGAAGATACGTATTTATAGTTTTAAAAGCCGCGTAGATACCGCGATATAGAAGAGGCTGGAAGTAGTAGCTATTACCGCTAATAAGATAGAGGAAGTCCAGGAAGATTAACTCTATAATACTACGCCTACTATAGTTTATAAAGACCTGTCTGTTACCGCGACGGGGAGACTAGGAGCCCCCTTAACCTAGGGGGTAGCGCGTCGTTGTATAACGATACTATTAAGATTATAATAAAAATAGGGGATATCCCTTTCTATTAACTAAGCCAGAGCGCTATTATACTACGCGATCCTAGACTTAGGATCGTTAATCTATATCTTTAATAATTAAGGCCGTTTTACGGCCGTTAGACTACCCACGGTTAATTTATTAACGCTTTAGGTAGGTACTTATAAGGCTCTTATCCTCGGATATAAAGATATTAAGCTGCGTGTGTAATCCTTAGCGGGCACGAAAAGGCTACTACGCCTCCGTAACGTCGTATATTATAAGGAATTCATTATTAATATCGTCTCGGAACGCTAGCTACGCCTATAAGGTTACCGCTAGGATACCGTAAATAACACTATTATTAGCTCCGCCGACGACTAGCCTATCTATAAGCTACTAGATATCTATAGCTAGTATATAATCGAGCGCGCGGAAGCCACGGCTACTACCGCGTTCGCGGTCTCGGTAAGGCACCCCCGCGATAACCCGTATAGAAGATCACGATAACCGCGATAACTGTAGAAGACCACGGTATAACGGTGGCACGAACGCCTCGGCTACTACGGTACCGATACTCTTATAAAGATCGTCGACGCTACATAGGGGGTAAGGATAAAAGGACTACGCACGACGGACTATAACGCGTGTGGATAGTCGTAAATACCTACGTAGATCCGGCAGATACTATCCCTTTACCCGTTAAAGCCCGGAGAGGCCCTAGCTATTAATTTTCACGATCTAGAAGAGGCGGAGTAGTTAGCGGGCGGACAGTATAAGTCTATTATATTCGTTATAGACGTATATATAGGTTATATATAGGATTACTACCTATAGAAGAGAGACTAAGACTCTATCCTATACGCTCCGAAGGACGTTTTTACTCTACTTAAGACCTAATTCGACGTTAGGCCACGCGTTCTACGGGCTAATTCTAAGATGTTTTAGCACCTAGAAGTCATTACTTTCCTCGCTACTAAGGGGGTAGAAGGTTAGCCGTCGGCACTATATTTATAGGATTAGAACGGCGTGGTAGAACGGATTAAAGGTATCGTTAAGAGAAGGGCGAGGGCTATAAGGATTAGAGCTAATCTGCCTATATCTGTCTAGCCTAAGATCTTTAAGACTGCTATATATCTATATAATAGAACGCTACGATATATTAACGACTAAAAGACACTATACGAAGGCCTACGCGGCCGTTAACCTAACCTCATGCACCTATAAGCTTACGGCTATAAAGCCTTTATAAAAACGCGCGATACCTAAGCTAAAAGGAACCGCCTATAAAGGCTGGAACCGAAGGCATAGATCGGCTATCACGTCGGATACTAATCCTTGAATAGCTTCCGTATTTAGCTACTATACCTAACGGATATTATTATTATAAGAGATATAGTCTTTAATAAAGACGAGATATTTAACGGCAGGATTAAAATGCTATAAGCTATGGCTTCCGCCGAGGAAATCGAGGAACGCCTATAATCTATCCGTATCACCTATACCACGACCGCGAACAGGCTACTATTAAGGGGTATAGCTATAGATGTATTAGATCTCGAGTTAGAAGACTCTTATACTACCGCTATTACTACGGACGAAGGTAAGGCCGTCGCTATTATTATAAGAGAGGCTATTACTATTACTATAGACTATACCGCTATTACTACGGGTAAAGGCGATACTACCGCTATTACTACGGACGAAGGCGAGGCCGTCGCTATTACTACGATAGAGGCTACTACTATTACTATAGATAAGGTTCTAAATCTATAGCCTAATAACTAGGCTATAGATTTAGAACCTTATAACTCCGACGCTACCGCTATTACTATAGGAGAGGCCACCGCTATTATTACGGATACTTCACGGTTTACCACTATAAGGTTTAAACCGTTTCCCACGCCTCTAATATCCCCTAAAGATCCTGCGCGCGCGTTCCTTATAGCGTTAGCGGTGGTCAGGGGCGCTAAGATAGAAGAACACGATAACCACTAACGGACAGCTATAGGTGCCCCTAGGGGGTGCCCGTCGGCCATACTCCTGTCGGCCGCGCGCTTATTACCCACGCGTCTATCTATCGCGAGAACCATCGTAAGTCTATACATGACCGAGAAGGTCTAGAACGATAACGCCTGGAAGGCGTTCTTTAATGCTGATTCCCCTTATACCTCCTAGCCGCTATCGCTATCGTATATAACCTGCGAGGATCTCCCGCCTCTACTAAACCACCACCGCGATATACGCCTCTATCCGTTACGGGAGTGTTGGTTATAGGCTAAGGGGGAACACCTTAAGGGGCACCGATAGATAGGCTACTAGTAGGAGGTAGGTAGTAATCAGGCTAATAAGTAATAAGTCCTCGCCTATAGATAGGTATACACCTATAAATTTAATAAGGAGGGCACCCTCCTTAAGTGTAAGGCACGCCTTATAGTCCGAGGGGATTAATAAAAACGGTTAGAGACTAAAGATAACTATGCTAAAATGCTAGCCTCGCGGTCTTTCCGTATACTAATAACGATCGCCGCCCGATTTAACCTAGAGATAAGGTAGTTCGATACCGTTAACGCGTTCGTTAACGCTAGCCTTAAAAAAGAGGTATTTATAAAGATACCGTAAGGCTACGAAGTACCAGGCAAGGTCCTACTACTACGGAAAGCCCTCTTCGGTTTAAGGGTATCGCTACTACTATAGTAAGGGGAATTTAGCGGCACGCTATAGAGGATAGGCTTTATAGCCGTCCCTAATAACCCCTATATTATAATCCGCGACGGTTTAATCCTATTCTTCTACGTTAACGATATCGGACTTATATACTATAGAGACCGTAAGACGGACGCCGACGACCTTAAGGCTGCCCTTAAGCGAAGCTATAGGTTATTAGGAGGCGAAGAAATCCGTTAGTTCCTAGGAATTAAGGTCCTAAGGGATAGAGCTACCCGTAGGTTATAGCTATTATAGTCCTCCTACGTGGAGAAGATCGCGGTTAAATACTACGCAGATACACTTTGCCGAAAACCACTAAAGGTCCTATTATCTACGGAGCCGGTAATACCCCGAGACGGCACCCGCGCGTCGATTCCTAAGGTCTATTAGTATTAGGGAATAATCGGTTCTATCTTATACGCCGCTATCGTGATAAGACCCGATATCGCGTTCGCCTACTTAAAGCTTTCCTAATATAACGTTAACCCCTCCTCTAACCACCTTAAAAGGGCTTAATAAGTGCTGCTATGCCTATACTATATAAGACACTACTGCCTAGAATTCGGCGGGGATAGGCTCTTCCTAATAGTAAGCGACGCGTCCTTTAGGGATAATCCAGACCGTAAGAGTTTGTAAGGATATACGATAAAGCTCTTTGGCGGCACCGTTAACTAGAAAGCGGGTAAATAACCGACGGTCACGACGTCATTAACAGAATCGAAACTACTCGCTCTTATAGAGGCCGCTAAAAAGACGTTATTCGTTAGCCGGATATTAAGGGATTTAGAGCTTCGACTGAACTAATAATAGCTATAGCTACACTACGATAATTAACAGACTATTAACCTCGTTAATAAGAAGGCATAACGCCTGCGGATAAGGCTGCGGCACGTTGATATATATAACAAGTAGGCGCGCTAGTCAGTATAATAAGGTCTCTTTGAAGTTACATACGTTAACACGAAGGAGATAATCGCGGACGGATTAACGAAGGCATTACCGGAGGCGGGGATTAAAAGACTACAGTAATAGCTTAATTTAACTAATTAAAAGGATCGTATCGAGTAGTCTAAACGACTATATAAAGAGATTAAACGCGCTAAAGCGGCTATAATAAAGGCCCCCGAGGACGTAGTAGATCCGATAAATATAGATCTAATTAATTAGATCCGGCTAATTAGAATCGAGGAACTAATTAAGATAGAATTAAATTAAACGGTTAAATAGGGCGGATTTAGATCCCTTTTACGAGGGCGTTTCCCCTTAACTATTAATTTTATGATAGAAAAGTTAAGAGCGTTTAGTTTAAACCGAAGCCTTTAATTAGTTAGTTAACCTAGGAAGACCCACCTTAACTAAGGGGGTGTATCGTATAGGCAGGACCACGATATAGTCTATAGGGGATCTAGGGGGGATCCACTCTATAACTAAGGGCTCCGGAAATCGGGGACTTTAGGTATTAGGATATAATAAGGGTGGATAGTTACCAGCCACGCCACCAAAGCATGCCTTTGCAGAATCAATCCGTTGACTGCCTTTCCTCGGAGACGCAGTGATTACGGAATTAGACGCTAGACGCTAGACGCTAGACGCCTCGAAAACGCAAACACCTCGCCTTGTCAGTACTCAGGACTCGGGACTACTTCAGGACTACTACTCCGTACAGGGAGCACACCATCCATTGATCCATTGATCGTTGGTTTTTAGCTCAGACGTCTAACTCGGTAGTCGTATTGGTGGCCTTCAGGGGCTTGCTTATTTTACTTTAGCACCCGATGGCGACGGCTCGTCCCTTGGGTCCCGCCCCCCTTTCGGTGTGGGTATGGGCGGGCGTATGAGCCGATTTGATTGCCCTGGGTCTCGTCGTCTTAACATGAATGAATGGATACAAGACACGTGGATCGACCTTTGCGGCTTCTCCGTACTTCGTACTTTGTTTTGTACCTTGCGTATAGTACGATTCGATGATAGGGCCCAACATGGCACCACCATAGGTCCACCACGACTCAGGCTTTCAAATCCCTTCATCTGTTCATCTCCCTTGGTTAATCGATTGACAAGTTTTCCTTTTTCATTTATTTACTTTTCGACTGACAGTGACAGTTGAGTCTTCCATTGCACGACTGGTATCCTTTTCGGTTAGGGAAAAGATGACGCCTCCGGGCGTCTTCGGCGTCATCTCTTCTTCTCCAGCTGCCATCCTCACCAAGTCACACCAAGTCCGAGGTGAACTCCAATGTCGACAACTCCGGTTCTTGCCAAAAGAACGGACACGGCGCAAGTAGTTATCAACTCTCTGACAATATAGGTACAGTATTTCTCTTCTTTTATTTTTCCCCCCTGCTTTTTTAAATCTATATTCCCCCTTCTTCCCCCTGTCCACTCTGTTGCTCACAACGAAGTCGGCCCTTGTGAACTGACAAAAACACCTGTATCAGGCTCCACTATCGGCACCGGGCTGTTTCTAGGCACCTCCTCAGCTCTTGTCCAAGCCGGACCCCTTGGCTTACTCTTCTCCTTCTCACTCATAAGCATTGGGCTCTACTCAGTCACAAACTCACTCGCCGAACTATTAGCCCACCTTCCCTCCTCGTCGTCGCCCTCCCCTCGACCGGCCTGGTTCTACACCTCTCACCTCGCCCATCCCTCCCTGGGCTTTGCCGTGGCATGGACAACGTGGCTCGTTCATGCTGCCACCTTGGCCCTCGAACTCGTTGCCATCGCCCCCCTTCTACAGCACTGGGAGCCAGTTCTCTGGCCCAACGGCTCCCTGGTGGCCGCCGCTGCCTTCTGGCTCTTCTCGACGACACTAATCCTACTACCTAACTGCTGGTCCACCTTCGCCCTGAACCTCTCAGCGGCGCCTCTCAAACTATTTGTTGCCCTCCTATGGCTCTCCATCGCCTTCTGCATATCCGCCGGCGTGGGTCAGGAAGCTGGTCCCGGCTTTCAGTACTGGTCTGATCCGGGCGGTTTGGTTGAACACATTGCCCCCAAAACCGTGGACCGATCTGTAGGTGTGGGGTCCGTCCTTGCTATCGCCGCCTTCAGCCTGCAGGGTGTCGAAACGGGCGGAGCCGGTATTATCAGACCGATTACGACTCGTTACATCAATAATATCAGCTCTCCCCGCGCTACCACCCCAAACAAGCAGTTTTAGGGAATTATGAGCCTCACCCTCGCTACTGTTTTCTCCATCAGCCTGCTCGTCCCGTCCGATGATCCCGATATCGCCGCCTATGCCTCTACCTTCGTCGTTGCCGTCCGCCGCACCGGTATCCCCTTCCTGCCGGAGCTCGTCAATGCACTCCTCGTCATCTCCGTAATGGCCAGTGCCAACGCCCACCTTGCGTCCGGCAGTCGCATCCTCACCTCGCTGGCCGGCGAGGGCTACGCACTGCCACTCGGTTCTGGGCGGACCAACGGCGCCGACGGCGCGCAACGTTTTTCTGCGGCAGCGACTTCGGCCGTTGGTTTCTTCGTTCTCGTGACTACGCTGGTCTGTAATGCAGGCGTCGTGCTCAGCTCGTTGTTGCTTGGCGCCGGCGGCAGCGTTGCTATTCGATCAATCAAATCAGATTAGGGGTGTAGAATTGATTGATTGACGCTTTCGGCGCCGTGAAGTTGATTGATTGACTAGTTAATTGATTGATCTGATTAACACCTGTTAGTAGTAGTAACTAAAGTGAGGCTATTTATAGATTATGGATATCCCGACCACCCCCCACCCCCCCTTCCCCCTACCTTCTAGAGGCAGGGCGGCGTGCTCTAAGCATCGTGACGTAGAAGAGGGCATAGAAGAGGGCGTAGAAGAGGGCGTAGAAGAGGGCGTTTGAAGAGGTTCGTGGATTAGTGACTTTTTTTACTTATGGTATGGTGGGCTGACTAAGCCTTGCGATGCAATAGTCACGTGATATATTTTATGACACGTTACGTGACCCGAATGATAGGCGGGTGGGTCTTCCGGACTCGGTACCTTATTCTATTAGTCCGGAGCCGGATTGTTCTCGTTGGCCTCTGTCTTCCATAAATCTGCACGAGCAACTGATAAAGTAGAGAGTCACTGACCTTGGAAAATGCGAGTGTCGTCGACTTGCACGGGTATCGGGATTTCCTAATTAATCCCTCCGGGCCGTTGGAACCAGTCCGTAGTCCGTACTTTGTAGCGTCTCTCTGGACTCGAAACGTCATTGGCCCCTGCTTGTCCCTTGTACCCCGCCGGAAAAATTCCATGCCTTAGCTCCGGCTTGTTTGTTTCACGAATACTTAATCCCCGCTACGTGGGGGCGGGGTACTGCACTAATTATATCATATATAACTTGTAAGGTAAACTTGGGTAGCTACGTAAGTTTGCACCCTTGACGTTTACCTTAAGAATCACTGATTTCAACTGTTAAAGGGAGTCTAATAAGATCCATTGCATATTCAATTCCCTAACGTCCTGCATGCTGCAGCCAGATACACGAAACTGCCCTGATCAACCGGCCCAGATTCCAACCCTCCAACGTCCGGTAAAACTACCGCTATACCAGTGAAAAATGGCCGACATACCTGTCTGCACCAAGACCTTCCCATTGAACAACGGTGAGAATGCAGGCCTCAGATTCCGATAATTCGACAAGCAGCGAATTAATCCATATACCAACACAGGCCAGCTTATGCCAGCCGTTGGCTTGGGCACCTGGCAAGGTAAACATCAGACATCTCCACGTTTCCTCCACGACCCCTCCAACGTCCGTTCCGCTCCCACGACATCTTCTAATAAGGCCAACCAGGCGGCTACGGCACAAAGGACACCGAAGCCCTCGAACAATCCATCATCGACGCCCTGCAAAGCGGCTACCGCCTAATCGACACGGCCCAGTCCTACGGCGTCGAATCCGTCGTCGGCCGCGCCATCCGGAACAGCGGCGTCCCCCGGTCCGAGATCACCGTGGTCACCAAGTTCTGGGGCGAATGGCACCACGACCCGGCCGCGGCGCTGCAGATTTCGCTCGACGCGCTGGACATCGAATACGTGGACGTCTTCCTCATGCACTGGCCGTGGGCCACGACGCCCGCGCCCGAGAAGAGGCCGCTCCGCAAGAGCGAGTCCCCCACCATCGTCGAGACGTGGAAGTTGATGGAGAAGCTCGTGGGGCCGCGGTGCCGCGCCATTGGCGTGAGCAATTTCACGCAGAAGACGTTGGAGGAGATTTTGGCCGAGGCGAGTGTGGTGCCGGCTGTCAACCAGGTGGAGGTTCATGCCTTGAACCCGAACCATAATCTTGTTCCGTACTGCGAGTCGCAGCGCATCCACGTCATGGGATGGAGGTAGGGAGGCTTTTCTTTTTTTTTTCTCCTTTTCTTTTTCCTTTTTTTCCCTTCCCCCCCCCCCCCCCCCCCCCCCCCTTTTCTTCCTTCTACCCTCTCTTATCCGAGCTAACCAGTTTCTGCGTAGTACGATGGGCGGAGGAGGCGACAAGGCCAGCAACCCGATGCATACCCACAAACTCTTCCAGGGCCTTGCCCAGAAATACGGCTGCTCCACCGGCGTCATTTCGTTGTCGTGGGCCGTGCAGCGTGGCATCACTGTGATTCCCAAGAGCAGTTCCAAGGCCCGGATCGAGGAGAACATCAAGCTTGTCACCTTGGATTTGCTAGATATGGCCAAGATCAACGATGCGCAGAATACCATCAAGAGATTCAGGATCGCCGACCATATCACGCCGCTGTGGATGGAGATGGATGGTAAACCGACCATGCAGGGGTGGTCCGTCGTTGATTTTGGCTGGGAGGACGAACAAGGGAACTGGCTGGCTTAGGGGGGTGGATATGTAAGGAGAAGAATAGAAGGGAGGCCGTTGTCCATGTCGTTGTTTATGTCGCATGTGATATGTACCATGTCTGCTAGTCACTTTGTAGTCAAGACACCTATTTAAGCTAGGACTGCACTCCAGTCGTGATAAAGGCACGGGCCGGGAGATCCACAGACCGGGCATTGGTGTCCGGGATTTGCCCTAATAGGCAGGAGGGGCTTGGACCTGGAGCTCGGGATCCTCAGATTCGTGTTGACCGCGTCCGTGCTCGGATCCTGCCACTCGGGTCAAGGTGTGTTTGCAACGTACAGTCTTAACATGTCCGTTTACAATCTGTTTTGTTCTTCTGTCCACGTACATTATGCATCCTGGGCATTTGATGTGTATAAACGACAGCTTCTCATGTGCCAGGTCCCTTCAGTCGGCCAAGACCTCGGTCTCCTACGGTCTACCGTGGCTCCCTGAGTCCCTGGGGCCTGCTCTCCCCAACTCCCTTCCAGTAAGCATCTCTCCATATATCACTCACTTATATTTGCTGTCTTTTGTTAGCATCAAGCCGTACATGATACAACCCCTCCAACCCGCACTTCTAACCAAACAGCACATGCATTGACTGCACTCTGATCTCGGTCGTTCTCCAATAAAAAACCACTCCCTCATCATCCTACTTATCCTGTGTGCAAGGACGCTTATATATACATTTGCCGCCATACCATCACAGCGTCCCATCGCAGACTCTCCATGCAGGAGCCAAGCTTCGGCTGGCATATTTTCCAATAATCCCATGGATGATGGCTTTGGCTAACTCTTTTAACAGGTCGCCATGGTGGGAATACACGCACGAGCATGATTGCGAGATATTGGCAGTGACATCCTGTTCAGGAAGCTCTTAAGTAGTTTTACGCATCCATCATACCTTGGCCGATGGGGTGATACGTCGATTCCGTCCATGACGAGCTCCGCTCTCAGATCTGCTGCAATGCGCCTGCGAACTGCAGATTGGTCCCTAGAATCTACACATGCATGTACCGTGCTGAACAGCCACCCATCTCCTTCTGGGCGGCTCCCCACCCCCACGCCCCAACGGATCCTGTCAACTGGAGCGTCTGGTCTCATGATCGAACATTCGGACTGGGAGCTACCTAGTTTCGAGTAACTCACGCCAGCCAACGTACATCTTAACTACTACGTTGGATATGCCAAGGCGGGTTGCGATCTATATCTTTCCTGCTGTAGCTTATCGCCAGATTAGGCAGCTCTGTAAAAATGTTGTCATATCTAGGCCTAATGCCGCTGTGATTTCACCACCAAGCATCAACAGAGGTCCAATTGTCTTCGAGGACAGCCTCTCGGGATGACCCCAGAAGACTACCTACAAATAGTGCCCCCATGCTCCATCTAGTTGACTCTGTTTCCTATGTAGTCTGGTCTCACGAGTAGATCAGCTGCAACCAGCTTAGAACTTCTTCGTCCATTCCTGTTTGCTCGTTCACCCTAGGGGTCTTCCACATCCCCTTTTGCCGATCATCTCCAGTAGAACAAAATGGTCGGCTTCAGAAAGCTCGCCGTACTAGCCGGCCTACTTGCACCCTTTGGTGCTGCTGCTCCTGTCGAGTCTGCTCCGGTCGACATCGATCACAAGTTCATCATCACCTTGAAATCAAACATTTCAGAGGCCGATATCCAGTCCCACCTCTCCTGGGTCGAGCAAGTTCATAAGCGTAGCCTTGGTCGTCGCGATCTTGCTGGCCTCGAGAAGACCTTCAATATTGCCGACTTTCATGCCTACTCCGGGACATTCGACGATGAGACCATCGACGAGCTCAAGAACAATCCCGAGGTACGTTAACTGGCTGCAAGTCGCAAGGTCACCACAGTATCTACGTCACATACAGCCAGCCTCAACTACCTACTCACCGAATATCACCCGCCAGGTCGTCTCCATCGAGCCGGAGCAGATCTACACTCTGAGTGACTTTGTCAGCCAGCCCAACGCCCCCTGGGGGCTGGCCACCCTTTCGAGCCGTCGACCCGGCGCCAGTACCTACTGGTACCACGACTCGACCGGCAGCGGCACATATGCCTACGTCGTCGACAGCGGCATCCACATCCAACATGCAGACTTTGGCGGCCGTGCTGCCCGCGGCTACAACGCCGCCGGCGGTGCCTTTGAGGACTCTCTCGGCCACGGCACCCACGTTGCGGGTATTATCGGCGGCACGACGCATGGCGTTGCCAAAGCCGCACGTCTTATTGACGTCAAAGTCTTCATTGGACCCAGCACGAGTACCTCGGTCATTTTATCCGGTATCAGCTGGGCCGTGAACGATGCCCTGACGAACAACCGTGCTTCTCGCTCCGTTATCAATCTCTCCCTCAGTGTGTGATACTTCTTTTGTTTTGTCAATTTACTGGTTCATAACGAGACAGGGACAAAGCTAATGTTGACCGTCAAACCGTCCCTATAGGCGGCCCTCTCTCCGCTGCTTGGAACAACGCCATCAATGCCGCCCACTCCGTCGGCGTCCTGAGCGTTGTCGCGTCCGGAAACGACGACGTCCTCGCTAGCACCCGCTCCCCCGCCTCGGCCGTCAACGCCTTGACCGTGGGTGCCATCGATTCGACCTGGACCGAAGCCTCGTTCTCCAACTATGGCAGTGCCGTCGATATCCTTGCTCCTGGTGTCGATATCCGTTCCCTTACCACCGGTACTAGCACGGGGACTAGGCTGGGTTCAGGCACCTCTATGGCGGCACCACACGTTGCTGGCCTGGCCCTGTACCTTGCTGTTCTTGAGAACATCAACTCCCCTAACGCTTTGAAGGCTCGGATTCACCAACTTGCAACGGTCGGCGCCGTTAGAAGACTGAAGCCTGGCTCGCCTAACCTTATTGTTTACAATGGTATCGCTCTAAGGGGCGCGCTGGTGTGAATAAAGGGGGAAGGGGCAGTGCCCATCGTTCTACAAATTTTTTGTTTTTCCTCAGGTAAATCCAGACCAGGACGGGTCTGTTCGTCTGGAGGTTGAAAGTGAGACTTGCTTTGATGACACTAAGATAGTATTTCATCGTTGTCACCTACAACTTGGATGGCGCCGTGGGGCTCTTGATCTCGACCATGAGCTTGCCCGTGTTGATCCCCTTGTACAGATCAATCAGACCCTGTTCGGCCACCTGTAAGCCACCCTTCAGGATGGTCTCCTTGCGCTTGATCTTGCCCTCGTCAAGCCACTGTGCTAGCTCTTTTCTGGCGGCAGTAAATTCCTTGGCATAGTCGAGGACGATGAAACCCTGCATCTTGATGCGCATGGAAATGACACTGAGGAAGTTCTAGTTTGTTTGTTAGAGTAAGGCCCAGATGTTCTCCTTGTATAACTCTGGTGTACAATGCATGTGGGCAAGGGAATGGGAAACTGGGAAAATTGGGCAAGCAGCAACCAAGAGAACATTACCTTGGGACCCTGCACATTGGACGAGTTGTACTGGCTAATGCCGCCGCAAATAACAAACCGAGCAAACTCCTTCGCCCTACCCAGGGCCAAGTCGAGGACCTCACCGCCAACGTTATCGAAGAAGACGTCGATGCGATCCGGGGTGGCCTCGCGGAATTTCCGGGGGAAGTCGGGATCCTTGTAGTTGATGGCGGCATCGAAGCCCAGCTCGCGGGTCAGCCAGGCGCATTTGTCGTCAGAGCCGGCTATGCCGACGACGCGGGCGCCGCGCAGCTTGGCGATCTGGCCGGCGACGCTACCCGTGGCGCCCGCGGCGCCGGACACGACAACAGTGTCACCGGCGCGGGGCTCGCCGATGCGCAGCATGCCGAAGTAGGCGGTCAGACCGGTCATGCCGATGACGGAGAGGTAGTCGGACGGGTGGGTGACGGGCGGGTAGGTGTCGATGGGCTGGATGGTAGCGTCGGGGATGATGGCGTACTCGGTCCAACCGGCGAGCGTGGGGAGGATGTCTCCCGGTTTCGCCTTGGGCGACTTCGACGCCAGCACGCGGGAGACGGTGGCGGCGCGCATGGGTTCGCCGATGGCCACGGGTGGGACGTAGGACCGCGTATCTACCGTGTTCGGTGAGATGCAGTTCTTCTCTTTTCGTCCAGCCGCGGCAAGAAAAACAAAAGGCGGGGGGAAGAAGGGGGGGTTGGGGGGATATTTCGAAGAGCGGACGCAGCCAGGGTGGGTTTGATAACTACCGTACCATTCATCCAGCCGCGCATGGCCGGGTCCAGGCTCAAGTAAAGGTTCTCGACGAGGAGCTGCCCATCTTGGAGGTCTTCGGCTTTGGGGAGAGGGACGGTCTCTGTTTTGAGGGTCGTTCCGGCCATGATTTCTGCCTTGGGCCTCTCGGCTAAGTATACTCTGAAATTTTCACCAGGCATGATGGAATTTTTATCGATGATGACCACCGTTCAAGTAAATTTTGAGATGTTTGGTGTTTTGGTCTGGATATGATGTTTTGACGTTGACCTGGAGGACCGCCGCTGAAGTGGGAATTGTCAGCAAGTATTTATTTGTAATCGGTCCGCGGGGAAGCAGTGGACCGTGGTATCGGGTTCCCCGCCGATTATAGCCCCGCTCCGGGCCATTTGCCTATTACATCATATCGCCCGCCCGTCGGCTCCGAACCGGCCCGGGGAAACGGCATGTGATAGATATGGACTCGAGTGACTAATCAAGTCAAGAATTGGGAAGGTCAGGTGATCTGCCCCCGACCAGACTTGTTTCGCCGAAGCCCTTCTTTCTTGTTGCACGCTGTGGCGTGCTGGACTTCTGCCCAACGAAGGGTTATAATAAGGAGGTCGTTAGGTATAACCGCACGATATAGCCGGCGACGTCTGGGCGGTCGTGGGCCTGGGTGTCTTTTGGGCGCTGAATCTTCCGAGGACACTCAAGTATACGAGCTATATCTCGTTAGCATGTGAGTTTTTCACGGTCACGCAAGACTTGTAGTCCAACCGTCATGGTGTATGTTCTGGACTTTTCTTTTTGATCCGGCAGCTGACAAACGCTTCTTTCAGCCTGCCTGTCCATCGTCGTGGCCGTGCTGGTGACGGTCGCCGATGTTGCCATCGAGCGTCCCATTGGGGATGCCAGCATCGAAATTGTTCGCCAGCTTTCCTTTGCGCCGGCGTTCTTGGCCATCTTGAACATTTCCATTTCGTTCTCCAGCCACTCTTGCTTCTTCAGCGTCATCGCCGAGTTCAAGAAGCCCGAGGACTGGCCCAAGGCGCTGGCGCTCCTCCAAATCTGCGACACGACGCTCTACCTCCTCGCCGCCATCGTCATCTACGTCTTCGTCGGCCCGGACGTCCCGTCGCCGGCGCTCTCGGCGGCCAAATCGCCCACGATGCGCAAGGCCATCTGGACCGTCTCGGCCGTCATCGCCGGGTCGATCCCCGTGTTCAACAGCCTGCTCGGCCTGATCGGCGCCCTCTTCGCGAGCTGGTTCTCGTACGGCCTGCCGGGGATCTTTTGGCTGTGGATGCACCGGGGCCGCTGGTTTGGGGACTGGAAGCAAAAGTGCCGGTTATGCGGCGAATGTGATTCTTTTCGTCACCGGCATGCTTCTTTGTGTGCTGGGGTTGTGGGCGTCGATCGAGGTGATTGCGAAGGAGAATTCGACCAGGCCGTGGACATGTGCGAGCAATGCCGCGGAGTGATGAGAGGGGAATTGTCAAGCAGGTCTATTAGATGATAGAATCTCGTCGTCTTCTATCTTGATTCTTGAACATTGAAGGTTTTGATCCTTCGCGACTGCCCGTACCGTTTCAAACGGCGGTGTGACGGACGTTGCTGACTAATTCGATATCCCCTGTCTTATTAGGTAATCACTAAGGTACCTATCATTATCATTTAAAACCCACCCCCATTCCCCATTCCGCACCCCCTTTTAACTCCATGTCGCTTTCCTTTTCCCACCGTGGCACCGCCCATCAACGTTTACCATGGAGGCAGTCCCAGCACTCCTTCCAGTTCTAAACCGAATCCCTAACGAGGTTTTTCAAGACATCATCTCATACTTGCCCAACAGTGACATTAAAAACCTCCGGCTGGTGTGCAGGTTCTTCCGCAACAAGGTCTCGTCACAGCTGGAACGGGTCTTCTTGTCCGCCAACCCGCTCAACATCCAAGTTCTCCGGAATATCGCCGACCACGACATCTTCCGCCACGGTGTCGTGGAGATTATTTGGGATGATGCCCGCCTGGAGAGACCCTCTCGGACGGGAGACGATGGCGATGATGACCACGATGATGACGACGATGACGAGGAGGGTCTGGGCCATGGCTGCCCGGGGTGGTTCGCGCGGGAGTGCAAGGAGAATGTGGCTTATTTGAAGAGGAGGAGGCGCTATGACGTCGATCGTTCGGATCACATTGCCCGAGCGAAGCTATTGGAGGCCAAGCTTCCCCTGAGGGAATCATTCACATACTTCGAGGAGCTGATCCGGCAGCAGGAACAAGTCATCGCGTCCGACGCCGACGCCCAGGCTTTCTGCTACGCGCTGAAGCGCTTCCCTCGCCTAAGAAGGATCACTATCACCCCTGCCGCGCACGGCTTTCTGTTTACCCCACTGTATGCCACGCCCATGATCCGTGCATTTCCCTATGGCTTTAACTACCCCATCCCGCGGAGTTGGCCGGGCAGGGGCCGAAAAGTTGTCGCTGAACCGGTAGTGCAACCCTGGGTTGATGAGGAGGAGAAGGAGAAATGGCGCGGTTTCCGCATTGCCACGCGCGTGCTGGCCCAGGAGGAACCACGGCCGGGTCACGCAGCCGTAACGGAATTCGTTGTCGACGTGAACCAACTCAACACGGGACTCAACTGTCGCATCTTCGACGAGCCGTGCGACGAATATAACCACCTGGTGACCCTGCTCCGACGACCGGGCTTCTCTCGCATCGACCTCCCCTTCATCGTGGGCGGCCTCGAGTGGGACGACTGGCCCTCGTTTCGCAGCGGCTACCTGTTCCGCGCGCTTGCCGAAGCAAGCGACCTGGAGCACGTCAGTCTCGGGACCAACGTCGTCCCCGACCCCGACGCCTACGCAACGGAGCCAGGCAGCGCCGGTTTCGCGGCGCACTTCATCCCACTGCGCACCATCTTTCCCGTGGAAAAGTGGCCGCGGCTCCGCCACCTCGGACTCTCGCGTTTCCTTGTGAAGCAGAAGGACGTTCTCGCGCTGCTCGCCTCGCTTCCAGACACGCTGCGGTCCGTCGAGCTTAGCTTCCTCATGTTCCTGGACGGCGGCGGCTCCTTCCGGGGGTTGCTGGACGACATGCGCGACACCCTTGGCTGGCGCGAGCGACCGGTAGCTCACAGGCCTCGCGTCATCGTCGGCATGCCGTCGCAGCAAGCTGTGGAGGGGCGCGCCGTCTGGGCCGATCATGAGGTGGAGGCGTTTCTGTACCGCGACGGGGAGAATCCGTTCTCAAGCCGTGCACGTAGGACGGAGAATAGTATCTCTTTTGGGACGGGCGTGGTGCGGGATGCGTTTGAGCCGGGGCACGAGCGGCCCTACGTCAGCCCTCGTATGCTGATGCACATGGGTATCCGAGAGTTTAGCTGGTGGTTAGTTTTAGGACCATATTAGGTGCTTAGAGGAGAGGGAGCCAGCGATTAATCTAACTCTTCACATGTAGCTATACCTACCTTTAGTCCTATTATGCCCCTATTATGATCCTTACTCAATCTCTCGATTCTACCCTCCTGGTTCTTATAGCACCAAGTTTTGACTCTTTAGGACTACCTATTTAATAGACTAGGAGGCTAACTATACGATAAGGTATATAAGGTATGGTGTAATAATCCAATAGACAAAAGACAATCCTACAATAATATCTTCCCCTCCCTCGGGGTCTTTTAGTTTCTTACCCCCCCCCCCCTTTTTTTTCTTTTTTTCTTTTCGCTGTGGTCCTCTGGGCCATTAAAAATAGTTGAGGACATTGTTTTTCACAAAGTCCGGCTTAAAAGTACATTTACTGTTTATGTGATCGAGGTCTTTATTGAGAACATTGGGGATGGATAGCGCACACGCAGCTATCACAACTGATATCTGCATATCGAACCATCACACCAACCAAGACACAGCGACTCACCTCGTTGCGTCGTGAGAAGGGGGGGAAACGTTTGCTGCCCTAAACACAATGCTGACACCACCGAAATTCGCCACTTGACGGCAGCTTGAACATCTTTGTAAAGCATCATCCGTCCACATTTACCAATCCCGACTACAGAGGATATGTGGAGAAGATGAGCCCCCTTCATCGCCGTTCGCTAACCCCAGCCTATACAGCAACACAAACATAGACGTTAGCCTGCAAGCCCGTGCTGTCCGTCTGGACGGCAGGGTTCCACTCATAAAAGTCGGCAAGATCGATGCCGTACTCGTTAGCAATGGCCCAGCATCCGTCGCCAAGCTGCACGTAGTAAAACTCCTCGCAGCCGACGACCATACCGTCCTGCACTGGTGTTGGCGTCGAGCTGCCCTCGCTAGCGGTCGTAGTGGAGCTTGCCTGGCTGACCGTCGAGGAAGGGAAGCTGCCGCCGTCGTCCTCATCGTCGTCTTCGTAGGACGGCGGCAGGCCCTGGGGGTGGGTGGAGATGCAGTAGTACGTGCCCTGCGTCATGCCGGAGCAATCACTGTTGACAGAAGGATTCATCAAGTAGAACTCCTCGATGCTCACGTGGGTCGTTCTCAACACCTTCTCGCAGGTGTGGAACGACTTAGGTCTGAACCACCAAGTGCAGTCTTCGATCTCTCCCGCCGCCCGCGGGCTTGGAGGTGCCCGGGGAGGCGTGGGCGGAGCTGCGGCCTTATGTCAGCTTCACTGCGTGTGTGTGCTCCTCATGAGTCGCCATCTCTCTCTCCTGGGTCTGTACTCACCAGGGGTGGGGGAGCTGAGCTCAACACAGTACGAGCTGCTTGCCGCGACGGTGCAGGGATACGCATACGCGTTAGCTACACCAGATGCGGTTGATTCTTGGGCGAGAGACGGGTTCCAGAGAATAAAGTCCTTTAATTATCAGCGTCGGTACGGAGGTGGGGGATTTAGATGTCCATTTTCCACGTCTCGGATGACAAAATAAGAAAAAGCAACACACCTCGGGAGTCACCTCGTGTATCATGGCCATCAACCAGCAGTCCGCAAGCATATTGTCTGTCAGATCTTCGAGATAAAAATACCTCGAATAGAATGTAAGCATGCGGGCGGAGACTGGGTGAGTCTTGGTCTTCCATACCTCCAGCAATCCAGGCGAGTCCCTTCCGCGATTGGAATGGTAGGTTCAAAATTTATATAGTCTAGCAGAGGGTCTAACACCCAGGGCACGTCAGTGGTAGGCGTCTAGATGAACTCTCTGGTGCTAGTAGGAGGCAAGTATCCTGGGTACGTCGATATGTATCCCACCGGTCTGACGCAGTAGTAGTACTCCAGGTAGACGTTGGTGCAGTTTTCCCAGACATGCGGGTTTAAGAAGAGACTAGAAGAAGAATGATGATTGATGTATAAGTACGGTCCTTGACTCTTTGTAGGGGAACCCAAGAGAAGAAACGAATAAGTTTTGGGGGGAGGCTCACAAATCTTTCAACGTGACCGAATACCTGGTCGTAAACGTCGCGCAGTCTTCCCCAAGCTCAACGAAATGATATTCGGCACAGATCGGATTTGTGTCATCGGGTGTCGGTGTTGGAATGGGACTATCCGAGTCAGTATATTCCAGCATACTCATTCGTACGCTGTGCTCCCACAAAACTGAAGGGGTAATGGGACCCGTGGGACACGGCAACGTACGCCGTCGTGGTTATGATGGTCGGAATGCCATGAGAATTGCTCGGGAGGGCATAGTCCCCGAGAGGATTGCTGATACAGATCTCGTTGCCATGCAGTTCTCCGAGGTTCCTGGAGTAGAGGGTCAGAAACAACATACATCCACACAAATGTGTATATTTCCTCATTTCTTCGCAAAACACGTACGAGCAAGCTAGGTCAATGTCATCGTTCCATGACAGGATCTGAGCGTAAGTGGCGTTTGCATTCCTGGCAATGCTCAGACAGGTATCGCCGGCCGCCACAACGTAGACCTCGCAGTCTCTACGTTCAGTAGCCTGATCCGAAGGAGTCGCAGCATCAGACTGGAGCGCCCAGGTTTGGGCAAGAAAGAAGAGACCAAGAACAACCAGACGCTTCATGATTGCGACAGTGTGACGGTATCTTGCTGATTCGAGAAGCCAGAAGAGGAGGAGAACGAAGTCGGTCGAGGGACTCGGTCTTTACACACTGAAGAGGCCGGGATGTTCGAGACCATAAGCAGCTTAGGTTAGAAGCCCAACATAGGTATCCGTGTCATGGGCTACCGAGAGTCCGAGACCGTTGGCAGTGGAGCGATAAGCAAATTTCAAAATGATGCCTTGGCGTCAGGTCACCAGGGTTAACATATGAACGAATGACCGGCTTCTCTAAGTCTGAATTCCGCAGCGCCGCATGAATAGTACACTGATGTGCCCAGATGAAGTACATAGGAACGATAATTAATGTTTTCGCGATACAGTCAACGAAGCGAGCTACCTACATGAGCACGAGTCGTAAGTTATCACCACGCCGCCAAGGCCATCTTGAGATGTGCATAAGCATAGTTGTAGGGTAGAATGTGATGAGCGTTCCGATTGGACAGACAATCCCGCTCCGTCGTATGAACTCGTGGTACCTGATATTTAAGTCCCCACCCCCCGGACTGCCGCGGGCCCGAGCCCCGCGCGGACCCCGCACCCACGGCATAGACGATATTATCTAATTCTAGCGAGTTAATATCGATCCGGGTAATATTATGCTTAGTCTAGGATTTTACGGATAATCTTTTAAGCTCGAGTCTGCCTCCTACTAGAAACCCGGTTATCCGTTTAAAGGTCCTAGAGCGCCGGGCCATTACTTAAATACCGCGGGTATCCTAGTATATAATAGTAAGTAAAGCCGTTTACCCTATTATAACATGGATAACCACGAGAGGCTCTTATCTTATACTAGTAATAACTAAAAATAATAGAGCTTCTTAATAAGACTAGCGGGATAGCCTACTTAGATAAAGCGGCTACCGTTAGGTATATCGTCTATACCGGTAATAGCTAGATCTCGTAAGTCGAACTTAGGGAGTTACTAACCTCTTAACCTCCCCTTCCTAACTATCTCTATTATTTATTTATTCTTACTTTCTTTTCGTCTCTTATCTTATATATATAATTTATATAGGTTTAACGACGTGATAATATTTCGGAAAAAGATCTAATACGCTAATAGTATAGGCCTTACCGGTTTAATAATTTAGGCTATCGATCTAGATACCGGTAATCTTAAGGCCCTCCGAGCTATCTTGAGTAGCTCTATTATCGATAGTGTTAATAGCCCTTTTACGCTAGTAGACCTTAATAGATTATTCCCCTAGGAGCTACTGCCTCCCGAGGGTGCGTAGACTAACTACGGTCTTATTAACTTTAATGGACGAGCTAATTCGGGTTAGATAGACCCGGACTAAACAGGATTCGGTTTTATCTTAATCACGGGCGACTCCTATACCGTATCTTCGTTAAAGAAACGGGAAGGCGAGCCGGAGCCTTTAGTCTTCCTAGACTACCCCTCCGATATATTAGATCTACCTATTCATAAGACCTAGAGCGCTAGAGTTATCTGCCTAAGTGATAATATAAAAGGGTGCTTTTAGGTTATAGAGCGAGGTGCCGAAGGTATTATCGTTAAGATGCCGGATAATATCAGTGCCCTATAAAGGATCGATAAAAAGTACCTAATATTAATAGAGCCTGGTAGTGCACTCTAACTTCCTTTACGAGAGTTATCGGGTTAAAGCGCTTAGAAGGTTATATACCCTCGTTATAACCTTTTACATAAAGGCCCTTCTAACGGAACCATTAATCATAGACTAGAAACTGCCTTCGAACCTATATATAGGTAAAAGGAGTCCTATATCTAAGGTCTTCGAATTTTCATTCGATTTTAACTTTAACCGTACTCGAAGAGACACCGATAATATAAGGATTCGTATAGACTATTCGAATGTCAGAGGTTATTAGAAGGCGGCCGTCGACTCCCCTGGCATCCAGTCTAGGGGTTCGAGCCGCCTTAATAAGAGATTCTTCGCACCACAGAGTGAGTAATGGCGAAGAATGTTTGATGAGTACAGCGACGACATGGGTCACGATTATGAGAGGGAGACTTATATCACTGAAGAGCTCAGCACTCCCCTGTTCTGGCAGTCGACCGACCAATGTATGGTCCTCGGAAAACGCTATGAACAGGGCCTCGCTGCTCATATCGAAGGACATGTGGATGCCACATTCCTTTACGGGTTTTCCCTGATTGTAAGGCTCCCGATCCCACTCTAAGAAGACGGGTCAGAGATCCTTGAAAAGGGGACTAGCTGACAAAAAGAAATTATGTAGAGCTCAATGGATTTCAACGAAGATGGAGAACTCGACGTCGAACAAGCCAGCGGGTTCCTCTCGGTTAAAGGCGAGGCAGACCTGACCTACACGGTTGGTGGAGTGGGGACAATCGACATTTCCAAGGCGAATCAGGGCCATCCCGTTTGGAAGAAAGCCATGACGAGAAACCATCGAGGGCATACGATGAGTGTGGCCGGAACTGGCGCTGCAATCACACTCCAGCCGTACTACGAGGTTCATTATATGTTAGCCACCTTCAACGATACCCCGTCATCATCGATCAGCTCTACCGGAGCTACTTTTGACGGAAAAGTCAGCGCCCGCGTCAAGTCCGATTTCGGTGACTTTCAAGCCATCTTCCCGCCCGACTACGGCGGTACAATGAACAGCAAAAACGATCAGCGGGAGAAGAATAGGATCTCCATCCCGGACGACGATGTCGTTCACACCACCGCGGGTAATAGCGGAAAGATCGCCCTTTCTGCCGCTCTCTCATTCGGATTGAAGATCGACTTTAGCCAATGGGGCGACCTCTCGTTCTGGACGTACGCTCTTCCTGATGTGAGTGCTCGGGAAACCGGTGTCGTGGGAAAATCCAGTCTAAATCACTGCCTTTGAGCCCTCTGACTGACATGACAACTGTGGGATGCAGATAAGGTTGACATATAGCACTATGTCCCAGTTTAGTTTCTATCCGGGAAGCAGTGCTGGGGAGACGTGCTCGGAATATTCCATCTCGTAAGTGCCCATATCTCCGACACTTGTTTGACCTCAACGTCTCTTGCTAGGAAGTCTGCTAAGAGGAAACCCGACTAGAACCACCGTCTTTCAGGAAGTCCACAACGCGTAAGACTTACTACTCCCTCCGTGCTACTGGAAAGAATCTGTGGGTTAACACGGCATTGATAGGGACTCTGTTGGATGGAGTCACGGGACTCACAGCTACGATTATGCCCACCTCGCCTCAGAAAGCGTAAGTAAAAGGTTTCCCCTGCTAGCCCTGGGCCTTTGATGAATACTCACGCAATGCAGCAACGGTCCGACGATGGCCTCCGGTGTTATTATGAACCTCCCTCTGTCGGTGTAATGCCCGGTTGGGGTTACGAGTCGGGCACCAACGTCAACCCCATCCACTACGTGGGAGAAGGGGTTGGTGTGGATTGGGACAGCCAGAACCCGCAGTTCCAGTGTCAGAGAGATTGCATTACCTGTGGGCCGAATGAGGACCCCGACAGGAAGAGGTGCTGCAGCTGCGTGAACATGGATATTGCCTGGGTGTACCATGACATTGGTGACTGCCCAAGTTGCAACCCTGACGACGGGACTTACCCCGGAGGGTTTGTTTTCATACCCTGGCGAAAAAGAAACGAACAGGTGGAAGAGGCCCACGCCGATGTCGCCGAGAAAGACCACGATGATGAATACCATAGGCTGGAAAAGCGCGTACCCGGTACAGCGACCCGCTCCCCGAAGCCAATCTCCATTTGCGACGACGATGAGCCATTCCAGGTGCAAGTTAGAGGCAACCATCGATATCCATCGTTTCCCGCCCACGCCGATTACCCCTGGGACACCATCGAGGGTGGGCGATGGGATTCTATTCCTCGCTACTGGGGCAACGCGTCGGCCGATTGCTCTAACTGGCAGGTCGCGAAATTGCAGCCGGCCGACACATTATTGCCCCCTGGCTCATCCACGAGGATCCGAGCCAAATACCAGAGTAAGTAATCCGTTTTGCAGTTTCAATACTTGTTCTTTGCATGTTTCGACGGCTGATCAAAGAATCTTCCCACCTCGTTATATAGCTGAGCACGTCTTCGAAGGGCAACTCATCGGCGACTTCTTTACTCAGTGGCTGGATAAGGGCAGGATCATCGGCCAGGACCCCATCCCACAGAACCCTACTCCCAGGGTGCCTTGTGCCTTCACTGACTTTTGGATATTGACATGGGACCAATCAGCTCCTTGGATAGACCCCGTCCACGGGGACGTTGTAACATTCGGCGAGTTAATGGCGATGCAGCTCGGTAGCATCAAGAACCTTGACCGCTTGACCATCTTCAAGGCGAGGCCAAACCAGATGAAGGGGAAGGTGAGTACTCGCAAGTTTCGTTTTCTTTTTCTACCACCCTCACCCCAGCCTCCATCCATGTCTGGTCTCTTTTACAACCACCTCAATAGTGTCTTGCTGACGTTTCCCTCAACAAGATGTTTACCGGACATCAACCTGTCAGGGCAAGAGCATACAAGGACAACATGAGCCCCGATGAACAACTCCAAGCAACCAAAGAAATGGGTGAGAAGTTATTGACGCGACCTCTGGGCCCAGATGCCCCAACGCAAAAATCGGCTGACGAGTCTTTCGCTCCAGGGATGGTGTTCACGTACCTTAACCAACAGAGCGTGTGGGACGCCTTCTGCGCGACCTACGAAGCTATCTACGAACTATTGGACGACTTCGACGTCTGGTACTCGCAGAATGGCCAAGGTATCGCGATTCCTCCGCTGCAGGACGAGTGGAAGGAGTACATCGAAGTAGTCTTGCGCTCGCTGGTTAGGCGCTCGCGAGCCACGTTCGATTACTTCTATACCACCGCGATGGCGGAGTATGACAAAGCCCTATATTCGTAGTCTTCTTCGCACCTTCCCGTCCCCTTCCCTTTCCCTTTCCATCCATCACCCCGCACCATCCTGTCCGCTCAAGCGTGCATGTGGTCAAAAGCTAACATAGTTATTCTTTAAGCCTAGAGTCTGACCCATTGGGCAACGGGGATTATATTTCCCATTGGGTAGAGAACAGGTTGAACAATAAGCAGCTTATAAGGATCAGTGGAACGTGTCAGAACTTGGACGCAATCTCTGCTTGAGAAGGAGGGAGCTGCGAGACCAGTTGTTCTACATAAGACGTACGTCACACGTGGACGAGTTTCATGGTCAAAGTTGATATGGTATAGGGAACAACGGATTTGTCGAGCTACTAAAGTACATGTACTCAATACCCAAAAGGGAAAATTAGCAGCGAGACATAGACTTTAACTTATAACACGGAGATTCCAAGAGGGCTGTAATCGCTGATCATATGCACTGATAGAAGCTAGGCGTATACGCTGGTAATTAACGATGCTGGTGATTATTAAGGAGAAGCTTTCTAACTGTCCTGGACAATAGGGAGAGATAGGATAGGCAATCCCACCCTTGGGGCGGGTCATATAACCTGTCTAACAAGCCGCTCCGGTCCGTTTCCGTTCCGTTTCACCAAGGCGCGGTCCGCTCAGGTATTATATGACCAACAAAATAACCAACAACACTAACCGCTCTAGGCAACTTCCTGGTTTATAAAGATAGGTACTCGCTTTGGCATAACAACATCTCAAGCACAGTCGTTAACTGCAGACCTCCATAGAAAACATGACCTGTCACCTATGCATAACTTCTTCGAGCTAATTGGGTGCACATGTCCTTACATGAACGGGGGCAAGCTCAGGTGATGGCTGGGACGTAACTGTCAAGTGATAGACCAGACGGTTGGCCCCCAGTTGAGATCAGTTCAAAAGCATTCCTTCTGTATAATGGTCGTGCCTTTCCCTCCCTTGATTCTCTTCTCCCTCTCTCCGCTCCTCGCCGCCATATGCCTTCTTATAACCCCAGCCCGAAGAGGCATACACAGTCACCTAGAATGCAAGTTCCCAAATTCATCAGGTATATCGATGTCGAACAAAGTCGGGCTGCTACACACTATCCGTGAATTATGTCGTTTCCCCTTCCGTTTTCTTCCTGCCATGCAGAGGTTAGTCGAGTCCTTCTTATCGGGAATCGGGATCGTTCCTCCCATTGCAAACCGTCTTTTCCGCAGCGAATTGAAACTGGATCACTACATAGGGCGACAGAACTCCCCCTGAACTGACATTTCAGGGTACCCCCGTCCGGTGTCTCAATCATTGCATGTGGTTCTCGTGCAATGAGAAGACACATACCTCCGAGACGATAGGGAATGTGGCTCGTGAACTTCAACGTTCGAACAACAATAAATATTGAGACACCGACATGGCTCACAGGGTTTAAAGTCGTTTATCGTAATTCTTCAGATAACTATGTACGAACCAGGTCGCAAACGCTCATCGCTCAACATACGCAAAAGAAAATCAGCTGCTCCTAGTCTTGCCGGTCCTCTCCTCCAAAACACGAACAAAGTTTTCTTCATCATAGATAGCATTGACGCTCGGCGTCTTAACGACAGCATCAGCCCACTTGGTAAAGTTTGGTGCCCGCTCCGACAGCTCGGTGGTCAAAGTCTTGGGCAGATAGCCGTACTTGGCAAAGGTAAACAGGCGGATGAGCCACGAGCCGGTGAGAACCTAAGACGAGGCAGAAAACAGGGAGAAGGGCGCCCCGCGTCAGCTCATCTTCGCATTTACCAAGACGTTGTTCCAAGGGGGGGGGTGGGGGTAGGTAAAAAGGGGGTTGGGCGAAATAAACTCCACATCATGTTCCTCTCACCTCTGCCAAAGTGGGCTTCTCGCTGCCCCCGAAATAGGGCGCCGCATCGGCGAGCAGCGGCTCAATCTCCTTGACAACGGCATCAACGGTAGCGCGGCCCGCCTCCTCGACCTCCTCGTCCGTCTTGGCCGTCACGGACTTGAAGTAGGCCGGGTGGACCTTGGAGAAGAAGGCGTCGGTGAAGAAGTTAACGCGTGCGCGGCGGACGGCGCCCTCCGCGGTGTTCGACGGCGGGAGCAGGTGGGAGGAGGGGTGAGCGTCGGCGAGGAACTGGGCGACGATGGCGGATTCGGCGATGATTTCGCCGTCGTACGAGAGCGAAGGGACGAGGCCGCGGGGGTTGATCTTGAGGTAGGCCTCGGTGCGGGGCTTGTCGAGGTCGACGATCTCTTCTTTGAAGGGGATGTTGAGCTCGGCGAGGGCGATGTGGGCGCGGTGGGCCCCTGGGAAGAAATAAATGAGAGAGTGAGCAGTGTGGTTCTTGGACCAGATCTTCGTCCTTGGGAGATGAAAGAAGATATGGTACTTGGGAAATTGATCACGTACAAGGACACCGGTGGTTTGTGTAGAGGATGATTTCTGGGGAGGAAGACATGGCTGCGATCTAGCGTTTTGTTTCTCCGATAGTGAAGGTACGCTGGTTCAGTGTTTTGCAAGTTCCGAGTGGATCGTGGTGTAGGAATTGAATCAGGAGAATGTGAGATGTGGATGAGTTGGGCGAAGTAAGCTAGGAGGGAGACGGCGGAAATCATGACAAGCAGGACGGAAATTATTTAGTATTTAAACAGCAAATCTCAAAGTCTCCCTCGGATTTCAAATACTCCCATAACTCGCCGAGTTTGCATCATTCATGTCGTGATTTCTAATACCAGAACCCCGCGGAATCCCTCAATCACCAACCGGCCAATAACTACGAGTCTACTACTTAACGCCTCCAACAAGTTCATGCAGGTTTCCGAAGAGACTTGACGGCAGTCGGCACGCACTCCACACTTCCTACGGAAGATGTGTAATCACCGATGACAAATGCAAGAACCCCTCTTTACCGGCACCTGCGGCATGACAACTGTACCTAGGTACGAAGGGCCAGGTATCGTCGATCGAATCCCGATTCGGCCGTCGATAAGATGCATCATGCATCACATTAATGAACAACTTGTTTACCTCAATTACCAGACCAACCTTGTCATATCCGTCCTCTCTCTCTCTTTAACTATCCTTGATATTTAGTCTGAGGCTATAAATGCTGACGTTCCTCCCCTCGGAGGCATGCCCACGGCAGTGTCTCCCGCGAGGGCCGCGATACGCCATAGGTGGGTCCGCACCGGAGTAATGGCCGGCGGGGGGCGGGAGTCGGGACACCGGATGGCGGGGGCCTACCCGGCAGAGGACAGTCCATCATCGTAGAGGCAGTGATTTCGATGCCGATATACATCCAAGCTGCAGTTTTATACTCCGTAGCTACTACATTAATGCAAATTTAGCAACAGGAATTGTTCAGGAGAGTCTAAGTCTCATAGCATCAGATCTCAGGGGTTATCGAAGGTCGGTCCTGACTCCTAACTCTGGACCAACCACGAGCCAACGGGAGAGCTCTGAGCGGGAGCCGCATTCAGTCAAGCCCAGACCGGTATGTCCCTGGGGTACACAACTTGGAGCACAGATCTAGGGTGGTTAAATGGACGGTGTCGACGTCGTGTCACTTCGCTGAATCGCCTGGAACGGCCATGTCTCAGCTAAGTCTCGGTGACTAGAAAGAAAACAGACCAAGAACCACGTGTAGAGGTCAGGAAACAATTACCAATTAGATGAATTTGAAGACGGAAGCGGAATTCCACTCCTGGCGCCCTATGGTGGTGGGTCCAGTCTAGTTTGACTTCCTCTCCCCGGATCCGGAAAGCCGGGGCAACTTTAAATAGTACGACTCGGGACCTACTCATAGACTATCGGTATTTCACGAGAGAAATATCCCACATTATCATCTTCAATGTGTTTTGGGCAATTCGCAAGTATTTGTTCCATTTTGATTTTAAAATAAAATGACATCAAATACTCCTGGTGTTGCGTCTGGCATCTCAGCTCCTAGGCCTGAGCTCCCCATCACTCACATCTCGTCCGCCATCGATGCTCGCGCTAAATCACTGCGCGACATCAACCGCGAGATCCACGATAATCCCGAGCTTGGTTACAGAGAAGTCACAGCCCATGACACCATCTCGGACTTCTTGGAGGGACAAGGCTTCAAGGTGACGCGACATGCCCACGGACTCGACACATCATTCGAAGCCGAGTACGGTTCCGGGGGCCGACTCGTCATCTTCTGCGCCGAGTACGACGCCCTCCCCGGCATAGGACACGCCTGCGGCCACAACCTCATCGCCACATCATCTGTCGGAGCCTTCGTCGCCTTGGCAGAAATCATCAAACAGCTCAACATCCCAGGAAGGATACGGATCCTGGGCACCCCCGCCGAAGAAGGAGGCGCCGGTAAAGTCAAGCTCCTCGAGGCCGGGGCCTTCCAACACGACGTCGCCGCAGCCATCATGGTCCACCCGACCGCCGCTCATTCCTTCCCCGCCGGGTTCACTGCCCTGGCCGGCGTCAAGTTCATCGCCAGCCTGAAGCTCCGGGTCGAGTTCCACGGCAAACCGGCACATGCGGGAGGGGAGCCCTGGAAGGGGTGCAACGCGCTCGACGCGGCTGTTGCGGCGTACACGAGCATCTCCATGCTGAGGCAGCAGATACACCCGGATGAACGAATCCACGGCGTCATTGAGGATGGGGGCACCGTGCCGAATGTCATCACTAAGTATTCGAGGATGAATTATTACATCCGAAGCCCGACGCTCAAGCGAGGTGAGGAGCTCTTGGCCCGAGTGAAGAGCTGTTTTGAGGCCGCTGCTGCTGCGACGGGCTGCACCTACAACTACATCTAGTGAGTTCCTGTTCCTCTTGATCCATTGCCCTCACGTGGGCTGGCTTGGATATACATGTACTGACCGGTCTCGCAGCACACCGACATACATGAACCTACGCATCAACAACACGTTGAGCCAGGAGTTCGCCAAAGGCATGACACTAATGGGCGTGAAGACCATTCCTCGAAGTGAAGAACCGTTCACCTTCTCGACGGACATGGGAAACGTTTCCTATGTCGTCCCCACCTTCCATGGCGCCTTCGGTATCCCGGCTCCCAAGGATGCAATGCCCCATCAGCCCAAGTTTGCAGAGGCTTCTGGAACAGATGAGGCGCATGATATTGCCCTATCTTGCGCCAAGGGCATGGCCTTGTTGGGATGGAGGGTTTTGACGGATGACGAGGTCGCGGCCAAAGCGATGAGAGATTTCAAGGAGAAGGATCCTGAGGATTAGAAAATCCACGAGCCTGTTCGTTGCACTGCGTACGTCTGTTATGTGAGCAAGGGGACAATTCGAGGGCCGTCCATCACTCGAGTTCCAACCATCGCGATCTGCTATACTGTCTTCAAGACTGTTGTTTGATTCCTCGTGTCACTTGAAGTGGTCTTCCTCATCACTCCGGGATGACGGCCTCACTAGCCGGAACACCGGCCTTCCACCGGTAAGTCGACGCAACATGGTCGTACAAGGGTCCGGTCTGTCCAGGGCGACGGTAAAAGTTCTCTCTGTAAGTGCCACCGGGAACGGCATAGTCATCCCAAAACAGGCCACGTTTCCTCAGCTCGGGGAGCAACAGCTCGATGATATCCTTGAAAGACTGAGGGAAGAGTGCGTATCCCTGGTAGAGACCATGTCAGTGTCGCCGTTCTGGCCTAAAGCCAAGCGGGGAATAGACGAGAAACGTACAAAGTTGAACCCGTCAACATCTGCCTCGTTAACCCATTCCTCCAGCGAGTCGGCCACCTGCTCGGGCGTGCCAACCAGGAGGGGTCCGTTGCCGCCGATACTGACATGCTCTGCAATGGTGTGCTTCGTCCACTTGGACGTGGACGTGCCACGGGAGAACCTGACATACGCATCGACCATTGACCTGGTTCCCGAATCAGCAAGAGAAACACCGCTTGAAGCGCAACATGTCTATAGTCACCGGACAGCATTACTCTCCACCTCCCTCAACTCTTCATCATCCCCATACTGGTCCAAATCGATACCAGTCCAGCCGCCCCAGAGCGCCAGCGCGCCCTCATGCGAGGCATACTTCCGATACTCAGCCAGCTTAGCCTGCGCCTCCTGCGTCGTGCGTCCCAGAATAGGCGTGACGAGCGCCAGGGCCTTGATACGACTGCCGTCCCTGCCGTACTCCGCCATAGCCAGTTGGCGGATCTCGGCGATGCTCTTGGCCACCACGACGGGGGAATGGGCCGACACGAAAATGCCCTCGGCATGCTGGGCCGCGAACTGCTTCCCGGCGCGCGAGGTCCCCGCCTGCAGGAGGAGCGGCGTCCGCTGCGGGGAGGGCTGGGAGATGTGCGGGCCGGGGACGGTGAAGAATTTGCCCTGGTGGTTGATCTCGCGGACGAGGTCGGGTTGGATGAAGACGCCGGTCTCGCGGTCGAGCTTGACGGCGTCGTCGCGCCAGGAGGACTCGAAGAGCTTGTACATCACTTTGATGTATTCTTCTGCTTGGGCGTAGCGGTCGTCGTGCTAGATCGAGGGGGCGAGGTTTAGCTAGGTGTGCATGTGACCTTTGGTCGATGATGTAGTGTATGGTAGCTGACGTGGAGGCACGAACCTTTGGCTGTTCGGTGTGACCCAGGTTCCTCGCCGCCGAGTCGAGGTAGCTTGTCACGATCTAAGTCTTGCATGTCAATGCGGGTTCACTCTCTGCAAGGTAAAGTCCACATGCTCACATTCCATCCGGAGCCTATGTGGGAAAAATGATAAGTCTCGTCAGCAACTGAGACGCCCGGTCGGTTGGGTGAAAAATGAGCATAGCATATAAATATCAACGTACCTGCCACCACTGAGGTGGTCAACGGTAGTCAGTCTCCGCGCGAGATGGTAGGGCTGCTCATATGTTGTCGACACAGTGACGCCAAATCCGATAGTCTTGGTGGCGGCGGCCATAGCCGAGACCACGGCGAGAGGTTTGTTGACTGGCCACTGGGCTGGGGATGCCTTTGCAGCGTCTAGGGATTTGCGGTATACCTCGTAGCCTCCTGAATGTTTGGGTCAAGGACAGTGAGTCAGACTGCAGAGTGCACCAGTTTGATATATCCCATGGCAAGGTCATAGGCACACGCATGAGACTGAGAGGAGGAGTAGGTGTAAGGGGAATCAGCCGGTGAACGAAGATGAACATACCGAGTACATCTGCCACAAAAACACCGTGGAATTTGGCCTCCTCGAGCAATTTCGCAAGCTCAACCCAGTGCTTGACCTCGTTGAAGCGCCACGATTGGTCTTCGGGGTGACGCCAGAGGCCAGGGGAAAGATGGGCACTGGCTGTCGGTGGAAGGAAAGAGGTAAGCCATGGAGAATGTCGCCTCACGAGGTGCATAACCTGTGTGACCGTGACCGGAGAAGGCGAAGCAGGGAACTTGACTAACTCATCATGACAAAGGCATTGAGCACCAGACTCTTCTTCGGTGGTGTTGCGTCGCCCATTGCTTATAGTGCAGGGTATGTGATCAGGGGTTCGGAGGTTCGCGTTGTGAGCTTGAGGCGAAATATTCCTGGGGCGTGAAACAGGCGGGCGGTAGTGAAGGCAAGTGTCAAGCTGTTATATTTTTCTCCCATTCTTCAATCGGTTCAGTCTTTAAGGTGCAAGGGCAAGGACAGCCTTTATTCATGCCCTCCACGTCGAGCAACGAGCCGCGAGACCCGAAGAACTGGGTAACCCCTCACCCCACGAGTCCCAGGGGGATTTGGCAAACGCCATGGATCTTCGGCGCAGGGCAGCTTGCCCGATTATCGGAATGCGCATTTGATGTCTTTACAGGGACGGATTGAGCGTGAAGCTCTGGGGCCGATGGTGCGATATGGGACTTGGGTGGCGTCACCCTGATCCACGCTCGCGTGCTATGGTGTCGAGGTTAGACCGTTAGCCTCTGGGCTCCCACCAGCAACGTCAAACGCGGGTACAATAATCGTGGAGCGTCTTTTTAAACGACATAATGGACTGGGATACCCTGTGATGATAGAACGATGGTAGCGAGCTTTTTCAAATTTGTCTGAACAATACCCGCGCGGGCTCTCTAGCCATACAACCAACGTACCTTCATGATCCCATCATCTAACGACTGCTGCAGTTGCTTCCGGAGAAGCGAAGTCATTTCCGTGCATTGACAAGTATACGTGCATTTGGCGTCAGCACTCAGCATAGCCTTAGGAGGTCCTCCCTTCAGCAGCCCGAGAATTTCTTTTGCCTGCAGTTTCGCTCTTGGTCTTATGTCGCGACGCCACGTCGCAGTCGTTGAGGCAGGATCCGCTGGCTCCGTCTGGCTCTTGACCAACATCTGTCTCACTGGGCCGCCGAAGGCGCATCTGTCGGACTGAAAATGCGCGCCTGGGCCACTGAAGTCGGTATTACCTTTCTGCCCTGCCTACAACTTCCTTGTCGAAGAAATTTCACTGAGCAGAGACCGAGGCGAAGATGCGGCGGTCAACATTCGAGGCAGCTCATACTCGAAGCATAGGTGATAGTACGCCGCGAGGACAGGGTATGGTCGGATATCCCGGATGAATGCGGATTCTGGCCCCGGCCTCTTCCACCCTCCTTCAGCTGGTCTACGATGGCTCTGACGGGAACCCGGCACTTCATTGTCCAGGATGTATTGTAGCCTCTTGCTTCTTCTCGGTGGGTATCGACTTAAAGACCCCATTCCCCCCAGGCGTCTAAGGAAAGCTCGGTTCTCGAAATATGGTATGCGGCTCTCGGTCGGAAATATGTCATCGAGTAGCCAGTAGCCCAGAGGCGAGCTAGGCTCCCCTCTTGTCACGCGGAGCAGGAATTGAGCCCTTTGAGTTGTTGGTTGCGACAACTATTTCGGAGAAGACAGAGGTATGATGGACTGTGAGGTATTCGTTACGCGTCGTGAGGTCGTGCTTGTTCCTCTGACGCGTCGGGCTTGCTACCGTCGCGGACGTCGGTGTTATTAGGCTCGGGTTATCGCGGATTATGGAGTCCTCGTAGTTGTCGTGGCCGTTGTGTTCGTCGTGATTCTGTTGTCATGGTTCTATAAGGTAGTTGTTAATTATTGGACAGAGAGGCTTCAATGGGCTGGGCCGGAAAGGAGTGATAAGGTCGGTAAAGCTGCTGTTGTGGTATCTAGGTACGTAGTAGGTACCTATAGTACCTTACCTTAGTGGTCCAGGGGCTCAGGGGTTTCGACCCATAACCCTCGATAACCCTCGACCCATACCCCGCCCCAGGGCAGGTCACCTGACATGCCCACTACGCTCTTGTTAATTACAGGATTACAGGTACCTATTGTTGGGATTTCCCCACGTGCGTTTCAACCCCCATTTGTTATCCCCCCCCAGCGGACGACGGAGGGGCTTCAGAGAGAGATACTCGATCCGATCTGAACAAATACCGAGGAAATCGAGCGTCAATCCCAACGGATGAGCAGAATCACGGCATGACATGGACGGCATGGCTAAAGTGGTCGAGGTTGAGACGGAGTAAGACCAAAAGAGACAACTGAATGGGAACTTGGAAGACTCTCCAGCCGGCAGCCGAAAATCTCGATTCGATTCCGTATTCCAATTTCCGGCCGGGCCCCTTGACGAGCTTGCATATCAAGGCAATATGGGCCATGCAATCATTTGTCTTAGCTATCGGTCTAGGCTCCCGTTTGCACCTATGGCAAAGCCTGCGAGCCGCAACCCTGCAGGCGCATGTCAGCGCCAATGCGAGTGAATGCTCTGAAAGGAGGCACGCTGCGACTCTGACCCAACGAGGGGGCAGGAATCTTGACATCGACCTCCAGGTCCCTCTTCACCTGCATTTCCCCCTCGTTCTCTTCTGATCCTGCGGTGTCGACGGGCGAACACTGAGGGCGGTCGGGTTCCATGGGGACATGGAATCTGAGATGGAATCGAGACCGCAAAACCAGTGCTGCCGTGTGAATAACGATGAATGAGATCGACTACCAAGGTCTCTATGTAAGTCTATACGACTCGACTCCAAGCGCGCGGTTGACTTGCGTTCTTTTGGGTGCGGCTCTGCTCAGGGGCACAGAAGGCGAGAGAATCGATCGGGTGACTGCATGTGGGATCAGACGTGGTGGAGGCCCTGGAGCCGGCCCTGGAGCCATGCTGACGTGTCGAGGGCTTGGCGTTTGGTCTGTACAGGGTCGGTCTGTCCCAGCAGCAATATCCGTCCCGTCAGCGACTTTCTGTCTTGACAGGCTGCAAAACATTCCCACCCTTTTCTAAAAACCTGCAGCCGGCACGGGAAATGATTCGAATTCGCTCCTCTCATCAACAGGAAACGAAAAAGACGCTTGGCCAAGGCAGAAACGAACCTCAGATTCCCTAGCTGTGGACGGCATCTTCACACCTGTTCATCTTTTTCGACCATCCTGGAAGTTGAAGTTGGAACGCCGAACACCGAACACCACGAACTTGATCCCCAATTTCACCCACCCCCTCGACGTTCGCGTCGCCCACTTCGTATCCCGGCTCCCCTTGCTCTTATCACGACCTTTCCCCCATTCAAGTCACGTCCTTCAACTCATCCTCATGGACTCTCTGCTCAAAATCCCGCCCAGTACCCCCATCATCCGTCCTAGCATTCAGACCCCGGGTCCCTACCAGGAGACCTGTAACGACAAGTATGTCGTCAAGTACAACTTTGCTGACCTCGGTATGCGGCACGCCTCGTCTTGTCCTCCCTGTCCACTACGGAGAATAAGTCATAGAATAATTCATAGCTGACCCTTCCCAGACCCAGAAGAGGCCACCGAAGAGTTGAAAACACTCCTGACCGACCTTGAAGAGGCAGGCCTGCAGACCGAGGTCCGCGCTGGCTATGACGAAACCCTCTTGATCTTTGTGAAAGCCCCACGCGAGCTCCTCGGCAACACCGTCTACAAGTCAAGGTCAATCCTCTGTCCTGTCCCGGTGTCCCTTGCCTGCTCTTCCCGTCTTCCCGTCTTCCCGTCTTCCCGTCTTAGCTTCTAACTCTTCATTCTTCATCAGGGTCAAGGACTGGTTGTATGGCGTAGTACACGACCATCCCGGCGGTACCAAGAACACCGTCGTCGACGCCCACTACGAATCCGAGGACATCCTCTCCGTCTACCACCTCGTCCACTGGTCCAAAGAACACGGCGGCGCCGGCATCCACCCGGGCATCGGCCAGTGGAAGAACGTCGAGGCCATCTTCCCGCTGCACAACCAGCGCGCCAACCAAAAGCTCCTCTCCCACCTCAGCAAGCGCTTCTTCCTCACCGCCGAGGACCTCGACAAGATCCGCGACATCTGGGGCTCCAAGATCGCCTTCTACTTCGCCTTCCTCCAGACCTACCTCGTCTTCCTCATCTTCCCCGCCGTCACCGGCGTCGTCGCCTGGCTGGCCCTGCCCAAATACTCGCTCGTCTACGCCATCACCACCTGCGTCTGGTGCACCGTGTTCGTCGAGTACTGGAAACTCCGCGAGGTCGACCTGAGCATCCGCTGGCGGGTCCGCAACGTCGCCCAGGTCAAGACGAACCGGCCGCAGTTCACGTGGGAGCGCGTGGTCACCGACTGTGCGGGCCGGAAGCACTACTTCTTCCCCAAGTGGAAGCAGGTCGTACGTCAGCTGCTGCAGTTCCCCTTCTTCGGCATCGCCACCGCCGCCCTGGGGCTCCTCATCGTCTCCGTCTTCGCCATCGAGGTGCTGATTTCCGAGTCGTACGAGGGCCCCTACAAGTTCTACCTCGAATACCTCCCCACCGTGCTGCTCGCCGTGGCCCTTCCCTACATCACCTCGTCGCTCGAAGGCGTCGCCAGTGCGCTCACCCAGTACGAGAACCACCGCACCGAGGACAACCACGAGAGGGCGCTGGCGCAGAAGGTCTTCGTGCTGAACATCGTCACCAACTACCTCCCCATCCTGCTCACGGCCTTCGTCTACGTCCCCTTCGGCGACGACGTGGTGCCCTGGCTCGAAGTCCTCATCGGCAAGGTCCTCGGCAAGGTCCTCGGCCAGCAGCAGTTCGCCAAGCGGCCCTTCCAGGCCGACGGGGACCGGCTGCGGAACGAGGTCATCGCACTCGTGGTCACGGGCCAGATCTCGGGCTTCTTCGAGGAAAACGTCGTCCCGTTCGTCCGGCACCGGTTCAGCGGGTGGTGGCGCGAGATGCGCCGCCTGCGGCACTCCCGAGACGGCCGCGGCGCCGACCTCATGTCCCTCTTCGACGACGACCCGGACGAGGCCGCGTTCCTCACCCGCGTCCGCGACCAGTCCATGCTCCGGGACTACGACGTGCAGGAGGACATTGCGGAAATCGTGCTCCAGTCGGGCTACCTGGCGCTCTTCTCGCCCGTGTGGCCGCTGATCCCGCTGGGGTTCCTGGTCAACAACTGGATCGAGCTGCGGTCCGACTTCCTCAAGATCTCCATCGAGCACAAGCGCCCGCACCCCGTCCGCACCGACGGCATCGGGCCCTGGGTGTACTCGCTCAACATGCTCAGCTGGCTCGGGAGCATCTCGACCGCCGCCATCGTGCACATGTTCAGCACGTCCGGCTGGGGGCCGGCACGCTGGGCGTCGTTGCCCATTACCATTTTCGTTGGCGAGCACGTCTTTCTGCTGTTTCGCACCCTGCTGTGCTTCCTGCTGAACCAGCTCGGGTCGCCCCAGATCCGGGAGGAGAGGAGCAGGCTGTATGCTACGCGGCTGCAGAGGCTGGAGGAGCTTGAGGCGAATAAGCGGAATGGGTTGGGGTTGACGGCTGCCGAGCGGGAGCGGCGCAGGTCGATGCGGGCTACGGGCGGGGATAAGCTGTTCACCAGACAGGTTGAGGAAGGTGTCAGCGCGGCGGTTGGGGTGGACCTGATCCGGCGGTTTAAGGAGGCGGCCGAGTCGAAGAAGAAGAAGTAGTAGCAGGTAGGATGGCGGTAGACCGTAGACCGTATGAATACCACATGGCTGGTGAATAATGATGAATAATGAATGACCACGCTAGACTTACGTTGAGGTGTTGAGGTATACCGATATTATTAGATGGGAGAGTTCCCGTGGCTTACAATACCAAATAATGGATCTTTGACAAAGGAACCGAGGTCCACCATCTCACGGCATCGAATGGCGCCCAAAAAGCTCAAGCCTCACTATGCACGCACGGGCGGAAATGGTATACCCATACTCTACGAAGGTCTGACGAATCCCACGGAATCAGAGAGGTGGGCCAGAGGAAGAATCAAGTCCTCATATTTGTGTCAACCTGGGCCAGTCTCGTTCTCGCTACCCCGACTGAGATGCCACATGGGACTCCACCCAAGAACGACGGTTTGCCCTGTTGTTGCTGCTGCTGCTGCTACTGCTGCTACTGACAACGACAACGATAACAAACTCCTCCTTATTTATTCATGTGTAAAGTATCCTCCGCCTTGTCCGCCATGGACTCTTTCTTCCCCGATTCCATGGACGAACTACCGAGCGAAGACGACTTTTTCTGGCTCGACGTGCTCCCGTTTTGTGACTGAGACTTCATGTTCGATTTCGAGGGAATCTTGCAGTCACATTAGTGCAACGTAGTCATTGATAACAAGCGCAACGTCAGGGGCACTGCGCACCTGCTGGTTCTCGTCCATGTGTGCTTCCTCTTCCGCCTCGTGAATGAGGTCGTACGCCTCCTCGACGATCTCGTCGGTGAGACCAGGGCCCGGATTGTCACTCATGGTGATAGAGTATGAAGATTTATGTTAGAGGTGGACTGATAACTCGGGTACTGGTTCGATGAAGCCCTCGATGTGCGCTGGATGGGGGGGAGGAAAACAAGGGGTAGGTGGGTGATGAGAGGGAATTATTAGTCCCTTCATCCCTCATATGTCTGTTCCCCCAAAACACCCCCTCTTCTGGTCCCTGACTCGGGAGTGGTTCGTCATATAGGCCAAGAGCAGACGGTCACGAGGCCATGATGCTGCGCGACGTCATTCGGGGGACGGTGACACGGAGGAGGCGGCCATGATGGGAGGGATAGAAGAGTGCATCTCCTCTGATAAGGTAGATGCACTGTGGAAGTAGGTTGAGGGGAGGTTTGAGCAGACAGTGTCGCAATGTGGCCTATGGGATGCTAAGGTAGACGCGTAGGCGTAGAATAAATGGTGTCATGGTGTCAAGCTGGTGTCAAGACGGTGTCATCACCAACTTGGATGATGACGGGACGCTCGTAGGACTAAGGCATCACTCACGACTTGTTCGGGGTCTTAGCAGTTGGACCACCTGTTGACGTAGGTACTAGGTAGGCTAAGAGGCTTCGCCAGAAAAGAAGTATGCGCTACAAGTTAGAGCCCTTACTAAGGTGCAATAACTCGTGCCATTACTAACCCAGATTCCAGATTCCTCGACTCCTAGGGCGTTCATGTCATTTCTGAAATCGAAAGAAAAGTTAGGTGCATGTGGTAGGAATTGGGGACAGGGGAAGTTCGAAAGTTTTGCTGTTTTGCTTTTCTCTGAAACAAACTTACGGTGGAACACGAGCCTCTAGCCCTAAAGGTACTTAGGATTGAAATGGACCGACCAATACTAACCAGCACCAGCAAGTACCATCTCCGATCGTATAGTGGCTAGTATGCCAGCTTGTCAAAGGACAATCGTCCTGCAACTTCGCTGGAGACCGGGGTTCAATTCCCCGTCGGAGAGATTTATTTTTCCCTTCAATTCCTTTTCTTTTTCTTTTGTTTGTTTTGTTCTTCTTCCCTTTCTTTTCTACCTTCATCTCACAATAATTTTCCACTTCTCTTACCCCCATTTCACACGAGAAGACATCTCATAATCCTTCTCGCCTACTATCTTCTCTACCTTTCCGCAGCTTTCCGCCTTATTATATTCCCTACCCTACCCCGAGAGCGACCACTTAAAACCCCTTTTTCCCCCTCTCTTTCCTTCTTTAACCGATTTATGTATCGCGACACGACCGATGGGCATCATGTCTAGCATATTATTATTGACGGCCCATGACCGCCGGACAGGGGATCCCATCCTTAACGTCGAGCACCCACATTCTGCCAAGGAGGTGCAAGCAGCAAGACAGCCGGGTTCTAGGATGGCCACAACTTTCCGTCAAATGAGAGGCGGATGAATCCGCCTACCACACCCCTCGTGCCAGAATGCTCGTGTTTGGGGGGTGGGCTGACAGCCTGCAACGTGCTGATCAAGAATCGCCGTTCTTGCGGTCGGGCTAATTTGATCCCGCTCACTTATACGGCTGAGTTATGCCAAGCATCGCCCAGAGAAAAGCCTGAGGCGCAGCAGTCTCTGGAACTTGCGGGGTCAAGTGGTTGATCCATCATCCATGCTCCACGTTATGCGTTGAGCGTGGTGCTGGGAGAGCCGGCTTGGGTTTATAAACTATTACCATCGAGTCTGGTCCTTCTGCCGCCTGCGATCCATCCAACTCACCAGATGTCTAAAACTAGGACTGCCGTTGTGACAGAACTACTCGATACATCAACGTTCAAACAGCCTTATCACGATGGCCGACGACGCTGCGGGCCTAGCCAAGGACATGGCGGCCGTCAAAATCGAGAATGAGGAGCTGTCCTCTTCAAACGAGGCCGACGAGCGGAAACGACGGCAGGAGGACGAGCTGGATGCCCTGCTCGAGGAAATCCACCGGAGGAACAAAGGTTCCATTTTCATCTCCTTGTTTGGGCCTACGAGGCATTCCGCTCGTGCGACAGCACGATCCTGGTGGGCCGACGATGACTCCGACCTATGCATGAGTGTGGACGAGGAGGCCAGAGCGAAAGGCTTCGTGACTGCTTCACACCCTTCATTTGGTGCGTTGTCGCAATCTATCCGCTATCATCTTGGCTCACGAGTCATCCCGTATAATGCATGTGTATCATACTCCAAAGCGACAGGAGTTGGTGCATCTCGCCCTTTACGCGTCAAGCTTCGATTGGGTTTGAGGTGACCGAAAGGAACATCAAAGGTAGAATGGTTCAAAAAGAAACGTCCAGACAGCTAACAGGCAGGGAAACGTGAAAAGGGCTCTACCGCCGAAGACGATTCTACACCAAACCGCGGGCGCCTTTGCCCATGCCAAGCGACGAGGACACCATCTTGCTTGATGTCGAGGCCGAGGCCAAGTACGACCATGTCTATGGCGGCACCGTGTCCGTCGAAGGCTTCGGAATGGAGTGGTGGGATTGGGAAGAAAATTTCGGCCCAGCAAGGCAACAGATATTCCAGTTCTCCAGGGGTATCATGCCCCCTGTGAAATCGGTCAAGATGCTACGACGCACGGATGAGTTGGCACGGGCGAATGTTGAGGAGGATGGGGAGGAGAGAGTGGACGACGGGGACTTGATGGAGTTCTTTGGCGATGAGGCGTGAGTTCTGCTGTGGTCTTTCTAATCATCACATGCAATCATTGGATATTAACGCAAAAAAAAAAAAACGGCAGATTCGCGTTCAGGGGCGGAAGGACTTACAACTCCACCTACCTCAGCAAGCTATCCGATTGTATTCGGAGTCTCTATAGCATCCTCAACCGGGAGGATGTATTTGTCGACTTCTCCACCCGTACCGTCTTCAGCCTCGAGCAGGTAGCGGCGGAAGAGCAGTGGAGGGGAATGAACGTGTGGGATCTCTTCTTCCAGATGATCGCCGGCCAGGAACTCGCACGGCTGCTCGAGAAGCTCGATCTGGGATCAGCGGACGGCATGACGCCGCGTGTACTTGCCTCGGTCTTAATCGCCGACACCTGGTTCCGAGGATCGAAAGTCGAACACGTGGATTGGGTTGTAGATTTTGCCTCTTTCAAGAAGGAACCCGGCTCGGCGAGGGATGAAGACGACGCCGAGAAACTAAGGCACGAAGCGGAACAACTAGCGCTTCAAGGATGGCACGACGAAGCTGTCGAAACATACACCAAGGCGATCATGAAGCATCCGCACAACCCGACAACGTGGCTGCAGCGCGGTCTCTCGTTCGAGAAACTCGGGGACATGACGTCCGCAAGGGAGGACGCCTATGCGGCTACGAGGCTCGACCCGCGCAACGCGAACGCCTGGGCCCAGCTCGGTGCGGCGGAGATGGGTTTTGGGAATTGGGAGCGGGCGAAGGACGCGTACGGACGGGCAGCTGACCTTGCCGGGCCCAACTTTGTCTCCATGACGGGGTCGCACGCGAGCACGACGATGCAACGTGGGGTAGACATGGCACAGGCTCACCTTGAATCCGAGGCGCAGGAATTACGAAACGCGACGGATCCCCTTGAAAAGAAAAGACGGGAGCGGTTGGCGCTGGAGCGAGCGTGGGACCCCACGCTGAAGTCGATGCAGATTCGGTCCAAGGTGCACGAAAGGCAGGTCGAAGGCTTGATGCACTTCGCGGAGCGGTTGCAGTGGCCTTACCTGGAGGAACTCAGGGGCTACGCGACAAAGGCGTACGCCGAGTTCCTCTCGGGCGGGCAGATGCTGGGCTTCGTGCACGACTGGTTGTACGGACTTACATTGCCCGGGCGGTGGATGGCTCTCAAGTTGATGGGGACCATGATCCTCTGTACGCCTTCAACGAAGGAGGCTGGGCCATCGTTTTACTTTGACAGCGGCGTTGTCGTGGAAGGTCGGGAAGGTCGGGAAGGAGAGTCGTGCAGTTACTGGCGCTCTCGGACGGCTTTAGGGCGAATCCTCGCGCCGTTGCCGGGAGTGGTCTCCTTGTGTGGCTGGGTCGGCCGGTGCCCCGCTGTCGAGATGGTCTCGTCGACGACATCGACGGCATCGACGACACCACCCGCGAAGGCAGAGAGTCAAGGACAAAAGAAGTTGCTGCACGTTCGAATCAAGGCGGAGAAGACCGTACCCATCACTATGGATCTCGAGTCCGACGAGGCGATGGCGTACAGCTACGAATATGCCACCCGGCTCACGAGCCTGAGTATCCTTCCCGGGGAGGATAGGGCGGCGTACCTCGCTGCGATGCACGACCCCACCCAATGGGTGGTACCTCGTCCTAAAGCCCACGTGCAGACAGCGACTCCGACGAGAGTCAAACTGCAAGGGATCCGATTGACGAGGCTTCCCTGGACCGCGGAACGACAGCGTACTGTTGCCAACGGGACCTTCCCCAAAGACGAAGCGGAGGTGGAAACCCAGTACGAGGCCAGCATTAGCTTCCGAGTGGGCGGACCAGGACCAGAACATGAGAGGACTATCTCGCACACTATCAGGATGAACCCACTACTGATTAGCTTGCCTTCCTGTAAGCGACCTGAGGGGGCCGAAGGGCATGCTGTGCACGAGAGGGAGAGGGAGCAGTACGAGGTGGTGGCCTGGCCAGTGGACCGGTTAGGGGAATATGATGGAGAGGCGGAAAAGGACGGCAAGGTCCTGGTTATCGATGCGCGGGGAGCCGAGGCCGAAGTCATGGCGAGGGCATGGTGCGCGGAGAAGGGGCGACATGCTGTCGTCTGGCGAGATGCCTGCGGGGCAGACTCGAGAGACGGCGATGGAACTGAAGCGTCGTGTTGTTATACATGCGCCGTTCGGGCGGCGGGGAGAGGAGCTCTGTATGTGTGTGTAGTGATTTGGACTTTTTGATGCGTGTCGGATGGGCGGGATGGGTACTGGGTCAAGCAGCAGGGATTATTGTCCATTATCCATTAACGTTACCCCTGAAAGTTGCCGTAGCCACGCCGTCTTTTACATTTTGGCATGCTCTATCATGCATCCACAGGACATACTCTCCCTTTCCATATAAAGTCATAGCAAACAGTTAAAATCAAAAATCCAAAGCTACTCACTGGTGGTTCATTTGAGAATTCCGGTCGTGGTTCCGATGTCACGAGAGAAAAAAGAAAAGAAAAATTTTAAAAAAAAATGAAAGAAAGAAAGACAAAAAAAAAACAAAGGAAGAAAGCAAGGGAAGAAAGATGACGATAATCGGGTCCATCGATATGCCCTCCTGCAGGAATACATGCCCAGGTAGTATCTTGGCCCCTTGGGGAGGCTGGGATGCCGTCAGCAGCACGGCTCGACAATTTGCCTTCCACTTCCATCCTAGTCCAGTTCGGAGCTATCATTGATCCTTAGCTTCTACCACTGTTCAGGAAGATATTCCGGTTCTAGAAGTTCTCGGGTCGTGTTCGATTGCGGGGTTGATGCGACCTTGGTCCTTGGGCCCTTGTCCTTCTTCCCGTCGCTAATCTCTATCCATATCAAGTTATCAACCTAACATCGGAGCTCCCTTATCAAGACACTCCAGAGCCACCATACATATCCCTGCCAAGGGCCCCCGGCCCCCCGGCCCCTCGTCAACACGAAAGACATGCCAAGAATGTTCTTCCTTCCTCTCTTGGAATCGAGCTGTAAGGGGGGTAACCATAGCACCAGACTTTGCATGCAATCTCCAAACTTCATCTGCTTGGGATTGGCCCATTGGGCGAAGACGTTGCGTCCGGAAGAATCAACTGCACAGATATTCCATTCATGCACCAGTGACCGATATTTTGTTTCTCGGCGTGCATCCTAGGATCCTCATGATCCATGTTGTTTGCACACATATATGAGCCCCTTCCGGCCCCTTGCAGTGACATCTTCCCCTTTTCTTCTCTCTTCGTGCGGTGTGCAGTTTTCTCAACTGTCTGTCCTTCCTCTACCCAAGGTAGCACAGCTGCACAAGTGTACGGACGGTGCTACAAGTCAAGTCAATAATCCCAGCTTACATTCGCCGACATGCGTTTCACTCCCATTGCTGCCGGCGCGGCCCTGTCCGCTGCCAATGCCGCTTTCGCCAAGGAGATGCCGAAGAACGAGGCTCTTGCTGCCGGTACGTTGAAAGAATATCCCTGACTCCATGGAGGTTACCAATCCAAGGCCCAGTTGTACTTTGTGCTGTAAGGGTAGTGGGTTACTGACGACGGTCGACTTGTCACACACAGAGCTCTACGACAGCGGTGTGCTCCACGAGGAGATTATGAACCGAAAGATGGCAAGTTGAATCCCAGCGTTCCATGGCCATGGCCATCATTGACTACTACTTAATTTTTGGGACCCCTCCGTCTAATTGTGATTCACAAACACAGTCCTGGTGGAATTCCGAGCTCGAATCCGGTCTCCTCGACTCCTCTCAATGGCCTCGCCTCAACTACACCCGTTGCATCAACGGCAAGGCCGAGGCCATTCCCGGCGACCCTCTGCACACTTTCCGCTGCAAGAACGTAAGCCGAAGTCTGCAGTTCTGAAACGAGTCCTGTATAGTCGTCCCCTTCTCTGATCATATCCCTAGATGGACATCTACGACTTCATCAACCATGCTACCCTCGGTTCCCCCAACTCCGACCCCCAGCTGCGCACTGGCAGCACCGCCTGGGGCTGGAGCGACCCGGAGTCGGGTCGTGAGTTCATTGGTAGGCTCCTCTCAATCATCAGCTCCTGGCTCCCGTGACCCGTCAACTCCATCTTCACCACTGTTACATGCAGGCTAACTCCACACAGCCGCCGGCCAGTACGACGGCACTTCGTTCATCGAGATCCTTCCCGAAGGCAGGATGGTTCACTTGGGAAATCTGTAAGACGCCGGTTCGGCTTCTCTACCAACATGAAAAAGTCTGGGCATCCGCTAACACCCAAAAGTCCCTCGTACGCCCCGACTGCCGCCCGTGCCTGGTGGACCGAGATCCGTGCCTACAAGAACTACATGGTCATCGGCAGTGAGCTCGAGGGTCACGGTATCCAGATTTTCGACATGAAGAAGGTAAGACTATGCGCATATTCCTGCAGGGTTGTGAAAGCAAGCAAACGAAAAGAAAAAAAAAAAAACCCCCCCCCCCCCCGAAAAAAGGGGGTAGCAGCTAAGCTGACATTTCTTCTTAGCTCCTCGACCTCGACCCTGCCGACGGCCCCGTCGAGTTCAGCAATGAGCACGACCTGACCGGCCACTTCAACGACTTGCCCATCGGTTCCTCGCACAACGTCGTCGTCAACGAAGAAGCCAACTACGGTGTCGCTGTCGGTGCTCGTCCTCGCGACCAGGACTGCCTCGGCGGCCTCGTCTTCTTCGATCTCACTGATCCTTCGAATCCTACCCGTCTTGGTTGCAACTCCCAGGACGGCTACGTTCACGACGTATGTCCCATCCACTCTCTGTTTTTCTCCGTGCTCCGTGCTCCGAGCCCGACCACCACACTAACGAGTCTTCTCTGACAGGCTCACTGCGTTATCTACCGTGGCCCCCACGAGAAATACTACGGCCGGGATATTTGCTTCGGATACAACGAGGACTCCGTGACCATGTAAGAGTCGAACTCTCATCAAACTCTATAGATCGAATCCCCCGAATCTGGCCCTTACTGACTCCCTGGCTTCTAGCTACGATGTCACCGACAAGGCCAACTCCTCCATCATTTCAGTCACCTCTTACGAAGGTGTCCGGTACACCCACCAAGGCTGGATCCTCGACTTGAACAACATGGAGTGGCTTATCCTGGACGACGAACTTGATGAGAGGGACAGGTAACCAGCCCCCTTTTCATCCCTCCCATAGGGCGGAAGTTGAGGGAAGAGCAAAACTAACTCGCACCTCTCCAGAGTTGGCCCCGCCGCCGACAGCTATCCGGTCACCTATATCTTCGACATCCGCGACCTCGAGCACCCCAAGCAGACCGGCCTCTTCAAGAACGCCGACGTCAGCATCGACCACAACCAGTACATCAAGGACGGCCTGGTCTACCAGTCCAACTACGGTGCGGGCGTACGTATCTGGGACGTGACCAGCATCCCCGAGGACCCGAGCGGCGACTCGGTCTGCGAAGTCGCCTACCTCGATATCTACCCCGAGGACGATGGCGAGCCGGGCGGCGGCACCGCCCAGTTCTCCGGCACCTGGGCCAGCTACGCCTTCTTCGAGTCCGGCTTTATCTTCATCAACACCATCGAGCGCGGTGCGTTCCTCGCTAAGATGACCAGGCGCGAGTCCTGTAAGCCGAAGAGCTGTAACGCGGATAACTGCCTCCGTGCGCTCCGCTCGAGCTCGGTCCCGGGTCGTTTGGAGGAGAGCCAGGAGTTCTGCGGCGAGTTTACCGCTACCGTTATCGCGGACGTGGCTGTTGTTCCCGAGTATGCGGCCAGGGCGTGCCAGACCAATGTCATCTCCAGGGTCAGCTCGGCTTGCTCTTGCTTGCCTGCTCCCACTACCACCAGCGTGGCCCCCGAGCCTACTGACGAGTGCGTTGCTGAGGATTAGAACAAATATTTGATCTGTAGGGCTCACAATCGAGGTTGGTAGGCTCCTTCTCGGTAGTCTTCGAGTAACAATTATATCATCCCTATTGGCACCCATGCTTCAGAATTGGTCTCGTTGAATCGAATGTGCTGAAGGACCTTGCGGCGCGTTGATTGGTGGGGCAAGGGTTCGCATCGCCTATTTCAAGTTCCAGATCGAGTAAGTTGTAATTCCAAACAATGCCCAGATCTCATACCTCTAGACCAATATCAATCAAGACCGCCAGATGCAGAATCTTTGATCGATGATCGACAAAAGTGTCTCTCTCACTGGAGAGCACGGTCGAAGACGGAGGATGCCAAGATATGTCGCGCTGGGTCGTGGAAAATGCTGGTGTCTCAACGCTGACCAGCCAGCATCTAGATGCCGATGTTCTGAAGGGATTCGCTGAAGATGCATTCCTCAGCCCAAACGTTGTGCGGTCATCCCTTGATACTGGGTCCCCGCGATATGCTTGGGATGGAGTTATGGGACATATATTGTCTCGGCATCATACCTCTCGCGGGGTTCCCACAACCACTATCGTCCATGTTCAGCAAGGGATGGGCGGGTTTAGACTTCTTTAAAATCGAAGCATGGCCGGACGCAGGTTGGGTTGCCAGATTGTCGCCGCCCCTCCTCGTCACACTTGAGATTGTTGGGACGTGTAACCATCTCACTCCTCCCCTAGGGAGCAACTTATTCCCCCCTCCCAGACTCCAGAGATATCTCGTTTCGCCGCTGACCTCCTACACAACACTAAGACTTGGAAGCAAGACGAGTACACCTCTCAGGCTCTCAGGCTCCCGACAAGATGCACGTTTCGTCGTTTCTGAGCTGCGTCTTCGCGCTGGCATCAGCGTCACCTCTCGTGCATCCCAATAGCCAAGAGGCGACGGACGTCGGCCACGAGGCGCTCTCGCACGGAAGCGAGAGTTCCGGCTTCACATTGCACCAAATCGCCAATGAGAGATACGTGGAGGAGACTGGGCTCGATGCGTTGCTGTGGGCGTACATCAAGTACAATGCCGAGTTGCCGCCGCGGCTGTGGCGCGCGCTGCGGATCGGGACTCACGTCAACGCGAGGTTCAAACATCTCGTCAATAGGGGTATGTCTCGTTCCTCGGTCCAACCAGCAGCATCCATGGGACTTGTGCGGAAACCCTCGTTGCTGACTGCATCTGCTCTTTCATCACTAGATGACGAGAGTGCCAAGTTCGGAACCGTACAGGCGTTCCCGCCTCGAAACATTGACATACAGTACGTCGTGCCGGTGCAGATCGGAATGCCACCACAGACTGTGTTCTTGAATCTCGACACCGGCTCGGGAGACCTGTGAGTGGTAACAGCAGCACCAGCACCCAACCCAACATGAAGTCACGTGAACGTTTCTCGTCTCAATGCTTACCCTGAACCGCTCTTCTCCCAGTTGGACCATATCGACAGACACGTCTACCTGGCAAGTCGGCGGCCATGCCATCTACGACCCCCGGGCCTCGAATACCTCAAAGCTAGTAGACAACGCGTGGTGGCGCATCATATACGGCGACGGATCAGGGGCCTCGGGCATCGTGTACACCGACCGCGTCGCCATCGGGAAGACCTTCTTCGAGCAGCAGGCCGTGGAATCGGCGCAGGCGATTTCCCGGACATTCACACAGGACGACTTCGCGTCGGGGATCCTGGGATTGGGCTTCGGACGGGGCAACACGGTGCGGCCGCAGCAGGTGAAGACGTACATGGAGAACATCCTGCCTTCGCTGGCGGCGCCGGTGTTCACGGCGAACCTGCAGGCCGGGCGGCCCGGGAACTACAACTTCGGGTTCGTCTCGGCGCAGGAGCACGTGGGGCCGATCGCGTACGCGCCGGTCACGCAGCAGAGCCCGTACTGGGAGATTGAGGTGGATGGGTTCCAGGTCGAAGGCGGGAGTTTCAACGGCACAGAGGCGCTGAGCAGGGTCATCGTCGACACGGGCACCACGCTCATTCTCGTCCCTGATGAGCTGGTGGAGGCATACTATGATCGAGTCCAAGGGGCGCGGTTCGACGCGTCTTGGGCGGGATACATCTTCCCTTGCAACGCGTCGTTGCCGGACTGGACGTTCGGAATCGCGGACTGGAGGGGTACGGTGCCGGGCAAGTTTATGAGCTATAGCCAGGTCAGCCAGACGCATTGTTTCGGCGGCATCCAGAGCTCGCAGGGGATCCCGTTTGCGATTTTCGGGGCGGTGCTGCTCAAGTCGCAGTTCGTGGTGTTCGATTACGTGAGTGCTGAGGCCAATGTCGGGGCCGCGCCCAGGGTCGGATTCGCGAGCAAGCCGTTGGATTGAAGGAGGCAGGAGTCGGAGTGATTCACGCCGCTCGGATTCGAGTGGACGATAGACGCTGCCAATTTCGGGGAGGCTCGTTTCGGGCAGTGAGTCAGTCGGAGGCACGGACGAGGAAGCGAGGATGGGACTCGATGGAGTGGCGAGGATAAGCGAAATAGAGGAAATAAGCCATAATATAGGGATGCATGTTCGGAACAGTCTGACTATCCCTCTGTCTTTGTGTGTGTGAGTGCCTCTTTTTGTCTTTTCTGTTTCTTCTCGTCGATATGGCGTTTGGGAGAGGACAGACACGACTGAGAGTGATGAGAACGGGTGCGTCGTGAAGACCCAGATCGTGAGACGATAACGCCGGATTTGGATCCACTACACCCTCCTTTCCGCCAATTAAAGACGAGAATCGACTGGTAGTCCGCTTGACGTCAGCTGCCATACATGATATCTTATCTCTGTACCCCGGTACCTAAATTTGTACGTTTCTGATTAACAAGATAAGGTAGCGAATGATATAAGGTACCTGGTAAGGTAGATGGGGCTACCGAAGGCGTCATGTGCATCAGCCACGACATCATATCTAGGCACCCGCCAATCAATGGCCGCCCTTCTCACGGAACATCTGAAGAGTTACCTCGAGTCTGCCTCGACCTTGCCTGGACCATCCTCATCTTCCACTTCCCCCATTTTCGCAACACCATCTCTGGAAAGACCGTCCAGGAAAGGGGTTCACGAGTGCCTTATAGTGAGATAGTGAGTCACACGGGCACCCAGACCCCCAGAGTAACCCACCCCAATCCCCCCGTCCTAGTCCCGGAACCATCATGAGACAAACCAATAGGCGTTGCCTTCGTCGCAGTCATGCCGTTATCTCGGTCACGGTTGGGTGTGGCGTTTAATATGGGTCTAGCACACCTGGACGATGATTTCCTGACAACCTTGATTTCTTACCTAGGTACCTGCTTGTATCTGCCTTGGAGGCCTGAACGTCCATCACGGCATTTCTACTTCCAATCCAGGCAGAATTTACAGTCATCATTCCCGCGAGGTACCTCGTATGGACGAGGACTGTATGGAAACGGTACGGGCGAGTCTCGCGGCCGCGACCAATGCGCCAACTATACCCTCCCGTGACCCTCGTGCCTTCTCGGCTTACTTTCCCTTACCCAACTTATCTACGAAGTAAGTACTTTGTCGCACCCGGCACGCCTATGCCATACTCCCCTGTACCTCTCTTCCACCCGTCGTGGTTGCCTTCGCTACTCCGTGCAACTTGCATCCTTCGGGGTCGTGCCTACCTACCAAAGATATTGTTGTACCCATCGGTCCCATCCAAGTTCGGAGTCCGAGTCATCGTCATATGACTGGCATTTATAATAATCCCGTCCTTTGCTCTGTCCTTTATCCTTCGTCCTTTGTCCTTCGAACTTTCTGGCAACATCTTCAACCCGCTTCCAACTTCCAACTTCCAACTTCTTCTGTTCGAACCCCCATCGTGTCTTGGACACGAGCTCACATGCACACTGCGCCCTCCATATCACCTCACTAGTGTGGATACGCCTTGCTCTCATCATCTCACTGTTTATCCCGATCATCGCCGATCTCCCGACTGCTGACTCTCCCTCGATCCCACCCGGACGAGCCATCCACCGGTTAAACCTACCTACCATCCTAGAACCTTGGCTTCTCACTTCCACCTCTTCTTTTTCACCAGACAACCAGTGTCAGCTGTAACATCACTAGCTGGCTGGCCCGCTGTCTGGGAAGTCCTCGAATACCTATTTAAATAGCCTCCCTCCTAGTTTGCATATCAGATCGGCTTTCCTACACAATGGCGCCCGTCCTCCACGATACCACAGCCCCCCAACATCTCGATTTTGTGCTCTCACACCGACATCTTCCTCCGGGGCCTATTCGCGTCCGTGACCGGCACACTCGGGGTCGAAACCATGGGCCTCGTGCGGACCTGAGGGATATCCGTCGTATCCTGCAGAATGACCGTCTCTCAGATCCGCAACGTCCCCTCGTTGACTCCGAGACAATCTTTGCCCGTCATCAGATGCCCCGTTCAGCCGTGCGAGCTCGCCGCCGCCTTCGTGGCAACAGAGTCGACCTCGACCCTGAAGAGGATCATGTCCGTCTAGCACGCAGTTCTATTCCGCTTCCGGGTGACCACCGCCGTGCCCGTGTACCATCCCTCGAACGCCAGGACGCCTTCCGCGATGCGCGGACCACCAAGCGCGCGATGAAAGCTAGCTCGCGCAGCCGACAGGATTTCCAAGACGTCCCGACAAACGACCTGTATCGCATCGGGCTTCTTTCTTCGGACAACGAACACGTTCATGGCGCCGAATTTACCCTGGACGCCATCGTCCACGACGAGCCGACCTATTCCATCACCACGCGGCTCGGCAAGCGAGGAAAGAACAATCGCAAGGATGACAACATGTCTACCAAGCTGGCTCTGGAGTGGGACTTCGCCGGCCTCGAAGAAGACGAACAGCTTGCCCGCTATCTGGTTTCCTCGCAGCAATATGGCCACGGAGAGGATGGTTCCGTGGTTCCGCGTCACGGATATCGGACCATCTGGCGATCGCCTGTCCAATCGACCTCGGCCTCTGCGACGGCCCCTTCGGGTGATGACGACGAGCCCGTCCCAGACCTCATCACGGACACGGATAGGGCAACAGAAGACGATCAAGTTTTCGACGATGACGACCCGGAGGAGGATGCTGAGCTTGACTGTTGGACAAATGAAGAGGGAGAACCTGGATGGGCTGTCTTGTCCCCGACGATCATTCGGGACTCGGTCCGGGAAGACCATGACGTCGAAGGCGCCGCCACAGAAGACGCCTCCACTGGACCTTGGATTGTGCTGGGAGACGGCTTGTAACAGGTCCGCCACGGAGGTTAGATCATCAATCGGGATGAGATATATCATATCTCCGGGCTAGCGTGAGGCGGGCAAAGCGCCCGCCGCGGACTGGCCCTCGTATTCCAGTCGTTCGGGTCCAAGAGGATTGGCGTTTTCGGGAGAAATTGAGCGTGGCAGATGGCGTGCATTGTACAGCGTCTTGGAAATCCGGCCTGGGCATTGTATTAATAGATAGGTCCGTCGCTTATGGTGCAGAACGAGGATGGATATAGCATCGATATGATGGACAGGAGTGTTCGAATCCCGACCTTGTTTTCGTCTAACTGAGTCCCATCGGTGCACCGTTCCTACTAGTAAGTAATTGATCGTGATATGGGAATTGTCACGCGATTATCTGTCGAGATACTCCCAGAGTCCAGTCCCGAGCTCCCGGCCATAGTTCGCCGAGCCATTGCGTCGTGCTGTTTAGGAAACCCCTCATCGGACCTGAGAACGACATGCGGCCACGATGCCTTGTAACTTGCAAGTGGACGGAATAATCTGAGGCAACCAGTTGATGTTCTCAAAGAAGCAGTTCATATGTGTATATAACACCCCTACTTCTAGATTGGTAGCATGGTTGTAAGAAGGCTTCTTAGTAAGAGGTCGATTCTTGGAAAGCACGGGTCCGGTTTGTTTCTACTGTAAGCAGTATTTTACTTTGAATAAACTGATGGATTTGAGGCGTAGTATTATGACAGGAGTTATGATGATATAGGGTGTGTAACGCATGATTTGTGAAAGATGCATGTGATGAACTTGTCGCCACTCGCGAGTTGACCGTAGTGGAACAGTCTCTAAGAGATAATTAAAGGCAAACCACCTCTGCGGTGATATCTCTAACAATGAACTTCATACTCTGTTACCATGTAGTTTCCTTATACTTTAGCAGCAACAAAGAAAGCAAGACAAAAAACAAAGCTTAAGGTAGTAGAAAACCTATGGGGTAGTCATCTTGCCGTTACAACGTAGAACCCCAATCTTTGGATCCTGCCCACATCTAGAATCTACCATACATAAAAAGATTATGTTAAGGCCCAAGGAAGGCAGGTACGATTAAGAAGTCTCTCAAACCAACCTTGAATTTTCATAAAAGGGTCTCTACTACAAATACCTACCTTAGGTAGCCAGATGCTCGATTTTGAGGACCAATTTGGACAAACGAGTCGTTACTTGACAAGGACTGACAATGTCATCTCGCAACGAGGCTCAGCCCCCGGCTGCTGGATTAGCGGAGTCAGGAGCGACCATGTACGCTAGCACGCCAATTTCCTTTACGCCGATTTACTTCACCTTTTTGCAGCAAGCAATCCATGAGCCTGAACTTCTCAACAAGTCTGGCTTCATCCTGCAGCAGCTCACCGACGATGAACTTGCGGCCAGAGATCGCTGCAAGCGATGTCATACACGAAGTGCGTTATTTATTGCTGCTATAATTCAGTCCAGTCACCTGCACCCCTGATCTACACCTGCTGACAGGGTCCACCGTACTCCAGATGGAGGCAAATCAGGCAATGACCCAAAGAAGACGGAAGCCAAACCCCTAAGTGGAAGCGGAGCTCTGATCTCTGAGGAGGGTGAGGTGGTGATTCAAGTCGAAACCCCTGACGTCTGCTGCAAGTATCATCCAGGCCGATTACGCAACAAGGTAACGTTTCTCGCTCGAAGACGTGGTAGAGAAGACTGGACTCTTCAAGAACCACTTGACCATATCGCTAACATGAACCGCTTGCGCAATGACAGAAATGGACTTGTTGCAACGCCTCACCCTCCTCCCCACCTTGTAAGAAGCAATCATCCCATCATTGGAAGACTCCCCTACAGGGCCTCAGTCTTCGCTACCAGTTCCACTTCACGCCAACCCCAACCGAAGGCAATGCCAGATACCGCCAAGTCGTCGCCATCGACTGCGAAATGGGCACAGCTGTCGATAACGAGTCGGAACTGATCCGCATCACCCTCGCCGACTACTTCACGACCGAGGTCCTGATTGATACTCTCGTATGGCCGGATGCGGCCATGTTGCACCTCAACACGCGCTACTCGGGCGTCTCCTGGGCCGTGCTGACCAAGGCTAAGAAGGAGGGCCGTTGTACCATGGGCGTGGCTTCGGCGAGGGAGGCGATTTGGGAGTACGTCTCGCCCAGCACGATTGTTGTTGGCCACTCGTTGCACTGCGATTTGACGGTCCTGCGCTGGATTCATCCGGTTGTGGTCGACTCGCTTCTTCTCGAGAAGGCGGTCAAGAAGGCCGAACAGGACGCTGCCGAGGCGGAAGCAAAGAAAGAAGAAAGTGGGAATAAAGATCATTCCGCATCGGGCGAGACTGCTGTTGTCCTCGAAGCAGTGGACGGCAATCAAGAGGCCCAATCGGGATCCGGAAAGGCCAACTCGGGTAAGAGTGATAACTCGGGGGCTACGAGGAGCCGGAAAGGCGAGTTGACGTTGAAGAAGCTGGCGATGGAGAGGCTCGGGCGGAAAATTCAGAATCGAGCTGGACATGACAGTTTGGAGGATGCACTTGCTGCAAGAGATATTGTTCACTGGCATATTTCGAAGGAGATACGAAGCCTGGAGGAGTTTTGGGGGTAACGTGAAATGTCGAGACACGACATACCTTTCAGATATCCTTTAAGAAGAGATGTTGGTGCAAGTTATGCAACGACGCATGTAGACTCTCGGATCAATGTCGATTTTTAAGGAGTCCGAGATCATGTTTACTCTGGTCTGATAATATGTTTGAGTTGACTTCACAGCTAGATGATAAATCGACACTTACGTAGATGCGTTGGGATAGCCTCCTATCGCAGGTATGCCCAGACGCTCCTAGAATGTTTGTTGCGAGCTGGATATCAAGTGGATATCGCGGACAAGGGTTCATAAAGTAATATGAAGGCAAGAGAACAGTTTAGAATATAGATTGTCTTATCAGCACTAGGATTCAGGATTCAGACTGGCCCATCACCCATAAGATGCTTGGAAACATTCAGGAAAGGCGCGACGCCTTTGTGACTTTTTGACAAACCACACGATATTTAGCTCACTCTTATCATGGGCCCCAATCTCGGGCTAAATACTTATCAACCAGCCAAAAATGGCAGGTCGTTCTTGTACCTTAGTGGTCGAGTGACGAGACTAGAGGAGATACTCCGATACACCGACACACCGAGAGACACACGCCCTGTCCATGACAAGTCCGCTCCGTCTCCACATACGTACACTTATCCCCTCACCTTCCCGGTAGTTATTAAGTCGACCGGCAGGACTGCAACCGGCATCTCACACCTGATCACTTACATTCAACCATATCGATCACCCTCCACCAACACACGAGACCTTCAAGGTATCACATCATGGCCAGACTCACCGACTACCGCCTCCTCACCTTTGACGTTTACGGCACACTCATCGACTGGGAAACCGGGGTCCTCACCGCCCTACAACCCCTCTTGGCATCCGACCCCGCCGGCGCCGCCCTCAAGTTGCCGAAATCCCGCCTCCTGGAGGTCTTCCACGAGTGCGAAGCCGCGCAGCAAAGCCGGACCCCGGATCTCAAATACGCCGACCTGCTCGCGGCGATCCACCCCCAAGTCGCCGCCAAACTCGGCCTTCCGGCCCCCAGCGAAACCGCCAGTGCCGCGTTCGGCGCCTCGGTAGCCTCGTGGCCCGCTTTCCCCGACACGGTGGATGCGCTTCGACGGCTGGGGAAGCGGTACAAGCTCGTCGTGCTGTCCAACGTCGACCGGGAGTCCTTTGCCGGCACGAACGCGGGCCCGCTAGAGGGTGTCCCGTTCGATCTCGTCCTCACGGCCCAGGATGTGGGGAGCTATAAGCCCGACCTGCGCAATTTCGAGCATATGCTCCGTGAGGTGAAGGAGCGGTTTGGCGTGGAGAGCAGTGAGGTCATTCAGACTGCGCAGAGTCAGTTTCATGACCATCACCCTGCTAGGAAGGTGGGGATTAAGTCGAGCTGGATTGTGAGACCGGGGGCCGTGATGGGGAACCAGGCGGAGGAGGTTTGGGATTGGAAGTTTGATACATTGGGGGGGATGGCCGATGCGGTTGACGCGGAGGTGAAGGCGGGAAAGTAGGTGAGCAGGAGAGACGCAGGGGGGCGGGACGTGGGCGAGAGAATGCGCTCGCTCATTTATTAGTTGAGTACCTACCTTAGGTAACAGCGAAATAGGGTGACGACAGTGTCGGTAACCCCTGTACTTCCGCGTCTTTGGAACTCGCTCAGGACTCTGGGTAGGTACACCAATGACCGTATGACAGGGGGGGAGCCGGACCAGCTTCTCCGGTCCCCGAGGCGTCTCGGCCGAAAAGCAAACGAGAGTCCGCTCAGGCCTCTTCAGCTGGTTGTGCCGCCCGACTGATTTTTTCCCCACTCGATCGCAAACTTGGAACTGCGAATAATTATATCACAGCTGCTCTCTTCCAGCACATCAACACGAGGTCTTGCTGAACTGGGGACACGACACGGATGGTTCGGGACCTTGGGTTTTGCAGGAGCATTGCATTCCTGCTAAAGGCCAAGGCGCCGCAGACATGGATGATGGACGAACGGATATGATACTTGGGCCTCACTCATCAATCACGATCCCACTTTCAGCAGTGCCGCTACAATGCATCCCCGATTCGGCAAGAAGCACGGGAAAAAGATCAAAGTCTATGACAAGGGGACTGCGCCAGGGCCTGGGGGTTCTCATCTAATGCCGATAGGAGGATATATAGACTTTTGGATACCTTCCGATATTGCATGTGCAGCATGATTCATCCTCGTTGCGCCGTTAAGCAAGCGTATCAAGCTCACTGAGAGAGGGGACTGAAGAATCTGGAAACAAAGTAGTCTTTGCAGGGACAGAACATGGCTCTGGCGACATGGCAGATGGTTGCTACGTAGGTCCGATCACGGCTCCCAGACCCATCAATTCTATCCTGACAATGACAGGCCGCCGAAATGTTGATTCCATCTGTTCTGATGATGATGGGACAGACCGTGAACTTATGTCTCGTGTTCAGGGGTCATATAATCCGTTGGCGTAGTCAAGCGTTTGCATGTATAATACCCTCGTGGACGTCGTAGTACCTAGATCTCTCCTTCACTTCTCAGACTTGAATACCCTCCTCCCACTAAACCAAGTCTCCTTCAACGCCGACTTCAAAAGGCTCTTCGCATCCCACTCCATATCAAACACGGCAAAATCAGCCATCTTCCCCACTGCAAGACTCCCAACCCTCCCCTCGGCGAACACACTTGCGGCCGTACCCTCAGTGGCCGCCGCGATAGCCTCGCAAACCCCCAACCGAAAATGCTCGTTCACCACCTCCTCACACTCCGGCTCCCTAGCCGACCGCCTCGTGGTCGCGACATAGACATTGTGCAGCGGCTCCCAAGGCGCCGTGGGACTATCGCTCCCCAACGCCAGCAGCGCCCCGCCGTCCGCGAACTCCCGGTACGCGAATGCCCGCCCGCACCGCTCCCGGCCCAGGAGCCGCGGCCAGGCGCGCAGGATAGCCGGGTCGGCGTGCACGGGTTGTATAGACGCCGTGATGCCGGCCTTTCCGAGCCGTTTCGCGTCTTCGGGGGACACGAGCTCGAGGTGCTCGATACGATGACGCCGCTGGCGGCCGGGCGAGGCGTGGTGCAGGTTCTCGAGCGCGTCCACGGCGGTGCGGACGGCAGCGTCGCCTATGGCGTGCAGTGCGATCTGCAATCCCGCGTCGTCGGCGGCGCGGACGACGGGGGCGAGGTCCTCGGGGGTCCAGATGGGCGGCGGGTGGGGGCCGTGGGGCGTAGGGGATCCGGGGCCGGGGGCGCCGTAGGGTTCGGAGACGAAAGCGGTGCAGGCGTCGATTACGCCGTCGCATATGACTTTGATCCCCGCGATGCGGAGGTCGGGGGACGTGGTGGCGTTGAGTTGGGCGTGCAGCTCGGCGGCGCGGCGGACCTGGCGCAGGCGGGCTTCCGGGTCGGCGGCGGGTTTGATGAGCCAGTAGGCGGCGATGCGCATGGGGAGAAGGTCCGGGTTCGACGCTCGGAGGGCGATGAGGGCGTCCCAGATGGGTTCGTCCATGGCCATTTCCACGAGGCCGGTGTACCCCGCTGCGCTGTAGGTTTGGATGGCGGCGAGGATGGCGGCTTGGCGGTCTTCGGGGGAGGCGACGAGGGCTTGGTGGGGCCATACGATGGAGAGGACGGCGCCTTCGCTCAGGACGCCGGAGGGTTTGCCGTCGGCGTCGCGGTAGATGGTTCCGCCCGCTGGGTCGGGCATGTCCGCCACGCCCAGCTCGGCGAGGCCGGCGGAGTTGCACCAGGTGAAGTGCAGGTCCTTGGAGTCGATGAAGATGGCGCGCGGGTCGATGTCGTCGAGCAGCGAGGCGGTCACGTCGCCCGGGGTCATGGAGTGCATCCAGCCCTTGCAGAGGATGCGCGGCACCTCCGGGTGTGATGTCGCGTAGGCTTTCACGGTGGCCCGGATGTCGTCGAGGTTTTTGCAGTGCTTGAGATCTACCTTGCGGAGGGACTGGCCCAGCAGGAAGATGTGCATGTGACCGTCGACGAAGCCCGGGAGAACGGTCTTGTTGTTCAGGTCGGTGACGGTCACGTCGGCTGGGAGGTTCAGCTGCGATGCGATGTTGTCACGGGACCCAATGGCGGCGATGACGCCGTTGCGGACGAACATGGAATCAGCGAAGGTGGGCTGGCCTTCTAGCCCGGCGCCGGCTTTGGCGAGGATGCGGCCATTGACGAAAAATGTCCCTGGGTCCCTGGACATTTCTTGGGCGATGGTTGAGGGGTTCGAGGATGTCAAGGCAGAGGCGGGAGGGGCGGCCATTTTGGGTCTGAGACTCTGAGACTCTGAATCGTGAATGAACTAGAATTTGAGATGTCCCGAGTTCGGATTCCAATTCCTGAGGTGCGAAGAGGAAGTTGACGCCGGACGGCACTTGGTGGCCAAGTTCGGAGAGATAAGAGCCCAATTCCACAGCACGGTCGTCGATTCGCCCTGTGACTCGTGTTGCCTCTTGGGCTCCAGCGTCTCCAGTGTGTCCAGTGCCCACTCGATCATCATCCTAGTTCCCTCTCCCAGCAATTCGTAGATCCTCCGCAGCCCCTGTTCGGCCCTCCGCATGAACTAACCCGGATCGGGCGTATAGTGGCTTGAGATAAGGGACCGAAGAGCTTTATATAACCATCACAGCAATAAGAGCCCAGTTCTGGTAAGCCCGATCGGTTCATCCAGCTCGGCTCCGGTCGGCTCAACTGTTGTCGTTGCTCGTGGAGCTGAGCAGTGAGTTCACAAAAATTCCGGGATGGATCAATTTGACTTGGTCAGGAGGTCTGGCATCGACCAGTAATTATAATTACATGCTATGGTATGGTGCAGCCACTGTGGCGCGCATCGCCACAATCCACCTCGGGGCAGGTCACCTGATCTACCATCAGCCGCTGACATAATCATCCATATCATTACAAAACACAATACAATGTATGGGTATATTTCGTCTCGAGTTCCCTTCCAGTAATTCCCAGTCCACCAATCCACCACCTAGGCCCTGGGGAGTTCGACATCGACGACCCAGGGCAGTTGTATCCCCTCGTCCGATTCACCCTGAATGGCAGCGTTGACAAAGACCGTTTGTTTGCCCGCCTGGAGCGGCAGGCCATCTCCAGAGCAGTGACTCGTGAAGCAAGCTTGTTGGTCCCTATACCTCTTGAGCCTTTGCCTCTTCTCCTCTTTATCGGCCTCCGTGTCCCATTTGCCGGCTTGGATCCCCGTTAGACTCCCGATGGTCACAGACTTGTCGTTGTCAATATGGGTAAAGTGCGACGGCCAGCGGGCAGCATCTTCGTTGTGGTTGGCGATGGTCGTCCCTTGACTCCCTTCCCGCCATGTGACCATGCGGGCACCCCAGCCTTCGTGGATATGGCCGAAGCAATGGAGACGAGGCCTCGCCTTCTCGACGGCGGCGAAGAGGCCTTGGCTGCCGCCGCGTTTGGCGTCTTGTGTGCGGTCAAGGATGCCGTGCGGTGGGCCGTGGGTGATGACTACGTCGGTCCCGTTTTGGATAGACCAGTCGTGGCCGTCGTAAGATGTTGTTGTTCGGCCCGGGGTATATGTGTCGGTCGGGATGTACTGGAAACCCCAGCCGGCGTGTTTAGAGGGCGTGTAGGGGCTGGCGAAGACGGTCATCTTTGCTCCGTTGGCTAATTGGAATGTATGGGTGCCCTCGTGTAGCAATATAATACCCGAATCCTTGGCTCGCTCTTGCTGGCGGAAGAGGTTTTCTGCTTCGCCGAAGGAGCCAAAATGGCGTTCAATGGCCTCCCGCGGCAAGTCCTGCGTGGGCGAAGAAAAGGAGCTTGCCAGGATCCGTTGGAAGGCGGGGGTATCCAGTGTGAAGTCGTGGTTGCCGGCGATGACGAGCTTTAATGGTGCGTTGATATCCCGTAGCAGTTGCAGGGATCGTTTGAATTCCTCATTTTTTGATTCTTCGGTGAGATCGCCGCAATGGATGGCAACGTCTGCCGACATGAGCGGCTTGAGTGTGCTAGGGAACTCGTCGCCGTGGGTATCGGAGACGATCAAAAATCGGGTTGTGATGCCGGGGTTGGTCGCCATTGTGTGAAGGACTAGTATTCAGGAGTACTCTGAGCTGTGCGGATATGAAGTGATTGAACTTGGGGACAGGATGTAAAGGGTTGAGAGTTTTTCCCGTCTTGCTGTTGGGCCTCGACGGATTTATATACTCGAATCCTGGCCTACCTTCTAAGCCTGTAGGCTGTTGCTTGGCTACTTCGTTCCCACGAGGTAAAGTTAAATCGTAGACAGTCCGAGCAATGTTTAGAGAACTCTTAAACACGCCTGGTTGCATTTAAACGTTATTTCAGAATGTGGCGCAAACTTACGAAGATAGCTTGGTCCCTCGCTACTTCTCATATGTCCTCCGAAGACTCCGATGGCCTACTGTTCAGCCACACAATGCCACATTCGTGGGACTACCTGACCTTTGACTTTGGATACGGTAAAAGCCAATCATTGGGGAGTTTGTCAATTAGGTACCTAGGACACAAGAGATGCTGGCGGGCAGCTAGTGACTACCGGGGAGGGAAAGAGTGGAGGAATATATGTGCAATCGACTGTATATTCATTTCATGCAGGTCATAGGTTTTGCCGAAGCGAATATATACGGGGAAGAAATAGGAACGACGAAACGTTACTTGCGCGAGACAACAGCAAGCATCCATTCCACCTCAGAAAGAGCCGACCGATAACCACGAACCCCCTTATAGAACCTTCACAATGCAGGGGGATAACAGCCCAGGGCCGACCTCCTCGCCAAAACGTCAAGGTCTCTTAGCCGACATCAGCGGCAGTGATACGAGCATAGCCGCTGCTGTAGTAGCCCTCAGTGGCAACGATCTGGTAGTCGTGGGTACCAATGGGGAGGTTAGCCCTGCGCCAGGCATCGAAGTGGCACCCGGTCTGCACGACACCGCCGGTGCGCTTGTTGCGGCGGACAGACCAGTACTGCTGGAATGTCTGGGTGCCGTCAATGCTGGGAGCGTCGTAGCGCCAGCTCTCGGCGACGTCGTAGACGCTGCCGTCGCAGTCGACGGTGCCCAGCCTGTTGGCGTTCGAGGAGGGGTCGTAGTCGCCGAAGTTCTCGACGATGTAGTACTGTTTGCGAAGCTCGTGTTAGTCCCATTTGATGCACTTCATGTTTTTATATCATCTTGGATCTGCGGAGAAAGAAGCGTCGCGTACCTCGACGAGAGGGTTACGGGTCCAGCCGTAGACGGCAAGGTAGCTGTTGCCGTTGTACTCGTAGGTGCCGGAGATGTCGATGGCGCTGTGAAAGACGAGAGTCTTGTTAGCCAAGACTCAACCTTGAACTGAGAACATGGAACATTGAAATCTTGACTGCCATGGTAGAACGCACCGAGCATCAACACCGGGGTTCCAGCCCTTGCCTCCGACGAGGTTACCACCGCTCTGCCACGAGACCTCGTAGGAGCCGCCGGCAAGGTTGGTGTAGGTGGCGGGAGAACCGCCGTCGCTCCACCACGAGTAGAAGAACCCGTCGTGGTAGCCCTGCGAGTTGGGAGTGGACTGGCGCTTCTCGAGAGAGTAGTCGCCGAGACCGTTGGACATTTTGGCCTTGGGGGCGGCGAGGGCCGCGCCGCTGGCGGCTGCCACGAGGAAGGAAGAGAGCTTGACCATTTTCGGAGACCTTGGCTTGTCGATTGGGAGATTGTGGTCGAGATGAGGAGCAAAGGAAAAAAAGGGGTTTGGATGAGGGTTGTCTCCCCGGCTTTATATAGTTGAAAGTTGAGCAGCGTCCTGGTGGTTTCGATCTTGGAAGTGAAGTCGAAACTCGGCGTTGAATACCCCTGAATGAACGTCAAATGCTTCTTGCCACCTTCTCAACTCGATTTAGCCCTCAACCCTCAACTCCCTCGCTCGGGCAGTTCGCATTCTACCGGCTCGGGGCAATTCGTAATACCAGGATTTTGTTCGACGACGCCATCATGTGAGGCTGATCGACATCTTGGCCTGCTACGTTCGGCACTTGTAGACCCCGGAGGTCCGCCAAGATGCCTTCCGGCAGCCACATCAGGACTATGGGCCCATGGGGTAGAAAAGTGCGGGGGCCCCGGGGGCAGTGGGCACGACGTCTTGCTCGCCACGACTCCCTTTCCCGTCATGAATTCCCCGTGGGGCAGACGGGCACTGGGGCGCGATGTTGAATTTAGGCAGAAAGGCGATCGTCCCTGAAAGCAGGTCAAGTCGCAAGCCGTAGCCCGCAGGCATGATACATGCCGGCGGGCGGGTTTTTCGTCTCCCTGGCTGGTCTGCTTCTCAGGGTCTTATTCGTCGTTGTTATTAGCCGTCAGAAGTGCCGAACAAGTCTGGGGAAGGGGAAGCCTCAAACTGGAGCGGATTACCTGCAGAACATATCCCGGTATTTGCCTTGAACAACCAAGTGTATCTGCGGCTCAAGACGATGTCATCATGCGATGCGGATAAAAGCGCCGAATTCCATGAGGACCAAGAGAAGGGGTTCAGTAACTGCATGAATGTCAGGTAGAATACAAGTCATTTGATCCTAATGGAAGTGCATCTCCACCAAGAAAGACGTCGTTTCACCCCCTTCTCCCATGAGAATTGAGCGTCTCGTGGTCAATTCCAACTTGAAGGCAAATAAAGAGATGTCGTTGATTTTGTCTTTATTATACCGTCAACTTTAAATATGCGATCAGCATTTTCGCAGCATATTTCGTAGATCATCAGTAGCGATCGATGATCAGTCCTGAAGCGAAAGGGCTGAACCAGGTGAACGGTTCTTCCATCACTCTAGACGATTTGATCGCCAGAGGTGATCCCTCCTGTAAAGGTAAAGGAATTTACATAATGGGACATCACTTTAGCGGTTTTGGCACCGCAATTGTTTCGCTGCATCTTTCATTGTTCGAGGGGTATGTCGCCTTCGGCGGAAAAATCATTCATCTCTGATCTCTCCTCCTCGTCATCTTCTATGAACCATTATGTGGTGTTTCACATATATCGTCTGTGACATCGCTCGTCGAGTCGTCACCAGAACAAGGCAATTGTTGCTATTTACCCGGTGAATCAAGGCACCGCGGTATTTGATCCAAGTTCATGCCTCGTATGATTCGAAGCTGACGAGGTGCCGTCACTCGCGACTCGTGAGACGGTGAGTCGTCTGCCTTACACGGCTCTCCGTGTCCATACCTGAAAACCTGCCCCAGAGGCTTCATCCTGAGATGCCTAATTAGCCGTCAAATGAGAGACAGACTTCAGAGTATTCCCTTCATTCCCGCCCGATGGGTAGACATTTGCGTTGTTTCTACGACAAATGATTTATCAATCACCGTGCCCATATTGGACTTGGGACTTGGAAGGTCGGATCGGCGTGCCGATCGATGCCTTTCAAAGCGGACGGAAGATGCTGTGGTTTTCACTTCTTTCTTTTTTGGGATTATGCTGATCGATGCCTCTCTGGAAGACACGCGGAAGTTGTTGGATAAAATGGTGGCCTGCCGCTGCGCTGATCTCTCCGCTGATCGATGCCTGTCTGGATCGCAGCTGGAAAAGCAGAATACACGTACAGTGTTCGGTTGCGCCTCGGATCCGCACGAATCACCACACGCATTCTCTTCAGTTTGACCCAGAGAACCACTCGATGGCGAAAATCCAGAGAGAGAACAAGTCCGAGTTTGTGATCCTTTCTACTATCTCTGGATGCAGGTTTTCCCAACCAAGTTGAGACGACGAGGAGTCCTCCAGCCGGCGGCGCCGATGCGACGACACCTCACATCTCATATCTGGCTAAAATGGAACCACGCACCGGGGTAAAGTCTGCCTCGCTGCTGCTTCCATCCGGCTTGGCCCTCGAGCACCCCGTACGGCATGCTTGCGTCGTGATGTGAGGCGAGGCATTGCTGAGATGCCGGCTCGGTCGACATTCGGAAAGCTATTTGATGCGAAGACAGAGTGCAAGAGGCTTTGTCCCTCTTGGAACCCCCCACGTCGTCCATGTCGAGTTTGCTCACCTTGATTTAACCATTCGTCCCATGGAGAGAAAATGGCGTGATCCAGCTCGTGATCCAGAGTCGAAGAGCATCTTAGCCTCGAGGCGCGATTACGCACGAGCATCAAGAATCGGATCCCGTGCTTCGTCGGTAAGTCGTCGAGAAAACAACAACCAAAAGTGATACGCTGCAAAACTCGCTAATCGTCCAAATGCTCCCGCGCTCGCAACTCGAAATCCCGAAAGGTCACCTCAACGCCCTCCCCTTCCTCATCGCTCGCGTGCGCAAACACCCCCAGAATCGGGCCCGTGAAGTCTCGAGAATCCAACGCCTTGGCCTCCATGGATCCCACCTCTATCCACCCCGCCTCGCTCCCCGTCCTGGGTTCCTTCATCTCCAACCTGGCCTCGAAGCTGTACCGTAGAGGCGCGGCCTTGATCCGGAGTTCCAGCCCTTTGAGCTCGTCGGGGATCGCGCGGGTGACTGTGCCCCGTAACCCGGTGGACGAATTCCGCACCTCGTATACCAGTCCGTTGCTGGCAAAGTCGAAGGCCACTGCCGCGAACCGGATGGGATCTTTATACAGCGCCAGGCCCGCCCTCACTTGCCTCTGAGCTCCCGCCTTTCCCGCGAAATCGACGCGTACCGTCGCCGCCCCGTCGAGGAACCGTTGCCGTCGCCCCAGGAACGTGCTCGTCTCAGCAGGCGAAGAAAGGTCAGTCCGGCTGGGTAGGACGGAGAGCGTCCTGCCCTCGTCGGCATAGCGGTACTTGCTTGCGTCGTGGTCGCGAATGTACAGGTCCTCAACGAAAGGCGGCGGCGCCAGCGACATCCCCTCGGCACCCGCGGCCAGCGACGGCACGGTTTCCCTCGTAAACTTCATCCGCGGCTGGCGTACCGTCGGCCACCCGCCCTCGGGCCAATCGACCGGCGCCAAGAACGATTCGCGGCCGAGTCCATGGGTGCCGTCGACCTGTTTGCGCACCCCCAGTACCGCGGCCCACCACCGGCCCTCCGCATCCTGGAACAGTTCGCCGTGTCCGATGTTCTGGATATACTCGTCCTTCCCGTCGGCTGTCAGGATGGGGTTGTCCCCCCACGTCTCGTAAGGGCCCCATATGTCCCGCGACCGGGCGATGCTGAGCATGTGGTGTTCGAAGGTGCCGCCCTCGGCCGCCATGAGGAAATACCAACCACCGACCTTGTAAATATGCGGACCCTCCGTATCGTACTTGGCATAGCCGGGCCAGATCTCCTTCGTGTCGGAGAGGGGTTTCCCTGTGTCGATGTCGATCTCAAACTGTTTGATGGTGCAAGTGGGCTGACGGTCGCGGCGGATCATCCAGCAGCCTTGGATGTAGGCGCGGTCATCGTCGTCGAAGAAGAGGCTCGTGTCGATGCCATTAAAGTCGAAGTAGACGGGGTCGCTCCATTCGTTGCTCCATATGTCGTTGGTGCGGATGAAGAAGTTTTCGATGGACATGTTGTCCGGATTCGATTCGTCTACAACCACATTGGTGGTGACGATGTAGAAAGTTCCTCTACGATATCGCAGGGTCGGCGCCACGATTCCCATCGATGCTACCATGGAGTAGCCCGTGTCCAACGGCATGCGGAGTGTAGCGGCGCCCCTGAGCTTGAGTTGTGAGTGCCGATTGAGGGCGTTTCCTGTCGACGATCATAGATTAGTCAACAGACGTTCTTGTCTCATCGGCGTGAAGTGCGTCGACAGGGTCAGTTACCAATGTGGCTCCATGTCTTCAAGTCTTTGGACGCATATATGGGCAATCCAGGAAAGACGTGAAACGACGACGTTGCAAGGAAGAAGGTCCCGTCGACGAAAATGACTGAAGGATCGGGGGCGAACCCCGGGACGATGGGATTCACAAATTCAGTGACGGATCCCATATTCAAGCCTTGGTCCTGGATGCGCTCCTCTCCAACAGGGAGCATTTAGTCGGACAGCCGTAAAAGCCAACGTGGGACGGGACGCGGAGCGGTAATAAAGGGCGTCCATCACGAATGAGGCTTGTCTTGGCGGTCGACGGTCAAACTTCCAACAGCCGGCGATGTTCAGCTGAGTATATGTGCGTCACCATATATCTCCGGTTTGCCACTCCAAAAGGAGAAAAAGAAAGGGCCGGAGTCGTATTCTGTAAACCGGCTGCGGGTAACATGGGTGGGAATTCCCCGTTCCCCGTTCAGGGGAAGTTCGAGTCCACGTGGGAGCCGGTGAGCATAAAACTCCGCGGATTAATATTCCGAAGAGAAGGAAAAAAAAAAAAAAAAAAAAAAGGACCGGGCCGGCGACCGGGCCCATGGATTAGATCAATTCATGAGGTCACCGCCCAACTCATCAGAGACCCGGGAATTTAGCTTGGAAATAACGTCCAGTAGATCGTCCAAAATGGCTCTGGCACGGGCAGCAATGGCTTCACTGCTCTTGTGGGCGATTTCGAGCAGATCCATGCCGGCTTGGCGCAATTTCTCGACCTAGACCAAATTAAGACGGTTAGCAAGCGACGCCCCCATCTACCATCTGGACATGGGAAAAAACAAGAGAATGAGCACAGAGGAGAGGAGGGGTAAAGTTGTCGTACGCAAGGCTCGCTGTTCGTATGCAGAGCGTCGAAAGGTACACTTGTCGCGGCAGCCACCATGTCGCTCGCGATTTCGGTCCTGTGAAGCGACAGCATCGACTCATCATTCGTGAAGCCCAGCAAGTGGCAGAGTCCCAGCTGGGCAGCCCGTCGCAAGATCACCAGGCGGAGGCAGTGGAAGGTGACGAGCAGGTTCGCCCTCTGCACCCAAAATCCACGGCGCTGGTACTCCGTCGCCGCGGCGGAGACGGACCCATCCATGTCGTCCGGGTCGGCGACGGTGTGCGAGTCAGGATCGCGCAACCAAGACGGCAGGGCGTCGAGCATTCCGCAGAAGGCCATGTACGACCGCATGACGGAGGACGAGGGGGCGTCTAGGGGGTGGTGTGGATGCATAGGCGCGTCTGCAGCACCCGGGAAGGCCTTGGTGTACATGCGGCCCAGGATGCGCATGTCGATCAGGATATCCGAGCCGGCAGCCCACATCTGGTTGCACATGTAAAACCCGGCGAGAAGCTGGCGCTCGAAAGGCTTGGTGGTGGGGTGAGAGGATCCGTCCAAGAGGTTGGGCTCGTCCGGGCCCTCGAAAGCGAGGGTGATGGGACGGTCCAGACACAACTCTTGGATGGCCGAGGGCATATTGTTCAGGATGGAGGCTGATTTGTCCGAGGCGAAGAGCGTCCAGAAGCAGTTTCGCCGGATTTGCGCCTCGATCGGGTCGACCCCCTGCAGAGAAGACTCGTCGTAGAGACGCATGGCCAGGGTCATGGAGTAGGCGCTATTGAGGAGGTGCATGGACATGCGGGTTTTCCCGATGCAGTGAAAAGTGATGGACTGGAACACGCGGATGATGAGGGAGCTCGAGTTGGGGTGGCTGATGTCGCGGTCCTCGAAATGGGCCAGCATGGCGCGGGAAGCGCTCAAGAAGCACCGGGAGATGGCCGCTTCATCGCACCCCGGAGGGACGATGGACGACATGATGCACTGGGAGGCGCAGAGAGAGGTGAGGAGGGTGAAGGTGCGGAGTTCCTCCCAGGGGGAGGCGTGAGAATGCGCCGACGATGATGGACCGCCATATTGGGAGGAGGACGAGTTCGTCGTAGCGGCGGGGCTCTCGACGGCACTGGAGCTAAATGGGTGGATGAGAAGCGAGACGGACGCTCGTAGGTTACCCACGTGGAAGATGGGTACGATGCCGAAGAGCCGCTCGATATAGCCCTCGACGGCGCGGCAGGCGATGTACTCGACGGAGGCGCCAAAGCGTTCCACCCCGGCGACCAAGGTTTCTTGGATTTCGAGGGGCGAGAGAGGCCGGCTGTCAAAGCAGGGGACGGTCAAGTCTCCGTGGCTTGGGAGACGGCCCTTGGCGCTGGCGCTGGCGCTGGTGCTGGGGGTGATCCAGGGGCTATCGCCAAGGGCATGGACATGGGCATGCGCTTGAGGCGGCGGGGGAGCGGCAGGACGTTGCTGGAAGAGATGATGGCGATGATCGGCCTGGTGCGAGGAAGGCAAGGGTGGGCCGGAATGGAAGACGGCGACAGTTGTGGACCCTGTGGTGGTGGTGGTTGTGGTGGTGGTGGTAGGGGGTGTGGTTAAGAGTGGAGGATGTGCAACAACCGCGACATGAGTAGTGCGACCGTCGGCTGCATGGGGTGACGGCGTGTCGATGTCGATGGAGTCACTCATCGACCGGGCCGACGACGATGGGTAAGGTGCGGCGGCGGTTGGAGTGAACTCGAACTGATCGGCATCGGCCGAGTCGCGACCGGAGCCGGACCTGTTGGCGGAAGAGTCCCGGTCTCCTCCTCGGTCTCGGTCCCGACCGCGGGGCTTGGGGCCTCGTTTTTTCCGCGGCAACTCGTACTTGCAGGGGATCTTGGAGGAGCGACAGCTACCACATTCCGGTGTCTGGGCGTCGCACTTGACCTTGCGTCGTCGACAACTGTCGCAGGCCAAGGTCAGCAACTTGCCGTTGGCGCTGCTGCCACCGTCTCCTCCACCACCTCCCCCTCCTCCGCCGCCACCGGGCATGGACGAGACGGAGAGGTGAGTGTGAGTGGGCAGGCGAGCCGTGTGACGCGGGAAGAGGTGGGTGAGAGTCGGTGTGCGGTGTGTGGTGTGTGGTGTGTCAGTGTGGCGTGTCTCGCTTGTTGGTGGCGCGGTAACACAAGAATCCTGTCAAGGGCCCATGGAACCAATTGTTCCCGAACCGTAAGTCGTCCCGTCTCTGGCCTGCCACATATCAGCTGGCCCTGACTCGCTGCTCATCCCCTTTCTTCAGACGGTTGACCCGTCAGCGACCCTGTCACACGGTACACCCGACACGCGGACAGACAAGCGGTTGGGTCAAATGGGCGGGCAGGGGCGGGAGGCGGCAAGTCCACATAACGTTCCAGGTGTGGTACAAGCGGAGTTTCTCTTTGACATCGGCTTGTTGTTTGTTGTGCATAGGGATTTGGCTGTCGACTCGATGTAACCGAGAGGGGGGACGGACGGTGAACGGATAGTGGATGGTTGGGAGTCGCAGATTAATTGAAGCGGGGACCGGAAGGATTAACCAGTTTTTCCGGATAGGCCGGCGACCACAGGGTAAACCGTGCTCAGGTCAGGGACAACGACGGAATTTCTCCGCGGCGTATCGGGGTTTCTCCGATGCCATCCTACAGTGCGTTGAGCGGGTCGCTTGGTGGTATTCTCATAGTATACACACTGTGTCATGGGCATATCAAAATGCATGTTCACCCCCACCCCCCCCTTATCAGCCCCCTTATCGCTACAAAGGGCCGTTGACGTCTTGGCCGGTCAAAAGTACTTCTTCGTTTTATCTCGGTGAAACTTCCATCACAATTCACATACAGATAGCCAAGGTCCTGAACTCGCCGACAAGGCCCTTGGCCAAGATGACGAAAACACTGTACGACTATCACATGGAACAGATCAGACTGGTTCAGTCTGAGAATCGACCCGATCTACATGATACGGAATGGGGGCCCCTTTTGCAGAGCCCTGTTCTAGGTCGCTCATATGAAGCGAGTCGGTTTCTCCGATCTCGTATGCCTGGAGAAGCGCAGCTCAACACCAGACAATGACGAGGAGATCCCGGCAAAGAACATTTTCCCCTCTCAGATTTACCGGCGGTGTGAGAACTCCGTGCTGTCAGACCATGCCCTTTCCCTTCACATCGGTTGGACGTCGGTTGGTACTCTAGGTCTCGATATACAAGATGTCAAGATCTATCATTCAGTTGCTTCGAGCTAGAGGACTCTTCATGACACCCCATACTCATCGATCACACTTTTCGGCTTCGTATAATTAAGAGTATGCGCGTACTCATAAGGGAGCCCAAAAGCGCTCGGCCCCACGATCTCCAATCCACGCTTGGATGTCCAGACAGGGTGTGGCGCCATGATAACGATGGTTACCTTGACACCATACCTATACTCCTGAACACCGATAGCTTCACCCGACGATGCGTCCAGGAGGATGATCAAATCGGGGACGGTAGCCAGCACCTAGTCCGCCGTTGTCAGCATGCACAATGGAGACCTTGCAAGGAAAAAAAGGGGGTTAGAAGGGGGGACTCACCTTCTCTCCATCAGCTCCTTTACCCACGACTGCCAGATTCTCGTTCATAAACGGCACACGCACCTCAGTCCAATCCTCTCCGTTCTTCTTCCCCCCCAACCCCTCGTCTTCCATCTCGCCCTCGGCCAACCTCTCAACGACCACTTCTCCAAGAGAGTGGCCCGTCTCGGTAATCCTGGTCTCCACGCCTCGAATCTTCCCCGAGAAAACCGTGCGAGCCGACTTGTCACCCCCAGCAGCGTCGATGAGGGCGTCGGCGACTGTACCGAGCGTGGAATCTAGTTGACATCTCCGGACGGCCCGCCCGAGGCGCCATGCGAGGGAGAAACTGTTCGGAATACCGGCTTCGCGCATCTTGCGGCCGGACAGCGGGGTTCCGGAGGCTCCGGCGGCAAAACTAGAGAACGATGGATGGGTCCTGGTTAGAATGAGAGACAATGAAAATGAAACTTGAACGGATAATCAGAGTGGGAAAAGGTCCATGTCATGTTCGGTCGTACCCAAACTCGGCGCAAATTCGACGTATCTCCTTGCCTGCGGCGGTTTCGTCTTCTTGCCCCGCTAGGACGATGGCGTCTCTTCCGTCGCCGCTGCAGATCGCTACGGGGAGGAGTTCGTTTATCGATTCGGCGGACACATATTGTGATACCATCTCGAAGTTGGGGAATGCCCGACCTGTCCATCCGTCCACGTCAGCACCAGTAATCCACAGTATAGGGGGCAGGGGGCAGGGGGCAGGGGGCAGCACTGCGTCACCCCTGAAAGACTATGCAAAGTCAGGAGACTCACCCATCAAATCACCGTCAACAATGGACAACCCACAGTACCGTTGGGCGCCCCAAATCAAGGTTCCCAGACCGTTCATGCCACCGATTTCCGTAGCCAGAATATGGGTATACTCCACCCCTCCCACTTCTTCTCGTAACCTCTGCAAGGCATGAAAGACTGCATTAGAAGCGATCCGTTCAAGTCCGACGGCCGGCGTACCGATGGCTGCCACCGGGGGGAGCACATCATCGTCGCGCAGGTCCTCAGGACGGCATATTGTGATGCGTTCGCCCTGGCGGAGGCATTCGAGAAGGTGAAGATACGAAGCATACGGCGACCCTCCCCCGCCGCACCCTAGTATGTAGCATCCTATTTCGAGGAATTTAAGGTCCGTCGCCGAGAGAACCCATTCTCCCGAGGAGAGCACCTGAGGACGGTACGTCGCCACGTCGATCTGGTCCAGCTGGTCAAGCGGGCGAAGACGACTCAACTGCGCATCGTCGTCCTGGATACAGGTAGCAGGCTCGGGCACCTCCTCGGGAGAGCCTCCAAATTCAAAGGAGATGCCATCCACATTCCGGCCAGACTCAAGCATCCCCTCGTAAACGGTCGCGTGGTCGGCAGGACAAGCGACTTGGACGCGGACGAGTTTCTTGCCGTCGATGTAAGGGACCCATTCGACCGTCTCGCTCAGCACCGTCACTTGGCCCTCCACCCCGCCTTTCGACACCGCGTTCCAGACGGCCTGCTTCTTCACCTGCAAGATGCCCGCTTGTACGTCTTCGGCATCGACCATGGCCTCGGCTGTCCCGTAGATCTTGGCGAGTGCTGCGCCGACGGCGTTGGCGACGCCGGCGTGCGCGGGGCGGATGATGCGGTCGACGCCTTCCCGGCGGGTGGCGGGGGAGAGGAGGATGGCGCCGCCGCCCACGAGGACGACGGTGCATGGATCGGGGGAGAGCTTGACGCTGTCGATCAGGGACTCGATTTTGCGGCGAACGCTGGCTGTCGCGGAAGAGACTACCTCGCGGGGGATGGCAACCAGGGAGGGATTCCCGACGGCGACGGGCGCAATGTCGCCGTCGTGGTCGCCGTCGCCGTCGTTGTCTTCATGTTGTGTCAGGAGGGAAGAGGCGACGGCGATGTCGGTGGCGGTGCGGATGACGCCTCCGAAGCAGAGGGCTCGGGTCATGAGTGCGCTCCCCACGCTGTCCGGGCCGATGGTGACCCGAGGACCTCCTCCTCCCGTCGTAGCGTGGCCGTCTTCCAAGACGCGAACGATAGAACCGCCGCCCAGAGCGACGCTCTCTACCGACGGCATATCCAAATTAACCTTGACGCCGCCCAAGTCGCTATACGTCCTGCTAAGTCGCGGATACCCGTTGGGAAGCAAAGCCCCAGCATCGGAGGTCGTGCCACCCACATCGACCACGATGCACGTCCCCCCACCACATGCACCTTCTCGGGCCGCGAGATCTTCCCGCACGAGGAAAGCGGCGCCGCGCATGGAGTTCGTAGGGCCAGAGGAGAAGATGCGAACAGGGAACGCCACGGCCTCGGAAAACGGGAGCAGGTGGCCCGCATTCGAGGTAAGGTATAACGGGCACCGGAGGCCAATCTGGCGCGTGGCGTGGGTCAAGGCGTGCAGCGTGCGGCGGGCGAAGGGCAAGATGGCGGCGTTGAGGATGGCGGCGTTCTCGCGCGCCAGCAGCCCCGACCCGGCGACGGTGTGCGACAGGACGACGTCGGTGGTCAGCGCGTAGCCCGGGTTGACGCGGCGCAGTTCGGCGAGGAACACGTCGCGTGCGCGGGCTTCCTGGTCGTGGGACCGATCGGCGGGGGATCCCATGCCGACGATGACGACGGAGCGGATGCGGCGGCGGTGGACCTCGCGGGCTTGGTGGCGTAGGGCGGCTTCGTCGAGCGGGGCGATTAGACGGCCGTCGATGTTCACCCCGCCCGGGAGGACGGCGGAGTGGCCTTCGATGATGCGGCGGAGCGGGGTGGGCCAGTCTGCGAACGGCAGGGCGCCGTCGAGGAAGCCGTGGGAGCCGAGGCGGAGCACGGCGACGCGGGACAGGCGGGTGGCATCGCGCTGGAGGATGGCGTTGAGGAAATGGGTCGTGCCGATGGCGAGGGCGCTGATGGCGGATGGGGCTGGGGCGAAGGGCTTGGAGAGGAGGGTGAGAAGAGAGGCCTGCAGGCCCTGGGTGACGTCGGGAGTGGTTGGAGATTTTTGGGACGATAGGACGGCGGATGGCCCGGGAAGGGAGAGGTCGAGAAGGACGGCGTCGGTATTGGTACCTGAGAGGGTTAATATTATGAAGTGAACATTGGAGATTTCGAAGTGGGAGAGAGTGTAGCCTGTGTAGTAGTTGGTGCGCGTTGAAGACGGATGAGCGATGAGATGAGAGGGATAGGGAAGTGTTCGATAGCCAGCTCACTCTACAGCTCCCCCAAAGCTGATACTAAGAGCCCGAGACACGAAAAATCAATCTGACAGTGCATGTGAACAGTACGGACGAAGACTCGAGTTGAGGTTATATCGGCCTGATGATTGATCGCTAGCGGCTCACCTCCAACGTCGACCCCGACGATGAGGGGCCCTTGGGACTTGGCGACCATCACGATGTCCCTTGATTCCCTATGAAAGGAATGGGGAGGAAGAGATGATCTTCCGTCTATCCGAGTTCAGGGCCAAACTCTGCTCGAATGTGATCTGTCGTGTTCGTATTTGTAGTTGAGGATTTCGAGACGATGCCCTGGGATAATGTTGTTTTTTGGGGGAATCGGCAGTCCGCGGCCGTGACACAGGATATTAATGAGATTGGTACTGACCTTCCAGCGTGAATTATGGGTAACCAGGTCCTAGGAATTCGCTGATCAGTCAGACATCCCGCCAAGACGCCGCTGGAAGATCAACTGTCTGGGTGGCCTAGGGTGCATGTGCCCTCTGCTACGACTCTGACCTCGGTTGCATGCATGTGGTTTTCCCAGGAATCCTCCGTAATTAGAGTCTTACACGCCTTGCCGACATTGGACCATTTTTAATCCACCATCGTGCATCCAAGTCGGTCGATTTATTTTTTATTTTTTTATGGTTGTCGAGGTTATCATATTACAGCAAAAGGGGCAGACAAGTGGCTTAAGAGGTAGGATACGATGGAACATGTCACATGCAAGAAATACAGGTGCTTTACTTGCATACGTACACGCAGAGCAATATTAGTCCTTTTGTGAAGTTCTTCTCGATCCAATTCTCGACTTCTTCGGTCCCTTTCCCCCCTCCCCTCCCCCCCCTTTTTTTTTCTTTTTCTTCTCCCGACCCCTCAACCAAGCAGAGTGCCGACCTTGGCCCTTTCCACTGCATCTCGTTATGGATTCCACCATGATCCATTAACAACATCCTCGGGCTCAGTGCTTCAGCACGTCGTACCTGGTCATCAAAATGCCACTGTCCAACTGATCAACCCCCCTCAGCCGAAGCCTCCACGATCGATTCGATTCACCAGGCGACAGCGACGCAATCATTTTAATTCCATCCCCCAAGACAACTGGCATGACAGCAGCCTCGATAGAGTCAACTAGCCCCGCCTCAAGGCAAGCAGCCACAAGCTCCCCACCCCCCATCAGCCAGACATCCTTCCCGTCCTCCTCCTCCCTGAGACGCCTTATAACGTCCAGAAAGTCGTCCCCAACGATAGTGATGTCGCTATTGTCGCCGTCTTGGGGCTTTTCCAGCGTGCGACTGACAACGAAGACGCGTTTCCCCGCCAGCGGATCGTCGCTCGACTGGGCTGCGAAGGAGCGCATGACGTGGTATGTTTTGCGACCCATGACGAAGACGTCGAATTCGGCGTATAACGCCGCAAAGTCGATCCTCTCATCTTCGACGATCCAGGACGCGCTCCCGTCTGGGGAGGCGATGTAGCCGTCGAGCGTCGTCGCTGCGTTGTAGCGCACACGACGGGGCATTTGAGCGGCGGTCTTTCTCCGGTGCGTACTTATCAAGGTACGAATCTTGTAGGATTGTGTTTTGCTGTAGTTGTTGGACAACAAAAAGACGTCGAAATCTCTATGTGAGTGTGTGTATATGAAGTAAACATAAACTTCCGAGAGACATTGAGGGGAAACTCAGCAGGCTTTAAGACAGTTGAGATATCTTCCCGTGTTGCACCCTGCACTGGCATTACCCATGTGTTTATGTTGTACGCAGTACGTCGCTTGGTCGGCCTTCAATTAATCCGAGAGTGAGTCAGACCGAAAAAGGGTCCTTGTCTTTTTTTCGCCGCTGATTTCGCGGGGTTTGAGTTGCGTTTCGGTGAGCAAATGTCACCGCGATAGCTTCATGTTCACTTCTCACCGACATTGACCGATTCATCGTCCACATGGCGGCCAACCTTGCCCTCCCTGAATACCTGGGTTTCCCTTGTAAGTTGAGTGTTGCATGCATGCACCGGTCCGAAAATTTTGTTTTTAATCAAATCCAGGGTAATTTTGTTCCACATTGTCACAGCGGTTACTTCCGGTAGGGGTCGTCTGAGCAATAATAGCCGCCCCACGCGACAAACCCAGACGCACCCCAATGCACCCCAGTACTCCCTATGCAACCTACTATTAAGTGTGGCTGCTGGCGCTATTGCCCAGGCGGCAGGGGAGGGCGAGAAAAGAAACGGAAGAAGTTAAGAGGAAACAAAACACAAATTAGGTGTGAATCCGGGAGATGTTGGGAATACCAGAATTGACAGCGTAATGTCGACGAAATTTGGCGAGACGAAACTCGGAGTCTCGGGCCTCCAAACCTCGGGAAGAAAAGAAAAAAAAAAAAAAAAAAAAGAGGTCGAAAACTGTAGGTAATTTCTGTAAAGGCCTGGAATCGGGATGGACCGCCAAGCAACTCGACTGAACGCGCCACTCAGGCGATGCTGCCGGGATAGTATGCTTTGGTGTTTTCGTGTTCCCACCCATTCATCCAAATCCTCTTAGCGCCGTGGGTACGCTGTGGATCGAGTGACGAGGGAGTCGTTTGGCGGCACGGGCATACCTAGGTAGGTAGGTAACGCGTTGTCGGGTTTGAGTGATGCACCATAGAAGCTAGGATGGGGCCGCTGGGATTGCATAACGGCATAGCAAAGAGATCGCCTCGTGGATGCCGGCAAGTCGCGGGCAATAACGCAAGGTTAACTCACGCCATACCCGGCATCGGCTCTCGGACGGCGGGCGACGGACATATAAGGACAAGGGAAGTTTTTGTGAATGGGAGTGTTGTTCGATTATTTCACTCTGCCATCATGGACTATTAATACCGGGTGCATCTAATCCAGCATCAAGTCATAACGGATCACAGATAAAAAAATAAAAACATAAATAAAGATCAAACGAGCCTCGCATCTTCTCTTCATGTTCGAAGATTAAAGTCATACAAGCCATGTGACGGTGACACGAGGCCTGCAGAATTTATCACGGATAGCACCGTGCGTCCGAGTCCTACCGCCAGTCGAGCTTCAGCTGGCCCAAGCTCTAAGTAAAGGAAGATATGTTGTAGGTAGGTAATTGCTTGGGGCACTCACGGTTGCATTTAACAGTAGCAGCAGCTAGTTGTGCATGCAGTAGCACCAATGACATGACCGCGGGCTGGGCTGGGCTCGGCTCAGTGGTGCCCGAGGGAACTTGCCGTGATGACACGCACAGAGGTGGAGGCGGTCGAGATTTTTTTTTTTCCTTTTTTCTTCTGCCCTTTTTCTTCTTCTTTCTTTTAGGGCACACGACGACGAATTATGGCAGGCCAAGGCGGGTTTCATCACACAATGCAGACCAAGGTGCAGGTTTAGCCGTGCGAGGCCCCGATTTCTTCTCTCCTCAAAACCCGTCCCCTGTCGCTCGGTCGCCTACCCCACTCGGCCCCACTCGACCCCCATCCGCCCCGCCTACCGAGCTATGTCATTGGATACTGAAGTGAAAGAATGGATCTTATCAGATCAAATCTGCAATCTGATCATCTGATAAAACCCAATGGTTTGCTGTAGCGGGCATTGGCTCTGCCAGTGTACCAGGGTAGGCCCGGCTCGACTAGGCGACATCGGCGCGGATTTTTCCCTCACAGTCGTATGCCATTGCAAAAACTTATTGGTTTGGCCGGCGGAAAATATATGGAAACCGTACCCTTGGTACGTTGTACTATGCGGTATATATCTGGTGAAGATGCTTCCCGAGGTCATCGGGCGCCGATCTTGGCCTTTTTTCCCTTCTTCTTTTCGTGTCCCGAGATCTTCTTAAACTCGTCGTCCCCTCTCTGACCACTCTTCCCTTCTCTCCTTTTCGCACCCTTTTGTCACCCTCAACTCGGTCTGCCAGGAGATCATTTGTGTCACCATCTACCTAGGTCACCGGCTTGCGCTTCCATCATGACGCTCCAACACCCTGGCCATCTAGTGCCGGCGGCCAGGTCGCAAGACAATGTGCACCTCGCCGGCTCGTCAACGACGCCAATTGACTTCGACCCTGAGAAGAACAACTCACAGATCAACTCATCGGAGGCTATCCATGTAGTCGAAAACGATGCGGGCCAAGAAGCTGATGGCAACTCATTCAAGCAGGAGGGTGTGAAGAAGGTCGAGGCTGTCACACAGATTTGGAACAAGAAGACTCTGTTCCTCATGTTTGTCCTGTGAGTAAATCTCCCAAACCAACCATTGCAATTGGCATTCGTCCGGCTTGGAGACCCTCGACCGCAAGAAGGGGGGGAATCAGGAGGAAAAACAGGGGAAACCCGAGTCCCCGACGATAAAGCAACACACTCCGTCAAACCGTCTTCGCTAACAGATCCCTCGCCCCCCCAACCCAGATTCTACATCGTCGCCGTCGTCGACATGCTCGTCGTAAGCACCCAAGCCAACCTCGACGCCTACGTCACCTCCGAATTCGCCCGCCACGGCCTCATCGGCACCATCAGCATCGTCTCCTCCCTGCTCGGCGGCTGCTCGGCCCTCACCATCTCCAAAATCATCGACGTCTGGGGCCGCATCGAAGGCTTCCTGTGCATGATGGGCCTCGTCGCCATCGGCATGCTCATGAAGGCCCTCTGCCGCAACGTCGAGACCTACGCCGCCGCCCACACCTTCTACTGGGTCGGCCATCTCGGCCTGCTGTACGTCATCGACGTCATGCTCGCCGACATGACCAGCCTGCGCAACCGCATGCTCATCCTCACCCTCAACGGCACCCCCACCATCGCTTCCAGCTTTGCCGGCCCCCGCATTGCTCAGCTGTTCTACGAAGAGTCGCACTTCCGCTGGGCTTTCGGCGCTTTCGGCATCATCCTCGTCGGCGTGTGCTTGCCTGCTGCCCTGGTCATGTTCTTTTACCAGCGCAAGGCCTACCAGATGGGGGCTATCCAGAAGAAGACCTCCGACCGCAAGTGGTGGCAGTCGATCTACTACTATGTCTTGCAGTTTGACGGTATGCATTCCCTCGTCGTTCCTCCTTTGTTTAACAACGTCCGAGCTAACTGTTACACTGTTACACCTTAGTTCTCGGCATCATTCTCATCACCGCCGGTTTCGCCCTCATTCTCCTCCCATTTAGTCTTGCCCCTCGTCAGACCAGGGGGTGGGCTGATCCCGGCATGATCGTCATGATCGTCATGGGCGTTGTGTCGCTTGTCCTCTTCGTCGTCTGGGAGAGGTGGCTTGCTCCCGTCCAGTTCATGCCGTTCGAGTACTTGAAGGACCGGACCATCATTGGCGCCTGTCTCGTCTACGGCCTCATGTTTATTTCCATCTTGTGAGTTGAGCGCGACACACCCACCACTGATGCGGTTTCCCTTTCCTCAACTTTGTCTTCTATCATCATTGCGGAAGTCTATCACACGAACCAATACTAACTAACCATCTTACCAGTATCTGGGATACGTACTACTTCTCGTATCTCCAAGTCGTTCACAGACAATCCATCACCCATGCCGGCTACATCCTCAACAGCTTCTCCCTCATGTCCTCCTTCATCAGCCCCTTCATTGGTGTGTAAGTAGACAGTCGTTCACCCGAACATCCGTGTAAATGAAGCTAACACCGTCCTCCAGTCTGATCAGCTACACCGGTGACTACAAGTGGACCGGCCTAGCCGGCGTCCCCTTCATGGCCCTCGGAACCGGCCTCCTGGTGTACTTCCGCCAGCCCCACAACCACGTCGGTCTCCTAGTCATGTGCCAGCTCCTGAACGGCATCGGCTCCGCCCTCTTCGCCACCTGCGCCCAGCTCGGCGTCATGGCCGCCGTGCCTCACCAGCAGATCGCCACCGCCATCGCCCTCTGGGGTATGTTCGGCGGCATCGGCGCCTCCATCGGCGTAGCCATTGCCGGCGCGCTCTGGAACAACATCATCCCCCAGAGGCTCTACGAGCTGCTCCCCGACAGCGCCAAGGGCCAGTTCGCGGAGATTTATGGCGACATGGTCCTGCAGATGTCGTTCCCTGACGGGGACCCCATCCGGGAGGCTATTGTCGGGGCTTACGCCGATGTGCAGAGGAGGATGGCGATTGCCGGTGCTTGCTTCATGCCTGCCCTCTTTGTCTGCGTCTTCATCTGGCGGAATGTGAACGTGAAGAAGTTGGAGAGGGAGAGGGGGACCCAGACCAAGGGAACCATCTTTTAATTTGCTCGACGGGGCGTCTGATCCTTCTGGTCAGCCGCTGATGTGCCTGGTGCGATATACCCAAAAGGGGGCTTGTATTCAGGGGGGTTACCTAATGTCTGTTCGTGTTACTCTGGGTTGTTGAAACATGACCGCTAGCCAGGTCTATAGTAGGCCACATAATGACAATGAACTTCCACGTGGGAACGTGTACTAATGGTTGTTGTCTGACTCTTGAACGTTGCTAGGATTCTTCGGTGACCCTTGAGTTAGAACACAGGGATGGAGAGGGTCTTCCGGGGAAGTTTGGAACAAACCGTACATGCAGGTATCAAATATGGTCAATTTCAAAGTGTGATATTACCTGATTAACACGTGTGCCACGGTCAGCGAAAGAAGAATAAGCACTGATTTTTACCATTCAAGGGAGTGACGGGATATGGGGTGCCCCGAGACGAAGCACAGGGGAAGTCGGATTCTTGATCCCGTAGGGGAGGCAGGGATCGGTAGGCATAGCGAGGTTTAGTCGGCATAATCAAACAGGCTGTATTCTTTCTTGTCCTTTTCTCTCTCTTAAGTATTGATTTCTAGCTTTGACATAGTCGACCTAGTGCTTGAAATCCCATGTATGCACCGGTGCGGCAGCGCCCTCCCTATGCCCCGACTTGTCCTGGGCATTTCGTTCTATGGCTCAACATCTTCAGACTCCAACTATTTGATTAGCCATGTAATCCTTCTGTCCACCCTACTCAACCATCAGAGATATCACTTCCATGCCCAAACGCGGGATGTGAGAATGTGGCTGTGATTTGTCTTGACATTGTAAGCCATTTGAACCTTCAACTTCGAGAAGAAATCCTACCGTTGCCTCCACCCCGAGTAAGACTTGGCGTAGTATTTCGTCTGACATGCAGATGCAGTTCAAAGAATACTTTGAGGCCAAGCAAAATCTCTCGCCTGAGTCGCCTTTGAGCCCACCTCTTGTTTGCACCAATCACGCATACAGCGTCGGGGTTTCCCAGAACAAGCAGACAACGACTTTTCAAGTGATCAAGTTAACTCTCAGTAAGCCCAGCCCTAACATCAAATACGATATCGCAGTGGGTGTGCTCATGTTTAGTCAGACCGCTTCGCTGCGGCAGGGATGTGCTTGCAGCTTCTCGTGGGCATGATAAATCTTCTTCATGAGAGGGTCGTTGGGGTAGCTGGTGAGTACTGACCAGTGACACGCTTCCCGTAGCCACCCCGCAGAGCTTAGCAGTCAGAACTTAGCACGGCCCGCAGCCTGCGGGGGCGGCCCGCAGCCAGAACCGGTGAGCATCAGCGTCTAGCTCATTCAGGTCCTGGACCCGGGAGTTGCGTGGGTAAGGCGGGTAACGTCTTACATTTTCTGCAGGGGGCATACTCACCAGGGGTCTTTTGTACGAACATGAAGACTTTCAACTTTACTCTAATGAAGGAGCCCGCACCCGAGGCATCCTCTGCAAATTACAACTCGGGCCCCGAAGGAGCCAGATTTCAAATTTGAGCTGTTGCCGCTTCACTCGCCGTTACTAAGGCTGTTCCTGGGGGGTTTTTTTTGCCTTCGCTTATTGTTATGCTTAAGTTCAGCGGGCAGTACCGTAGTCCTGAGTCCTGACTCCTACCCGATCGAGGTCAACCCGTACCGCCGGAGCGGTCTTCGTATAGGGCTCAGGGGCGCATGCTGCCCAGGACGTGGAGTCTTGGTAATGCGTGAAGCGTGAATAGGGCCACCGCGGCATTGCTTCTATGCGTGGAGAACCCAGTTACCCACTTACATTGGCATGCTGCAGGAGATCCGGGTCCTTGCTGCTAGCTTTCAGAATTCCGCCGCTTTAGTGAGTCGGTCTCCCGAACAAGCGTAGCCCGCATAGCCTCCAGTCGTACGTTGATGCATGTCAGATCAGATGACAATATAGGAGCCCCCTGTTTAGTAGTATCTGCTTCGCCTGCTCAGTAATATCGTACACATCCACCTCTGCCTCGGCTTTATTGGGAGTTAAGCATCACCACGTTCACCATTCGAACTTCACTTGCGTTAACATGGTTGTGGTGCCCTCAACTGGCTCAACCCTTGGACCCTTGGTCTCACATAAGCCATTCCTCCGTGCCTGTTACCTGCCCTTTCTGGTGAGAAATTCACCCTGCTGAGCTGCAGGAAAATGCACGTGGACACGATGGCCGAGATAGGCTTGTTACTGGGTGTCTGTTGAAGAGTGGTGAGCCGTGGGTTCAGCCGTGACCTCATCTCTCTTTGCACATGGACCGAGTATCCACGATCGAGACGTTTGGTGATACAGACTCTTCTTGAGTCACTTGACCTGAGACAATTTCAACTATAAAAGGAAGGGATCATCGTCTTGTTTTCGTTGAATCCTAACTCCCAGCCTCCATCACAACACAGCACTCCGTCTTCAAAGGGTCTTACTCAGTCTTCTTCAGCTTTTACACTCTCCATTCAGCTTTAAGCTCTTAAGTACAGACAAAATGTACTTCTCCTCCGCTCTCGTCGCCAGCCTCGGCCTCCTGGGCATGACTCAAGCCGGCCCCGTCGCTCCCCTCGCCGCCCGCGACGTGGTCAGCTTCACCGTCGAGAAGACTGCCTCTGGCGAGATTGAGTCCTTCGCCAACGCCACTGCCCTCGGCGTCGACATCTTCGGCGACATCCCCGACGACGGCGTCCGCGAGGGCGACCACGTTACCGCCGAGCCCGGAACCAAGGCCTGGGCTTGGATCCGTGCCCAAATCGACATCGACTGGGACACCGTCCCCACCGAGCAGCTTGAGAAGCGCCAGGGCTGGGCCAACATTGGTATTGGCATGTGGGCCCAGGACAACTGTAAGTGAACAAATCCTGTCCCAGCCTAATTCATCATATCCTCTTCGTTCAAGAACACTTTTTGGCAGAACAACATTCACTTACACGAGACATAGGCCAGGGTCACGCGGCCTACTGGGATAATGTCCAATATAACGTGCACCATTACGACACCATCAACTACTTCTCCATCGGCATTCGCCACCGAGGTCTCCGCAGCGGTGAGCAGCTCGATGTTAGCCGCCTGAGTGGCAGCGACTGGTGCGGCCACTATGTAAATACCATTGCCTCTCCCTCTGGCAGTAAGTCTTACCTCAACTTCCACCCATCTTTTTTATGACCTTGGCTAATCATGTGGTTTGCAGCCGGATGCGGTCATGTCGGTCCCATCAACTGCTTCCGCCTGTGGCTCAACTAAGTTGTTAAGGAATGGGGGAGCACTGAGCACCTGGTGAGTGGTGTCGGTGCCGAAAGTGAACTTGGAATCTCGAGTCTCGCGGTGGAGGTGGAGGGTGAGGGTTTTGCACAGCCCAGAGAGCCACGGGACTCAGCTATAAGTACATGGGGACTGGTGGTGTGGTCTCTACCTGCAATCGTGATTTCTTGTCACTCATTCAATTCCGCACGATTCTGCCTTCCGAGCTCAGTACACATAGTATAGCCCTCAATTTCGAATGCTGATCAGCTTCTACAATGGTTGCAGTGTGTCGTTCTTGGTTTCGTGGTGGTGGTGGCTTGGGCTGTGTTAAGGCTCCATAGAAACGGAATTATTAAAATGATCATTGATGTGATTAGACCTAGACCGTCAGTAGTGGTGTTATTCATAACTCTTGGCTGGGTGAGACCCATTGCGTGATGCTGTTTCGCTATAGGTACCTTCACGTTTGCCATTGAAAGTTTCAAGGAATGCCCCCTGTGTCGTTGCCCCCCGGACCTCGGTGCTTCGGCGACACTCGGCCCCACAAGGACCGGCCCGTCATATACCCCACACGCCGACCCCGGAAGACGGCCCTAATTCCACACGTGTGTCCCCCGAGGGTTTCCAAAAGAAGGCTTCAGCGTCAGCATTGTATCATACACTCCAGAGTCAATTCAAGTAGACAGGACAGGAACCCACAACTCCGGCATTCTTGAAGACAACGCATCATGGACTTTAAAATGACCCCCGAGTGACCGAGTCGCGAGGTAACCGACGTTTCTTCTTCATCTTGCCTCATATTAAACTATTCACATACTCTTCCCTTGTTACCCTGTTAACATGTCCCCGCCTACCTGCGACTTTCACCAGTTGCGAGACTCGATCGAGGACATCTGGGGTCCTCGGACTCCGTAATTAACCAGTCCGACATCTGTCTCGTCAACTGGCCGATGATCGACTACTTCGAGAACCCCATCATCGATGTTGCGTGCTGCCCGTTCCAAATCCCGCTGGGTGCTTTGATTCCGCGGGACCGACCTACCTATGCCCACGACGTCCGGTATGAAGACCTGCAACATTCACGTCACGACGACAAGGACTAACAAACAGAGGAATTCAAGTCGTTTATTTAGATCCCCAATCATAGGCTAACCCAAGATTTAGTCCAAGTCGGGGAATCATATCATGTATCATTTGATGCTATTGACATATTTGGAGGTCCTTGCTCTCGGTGTACCAGCCATCAGCCTCAGCACCACCGTTGCGGAAGTAACCAAGAGCCTCCTCCTCACCACGGAGAACCCAGCGGAAGAAGTGCTGCGCAGCCCTGCCGAAGATTCCGCCGCGGGGTTCGTGGTAGGTGCCGCCGTGGCCAACATCAACGTTACCCACCCAAGTCGGGACACCAGGTCTGACAGCACGGAAGTCACGCATGCCCTGCAAGTCATCGATTAGCCCATTGCCTTTTCTCCACAGCCGCCAAGTAGTTCAAACAAAGCAAAGGGCAAACTTACGTTCTCGTAGGCGATGTCGCTCGGCCCACCAAGGAAGAAGAAGATGGGAACACTGATAGCTCCCAAAGTGTTATCAGTTTGGCCGGGATCCAGGGTGCCCGAGTTGAAGATGCCGAACGCAGTGACGCGGGGGTCCTGGTTCTGGACATAGGCCTCGGTCCCGCCGCAGCTCATCCCCGCCGCGGCGATCTGCGAGGCGTCGAGGTTGGCCCAGTCGCCCTGGCCGGCGTTCTGGTGCGCCCAGTCGATGGCCGCGCGCATCATCTCGGGGGAGGTGCCGCCCTGGCCGCCCGGGGTGCCCGATGCGAGGACGAGGATGCCCCAGGCGGCGAGCTCCTCAAGGAAGGGGCCGTGGCCGCCCACGGGGTCGGCGCTGCAGGCGCCGTTACCCCAGACGACGACGGGGATACTGTCGAAGGCGTTCATGTCCTGGGGGCGGAAGATGGTGTGGCCCGGAAGAGACTGGTCCACGTAGTAGGTCTGTGTTGTACCCTTTGGTCAGCTGTTTTGTCTTGCATATTGCCATGATCGTGCTATCACGAGCGGAGAGAAAAGGTTCGAACGCACCGTGGGGACTTGGGCCATAACGGCCTGGCTCAGGGCCAGAGCCGGGGCAAGCGCAAATGAGGATCGCATCTTGGAGGATTTCGTTGTGAGAATGATGCCCGGACTGAGTTCAAGGCGTACTGTACTGTTGCTGTGGGTGACTTTAAATGTTCAGATCTGCTTGCTGTTTGCAACGGAGATATCACATCCTCTTTAATAGACTCTCAGGGACAGGCCTTGGTCTATTAATACGCCGGAGCTCTTGCCAACCCCAGGTCCATTCCCATTCCAAGTTCAGATTTGCCGAACGTTAAGCTTTTGCCCTGCTGATCTTGATACAGATCCCCGTTTACACTCTTTACACTCACAGTTAAGATCAGCGAAGTTGACCAGAAATATATGAGATCTCTGGACATGCGCTCCAATAGTTAATTTACCGCGAGTCACTAACCCCACGATCACATCTCATATAAATTAAATCGTCTTTCTCTAAACTACGGCGACCCAATAGCGGGTATTAGGTGGACATTTGCTGTTACGTATTATCTTGGGGGGGGGGGGGTTCTTGGTTGCTTTCTTTAATTGTAGAACATAGTAAGTAGTTGAGCGTACACTATTGCCTCTACCGAGGCATTATCTCAGTAGAGGCTGAGTACCTACGGGTAAATATGTATATCGACAGCCAAGTTAGGGAACTGTGACGTCATGGTCGCCCATGTGCCGGGCGGGGTAATACGGGGTAATACGGGGTTCACTAGCGCTTCGGCTTTTTTAGATGCGGGGCTCCCGATGATGATCGGTGACCTATCGGTCCTCGCAGTACACGTGGAGTAGAAGCCGGTTCCGAGTCCAAGAAGGAAAAACATCTACATTGCTACCCATCACCATCCCCTTTCTGTCCCTCCCTTTTTCCTTTGCTGTCTCCTATCGATGGAAGGTTCTCTCCACTCCGTTCAAGCTAAGCTGCAGATGTCTGCTCGAAGATTTAACCACGGCCCACGCGGATCTGGGTTAATTGACCGGCAAAATGCCCGCTCTCCGTTGCTGGCAGCAATGATATGATGTCGCCACTCGCTTTCCAGAACAAGCATCGCTTGCGAATGAACGGTTGCTCCAAGGCTCCAATTTCCACCGCGGTTCGTTTGAAACGACGACGGCCGGGTTACCATTTGCCGGTTTTCGCATTTTTGCCTTCAGTCTCGACTAACTTGGGCAATGCGTAGGTGTCAAGTCTTTCCTCTATTTGTTTTCTGTCGGAGTCTGATAAAATAAAGTATTTGCGACGTTCTGCGCTACTATGCTACTGAGGAGGTGAACTGTACCACGGGGGAGAGCAGAGGACGCAGGGGGCCGTGAGCGAGCCTTGGCCCTCGTTCCAAGCACGATCAAGCAACGAAGTCCAACACAGCCAAACACACCATACCTGCACCTAGGACAATATAATCACCTAGGCAAAATAGGCCATTTCCTTGCCCATCAAAACGGGGAGGGTGAAATTACGTCCCAAAGAAATCGGGCTGAGGGGTTGCTAAATATCATATGACTAGCGACGGGATCGTATGTACAATGTTCTGTCCGATCAAATTGCTTTCAGCGCGAACAAATTAAGCAAGTAATACCCAAAATACTGCCGCCGACGCAGATCAGGGATGCTGTGCGACTGGCCGCTTACTGATGTGCTTACATTTTTCAGGCAGCTGCTCACCCCCGAAAAAAAGAGAGGCATATAGAAAATGCAGGATTCTACGTAGAAATTCAGGAACCTTCAAGAAGAAGGGAGTAACCTCTTCATGACTGCATCCATTGAATACGATGGCCGCACTGAGACGTATAATACTTGAAATAATAAAACACAGCCCATGAGATTGGGAACCAGGAGACTTAATTCATGAAACCCACGATATTCATTTTGTCTTGCACAGCATCGAAACAAGAATCTGCTCGTCAATAACTCCACTGGAGCCAAAGCAAATATACGACCTATTCGCCCCATTTGCTAAACATTGAGCACATGCAATTACAAACGTTCCCCTCTCTTCCTCGACACATAGATTAATCTTCACCAACGGATTTAAGTCCTTTCCGTCGCGCCCATCAACACTATGGTCTTCAGTAGCATGATCTTCGCCGCGCGAAGAGCCGGCATCACGCACGAAGAATTCAAGAAGCGCTACGAACAGCATATGCGCATGGTGGAGGAGATTTGTGGCGACGCAATGCCGCTCTCTCACACGAGGTGGTACCTGAAACACGAAGGAGCCGACGATAAGCCAGTACTGCTGGCGGGCAAGGCCGACGAAATGCGTTATGATGCGATCGTGCAGCTCGTGTTTGAAGACGAGGCCGCGTATCGCAGGTTCTACAGCGCTTTATTAACAGAGGAAGCCAATGCCAGAATTGAGGCAGACGAAGCCGGATTCTGGGACCGGGAGAAAATGCAAGTGGCCGTTATCGGGGATGTTAAGGAAACGAAGAAATAAGGGATGAACAGTGAACTGGGTTGTGTTCCTCGGCGGGTGTGAGAGGGGAAGAGAGGGGAGTATTCGCATTGACAGGCATAGGACATGAACTGCGGTAACAGACAAACTGGCAGACTACGATGCTACCCCCGGGATAATAATCCAGACGATAATAAAGTCTGGCTTTGCATCCAACTTCGTCTTACAAGAGACATGCTCGCCTAGCGAAGCGTATCTCCGGGCCATCTGGTATAAAGTGCTACCAGTTGTCATTTAGCCCCTCCAAATGGCACGTGAGTTACCCCGCACCGCACCCCACATTGCCGTTCCATTTGACCCTGATTTGACCCCGCTATTGGCCTTTTACCGGTTTCTCCGCACCATTCAGGTCAAGCGGCAAGGCGAATCAAATTCTTCCCCTCCCTTTCATCCTCCAGTCTCCTCCCGAGTTCCCCTTCCCCTTCTCTCGAGGATTCCGCCGAGGTTTGCTGGGTATCCATTCTCGCACCTTCCCCCGATCCCTTACAGAACATCGACCCTACCTATGGATTGTCGATGAGACGACATGGCTCAATCAGGGTCGTCCGGTGCAGATGGCCTGGAACCCATGTCCCGTCCCCACAGCTTAAGGACTCGTGCCAGTCGCGCACCCCGTGTTCGAGCCTGTACGATTTCCCCCCCCCCTTTGCTGTCAAAGACTCTCTGTTGGTATCTTTAACGTCCTAACTGAAAGGTTATCATCTAGGCGCAGAATGCAGGAGACACAAGATCAGGTGCGAGGTGAGACGTGGAGAGCTGGCCTGTGCCCGGTGTCTCCGTACCGGCCTCGAATGTGTGCCTCATGACCCTTCCCAAAAACTGCAAGAGGAAGATGCGGCGTACGTCTCAATCTGAACCCAGCAAGTCATGAGCTTGTTCCAACTTCCCTCACCCTTACTAACATTCCATGCCTATTCAATTCTAGATGGAAAGCTCAAGCAACAGCCCAGATCCATCAACTGCAGTCTGCTGTCAAAGCACTCCTTCAGCGGGATCACCTCCCAGATCTGAACAATTTTCCCGAGAATGTGTCTGCTTCTGTCTCCGTTAGTCCCGCGGACTCCGCCCTAAAGAACATGTCGACAACGGAATCCGTCATAGCCCCGATCGATGCGAGAGATGACGACTCGTCCGACCGCCAGAATGACGACGACCCCGGTCTCGTGCAAGCACCCATGAGTAACCTATACGAGCTTACGAAAGCCTCGAACCCCAGCCATCAGGCCAGCGTTCTGGCGCGACAGCAGACGAATCCCATCGAAGAAGACTTGATAGCAAGGGGCATCGTGTCTCTTTCCGAGGCCGAGAAGCTCTTCGCGAGGTTCATGAAGAACCACAATCCCCTCCTATGGGGCGGCATCATCCTCCCGCACCGGACCTTCCACGAGGTCCGCCGAGTCTCCATGCTGCTATCGACAGCCGTCATGACCATAGCCGCCCTCCACACCGCCGGGTGCGCCGACACGCTACAACGATGCTACGACGCTTTCGTATCCCTTGTCAGCAGCTCGTGCCTATCAAGGAACCATAACCTGGACGACGTCCGCGCCCTGTGCCTCGGCGCCTTCTACCTCCCCAACCTCAGCTGGCGGATATCAGGCCAAGCCGTCCGCATGGCCGCCGAGATGAACGTCCACCACTCCTTCCAGAAGCTCCTCGGCGGCGACGTCCGCCACGCCGAGCGCGTGAGGCTGTGGTACGCCCTCTACGTGTGCGACCGGCACTTCAGCATCGCCTACGGTCGACCCTCGTCCATGTGCGACGACGCCGCAGTGCGCGGTGTCGAGCGCTTCATCGAGCTGAATCCGGCCCTCGTCCCGGGCGACATCCGCATATCGGCCCAGGTCGCCCTCTTCAAGATCCTCACCGACGCCCACCAGGAGTTTGGCAGTGACCAGACCCAGCCCCTGACCGAGCAGGACCTCGACAAGCTGCGCGGCTTCAATATCGCCATCGAGCAGTGGCGGCTCTTCTGGCAGCCCCGCTCCGCCGATATGACGGGTATCGGGACGTACCCTTCCAAGGGAGTAGTGCTCTATTACCATTTCGCCCGCTTCCAACTTAACTCCCTCGCCCTGCGCGGCCTCCAGTGGCCCAGTAGCAGCGGCAGCAGCAGCAGCAGCAGCAGCGACGAAAAACAACAACAAAATCACCACCCGGAGCCGCCGCCGGCCGTGTGGCTGAACCGTCGCGAGGCCGCCATGGCTGCCATATCTGCCGCGACGAGCACCCTCGTCACCATCGTTGCCGAGGAGGACATTCGCCGCGCCCTCACCGGCGTGCCCCTCTTCACGCATGCCCAAGTGGCATTCTGCGCGACGTTTCTGCTCAAGATCGCGGCGATATGGGCGCGCGGCGGTGAGGATAGCCTGTCGCAGGTATTAGGTCTGGGATTCAACCTGGCTGAAGTGCTCTCGCTCACGCGCCGGTCCGCCGAGGTCCTCTCCGAAGTGTCGGAGCAGGTCAGCGAGAAGCACCTTACCAGGATCGTGGTGGCGGGGATTCAGGAGATGATGCATCGCGTCAAGTTGCCTGAAGCTGAAGGACACGATGGTGTTGCTTCGGGTGCTGGTACGGCTTCTGCCGCAAAGTCCAATGGTGAGCATCCCGCGCTTGGGCGTCCGCCGGCCGGTACGGATCTCAGGAACACGGGTGCCGCGGCGGATTTTGCCATGGAGCAGATGGGCGATGGTGCCCAGGACATGATGTACAGTATGGACTTGGACAGTCTGGTGGGGTTACTGGAGTACGGATCGGATCAGTTCTTGGATACCAATGATTTTGGGACTGGGTACTGGGGCCCGCCGGTTTAAGGGCGCACATATCAAGTGCTGGCTAATATACTGTCACTTTCGAGGTTGAGGACTCCGAGGACCCGGATCTCGGGTGCAGCTGCAGGTAAATGTGCAGATCAGGGAAGCTACCGGCGCACCGCTCCCCGCTCCCCGCTTCCCGCTTGACAGCACGTGGACAATGCCGTCGAAGTGATCCAGAAAATCAAAGGTAAGGACCTCATCAAGACCACGTGTAACTCCACGATTCCTATTCCTTGCTGCGTGGGGGTTGTCAGCTGAATTGTCACCTGATAAATGTCCCGTCATTGGTGGATAATCGCCAATGTTCCTCGGTAAAGCCGCCGGTCGGCCGATTTACCGACCCCACCTTCGGCGATAACCCCGAACATCCCCGCACCAGTACCCGCTTATGCGGGGAAATGCGGAGAGAACCTGTGCCCCGCCACGCCGACATAAATTATAATGTTGGCACTTTCAGGTGAGGGTCATTAATTGTCCCAATTGCACTTATGCCTTGCCCAGGACCTTGTCTTTCTTTATTTCCCTCTATGTTGTATTAAGAATATTACCCAGAATATCCCTTACCAGCAACCCTTTCATCGTGATACCCCTTGCTCTCTGTTGTCTCACCTTATTCGCCAAAGTCGAAAGCTCCAGTCCTCAACTTATCCAGTCGACTAAACTCAACCCCCCATTCCCAGACCGCAGCACATTCACCATGAAAGTCCTCATTACCGGTGCTGCTGGCTTCGTTGGCCAGCTCCTGGCCAGGACACTTCTCAACGATGACGAGGGCAAATATGACCTCATCCTAACCGACATCATCGAACCCCCCATTCCCTCAGACGCCAAGTTCGCTAGCCAGGCCAAGGCCATCAAGGCCGACCTCCTCACCGACTCGGCCAAGGTCGTCGCGAAGGACCTCGATGCCGTCTTCATCTTTCACGGGATCATGTCGTCAGGTTCTGAAGCCGATTTTGAGCTGGGTAAGTAGTTCTTTCACCTCCCATTATCATAGCAATGAGCCGAACTCACACTTTTGGATTCGCATCACAGGCATGAAGGTCAACTTCGACTCCTCCCGCGCCCTCCTCGACAACCTCCGCACCACATGCCCTGGCATCCGGGTCGTCTACACCTCCAGCCAGGCCGTCTACGGCGGCGACGTACCCAAGCCCGTCGTCGAGACCACGCGCCCGACCCCGCAGAGCTCGTACGGCTGCGAGAAGCTCATGATCGAATACCTCCTCAACGACTTCCACCGCCGGGGCTTCCTCGACGCCGTCATCTGCCGCCTGCCCACCATCTCCGTGCGGCCGGGGAAACCCACCGCCGCCGCCTCGTCCTTCCTGTCCGGCATGATCCGCGAGCCCATGCAGGGCCTGCCCTGCGTCATTCCCATCCAGAACCGCTCGTGGGCGCACACCCTCTCCTCCCCGCGCGTTCTCGTCGGGAATCTCATCCACGCCCTCGGTCTGCGGAGGGATGCCCTCCCCGATTACGATCGTGTCCTCAACTTGCCTGGGATCCGCGTTACTGTGCAGGATATGATGGACGCGCTTGCTCGGGTTGGCGGGCAGGACAAGCTGCAGTACCTCTCTGAGGAGGAGGAGGAGAAGACGAAGGCTATTTTGTATTCTTGGCCTGATACCTTCGACAACACCAGGACGCTGGACTTGGGTTTCAAGAGGGATGACTTTTTCGACGATATCGTCATGGACTTTAAGGATAGTTTGAAGGCGTAGAGTTAATATTTCTTGTATGATATCCAGGTTCAAGGCGCTAGGAATGACACGGTAAAATGGTATATGGCACATCATGGACGCAGGGTCGAGTACGTGTGTTTTTGCTCATACCCGCTGTTACAATATCTTACTGGACTCGAGCCTGGCTGTGTGGTCTCCGTGTCTTTGTTTGCGCGTATTATGACCGTTTGGCCACTGGCCGTCGTCAGGACTGCCAAGGCCTCGGACATAGCACGTCCAGGTCAACTGAATTGGATATAACAAGGTTCCAAAGAGAAGTATCCCTTCCATCTGGCATCTTTGACCAACTTGATCCTCAACTCTTATAGTACATAGCGAAACCCCTGAAGATTCATATGCTCATTGTGGGTGAACCTTGCATCTTCAATGCTCTCGACACCGACCTGGACCTGGGTCACAACGGCGTCCTTGTGATCTCAACTCGGTTAGACATGGTCTTAGCTGTAGATGAAAAGGGGCAACATTAAAGGCTGGTCAATCAGTGTTCGCCTGTTACACTTTAAGACCTGATGTCTTGGTTGGAAACTTGAATGGAACGGAGAGACTGAGCGGGACCATGAGGCCATGAAGCATTGAAAGAGGACTGTAATCCCCTCTCAAAGAGAGTTGCTTTGGCCCCTACATACAAGATCGATGGAGTTATGGACAGTAGTGTATATAATGGGATTCAACCACTGGGAGTGGGTGAACTTTCGAAATAACACGGACAATATAAGAACCGCTCAAAACATGAAGGGACACCACGAGGGTAGAGCGACGGAGCTCTTGCAGAATCACAAAAAGGCCTTAGAATTCATCCGTGTAGAGTATAGTCATGAGAACTAGTTGTCAAATGCATGTTTCTCGCTTAGTAGAAAGACAACGTTGATGCTCCACCGCCGCCAGTTTCGCTTAGCCCAACCATTCCGTATCCCTTGACTAAGGAGCAAGATGTTTTGACGAGTGCTGCTCCTGGTTAACCTCCCCCCTTCTCCCCAGCCTCTACAGAGAGTCCTCTGCTCGCTTAAAGGCACTGGCTGTACCACGGGTTCTGCTCGCGGCAAGTACCCTGAGCACAGGTCCTAGGGCCATCCCAGCCCTCGCCACCACACTGGCCGTACAGAGGCGCGCCGCCGCTGCTAGGAGGAGGAGGAGGAGGGGGAGGGGTGCTAGGAGGCGGGTTGCTGGGAGGGGGGCTGCCGCCGCCGCTAACAGTGATGGTCCTGAAGCCGACGGAGCCGTCGTCGTTGCCGCGGATGGTGCCGCCGGGGACGACGGCGATGCCGGGAATGTGCGGGTAGCGGGTGGGGCCGTTCCAGACGCTGAAGTTGACGGCAGGGTCGCGGGTTCCGTAGACGCCGGGGATCCTGGCGGTGGGCCCGGGGATGCTGGAGGCGCTGGTTCCCTCGACGCGAAGCTGGGCGCAGGCGTAGTAGAACTCGGCCTCTCCGCCGTGGGCGCCGTGGAGGGCGATGTGCTCGTAGCGGGCGAGGTATTCGCCGGTGGGGATGTTGGAGGGAACGGTGAACTCGATGGTGTTCTCGCCCCACATGCACCAGGCGTCGGTCTGGAAGCCGTTGGGGCCCCGTTGACGGCACACGAGGGATTGGTGGACCCTGATGTGGGTAATGAGAGGACGCGATTGTTAGTGAACCGTTATGTTCAATGTCATGTTTATCATTGTTGTGACGTGTTGAACAAGCCCTAGGAAACATAAAGGAATAGAAAGGCCAGTCGCAAGGGGCTGGGATAACATACTTGAACCAGTCGCCAGATCCGTCATACGACTGAACGCTGCCCGGAGCGCGGCTCAGGTAAACCTGAGTGGGACCGGGGTGCTCCATGCTGTTGGCACCGAAAGCTTGCCTGACGGCCACACGGTCGCCGGGGCGGACGGTGTAGACCTGGGTACGGGCGCCCGAGAGGGCGTTGTCGTTGCAACGGAAATCCGGACGCAGGATCTCCTCCCACTTGGTGGGCATGTAACCGCGGGTGTGCTGGCGGATGTACTGCCAGTCGCCGCCACGCTGTTGGCCGTTGACAATGAGCTTGTCCCAGCTGTAGTGGGCGCTGACAAGAGGCGCCACGGCCAGCCAGGCCAGGGAGGCGAGGGCGGTGATCTTCATCGTCGGGTTTGAGATCTGCAGTGCACACTGCCGTGTAAGTCGGGGACTCGGGGAAAAGAAGTTCAAACTTCAAACACGGTTTGGACGCTTTACCTGAACCGAGACGGAGACAGCAATGGACTTGTTGATGGACAGGGAAGAACTCGAGATCTTCACTGATCAGCGAAAGAATTCCCGTCTTCGAGCCGGAGATGGGGGAAGACTTATATAATCTCCCTTGCCTTTCCCGAGTATGTTCATGTTGCTGTTGTTGCAAGTCCCTCCAAAACTCCAAGGCTCCATCCATGTCACCGTGCCTCAATTCTTCTACCCTTACCCTTCGGCTTCTCTCCCATTTTTTGCGCCAAGCTCCCCAGCCAACAACCTCCAGTCTCCTTCGTCACCTGACGTCTTCGCGGTTCTGCTTCTTCGGACCTAGGTCCTACTTTGGGAAACCTCAACTCCCTATGGAGTATCAACCGTGGCACGGCTCCACACTGGATTTCCGCTTTCGTTTGCGGGAGATCACCTCCTTTCCCCTAGCCCGTCTATCCTTGCGAGGCGTAACGCTCCCAGGGGCTCACTATATTATGTCCGAGCGGTCGCGAGTCGACCCGGCAGTTCGAAGCCGAACGTGGCGCGAGGACGGCACGAGGGTGCTACGTCCCGAAGTCTGGGGAGGAGGCGTCTATTCGGATCGAAAATTTCAATGTTGATTATTTGTACGACTTTGCTGTTTGGTTATTGGCTCGTGTGTAACCCGCCTGGCAGAAGCTGGGGTTCGGGATCCCCAGCCGCTTGTGTTGTTAGTTGGTAATCTTTGACGATCCGGGGGGTGCATGAATGCATGAATATTAATTAATTCCTTGACAACTTTCATGTTCCCAATTTAGTTTCCACGTTTTGCAGATCGGCCCGTGGATGCGGCCTCTCAGTCCAATGAATTGTATTAACAACAAAAGGCCATGTGTATCCGTACAGTGTATTGTGTCCCTACGTGTTAGTTGTAGCCGACATCATGGGATATGTGTCTCAGTGTCTGTGAAGCTGGGCAGCCATAAAACGAAGATGCAGGCTCTATGAGCCCATATTATCTCCATGACAATTGATTCCTTCATGTTCGCATTATAGTACCACTCCTAATGTTATGTGCCTGGGATTTATATGATCGGCAGTTCTCTACGCTCGGCCTCCACAAGTTTATGCTGGGACCCTGGGCAGCCTCACGGCGTGGGATGATCCGACGTCTCAAACTCGGTAAGGGGGCTTCTAAGCGAAGGCAACCACATACCAGAGATCCACGTTCTGGGCGACCCAAGCCTTTTTATTCGTACAAATAGTTCACATGCATGTTACCTATGAGCAGCGTGCTCCATAGGGGTCAGCCTCTTCCTACCTTGTTCTACGAACCAAACCAGGTTCCCCGCGGACCCCGCCCTTTGAGTACCAGAATTATATTATCATCAAGTGGTATGTAGAACGGCCAAGAGCTGGTTTACCTGGTTTGCTCGTACTCCCAAGCCAAGCGGTCGAAACGCCCAGTTGAGCAGTGGGCACCACGGGCCTCGTCACCCGGTTGTAGGGCCTGTCACCTCTTTTCTGTCGCGAACAAGAACGGGGGAATATGAACTACATGTACTTGCAACTGCCGTGATCCCCTCAATGTGACCTTGACACCAAATGGTCGCACTCGAATCATTGGTTAATACTACAAGAGGCCGAAAGGGGGAATGGTGGCATCAGCACTTACATGGAGAACATGGAGAACATGGAGATGGTGCGCCTTGACAGGATGATGAACACAGAAATTTGATCCTATATGTACCCATCGACGAAGGAGGAAATCGCCATGGTCGGGATATACCGTGTGAATACCTATTTGATGCGTCCGCTTCGGTCCGCTATACCGTTGCATTCTATTCACAATGCTTAGGTACATGTATGCTTTGACTCCAGTCGGCAGTTAACACATTGAGTTGGTAGTTGGTGCGTACATGTCTACCTCGGGCACTACATTCTCAGAGCTATTATCACGATAACACCTTGTGCAAGTTGTGTAGGTTCAGCCGTGTAAGCAGTATATCTGTCCCCGGGTAGATACGAGCAAAGAGATTAAGACCGAGAGACTATATAAGTTATAACTTGCGCCTTAAGAGACCGTGCGCTCTTATTGCCGGGATGCTCTTTTCTCTCCCAGACTGAGTAGCACAGCATACAGACAGTGCTTTCGTCCTCCCAGGGGCTACGTACATAGTCGGATTGGGTCAATTTTCATGTCAAAGACCCAACGGCGCCAGAGTAGCCCCGAGTAGGAAGTAGCCACCGAGTAATACGACATCCACCAGGTAGTTTAGGAGGGATGATGTAAAAGGGAGCAGGTGACATATGGGAATCATGCCACCTCGCTGGCTCCGCGTGCGGCAAGCTGAGGGGAATAGTGCTGATGTCTTGGGTTGACCTCTGTCTCGGATTGCTTCATTCCGGTTTTCCACTCTCTTATTAGGAGGCAGTTGAGGTGTGTAGAGAATGAGGCCATGAGGGTTGGTCGGTCCTCCGTGCACCAGCTGCCCTTCCTCGTTTCGGGGCGCATGATGCCAACTTCATGTTCGTTTTGTTCATGTTGAGCCGCCCCAATCGTAATTTTCCTCGTTGGGTTGAATCGAACCCTCGTCGCCCCTCCAGTAACCCTGCCAGGACGAGCAATAGTGAGCACAGCCTACTGTCTTCATCACCACGCTACCTGAAGCCAGGACGGCTTCTCTGGGTTATCTTCGGGTACTACAGAACCACCAAACTTGGTGTTAGCACTGACAGATACCATACTGGGAACATGAAGGTAGTTGAGATTGACGGGAAGGACTGTCCATTCTGACTCGGATCTCTGTCTGGGGAAAAGCTTGTGGTTTGTCGTCCGTTTCAGCTGCGGCAGTGCTGGAAAGCCCGTCGCGGACTCGCGGTGTTAACTGCTACTGGTCCGCCTACTGTCAGCGTCGTGGTTGTTCCATCGAGTCCAGAAAACTCGGTTCACCGTTGTCTCTGCCTCCAGAGCCTTGGGCGACTCGTTGGTTATGGTTATGTGGGGGAGGATTTGATTGTATGGGTTGGCGAGATCTGAAGATCTCCGTAGTCTGGGACTTTTACTTTTATCTATCTGCTGCTCGTGGGGCAACTTTGCGGGTACTTTAACCCCTGGTATTCTAAGCGCGTACAACGTAAGCCGGGGGAGTGGCGCCGCGGTGTCTCAGATTCTCCAGGGGCCCGCATCCCAGCAATCTTGAGCTCTGAAAGGCCAGCCTCTAGCCCCTGGGCGGCTGGTGGTGCCAACATGGTGCCAACAAGGGTGTACGATGGCCTTTTACGAAGTAGGTATTTCAGGATGCAGATCTGAGCCAGGATGCTCAACTGTCTTCAACTTGCAAGTACATGTTGCCAAGCTGAACACCAGACGACCCGGTCTTCATGTTTCAACATGGGTGAGGCGTCGGTATTCGCCTGCTTGCGCCAAGAATCCAGGACCGCTATAATTTTACAAAAGAAGGGATATGTCGGCCGCCGTCCATCAAGGGACTAGGCAAGCGTTTCAGATATAAAGAATCGCAGTAAAAGGTTGAGGGAGAAAAAAGATATCTTTATTTCTCACGAGTCTTGCAACCTCGCAAGTTGGCGAAGGCCTGCATCTTATTAATTACTGTGTATCCGTAGCTGCAAAGAGCTCAACTATGAAAGGCCCCAGGGTATTGCACGACACACGAAACATGGCCAAATCTTAACCCGCGGTCCTTGGCTGCATGTGGGCAGTTGTGCATGCCCCTTACCAACATGTTCATGAGATCTTCTGAGAATGCCGTTGACCGACCTTAGCGGCGCCACACCCTATTAAAGGGAATCAAGCATCTCCACAAGGATTACAGGGTCTCCCCAACAACAAATGTCAAACAGATGGACGAAGTACAATTTGTTTGGATGGCGCGTAGAAACCCACAAGGTTGACCATATCGAAGTCTCTAATATAAGTCTCACCCGCACCCGCATCATCTTCAACCTTCCGGGTGGTTCGTTACGCACCGTACGTAGCTCTCGCTCTCTTCCTTTTCGCTCTTTTTTCGTCTTTCATTCCATTCGTTCTAGCATCTCTCACGGCATCGTCGCCATACGGGAGTTTATCTTCAACACAGGCTGTGCCACCATTCGTTTACCACTTCAAGTGCCTTTACGTTCATTCACCTCACGTCCAGCACGTGCGTCACTCCAGTGTACCAGGCTTTACACTGCAGCATTATTCTACATACATCCAGTCTTTCACCCGTGCATTCTTCTCCATCGGTTCTAAACCAACAGCTCAACTACAATGAGACAAACCTTCGCCTCCGCTCTCGCGCTGCTGAGCGTCCCCCTGGCTTCGGCCCACTACACCTTCGATCAGCTGGTCCACAACGATGTGCTCGTCGGCAGGCCCTGGGAGTACATCCGCCAGCACGACCGCGGCTACATGCCCACCTTCCAAGCCGAGGCCGCCACGAGCAACGACTTCCGCTGCAACCTGAACGCCCTCAGCGGCGAGAACACCGACGTCTTCACCGTCAGGGTCGGTGACAAGCTCGGCATCAAGAAGGCGTTCGGCGAGGGCGGCATGGAGCATCCCGGCCCCGTGCAGGTCTATATGTCCCAGGCTCCCGATTCGGTACGGTCCTACGACGGCTCCGGCGACTGGTTCAAGGTCTTCCAGGGCCTGGTGTGCCGGAACCGCGGCGCCGAGGGCTTCCTCAACGACAACTGGTGCATGTGGTCCGAGAACACCATCAGCTTCGAGATCCCCGACGTCCCTGAGGGCGAGTACCTCGTCCGTGCCGAGCACATTGCCCTCCATGGCGCCCATGACAACAATGCCGAGTTCTACTACGCCTGCGCTCAGGTCAAGGTTGAGGGCAGCACCGCCGCGTCCGTCGAGGGCCCTACCGTCAAGATCCCCGGCGTGTACAGCGTCGGCGACGCTCCTCACAACTTTAATATCTGGAACGGTCGGCTTACCAGCTACCCCCTTATCCCTGGCCCGGATGTCATCGCTGGCGGCCAGATTCGCGGCAACGCTAATGGTTCTTCGGACGGGATTGTTGTTGTTGAGGGTGTCCTGTCACCTCAACCCGAGCCCCAGCCTGAACCCTCGCCCGAACCTTCTCCTGAGCCCGAACCGGTGCCGACCGAATCCGTTGAGCTTCCTCCCACCCCCACTCCCTCGGCTGAGCCTTCCGATGTCCCCGTTTCGCCCCCGGATGCGACCTCGGACTCCCCGAGCGAGCCCACCCCGACCCAATGCCCTTCTCGCCGCCGTCGCCGCCGCCGCTCTGGTCGCAAGTCCGTCAAGCGATCCAGCCGCAAGGTTCGTTCCCTACTGTAAAGTGGAGTTCACAGGCATTCAACCTGCACCGAGACCTCACTAACACCATTCTAGTAAATCTGCGCAGCTGATCTCGACTCTATGACCACGAGTGCGCCTGTTGTACCAATATGTCTCCACTTCCGTGTCCATGGGAAGACGGATGTTGGAAGTCAAGTGTTAGACTCGGACTTATATTATTCACCATGTACATATTTTTGATAAACCCCTCAGTAGGGCCATTCTTTATTATTCTCCAGATTCCAGTGCTCATGTTACGAGGATTCTAAGTGGACGGCTTCTCACGAGACGATCCCCTCATATCTCGGTCAGTTTCCCATCCTGGTAGGGAGACTGCTTATCAGGGTCAATTCGGTGCTTCCCGCGCCTCAAACTGCCCAACTCCCCGCATGGATCAAGTTAAAATGGGCCGGGCCATCCGTCAAGCACAGTCACCCAATGAATGAAATGCGGCTTCTTATTGAAAACCGGTTGAGGTAATCGGTAGAAGCCAAGTCAGGAAAATATGGAAAGTCGGGGGACTCGAGGCTCGGAGCAGCGGATATCTTCCCGACCGTCAACGTCAGGACATCGGTGCTATTTAAAGTTAACGCAGAAATGTGATACAGCAAGGCACTCAGCAATATAAGGTTCTTCTCGTTACTCATCTTCTTCCTCCTCCCCCTCCTCCTCCTCTTCATCTCCATCTCCCTCGCCCCCCTTCATTTTCCAAACCCTGCCTTACCCGCCGTCGCCAGCGAACAAAGACAAAGTTCACCAAAAGCAAGAACGACAAGCTCAGGTGCAGAAACACTCCCTCCATCACCATATGGACTCTGAGATCCAGAGGCCCAAGCCCAAGCGCTCTCCGCAGGACAGTCGACGCTACACTCTCCCCCCACGCCCTCATGAGGAACGGTGTAAGGTCGCCGCCCCCCGCTAGGGTCTCCATTATGTGCCACATGGTGCTGATATACCGTAGCTGCCACACAACGTCGTCCAGTCGAGCCAACAGTCTTTGAATGGCGGTCTGCACAAGGAGCCTCCGGGCCGTATTGTTGTTGAAAGGGTAGGAAACCGGATGGCCGATGGGAGGCGGGACGGGGCAGGTGCTGTTGCTGGAAACGTTGAGGCCGTAGGGAATGGGCGTTCCCCAGATGTGGGATGCCATCAGACCGTCGTTTACTAAGGCGTCCCAGGTCCAGGCTCCAAGCTTTCTTAGCAAAAGGTTTAGAGTCATGATAAGAGGATATGCATTGACGCTTCTTCCTTTCTTCCTCGGCTGTGTATGCAGTGTGTATGTTTCGGCGGCCGAGAGACAGAAGCGCCTTTGGTGTCTCTATTCCCTTTATATTGTCTGGTGTCTGATCTCGAGTTCATGAACTGGGCGAAGGTCTCAACTGTTTCGCCAGAGCAAAGTCAGTGCTGTTTGGATTGCATTCAATTGTCCTGGAAACAGGCAGGTGGACTGGAAGGCAACTTGTTTGGGTGCATACTCGCCTTTCTTATCCCAGTCCTTCTCCTTCTACCAGGATATTGTCGTTTCTTTGATGATGAAAGTCTCATGTTAAGGAAAGAACAGTGTTGTGTGCCTGGGCAGATAATATCAACAGACGGAAGTGATGCTTAGTCGCGAATCTACTTAGACAACGTATGGATTATCAAAGACTTCTCGCATAAAGGGGGAATATGCGACTTGAAGAGTTACAGGTGCCTTGACGCTTTGCGGCTTGCCCGAGTGAACTGACTGAATCATTCACGGGCCTTGAATACATGTGAAATACGACAGAACTTTTTTTGTTTCCCGGCACCTTGTAACGAACAAAGAAGATATTCACTCAGCCATGACCCTTCCCCTAAGAAACCTCATCGATGGTGGGAACAGGAGAAGCCTGGGTGGTGCGTGCTCCAATGGACCAGACAGCCGGGTCGTTCCTCTGCCGTAGCCTCCAACATTCCCAGTTCCCGACTTCCAACCATCTACCTCCGAATCAGGGCCCATCTAATAACCATTTCCACGGCACATCAACGCTATGCTCCCCCGGTAGGTAGCTTGCCTTGCTTCTCCAGGTGTGACCATATGACGACGCCTATCAACTAGCTCCGGAAACTACGACGGAGTGAGGACGTGAAAGGAAGAGAGAAAGAACTGAACAGGCGAGAATTATTTCTTAGTTAGGGACTTGTGACACCATGGACACACCATGAGCCTAAAAAGAGCCCCGCTTCTAGTCTAGTATGCTAGATCTAGGTCTACCAGACGAAGAGACCAGTGTTTACATCCTACCAAGACAAATATTAGCAAATGCCCAGACCAAAAGCTGAGATGGGAGACCAGCTTACCGGCTAACCGGAGTCAACCCAAGCAACCGCATGCCGCTGGACAACACAGTTCGGGCCGAGTTATACAGCGCCAGACGGGCCTTCATGAGCTCGGGCTCACTACCGATGATCCGGAGGTGGTCGTAGCTGCTGCTCAGGAGATGGGTCATCCTGAACAGGTACGTGAGTACCGTAGTCGGCTCCAGCGTCCGGAGCGTGTTCATGAACACGTCGGGATACTGCGCGAGGACGCGGACGAGGTCGACCGCGTGTTTCTCAGTCAGGAGGCTCAGGTCGGCCGTCACCACATCCTCGTCGCTGAGGCCTGACTTGCGAGTGATGGAGCACAACCGGGCGTGCGCGTATTGGAGGTATGGACCCGTATCTCCCTCGAAGGAGGTCATGGCCTCCATGTTGAAGGTGTAGTTGTTGCCCCGCTTGCCTGTCATGTCTTGCACCATGATGGAGCTGATGCCGAGTGTCTCTGCCACGGCCTCGGGGTTCTCTACTTGCTTGTACTTCTCCTCATTCTGGAAGACAGAGTCAGCGGAGAAGAGAGATGAAACAGAAATGAAGACATCAGTCGCGATTTGGCATTACCTTCCTCATCACCTCATGCATGTGATCCGATACGTCACCTTTTCCATGTCAGAAATTTCCCTCGAGCACACAAGGTCAGGGTCGAGATTGGGAAAACTTACGGATAATGTCGTCCAGGAACTTGACAGTCTGTTTGAGTCTTCTGTCAGTGTCTGGTGCTTTGCAGATTGGCAGGTGACCTGAATGGAACGTACGCCTTTCCTGGTGCTCATGCCCAGGACCATGCCAAAGTTGATGTGCTGGACTTTCTTAGCCACCTCGGTATGACCCATGAGTTCAATGATCTTGAAGAGCTGCTTCAGATGGAGGTCCTGCTGTGACGCAACGACGTAGATCAGGTGGTCAAAGTCGTATTTGTCCACCCGATGCAGCAGCTCGCTGATATCACGGGTGAGGTAGAGCGCGGCTGAGAGACCAAGTTAGCGACTGGGTGGGCAACACAAGTACGAGAAAAGAAGAGAAGAACGAAAAAGAAGGGGAGGGGAGATGAAAACGAAAAAAAAAAAAAAGAAAAAAATTGCAACGTACTGCCGTCACGCTTCCGAATGACAGGCTTCTCCAGGCTCTTGCCTGCCTTCCCGGGAACATGCTTGGCAAAGGGAATGACGATGGCACCCTCGGACTCCTCAGAGATGCCCTTCTCCTCCAACACCTTGGCGGCATTGGTCATCGCGGCCTCGGAGACCTGGGACTCTCCCGAGTACTCGTCGAAGCGCACGTTGAGGCGGGCGTAGGTAGCCTTGTACCGCTCGATGCTGAGGTCTCGGAAGCGCCGCCACTGCGCCAGGGCAGCGTCGTCACCATCGTTCATGGCCTTGAAGTAGCGGCGGGCCTGCTCGTCCAGGCCGTTCTCCTTGAGCCCCTCGGCCTCGGCCCCCTTGCCCTCCTTCTCGAACTCGGCGATCTTCTCCTTTTCTTCGGCCAGGTCATTGTTGATCTTCACGTAGACTTGGAACAGGTGGTTGATGGCATCGTCTCGGAGGGCGGCCTCGTTGCCGTATTTCTCGAAGCCGAGGGCGAGCAGGCCGTACTGCTTGCCCCAGTCGCCCAGGTAGTTGATGCGTACTACCTCCCAGCCTGCGCTTTCGTAAAGGTGGGACAGAAAACCGCCGATGATGGTACTCCGAAGGTGACCGGCGTGGAAGGGCCTACATAAGTCGGTAACGTTTAGCCCCTACAATACAAACGGACGACGATGACGAGGGAAGAGGCAGAGCGAGGAAATACGCCGATAGATGGCGCAGGAGGAAAAGGAACGGAGAGAACGGACTTGGCAATATTGGGGCTGCTGAATTCAATGACGATGCGCTTCTTGCCCTTGGAAGGGTCTTGGGGATCCCTCAAGCCGGGATGCGGATTCTTTCCAAACTCCGCGCCGCGCTGTTGAATCTGAGGCACAACGAGCTGGGTGAGGGGACCCGGCTTGAAGAAGAAAACGATGAAGGCGCCATTGTTGGCGCTGGTGGGCTTTTCGATGAGGGGAGACTCGGGGAACTGTACGAGAGCCGATGTTAGTCCAAGAAGGATCGCAAGGGAGGAGGCCAGTATGTGCGTATGTAAAGCGCATGACATGCCTTGGGCAACCACTCTTCACACAGCTCGGCGGGTTTCTTGCCCTTGATGCGGAGGGCGGCAACAGGGAGGGTCAGATCGCCGTTGTCGAGGGTAGAGGTCCATTGCATGACAGGGTAGATGATCTTGGAGTCGACGCCCGAGACCTGGGAGACCAGGGAGGCGATGTGAGAGCGGTAGATGTCGATGGGGTTGAGGTCTGGATAGGAGTTGGGGAAGGGTTCGAGCTGGCCGACGGAGAGCTTTTCGAGTTGGCTCGACAACTGGCCAACGGGGGCGTCGGGGGCCATTGTCGCGTAGTTCCGTCGTACGGTCGCGAGTGTCGAGGGTAACCGAGCGCGCTGGGTGCGGCGTAATGACCGAAGGTGAGGATCGGGAGAGGTGTGGGGGGAGGAAGAGACGAGAGATCGGAAGGATGGTAAAAAAGAACCGCGCAGCGATGGGGGAAAAGGAGGGCAAGAAACCTGTGCCGGACGAAGTGAAGATGTTCGAATTAAACTGGAAAAGCAGCCTTTCATGCCCAATGCGGAGGGGAGGGGAGGACTTGTCGCGTAGTGGCAGTAGCGAGTGGGAGAAAAAGAAAAAAAAAGAGGAACGAGTCACTGGGCTGGCCGGTTGGATGTGGAGCTTTGTCGTAGTTTGGAGGAGGGGGATTTTTTTTGGACGTGACTCAACTGGGAATGGGCGACTGCGTTGATGGATGGACCGGCCAAATGTCCGATGTTATTGGCTACTGACCGAGGAAGAGGTCATTCACCGAAACGAGGGGGAGGGGTCACAGTGTGAAAGGTTTCAACAGAAGTCTCGCACTGTACTTACCTCAGACTCCGGATACACTGCAGGTTGGGTGAATGGCAACGATGCACGAACGCCGATATTGAGACAACAAAATTTTCACGACAAGATAGTCATTGCTACATTTCCCTGTCTTCCTTATCATGAGGCGATCCGTTCAGACAATACCTACCCCAGGTACAATTCATGTCACTAGCTGTCTTCAGGATTCTTCTCAACACATTCAACAAACGCACATGATGTGCCGGGAGTTTTCATGACGGCCATGTAGCGCTTCTGTTGTTCATTGCAAACTCTTTCTGCCTCCCCAGAACTCTAATTAAAATCTAGCATTCCTCATAGCAACACTAACTCTTACAACAACATCACGGCGCCACCGACAATGGCAGCCATCGACACGGCAAAACCACCCTGGAAAGCACCATGAAGGGACGCGGCGCCGCTGTCACCATCGTCATTGGATGAGCCCGAGTCGTCGGAGCCAGAATCGTCGGAGCCGCTGTCACCGGAAGGTTCGTCCGAGGAGGTGTCGTTGCCCACAAAAGTTAGGAGTTGGGCGTTTTCGACGAGCCTGATGCTGACCGAGGTGCCGTTTCGGCACTCTTCCCGATCGGGAGCACTGCCGTTGACGAATCTGACGGGGGCGCACTAGAAACACGAAGGAAAAAACATTAGTCCAACTGGCTCATTTCTTCCCTCATCGAAGAGAAAGAGGGGAGGGAGAAGGAGAAGGAGAGGAAAGTGAAACAAAAAGGGAAACCTACGCTAAACAGCAACCCGTCGGTGGCCGAGCCCACAACGCCGACGACGCCGCGACGGCCGGCCCAGTCCGCGGGGGCCGTGACTTGAGGCAGGCATGAGCGGCCGGAGCCGGTGGTGCGGTAGATGGGGTAGAGCTGTTCCCAGTCGCCGCTGGCATCGGACTCGAGAGTGGCGCGGAGGATCCAGTCGGACTGGGAGTGCATGTCGATGATGGCGACGGCGTCGCCGCTGACGTAAAAGTCGACGGTCTCGTCGTCCTCGGAGGGCCTGTAGCCGCCGCAGGGACTGTCGTTTTGGTTCTGGTTATCAGCGCCGCCGAGGGAGCTCTCGGGGTGGAGGAGGCCGAAGTGGGCGGTGGCCGTGGAGGCCAGGGCCGCAGTGGCAAGGAGGGTTACGAGACGGGTCATGATCAAAATCGAAAGTAAGGCAGTCAATGTTGCCAATTATGTTGTGTATGGATGGCGTGGTAGGCTTGATTTGATGAGAGATTTCCGCGGGAAGATGCGATTGTCGGAGGGATTGGCGGCGTCAGGAATGATAGAATGGAAAAACACGCAGGGCTGAGAGTCGTAGAAGAAACGCCGGGTATCTTTTGAGCGGAGGTGGAACAGAGGCCAGCTAGGTATATTACAGACTACACGAGTACGTTGCTCGGGTCAAGGTCGAGGCGAGGGGTGTGAGCACGTTTTAAAGAGCGGTCGGTTGGTTCTGGGGCGATGTTGTGGATATAGACGGGAGGGAGCTATGATCAGGAAGAACGACGGACAAAGTACTTAAGAGTACTTGTACCGATACCGGGTTTGTCTAAGGTAGGTGCGCTCGAGCGTTTACCAGTACCTTTATTCCCGTTCGTCTGCCTCGGAGTGAATTCGTAGATAAGGCGGGATTATCCAAGATAATTACTTACTTTAGCCTTCTTCCAATGTTCTACTCATATCCGTACATTCCTCTACGCATCGAGACTTGTTGTCTCCCAGCCGTTGAAGAGTTGACTGGTCTGTTGAACGGTTTGCGCCTCACCAGGGCAGTCAGTACCTTAAATATGTTGTACTACCCCGATACTGTCTAAGGTACCTCACACATAAGACACTGCGGCCGCCGGCAACAACGACACCTTGCCACTCCATGCATTCGGTTCCGGGGATGCAGGAACAGCAGGCATGCCATTTGCCTTCTTCAAAGTGACGATTCTTAATAATGACTCCACAGCAGCAGCAATGTTGGAAGCAGCCTGACGGTCTGAAAGTCGAGGACGAAGTAGACCTACGCAAGCACTTTATAGGAAGTACATGTACGAATACAGATAAGGTACCTTACCTACCTTAGGTACGTGTACTTGATGTTTGTGGATGGAGGATGAAATGGTAGGGTACCTATGGTACGGAACGGTGCTGTTCCGCGGAGAGTTCTAGCCAATGACAGGATAAGAAAACAGCGGACCTGCGCGCATTTGAGCAAGTTCTTAGCCCAGTCCGTCCCCTCGACTAAAGCGGAAGCCGCGACCTTGGCACCAAAACCCCCAGGGTCCACACTCATCTTCACCCTCCACCATCAGGGTTCTTGGGTCACTTGTACTTCCGACCTTGGCATCAAAATCCACTCAAATGGATACGTATCTGGACTCCTCCATACCAGCTCCCACTGCCCTCCTCCATCCTCTCACATCTCTTCCCCCCCCCCCCGGCCAGATTCTTGGGTTCACTCTCCTCATTTCGAGACCTTGGTTATTTCGTCTCGCCTGCTACCGCTTTCCACATATTACATATTCGTTACCATCATCTCTACCTGTACGGTTCGGCCCATCACCATCCGCTACCCCCCATATACGAAAAGTCGAGTCGATCGATTCGATCGAGAGCCGAAGAGTCGTTTCGCCCTTTCGGACCGAGTGAAAGAGATCTCCTCCCTCTCTTTCTCTTCCCATGGCGAATTTGATACTCCGCTAAAACTTCCGAACGACTCACCGGAATTCCTTCTTCACCTCCACATCCGATTTCCACGCCATCATTCGAGTCGCTCGAGTTTCCTTTACCACGAGACAGGAAGAATCAGACGTCCTTGTTGTGCCCGGCTCTCCTTGATCGAACATGACCTCACCATTTAATCCGTCGATTGCCCGATATTCGTAACCTCCGGACCTCACGCGGCTCGATAGACTCGACTCGACGGACTCGATAGTCAACTGGTTTTGACTGTATAATCGAGCTGAAGCCCCCCCGCCTTGCCTACATAATTCTCAGCACTCACAGGACGACGGCCATGGACCACGAACATCACGACCATGATCACGATCATGGAGAAATGACCACCGCCGGCGGCCTGCAAGCTACCAACAAGCACCTGGCTCGGTCTTATTGGTACCTCATTGCTGGCGCCGTAGGTCTCGCTGTTATCATCCGCGCCATCAACCACCTCGAACACCGAGCAAGGTACCGTTCTCCTTTCCCTTTCTGCAAGCCCATCATTCCACCATTTTGAGCGTCCCTGACTTGCCTAATCTCCCAGGTTGAGACGCTGCGCAGCCCAATCCGTCGCCCATCCCACGAAGCCCTCAAATTCGCTCTCCCAATTATGGGCTACTGCTACCGCCTGTGCCCGAGAAACCTGCCATCTCCACGTCTACATCCCAGTAAAAGGACTCCGCTGGGCCACCCCGCCCCCGCTAGGTCGTGTCCTGCTGCTCCTCGCCTACTGGGCCGTCGTCATTTACATGTCCGCCGGCCACGATGCTGTTCAGAACGACGTCTTCTTCCGCGAGCGCATCGGTTTCCGCAACGGCTGGACCACCATCATGCAGCTGCCCCTCCTCTTCCTCCTCGCCATGAAAGTCAACCCCGTCGGTCTCCTCGTCGGCACCTCCCACGAGCGCCTCAACTGGTTCCACCGCTGGGTCGCCCGTACCATGTTCATCACCGCCACCCTCCACGGCTTCCACTTCTGGACCCAATGGACCGAGGCCGACATCTTCGACTGGCAGATGCGCATCCTCCCTTCCACTAAACAGGGCATCGGCGCCTGGGCCGTCCTCCTTTGGACCATCGTCACCGGTTTCCGACCCCTTCGCCACATGGCCTATGAGTTGTTCGTCATCCAGCACCTGGCCTCCCTCGCCGTCTTCCTCTGGCTTGTCTACGTCCACATCCCCATCGTCGCCCGGCCTTACCTCTGGGCCGCCATCGCCTGCATCGCCTTCGACCGCCTAGCCCGCTGGGGTCTCATGGCCTGGCAAAATCTCCGCGCCAAACCCGACTCCTCCGGCTGCCGTCGCAAGCAGCGTCTGGGCCACCAGGTCCAAGTCCGCGCCGTAGGCCCTTGCACCACCGTGCTCACCCTCAAAGACGTGCCCTTCTCCTGGAAGCCCGGCCAGCACCTCTACCTCTGGCTACCCAGCGTCGCTCCCTTCGAAGCCCACCCCTACACCGTCGCCTGCGCCACCCGACTACCCGGCACCTGCACCTGCCACAGCGTCCAGCTCGTCGTCCGGAAACACGGTGGCTTCTCTCGCCGCCTCCATGCCCATGCGTCCAAGCTGGAAGCCCAGGGCCACGCTACCGAAACCCTCACCGCCTTCATCATCGGGCCTTTCGGTGCCCCGCCGCGCTGGGACGTCTACGAGACCCTCGTTCTTATCTCTGCCTCCACCGGGGCTTCCTTCACTCTCCCCATCCTCGAAGCCGCCGTCCAGGCCGACCCCCGCTCCTCATGCGTCCGCAGGATCCAGTTCGTCCTAACCGCCGCCCAGGGAGAGGAAGTCGACTTTTACCTGCACAGGCTCCGCCACGCCATCGCCCAAGCCCACGCTCGGGGACTGGAAATCACCGCACACGTAGCCGTCACCCGCTCCGAGTCGAGAGTGATAGAAGGGGGAGCAGGAAGAAGCGTGAGCACCGCTCTCGAATCGGGCGGATGCTGCTGCGCCAAGTCGTCGTCGTCACCTGATTCGGGCGACGTCCAGCAGCGAAGACCGCAGAGCGAGGAGAAACAAGACGACGTCGACACGGCAGATACGACAGATATCGAACGAGCACCCGTGTCCCGGCAGTCCTCAGATCTAAACGCCCCCCCAAGCGGGAACGAAAAAGAGGACCCAAAACCATCGGCCCAAGTACGAACGGCAAGGCCGTCGTCGCCCGGGTCGGGTTTCCTCCGGGAGTACACCGCCCGCCCAGACATTGAATCCCTGATTCGCGGGCCTGTTGAGGCGTCCGGAGGCGAAACCTCCGTCATTGTGTGCGGGGGCCAGTCGCTTACCAGTTCGGTGCGGAACTGTGTCTTGCGGTTGGCCGACGAGAGAGCCGTGCATAAGGGGACCGGCGCGCAGGGTATCCATCTGTTTGTGGAGGAGTATTCGTTTTGATTCGCGCGTCTATACATATTGTACGTGCTTGGCGACGCGACTGCAGTTGTACATACCTTACTTATGCATGTATGGTGGCTGCATACCATGGATCGATCGATGGGTGGGGGGTTGTGGGTGCATGCAGACCATTTGTGATGATGATTTTAACGCAATATACCTCGCCGTTGAGTATCTCGGCAATGAAGATAGCATCTAAGTCTATTATATCAATGTTTTTTTTTTCCTGCTATTATGGGACCCATCTCTTAGCCTAGGTATACAACAAAAAGACATACCGACGCCTCCGAATCAGTATCGCCATGAACTGACACACCACGGAAGCTGACCAAGTTGGTAAAGAGAGGGAGGGAGCGTAGTCTAATAAAACACCATCATAGCATGATACCATAAAGTCGTATCTCGATTACCCGCCCAAGTCTAAGCTAGTCTCGTTGAGCATAATCCATCAATGCACCCTCCACTGCCCACCCCGAGCCCCAGCCGCCGCAGCAGCCTCAGCGGCGCCCACCCCGAAATTATGCAACCTCTCCCCAATCAGATACGCCTCATCCCGGATCCGGACCTGCCACGAATGCACCACGCCCACCACGCTCCAGAACACGCCGACCGCGAGGGCGCTGAGCGCCGCGGCGGGGTAGGACAGGCGGTACATCATGACGAGCTCATGCGGCGCGGGGGCAAAGCGGCCCAACCATCCGCGGGCCTCGAGCAGGGAGGTGGCGTAGGGCGGGCCGAAGAGGGCGACGGCGGCGAGGAGGAGGCCCGGGAGGACGAAGGCGCGCGTGAGGACGGAGGTGTCGGGGCGGAGCCAGCCGCGGCGGAGGACGGCGCGGACGGCGGCTGCGGGACGGGTGCCGCCGTAGAAGGACGTGATGGTGCGCGCGGAGAGTTTGACGTAGAGGAGGCCCAGCGTCCATGACTGGACTGCGCGCGCCGTGTGCTGGCTGGGGACGACGACGGCAGAGGTACCGGTCGCGAGGCCGGTGGTTGTGGTGTTGCCGGTCGGGATGACGTAGGGGGAAGGCGGGTCGACGTAGGTGTGCAGCGGGAGGATGACGTACAGTTCCATGAGCGAGGTGAGGATGAGGGGGAAGACAATGAGGAGCATCGAGTATGCGTAGACCACTTTGGCGACCTGGAGCGCTACCGAGGAGACGCGCTGGAGCGTGGCGCGGTCCCACACGGTGTCCCTGACGCCTGACGCCCATCTTCCTACCCGTGCAGCCATAGACTTGGCGTGGAAGCAGAGGTAGACGGCCGATCCGAGAAGGTAGATGCCCATGCTAAAGGCGTAGATGTCGTTGGTGCGAATATGGGCCGGGATGAGGTGCTCGAACACGGCGCGACCGAAGACGAGCGGTATGATGGTGAAGCCGACGCCTGTTACTGCTGCAAATAGCCAGATGAACAGGATGAAGAGGAAGATCCTGAACCTGAAGTTAGGAGGCAGGTAGACCAGCTGGTACTGGTCCGTAGAGTAGAGGTCTGACCCTGGGAGGTCAGGTTTGCCATCGATCCGTTCATTATGTTCCGTTACTTCCACAAAGATCCGGTTACCCTTGGTGATCTTGACCTGGTCAGACGCAGGTGTGCGGACGAAGCGACCATCCTTAATGAGTTGGCCCGACTGGACCAGCATGCGCTTCTCGAGCGTGGCCCTGATCATCTTGTCTTTGGACAAGCTGGCGCCTGGCTTGCCGGTGCTGACCTCGAGGAGACCCCGCCACGTCTGGGGGACGACTTGGTTCCTCTTGTTCACCACAAGGAAGCATCGCCTCCACCAGGGGCGCTTGAGGTGCGGCGAATCCGATCGCAGAGCGAGGACACCTTCTTCGTCGATGCGTCGTTCTCCGAAGAGGAACCAGGTGAGTCGGAGACCGCGAGCGCATTTGCGCAACCACCAGGTGTACATGGCGTGCAGTTTGTCGCTCGGCCTGAAGAACTTGACCGCCAGCGGCATCGCAAAATTGTAAAAGAGCAGGTCAATGGGGAACTCGAGCACCGGTTCGTTGGAGGAGTAGTGGATCGGCAAGACGTTCTTGAGGGAGATTGCCAGGCTCCATACAACGCCACCGAGGCAGACAACCACCAGGGCGCCATACACAAACGCAGAGAAGAGGATCTTGCGAAGTTGTGTCACTACATTACGCTCGAGAACATCGCGGACGGGGTGGAATTCAGGGTCATCGGGGTCACGGATAAAGTCTGCAGGAATTTTTGGTCAGTTTCCCTTTCCAATATCCAGCGCTGGGGTTCGGGGTGACGGGTGACGGGTGAAGGGTGAGGGGCCAACTTACAGAGCACGCCCTTGCGCATAATCTTGCGGCACATAGACACGAACAGAGCGAAATGGAACATGTACCCGGTGCCCACGAACCAGTGAACAAAAATGGACGTCAGGGGATAGTTGGCCATGAACGCAATCCGAGACTTGACCGTCGCGTTTTCAAACAGGGGCAGCAGGGCGGCATCCAGGAGAAGGCCGCAGTACAGCGGGAATACAAGCATCTCGATGCTTATGATCAAGATGACCTTCATGACGCCGCTAGCCTGGTTGAGTAGGTCGATCAGAGACGCTTCCCACTCTTGAGCCACCTGTCCGGAAGAAAAAGGAGTGCCGCGACGAAGATAGAGAGCGCCGAGTCCGGACAAACTCAGGTAGCCACACATGATGGCCCAGAACCGGTCCGTTCCTGACCAGGACGCCAGGGCAGGGTCGATGGAAACGGTTGACTCCGAGGCCCCGAAACTGATCACCCAGGAAGCAGGATTCAGGAGCTTGAGCGGTACGCTGCGGAGGGCGTGGAAGGCGGTCGAGGCAGCCTCGGTCGCCCAGCGCATGAGTTGGAGGGCGTGGGCGGGTAGTCCCCCGTCGAAAACAATTTCCAACGCGGTGCCAACACTGAGCAAGAAGGTCGACACGGAGGCTTTCAAGTCCAGCAACGCTTGGTGGCTGACGGCCGAAAAGTTTTGGATCTCGGTGGCGGAGATGAGGGGGAGATCGCCAGCCAAGCTCTCGAAGACGCGGACCGTAGCGTTGGTGGAGATGCCCCAGGTATGGATCCGCAGGGCCACGCATGAGCGGCGGGCCGACGGCAACCACAGCCCCAGCGCGTTGCCGACGTAGAACAAAATAGCGAGGAACCCGCTGCAGGCACCAGACACGAGCGCGACGGCCAGGTCCTGTACGAACTTGGTGAAACTGAAAAGCATCCGCACCAGCCGCATAGGATTCATCAGAGCCCAGACGCTCACCCGCCCAAAGTTGTAGGGCAAGAAGACGCAGAGGAAGATGGTGACAGACACCAGCACGGCGCAGAATACGGCGTTCTGGAACAGCCCGACCACGGGCCCTCGCATGCCGACGAGCTCCAGGACGCCTTCCATATCTTCGGCATCATCCATGGCTTCAGGGTCGAGACCGGCGGCAACTGCAGCATCGACGACGTCGGGATCCCGGTGTTCTTCGTCTTCCAGGTCTGGCACATCTTCAAAGCCGTCGTCGTCGTCGTCGTCGTCATCGTCGGCAACGTCGTGGTCCGGCTCACCCTCGGTATCAGTGTTATCATCTAGGTCCTCGACACGATCGTCCGCGCCGATTCTCTCAAGGGGTTCGACGTCCCTCCACATGAAATCTGCTAGCTGGTCCATGACACCACGCTGAAGTGGGGGCCGTTGCTGCGCAGGGGCCCCTTCGACTGCCATCTGCTCTCCAGGACCAGTCTCACCCGTCGCGGGCTCATTTGTGGTTTCTCCCGACTCGTGCTGAGGCAGAGGACCGAAGACTTCAACGTCTGGCCTCTGCGTGCCGGAAGCTGGGGAGTTCGGCACACCGTTATGCTGGCTGGAACTATCGGCGTCCACTATCCTACCATGCTCATGGTAAGGAGAAACGCCTTCTTGGTGGCCGTCCAAATGTCTGAAAGATCCCGCTACAGAAGATTGCTCAGGGTGAGATTCAGGGATGTGCCGGTCGTTCGACGGACCGGGACGAGTGTCGTCCGATGAGATGCCAGTGAATGACCAACTGTTGTTGGCAAGAGGGTTGGTGGTGTCGAATCGCTGAGGTCCATCAGAAGCGGCGCGTGGTCTAAGGAAGTTATAATTAGGTGCTGGAGGACTAAGGCTCGGCGCCGGCTGTGCGTTGGCTTGTATGTCGTCACGCTCCACCTCCTTCCCCTTCCCCTTGCCATTCACATCCCCCTCGGCGTCCCCGTTCCTTGTCCCTTGGGCATCGTTGGACGGCCAGGTGAATTCAGGGGCCGAAGGCGCCGGGAGAGGCATTGGCCATGATTCCTGCGGTGGCGGGGCCCGCTGTGATGACTCTGCTTCCTCCTCAGTCGATGTGGTCGGTTCATCGGTAGCAAGATCAGACGGCGCTTGAGCCCCCTCCTTGTTCTTGCCCATCATAGATCTCGTCACTCCTGCCCAGTAGCCAAGGGTATCCTCCAGATTCTCGTCCTTGATGGTCTGAAGGATGAGGTCAGGATCCCCGTTCGCTTGTCGATAGATTCGCAAGTACTCATGAACCGTGGCAACGGGACTAGTGGCCTGTTCCCTTGGCGAAACGCCGAGGACACCTTGGTTCGAGGATTCGCGATTGGAAATATCGTGTTCAAGAGATGCGGCTGTGGCAGAACTAGGTTGCGAGGCCTCTTCCCTCACATCAGAGTGCAGAGACGTTTCGGGTTGCGATGCACTATCTTGCCAGTCTTGTTCCACGAAGCGCCGATCCACATTCGTCTCAAGCCGAATGTTCAGCCCGTCGAGACCACCAATATCGCTCACATCGTCTTCTCCGTCGTCATCAGGGCCGGGAAGGTTTTCAACCTGCTCGACCATACGCTGGAGCTCTGGGTCTTGCTGCTGAGGCTGAGGTTGGGGTTGAGGCTGGGGGTTCTCGTTGAGAGCGGCTCGCATGTTAATCTCGGGTTGTTGTTGTACGACATAGTCTCGAACTAAGATGACAAGAATGAAGCACACAATGACTAGGATGGTGATAATCTGCCCTTCGAGGATAGTGATCATCGTGCGATTCACAAACGGATACGGCGTGAGATCCCGCAGGAAGGAGACGTCGCTCAACAGCGATCCGTGATCGACGGGAACCTGGCCACGGTCGGCAGGGCAGACGTTGTTCCGGTCGGGAGACGAAGACGCCGCGAAACCGAAAACGGTCCGCAAAAACGCTGCCGAGAACGAATCGTTGGTTGAAATGTTCACGCCATGCCAGGTGGTGGTAAAAGGGGCGGACGGCTGCAGGCGTATCATCTCTTCCAGCTGCTGTCCCATCCCATAGGTTGACGCGCCATAGAAAGAAGCGTCGACGAAGGGATGTGCGGGACAGGTATTGACAAGGTGTAGTGGCCGGGGGGAGACGGCGGGAGAGAATCCCGGTCCATGCGGACCGAGATTCACGTCGGGACCCCAGAGAGGAGCCCCGATGCCTTCGTTGCTCAGCCAGAAGAGAAAGGACCAGACGGATCGCATGAGCCAGGGTAACCAGCAAAGCCACACGGCAACGACAAGTGCGGCCCTGAGCCAGACGAGGAGGTTCCTCAAGATGTATTTGGCCATGTGGCCGACGAAAACGTGGACGGGGATGGTGCTCGGCATCTTTGGGGAGTAGAGCTTGGTGAAGCGGAAGGACGTCTTGCAGAGCTCGCAGTGTTTCTTCTGGGAGTGGGAAAGCCATTCCATCAAGCAGTCCTGGTGAACATATTTGATACTACCACTGCATTTGCAGGGGTAGAAGAGGGGCTCATCGTCGGTTCCTTCGCCGCGACAGATGCGACATGTATCTGGATCGACACCCAGGTTATCGGCCGCATGATTTTGTGATCGGAGTCTCGCGGTTTCGGCAGTCGAATTTTTGGATGCAGAAGGACGACGGCGGTTGTGGGCCACGGCATCGGCTGCCATGAGCGGTTCGGCGGTGTCGGTCATGGTGACAGATGTGTGTATGTGTATGTTCGGAGGATGTTGCAGGTGGGCGTGACAGTCGCCGAAGACGGGGCGACGGAATTATGCTGTCATGGGATCATCGGCCAGCACCAGAAGAAGCGGCCGTTTGTTCAACCGCACGGTATTTCCAGTGAAAGAATCGGTTCGCGGTAGGCGTGGCGGAGAATGAGGAAGGGGGCTGTCAACGTGGGTGTGGGAGAGAAGGCGCGTGGTCCCTCAAAAAAGCTGTAGGTATATGGGTGGACGGAAGTAGATGGAGGTTTTGAGATGGATGGACAGCAAGTAGAGGGATCGATACCAAGTAGAGAGGTATAATCGGGTATGGTATTGACAGATAGCCTTGGAGTCGTAACGAGAGGCCAAGTCGAAGGAAGGTGAATATCAGAGAGGCGACTTTTGTTGGCGATCACCTTCGTTTCATCGGCTTCGGTGCTTATTACTGAGTGCACGTGATATGAAATTACGTCAGCCTCCGTATTCTTCTGTAGGTACAGTGGGGGGCAATAAGTATTTGAACACTCCTATGTGTTTAAGGCTACCTTAGATAGGTAGTAAGCCCATATGCCCTCAGCCTGACATTTTGTGGGTCGATGGTACATAGGCGTGTTCAAATACTTTTTGCCGGGCGCTGTACATCTCAATTGCAAATCCGCTGAGGTTTGAATAGGTGACTGTATCCCGCCTACGAAGTACCATACCAGGTAATAAGAGAAGGAGACGCAACGCACGGATTTATTAGATACGCGATTCTTATCACGCTGGTCCTAACGCGTCACACAAGGAACCAGGGGTAGTCCTCGATCCGAAGCAAAAAACTTGGCAGAAGTGTTTCATGAATCAAGCAACACAACGTACTGCATAGGTAGGTAGATAGGTACTGTACTTATAAAATATTGCTCCAGAGGTAGTTTCGAATATTAATACCTGGGTATATACGGATTCCGCTGTACGTTGTAGGTACCTTATCAGGACACCCTACTTCGAAAGTACTTGCAGTCTCATCCTCATTCGCACCTTCCTCCAGAACCCGGTACGAAGTACAAAGTACTCGCTCAGCTGGCCAGTTACGTCAACCACGCAGTCGGATGTCGTAATTTCTTTCCCTCTATCCATCCTGCACTCTGCAACGATTCATCAACAAAACTAAAACTAAACTCCATCACTTCAGGCGTTTCCATCTCATACTTCGTATAATCTCCTCTCTATGCTTGACCGCAGGCCGACAGCATAACATCTCGACTCTATTCTATCTACCTATGCAAGCAGACTGGTATGTGCGAATGAAGATTATCCCCATCTGAACCTGAATCCACCCCCTGCAGCCATACCACGCCCCACCTCAGTTCCTCCCTCTGCCTGCCTTACCTACTCCTCCGTTCTCCTAGCACAAAGCTCCTTCGTCTGGGCTCAGGGTGCAAAAATAGGAAGAAAAAAAGCCGGCACCCTTGTTCTCCTTTTCCCCAGGCACGTGTCAAATCCATACAAATACCTAGAGGCAAGACCTTCAAGGGCTACACACATTTATCTTTTTTTCTAATTACATCCTCTTCGCCTTCTTCCTCGACTCACCGCTCTGCACGAACCGGTGCAGCGAACAAAAACCTACTAATCACCCGTGTATAAAGTGTATCAGTGCATAGTTCCATGACGCAACCAGACATCGGAACTTGTGCCACGTAACTTGGGGAACTCCTCACGCGATCCCTTCATCTATCCCCGGCGTGCAACCTCTACCTTCGCCTCTCAGCAAACAAAGGATAGCCATCCTGTCCACAAAAGAGCTGGCCCTTCGCCATCGAGTCAAGGCTCTGGTACCTTTCATATGGTAGCTAGCTCCGCTGCGACATCCTCCACCATGGAGGTCACTAGCAGTTACACCAATGGCTATTCAAAGAGCGGTCCCGGGGTGAACGGCGTTACGAATTCCACTCCTGCTCTTCAGAGGCAGCCCAGCCCATCTAGAGGTCCCACCATCTTGGGTCGCGTTTTCAACACGGTTGCCAGGTAACTAGTCTCACGCACCTCTTCCTCCTCTCATCTTCAGTATCATCGTCGACAGCTCCCCGCTAACCAACTATTTCCCCTCCGCAGGCTCTTCACTTGGTATGCCATCATCACCCTCCTCTTCCGCTGCCCGCCTACCCTCGACGACTGCGACGAATCATCCCCAAAGATATGCAGGCCATACTTCCGCGCAAAAGAGATCGTGTCGCCTCATGTGCAGCCGTACTACGACACCTATGCCGCGCCCTATGTCCACCTGGCCAAGCCATACTATGAAACGGCAAACGAACACGTCTTTACACCTGCCAAGGGATACATAGCCAAGTACGGTGGCCCCGCCCTCGATCAGTCCAAGGAATATACCCAAGCTCAGTGGGACCGCACCGTACAGCCTAAGCTTGCGATATATCAAGATGCTGTCAAGGAACAATATGATCGAAACATCGCCCCTCGCGTATCTCAATTGCAGACTGCCATGGCGCCCTACTTGGACATTGCCCGTACCAGCGCCTTGCAGACCTATTACGAAGTGATCCAGCCTTCTTATCACTTTTCTCAGCCGTACATCTCCCATGGCTATACCGCTGCCTCGCAGTTCACCACCGAGACTGCCGTTCCTGCCGTGTCCTGGGCCTGGGACAAGACATACGTCTTCCTCGACGCATCTGTGTGGCCTCGTCTCCGAACTCTCTACGTCGAGAATGTCGAGCCTCAACTCGCCCGTATCGGTAAGCGCCTTGGTCGTTACAGCGGCAAGTCGCGGGCCGCCATCGAGAACATCTCCGAAAGGTACGTCCCCGTTCCCCCTCTTTTTTTTTTTTTTTTTTTTTTTTTTCCGCCCCCTTCCCCCCAGATTGATCGCCTTCACAGCATGTTCTGACTGTATCTTTCAGGGTGTCGTCACAAACATCCTCCTTCGCTAAGCCGTCTTCCCCCGTGTCCACGGCCTCAGCTAGCAACAGCGTCAGTCTCACCAGTGAGGCTCAGTCGTCCATAATAATCGAGAGCACGGACATTCCCGATGCGGAGGAAGTGGCCAGCCATGATCAAAACGAACAAGTGGTTGCCCCCGCCGCTGGAGAGAACGAGTCTGAACTCCGAAGGACGGCTCGGGAGACAGTGGCGGAGGATTTGGAGAAGTGGCAGACCAAATTTGCCAAGGCTGCCGAAGAGGGCGCCGACGAGATCGAGGAGCGAGTCTGGGAGATCGTCCGTGAGATGATTGAGCAAAACGCCAACACGATGGGGAAGGCTCTGGTCGCAGCTTTGGAAGATACCTTCAAAGCCGAGGTCGAGCGCCTGCACAAGGAGATTGTCCGCATCGTTGACAAGGGGAACGAGACGGGCGAAAATGCGGAGGCAGAGCTGGTCGCCGCCGTTAGGGCAGCCGGCATGTCCATCAAGAAGAATGCCCAGGCCATTCGCGATTGGAAGTCCGACTTTGAGGAAGGCATGGAGTCCGCCATCACCAAGGCCGCCGAGAACCATTTCAAAATACTCGAGAGCATCCGCGACCTGGCCCTCCAGCGCATTGGGATGAAGTGGGCCTGGATGGACGGCATCACTTACAAGGACTGGACAAAGTTCCACGAACTCCGCGATAGGTTCGACGAGTGGACTCTAGACCTTAAGCAGCTCATCGTCACTCACCCCGCCCTCGACGCCGCTCGTGAAGCCTCGGCCGAGGTAGAGGATGCCGGCATGACTGTGGCCCAGGCGGCCGCCCGGGAACTGGCCAGACTGAAGCAGGTCGCCCTATGGAAGCTCGCCGCCGGCGACACCACGGACGATTTCGATAGCGAGAACATGCGCCGAGCTGCGGAGGAAGTCCAGCGCGCAAAGGCTGAGGAGGCCGCAGCCGAGGCTTCTCGAGCCGCCGAAGCTGCCGAAGCCGCCGAAGCCGCCGCGGAAGCCTCGCGACTAGCGGAAGAGGAGGCGGCTGCCGCGTCGGAAGCTACCGAGGAGCAACCCCAGCAAGCCACGGAGGAAGTCGACGAATCAAGCGGCTCATCACCTCCGGAACAAGACCCGTTGGAGGAAGCCGCAAGCGTCGTCGAAAATGAGTCGCAGGCTACGGACCTCCCGGATGAGGGAGTGTCCGACGCCCTCGAGGAGGATCCTCTCGAATCAGCTGCGAGCGTCATCGAGGATCAATCACCGGCTGATGACCTGTCCAACAATAACGCCGGTGAAGACGAGTATAGGGTGTATGAGTCCATCAGCAGCGCCGCTAGTCAAGCTTCGAGCGTCGTCCTGGGAAGCTCAGGATCCAACCAGCCGGACGACGTCGTATCTTCCCCCGACCTTGCATCAACCCCTCTTCCTGGCGATGGGCAGACTTTTATTGTTGCCAGCAACGACAGCGAACCAGCTGGTGATAATTATAGTCGAGGACGATCCGATACCGAAGGTCAGGCGCAAGTGCCCAAGCAGGGCGCCGAGGATGAAGTAGACGAGCATCTCGAGGACCAACTCGATCAAGACATGATTCCAGAATCGGTCGAGGATGAGCCGGTCTCGGCCGAGACGGGCTCGGTGAAGCCTGTGTTCCTGGGCGCCATGGCGCAGTCTGTTCCCAAGCGAGAGGGCCCCATCCTGGATGAAGACGCTGACGTTGACGACGACGAGACCACCTTCCACAGGCTGTCGGAACAAGCGCAGGAGGCCTACTCTAACGCAATGTCCCACGCGTCGGAGAAGTATGCCGAAGCCATGTCTGCTCTCTCGGTCCAAATCTACGGCACTCCCAAGCCAGACCCCACACAGCAGGAAATGTTTGCCTCGGTCTCGGGAGCATATGCGGGCGCGATTGAGGCGGCCAACTCCCGACTACATGAGGTGTTGGACGCGGCGTCGAAGAAGGTATACGGCACGCCCACTCCGACAGCCACTCCTTCGCATGTCAACTGGGCCAGCGTCGAAGCCCTTGCGGCTCAGCGACTTGATGAGGGCCGCCGTTGGGCCGAGGAGCAATTTGAGGCGGCCAAAGTCAAGCTAGGCCTCGCCACCGCCACTCCGTCGCCCACGCCGACCAACGCGAAGCTATTGGAACAAGCGAAACTGAACTACTACGCTGGCCTCGGGGCTGCCCACGCCAGGTACTCGGAATTCCTCGCGGCGGCGGCTTCGGCCTTCAGCTCCCTAAAGGGTACCTCGACACCCACCGACGCTGCCGGAACTGCGTCGTCTGTGGCAGCGGTAGCTACGCAATCCGCTGGTGCCGTTGCATCCGGTGCGCAGCAGGAGGCACTCTCTGTCGCGTCGGTTGTGGGTGGCGGATTCGACGCGGCGGCCTCGATTGTGGGCGACACTGTCAACGCGGCCGCGCAAGAGATCTTGGAGGCCGCAGAGGCCGTCGAACGAGGCATAACCGATACATGGGAGAACGTGGTCAGCCAGATCAGCGCACAGGTATACGGCGTTCCCACGCCTACGCCTACGGCCTGGTACGACGGTCCATATCAAGAGGTCGAGAAGTTGGCGGCGCAGGCTCCCGAGCAAGCAGCGAAGCAGTACGAGATGGTTTACAGCCTCGTGCAGGAGCTCGTGGCTGGTAAAGAACCCACCTCGTCGGAGAGCATCCTGTCTCGGTTCCAGGCCGCGTACGCAACAGGGGCGGCGGCGGCAGGGGACTCGGTCAACGCGGCCCGGGAAAAGCTCAATAGTGCGGCGGCCGCTGCGGCCGAAGCTGTGCGAGAAGGCCTGCACCCGGCGCGCGACGAGCTTTAGAGGACGAACAATACCCGCGAAGAGCGATCAACGACTTTCAAGAAGGCCAGAAATGAGTCAACTACGCTCTTCTTTTGCCACGAACACGTCACACCCGTATTTGCATGAGCTGAAGAGAAGATGACCCTCCAGAAGGACACCCGGGGAGGAAACTTGAAGAAAGTAAATGAAAGCAAGAACAAAGAAAAGAAGAAGAAAAAGGGACAGGCCGGACATTCCTTTGACTTATTAGATACCCCCCACACCCTGTCCTTTCCAATGATCGATTTTTCCTGGTCTAGCTGTTCTATCTTGGCGTGATAGAGTCAGAGCAACCCCAGAGGGACAGGTGTTGCTCTTTGGTCGACGAGTATATGAGGTTGGCGGGTGTTGGGCGGTAATGGGAAAACAGACACTGTGTGTGTGTGTGAGGTCAAGCGGACGAAGAGGGAAACATAGCGCAGGGAGCGGGTGTTTTTCTCATTTAATTTTGTTTGTCTTTCGTCTTTTCCTTTGTTCTGTCGATTCTTGGGTCTGAGCGATATGTGAGAGTAGTGCCATGAGACATGCCATACAAGTACTATAATCTTTTTATTCTGCAAGTCCTGTGATACCTGGGTCCGAGGGTCCCGAGACTGGGGCTTTATTTAGTCTGGACTCTCATGAAAACCGATTGCTGCTGCCTTGCTATATGATTTGTTGCTGCTTGCGTTTCCTAAGATGGTTGGCATGACAAAGGAGACAAAGGAGTGAGCACCAAGAGGTCGACAAGACCGCTAGTAGGCATTTGCTTATGGGATACCGAACGGCCTTTGTCTTTCCAGTGAAACTTCTACAGCCCTTTAGAAGCGTCGTATCCTGCTCCAACAGCCTGGGGGTGCGAAGGAACGCGTGGATATGGCAAAGCTCGCTTTTGGATTTGCTGGCCCGCCTTTCAGGGCCACTTGTCAGTCCACTCGTGGCCCCTAAGAGCTGGCTACGGTTAGGCAGACGAATAACGGACTGTCTATTAAGGTACCATATGGTTCGGATTCGTATAACTCTGAGTCTCAGCTTTTGGGGCGAGTTTTTAGGCATCAGAGATTCTGCTCTGCGAAGCACGGAGTAAATTCAGTAATGCCGATGCCGATGTATACGGGTCAACGTACTTGGAGACCCGGGCTGATGGTTGAGCACATGAGAAGTTCCCTCTACACGTCTAAATCGGGTTAGAATAGGAGTTAGACCCCACATCTGCAGGCTGCCAAGTATCGAACCAATCAACTGCCGCCCGCCTCTTCCCGCTGTGACCTGATTGAACCCACTTTGGACCCACTTTGGACCCTCCCTTCCCTCGACTTCAGGCAACAGTCAAACCTTCCTCACAGCGCATCTCCAAGTCCCCATGGCGACTGCCACTGGCCCCTACCCCTCGTCATCATCACGCTGGATTTTTGAGGCTTGTTCGTGTTCAGCCAGGCCGCGCCGTCCTAGTATTTTTGTTGCCTCAGGACTGGGCCTGCTCGCTCTCGCTAACAATCTTAAAATCAGTTGCCTCAGGACTGGGCCTGCTCGCTCTCGCTAACAATCTTAAAATCAGTTCAAACCTCAACACCTACCCTGGTCCCCTTCCGTTCCTCTTACCCTGGTCCCCTCATCTCACCGAGGAAATCAAGCCCGAGTCTCAAATTATATCCATCCCGTCACAGGTTCGAAGACCTAATGGTAGATCCTCTCTAGTGTCTATTGACTGCAACTTGAAAGCGTACGACAAAAGCCTCCCTCGAAACAAGACTTCATCCGTCATGACCTGCATCCGTACTTTTACCTGATTCACCGGCGTCTTCACGATCGAACAACAAGCTCAAATGAATGGTCTCGCACTCTGGTTACAGCATCTGTCGTCTACCCCTTAGAAAATGGAGTCCGTTGTCTCCCCCGGGGGGGTCGAGCTCTCCTTTCAACGCCGCCTCAGTCGCCTATACGATGACACGAAGAAGTCTTCCGACTTTGTCACCAAGACAGAACAGAACACCGAAGACCCGCACATCAAATCGCTCCATAGAAAACTGCGCATCCAAAAGGACCGTTTCGTCAGCTGGGGCGTGGAATGGTCACATTCTGACCCCACCGCCCAGATCGACGAGTCGCTCTCTCGTGCAGGCCTCAGCGAGGTTGTCGGCAGCATCCTCTCCACCATCAAAGACATCCTGGCCGAGGCAGAACCACTATGGCAGAGCTCTCGGGGGTTGTTAGGCTCGGGAAAGGGTGTCGACAGGCCTTCGGGCGACCACAAGACACCCCTCGTTACCTGGGACAAAGGCCGATTCGAGGACTTGATTCGAGACCTCACCACCTCCATCGATACCCTTTACGACCTGTCCAGAACCCGCTCCTCGGGTGGTGCCTTGTCTTCGCACGCCGCCCGTCCTCGTCTGTACAAGTCGACTTCCTCCTCTGCCGCCGCCGCCGCCGAGGAGTCTCGCTCTTTTGAGTCGACCCGCATGCAAACCCCACAACAGATTGACCCATCCACTTTGACCCCCATCCCGTCTATGCAAGGCGGATCTACGACGTCTGCACTGTCATCAGCCTCACGCCGAGAAGTCGTCTACATGAACAAGCAAGCATGGTCCGAACTGTGCCGGCGCACGGGGCCCCAGACCTGGGCGCCTCTTCTGCTGGAATTCGCCCCCTTTGATCCCATCTACGCCGCCACCGGCATCATGCCTCCCATGCATCGCTTCGAGAAGCTCTCGGCTGGCCTGCAGCGGGGTTCCCAGCGGTTGCCGGGCGCATGGTCGGGATTGCCTCGTCTTCTGGGCTACTTTGAAGATATGGAACATGCCCGCCTCGGCCTCGTCTACCACTTCCCCCGCGGCTTCGAGGCCGTGTCCCTCGCAGGCCCTACCCAGAATCCGCTCAGCAGCCTGTCCACGTTAAGCGATCTGCTCACGCGCCCCGACTTTGAGCCGAGACTGGAAGCCAAGTTTCGACTCGCTAACAACCTCGTCAACACTGTCTTCGACCTGCACGGTCGGGGCATCACCCACGGTAGCCTGGTCGATTGCAACGTCTCTTTCTGCCATGCCCGCGCCTCGAGAGACCAGAGAAACCCCATTACCACGACCGAAGTCGATATCCGACGCCCCTTGGTGTCCTCCTTTGATCTCTTCCCGGATGCTTCGTCCGACCAGGAGCAGATCGCCTTCTTGCCGTTATACAGGCATCCGCTGGACCCCCGAACGACCCCCGATGGTCCCATTGGCAAAGAGACCGACACGAGAATCCTTGACCTCTATTCGCTCGCCATGCTTCTCGTCTCCATCGGGTTGTGGACGAAGCTCGAGAACCTCGCGCCCGACCCCTCTTCGCCTTCCATCCCCGAGTCGATCCTCGAGCAGCTCGCTATACGCTGTGGCACCATGTACACGAAGGCCGTGCAAGTCTGCTGGGATGCCGTAGACCACGAACTCGCGGGCAGGTCGAGCGGGGAAGAGCTGCTTTCTAACGTGCAGGTCCGCGCGACCCGGTACCTCGAAGCATGCTGCATCTTGGATGACGTCGGCGAGTTGGACGATCGCCGAAGCCACGCCGTTGACGCCGTTTCGTCGCCCCAGCCGTTCTCCCTAGCAGCACGGCAATCGAAGTCTGGCCAGGCCACTGTTGACATGAAGCTTGCCGCCCGAGCGACCGATAGGAAGCCTAAGCCTCCCCCGCCGCCTCCCCGACGGTCAAAGACGATGCCGCAAGGCCAGGAAAAAGCCGAGCTTTCGCAGAGGGAAGAGACGACAGCGACAACGACAACTGCACCGACAACTGCACCGACAACTGCACCGACAACGACACTTACATCAGCCCCGGCCATTCCTACCAAGACGTCGCAACCCAAATTAAGACTTTACCCCCACGTTTCTCTCCCACCCGAAGCTGTCGAGCAGTGGAACGCCACCATCATGCCCCAGATCAACCAGGCGCTGCGCCATTTCTACTGCAAACACCCCGAATCGGTCGAGATCTCCCTGCAACCCATCGGCGTCTCGCCGCAGAAGGCCAAGCCGACCGTGCTGGTGGTCTGCACATCCGTCAGCAAAGTCAAGGGCATTCTCACCCGCAAGGTCGGCGAGCTCTTCGACGGGAACACCGGCTTCGGCCTGAAAGTCCGCAAGGGACAGATGGTCCGCTCCAGAAAACTGCCCCCCGCGGCGGCGGCGCGGTCGAAAGCGGATGCCTTGGAGGGTGATGAATCGGTGCCCAAGCCGGCCAACCCCGGGTTTCAGCCGAGGCCCAACAACGGGGCCAGCATCGGAGCGTGGATTGGCGATCGTCATCTCCCGCCCGTCAGCTTTGGTGGGCTCGTCTTGATAGACAATAAGCCGTATGGCATGACGGTGCACCATATGCTCGATGACCAAGATGCGGTGGCGCACCAGCCGCCTCCTGTCCCTGAGCCTCCGCTCTGGCGCAGCGTGGCGAGGCAGGACGAGTCGGGCCTGCGGAGCTTCTATGGAGACTCGTCATCGTACGACACGAGCGAATCCGAGGATTTCGCGTGCGAGTTTTCGGATTCCGGATCGGAAGGTGTTTCGGAATCGGAGATTACGAGTGACGCTTCTGAAGACGAGGACGAAGACAATGAGGAAGAAGACGACGACGAAGATGACGAGTACAACGAGCCCGGCGATATTCCCGGCATAGAACCTGGCTGCGGCGACGGCTACGTCATCACCCAGCCCGCCATGGACGACGTGGATGAGGACTTTTACCCCGTGCCCGAGACGGCAGACGAGGATCACCTCGACTCGTTCAGCCTGGGGACCGTTTACGCGTCCAGCGGCATCCGTCGACGGGAGCACAACGGCCTCGTGCATGAGATTGACTGGGCGCTCTTCTCCTTTCAGAACGAGCGGCTTCCTTCCGAAAACGCCATCCCTCATCCGGCCGTCCACTTTTCGTCGGCTGCAAACGGAGGACAGCAGCAGCAGCAGCAGCAGCAGCAACGACAGCAGTCCACCAAGATACCCGACCTGAAACCTAGCACCATCATCCCCTCATCAGCCCTCCCTGGGATGGAAGTCCAATGCGTGGCCCGGACGAGCGGTACGCAGACGGGGACCATCCTGCCCTCGCTAGCGAGCATCAAGATGCAAGGCCGCGCGACGCCGAGCCACACGTTCCAGGTCCGGAGCGGTAACAACAAGTCGCACCACGATCACCACGATCACCACCGCCACCGCCGCCACCACCAGCCGATGGGCGTGCCGGGCGATTCGGGCGCATGGGTGGTCGACCGCCGCCACGGGCGCGTGTGCGGCCACGTGCTGGCCTTCAGCGCGGTGAAGCAGACGGCGTACATCTGTCCGATGGACGTGCTGTTGCTGGACATCGCGGAGACGCTGGGGGCGGTGGAGGTACGGCTTCCCGGGGCGGCGGAGGCGGTGGTGCGGAAGCGGGAGGAGGCTGGGGGGCTGGGGGGGGAGGGCGCTGCTGCTAGTCTTAACAGCACTCAGCAGAACGGTGAGGGAGGGAGTTTGCTTCGGGAAGGGGTGCGTTGCTCGAAGGAGACGGCGGCGGCGGCGGCGGCGGATGTGGGTAAGATGCAACCTTCGGGCGTTGAACCGGCTTGGGGCATGTCGTCGGGAGGAGGGATGGCGGTTCCTCCGGCCAAAATGGGATGTAAAACAGACCAAAGGACGAGTGCGGATCTTTCTCAGATGATGGATTCTCTGGGCATCGGTATGAGGACGTGTAGTTGACTATCGTTTTCTTTTGTCAACAGAGCATGCGTATCTGCATTCTCTGTTGTGGATGGGAAGAGTGTCCGGGGGTCAGCGTCGGTATGAGATATCTTTATGACAATACCCCAGAATGACGAGAAGGACGAACAAGCGGTATCGATACCCAGGTAGCCCTAGTTTGTTAACTCTGCCATGCTTTATTTCCATAACCCACAATCTCCTTTATCCTTCTGTCGTTTCCAAACTGGGGCCACCCTTTGTCCTTTGTCCTGTACAGGAAGTTTTGAGACAGTGACACATCATAATCACATAAAATCATCCTCCCAGTCCTCGCTGCGATTCTGATTGCTCGAAGCTTCCATGTTCTCTTGGCTGAAAATGTCGTCGTAGGCGTGGTCCTTCTGCCACTTCTTCTCCTTGCGTTCCTGCGCGAGGCGGGCTTCTTCTTTTCTCTGTGTCGAGTGAGACGGTTGTATGCATGTGAGCTTGTGGTTGCAAATAAAAGAAAGGAGAACATGTAGAGGAGTCGATTGCAACGAATAACGATACGTGGAAAGAGGCAAGGGCGAGAGCAGGGTAGGCTAGGGAGAAGGAGAAAAATCCACGCACCCGAGCTTGCAGAGCAGCCTGTTCTCGCCGTCGCAGCTCCTTCTGCCTGTCCTCGCGTTCCTGTTCCAGATCGGGCTTGCGCTCGACTTTGGTCTTGTTGAGGCGGTTGACGATGGGATTTTCGCGTTGGGCCACGTGGATGCGCTTGACCTGTATGCTTGTTGTCAGTATGTGGGCGTTCCTCGTGCTGCCCTTTGTCGACATCCAATGGCAAGGGAGGTGGATGGATAGCATGAACCTTTCGCGGATCTTTGAAGGAGACCTGTCCAACCTCCATACTCCCGTCCTTCTTGAGGTTGGACCAGGGGGTGTAAATAATGGTGATGTTGTCCTTTTTGTTTCCTGGACGGGCGTGAGACTGGGGATTCTGCAGAGAACCAGCGAAGAAAGATTGGATTGGACATAAGAGAAGAGATTGGGGAGAAGGGAGGCAGACCCTCAATCGAGTTGGCTTTGGTCAGTTGCGCGAGGTCCACCAGGAGCGGTTCTGGGATGGCGTCCCATGTCCCCCCTTCGGGGAGGCGGAGGTAGATGTGGGCGCTGGAGAGCTTGTCGACGTGGAACTGCGCATATGCCGGTGAGTTCGAGTCGCGGACTCGCGATGCGCGGTACGTCATGCAGAGGACCGAAGATACATACCCTGCAGAGTAGGTTAGCAAAGTATGGTGAGAGCGAAGATGAAGGTGAATGGACAGGACGGGACGAGACGAGACGAGACGAACCAGACATCTTCTTCCCACCCGTACTTGATCAACTCCTCATCTTTGTGCATCGTCCAAGGTTAGTCAGGAACCCCGTTTAAATAGCGCCATATGAAGGGGACAGGCGATGAGACGAAGACACAACGCACTCTCATACTTGTCCTTGCCGACGTAAACGTGGGCGGGAGGATCGACGGCGGTGGAGGTGAAGTAATACACCATCTTGACTCTTGAGGCACTGCACCGAGGTAGAGGAAAGGAAATTGAAGCTTTGTCGGCCGGACCGCCTCTCCCAGCTGAGAGGCGACAGACGAGTGCTGGGTTGTGAAGTCGAAAGGGGGTTGATTTGATGGGGGAAAAGGGGGGGTTGTGTGAACAGTGAAAATGAGTCGTGGGACTCCAGGCAAGATTTTTGGTCGTTGAGATGGCGGGGGGAGGGGAAAGCCGGGTGGTACGATACTTCTTAACAATATTGCGCTGGTAAATGGCTGCGAAAACGGTAGTACTGATGTACCATTATGTTATCTGGTTATCTCTCGGTGAGGCCTCGGTGAGTTTGGCCATTCACCACTTCCAAGTCCGTTGACGGCCCCTGGACAAGGCCAGCGCATAGTTCTATATCCCCAACCGTTGGACACGTTTCAATGACCAGACCAAAAACATGGCGTTGTGGGGGAGCCCCATGACTGGATAGGTTCATGGCACAGGCCAAAAGCTATGGCAGCGGTCATTCCGTGCTCTTTTTTCCTCTCTCATTTCTTTGTTGTAGTGAAGAAAGCGATATAAAATACAATACAAAATAAATACAATGCTGCCTAGGCGGAGGCAGATGCTGGTAAATTTAAGGTAATTACGTGAAGGTCTAACTGGGATGCAAGGACAGAGGAGTTGCTGTTCTTGCCATTGACATGCTCTGGCTTGTTTCCAAAATTTCAGCTGCATTTCGTCTTCCACGCTTCGAGCTTCTGTATAAACGGATGCCTGATCTTCGTCTTCGTCTTCGGGTCTCCCACCCGTCGCATATATAAACCCCCTCTTTCTTTCTTCTCGACCTTCAACCGTCCGTCTACAAACCTTCCACATAACGAAACACACGTCTTCTCCCATTAAAGGAGATTGGAGACAGTAATGGCCTACCAACCCGGGTACCTGGGCGTCAGTGACGCAGTTCCCCGGCGGTCTCGCCTCCAAGCCCTCATAGCACTTTCCACCACCATCCTCGCCCTCGCCATCCTCATCTTCGTCGTCGTCTTCGCCGTCTTCGGCCTCCGCGACAACGCCGGCGACGGCAAATGGATCCCCGTCGCCGCAGCCGTCGGCATCTCCATCAGCGTGGTCGTCGCCGGCATCATCCTCTTCTTCCTCAAGTGGTGGGAGTGCGTCCGGTCGCGATACCCTTCCATGCCGGGAAATCGACGCCACGGCTACCGGATGGACATGGAGCCCATCAACAGCTACGCGGACTTTCGCGCGCTGGACTCGCCTACCAAGATCGGCGTGGTGGCGAATGCCGTCGGACGCTGGATCGACGGGCTGGCCATGGCTTTGTTCCCTTGCCGCGACCGCGATCGGCTCCGCAAGTTGGAGGACCGGAATCGGGAGAGGATGCAGCACCCTGCCTACGAGATGTCCCGTGCTGTGGAGCAGCAGCAGCAGCAGCCCCCTGGGCCGCGAAGAGTGAGCGCTACGTTGTCGTCGCAGGGCCATGTGGTCGAGCATCCGAACAGTCGTGGAGACGGCGAAAGTCGGCGGCCTTCTGATCGGGCCAAATTCAACTCTTTCGACAGCGTCGTCAATAAGAAGGGGATCCTCAAGGACGGAGAGAGGCAGAGTCGGCAGGCATCCACTTCGTCTCAGGCAGCAGCAGCAGGAGCAGCAGCAGCCCTTCGAGATGCAAACGATCCCCACCAAAACAACAATGGTTCTGTTCCGGACGAGCGCCCTCGTGTGCCAAGCATCGACGCGGAGCCCCCTTCGACCGAAAGAACGATCCAGCATCCTCCCCCCACTGCACATAGGCAGGCCGAGTTCACGGGGAGGAACGCGCGCTGGGACTCCGTCGGCGACGAAACTTTCCGCCCCGGCTCCCAAAGAACAAGGCTCGAACCCGTAGCCGCACCCGCTTCCCCGCGCGACCGCCACGGTTCGATGCAGTCGGACGCTTCCCAGAACTCCACTCGATCGACGACGTACCGGCCTCATTCCGTCGCCGAAGCCCCGAGCTCCCTGCGCAGCTCCATTAGCTCCGTGCGTCTCGACAACAACAGCCCTGGGATGATGTATGCGCCCCTCGCAGTGCCGCAACGCCACGACCGTCTTAGTATTCCTGACGTCTCTCGCGACTTGCCTCCCCGCGGTGGCATCTCCGGGATCTCCACTCTCCCGTCACAGAGGGGTCGTCACCGTGGGAGCTGGAGCAGCAGGGCCGGCATGACGGCCCGGCCTCAACCCCCTCCGGACTTGAGGCGCTATAGTGCGGCGCAAATGGAGCAGAGTCTGCGTGACGAGGGCGCATTTCGTCCGCTTGACCCGTCGTCGCGGCGGAATGCGACTGATATTCTGGAACAGATGGAACGAGACGGAAGGGGGTCGCGCGTGCGGTCGACGCAGGATATCTTCCAGGACACGAACCAGCGTCGCTAGTCCTAAAGATCGAGAGAGAGGAAGAGTTGTCTTTGTCACGTGTGGTGCTGTGAAGGAACGGTTATACGGGGTTCATCTCGGCACGAGAAGGTTAAAGTTGGGACACTTTGGCTGGCGGGGTTTTGGCCTCTGGAAAAGGGTACATGGTGGGAGGACACGGGGATAGATAGATTTCAGTGTAAACGCTTGCTTGCTAGCTGGCAACTCTTGCGAGGGCCGTTTTTGCAGAGCGAATGGACCATGTTAGGCGTATGCCGCATTCATGACCGGGAGAGAGTACCGTACCTAGGATCGTCAACCTCGAACCGTCAGTGGCTTCAGGTTCGCCGGGTGCTGGTGCAGCTTCTGCTCCGTCTTGCAGCAGCATTTGCTCGTACAATTGTTGCAATTTCACGGTTTGCTTTTGCATGTGCGAGAGCATGTCCTCCAATGGGGCGATGGCAGCGTCCAAGGCTTCCTCCCGTCTCTGTTCTTTACACTACTTCGATACTGTGGCCAAGGCGGCGGCATTACCATCCCGGTAAGTAAAGGAATGTTCTTAGTTGGCGCATGAAAGAGAAAGTGTCTAGGCGAGGTCGAGGACGAGGACGAGGACGAGGACGAGGACGACAAACGGAAAAGCCGGTGTAACGCGTTGGTTCGAAAAGGGGTGTGACGGCATTGGAGGGCGGTGAAAGAAAATCTTTCCGCCACATGTTAAGCCACCTGCGCCCCTACAGGTGGAGAAGATGTTGTACAGTTGTATCGTTTGACGTATTAATACATTCTGGGTTAGTCTTGCTCGGGCCTTTCTTTGTTGGCCCGTGCCTCCCGAGAGGGCTGTCGACTCGACCTCAGCCTTCTCTTTCCTGCCTCTTTTTCCTTTATTGGACCCATCCCCAGGTTCTATTTTCTGTCTTCTTCTTCCCTCTTTTGTACTTTGCTCCCTGGGATATGCGCATGACCCTACCTTAGTCGGATCAAAGAGGACGATCATCTAACGTCGTATTAGTGTACTCACGCACCGAGTCTTCTCTCCCCTTCCGAGACGACGCCATGTCAAAGTTACTGAGGAGAGAAATGATCACCATGGACTTGTCCAGCGAGTGTGTATCTTCCATGTCTGTTCTTTTCCTCATCATGCATCGCGTCGCGAGATGATTTTCGGATTTTCAGTCAGCGTCGAAATACAAGTTCTCTTCAAGAAACCAACTCCATGAAGATCAGTCCCCATTCCCATTGCCCGGTGGCCCCGAGCCAGCTCCATTCCCCTGGGAGAGCCTTCTTGGCATTGGGCATTGTGCTACCCATGCTGATCCTCTTGCCTCCCTTCAAAGAGGCCGACTTGGCCCAGTTGGGAGTTGGGAGTTGGAAGTTGGGAAGCAGGTCACTTACGCATTAAGTATACTTCTCCTTATTCCTCTCGGCATCTTCATTTCCCCTTGCTTCTTATTTTGTTGTCTTTTTGTTCTTTTTGTTCTCCATCTCCTCATCTCACCTAATATACCCGGCACGGGCTTCCTCGACGACCACTCATATATTCTTATCCATTCACACCCCTCGCCTCTGTCCCCATTTGACCTGCTCTGTTCGCCTCTGGTCTACTTCGTCTTGTCCTACCTAGTACCAGCTCTCTTGACTATCAGCAAACTCCTCCCCGCTATCCTCGGCTATCTGACTAGCAGCTCGCACGCTTCACTTCACGAACATCCTCACCACCGATAGGGCAACCGTTCAACACTGCACACGGGAGTCATCCGACCCATCGAGGTCTGTCTAACTCCGCCGCGCAGCGACGCTCCAAAGAGCGGGACACGAGAAGATGTCAAACAACCAGACCGAGAGACTAGGCGTCTCCTGTCCCGAAGGCGGCCAGTTCTACGTCTGCGCCGGCAAAGAAACCGAGTTCCTCGGCTGCTGCACATCCGACCCTTGCACCGATTCCGCCGACGGCCATTGCCCGATTCGCGACCTCCGCCCCGCCTCCTTCGACCCCGACCGCTACGCCAACATTCCCCGCCAGTCATGCGACGATGCCCGCTCCCATCGCATCTGGTGGACCTGCCGGACCAACGACCCTCCTTTCCTCGGCTGCTGCGCGAGTGATCCTTGCGGAGAAGGGTGCCCTAGCGATCATCTCGTCCAAGCCGTGCTGTCCGAAGACGAAGACAGCAGGTTGCCTTTCGTGCCGGAGGAGGCTACAACAAGCAGCCCTACGTCCTCGCCCACGGCATCGCCTAGCCCATCAGACGAGCCGTCCGATCCATCGGGTTCATCTGGCCTCCCCACCGGGGCGATCGTCGGTATTGCCATCGGCGGTGCTTTGGCCCTCCTTCTCCTCGCATTCGTCGCCTGGAAATCCTACCGGAAGGCCAGGAAAGACAATGATCAATCTCTTCGCCCGGAAATGGGTTTCGCCCACGCCGGTCCACGACGTATGTGTGCCATTTATTCCCACCTCACTCATCAACTACCGTCCCTCAATCCCTTCCCGCGTGAGAGGGAACACGGCCCATGCTAACCGGGCTGACACAGACTCCGACCTGAGCACGGCATCAACCATCCCGTACTCCAACCACTCAACCCCCACGACGGCCGAATTCGCCAAGTGTCATCACAACGGCTACCACGCCATACAACCAAGCTCGCCAGCCGCTGCCGCCGCCCACCCCCACCGGCCTCCGTCCCCGGGCTACACAGACAGCGAGAACGGCCTGCTGAGCGGACAGCCTAGCCCTCATTTCCCGAGGGGCCACGTGCGCACCGTTTCCGACATGAGCCAAGGCTCGGCCACTTCAGTCGGAGTCGGCTCTCACGTCGGCGGCCGCGGGCACGTCGTCTCCGAGATTGATGGCGTTGAGAAGCCGAGAATCCCCCCTGGTGTGCCGGAGATTCTGATTAATGATGTGGAAACCGAGCGGCCGAGGGTTGCGCTGCAGCCGCCGATAGCTGAGCTGCCGGCTGAGGAAATCAGGTTCTAGCGGTGGTTTTAGTCCATGAAAAGGGGGTGGGCGGGGGGGGTCAGGCGTGATTTTCAAGATTCTGCGAGGGTAAGAAGCCGGAACGCAGCGTTTTCATTTCATTTGACTTGTCTTATATACCTTACTGTGCTGTGTCAATCGCTTATGAGTTTAGGACACTTAATCGCAGAAAAAGAAGGGGAACAGAAAATAAAAGCAACTGGTGATTGGTTATACGAAGCAAGAGACCAAGAAATGACACTATATCGTAAACCGTGGTCCGTGGTGGGCTATTGGGGGGGGGGGGGGGGGGGGGTGTTCTCGCCGACATCAGATCGTGGGCTGGCTCGACAAGACGAAACATGAACTCAGCGAAATCATTAACCATTAACATGTGAACAGAATTCAAATCGCAAAGTCTGAGAACATTGTTACTCTCAATTAGCCACGGCGCTCATAACCATCACAGCTTCCCAGGGAGAAACAGACCAAACATCTTTGTTTCAGACTGAAGTTTCCGGCACATGCCTCGGGTCTGTCTTTGACTTGAGTCACTCAACTGCTCGATTGCCTACTATAGGTATATATATATATATATATAGTTCCTTGGTATCCGCTCCTGACACATCAACACCGAACTTTTTGCTTCCTACCAGGTAGTCGTGGGGGGTGCTTTGTTGGGGAGGTAAACAAACGGCAATATATCTGGTATGGGTATCTCCAGGCTCATTATTTCGGTATGTGAAGATCTCTTTAGCGTTCCGTGAGGATTGCGAATATGGCAACACCTAGGCAGGCTGTTGAAGACGGACGTATTTGCCGAGCCCCTTTTACGTAAGGTACCCAAGACTATCCCTGCTGCGCCTGATGAGGCCCTCCCGGGTTATGTTATGGGGTAAGTAACGGGGCTGTTTCTCTTTTCTCTTCCTTAGGAAAGCTTCCTCCCTCCTTTCCCTTTGCAATTTTCTTTATCTCCTCTTTTCTTCTTCTTCCTTGCTTCCCTTGGCTGAAAACGTCATAGTGGTGTTGCTTGGTTAGCCGTTCCCTGGCTTTATTCCACTACCATGGGCCTTTCCGCTCTGGTTCTGGAAAAGTATCCCATCTGACCTACTTATCGCTCCATGTTTCAGGGACATGCTGGGGATGCGGAGTGGTAGGGGAGCTGCCGTGAAGAGGGGACAGGCTGACGGAGCATCTGACGACAGCGTAGGAGATTCGATGCCGGCGATGCTCGCCGTCGAGGCCGAGAAGCGATAAGGAGAGAAGAAGCAGTTGAAGCAAAATAGAGGAGGAAACCTCCCATGAAGCGAGAGGTGGAGGGATCGTTACTAACCGAGAGACAGACTACGCACGGGCGGAGAGGACCGGACTTGCTGCGTTGACCAAGCCAGCCGTCCACTGCCCCCTTTCACTGTTTGCCATATCACAAGTAAGAACAAAGTATTGGTATCATTGTATGTTTCCAATTTCCATTCCATTTCTCTACTACGATGCCACCGCGCTAGATGACATTGTTCGCCTACATGCTGTTCGTGATACAAAAAGTCCTGCTTCTTCTATCCGGCTTTGTCCGGCTTTGTTCTTTCCTGCCAGGCCCAAGTCAATACATTACATGGTCTGCCCCCGATCCCTACCATAATGGTTAGGTCGCCTGTCTGGATTCCGGGAACCCGACTCCTGCTGTCTTTGGGAAGGACGTCGCTGCCTACCCGCAGCCCCTCCCTCTCGCATTTCATACTGGATCGAATCGAAGGTCTGCCGCACCCTGCCAACTAGCGCACGGAGCGCTCCGGCGGCACCACCCTCGCGGGCCCTCTCCATCTGCAGACGGCGGGACTCTCGGCGAGCTTGTGCCAAGCGCTCGGCGGCGTTGTTGAAGTTGTTGTCGAGGCTGCGGCGCGTCTGTCTTGCTTCCTCATGACGTTGCTGCTGCTGCTGCTGGGACTGCCCCTGTTCCTGGCGTCTTTCGTGCCTGTACGAGGAGGAACGAGGGGGGACGTCACCACCACTTCGGCCCGATTGACGGGGGTAGTACTCGGTTGCAGACCGCGTCAGATTTTCTCTGGGGACGGGCCGCCAGTGCTCTGACGAGTTGGGCTGGCCTTGGTAGTGTTGGCGTTGTTGCTGTTGTGTCTGGGATGGTCTCGCCATGTCAGACGTGTTGGGACGGTAGTATTGCTGTTGATGTTCTTCGGACCGATACATCGGCTGGTTGTGATGGTGTCTTCCGTAGCTGTCCTGGTCCTCGTACTCGTAGTCAGCCTCCTCTTCCTCGTAGACCTCGTAGTAATATTCACCTTCAGAGGCCTCGTTTGCCGAGACTCCATTGCGAGACGACGACGGTCCAGCCGTGGTCGTCGGCCCTGAGATGCGAGTGAGGTTGCCGTAGGAGCTGCCCGAAGGCCCTTCCCAGATGGATCCGTCGGAGCCCTGGAAAGTGTATTGCTGGGTATCAGAGTCGTAGCCGATACGGACCAAGTCGTCGGGAAGACGTTCCCGGTCAGAGTCAAAATGTCGCCAGCGGCTCATGTTGCTGATGGAGATGGATTGATGTTTTGGTTGTGGTGCTGTGTGTTGTATGTTTCTGTGATGCTGTGTGTTGTATGTTTCTGTGATGCTGTGTGTTGTATGTTTCTGTGATGCTGTGTGATGTGTGAGATGAAGAGTGGAATTGAGATGATACTTTGCCGTCATGGCGGTAATATATAGACGGAGAAACTTGGTATACCCCCCTAGATTTCAGCGGTGTTAATTTGGGATATATCAAGTTGATATCGAGTAGTGAGGCTGCTTCAAGTTGGAATGAAATAGGTCGATAGAGGTTGCACATGTGTATTCGTACAACAATGATACATTGGTACGGTACCTGAGCGGATAGAATATGAATGACATAGATTCAAATCATTGCATAAGGGTAGTATCTGTAGTGTCTACGACGTTGTGTTCCGCTGCCCCCTTTCCTATTTTCAGGGGTTGTCCCGTGTCTTCACTCTTTGCTTTTAGTCTTACTGTCTTCGTTTGTTGAGTCTGTTCGTAGCGAGGTGATCGCGTTCTAAAGGAACACCTGCGAACTAGGAATTGCTCCAATGAGACTGAGTGAGGCTCCTATAGACAGTATCTTTCATGTTCTCGATCATGTCCTTTACCACCAGAACAGACTGGAGTTGAACAATCCGTGACGGCTGGAAAAAAGGGGTAGCTTTTTCTTTCTGGAAACGAGCCATGCATCAATTGTGATGAAGCAGATAACATACTGAGCCTGCCATGATTGTCAAGAATAGCAAACACTCAACTTTGTCCCTTGAACATGGGAAAGCGCCAAGTAGCAACACACGGTGGGTGGCGACAATCCGTCTGGTTCGACGTCTCCTGAATCGGTGAGTCGGTCAGTACCTTAGTGACGGTCAGTAAGGTACGGTACCTTACTCGGTGAGAACAGACTCCGTGTATACCTAGAGTACCTTACAAACAAAGCCAGCTTAACAAACCAACACATGCAAGTGGAGACAGCCCATGACTAATCACACTAGCTTTTACCGGAAAGCGTCGGCATTAGCGGGGTAATGGCACCATTGGGACGAGGGGCAACCAAATTTCTTGCGCCATCGTAGCCCGCTACATGGGAAGAGGCAGTAGCGGTTTACCTTTGTATCTCGTACTACTACGTACTCTGTACTCCGTTCTCCGTTCTCCGTTCTCCGTTCTCCGTAAGGTACAATTTCTCTCTGCCTTTTTGTTTCTCTCTTCTCTTCTATTTCTTTTCTCTCCTTCAGAAAAACTCCTCCCCTAACTACGTTACTACATCTTGACACCCGTCTTACTATCACCTATTATGGCCGACGTTAAATCGCCCCCTGCCAGCCGTGTCGCCGTGACCGCGCAATCCGCGACGGAGCTCATCGGCAACACTCCCCTCGTCCGGCTAAACAGGATCCCCCAGAGCCTAGGTCTAGAGTGCGATGTCTACGCCAAGGTTGAGCTCTTCAATGCTGGCGGAAGCGTCAAGGACAGGATAGCTCTGCGCATGATTGAAGAGGCTGAACGGTCAGGTCGCATCAAGCCCGGCGACACCCTCATCGAGCCCACCAGTGGCAATACGTAAGCCGCTCTGCTCCTCTGCTCCTCTGCTCCTCTGTTCGATCCGCCGTGCACATGGCCTCTCCTCGAGCAATGGCTGACGACTTCCCATTCTTCTCCTCTGTACAGTGGTATTGGCCTCGCTCTTGTCGGTGCCGTCAAGGGATACAAGACCATCATCACTCTCCCCGAGAAGATGTCTGCCGAGAAGGTCTCCGTTCTGCGCGCTCTCGGTGCCACCATCATCCGTACCCCTACCCAGGCGGCCTGGGACAGCCCCGAATCCCACATTGGCGTTGCTCGTCGCCTGGAGAAGGAGATCCCGAACGCTCATATCCTCGACCAGTACGGAAATCCCGACAACCCTCTGGCCCACGAGTTCGGCACGGCCGAGGAGATCTGGACCCAGACCGGCGGAAAGGTCACGGCCATCGTGGCGGGCGCCGGTACGGGCGGCACCATCACCGGCATCGCCCGCGGCATCCGCAAGCACAGCGCCGACGTCAAGATCATCGCCGCCGACCCGCACGGCAGCATCCTCGCCCTCCCCGAGTCGCTCAACGCCGGACACGCCAACGAGCCCTACAAGGTGGAAGGCATCGGCTACGACTTCATCCCCGACGTCCTGGACCGCGAGCTCGTCGACAAGTGGTACAAGACGGACGACCGCGAGTCGTTCCAGCTCGCCCGCCGCCTGATCGCCGAGGAAGGCCTCCTCGTAGGCGGCAGCTCCGGCTCCGCCATGGCCGCCGCCATCCGCGCTGCCAAGGACTTCAACCTCGGCAAGGGCGACACCCTCGTCGTGCTCCTCCCCGACAGCATCCGCAGCTACCTGTCCAAGTTCGCCGACGACGACTGGCTGGCCGCCAACAACCTGCTTCCCGAGGTCAACGGGTTCGAAGCCGGTCCGACCGAGGCCGTCGCCGCCGCGTCCACGGACGCTCACACCGCCGCTTCGGACCCGTACGGCGGCGCCACCATCCGCGCCCTGCGCCTGAAGCCGGTCATGTCGGTGACCAGCACCAGCCCGTGCGCCGAAGCCGTCGAGATCATGCGCGAGAAGGGCTTCGACCAGCTCCCGGTGCAGTCGCCCGGCGCGGGCCGCCTCGTGGGGCTCGTCACGCTGGGGAACCTGCTCAGCTACATCTCGTCCGGCCGCGCCACGGGCGCGAGCCCCGTCAGCGACGTCATGTTCGATTTTGGCCGGCTCGATGAGGTCATCACCGACCCCCGGCAGGTGGGGCCGGCGGCGGCGGCGGCGACGCGCGATGCGAGCGGGAAGAAGAACAAGAGGCACTTTGTCGAGATCACCATGGATACGCCGCTGGCGGTGCTGAGCAAGTTCTTTGAGTGGAACAGCGCGGCGGTCGTGACGGAGAAGGCCGACGATAGCAAGGCGCAGACCCTGTCCAAGCCGTTGGCCATTGTGACCAAGGTGGATCTCCTGACTTGGATGGTCAACAAGAAGCTGTGATGGCAGTGACATGATCTCCTACCGGTGCGGATTAGATTTCTGTGGTGATGTTTGGAGTTGGGGATGCATTCTGCCAATTTTCTTTTCTTTTCTTTTCTTTTCTTTTCTTTTCTTTTCTTTTCTTTTCTTTTCTTTTCTTTTCTTTTCTTTTCTTCGTATGTTTACGACCATAGAAAGCGTGGAATGGAAGCAAATAGGGAGGGTCGCATCAACAGGCCGGAAATGACGGAAACCAAGGCGGCGAGGGGACAGGACGAAATCCGCCTTACAAGTACGGTAGACTCAACATCTCCGTATATATAGCATAACGGAATCGGTTGACACAGGGCAACCTCTAATAGTGAGAAAACCCGAGTTGACGAATGTGTCATTTCGCATCTCTAATCACCCACTGGGAATGCGTGTCCTATAACGTGCATGTACACTTTATTAGAGCCCGTCTATTCATTGCAATGAGGAACATGGAATGATGTATCTGGGCAAGTCAAGTCCGATGCTCTATAGCCGGTATGCCATCCATTGCCACCACTTCTCGATGCCGGGCCCCTCTCCAGTGACATTCCCACCAATAACATCGATATCGATACCAAACTCGCCCATCTGCTCAAAGGTGAACTTTTGCGAAGCATACTCCCCAAGCCAATCATCCTGGGCCTCGGAGCCGACCTCGTCCGCGCCCACACCAGAGTCGAGGAGACGCTTGCTCCGCGAAGCGCGGATGCGGGTGACCTCGGCCTCGAGATTCGACTTGACAGCGGTGCCGGGGAGGGCAGTGAAGAGGTCCAGCTTGTTGGCAGCGACGAGGACGGGGTTGCCGCACTTGGCGAGCGGGGCGCCGGCGCGGATGCGGGCGGAGGCGCGGCGCTGGAGGACGAGGAGGAGGTCGTGCAGGTAAGCGGCGGCGTGGCGGAGGGAGTCCGGGTCGGAGAGGGCGGCGGCGTCGCAGAGGAAGACGACGGCGCGGACGCGGCCCTTGTCGTTCTCACCCATGGCGTCGAGGCGGTTGAACACGCGGGCCCGCAGCTTGCCGTGGCCTGGGGTGTCGGTGAGGAGGAACTTGACGTGTTCGCCCGCGCTTGGACCGGAGGAGGAGGGCGATTCGGAAGAGGAGGACGGGACAGGGGTCTCGATCTCGATGGAGTGATTGTTCGTGGTGGTGTGGGTTTCGGTCGGTTGGGCGTCGGGGCCGCGTTCCATGCGGGTTGCGAGGGCGGTTTTCCCTGCGCCGGAGGGCCCGACGAGAAGGATGGTGGGGAGGTTGGTGAGGCTCGATACGTTGGCTGTGAGCAGAAAGTGGAGGAGTACGGGGACCAGGAGGACGATGAAGATGCCGCCGAATATGACGGCGGGGGTCGGTGTCAAGAGATATTCAGCGAAGTCGGTGAAGGCCATGGTGGGCGGTCTTTCTCTGGTGCACGCGCCCTTTGGATGTGGTGGCGGCACTGGAGAAGAAGGCGAAGGCGAATGAAGACTGGCAGAAGATAGATGGTAAGGAGAGTGAGTGAAGGAGTGGGAAGTTCGTAGGAAAAAAAAAGTGGTCAGAGGAAAAGGCGAGATGAAGGTTGGTTGAAGCCCGTGAATTGACGATAGGGGAGATAAAAGATAAGGAGCTCTGGTACAGATACTTTGTACGTACTTCGCCCACTTAAGCACCTTACCACAAGTACATTTTACACTGTAACTCCTTCGTACCATTGTGAGAACCTTCCTTTTTGGGATATAGTGCACTAAGGTCTGGGGGCTAGGAAGTACAGGTACAGTGCGAGTATACCGGCGTTTGTATGTTTCTTTAATGCGTACGGATTTCGACAGGAGCACGCAATCCAAAGCTAATATAATAAAATAATAGAAAAGGGAGAATAAATAACCGAAAAGGGGATTATAAGAAGATCGGGATTATAATGACTACCTTACCTGTTGGTCCAGTAGGCATATGCAATGTCGGAGCTTGTTCAGCTGGAGATAATGGCCTGTCCTCACACCGTCGAGTACCAAATCCACTTTGCCCAGTGAAAATCATCCTCGTGAAAATAGGGGTTCAGAAGCATAATATAAGGTACCTCACAAAGACGAATACTTCGCCCGTTGTACACGTACTTTGGATCCGCAATTGTGGGTCACTTCCAACAGGGCTTAAATCAGAAGTGGGTCGGCTCCCGTTTCTTCCACAAGTTTTTCCCGCAGCTATTGCTTCCTCTATTGGCCAGCCTTGTGCTTTGCAGGACCGGACCTGACTGTAGCTCAGCCTTCCATCTAATAATTGAAGTGCAGGAAGCTGCATCCAATGTAATCACGCCGAGCCTGCCGCAGCTCAAGACGCTGACGAAGCCCCCCCAGATCGTATCTCTGTCTTTTTATTTTATTTTATTCCTCTCTCCTATCCTTCTATGATTGCATTGTCCACTCATCCCTTTCCCATCACATGCACCTATCTCATCAGCCTCTCCCCTTCGATCTTTGTATCTGATTATATTCCTTGTATTAGCAAAACGGGGTCCTTTTTTCGTGCTCCTCCGAAACATGAAGCGACGATAGCATCGGCATCCGACGTATCCGAAGTCCAACCCCTTGTCCAGCCTTCCACCGTCGTTGTTCATCAGCGAGGCGTTCCGGTCTTTCCATCAATCGCTGATCTCTCTAGCTTCGGTCCATCGGTCTTGAACCAATTCAGTCGTTGAACACGAGAAACTACCTCTCGCCTAGCCAGCCCTCTCGCCACGTGCCGCCCAACGAGATCGCTGTTACACAGGTTGTCCATTCGATTCGATGGACGAACCGCAACCCTCCCGCGAGGCGTCTTTGTCCCCTCGTGTCGACATGGCTCCATCTGCTCCTGCTTCCATACAGCCCTCGTCCAAGGCGTCTATCGCTGCACCCACCGTTAATAGCGACGTGGAGCTCTCCGCCGTGGGCGATGCTCGCGCCCAACCCCCTCCGCCGGCCGAGGACGACATAATGCATTTGGCCCGGGTGGGGCATATCGCCGGTATGGAGAGGTTATTCGAGTCGGGCGAGTACGATGCGACATATACCGACGAGGAGGGCATCACACCGTTGCACGTATGTCCTCTCTCCCTGTTCTTCCCCGTCTCCCTGTCCTCTCCCTTCCTTCCCATCTTCTCTCCAATGCCCTCCCATGCTGATGTCTTGTTTTGCAGTGGGCTGCCATCAACAACCAGTACGCCATGTGCAAATTTCTCATCGAACACGGCGCCGAAATAAACCGAAAGGGCGGAGAATCCGTGGCCACGCCCTTGCAGTGGGCTGCCCAACGCTGTCACTACTACACCGTCAACCTCCTCCTCCAGCACGGCGCCGACCCTCTCATCACCGACGCCCAAGGCTACAATACCCTACACATCGCCACCTTCAATGGCAGCGTCCTTCTCATTGCCCTGCTTCTTCACCAGGGCATCCCGGTCGACGTTCTCGACTCGTATGGCCACACCGGTCTTATGTGGTCCGCCTACAAGGGCTACCCCCAATGCGTCGACCTCTTCCTCCGTTGGGGCGCCAATGTGCACCACGCCGACGAGCAGGGCTTCACGCCGCTCCACTGGGCCCTCGTCAAGGGCTCCCCAGCCTGCATCCAGAAGCTCATCGAGTACGGCGCCGACCGCTTCGCCAAGACCGAGACCGGAAAGACGCCCGCCCTGACGGCGTCCGAGCTCAACACCACCATGGCCTGGCACCGTGCGCTCCGCGAGTGCGGCTACGACGAGGACGGCCAACCTAACGAGCCGCACTTCCCGGGAGCCCAGTACCTCCGTCAGGACAAGCGCGGATTCATCACCAAGTTCCTCTTCTTCTGGCCTTTCCTCATGGTCTGGACGTGCCTCCACCTAATCAGCGGGCTGCCCATCCTCCTCGGCATCTTCCTCACGCTCGTCATCGGCTACGCTATGCAATGGTGTGCCATGCGCGTGCTTGACCATGCACCTCCGGGAATGAGACACATTCACAAGACTGTATGTTTTGCTGCCTCGCATCCCCTCACACTCGTCTCCATAACCGCAACATGAAGCTAACTTGGCCAGCCTTACCTTGCCGGCGTCTTCTCGGGCTCCCTGTTCCTCATATGGTGGAGCTGGATCTTCACCGTCTTTCCTCGGACTACATTCACCAACAGTGCGCCTCCTCAACCCCCCGTTTCTTTTCTTTATGCATGCGAGCATGAGCATGTCTTTCTAATGTAGACCGCAGCACCCAGCAACCCACATTGGTGGTTAAACATCCTCTTCGTCGTCTGTGTAGGTCTCTGTACCTACTTCTATGCCATGTGCATGTTGCACGACCCCGGCTTCGTCCCCAAGATGAACGGCATCGCCGAGCAGAAGGCTGTCATCGATCAACTCCTCAAGGAGTGGAAGTTCGACGAAGCCAACTTCTGCATCGCCTGTATGATTCGCACCCCGCTCCGCAGCAAGCACTGCAAACAGTGCCAACGCTGCGTTGCCAAAATCGACCAGTATGTTCCGTGTCCCCTATGATTTCCCCCCCTCCCCGAACAAAGCCATTGGGGATGATAGCTGACCCCTTGATAGCCACTGTCCCTGGGTGTACAACTGCGTGGCTGTCAACAATCACCGTCACTTCTTCCTCTACCTGATTAACCTAAGCCTCGGAATTATTCTCTTCGACTGGTTGGTCTACTACTGTATGTCATCTCTTATGCTCGCCTACTTCTTTCTCTCCTGCCTTTCTCCTGTTTTGCCGGCGACTCCCACTAAGACTCAAATTCCCCCCAGATCTTACCGAAGCTTCAGTGAGCGCGTCGGATACATGCAGCCTGCTGAGTGCGGATCTCTGCAAGATGCTCAACACGGACGCGTATACCGCGGCCCTCGCGCTCTGGGGCTCGCTCCAGCTCACTTGGGTCAGCATGCTCATGTTCGTCCAGTTCGTCCAGGTGGCGCGTGCCATGACGACGTTCGAGAACATGTACGGCATCCGAGACTCGACGGCCACGGCGGCCTTTACGACGACCGGCATGCCTCTGGATCCCAACCGCGTCCTCGCGACAGCCGACGGCGGTGCGGTGCCGGCCGGTCACGGTCACGGTCACGGCCACAGGCATGGCCACCGCGGCGGCTTCCTCAAGCAGTGGTCGCGTCTCCTGGGCATCGAGCCGTTCCTCGAAACGATTCGGGGACGCGGCGCGGCGACGAGCGGGCTCAAGAACGGGCGCCGGCGCGGCAAGAACCCCTACTCGCGCGGCCTGGTCGGCAACTGCCGAGATTTCTGGTGCGATCCGGCCCCGATGTTTGGGAAGCGCGAGAACGGCAGTGCGGTGATTGGCGGCCAGCCTATCGATTACACGGCCATATACGAGAGTCCTACGTTGATGGAGATTACCCGAGGACGGAGACGGGGTGGGTACGAGCAGGTGTCGGGCACCGACGAGGTGTAGATCGCCCAAGAAGATGACTGGAGCTGTTGGATCGTACGGGTACTGAGGCCTCGTCGATGCGCGATTTTTGCGAGAGGAACAAAAACTGGGCCGTAGACTCATGATAGAGAGTCGCTCGTCGGGGATAGGAAAATCAACACAACCGACGAGGCGCAGGGAGCGGTGTGACATGCGTCCATGATTCAAATTCGGATAATAATTACGGCCGTTGAGTACGTATCGCTTGAGGGCATGCCAAAACCAGGGGAGAGCAAAAGAAGACAAGGAGAAGACAAGCCTGTACGTATATATTAAACCATGGGCGGAGTGTAACAACGGACAAGACTCTGATGGAGTATCTTAATCCGTATCGTCATGATCGGATCCGAAAGAGGCTCCTGTACGTTCTAGGTGTAATGAATGCAACTCGGCCGGGCGCACAGACTCTCTCTTTCTCTTTCTCTCTCTCTCCCTCCTTCAATTGCTCTGCTGCAAAAACGTATCATCTTGTTCAAAGACAAAGAGGCAAGCTTCGAGGTTGAAGGGGAGGTGGCCGTCGAAGAAGCGACCGTGACGCTGGGGATTCTCATTTCCAGGCTCCTGGAACCGAATCACGTTGCGACAATGAACCAACGGGGACGGAACTTCAAACTCGGAAATTCGCACGCGCGTGCAGGCGTCAATTTTGCCATGCTTCTCGGCGTCCTTCGTGTGGCCAATCCTCCGCTGACCAAGTCAACAGAGTGTCAAAAAACCCCCATTTTTTTTTTCCTTCTCCTTTTTGTCAAGGAGCTCCTGGACCTATCCCAGGGGACTGGAACAAGACTGTTTCCATCTCGAGTTATTTTTGGCATTCCGGTACGAGCCTAGTCAACAGGACGCCACACGTGACAATCTGCGAAGGAGAGACCCTTTAATAGACGATATGGACAGACGAGAACGAAATGCCCCTGCAGGGGTTCCCCCAGGCACACGGTTTCTCGTTTCAGGCGGGAGAGAGAAAAGTGTCGAACCCATTGGTAAGTGCATGTGGGTTCCGAGTGGTCGGCTCTGTTGCTATCAATATACCCACGAGAGAATGATGGCGGAAAAGGACCCTGTTGGGGGATTTGTAGGTTGAAATGGTGTTAGTTCGGGTTGTTCACGAGGGTTTTCGATGCCGTGCGTGGACGGACTGGGCTTTGCGCAACGGAAAACTCAGTTCGTCGGGTAGACTGCAGACACAGACTCGTTCTTAACAAGCGCTTTTGAAATCCAGTGCTTGTGTTCTCGTTCTAGCAATTGTCCGTCGGTTGGGGGGGGGGGGGGAGAAGAAAAAAAGAAAAAGAAAAAGAAACAGATCCTCGAAGGTGGGTGAGGGTCACGTTCTACCTCCATAGCCTGCGACACGGAGGCCTTTCGGTGACGCCGGCGGCAGCCTGAGGAGGGAGAAAATGGCCACATTACCTCAAATAATTTGGGCGCTAGAAGGAGAAGGGACAAGTCGAGAAGGGAAGATGACAGAAGGAGAGTAAGAGAAGGAGAGAAGGTTGCTGGCCGTTCTGTTTTCTCGAATTGCAGGGGTGAAAGACGCGGAATCCGTAGGATGTGTCCCATGTCCGTGATGTGTCCGTATTGGCGTGCGGACACCGAGGTAATTACTCCTTGTTTCGTGAGGGGAGGTCGGTCTACAAGACGCCATTTGTTCATAAGAACCATGAGATGATCGTTAAAGGAAATGAAACGGCAAGACGAATGCTGGTGCCTGGTAAGTGAAGGAAAGAAGAAGGGGGGGGGGGGGAAGGCCGGAATCTGCGCTGCGTAGATGAAGTGATGCCGAAAATGAAGGCCATCTTCTAATTCTTCTAATTATTGCTTGCTCCCTGTCATGATATTTGTCACGGCGGAGAATTATGATGGCGGCAATGGACCAATGACGTGAAGATGAATGGGTACTGGCAAGTGGGGTACGGTAGGCAGACAAGAAAGACGCTCACTTCACAATAGTCCTTCGCGGTATTTTACTCGCAGCACGAGGACTTTGCTCCGATGGTTGCCTTGTAAAGGTCGCAGGGCCATGAGAGGAACTGAAAGTGGAAGAACCCGGGGGGGGGGGTGGCATCAGCGATCTCAAGGGCGTGTGTTCAAAGAGACGCGGGAGGTTCGAGATGATGTGCCTCGTGATGTACCGATAGCAGTGGACACAAAGTCCTACAAAAGAGGGAGAACCTCTTCGCTGCAGAGACAGTGTGGGGTGAATGACGATGTTCTGCCCAAAAACGGACACCGAGAGCAGGCAGCCCTCTCATGCGAGTTTCGTGGGCCAGCGAGAGGCCTCGGTCCCTTTGCAGATGGCGTTCAAGATGACGAACTGGCCGGCCGATGCGTGCAGGTGGATAGACACCTCGTAGATGCAAGACATGCTTGGAGGCAAAATGCTTAGCCCTCAACTAGGGCTGACAGTTTGTGTCCTGCCTTGCCCGGCCCGGCAAACTGACTTGCATGGCCGCAGACCAGATGCACGAATGCAGTGGAGAGATGGGGGGCATTGATTTGAGAGGCCAATTCATACCTTAGTCGACCAGTGTCGAGAGGTTTGGCCTTGTGGGCACGTCTGCAGTTCAAGCGTCACTTGCAGCGAATTGTACATGATGTGCAGCAGCACGGGGTCAAATCGGAGAATGGGATGCTGACTTGTCTGTTTGCTGCAACAGCTTGCTGGTTCTTGTGAGACTCGATAGTGTATAGAGGTATGGGACGTCTGTCACAAGATGGCCATCTTTACTAATCAAGAAAAAGACCGAAACGCCATGATTCACGTCGTACAAGTCGACTGTAAGGAGTGGCAGTGTGTTTCGGGACGCGCTGTGCAGCATCTGCATCGTGAGCCGCCAGGAGACAGGAGAGGCCACTTGAGAGACCGTTGGGAGGAGAATTTGGGACAACTTCTCGGGGAAATTCATATCCATTGAAGGTCAATAGCTAGGAACAGAGGCGATAGGACAGCCGCGTGAGGGGGTCCAATTGGGAAGGCCGGGCATGGCCGGTCGCTTAGACGCTTACCTAGAGAGCAATAGAAAGTCTGCAGTATGGGTGTTTGAGGTTTGCGGTTTCAAGACGGCTATTTTTGTGTCACAGTGTCGATGATGATGCCGGAGGAGAGCGAAGGAGCACGGCGGCGGAGGAAATGGTGGACGGAGGATTAGACGTGAATTTCCTTTTTTTCTTTCCTTTTCTTTTCCCTCGTTGTTACGAACTACGAATGCGGTTGCCGGGAAACTCCGCTGAATCATTGTCCTAGGGGTGATGCCTGCAGTACCTACTATTAGGTCACTGCTAGGGCGCTGTATTAAGGACTCAGGGACAGTCCTCAGTAAGAAGGGCGCCGATGGGACGAGAGGTAATTACAGCGTAACCTACGAATAGCATTGGTGAGTGGAGAGCGGATTGAACGCTGTGAGTGGATGAATCTGGGCTACCTCTGGAGATTGGTCTCCACTTTGAGGGCTGAGAAAAACGGATAGTGTATAAACCACAGATTTATTTCATCTATTTCCACTCCCACTCCCCACGTTCCCATCCCACCCCCCGACAGACCCCTAAACAACACCGCCGCAACGGCCTCCGACAGGGCCAGGGAAGCCCGTTAAGACTGTCATCAGCCACGAGACCCCATAATTCGAGGGCGGAGCCGTTACGGCCACTCCCTTTTTACACTCTCCATTCTTGTCCCCTCAGACCCCCCCGGATGAGTCCTCACAACAATACCTACCCTCGATGTTGCAGCCTGCACATCCACAAGTCCTGCATTATGTATGTTTTATGTACTGGGCACTCCACACCCACACGGCCCACTTCCCCGGGAGAGGCCTAGAAGCCATCACGAGAAATGGCAGTTAATTTCATGTATATATCTTGGCCTTCTCTTTTTTTCCCTCCTCTAATCCACTCTCTCAGCCCTACTGTCACATCGCGTAGAACCACTACTGAACCCTTTCTTCCACTTCCACTTCCGCTTCCACGTCCGACTTCATCTAAGCTCGAGCTTACACCAGCTGACCAGCATACCGCTTCCCTTCTTGCATACAAATACCCCATCACTCCCACCTGGCTCTCCTGGATCGTCGCAAGTTCTCAACGCTTCATTCAGCACGCTTCCCATCCTCGTCGTCCCGCATTATTCGACGCTCTTAGTCTTTGACCCGCCGCTGCGACACCGTCCCGGCACCCAGAACCACAACCACCAGCGTACGACGCGCACTCTCACCACCTCTTCGACCGCCACAATGTGCAAGGTCGACTATTACATTGACGTCTACCCAGACGGCACCGAGAAGAGGAGGAGCCGCGTGGAGCCTTGCTCTACGTCTCGCTCTTATACCTGCCAGGACGCCGAAACCTTCCACCACCCCAAGACCTACGTCGCCCTCCCCCCGAGCCCACGCCTCAGCCATAGCGGCTCACCCAGGCTAGACGCCCCCATCGTCTACCACTCCAACAGCGAGTCCGACCACTCGCGCCGCAGCGGTCGTCATCGGGACAGCACCCTCTACTTCTCCTCCTCACCACACCGCATCGAAGTGAGCCACTCCCGGTCCCCCGGCGGCTCCGGCTCGCGATACCTCCACCCCCACGACAGCCATGACCGCCACCACCGCCGCAGCCGGTACCGTCTCTCGACCACCGAACCCCAGCGACCCGGCGAACGCGTCGTCATCGTCGAGAACCCGCCCACGCCACGGACCCCTCCTCAGAACATCTCCATGCCCTACACCGCCCCTTCGTCTCCACTGAACGGATTTCTCTCCTCCACGCCCCCCGACGGCCGCCGCTCGTCCCGCCGTGGCCAGCCCGTCATCGTAGACGAAAGGCCACGCGTCCGCTTCAACGAAGTACCGGAAGAAGGGCTCTCCTCCCGCCGCCGCCGCGTCCCCGAACCTGTTATCACGACTACCGAAGAACGCCCGAGGAGGCGGCGCGAGGCCACCACTACCGCCGCCGCCGCCGCCGCCGTCGCCAATAACACCACCACTGCATCCGAGAGGGAAAGGGCAGAGAGGATAGCCCGTCTCAACGACCGCATCAACGCCCGCCCCGCCGTGCCCATCCCCATCCCCATCCCCAGCGCGAACCCGACCCTGAGGCGGTCCACCACCGGCTTCGCCCCCGTGGTCGACGAGGGGGCGCACGAGCGCGAGCTGCGCGAGGCCCTTCGCCAGCTCGACCTCGGCGACCGCGTGCTCCGCCGCTCCGACACCGTGGCTGCCGGCCAGCCCTCCTCGTCATCGCAGCAGAGGCGCGACTCGCGCCGTGACCTGTACGACCGCTATGGGAGGCGGTACGTTGACGAGGGGCAGGATGACGAAGAGGAGGCGCAGCGGCGCCGGCTCGCGGAGCGGATGATGCCGCGGCGGCGGGCTACTGTTGGGCCTGGCGCGAGGCGGAATCGCGTCCTTTACGATGATGGCATGTACAGGTGGGAGTGATTTGCGCCCCCTGTCTCTACATATTGATTCATACGTTCCTGTACTCTATGAGAGGTTTCTTTTGTCTATTTGTCTGTCTGTTGATCAGGGATTGGAGCGTCTGTGGCCTTTTTTAGAACGCATGTTTATTGGTTCTGGCATTGTTTATGCTGCTAGCTGGGAAGCATCACTTTTCTGATCTCCCTCTGTATACCCCTCTTCTCTTTTTTTCTTCTTCTCTTTATCACTTCGCATCATCCACTAGAGGATCATTGTATCTTGCTTCCATTGACGAGCGTTCTGCAATTACAAGGCGGGGCCCATTGAAAACATGAAGGCATTTTGGGAAACGGGCATATCCGGGGTCCCGGCCGTCGGAGGCTCGAGAGAACAACACAACACAACACAAAATCCGTTGAGCTGAATAGAATTTTACTTTGTTGGCTCACTTTACTGTCCGAATTACCCTGATACGTGATGAGTGATCAGTGACGAAAATGTTCCAACTTGCGGCCTGTAATTGATGAGCGATATCTTCTCCCTAGAGTACCCGTAGTACATGCGGACCATGCAACAACACAACACAAGCAATGACATTCTACAGGATTGGCTTGGGCATGTTTGGCTTGGATCCCAAGTAGATGTTGGATGTGGTTGCAGCCGTGGGGTGTGGACGGGTAGCAAAATGCGTGTGTGTGTGTGTATGTGTGAGTGTGTGTGTGTCCACCCCGTGACAGGTTCATAAAGGATGTATGTCTCGCTTCTCCCTCCATGAACCGATTATCGTTTGTTTTGTTTATCTATACCTGTTAGTAGGGAACACTGCGATTTTGATTCTGGGATGGGCCTTGACAGTTCTGAGCTGTCCTAAAGTGATATGGCTGGCAAACACGAATGGCGGTTCCACTCCATCATCCGGCATTCAGTTCTGCCTCTCTTCATCGTCTTATCTGCCCTGTTTAACCCAGACTTAACCAATTCCGTAGACGAAAAAGAGGACGGCCAGGGCCAGTGGGGAGATCTTGAGATGCAATTAGAAACGCACGTGTGTCCGTCGAGTCATCGCCGTTGTATTCTCCCCATGCGGGTAATCACAAAGTCCTGCTTGCCTTTCGAGGCCTCACCATATCCACCCATATCCATCTGCCTATTCTGTCAAGTCTGCGCCAATCTCGGTTGGCCGGCCTCATGCAGATGCACCCCCCCACGCGCAACACACCATGACGTCCCGGGGCTCTTGTCCCTCCATGTCGTTTCTTTGTCAACTCACCTTTCCCATGGGGAATTGGGCTGGCTGGCTGCTGCCTGTAGGAGGGGAGAGGAGGGGTTGCTGGTGATTTCTCATCGCTTTTCCTTCTCCGCGGCCTTTCGTCCTGATTGAACATCGGGTTTGGTGTCGTGCTCCTGGTCGGTTGCTTCACAGGGACGACCAACACAAGGGAATCAAGGATATATCATATCAACACCAAAGCCGCAGATGGCGAGTATGGACGCTGCACAACCCACTGAGACGCAAAAGCAGGTCCCGTGGCCCTCCGCACTATTGTAAGATTGTAAGTCTAGGAGTCTAGGAGTCTAGGAGTCTAGCCTGTCCCCGGACCGGCTCTGGGATGTTCTGCTTGGCCAAGACAAAGATAGGCTGCCATCCGAAAAACATGCGGGGTAAGTATGACTTTGTCGAGAGCCGGACTGACACGCTAGCATTGATGGAAGCAGAGGGCGGGTTGTCCAGAATAAATTACCGGGTCGATGCCGGGTGACGCATTTTGTCGACGAGCGGGATGGGGGATGGATAAAGGTAGGGGAGGAATGGAATGCTTATTAAGGGGTTATTAGTTAAGGTAAGGTACCTTATGTAAGGTCACATTGATGATGCGGGATTTCTTCCTGTGGCGGTGTGCGTGAGGGACCATTACATTGCATTAGCGCAAGGGGCTGAACAGTGGCTTAGTCAATGGGCAACGGCCTCCACTCTACCTACTTTAAGGATGTAAGGTGAGGTACCTTACATGAGTTCGAGTGGAAGATGAGCATATCTTACATATGGTGTTCTGTTTAGTATTAAACATTGCGCGTAATTGGTGAATAGGAATAATATGTGAGTGCTAGAGAGAAATACAGAATCCATCCTTTTCGCTTTACTATCCAAAAGTTCAATCTACTTACTCCCGTAAATCCATGAAATGGACCTAATTCAACATTTCCTATGATTGGCCTCGCGGTACTTGCCCCTTTCACCAGAGGTATCCCTATTTCCAGGGGACGATTTCAGGGCGGCTTGGGCGGCTTTCTCGGGGATACCTGCCTTACTTTGTGCCACTGACTCGCACCTCGTAGTACGTTGGACGGACTACGGAGTACTGTACCTGGAGCCAATGCCATCGAAACTGATAGGACAGGCACCCCTTTGTTGATTTGATTTTCCTTTTCCTTTTCCTTTTTTATTTTATTTACTTATTTATATACCTTTTCATTTTCATTTCCCATTTCCCCCCTTGGACCTGGTGGGTACTAGGGCAAAGGCGGGCCCTTCCCTTCCCCAGATTTACACGTTTACACGTGTACACTACCTTGCGTAACGTACCTTACCTTAGGGGATGGGGTTACTCAATGTACAACGTAGTGTAGCCCCTTTGTCAACAAAACCACAAAAAAACGACGTCAGTGGGGTTCAACTGTTTCACCAAGGCCATATGCACATGGGACGGATTTTTCTCTCCACTTTGAAAAAAAGAAAAGAAAGAAAAGGAAAAAAAGGAAAAAAAGGAAAAAAAAAACGAGGGCCTTCCAATTCTCGACATCATAACTTCCAGTCCTCAACACTACAAACACTACTAAATGGAACGGTGCTGTATGGAGAGCCATGGAATCACCCAACGAACCGCCTCCTGACCTCAGAATCGGCCAAGGTGACACCAACACCACAGTCACTGGAGATAACCAGGCGAGGCCAGAACTGGGCAAAGATAGAGCCTCCGGATCGGACAGCGCCGGCGCTGGCACGAGGAAGGAGAAAGGCCGCGTCAGGTTTAACAGCAGAGCGGGCGTGGCCGGGGTTTCTGTGCAGGACCACGCAGCCCACGCTGCCCACGCTTCTCATGTCGCCTCCAATGTCGACCCAACCAGCTCCCGAGCTCTACCAGATTTCCAAGACATCAGGATCAGGACTAGCGATGGAGATTTCGTGTCCAGCAATGACGCCATTCCTCTGCGCGACTTGCCAACCGCAAGGGGAAACGCCTGGCAGCGGATTCCACCCGACGACGGCGAACAACGCGGTTTGGCGAACCAAGAAGCCCATCGCCTCGTCCAAGACTATACTTCAGGAGCCACAGGCACACGCACTGCGGGCCATGCTACGACACATAACGGCAGCAATGGCGCAACCTCGTCGAACGCTCCGCGTCCCGAACTGAGCGAGGTCAACGATGGGAACTACGACGGGTTATACGAAGTCTCCCCTCCCAAGGAGTATCGCGGGAACATCCTCTCGCAACTCCTCAAGCTCTATAAACCCGCCACCGCCGCTTCTGCCGAGCCGCTGCTGGGCCTGGGCCAGAGCACCAGCCGCAACTCCGGAATTTCGTCTCCGGGCGATCAGACCCCGACCGCCCCAGGCTCCTCCCACGGCAATGGCGGCACCGGCACCGGCACCGGCGGTACAACCCCCATGCGCCGCAAGTGGTACGAGCAGAACCGGTCGCAGGACACCCTCTATAACCTCGTCGAAGCCTCCGCCCGGCTCGCCGTCCCCAACAACGAACCCTCGACGCCGCCGTCGTCCGAGCAAAAGGCCGACGGCAAGAAACGGCACCGGCCCCTACACAAACGGACCGCCAGCAGCTCCCGTTTCAGCGCCTTCCTGCAGGCCGAGGAGGAACAGCATCAACAACAAGAACAGCAACAACAACAACAACAACAACACCGCATCACCGTCCACATCGCCGAGACCATCTCCCGGCAGGACTACATCATCAAGCTCTGCCGGGCCCTGATGCTGTTCGGCGCCCCCACCCACCGTCTCGAGGAGTACCTCAGCACGACGGCGCAGATCCTCGAGATCGACGGCCAGTTCCTGTACCTGCCGGGCTGCATGATCATCTCGTTCGACGACAAGCCCACCCGCACCGCCGAGGTGAGCATCGTGCGCACCGCCCAGGGCATCGACCTCGGCCGCCTCCAGGACACGCACCAGATCTACAAGGAGGTCATCCACGACGTCATCGGCGCCGAGGAGGGCGCCGAGAAGCTGGACCTCCTGGTGGCCGCCCGGGTGAGGTACCACCCCTGGCTCCGCGTGCTGGTGTTCGGCCTGACCAGCGCCGCCTGCGGGCCCTTCTCCTTCAGCGCCCGCCTCATCGACATCCCGCTCGCCTTTTGCTTCGGCTGCCTCGTCGGCGTGCTGCAGCTGATCGTCGCGCCCAAGTCGCTGCTCTACAGCAACGTCCTGGAAGTGAGCGCCACCGTCTTGGTGAGCTTCCTGGCCAGGGCCTTCGGGAGCATCAACGACGGGAAGCTGTTTTGTTTCTCGGCCATTGCCCAAAGTGGCATCGTCATGCTTTTGCCCGGGTATGCCGTTTGTAAGTGGCACTCTCAAGGGGGCACTCAGCCACCCTTGGTAGAAATCTGGACTGACGTGATCGTGGAAAAACGGTAGTATGCTCCGCCCTCGAACTCCAATCCCGCGCCATCGTCCCCGGCTCCATCCGCATCGTCTACGCCATCATCTACTCCCTCTTCCTCGGCTTCGGCATCACCGTGGGCGCCGCCCTCTACGGCGTCATGGACAGCAACGCCACCTCGTCCACCACCTGCGAGGACCCCCTGCCGCCCTACTACCGCTTCGTCTTCGTCCCGCTCTTCGTCCTCTGCATCAGCATCCTGTACCAGGCCCGCTGGCGCCAGATGCCCGTCATGGTCGTCGTCGCCTTCGCCGGCTACGTCGTCAGCTTCTTCACCGGCCGCCGCTTCGTCGCCGCCCCGCAGGTCGCCCCCACCCTCGGCGCCCTGACTGTCGGCGTCCTGGCCAACCTCCACTCCAGGGTCCGCCACGGCGTCGCCGCCGCCACCCTCATCCCGGCCATCTTCACCCAGGTCCCCGGAGGGTTGGCGTCGACGGGCGGTCTGCTGAGCGGGCTGAGCACCGCCAACCTGATTACCAACGCCACCCAGGCCGCCGCCAATGGGACGACCGCCCCGTCGTCGCCGTTTGAAACGGGCAGCGAGAACCTCAACGCCGTTGTTTTCAACGTGGCTGCCTCGATGATTCAGATCGCCATCGGTATTGCCGTCGGTTTGTTCATGAGCGCCTTGATTATCTACCCGCTTGGTAAGAGGCGGAGCGGGCTGTTCAGTTTTTGATGCTGCGCATGGTCTGCTTCAGGGCCTTCTTCAAGGCCTGCTTCAAGGCATCGTGCTGCTGCCTCATGAACCCCACCCCCTCCCCCCTTTCCGAACCCACATGCATGCAAAGGTTCATTCAGATTCACAGGTAGGGTCTGTGATTGGCAGTAGGAACCTTACGTCGATGCTTACCCAGCTCCATGCCGCTCCCCGGCCGTTTCTCTGGCAGAAACGGGAGAGTTGCGCTGGGGACACTTTCACCAGATTCAAAGGCTTCAGTGTCTGACTCTCGGTGTCCTCTCCTCAACGCCTCGACATACAAAGTACGAGCCTCAACGACTTTGCTAAAGACCAATGGAAACCCCAATTCGGTTTTGTTTTGGGATATGACAGCCGGCAGCCCCCACATACATGCATACAGAAGATAGAGCATCATAGACACTCATCAGCAGCCCCGAGTCCATTAGCTCAGCACGGGGAAGAAAAACCTGTCAACCTAGCCGCCACCATAGAAATGCATTTCCAAGGGAGTAACATGAATGACCAAGAGCTGACAGACGTTACGCTATCTTTCCCCCTTATTTAGGGAGTGATCCGATGAGATTGACACTGACTCGGCCGAACGTCGTTCCATCTCTTTTAGGCCGGTAAGAGCGAAAGCCGGATCCAGCGGAGTGCGCACCTAGCTTGACAGAACAGGAGATCTGCAAATGTGCTCTCTCTAAATGGCTCGGCAACACGTACGGCTGCACACCTGCGAAACGAAAACACCCCTTAGTGGTTGGTACAGTAGTATAAGCTGCGTGTGTTTATCATTCTTGGTGCTTATTGTGAAAGCCGGATGATACCATGATCGCTGTCCCACCTCCTGAATGCAAGCTGTCGTCTCTGGTCCAAGTCAGTCGGTATGGGGTTGATATTTCCATCATTGTCTGGTTTTACCGTTTTCTTATGCGGGTCAATCTCCGCAGTTTCGACTCGATCATACGCTGTCCGACGCCCGTCTCAGCCACACCCGTCAGTGGCCGTTCTTTATATAGTAATAGCCTATAGGTCTTTCCCCGATCCCCTGGCTGCCCCGACCCCCTGATGGAGGTGAGCAAGTTTGCCGGTTTCCTGTTACTAACGCAGAAAATGAGGCCGTTGATCGCACCGCTGATCCCTTGTCTGACGCTGTCAGAGTTTGAAATCCCCAGCATGGAGAAATAAATGATAATTTATAAACGTCCAGGGGACGAAAGTGTCGTGTGGGAAAACGTTCCTGACCTGACATCCCCTTTACTCACGGGCCCCCTAAACTGAACATCATTACTTGCTAACCCGACAACTTGCACACCATTGCGTCGATGACTTGTGACTTTATTGTTGTCGGAGGTGAGCGTCACCGTCAAATTCAACCCCAGGTCTCCAAGTTTGATCATACAAACTTATTTCCTATCCTCCTCCGTCCCAATATCAAGGTCATATATAATTTCATACATTCTTTTTATGTGCCTTGGGGCCTTGCCGCTAATTCCAATTTCCCCCCTCATAGCTGGGCCCTTGTCGGCACTTTGATTTGGCGGACGGCAAAGGGGCACCAACTGACATTCAAGTCACCCGCAGATCGGGGTTCGAAAGAGGTCGTGCTCTCGGCCGGTGCCCTTGACAGCCCCAAGATCCTCATGCACCCCGGCATCGGCCCCCGCAAACAGCTGGAACAATTCGGAATACCCGTCGTGAGGGACGTACCGGCTGTCGGCCAGGGTTTGAGGGTCCACATGTCCTGCCGTCTCGTGTATACGCGGAAAGGAGGGCGACACGGCCCGCGCGTCGTTCTACGGCGTCCGGGAGACGATGGACGAGGCGCTGGAGCAGTGTAAGCGCAACGGTACGGTCCCGTGGTCTACGTATGCCTGCGAGCTGGACATCGGCTGCTTCAAGCTCAACAAGCTCGTCGCCTCGGAGGAATTCAAGACACTGCCCCCCCCCCCCCCCGGAGGAGCGGGCCCGTCTGACCCGGGACAAGGTGCCCCACTCCGAAATCATCACGCACCTCCCCGCCCACTGGTTGCTCCCCGGCTTTCCCCAGGACAGCGGCAGTCTCAACTACTCCGCCCTCGTGGTCTTCTACTACAACGCCCAGAGCCGCGGCGAGGCGACGCTGCAGTCGGCGGACCCGAACGAGCCGCTCAGGTTCGACCCCAAATTCCTCGACGACCCCTTCGACCGCCGCGCCGCGCCGCCATCGAGTCCCTGCGCGACGCTTTGCGGTTTGCAAAGTACGAGGGTTATACGAAGAATAACGTGGCTGTGCTGGCGCACGACGATATCTTTTATGGCGCAAGTCGACGGGCGGCTAAGCGGACGGTCTTCTTAGCTTCCCTTACTGCAGCCAATCAAAGCGGCTGATACCCGCTGTCATTTCCCTTTTAGGAAGTTGACCGGACCTCGGGTCCGAAAGCCATCAGGGGTCGACGACGGAGACAAGTTTACCCACCGTAAGACACGCGTCAGGACCACGAGCATATATTAGGGGAGGTACTTGAGTTCGACTCCATGATGACCGGCAAGAGAGTCCGTCCTTGACTGCGGTATTCCAAATCCGCCATTGGATAATGATGGGGGTCATCCGCGATTGCTAATATGGTTTCCCGCCTCTGGGTAGCAACCCTTGTCGAATCCCCTTATCCAAAACCTGGTAATTCAGGGATCGGCAATCTCCATGCCTATAGTAGACATTGGGCCGTAGGGGATAAATCGCGACCATGGCGGAACATGGCATGCTCGGCGTCCGTGATCCCGAACCACTGACAGGGAAAGGATCGGGGCTTTGGGGTCTGTTACTGGTGGCATTTCTATGATGCTGGATTAAATCAGAAAATGACTATTCGATTACTACTGAGGTGTATTATTTTGGCCAACTATTTAAGAAACCATAGCCCCAACGGCTCGTCATTGTCAAGACTCAAGGGGTGTGATGTAAAAAATCAAGACTCAGTAGAGAGACCTGCCATTGCCATTGCCATTGCTATTTCTACACTGGCACCAGCTCCAGTGATCTCACCATACAAGCCGCAACCATGAAGTCTTTTCCCCTCTTGCCCTTGCTCGCGACGGGCTCCCTTGCCCACTGTCAGTCTGCTTGAGAATCCCTGGCATATGCCATCCAAGACTTGAAAGTTCTGCACCTGGACGCACAATATACTAACACCAAAGTCCCATCCAGACTACTTCCCGAACACCATCGTCGATGGCGTACAATCCGACGACTGGGAGTTCATCCGCCAAACCCAGAACGTTCCCGGCTCTGAGCCCGTCGAAGACCTCGACTCCAACCTCCTCCGCTGTTTCGAGGCTTCTGACCGCCCCGCCGCAGATGTCCTCTCCGTCGCCGCCGGCGCCGAAATCGGGCTCAAGTCCAGCAACAGCATGGGCCACCCGGGCCCTTCGCTCTTCTACATGGCCCGCGTCCCGGACGGCGAGGACATTACCACCTGGCAGCCCACCGGCGACGTCTGGTTCAAGATTGACCACTACGGCGACCAAGGCGGCGAGTACCCCCAATTCGAGACGGAGATGACCGAAATCTACACCACTATCCCGTCCTCGGTGCCCGACGGCAACTATCTCCTCCGTGCCGAGCATATTGGTCTTCATGTTGCTGGCGCCCCGCAGTTCTACATTGCCTGTGCCCAGCTCTCTGTCTCCGGTGGCGGCTCCGGTAATCCCAGCCCCCTCGTCTCGTTCCCGGGCGTATATACTATGAACGATCCCGGTCTCTCGGTCAATATCTATGTTGCTGATGGCCCGTATGAGTACCCCGGCCCCGAGGTGTGGTCTGGCTAAGTGATGGGAGTACCACTGTGGCATGACCGGATTGAAGACCCCAGTCATCCCTTCTTATATATAGACTAGAAACTCAAGATAGGTCTTGCGGCATCTCCTAGATGCTGCTAACGAACGTGATATCGAACCAGTTGCTAGAAGTCGTGCCCTTTCGAGAAGGACTTACAAGGCTCGTGCTCGATTCCACAAGACGAAATGCGTAGATGGGGTTAGCTGGCAGTCATGATATCGTTGTAAAGAACAAGAATTGAAGCACAGAGTCCTTCTTTGTGATTCACGAACCACTGTTCTTTGTCTTTAAGAGCGGTGTTCGCCAGGTCCGTGGTCTACATGTACTCTTTTGGCAACTTTAGAGTGCCTCGGCCGACTACCTACCAACGTAGTAAAGACATACCCAATTCGTCCGGTAATTTCCCCGTTTTAGGTCACCTTGTTCATATCTACAGACTGGCCATGATTCGTTGTCTTGGCCCCTCGACATCTTAACTATCGTGAAACGGAAGAAAAGTCCATGCCAGTGAGCTTGAGTCCTTCCCGTGCATTCTTAGGTATAGCATATTTGTGCACATGCATGCACACCGAGAAGCCTGTGCTTCGGTCTCTTAGAACCGTTTGCTGAAACCTGTGGGTAGGGACATCTGAGCTCCCTGGCGGTCTCAGTATGCCGACCTATATCAATAAACCTGGAAGGGCTGACGTGTAGCTCTGGAGACCTTCAACGTTTGTAGACAACATGAGCCGACTAATTTCCGTAGCCCAGAGTAGGACCAGACCGCTGAGACACTGGAGACTGGTGGCAAGTTCAACAAGGTGGAACCAGCTCAACCGTTATCAAAATTGACATGAAGCGAACCCTGAGTGTCACGTCGCCACCGGCCCGGCAGAAACAAGCATGGTAGTCTTAGGCCATGATGAAGGGCGGCGAATACATCAACACGTATTTCACATTCAATGATCTGCAATTAGTGGGCGAAATGGCCACAGGTGCTACGACTCCATGAATCAGGAGCCTCCGTATCTTCGGAAGTTCGGGGGACGCTTCGACGTTCATTCAAAATCACACCAACAACTTAAAACTATGTTGCAATTCAACTCTGATGGCTTTTGGTGCCCCCAAGGACTGGGCAATCTCAGGCACTAGTGGGTGTTAACCATGGAGGCTCCGGCACCGGGATTCAGAACAGAGTGAGAGGGGAGCACGCGAGGTGGACGATGGTTGCATCAAGACACCATCAGAAGATATCGGTGAGTACGCCACTCCCTTGTTTTGTTCCACTTCATACCGAATTTTGCAACACGGTCAGAAATACACCCATCCAGGCCCTTGCCACATGACCACCACGCCGCGGATAAGGGCTGCTGGGGAAACTGCTGGTGGCTCTGGCGAATTTGAGGTGCAAGTAAAAAGGTGGGAGCAGCGAGGATACCTGAGATCTGGGGGACACGTCCGGACATGCAGTGCTCTTCGGTGGACGAATTATTGCACATGTTATAGCTACCCCCGTGGGGCGACTGTCTGACCCTCGTTGCAACCCCTAGGCGGCGCCTCTGTCGTGGTACTGACTCCAGCCGAATTCAACTCCCCACTCGTACCCATGTGTGTACGACGCTTTTACCCCTGAGGACGTGTCATCGTAGAGCTTGGAAGACTTGAGCCCTCGTCCTATCGAAGATACCAAGTTGACTCTTGTCGATGATGGTAGAATATGAGATACGACAGTAAGAAATCGATCCTGGTTGACAACATCGTGCCAATGTTTACTGGTCGAGACTCGACTGGCTCGGTAATGGTGGGAACCGTGGAATACAAGCGGCAATGGATATCGGGTGCTGGATTGATTCAAAAAAAAACCCCCCAACGAGAGAAGTGCATAAATCAACGCTTCAAGCCGAAGGAATAAAGCACATGAGCCAGACTCGGATTAGCGATAAGCTACTCCCTAGACCGAGATTTCAGGACGTCCCATTCCGTCCTCGCATCCTCGGGGAGCCAATTTACACGCCACGGAACCAGGTATTTCAAAGGCGAGAAGCACCAGACCTCACTTGTGTACGTTACACAACGTCCTTACAAGTATGTGAGAGGGTCACACCAGCGCCAAAGCGAATTGACCCCAAAGCTTCCCCACAACCCTGCAGTTCCAAGTTCCAACCTTACCCGACACTGATAACCTGAAGAATACGGAGGGCCAGGCTCCAGCTACCATTCTCTGTTGACTGGTGAAGGATGAACCGAGGCTAATGAAACATCATGAGTTGGATTCACTAAAAAGGCCGAGAATGAAAAATCAGTGTTATTTTCTTTCGTTCTTAAAGAATCGTATGTGTATCATGAGCACAACTTGAAAGGGTTGGACGACGGCCCAAAGGAACCACGAGAAACTTGAAAAGGTCGTCGCCCCGGTTTCTTGGCGTGAGCACCGCATATGTCTGACCTACGAAGCAGAGAGGCCTCCTGAGCATTAAGCCTGTCATCAGCGGCGTCTCGCCTCCATAAAAGAAGCGTTGCATCACAATATTGATGCCCCAGTGTGACCGTAACCCGAGTCAAGTCATGGAAACAGGGCACGAAGACCCTGCCTCCACATTCAGGGTCCCGGTGTATGTATCCTGAGGACATGGCTACCAACAGCCCAAACAGAGGTTGTACTTTGTAAAGGGTGCCGGCGCGCGATGTCCTTCCCGAGGTTGTCCCAACTCCCAACCTGACAGGTCAGGTAAGATGATCGAAAGATCGAAGAGGGGGATCATACTTGCGGCTCCGCTCCCTTACATCTGTCGATCAACGTTGTGGAACTCCTGGAAGGAGGCGTTGCTGGAAACAATTTCAGCGTGGTTACTTCACTATGAGACCCCTCTGACACAAAACGATGCTGCCTCCAAGGGACTATATTTCGTACCCAGTGACACCTGCCGTGGCCCTTGGTAACAAGCAATCCGAGATGTTGTCCGAGATACCAATGGACTCACCGTTTTATCAGGCCATCTTCGCATGAGCTGAACGGACTCCTCCTCTTCACCGTCACTTCGAGCTACCGGTTTATTTACCCTCGCCTCATATGGCGTAGTCGCTTGCCCAGAGCAAGTCCGTACACTCCACATTCAACAAAGCTCAGAATCCGAGGCTCGTCCGAGGTTTCATTGACATTGTGGGCAGACTTACTTACCACTAGCAAATTCAAAGGAGAAGATGCTGGCCGGGTATGTCCCTTGTGGGTTATGACGGTAACGGTGGCTTGCCCTCTGGGCATAACGTCGTCTCTTTGCGCCCTCCATTGAACCTAAAGTTGACTTCCGACTTCAGGCTGCATTGATCAGTACCCCAAGCAGCACGCATTGCTGGAACGCAAGGGACGACGTGTTGGACATGGGATGGTAGCGTGGCTACAGGGCATAATAAATAAGATAGCAAGCAGTATTGCTACCAAAAGGGGCTCCGACAGTAAAGCGAAGGAATATCTCCGAATAATAAGATATTGACGGTCTATGGACAGTCCTTATGATTGAATGACAGGGTGGAAACATTGATACGTGCATAGCTAACCATCGAAAGTCAAAACGTCATACTAACCTTGCAGTCAACGGCGTGTCCTTTCTTTTCGCAGCTCCGCCCCTATATAACTAACACACATGTGCAGGCTCAGGTCATCACACTGTGCACGGCTCACGCCTTCACGACTGGTGCTCGAAATCTCGAGTTGACCGAGGCTCAGTGCCTTAGATAGGCGCTGGACCGACCCCTGGCGACAGGAAGAAGAGCATGGGCCCTGGACCGACCTCTCCGTCCTCTCGGACCTAGTGCCGGCGAGCGTCTCGGGACGCGCCAAAATACTACCACGACACCTTCCGGTTCACCCACCAGAGGAACCCCAACTCTCCCACCGAGCTTCCTCGGTAACCGTGCAAGGAGCGGTGCGCTCACATGACTTCTTCTTTCGGTGGTCAACTATCACCCCCGACTCCCCCGACTCCCCCGACTCCCCCGATTTTCACGAGGCGGCGAGCACGGCCGCAGGGCAAGGTATCGCAGGAATTGCGGGGAAAGACGAACGAACGTGGTGAGTGCGCCAGCCGCCACCCGAAACATCGAGGTGCGTACAGAAAGTGCTGATTCCCGCCGTTTTGTGTAACTACACCGGTGAACGGGGGCGGACGGTGAAACCATTGAGCTCCATTGAGCCTCGACTGCAGGTCTGCACCAACTTGTCGTACTCGAACTCTCTCCGGCCGGGCACAAATGCGGGGGTGTGAGACCATCATGGGCCTTTCTCAGCTCCATCAAGGGGGAATGAATCGAGGAGAAGCAAAGCTTCGGTTGGGGAAATGGAACCAAGAATTCAACCCTCCGACTGGGGCGAAAGTTGCCTGACCCCGGACTGTCGTATCGCATATATAAAGCCATATATATGCAGGGTTCAGGCGATTGATGTTCTAGACGTTCCGATGGTCGACGGTGAGTGCGGGGAAAGGAACGTTATGTCTGTGGGTATTGGGGGGTCGGTGATCAATCGTCTGGGGAAGAACAATAGATTCCCATCTGAGATGTGTGGTGATCAATCTTTGTTCTCCTGAAACGTCACTCGATCTGACGTTGGACATGATTAAACATCCAGAAGGCATGGCGTTCTCTCCCCTGAGACAGGGGGCTCTCGTGGTATGGGATTAGTCAAAGTCAAGCTCTGACTAATTCCATCCAAGGCGACAGTTCTTTGAATCAGCCTCATCAGTCAGGGAGACTCCCAAGCCAGTGCTGGGGGACACGGCACCCGTTGCCATGGCCCATGGGCGCACTGAATCACACCACCCATAAGTTCATCCAGCCACTTATCCTGCGTTGCATGCTTCATTAGCAAGGTGGCTTGCGTAGATGATTGCGAAGATACCTTTGTGGGTTGCTTTCCTCCATGGTTTGCCTCTTTTGTGGCTTATGCGAGGAATGAAAATGCGACCCAAACGTCGAGGCCGAACACCAGACCATCACAGTCTCCCGCAGAATGAGAGTTGAAAGTACCCGAGCCAACCAGGCACCTCGATTCTTGTGAAGCGAGGCACCCAATTAATTAGAGCCAGGGGGTTTCTGGTCTGGGGACCTTCCTCGTCACATCACCTTCCAATTACAGGACATTCCTCTGAGGGATATGCTTGAATCCTTGATAACCGATTCTCTCGGGTCGGGTTTCGTGAAGAGAGGTACGGCTTGCTATTGAGATAGCCAGCTGGTAAGCACTAAGCACACTCTTCAAGGAAGAATACGCAGCCGACAAATCCTGCACATCGTCCAATATAGAAGCCCGAGGGTTCCCCGTGAGTCGTGACCCAAGTGATATCCGGCTCGTTTCTCCAGGGTCTTCGTGTACTCTACATTGCATGATGCAGAGCCGGCCTGGTAGAGTGGACTCGAGGAAGGTCAATTCATAGGCGCCTTTGATGTGATAGCTTCAGCCCGAGAGTCCTGTATAATTTCGTGGAATTGCACCGGGGCCTTTGTTCGGGGACCGCTGGGGAGCGGGTGTGTCTCAACTCTCTATTCGATAAATGGCGCGGGGCAACCAGTAGCGTGTTTCCATTTGGACAGGTTGTTGGAACTGGAACGTACAACGTAGGTATGTACTTTCAGCCTTGGAGTTGCCATCAAACCAGGTGACCAATTTGCTCCGTTCGATCGACATGGGGATTATCCGATTTAGAGAACCTCTTGAAACGTACCCTGACGTCATGAAGGCTTTGCCCAGGTTTCGCAATCTGGAATCACTTACCTACGGGGATATTCACCCCGCCCCTCTTCAATTACGAAGTACAGACTATAGAGTAATTACCTTACTTTGCAATGACTCCTTATTTGTCTTATCTACCAACTGCTCTGCACGCCGTATCCGCCATTACTTTGTGCGAATACCTATCAGTACGCCTCTGCCAGGGTAGAAAAGGTTGTGACTACCTTAAGGTACTTTGCTGTATACCCAGGTAGACATAGTGGCACAGGGAATCAAAAGACATATACTCCATTGACCCTCTTAAGACTCTGCAGACCGTTCGCTCTGGAGAACTCGTCACCTGGACCAGGTGATGTTGAGACATGGGGAAAGATTAGCGTTAGTCCGTTACATGTCCGATCCAACTTGCCCGCCTTTCCAAACTCACGGAGTAGAGTCGGAGAGACAGTGCATACGAAACATACCTATCTGCCCATGTTCCCACTTCGACAAGGGATCGGAATCTCTGAGGGATTGGATGAAGAGAAAGGTGGCATGCCGGGGAGGCGGTCGGTCTATTACGGCATGCATCGGACTTCACCCCGAATATCCAGATGGACAATATGACTGGGGGTTTGCTATGGCAAGCAAACTTCGTACCATCACCACAGGACGGCCAGGACCTCCTCATGGATGGTGTCTCATGAATACCCCCATCATCATGGCCTGGACTTCCCATGTGCAGACTGCATTGCAGCCTGGGTGAACCAATCAACATCCTGATGCGAGCCGTGACGAGGGAAGAAAGTAAAACAATGGGTGGTCCCGCGGGGGAAGCATGGCAAGAGAACATGGCAGGGCGTGCGGCACCCTGGTCCCAACGGATTTGACATCCCCCCCGGCGGTAAAATGAGCACAGACTCGTTGGGTTAAGGATAGGCTTGGTTGACGTTGTTGAATGCCTCCTCATCGGTCAAAATAAGCGACGTTGGGAACTGGTTATGACGGAGGGTCGGGTTCGGAGACTTAATAATGGGCGGTTGGAACTTGGCGGGGGATCAACGAGCTCTACCCATCCGTAGACTGCGCGCTGTCGCCCTCCACTTTGTAAAACCCTGGAAGGCCGATGATTCGGAAGTAATCAAGATATACGTTGTGACTTCGTGGTCCCCCCTCGGTTTATCTGCCATGCCCTTGAATCCCCCTTCATGAATGCGGCCCGTTAAGAAGTACGATGTAAACCATGGGCCGTTATAACTGGACGCTAAATCACATCTGTCCAAGCTTCTCATTTAAAACACTTGCATACTTTTTAAGCAGCTGGCTCGTGCGTTTCCCATCGAGCGCGTCGTGGTCTCGGCCTTCAGAATAGAAAGAATTGCTCGCTCGGTATGCAAAGTGATTCGTCGACCGATACTTCGATGCGTTCATGACGTCAACATAAGATGCCAAGGAACATATACTGGGCCCCAGAAGATGTTCTTTTTCTTTTCTCGATGGGCTCCACCCCTGGGACTTTTGGTTGTGAGTAAGCATGCACACTATTGTCCGTTGGGCTAGGGTTTGCATTTCGCCAGTTCCTTGTTTTCTGCGAAGTTTTACTGCGCATTGCCCTGGCCTGGCTTCCCCGGCAAGGCGGAAAGCCCACGGAGGTGCCATGGCAATTGGCTCGTCCTAATGGCTAATTAATGGCTGGCTCGCTCCGGATCTCGGAACCCTTTTTTTTTTTTTCTTTTTTTTTTTCTTTTTCTTTTTTCTTCTTTTTTTTGGAACCCCCACCAAGAGAAGCCACTTACGGCTTTACCTCACGGACTTCAAAAATGGTCAAGAAAGTAAAGTAAACCGCGTCAAAAAGAAAATTGTTTAATTTTATTTCAGCGAGGTGCACCCCTTGTCGGAAGCCCCTGCCCAGAGTGTACGTATGTACTCCGTATCATTCGAACTGCCTTCCAGGTTGTTCAATCAAACTCGCATTCTATTCTCGGGAATATGGAGCTCGGCCTGTAATTATCTACAGAGTGCGATATATGTACGAAGTACATAAAGGTCGCACGAGTGCAAATGGGGCCTGCCATGCGGGCTGCCGCACTTGCCGATCTTCCCCAGATATGGTATCCAATGCTAATGGGCGTGGCTTTCGTACTCCGTTCTTCGTACTCCGAGAAGAGGACAGCGGCACTGCCATGCCTGGTCTCTCGACCCTGTCGACTGAGCGTTGCAATCTCGCGAAGCGTGCCTAATGCACGTTCTGAAAATCAGCCAACCCCTCGCCTACAACGTACATCGACGTCCGATCAGGCAGAGGGGTCCGAAACAACGCGCCCGTACGATTGTGAGGTTGTTGATTGATAGAAGAGAGCTCCCTAGATACCGTAGTTAAAGCGGTGGAAATGCTATAGGCCCTAGTGGCTAGCCCTGTGCGGGTTACGTGACCCGGCCTATCAGGCCCCTCTTGAATTATCACCTACTGCATTGGATGTAGCAGCGGCTGCCAAAACAGAAATCCTTCGGTCTACTTCGTAATTACTAGATATCGCTGATGGGCTTGGAGTGCGGCTCCGCCACCCTTTCCAGCTGTTGATACTGTTGATACGGAGACGGCTTATATTTCCCAACTTGGGGTGATCGGACCTCGACACCAAAGCCACACTAGAGCCTGCGCACATCGTGGGGCGGGAATTTCAAGACGATATGGACGCTACAGACTTCACGAGAAACCATAAATTCGCGCACCCCGTCCTAGAAGTAATGAGAGGAGAAGTGGCCTCAACTCGTAAGTGAGGTTCGACCAGCCAACACTTGCAGCGACGAAGTTCCATTGTGGTGGTCCGTTCGCGTCGGTCGGAAGTCCAAAAAAGCGCAGTTTCAGCCAGTCGCGCGATGTACATGTTCGGGGCAAAGAAATGGATGGGATGCGCGGGAATTAATTATGAGCCAGACTACCTTACCTAGCCGCAAGCTCGAGAACGATCCTCATGCGGCGCCTCATGCGGGACGGAAGACGTTGCTGACAAAAGCGGGGTCGCTCGAGCATCGGATAACGAACAAAAGGATTGTGAGCTGGACATTGGTGAGATTGAATTGCGAGATGATGGGCGGCAAGTGAGTGTAACGGTCGAGTTGCCAGTGTTGGTGGTTAAGTCGCAATAGCTACACACATCGCATACATAGGTACCTTATGTACCTTTGCATGTACGTTGTATGAAATATACTCTGGTAGTTATGGCGGGGGTCGGCAGTCGCTGGAGGGGTACGTGCACCTACCCTTACGAAGAAGCATGGATTACTTACGTACATGAAGCTACATACGGAGGGGTGTGTGGCCCAGCGCAGTGGGAAAGCCTGTTCTACTCGGCACAGGGTGCGAATGCAATCGCGAGGGGTGTCAGGCCACTTAGTCCAACCAACGGCCGGCCTCGCCTAAACATGGATATGTTAAAGAGGGCGGCTAGTCATTAGTTGTGACAAGGTGGAAAGTGAGAACGTTCGGTCTGCATGGCTGGCGGCGTCGTTGAGATCGAGCAAGAGTCTGTTCATGTTCATGCAGCTTCTGTCGAGTGCATCGAACCGCTATTACGTTCGCAGTCCGGCTTGCATCTTTTGAGAGATCCTTATCATAGGTAGCAAGACGGAGTTGGAGACGGCAGTGATAATAGTGGTGGGTAGCGACGGATCTTTATCAATGCATTATAGGTAGGCGGTTGGATTAAGTGTACCGTTGTAAGTTTTGTTCCTAGGTTTGTACGATACGCGATAAAGAAAAAGAAGAAAAAAGCCGGACTGGACGATAAGCCCACCGAGTGGACAAGGGGGGGGAGCTCACCCACGCGTTTTCTCCACTTTCCAGAGTCCAGACGCCGATGATCCCGGTGGGGCCATCAAGCCAAGGAGCTCGCGACCGTCCGGTTCAAGGGGGTGGCCACGTTCTAGCCAATAGGAGCAATTATCCGTCCACGCCCCTTATCAGCCCTCATCGAACCATGCAAGAAGAGAAAAAGACAAAAAAAAAAGGGGGGGGGGGATACGTACCAAGTAAAATCCTTCGGTGCCCATTCAAACCTTTTTTCTTGGCCGTCCGTCGACTCATGGAATGAGTAATTTATGAAGTACGAATAATGGTCATCGCTCTTTCCATTACGAGAGCCAAAGCCAATATGGATGGGCGGGAGGCGGTGAATGGCAAGGCGTGTATCCGTACCTGGACGAAAGTTTCTTCATAAGGTACGAAGCGATATGATCCGAGTTGGATGATGAAAAATGGCGGGATATCAAACGCAAAAAAAGAAACCCGACAGCAAGGAGCACTTATATTTACTTCGTAAATTCTATGCTACACGGCCTTCCAGTGGCGGACAGGTGCACGTGCTCGCAGTGACCAAGCGTTGGCTCGAGAACCGGAGAAGTGAGCACTGGCATCAATCGTGCTGGCGACATGCCTCGAGGGGTACTTCTTCGTCGTACGAAAAGAAAAATGAAATCCCAATGCTGTGCCAGGTATCTGCAACAATTAAGTGGTCTGCGCTTCCCTGCAAAGAAAGCCAGTGGCTTTGCGTCCCAGGCCTGGGCCATGCGGGCTCCACCACGGTGACGCCCGGTTCACCGGGCTGGGGCCACACGAGGGATGACATTGCGAAATTTTTTCACATATGGCATGGATGGGGCCGGCTGCCTTATGTACGGGGAGGAATCGTGTAAAAAGGAGTTCGAGAATGAGTCCATGACTGCTATTATCTCGTATATACGGTACTCTCAATGGCTTATCGTCCGCCTCTGGAGCTGTGCGACGGCGAAATACCTAGCGAAGTACAAGGGAACGAACGACGTCATTTTACCGTTTTTGTTTTTTGTCGTCTCGAACGTCGAAGAAAGAGCCGTGGTCGCTGGGTATCAAGCCACAACCACGATACGGATAAATAGTAACAGATCGCATGTGTATAATAATCAGATCAGATCCGACAAATTTAGCCATTTTACCACTACTCTGTCTTAGGTATCTTCGTAATCCGGTGGTCTTTCTTCTCTTATGGTCCGATGGTTGAGCGCTAGCCGGACGCCGGAAAACGCCATTAAAACCATCGAGATCCTGATAGCTAGGCTTATATATTAGGACTTCTAGGCTCCTCGCACACTGGTCCTTACGGGATGGGCGTGATCGGTCCTTACCCCTTGTTAAAGCTCTTCAGCGCTAATCAGAGGCCTACGAAGTACGAAGCACAGATTACAAAGTACGAATATCTACATCGCCACGGCCTTAGATTGTCCCCACCCCCGGAAAGGTCTTGCCGTGCATGTTGAGACACTGGATCCAGATTGCTTGCAGTGCAGTATGGTATCTAGATATAATAGGGGCTGCTCAATGGATGGATGGAAAGAGCTCTTATGTTTTGAGTCTGGGCATATGTAGGTAGGTACATACAGTAGAATGGTGCATGCATGTCCGAGCCGTAGGTAATAAATAGTAAATATGGCTGTCGCACGTACCGGCACCGTAGCCTGCAACAGAATTTATTCGTATTCGTACGGTTATGGTTGACTTACTGGGGCTGCTTTTCGTCTTGTTTTCTTTTGTTCTTTCTTGCTACTCTATTTTGGTTATGCATGCACATTTGTATACTAATTGTTCTCGAAGTCCTCATACGAGTTCTAAGCGAGGACTCGCCATATTCTGCACCTCATGATCGCTTCAATTATAAGTCTCTGTCTTACCTGGGTACGATGCAATTTCTGCTTCCTAGGTTGTTAACATAACGTCAACTTGCGTTATGTACGAATAATACTTCGTACCTTGTACACAAGAGCCCGGGCCATCTCATGCATATCAAGCCACACGTACATGTACCGATACATAACTGAGTACATACTTACATACATAAGGTACATAGGTATGCATAAGGTCCGCAACAACGGGCTTGAACATGGGTGTTTTCTTCCCCGATTCTATTGACATTGACCCCTAAGCCCAAGACCAAATAAACTCGAGATATCAATTCATACGTGCCATTCCTTACCTCATCCCGCTCGCTCACCAAAGCGATCGCCTTATCTCAAGGCACGGTTGAAAACGAGACCGCCTCACGGAACGCCAGAAGGCCTTCTTTTAGACGCTTCGCCAAGCCAGCGGACAAGTTGCTTTCCCGTGGAGCTTGATGACCTAGCGCCGTCGCGCTTGACTCTTTTGCCCCAGCCCGCCCGTTTACCAAAGGTTCCTACGAGGTAGGTGCGCCGCACGGCATCTGGGGTCCCTATCTCACCCCCTCCCTCCTCCCCCTGGCTGGTGTGGTGTCATACTCGTCGGGTCGCCCCCTCCCCTTGTCGTCACCTTTTTCCAACATTTTGTCTTGTCGGCCCATTGCCGTACTCCGTTACAGCCCACTACTAATTAGAACAAGTCCGACTTTTCCCACCTCGCCTTCCCACTCCAAAACGTCAACTCTTTTCGATCAAATCTACAGAAAATACCCTTCAAGATGTTTCGTGACACACTTTAGCAAACCCTCAAATCGTATTTACAAACAACTATCCGATCATCTACTTACCTTGGAGTCCCCCCTCCCCACTCAAGAGCGTCCCCTTGCTCCGCGGCGTGCAACTACACACTTCCAAGCTTGATTAACCTTGGATCTACAAACTCACCGATATCGCGTCGTACCCCTAAGATAATTTTCCTCAAATTCACGACCTCGGTCGCGCCATCCACCCTCCCCTTCCCTCTTTCCCCGTCGTACGGGTAGCTCACCCACCCACACCCACACCCACACCCATCACCCATCACCCATCACCACCCCTCCTCTCTTTCTTCCTCTTTGGCCACCCCCACCACCCCCTTGCCTTCGACCTACTTCGTAGATCCATCCTCGCATTGCTCCACTCGCATTGGAGTGATTCGAATTCTACGAACGACACTACGCACGCTACCGCTTTTTCATACAGCGCTAGCTACCGCACTAGGCACTTCCGCCAAATAACTACCTGGTAGGTAAACTTGTCACTGAGCAAACTGCCTCCCTTATTATCTAAACCCCCGTCACCTTCGTCCTATTATTCCCCTCCTCTTGCAAATCCACAACTCTGCCTCCCATCTCTTGTCCTCAATGGGTGGTCAGTATTGGGCTGACAATAACAGAAAGGGCAGGACTCACCCATTATACTAATCGTTCGTCTCTCTGGAACCGAGGACAGAAAGATCAACTCGATCTTCGCATCGTCACAGTTCTAACCGATTCCCCTGCTCCGACCTGCTCACCTCTTCGTCGTCCTCTCCCCATCTTCGACGGAGACATCACATCTCCCTGGCCGTCGCCGAATTTTCTTCGACGAAACCAGTTCGAACTCCCAGAACAGAGCGAGTTGTCTCACGCACCTCTGTTCCTGACATTCCTGGGACCACCGACGCACGCGACTCTAGTCTCGCATTGTTTGCTGGAATATTGCCAGTGCTTGACTCTTGCCGTTGCCTAGTCGCCCTAGCCGTCCTTTTTCACGTCGGTCAACCTCTTTATAAAGTAAGTATTCTACAACCGGCACCCTCGACCTCTTCCACCTGTGTCGTCGCTGTCTTCGGAACACAGCATCACAGATCCTTCAACAGAGTTTTCTTTCTTTATTTGTTCATCTTTTCTTCGCCGCACTCTTTTGCATTATCCTTTCGGCGATGCTTCTTCATACAGTTCCCTAGGCGAACCCACGTCCTAGTCCACTCATTTCCTCCGTCTTTAGTATTTCTCCACGAATATTTCTAATCTGGTTTTCTTTCAGTAGGCTTCCGATTCTCGGCGCCGCGTTCTGATCAGGAGCCGACCTCGTTTCACTCCTAATGTTCTCTAGCTAAACATACCACCCCAATCGTCGAATATATTAGGCATCTCTTGACGCCTCGACTCGAGTTGTTCGATCCGGGATCATCAATCCTTCACCTGCCAATTCCTTCCTTTTACCCTCCATCGGGGCTTATCTCGCCCTTGGGAATGCCTTACACGCCGCCTTCCAATTCGCGATCTCCCGCCCACTCCACACAATCATCGCCCGATGTGAGCCGGCGACCGTCGGTTCAGAGTGGCTCACGCCCACCTCTGCCGCGGTCGACCTCGTATCTCACCAAAAGTCGGCGTACGCCCCCCGTAGCTGTCGGGGGGGATGGCTTCCCCACTCCCCCCGGCACCTGCGACGACCTCCAGGACCTCGCCGTAACCGACGATAGGGGTATACATAATGGTGCTGTCACCTCACCTCCGGATTCGATGTCGGGGAGCGACGAGGAAGACAACAGACCGCGTGGTCTCCACTTCGGCACGACTCTGAAGGAGCTAAGAGACGCTGTCATCTCCCTGCGCAGAGACTCTGACCCAGATATCACAACCCTGCATGTGCCGGACCGGCAGGGCCCGACTTCCAATGGCATCATTCACAGCTTTAGCACGTCCGCGTTGGATCAGCTCCATGCCTCGGAAAGACGGAGGAGCCACTCGAGATTCTCCAGTGACTCCGATGCTGGGTTTTCTCATTCGGCCAAGACTTCCACCACCGGCTCGGAAGAAGAATCGGAAGAGGACCGAGGGAGCAAACCCCCCATGGTTCGAAAGAAATCCGGGGAGCTTGTTCGTCCCGCTCTACGCCCTCCTTCTCGCAAGAGGCCATCGAGCATGCCTGGCACGCCGACATGCAAGGCTGTCCACTTTGATTCCCACCTGGAACACGTGCGGCACTTCCTTCAAGTCGACCGCCCGCTCGCCGTCAGCGCAGGGTCATCACCCGTCGACGATTACGACAGTGAGACTGAGTACCCATTTACGACCTTGGACCGCCCCGACTCGCCCACCACCACCACCACCACCTACCAGTGGGAGATCGTGATCACGAACCCTCCTGTCGACAGTGTCATCCGCAAAGCGCAACCCGTGCGGCTTGAAAAGGTCTGGCTCTGGCCTGATCAAAAGTCTCTGGTGGGATCCATCGCAGTCGCGAACTTCGCTTTCCAGAAGTCCGTCACCTGTCGTTTCACCCTAGACTATTGGAAGACCACATCCGAGGTGAATGCAGATTTCGCACAGGCGATCAGTGAGAAGGGCGCTCCTCACAGCCACGACCGTTTTACCTTCGCCATCAAGCTGTCGGACACGGCGCATCTGGAAACCAAGACGCTTTACTTTTGCATTCGGTATAATGTCATTGGCCAAGAGTTCTGGGACAACAACGATCACGCCAACTTCCAAGTCGACTTCCGCAAGAAGCCCGTCCCGCGAAGCGGCAAACGCGGCTTGCCAGGCGCGACCAACAGAGCTGTGAACGGCGGCGGTCTTCCCCGAAGCAACCGTTGGGGAAACCCTTCGCCTCTCCCGAGTCGACCCAAACCGAGGCCCACCTTGGACGATATCAATGGCTCAGACAGGTACAGTTTCGGACAGTCTATGGACGAATGTCGCGGTGGGCGCCGCCCCCGCCTAAAGCACAAGTCGTCTGAAAGCGACAATCTCTCCGGCCGGGTGCCTGCTCCCAGCGGCCAGGCCTTCTCCAACCGGTATGACTTCGGCGCTTCCCTCTCGGCTGCCGTGCAGGCTGCCAAGGACGCCCTGGGCAAAGACAAAGACCGTAACTCGGGCGGCCTCTATATGAAGAGCTCCAGGCCGGCGTCGTCTGCTCCACAACAATCCCCAGCACCTAACCCACCCGCTCCTGTCAGCGATCCGTCGCCTCCCGCTTCACAGAATGATGCACCCGCCTCGCAGAATCAGAATGTCGCCCCCACCCTGCCTGGGACCGGCTCATCCACCACATCCCTGTCCGCATCCTCGTACCAGGAGATGGTCAACAAATACTGCTTCGTACGTACTTCCCGCGACCACCAGCCAGAGACACCTGGTCTTAGTTCCGACTATCCCCGGGCATCTCTTCTCTCTCGAAGCCCTTGCTGAGTGCTGACCGTTGTCCTCTCTGGCCCCGCCTGCAGTATGTATCGAAGGATCCGAGCTCTCCCCGCCAAGAGGGTACACCCAGGGGACGTAGCTTCGAGACGGTGGAGGATAGCTTCGGTACCCGAAGCACCAACAGCAGCTCTAGCTCGAGTTCGCATGCCAGCCCCGTCATCTCTTACCCCACTGGCCCGGCTCTTCCCACCTTGCATGGCAACTTGTTTTCCTTGTCTTCCTCCCCTGCAGCCTCGCCTCAAAGAAGCCCCAACACGCCCTCGAACTCGGGCAGTCGCACGTCGTCTCCGACTCCCATCATAAGCGGGTTTCCCCGCTTGGCCGGCACCTCGCCCGGCCTCTCATATGCCGAAGAGTTATCCGACCGATTTCCGTTCCTCGGCAGCCCGGATATCTTCGCTACTCCGGACTCTCACACGCCTAAAGCGATTAGAAGTTGACGAGGTTGTTTATTACGGCACAGGACAACAACTATGCCGTTTTTGGACTCTAGAATTCCTTTTTCATACAAAGCATGGCGGCAGACTTTAATCATGATTTGGCCCCGTTCGCTTTATCGTTGGTTCGGTTTTTCTTTTTCCCCGGGGGGGTTCTTTTTCTTTTCCTGTGCGCTTTCCTTGTGTTTCAAGATGGTTTAGTTGGCAACATTGGCCTGGTACGTTTTTACATTGCTTGGCGAAAGGATCCTCAGCTGGACCGGCAGGCAGGGCGTTCAGGGGCATTTGACAAACATAAGGGCAGTGGGGTCTCCAGTGGGAAATTGGAAGGGAGTCCGCGGTGTTCTCAGATCGTTTTCTTTTCCGCGGAGGACTGTACAGTTAAGGCGATGCGGAAGTTCGGAACGGAGACCCTGGACTTGCCACATAAAAGGAACAGGGCGAAGGAATGACTAGGACAAAAGGGAAAAGAAACGGCCTCGGCTTATCGGTTCTTTCGATTAGTAGCTCATGATGAACAAGATCCTCATGTAGCCTCGAAGTAATTACTGGCGTACGACGAATGAAACTATTGTTTAGCAGTGACCAAAGTTGATGTTTCTCTCTTCCACGCTTCAGATGTGATCTAGGGTATATCGATATAGCTGGTTGCATTCCAGGACGGCCCGGGGGGCATTCTGGTTTGACCAGTTACTGGATGCTGGTGTGGGAGTGTTTTCAAAATGGAGGTGGGTAGATTGATGTTGAGAGAGTTGTTATTCTCTTGAATCTTCAGACAATCAAAGTGTCAGAAAAGCGACCACTTAATAATATTCGTTGCCAAGCGAGATATTCAGAACGTAGGAGCATATTAGTTGCCTGGATCTTGGTAACTGGTGCAAGCTGGTTAATAATGCTCTTATGACGTTTGTGATGGACTATACTGTAAGGACTGGAAAGTGGTGAATTGCAGCTTGAAGAGAGGCATGCCTGTGGAGCAGTTTTTTCCCGTGATGTTAGAAGATAGGATTGTTCAAGACCTATCTATTATCATGACGTCCAATAACAAGAAACTCGAGTCTTAGTGATAATGGTAAGGTGTAGTTATGGGGCATAGATGATGATAGTGGAGCGCAAGTTTTCACTTCCAGTATCAGCTGTTCACGTATACCCAATCTATATTGCCTCGTCATAATGTCGTTCGGTTTATTCCAGGGAATGTCCATGGTAGTTTGAGCCCGGGAGTTCCAAATCCGCAATCTCAACGTCTTCATCCCTCTGACGTGGATTACAATAGGCCATGTCTACTAGGTTGATCAACACGCCATCCCCAAAACCGTGACGAGGATGAGGTATACAACATTCGCAATGGCAAGAACAATAGAAGGTCAGTGATTACTTCCTATACATGACAAGGCATGTACTGTAGGGCTCCAGGGAGAGCGCCGGGCCGCCATGAGTTGAGGGTAAGTAACATAGCCTAGTTGGACATAGTTGACCGGACATCATCTATGCGGTGCGGGCTTTAGCCAGCATCAACTCTTCAACTATCACCAAACTTCTTCTTCGCTCAAGCTCATGTTGCTGTTTTGTTCCGCGACAGCACTTCATCATAGCTTTGGCATCGAAACCCAAACCCACAAGCAAGTCCTAGATCGCCAACCTGACGGTTACTTACCCTCTGTACACACTCTCTGGATCTAGCAGTTGAGATATATTGATATCTTGTTGATTCCTAGAGAATCTAGTCAAGTATTCTCCTCCCAGCATCCCCCTTCTTGCCCTCCCAGGCAGCCGAGAATATCACATTCTAACACCAAACACCAGCCACGATGTGTAGGGAAGTCATGTTCACATATGATTGCAATCACCGAATCGGCACCAAGCCATACATCGAACGATGCCCCAAGGCCTTCGCGACGAACAGGGACTGTTGGGCGAGACCCCGCGGTCCGGACAAGAAGCTGCCTAGCGGTGCGGGACTGTGTGCTCGATGCCGTGGGACGGAGGTTACTCCCGGTACCGTTTGCAGGAAGAACGTTGCGCAGTCAAGTTCGGGCACCGATAGTGGCGGTTCTCCAGCTGGAGACGAGAATACTCCTTCTTCTGCCAGTGATTAGGAGCTATGAATGCTGTCAAAAGTGGGCACGACAGGAAGGTGGAGTCGGTAACGGCAAGGATAATAGACATCATGGTGAGCACGGCGTTGGTGGATAGTGGGCGTACGGACATTCGGCTCTTTGGCCTTTCACTGGGAGAAGCATTGGGATACAGGTGTATCAGTTGCCATGAGGCCACTGGGAAGACTACGCGGTGGGCTCTGATGCCATGCCAGAGTTCTGGTTTAGATGTTAGACGTAATTACAAGCCTTTGCATTTGTCATTCTTGCGCGGCTCGGATCTCTCAAAGGTAGTTACGACTGTAGCTGAACAAGCGTCGTAGAACGTTTTGGCTAGTGGTGGGCGTTGATACCTTTATACATCGTCTTAATCAAGATGCAAGGCGAATCTCGAAATGGATACAGCGGATGGGTGGTTAGAATAGCAGGGGAAGAGTTTTGCGCTGTTAACCTTCGAGCTTTTGTATCATTGTCAGAGGGTATGTGTCTCTTCATGCTATAAAGTATGAAAGACAGGAACTATCCTCTTACGGGCAACTTCACTATGAATTCTATGGAGGACCGACTTTCTGCAGAGTCTGAAGATGTTGATATGTATGGGAACGGGTCGCCTCGCTCTTTACTAGGCACTACGCCGGACGTAGAGAGAAAAATAATTAAGCAGAGACACAGGTAAGCTTTCGTCTATTGCTGCACGGGAAATAGTCACGAAGCGACACTGTTCTAGTTGTCATGTTGGGGAGAGCTCCTTCGAAGTTATGACTCGCGAGCAGCGCAGTTGTTCTTCTTGCCAAGAACTCCGACGAATTGGGTTATTGTATCTACAAGTCCCCCTGATGTCTTTACAATCCTGTCCTGAGACAATTCATAAGCATTCTAGACCTTGACGATGCGGGATGGGAGAGAAATAAGTCCGTGATACCCTGGGTGACACTTGATGAAGGAAGGGACAGTTCCCCCAAGTGCGATTACAATTGAGTATGAATCTGTACGATGACAATAGGGAGATATATGACAAGGAACGAAGGAGACAAATAGCCCAATAATTGAGTTGAGTTGCCTTGCGTCCTTGTGCATGAACCACGAAGTCCAAGATACGTCCCAAGGGATCGGAACGGTGTGTTGGCGGTGAAGACTGTGGAGTTCTGGTTGGTGGAACTGGCTGCAAGTTGGCTCAACTCGTTGATGAGCTGATCTCTCAGGAAAAGAAAGACACGTATGTAGAGCAGTTCGCATTCATTGGTTTGTTCTTTCGGGTCATTGATTGAATGCGTGATCAATGGCATTACCCTTACATTACCCTCTATAAAACGCAGAGCTGGCGTGAGGGGAGAGAGACAATGTTGGTCAGAAACGAGTTGGTGATAAAACCCCATAAGGAGTTGGCTCGGAAATATAAGAAGACGGTGCCACAAGGGTCAAAGACTTATATTGGTCCGTGCACCGGTATTGTTTTGAAAATATGGATGGGTTGATGTGGCGCAGGTTGCCATGGTAGCCGACTAGGCCCGATAAGGTAAAGCGTTATGCCCGTTCGAGGAGAGAAAACATCAATACGGAAAGATAATGCAAATAATACAGATAATGCAAATAATGGGGCGTCGCCCCCGCCCCCTTCGGGGGGTGTTTCATGGGCACTTCGGGCGACCAGCCACGTCGGTGTGCCCTGTGTCCTCCTCCTTCCGACATCCACAACGACAACCAGCGACGGACCGACGATAACGTCTCGACGGCGACTGCGCCCTTCGACAAACGGGTGCCTAGGTAAGTCACAAAGGTAAGTCTGTCGCCAAACGACCCTAGGAACGACCGACGCCAACAATCACGCCGTTGCCCGACTGTCGCTTGAACTGTCGGAGTGTCGCTCGACAGTAACAAATCGGCGATAGAACCAGACGGGAGAAAGAAGAAAGCGAACCGACAAGGATCAACTTCTTGTCGCTAACCCGTCTTTTCCGAGACCTTCCATCTATTCCTCTCGAAGACTGTTCTGCCTGCAAACGGCTGTAGTCCGGGAAAGAGGAGTCACAAACACAATCACGAAACCACCGCCCACGACCTACCATTCACACCGCCCCCGCAACACACATTCGCGACGGCATTTACGATCCTTTCCTTTGACGACGTTTCCTTTGTACGAAATAAGCGACTCTTAATACTACCTTTTTCTTTTTATTTTTTTATTTTCCCCTCCGACTTGCATAACCATCGGCGTCCGTCTCTTCCTGTGTCACCGCTCAGCTTCACATGCTACCGCGACCGTAACTGGACGAGAGTGCCTCTTGCCTCGGCACCGCATACCTAGTGACGCAATTCGAAGGCAATCAAGAACAACATCAGATAATTCACCATGACGGAACCCCCATCATCACCTCCTGGCGATATGGCCAATGCCGAGGATGCTCTGTCCTGGTACAAGTCGCAATACGAGGTGCTTGAGCAGGAGCTAGCCGAGTTCCGGGAATCCAGCAAGGAATTGGAACAGGAACTCGAGAAGGACATCGAACAGGTAGAGAAGAGAGAGCGAGCCTACCAGCAAAAGGCTGAGAGTCTTTCCTTCGAGGTAGAAGAGTGGAAGGTATTTGCCCCGTCCACCCGCCCGCCTGCGTGACTGCTGCATCGCCGCTGAGCCGACGTTCACCTCGTAAAAACCCACCATAACTGACTTGACCCCCTCCCTCCCCACAGACGAAATACAAGCAGTCCAAGGCGGAGGCCAACGCTGCGCAAAACGCCCTGGAGAAAGAGATCACCAACTTGCGCGAAGCCAATCGCGCGCTGACCCTCAAGCTGCGTGATATCGAGGTTGCCAACGATGATATTGAACGACAGGCCCGCCACACCACCTCATCCCTCGAGGACCTCGAATCGAAATACAATGTCGCCATCGAGCGAGGCGTCATGATGGAGGAGGAGATCAAGATCGCCGACAAGGAACGCGAAGCACTGCGCATTGAGAGCCAGCGGTTGCGCGAGGAGCTCTCCGACCTCAAGATCGAGGCGGACCTGCTTCAAGACAAACTCAAGAAACAGGAGGCCCGGCATCTTTCCGCCGTCTCCACCGATCTCTCTGCCCTCGGCTCTCCGACTTTCGACGAGAAGACCGTTGCCAGCTCCCCCACCTCGGTCGCCAGCTCTCCCCTCATCACCACCCCTCCCGACGCCGCTCCTTTGTGCTCCAAGTCGCCTCACGATCTCCGCAGCCCACCTTCTCCGCCCATGTCCGACGCCTCTGCTCATGCCGCCACCCATGCGCCTGCGCCTATGCCCACCCCGATGCCGGCGACCAGGAAGTCGATTTCCTCCAAGACTCCGGCCCCGCTCACCCGCAAGTCGCGCCTCCCATCGGCCGACCACAGCATCACCCCCAAGCCAAGGTCCCTGACTGCGTCCAGCTCAGGCAAGCCTCCCGGTCGCACCGTGGCCGCCACCCGCACTCCGGCCCCGCGCACCGCCGCCCGTACCAATACCAACACGCACCGCATTCCTGCCTCCAACTCCCTCACCCATATCCGCAGCCTCACCGCCCAGATGCAACGTCTCGAGGCTCGTGTCCAATCAGCTCGCTCCAAGCTGCCTGCCCCGATCCACACGCCACCGCGATATTCCCCGCGGTCCTCCGTCAATGGAGCCCACCAAGTGCCTTCGACGGTTACGATCCGTTCTCGCAAGCGTACTGTCGGCTCTACCGCACCATCGTCCGTAGCCGGCGACGAGACCACGCCTACCAACCACCGCAGCTCCATCCAGGGCACCGCAACCACGAACCCCTCCCGCCACGTGTCCCGGCCAAGTATATCGGGCGTCAGTCGCCTCTCCTTCGGACCTCTTCCCAACCGAAACCCCTGCAATGCCGACTCGGACCCCCCGTCGATCTCCCGGCCCAGCTCGCGAGCTAGCATCTCGTCGTACGCCCGGCCAGCGAGTCGCACGGAAATGGTGCCGCCTCCTCGCCCGGCGAGCCGCACCAGTCTTTCTGGCCGCCGCACACCTCTGGGTCGTCCGCGAAGCTCCATCGGCATGCACGGTTACTCGAACAGCATCACCCATGCGGATATAGACGAGGCCTACGAGGATGCGCTGGCGAACGGCCTGCGGACGCCGAGCCGCAGGGGCACCTATTCGCGTTACGAGGCGGAGGCGAGCGTTAGCGGCATTCCCCAACCCACAAGCGCGATCCCGGTACCCGGGAGGAGGCAGAGCGGCGGGTCCGTGGTGACGAGGCGGACGAGCAACGGCGTCGACCTGCGAGCGTCGTCCAGGAGATCAAACGTCGGCTCGGATCTACTCGAGGAGGAGACGTATTAAGTCGCAAGAGAGAAAAATATGCGGCGCTTTTGATGATACCCGAGAAGAACACACACACACACACACACACAGAGAGAGAGAGAGAGAGGGGAGGCTTGGCCGGGAGATTACGATAACGAATCTTTTGCGAGGCTTTTCCACCCGGAGGAGAACACGGACATTCTGCACTTACTGCACCCACCCCATTACTTCACCTGCGGCGTGTTTTTGGAGGGTGGCACGCTCAGATGTATCTATTGCTTAACACACCCTCCTATCATTTCCTTTGTCACTCCATTCCTCTACCTTATTTGATGACCACGGCGACGGGAGAGGGGTGTTGGAAAGGGAACAATCTCCATGGCTCTGGGGCTTGCATAGTTCAGGAGGAGTATGACGGTGGGCAATGACTTTCCGGTTTTTCTGATCTTGGGATCCCGTTTTGTCTTGGTTGTTTTTCTGGTTGTTCATCCTCCCTCTCTACTCTGGAAAAGGTTGATCCTGTCTTTTGCCCCCCCCCCTTCAGATGATTCCCAGATTCGCCAGCTTTTACACTTATTACCTGCCCCTACCTTATTCCTCCCTTTGCCTGTGCTCAAGGCTCGATCCTGGGCAGGCATTGATACCGCACCTCATAACCATATACATAGCGTCGTCCCCCTTTTACCCACCACCTAGCCTAGTTACACAGATGGACGCCGTTTCTTACGGAGCCTGCGCTTCAGAATACGAGCAGTAAGCTGAATAGCCCCGAGAATATACCCTCATTGTTATTTTCTTCCTTGCTATCCCGTAGATGCGAAATACTTTGAGGCTTTAACGGAGACAGCGGGATTGCTGCACTGCCATCGAATCTACGTAATCCCTTACTTCTGACGGGGAAGTTCGAGGAACAAGGCAAGTGTTCGCAAGCTTTGTCGAAGGCTTGGAATCCCTTTTGAATCCCGCCACCGCTCCAAGTTTACTTTCGTATATATTTTTCGTATATAAGGTACGTGCCAATTCACGCCACGCCGGAAACCCCAGAGTCCGTTCCTTCGTATAATCGTATTCGTCGTCAGACCATCAGGCGGCGCAAGTTCGAGACAGAACCCGAACGCAAAGCCCTTCCATATGTCAAGGGATCGTTACCGAGATAGATTTATACTTTTAACTTTACGATGGTGAAGGCTCGGGAGTTTGAAATATAAAAAGGGAGCTCCCTCACTCGCATCCGCCCCGGACCGCCCGTTCCAGTTTCTTCCCCAGAGACCAAAAAATCCAAGACACTCGATACGCTCGAATCAAAACCATATATCATCATCTCTCTTTTCACCCCTGCTGTCTCTCGTCTTTCCCAGAACACCTTACCTTTGAAAGCAAACAAACCCGTCCAACCCAAAAAAAAAAAAATCCAAAATGCGCAATTATCTCTACCTCGCATTCGTCTCCGCCCTCATTGCCGCGCACGGGGCCCTGGCGCAGGATGGAACGCTTTACGAAATCATCAACGGGATTCGGCTTCTCGACGGTCAGGCATCGAGCGACAAGGCGAAGTACTGGAAGGCGACGGAGGAGGAGATCTACGACAGACCGAGGACGTGGGATCCTGAGAAAGAAGAACCTGTGCCACTAAAGCGGCCGTATGAGGGGTCTGAGAACACTGACTGGTCACGCAGGAGGGGCGGGGTGGATCCCGCATAGGGTGTAGGTCAGAGCTTGGTCGGAGACTCAGAGGTGAAAAACTGTCAACATAAGGTACTGCTGACAGAGTGGTCATGATAAATAGCAGTGCTAGACAGGGTAGTTGAATTGATGAATGTACGAAGTAAGGTACCTTATTTATGTTGTGACCGTATGTACGTTGTACCTGGACTCGACGAGCCCTCGCTTTATTATGGAGTTTGCAAGTTAAAAAGGAACATGTGTCATGGCCCCCTCGTTTACGGACTCGATACCTTAGTACACGTGTAGACCGTTCCGGCGCCGCAATCCTTCCTTCCCTATGTTCTGTTATTCAGGCACGGCCGACGGGAGATGAATCGGGTTGATGGATTGATTCTAGTGGGCCATCGGGTCTTTGACCGAGCGACTCGATCGATGCAGGTTCCTGGCATTGTCGAATTAGGAGGACAGATTTAGGGGAGCATGTCCTTCTGATGGGTTTCGCGTTCACCAACTTGGAAGACCACCCCCAAGTCGCCCCACGGCCTCGAGGTGCCAAGGTTATATTTACGAAAGATCACGGCTGGACATGAGTGAGTAATTACGGATTGATTACAGGAGAGATCAAGGCCCCTGGATATACGTTGACCCATTTGTTGATTGCCAACCTCCCGGCGACGGGGTGCATGTCATCCTGCCGAACCCTCCGGCGGCATCCAGGCCCCTCTTCTTGCCGAATTCGTTTTGTATTTCGGAGGCCGAAATGTTCAGAGTCCGAAGAGGGGCAAGAGGAGGACGAGAAGGACGAGGAGGATAGGAGACTCGCATTGTGATTCGAGGAAGGTCAGGTAAGCACTGCAGTAATTAGGCGCCTCATACTTAATTTAGTCGCTGATGGCGATGCACGTAAGCCGGAGGGGCAGAAAACGGACAGGAGGATTCAACTACACAAGTACCTTACCCTAAGGTAGGTCCTTAGGTAATAATTCCTTCGGAGGAACGGACGGATGATGTACGAAGAACCTGATTACTGACTAAGCCCGAAAAGAATATGGGGACAATATCAGGTACCAGCACTGGACGTGGGTGATAAGACACTGATTCATTACCAACGAATACTTTGAAGAACTATTGGCAGGCTTATTGACGCAAGCAAATGTCTTGTGGTGAATATGTAGGGTCACTCGTCGTTATTTCGTATTCCGTAGTACGAATTATGAGATAACACACCACAGATGACTGAGCGAGGCTCCGCTGATGGACGGACAAGTCGTTGGGGGAGGAGTTGGGGGCCTGAAATTGGTGGGTATGCCAGAAAGCGAAGGGCCCACATGTTTTGGACCAGAGACCGCACGTGCCGATAGGTGGGGCAGGACGCCCAGGGCGACCAAACAAACGTCTCAGTTTCTGGCTTCCCAGTCAGACCCAGGGCTCTTGGCCCAACTTTTTTTTCTTGGGCCCCCAAGACCCCAAGAGCTCAATTGTTGGGGGAACGAGCAGTTGGACAATTTGCTGCTCCCTGTCAAGCCCTTCCTATGCTCCTCGACCATTCTCTCGTTTCTTGGGCATGGGCATGGGCAGGGTACGTTGTCTCACGATCAAAAAAAAAAAAAGCCCTCTTCGATTCTCTTCCACGACTGTGAGCTGCGAGGGATACGTTGGGTGATAGGATACCAACAAATGCAGGGGAACGGAGTACGGAGGAGAAATGCCACGGCAGTCGGGTACGGCGACGACATGCGGAGACTAGTCTCAATTAGGATGTTGCAAAGGCCCTGGGAGAACTCGGGGTACGCTCAGTGCAGGTTGAGAATGTTCGACATTTATTAATGCGCACGGAGTAGAGACGGGCAGACGAAGAGCAGAAGAGAGATGGGTAGGAAAGTCTTTGGTTCGGACGCGGAAGGGCAGGCAAGGTCTTTATAGATCTCTCGGAGTCCTCGTCGACATGGGTGTAACCTGAGGTTTCGCGTGGCAGTTGCGGCTCGTGAGAGAAAGTGGCCTGATTTCTCCATGCCAAGGGTCGATCTGGTGTTGACGGTGTGTAGGTACGTTAGTAGGAGGTAGACCGAATTTGGAATCGCCGGAAACGAAGTACGAAGTAAGACTCGATGGAGCTGGTATAAAAGGAAACGATGAATAAGACCGACGGAATGTCAAGACTGGCCTACAGATGTTTGAACTCGCCTGGATAAGGTATCCATCTAAGGTACCTTGGGCACCGTACGTTACATCACCTTAGGTAGATATCTTGCATATGGTTGTTCCTACTCCCAACTTCGTATGCGCTAGGCCTCCGGATTCTCGGTACAAGCTCCTAATGACGCCTTGACTCATTGTTCTTGCAGGATGATAAATGTGATGTTGCAAGTCGCGGTCACGCTCACTCGCAAAGTTAGGTGACTTCAGGTAAGGTAGTAGGTACGTGATACCCATGATGCTAAATGTGACCGTAGGAACAGAAGAAGGCGCAAGGCCAAGGCCCATGCATGGAAGGAAAGGGAAGAGGAGTGGAAGGAGAGGACACCTTAGGAAGGCACAGCCCAGAGTTTGCCGTACCACGTCCGCGTTCGCAACGAACAACGAAGAGTCATTGGTTAAGCTGGCCAGGTACAAATAGCAGTGTACGGATCTCGGCATGGCAGGTACAATGTATGTACATACAGTTGTATCCAACTCGGTACGGTAGGTAAGGTACCTTTAGGTAGTATACAACGGTAGGCCGGCCCTCGCGGATCTTCCACCCAAGGAACAAGAACGCCAGTCCGAATGTGGAGATCCAAGGTATCCATACAACGTACCTTACTCGTGCTGCGACTTCACCTCTCAGCAGTCTGTTACGGTGTCGAACCGTGCATCACGAGCCGCCCAGCTGTCCACCAGGTCCCGTGTTGTAACTTGTAAGCCTTGATGCGACCGGCAAAAAGCGGCATCGTACTACGGAGTACCTACTCAGTGAGTCCAACCCAGCAGCTCCTCCCCCGTTTCTCCCGCGAATCCCATACCGTTAGCCGTCGGAGAACAACTGTCATTGGCATCGCTTACCCTCCAACACCCAGCCAGCAATAGTATCATCAAATTAAGTCGTCGTCGCAGAATAGACGCTTACTACATATACCGCCGTCCTCCCTCTAGCATCCCTCTGTGCACCCTTGATTTCTTTTCCCTCCGATCTCTCCTCTTCGCTCGCCTCTTAGACGTCCCCCCCAGGTTCCCCGTTGTGTTGTACCACCGACCGACCCTCCTCTGTTGTCCTTGTCCTGCAGTGCAAAGCGTCTTACTTTTACATTTCGAATCGTCTTCGTTTCGCGCATTTTACAGAATAACCTGCTTCGATATATCTATCGCAGAAGACGGCCACCTTGACGAGCAACGAACCCGACGAATAGACAGATTTCCACCTCACAAAAGAACCGGACTACTTTCAAGATAACAAGCAATCAACCCGACGTCGGCTGAAAGGTATAGATTACGCAGATTTGAGCTTGTTGTTCTGTCCGATTCTGTATTCTCGCCCGCCCGCCTGCAGTTACCGAATCCTCCCGTGCCGCGCCTCGACGGATGTTGCTCTTACTGATTTGCGGGCCCACGCTCTTCCTCTCTTCCCAGGTCTCCACCTTCATCACCATCGCTCCAATCCCGGGAGCCGAACACAGAAGAAACACGGAGTACGGATACAACGCGCAAAAAGTCCAGCGAGGACGAAAGATAAAGAGAAACCCGACCTCCGAAACTCTTTACCATCCATCCGACCGACTGCGTTTTCCCAATTCTAAGCTCGAAAAAAAAGAAAAGAAAAAATCGACCGCCCATCGGCACTCGATACGTTCCCAGAGAAACTACAGAGAGACTACGCTATTTATTTTTGTTGGTATGTCAATATTTTTGCTCCATCTGGGCCCCTCCAGCCGGTGCCCCGTCCTCCCGCTCCGTCTCTTGGTCCCCACGACCGACGAAACCAAAGGGAGATCTGTGGCCCCCTGTGACGTGACAACCCCTGGCTCCTCACCAATGGGCATAAGGATTGGGACCCCCCGTTGTTCTCTCACCACACACCCCCCCTTCTAACCCCCCCGACACCCCCTTAGCGTCCCGTCTCGGCCTTCCCCAACAAGAATTCGGTATTTTGAGATGGAAACTTTCCGCTAACTATTCATTACCCCCCGATCCAGGTCCTAGGTCCGTCCCTTTTTTTGTTCTATTTCCCCTCCCTTCTTCTTCCCTTCAACCTGACAACTACTCATCCTCCCTTGACATTACCTCCTGAGCCGCTCTCGCATCGCCCGACTCCTTCTCTTTTCCAGTAGCTTGTCGATTCTAACTCCCGACTCTTGCTTCTTTACAGATACCCCTTTTTATTCCGAGTCCGTGGCGAGGCGACGACCGACTCTTCTCTGAACTCCTGCCGACTACCTGCCGCGGCAGTTCTCTCCCTCCTCCGCCATTCTCCCCTCCCGTGGGCTCCGTCTCTTGCCGTCACCCTCACATTCATGACGGTAACCTTCTAGATACCCGCGTCACTCTTCACGCATTCTCCTCCGTCTTCACATAATATCGTCAGCATGGCACAAACCAGGGGCCAAGCCAATGGCACGAGCCACGTCGTTCCACATATGAACGGCAAGGCTTCGTACGCCGAGAAACACAAGATTGCCGACCATTTTATCGGTGGCAACAACCTGGCCAATGCTCCGGCCTCGAAGGTCAAGGACTTTGTGGCTGCGCACGATGGTCACACCGTAATCACAAATGTGCGCCCCTTTTCCCCCTCCCCGAGCCCTGACAGATCCGAGTTGGACGCGCCGCAACCATACTGACCATTCCACAGGTCCTCATCGCCAACAACGGTATCGCTGCCGTAAAGGAGATTCGATCTGTGCGGAAATGGGCTTACGAGACATTCGGCGATGAGAAGGCCATTCAATTCACTGTCATGGCCACACCGGAGGATCTGGCAGCCAACGCTGATTACATCCGCATGGCCGACCACTACGTTGAGGTCCCAGGAGGCACAAACAACCACAACTATGCCAATGTCGAGCTCATCGTTGACATTGCCGAGCGGATGAATGTCCACGCCGTATGGGCTGGCTGGTACGTCTCTTCCCATCTGGGCCCCTTAGGATCGCCTCCCTCCCCCCTCTCTCGACAGCTCGAGCTAATCGCTGCTTCCTCATCATAGGGGTCACGCCTCCGAGAATCCTAAGCTTCCCGAATCCCTCGCCGCTTCTCCCAAGAAGATCGTCTTCATTGGCCCTCCCGGCTCTGCGATGCGCTCTCTGGGTGATAAGATCTCCTCCACAATCGTCGCCCAGCACGCTGAAGTGCCGTGCATTCCTTGGTCGGGAACCGGCGTCGACGAAGTGGACGTTGACGACCAGGGGATTGTTACCGTCTCCGACGGGGTCTACGCCAAGGGCTGTGTGACCTCGTGGCAGGAGGGTCTTGAACGCGCCAGGGAGATTGGGTTCCCCGTCATGGTCAAGGCGTCCGAGGGCGGTGGCGGTAAGGGCATCCGAAAGGTCGTGTCCGAGGAGAACTTTGAGCAGCTGTACAAGGCTGCTGCCAGCGAGATTCCCGGCTCTCCCATCTTCATCATGAAGCTGGCCGGCAACGCGAGACATTTGGAGGTCCAGCTCCTTGCTGATCAGTACGGCAACAACATCTCCCTCTTCGGCCGTGACTGTTCCGTGCAGCGCCGTCACCAGAAGATCATCGAGGAAGCGCCCGTCACCATCGCCAAGGACGAGACCTTCAAGGCCATGGAGGAGGCCGCCGTCCGCCTGGGCAAGCTGGTCGGCTACGTCTCTGCCGGTACCGTCGAGTATCTCTACTCCCACGCCGAGGACAAGTTCTACTTCCTCGAACTCAACCCGCGTCTGCAAGTCGAGCACCCTACCACCGAGATGGTCAGCGGTGTGAACTTGCCCGCCGCCCAGCTTCAAGTCGCCATGGGCATTCCTCTCCACAGGATCCGCGACATCAGGTTGCTCTACGGCGTGGACCCCAAGACCGCCACTGAGATTGACTTCGAGTTCAAGAACCCCGAGAGCGAGAAGACCCAGCGGCGCCCGCGCCCCAAGGGCCATACCACCGCCTGCCGTATTACTTCCGAGGATCCCGGCGAGGGCTTCAAGCCGTCGAACGGGGTGATGCACGACCTGAACTTCAGGAGTAGCTCCAACGTATGGGGTTACTTCTCCGTCAGTTCCGCCTCGAGTATCCACAGCTTCTCCGATTCGCAGTTCGGTCACATCTTCGCCTACGGAGAGAACCGCTCGGCATCGCGGAAACACATGGTCGTCGCCCTCAAGGAGCTCAGCATTCGTGGTGATTTCCGAACCACTGTCGAGTACCTGATCAAGCTCCTCGAGACGGAGGCTTTTGAGGACAACACCATCACCACCGGCTGGCTGGACGAGCTCATCACCAAGAAGCTCACCGCCGAACGGCCCGATCCCATGCTTGCCGTTGTCTGCGGTGCCATCACCAAGGCTCATATTGCCAGTGAGGGCTGCATGGCCGAGTACCGTAAGAGCTTGGACAAGGGCCAAGTTCCCTCCAAGGACATCCTGAAGACCGTTTTCACCGTCGACTTCATCTACGAAGGTTTCCGCTACAAGTTCACTGCTACCCGCGCCAGCAGCGACAGCTACCACCTCTTCATCAACGGGTCCAAGTGTTCTGTCGGCGTTCGCGCTCTCAGCGATGGTGGTCTCCTCATCCTGCTGGACGGCCGTAGTCACAGTGTCTACTGGAAGGAGGAAGTCGGTGCGACCCGCGTGTCCGTCGATGGCAAGACCTGCCTTCTCGAACAGGAGAACGACCCCACCCAGCTGAGGACCCCCAGTCCCGGCAAGCTCGTCAAGTACCTCGTCGATAACGGCGAGCACGTCAAGGCCGGCCAGAGCTTTGCCGAGGTGGAAGTCATGAAGATGTACATGCCCCTCGTCGCTACCGAGGATGGTATCGTCCAGCTCATCAAGCAGCCCGGCTCTACCCTCGAGGCAGGTGACATTCTGGGCATCTTGGCCCTCGACGACCCCAGCCGTGTCAAGCAGGCCCAGCCCTTTGTTGCCCAGCTCCCCGTCTACGGCGAACCCGTGGCCGTTGGCACCAAGCCTGCTCAGCGTTTCTCCGTCCTCTACGGCATTCTCAAGAACATCCTGCTGGGCTACGACAACTCGGTCATCATGGCGCCCACTCTGAAGGAGCTCATCGGGGTCCTTCGCAACCCAGAACTGCCTTACAGCGAGTGGAACGCCCAATTCGCTGCTATGCATTCGCGCATGCCCAACAAGCTCGACGCGCAACTGGCCCAGATCGTCGAGCGCTCCAAGGCTCGTCAGTCTGACTTCCCGGCGAAGTCGCTTGCCAAGGCTTTCCAAAAGTTCATTGACGAGAATGTCGCCAGCGGTGACGCTGAGCTCCTCAAGACCACACTTTCGCCCCTGACGGCCGTCATTGAAGCCTATATCGACGGTCAGAAGACACACGAGCTCAACATCATTGGAAGCCTGCTCGACATGTACACTGAGACGGAGAAGGTCTTCACCGGCCCCGGCCAGCAAGAAGACAGTGTTATACTGAAGCTGCGTGAGCAGAACAAGGACGACGCCTCCAAAGTTGTGCAGACTGTCCTGTCCCACAGCCGCGTCAATGCCAAGAGCTCGCTGATTCTTGCGATTCTCGAGGAGTACCGTCCCAACAACAAGCCCAACGTTGGAAATATCGGCAAGCATCTCCTTGGCAGCCTACGGGCCTTGGCCGAGCTGCAATCCTCCCGCGCCACGTCCAAGGTTTCGCTCAAGGCTCGTGAGATCATGATCCAATTGTCCATGCCTTCTCTCGAGGAGCGTACGAGCCAGATGGAGCATATCCTCAAGTCTTCCGTGGTCGAGTCACGGTACGGCGAAGCTGCCTTCGAGCATCGTCAGCCCAACCTCGACGTCATCAAGGAAGTCGTCGACTCGAAGTACACTGTCTTTGACGTCCTTTCGCTCTTCTTCTCCCACGACGATCCTTGGGTCGGCATTGCCGCTCTCGAAGTCTACCTCCGGAGGGCCTACAGGGCTTACGTCCTCGAGGATGTGCAATACCACTGCGATGAGTCTGATAATCCTCTGTTCTGCTCCTGGGACTTTACCATGGGCAAGTTCGGCGAGGGCGAGTTTGGTCTGGCCCTTCAGTCGGCCGCGCCCTCCGCTGCCGCCACCCCTAGCGGACAGGATTTCAAGCGGATTGCCTCGCTCAGCGACATGTCCTACTTCACCGCCAGGGTGAAGGGAGAGCCGTCTCGCAAGGGTGTCATCGCTCCCTGTAAGTACATCGACGAGGCTGAGGACATCCTCTCCAGGGCCATCGAGACCCTCCCTCTCCAAGGACAGAAGAAGGGCGGCGCCGGTCTCATCCCCGACCTCTCTGGGAAGCGGAAGCTGCTCGGAGGGAAGCCGTCGGCCGAGGAGCTGATGCACGTTGTCAACATTGCCATCCGCGACTCGGAGAGCCGCAACGACGACGAGATCCTCACTCGCCTCCGACCCATTATCGAAAGCGCCAAGGATGATCTGCTCGCCCGTCGCGTCCGCCGCGTCACCTTCATCTGCGGCCACAATGACGGCTCGTACCCTGGCCACTACACCTTCCGTGGCCCCGAGTACACGGAGGATGACAGCATCCGGCACAGCGAGCCTGCTCTCGCCTTCCAGCTTGAACTGCACCGCCTCTCCAAGTTCAACATCAAGCCCGTCTTCACCGAGAACAAGAACATCCACGTGTACGAGGGCGTCGGCAAGGCCGTCGATTCCGATAAGCGTTACTTCACCCGTGCGGTGATCCGACCTGGTCGGCTGCGCGACGAGATCCCGACCTCGGAGTATCTCATCTCCGAGGCAGACCGCGTCGTGAACGACATCTTCGATGCGCTGGAGATCATCGGGAACAACAACTCGGATCTGAACCAGGTCTTTATCAACTTCACCCCGGTCTTCCAGCTGCAGCCCTCCGAGGTGGAGAGGAGTCTGCAAGGTTTCCTGGACCGCTTCGGCCCTCGCGCTTGGCGCCTGCGTGTCTCGCAGGTCGAGATTCGCATCATCTGCACGGACCCCCAGACCGGGCTGCCCTGTCCCCTGCGCGTCATCATCACCAACACGTCGGGCTTCGTCGTCGAGGTGGACATCTACGCGGAGCGCAAGACGGAGAAGGGCGACTGGGTCTTCCACAGCATCGGGGGCACGAACGAGAAGGGCCCGATGCATCTCATGCCCACCAGCACCCCTTACCCGACCAAGAACTGGCTGCAACCCAAGCGCTACAAGGCCCATCTCATGGGCACCCAGTACGTCTACGATTTTCCCGAGCTGTTCCGCCAGGCCATCCAGAACACGTGGACGACGGCTATCCGGAAGATCGGCCCCCAGGTGGCCCAGCAACAGCCCAAGGCAGGCGAGTGCCTGACCTACTCGGAGCTCGTCCTCGACGACAAGGACAACCTCGCCGAGGTCAATCGCGAGCCGGGCACCAACTCCTGCGGCATGGTCGGGTGGATCTTCACCGCCAAGACGCCCGAGTACCCCAAGGGCCGCAGGTTCATCGTTGTGGCCAACGACATCACCTACCTGATCGGCTCGTTCGGGCCCCAGGAAGACCATTACTTCAACAAGTGCACCGAGCTGGCTCGCAAGCTTGGCATCCCGCGCATCTACCTGTCTGCCAACTCGGGTGCTCGTCTCGGCGTCGCGGACGAGCTCATCCCCTATTTCAAGGCCGCCTGGAACGACCCTGAGAAGCAGGATGCCGGTTTCAAGTACCTCTACTTGGACGCCAAGGCCAAGGAGAAGTTCGACACCGCCGTCATCACCGAGGAGATTGAGGAGGATGGTGAGAAGCGTCACAAGATTGTCACCATCGTCGGCACGCAAGACGGGCTCGGTGTTGAGTGTCTGCGGGGCTCTGGCCTCATTGCTGGTGCCACCAGCCGTGCGTACAACGACATCTTCACCGTCACCCTCGTCACCTGCCGTTCAGTTGGTAAGTAGTTGCATGCATAAGAAGCTTGGAGAAAGTCCACACTCCTGCCTCAAAGTTCCTGTTGACTGACTTGTCTGTTTGATACTTAGGCATTGGTGCCTATCTGGTCCGCCTTGGCCAGCGTGCGGTGCAGATTGAGGGCCAGCCTATCATTCTCACCGGTGCGCCCGCGCTGAACAACGTTCTTGGTCGCGAGATCTATACGTCCAACTTGCAGCTCGGCGGTACGCAAATCATGTACCGCAACGGTGTATCTCACATGACTGCCAACGACGACTTTGCTGGTGTCTCGAAGATTGTGGAGTGGTTGTCATTTATCCCCGAGAAGCGCGGCAGCCCGATCCCGGTAAGCCCAAGCGTCGATACCTGGGACCGCGAGGTCGTCTACGTTCCGCAGTCGAAGGAACCCCACGACGTGCGGTGGATGATTGGCGGCAAGACGGGAGACGACGGCAGCTTCGCGCCGGGCCTGTTTGACAAGGATTCGTTCGTCGAGACGCTCGGCGGGTGGGCCCGCACCGTGGTGGTGGGTCGCGCCCGTCTCGGCGGCATCCCCATGGGTGTGATCGCGGTGGAGACGCGCACCGTCGAGAACGTCATCCCTGCCGACCCTGCGAACCCCGACTCGATCGAGCAGGTGGTCCAGGAAGCCGGCGGTGTCTGGTATCCCAACTCGGCGTTCAAGACGGCGCAGGCTATCAACGACTTCAACAACGGCGAGCAGCTGCCGATGATGATCCTGGCCAACTGGCGCGGCTTCTCGGGTGGCCAGCGCGACATGTACAACGAGGTTCTCAAGTACGGTTCCTTCATTGTCGACGCGCTTGTCAAGTACGAGCAGCCCATCTTCGTGTACATCCCTCCGTTCGGTGAGCTGCGCGGTGGATCCTGGGTCGTCGTAGACCCCACCATCAACCCGACGGCCATGGAGATGTACGCCGACGTGGAGTCCCGCGGCGGTGTGCTCGAGCCCGAGGGCATCATCGGCATCAAGTACCGCAAGGAGAAGCAGCTCCAGACGATGGCGCGCTTGGACCCGGAATACGCGTCGCTTAAGAAGCAGATGCAGGCGGCCGACCTGACCAAGGAACAGGAGAACGAGCTCAAGGCGAAGATGACGGCTCGGGAGAAGCAGCTCCTGCCGGTGTACTCGCAGATCGCGGTCCAGTTTGCCGACCTGCACGACCGCGCCGGTCGCATGAAGGCCAAGGGCACGATCCGCGAGGTCCTCGAGTGGAAGAACGCCCGTCGGTTCTTCTACTGGCGTCTTCGCCGGCGTCTCAACGAGGAGTTTATGCTCCGGCGCATGTCGGCCACGCTGCTCTCGACGGCGGCGGCGTCGCCCGAGAGGCGGGCGGAGCACCTTCGTCTCCTCGAGTCGTGGTCGAACATCATCAACTTCAGCACGGCCGACCGCGAGGCTGCGGTGTGGTACGAGAGCAACCGCAAGGCCATCACGGACCGGATTGAGTCGTACAAGGCCGAGAGCCTGGCGGAGGAACTCGCGGCCTTGGTGCGCGACAATACCACCGCCGGCATGAGGGGTGTTCGTGAAGTCCTTCGGGTCATGCCGCCCGAGGAACGTGATCAGATTCTGAAATATCTCAGGGAATAGAAGTATAGAGGGAGAGGAAGAGAGGGGGGAGGGGGGGGATACTAAAGACGGGAGCGTTCGATGAAGCACACAATTGCATTGTTCTCGGAGATTCTTCGGGGGTGGTTGCATATGCTGGGATCTGCTTTTGCTTTTTTACTTCATGTCTGTTGTTTTCTAGAGTTTGACTTTTTCTTTCCCTGTTGGCTTGTTCTTCTTCCATACCATATTGGGAGCCGGGTGTTGTTTTTCGTGTATCAGGGTCGTTCGAACATGTTCATATAATAGTGTAACCATGTTCACAAAGAATCGAGTTGCTGATGATCTTCAATGGAAGTTTTCGCGGTTTACAATGCGCTGGTGATCAGGATCAACGGTCTCCGCGACAGGACCAAGTCGATGCTGTGATACTGCTGCCCATTTCTTTTGTCAACCCGATTTAGCAGTCGGGCAATTTCAACTTCAGTTTGCTAGCTATTGGGCCTCCTGAAGAAAAATGCCGAGAGAGTAGATGGTTAAGCTGTCTTAACCACACTTTTCCCAAATAAAGCGGTCAATCCCTGCAGGATAACTGCGAAAGAGTCGAGCCCAGTGGTATCCTGCATCAATCAGTAGGACCCTACTGTCTACAAATGTTTCTTTTGTGCCTTGCAGCCTTTCCTCTGTCACTTGGCGAACTGATCTCGTTACCCGCCCTGTCTCGCGTAGTTTCGACCCCTCTTCGCTTCCTGCTGACGCAGAATGGAGTTCACGATGGCGTTCGACAAGCCGGAAGGTGCCGGGAAGCCTTCGGGCCGGCCCGTGATATCCAGAGTGGACGTCTTGGAGAACTTTCTCTTCTTGCTCGTCTGGCGCGCTAACTGGGGGGTCTGGTAGAGACTGACGGCGCTGGCGTTGCGCTTGCAGGGGGGGGAGGAAGAGGGCGAGACGGAGTTGTTTCTGTTGGTGTTGGTGCTGGTGTTGGTGCTGGTGCTGTTGCTGTTGCTGTTGCTGTTGCTGGCGTTTCTAGCATGGCCAGCATGACCGGGAGTGGTAACGGCGACGGCGGACGTGTGCGTCCTGAGAGGCGAGTGGAAGGTTGTGGTAGGCCGCGGGATGCCGAGGCGGGCAAGCTCGGCTTCCGAGAGGAGCGAGGTGCGAACGAGCCCGTGGGAGGCGAGAAAGTCGTCTGTTGCGTCTCGCGGCAGGACGATAAACCCGCGCGAAGAGATAACTTGCGCGATCTCCGGGAAGGGCATCGCCGCTAGAAGAGATTGGTTGTCCGTTAGCTCCGTTGATGGAGCGAGGCCGAAGGGATACGAGGAAGCATTGTCGAAGCTGTTGGGTCTGCCAGTCTTCCTCTCGTTGTTATCGTTTGTGTTGCTGTTGACGTTGCTCTGCATCTCGGAGGGTGTAGGAGCAAGAGGAGGGCGACCAGCCCAAGGGGGGATAGGGGTAGGGCGGGTGTACAGGCGGTAGTTGTTGTCGTCCTTTCCTCCCTCTGACAACCGGATGAGCTTCGAGGTTTTTTCCTTCTCGTCAAACAGTTGGCCCGGCTGCTTGGTGAAAGTGACATCCTCGAACGAGAGGTCCATCGTCATCTCCTCCGTCGAGGGAAGGGGGCTCGTTGTGACGTCGGGAGTAGTGCTTCCTTGATTTTTCGATCCCGCAGACGTAGGGGGGCTGGATGCAGCCGCAACGGGAGCGTGGGAGACATCCTCGGTGAGAGCCAGGGCGTTCTAAGCCCGAGCGGTCTCTGGCTGCCAGAAGTGCTCCATTGGGGCTGTGAAGGTGAAGCGAGGTGGGATGCGTTGTCTGGGGTTGATGACACCAGAACAGCTCATTGTTGGGGTGAACGTCGGAGACTGGGTTTCCCGGATCACGCTGTTGTTGACGGCGGACGCGATTTTCTGATATTCAACAAGGTCAGTTTCCATTGCGGCCGTCAACATGGAATAAAGTTGTGCGTCTTCATCGTTGATGAGTGACTGCTCGGAGGCGAATTGGACTTCACTATCACCGCAAGTGTTCGGAGGAACCTGAACAGTATCAACTTTGGGGTAATGATATAACTGTTTCATGTCTCCCCGGCCTCGGTATGATTTGGTCTGAAAGACAGTATAGAGTCAGTAAGGATGGAAAGATGAACAAGAGACAACAGGGCAGAGTGTGTACTCCGCGATGGAAGTCTGCAAAGTGCGTTTATGGAGGAGAGAAAGAAGAAAAAGAAGAGAGGGAAAATATAAAACAAGGAAAAAGGAGAAAAAGAAACTAAATCAGTGGGAATCACGAGAGGGTAAACCATGGTAGGAAAGTCGCCTACTCTTCGGAATGGGCACTCACGCATCCTACGTTAGTAAAAATGGGAAGTTGCGTCTCTGGGGGAAAGAACCTGTCGTAGTGGCAACTCCGGATGATTCCACGATCCAGGTCCACGGTCCCACCCCCGTCGTTGACCTTGCCGAAGAGACAATTTGATGAGACGGGCGAACGTACTCATTCAGATGGTTGCGAAGAGTAAAGAGAGATGGGATATGATTGTGTATATGGAGTATCGGTTACTATCCTAGTTAGGGAGGGGCTCTTCAATAGGGGTAGTTCAGAGACACTGACAAGGCGAGTTCGCTACAGGCTACAGAGGTAACAGCTGTCAGGTCATCAAGATGTCCCGATTACATACATGCCGTGGTAACCCTCCTCGACACGCTTCTTTTGTCAAGAGTCAAACTTGAAACTCAACAGCGCCTCGGCTGTTCTGCAAGACCTGAATCGTGACATGTAACCAAAAAGACATACATCAGTTGTGACTTGTGAGTGCTATCCGCAAAATCTCATCCCAGGCATCCACGTCAAGTAGATGAAGATTGTCTCCGGTCGAAACGAACTCAAGTTGACTTGCCCCATCTACCAACCTGACGGGTGCGAATGCGCATTGGAAGATGTTAATTGTCCCACAAGAGGAATCTTGTCCTTACTCTGAGGCACATTTCTATCTCTTATTCAGTTAAGACCTCTTGAATCCCCTACAACCCTCCAGTTCTCACTACTATAACTACCTTATACTAATTACACTCACAAGTCTACTTCCGATACAATGGCTCCCGGTCTCGACATAGGTAGCCCACTATATATGTTGCTTAGCTCCCCTTAACCTTAACTCCGACATAAGAAGACCCCTGCCCATAATAATGCCCTCCTGAATGGGCCATGACATGACGACAGGTTACCCAAGCCCTCATGCAATCAAAGACTAATGGAACTGCGCGCGCGGAAGTCGGCCCGAGAAGAAACTCGTCTGAACGCGAGATGGCCGACATTTGGGAAACGACAATGGACACTTGTATGCTGTTTCTATAGGTCTTACCGGGAGGAATGACTGATGGTATTCACACAGCAGAAAGTGATACTGTGGGCGTCACTGGAACCCCCTTTACCCCTGAATCGCAAATGATATCGAAATAGACGGACACATCGACGGACAATTTCAACTCCTATACATGAGAGACTGTTTCCCACGAACGACCCCGTCCTACTAGGCATGGATAAGGCATCCTCGGCGTTGTCAACTTTGCAGTGCGTGAACCTCCCTCCCCGGAACGACTTGTCCTTGTTACGAAAGCCTATGCCAGTCGATCAGGTCATTGACGAGTCGAATTGACGGCATTCATTGTAAGGGGCTCCCCAAAATCTGGCAACCCGAGACGTCAGGTGATAGTAAAGACGGTTAACGTTCAGGCCGGCCCTATGCCGGTTTCGCGTCGAAGTGCGGAGACGGGGGATATCGCGACCGTCTTTAGCTGTTGAATTTTTGTCCCATGAAAACCATCGACGATAAGCCTCAGCTGAACAAACTCAACTGGCTTCGTTGCAGCTAGCCACATGGTAATTTTTAATTTTTTTCGTTTTTTTCTTCTTTTTCATTGAAGCCCCTCCTCCGTTCGTTGGGAACCGGCGCCTTCCACCGGGCGGGCTCAGCCGGGTTGCCCTTCCTGAAATCCCGCCCAGACAAAATAGCCCACGTTGGACATTGAAGATGGAAAAGGTATGCGATTGTAGTGTACTATTACCCAGTGCCGGACTGAAAATTGTGGAAACACGGAATCCAGTGCAGCACGGCGTAGACGATTGGGCAGGCGGCAGAGGTCCGGGACCCCTGATGGGAATTGATTCCCACAACTTACACCTACACCTACACCTACACGTAGAATATTCCTCGCCTCAATCCAAGACCAAGCTAAAAACCCCACAGCCATCCAATAATTGACCGGCGGCCAGAAGATCAGCACGACTAAGAAGCGTCTCGTTCGTCTGGCTGGTTTGGGGGCTTTTCTTGTCCGTGAATACTCCGTACCACTTATTTTATCCCATGAGCACGAGGCCTGGACTAGTCGACGGATACCGCAGAGGATCCAGGTCACGGTAAGTCACGGTAAGTCACGGTAAGTTGCGGCAAGTGTGGTTGGCTATATGCCGAACGTCCGTCCTGCCACGTCGAGTGGTCGGTCCACTGTGGTTAGGTCGTTTGGGTGGGTGGTAATTATCAATTATCACGCAACGAACTTTGGGAGTCCCGGTGCACTGCGGATGGAATTGGAAGGGCAAGCCACACGATCAGCAATCAATACGTTGGACTGGCCCGGATATTAGTCGGGATTTTTTGTTCTTTCGGTTGTCGAATTATTAGAATGATTGATGAATGAATTGAAGGCTTCAACGCGACTGCAAGATACCACCGCACTTACGAATAAAACGGACACGTACGCAAGCAAGTAGGCATCCACAGCAAGACGACCAATGGGGTGGGATGAATGCTGCAAGTGGCAAAGAAAATATCGCAGCAGTTCGTACTTTGTATGCATTCGAAAATTGGAAGCCGCGGGAAAAGCCTGTGACGCACAATGCACATGCCCGGTGCAGGCTCTTCATGGCTCTCGGCGCAAGTCCCTACCGAAGTGGCAGCTGCCTTGAAGACATTGATGTAGGTTAATTGCGTTGAAGATCCCTATAGGAGCCATCGATGGTCGAGTGGCGAATGGCAGGTCTTCATTTCCACACAGATGCATGTTGAAGAAAGGTAAGCCGACAAGGCGTCCGGAACTTGGTTTTTTTTCGTGGTTAAGAAACAATTTGGAACATTCCTCGTGTCCCTTCGTTTTCGTCTTAGTAGTCTGTAGAGGAGACGCAATCAATTACTCCGTGAATTGTCGGTTGACGTCGAAGGAAGGCTCAAAGAAAAACACCGAAATTGGTTAAATCCTCAAGGCGTGGTTGGGCTACGTTATATTATGGCACAGGCCAACAAGTTGGTCCGAGAGCCGGGCAAAGTCCGGGGAAGACCAGGGGTGTACAACGAAGTATTTGCACGGACCGGTTCCTGAGATTTGACGAAAGAAAGGTTGGTCAGGTGGCTGACCATGATAGCTCTAGGTTGTGGTTATATGTGATGACAATCGTCCATTGGCGTAATAAAAAGGCCCCGACTCTGCAGCAAAGCGTTGCGTTGTATGGATGCGGCCTCCAATATTTATGTAATCAAAGGGAGGCCTCAGGCTTGCTGGTGTATCAGTTAAATAACAGAACATCTTGGATGAGTCGATAACTTCAGATGGGTCCAGGGTTGGCTGAAAGGTATAGGTATGAGCGACAGCAAAACGTGAATACAAACATCTGACAGCGAGTATGGTCAACGTGGGGAGTCTTCCACAGGCTGTTGGGGAACGGAGAAATGACTTTGCGTGGTTTTAGTTTCGTGTCAGCCGGCCATTTCGGACTTGTTGGATCGTCACCAACCAAAGGTACATATGGTGCGTGCGTCCTCACAACGACACAACGAGGTACCCCGTAATTACATGGAGGTATGCGTACAAGACGAGACGATAAGGTAGTGTAGTTACGAGTCTCCGTGGGTTATTAGTCGTCTGCACAGCCTCGCCATCTGCAGGGGCTTGGCGGGGCGGTCGTCTGTAATTTCGTGGGGGGAGTATTCGTACGAAAATACGTTGGAATTGCCTGTTAACGCCTAATTATAAATCGAGTCGGTATTGCCTCGGGATGAGAGGCAACGAGGTGGCTGTACGTTTGTAGGCCACAGGCCGCCAAGCAGGACGATCGGACGGTTGCTCTCTCTTGCAGCTCTTGGAGGGTGGGCCCCTGGCCTGAACGACGGGAAATAAACGAAGTTTCACAGACTTGCTCTGTGATCCACGACACCTGTTAAGTACTCCGTACATCGCACTTCGTGGTAATTATGCATAGGCAGGTAGAGGACAAGGTTCATCGCGGGCCCCATTTCACTAGGGCTTCGGCATCCGTTGTGTAGTCGTCGTCGCCGTCGTCTACGGAGTTACCTAAAAGAGTGGAGGGATGTCGAAACTCACCAGGAGGCTCGCTTGCTTGGGCTGCCCTTTTCGTGAAGATGCGAGGTACATGTTAGTTTGGTGGAGTTAGGTAAGTGGGTTAATCGTGGGGGAGCTGGTGCCAAAGTTCGGGAGAGGTAGCAAGTTGGAAAACGTCTGTTGAGATGAGCCCATATGCCGAAGTGTTTGGGTCATAGTTGATTACGTTGTAGTTCCTTCCCCGGTCGACGAGATGCACATCTTTCCCTTCGTCTCTTGTTTCGTGTCGTGTCTCCTTCCTCGGCATCTCTCGGTGAGCGGACGAGTAGGATAAGATGACCATGTGCCTGAGCCGAACAAAGAGAAACGAGGGAAATATTAGATAAGCATTCCCTGAAACTCTCCCTGACCGAAGCCGAATCCCTGCAGATGCAGACCGTGGGTGTGTCACAAGGACAACTTGACCAGGGGTCCGAGATTAAAAGGCCGCAGCTAGCCCAGCAATGCAGCCCAGCCCTCTTTTTTTTCTTCCATGTTTTCATGGGAGAATTATAGCTCGCACCAACGCCCAACGGAACAGGTTTGTGGTTTGTGGTTTGTGGTTTGGGCGGTGGTGCGTGCGTTGCAGGAGAGAACTCCATTGATCAATTCGAATGCCGACCATTTGAGACCTAGGCATTGCAATGTTCACGATGGGTGTACTCGGACGTTTTGGAACGAGAGACGGACGAGGATAGAAAGTTTCTCGGTCCGGTTCGGGGGGTGATAGGCGGCACCATCGCCGCGGCGGCAAGTTATTAGTACACGTGTACGGTTACTTCGTCCATACGCAAAGTCCACTCGGGCGATTCGCCTTGTCGAAAGGAAAGGGAATCTAAATCGGTCCCAGCCTAGCCTGGCCCTGCCGACCAAGCCGTGATGAACATCCAAATCCACCGACTAGCAGATGTTGCAGATAAATGCTCCCCATCGCTCTCTGGTGGCTGGCTGCAAGGCGACCCCACCGACGAGGTAACGACGCAGCAGGACGCCTACATGAAGATGTGCGGGACCCTTGGAACGATTTGCAGGATGGGTGTGGTGAATGGCGTGTTATGTGTACGGAGTATCCGTCCAGGTGCATGGGCACAGTATGGAATGATGATATCGTAGGACAGAGAGCAGAGAGGGAGGGAGCACCACCTACTTACTTCGTAGGTCAATTTACTTTGAAGTCTTGAGGTCTTAACGTCTGGAATGTCTTTCAGTGCATCGACTGTCCGTCCGTGGGACGAGCTCGACGGATCTCGGAGTGCCTGCAGTTCCCGACGTGAGGACTGTTTGCAAAAATCGACGTACGAAGTAACTAGAAACGAATCGGAAACCCGAAATGACACGGTCTGCAGCGGAAACCCTCGAGTCAAACGCAAGCTCGATGAGGCGACGTGCTGTTCACCAAGGCCCGACAGTTCTCGTCAACTGTATAAAAACAGACCGTTAGTTCTCGATCGTTAGTTCTCGATATAAACAAACCAAGTCAATCACCAGCCGCCTCTTTTATCCGATGTCACGAGTTGCCCCGGGACAGCGTTGCCTCTGGTGGTCAGGCGTCAGGGGAATGGCGGCTGGATATGAGCATATGTCGACCAGATTGCCCAGGGTTGCATTGAGACGGATAAGGGCGCCTCCGTCGGTACGTGTAGAGACACGTACGTTGTAACTTGGAGAGGTGGTGTGATGTTTCGCGACTGTCCTGGTAGTATTGGGGGACACGATAATCCACTCGAAATGTTACGAGACTAGACGAGAGAATTGAATTGCATGGTCGAACGGGGTGTAAAAGGATGGCTTTTCTTTGGATAATGGCGGCGATGTGGGAACACGAGGACGAGATGACAGATGCCAGGCACGGCACGGCACGAGAGTTGCGAATGAGAATGTCGGGTAGAAATGAGAGAATATGAGACTCGACAGATAGGCGAACGATTGTCTTCCGTGCTTACAGAGTAGACGTTGCCATTGGGTTGAGTTGAGCTGATAATTGGCCTACAACTCGAAATCAAAATGCGAACAGGTGGGTTAGTTGAGGGTGACGTGATGATCTAAGGTATCTTATTCGTAGATTGAGTACCTTGGTACCTAGGTACTACCGACCACAAAACGTACAAAGCGAAATAGTACACAGTACGTACCGCTTTGGTCGTCGCTTCTCAACTTTCTGCCTACCTCCGTACTTATTACTAAGACAGACACTGTGAACAGTTCCGCACTATGCGGACGAGCCTTGGCTATCCGCATGTAGGAGCAACCCCAAGGACTCCAGTAGCGCCGCCGACAGCTCAGGGGGGAAGGGCTAGGGTCGGCTCCTCTGCATTACGCTAGTATGGACCGGGTTGGGCGTAGCCTAGAACGTATCAATCAAATCGTAGGCTGTTTCGTTGACCACTGAGAGGTACAGGTACTCTGTTATGTTACCAAAGGCCTTATTCTTGGTGATCCGTTGTGTCCCGTTTTCTGTGCATTTTGCATATTCCAGGAAGAAGGTATGGGGTACAGTCTGCAGGCTTGCGGTATTTCTGGGTAGCTGGTCCTAGTACAGATACAAACACTCCGTACTTTCGGAGGTACCACCTTTGCATTCTCCGATGGGCGGCCAGCGATGCAGGCCGCGGGCGACGAGGGAAATAAATGCTCCTACCTCACAGCTGCATGTCATACTCCGTATGAAAGTGGATTTCGAAAAACATGGGCCCCGATGTCATCGATCAGGGGGGGCCGCAAGCAGGGCCAGCACTGACCAATTGCTAAAAATTGGCTTGGTCGGCTTTGGGGGTCAGGAAATGGAACCTTGGGTCGATATCCCATGGCACGCACTGCAGGCCCTCACATGGGCCCTGGCGTGTTCAGTGTTCCCTGTGTACGAAAGTAAGTGTAGGGGAATGCTCACTACAGATACAACTAAGCATAATCATTTTCTTGCGCCGTTCATCGAGACAATCATTGACGCATTATTATCAGGTACCTATGTAATTAACTTCCATCCTCGTTCAGTCTGAAGTTGGGTGGTTCTGTGACGAGCCGTATATCGGCCTGCCCTGCCACGAGCCCCAATGACTCACACATCCGCAGGGCAAGCTACGCCGATCGGTGGACGTCGAAATGTGGATAAGGCTCGGTCCTTTTAGTGATACCAGCATGGACCCGGGACGGTGGATATTGCGTTTGCTTTATTGGTGGGATGAATGGGGATAAATGGTGGGAGACACGAAACGACCGACCACGGATGGAAGTTGGTTTATAAACCCTCTTTTTTCCTTTTTTCCCCTTTCCTTTTTTCGATCGGTCTATCCAGATATACTATTCAGGTATTGTATCTATTCGCATATCAAGGATATATAATATCTGTTCTTAATATACCTTGACAACACGCCACCTCTCTCTTTATTCTACGACGAGCTACCTAAGGTATTTATAAGCAAGCTAGATGAACCTCAAACTTGACCCTGTCACAGGGTCTTGTTCGACGGCCGTAAGCGGCTAAAGGTTTAACACCGACTAAGGCCCTTGTCCCTTGGCGTGCATCCATGGTAGCGTAAACTATTCCTCAAGAGGACAAGCGTGCATGCCTCAATTCATATCCCACGCTGTGTACATACACAGTACGTAGCATTGTCTGTCCCCCTGCGACATGCACCTTCCTGTGGCTAGCTACCTAGCCTACTTGTGTACCTTATCCAAATAAGCAAGGAAGGTTAGGAAAGCTGGTCCCCACTTCGGCATAAATGAGTGGATGATATTGGCCGTTGATAATCGCAAGTCATGCTATTATTCGTAGAAGTACGTAGCCTAGTAAGAATACTTAGTACGCGGCACTGTTTCTCTGTTGGTGAATAGCCGGAGTTTGGTGGGAAGTTGTACCGAGTACCTTGCCCTGCACGGACAATAACATGCATTTCGTACAGGCATCCACAACGACAGCCACACCAAGGTGACACTTCTATCCGGTACACAGTGCAGGAGAGACAGGGCAGGTGGGGCTTCCCCGTTTCTCCATGACTAAACCCCATTGGCACTTTTGGAAGGGGACGGGCGCTTTGTCTAGCAGCCAGTGTTTCTTGCCTCAGTCAAACAGGCCCGATTTCTCCAATCAGGAGGCTTTCTCTGGGTCATCGAGTCCTTTTCCGCCTTCTGGCTCAATTCACCCGCACCATATAAGACCTTCGCATACAACAGTACGGATTCTCAGTACGTTGTAATAAATACTTCGTACGTAGGTATAAACCAGACCGAGCCGAACCCAGACTTAGACTGCAGCATTTGGGAGAAATGACACTCAGACTGCGATCCAGGGACCAAGCCGTTTGTGATACCTTACAACGTATGTATGTACATACTAAGGTACGGAGTAGTAAAAGTGATCAGTGGGTAAAGCGTCCTACGAATTCTTACGTACATACGGTACAGTACGATTGAGCTAAGTACCCACCTTATTGATACTGGGTACCAATTGGTACGAAGCAAGATTACTACAACGGACGTAGCATATACGGAGGTACAGTACAAGCGACAGTACAAGGTACCAAGTGACCTCGCTCCCCTTCAATGGCTCTATCTCTTCGTTCTGTTCCTTTCCTCCCCTCCCCCTCCTTTCTCTCGGCTCTCCTGTCCGTTCGCTTCCTATTCTTTGTCCCTGCCTTTCTTTTCTTGCTCTTCGGCGGCGAAACCAGTAGAAGGTCTCCTACGAAGCGGCTCGGACTGACGGATGGACTTCGAATAGACGACGTACCACTGGATCCCTGCGGTCCCTTCCTTTGCCAGTTCACCAGTTGCTCGATTAGATTATCTGGTTGAGTTGGAATCGGATTGCTATTGTCCTCTCTACCCACCAGCCACTTCTCCTTTTCGTTGCGACCCGACGCCACGCTCGCCTCGTCGACGCCAAACACTGATACCGACGCAGACGGCCGAACCGAACACTACCCTACGAACGTGTCTTCCTCGCTCATTTCCCTCGTCTTCCGACTCTCCTCCTGCCGATTACAACGTTGGTCTTCCCAGCTTCCGGTCTACGGCAACCCCATTAACCGCAATTCCCGTCCTGTTTTCGAAACCAACCCCCCTTCAATTACCTCAATCGAGAGACAGCTTGGACGGCTCTGGTCCAGGACACGCCCTACTATACCCAGGCGTGAGCAAAAAACCAAACAATATAAAAAGTTCACCGGGGCAGTACCATAGCAGCACTGGCCAGTAGCCCTTTGTGTGCCTGAGGGAGAGAGCTGGCACCGAACCTGAAGACTCGGGCCCTTTCCCTGGCCTTCCTTCTTTCGCTTCCCTCCAGGTGTCATTGCACACCTCCCGGGACCAACCATGACCATGAACGACGCGGTCGTCAAGGTCGAAGCTACCACTATGACGACCAATTCGGCCGGTGCTGCCGCCGACGATAGCGGTATGAGTTGTTAGGCTTCGTTTGCCCCTATTTCTCCTTCTTTCACCCAACCTCCCCCGACCCAGCGTGTCCTGGTTTCTCCCCCTTGCTCCTCGACGTTGTTTTCTTTCTTCTGTTGCTCATATCTTTCCGTGCCGTCAACGTATTGAACGCCCTTCAACTCATCTCTCTCGTTCACGCAAAGTGCCTCTTTCACCATAACTGCGTTTCCGGCTGGAATTATCTCAGCTGATGGTTGTTCGTTTGCTTATAGCCTCTTCGATCACCGTGAACACGAAAGCTCCGGCCAATTTCCCCCCGCCCAAGACGGACAAACCTCGTCCACATGTTTGTGGCACTTGTCAGCGCTCATTTGCTCGTCTCGAGCACCTGAAGCGTCATGAACGTTCCCATACGAAAGAAAAGCCCTTCGAGTGTCCCGAGTGCACGAGATGTTTTGCGCGCCGAGACTTGCTGCTGCGTCACCAGCAGAAGCTGCACCAGACCACTACCCCGTCGTCTCGCCCGCGTGCACGTCGAGAGAGTACCAGTGGCACGCCTGGCCAGAGTAGAGCACGCAAGAACAGTGTCGCTGGCCATCATGCGGGTGCTGGAACCAACCCGGGTTCGGGTGCCGCTTCGATGCGACCGAGGGCCAATACCATTAGTCACGTCGACGGCAGCGCCATGCACTTGATGGGCGGCTCGGCCAACCCTCAGGTGGCTCGCATGCCCCCTTCGCACGGTCATAACCGTCATCCTAGTCTTGCCGGCCTCCCCATGCACCACCATATGGACGCGGGTTTCGGAGGCATGGCAACAGCCATGAGCCAACGTGGAGTCAACCATAACCTGCCCAAGCTGGAGACCCATGCCATAACAAACAGTATGGACTTTACCAACAACGGCCTACGTACGGCCCCGCCCATGGCTTTCAACGGCGACTTCGACTTTGAAAACCTCCTCTTCGGTCCGGGGTCGACCATCAACCCCAACGCCCTGCACTACAATGATTCACCGCCATCCTTGGGGCTGGACCCGACATCCCCCTTCCTGTCGGGCCTGCATGATGGTATGCCCGACATGATGCTGTCCGCCAACCACCAGATGGATGACAGCTTTGACTGGCTCACCGGCTTCGAGCATCAAATGTCCTTCCAGGGCGCGGACAACGCCATCGACGGCTCCAGCCCTTCTGCCGTCAGCAACGTGAGCCAAAGCGGCATCAGCGACGTCATGCTCGATGGTTCCAACCGCCACATCTCCGCCGCGGCCACCACCTCCGCCATGTGGCAACCCGCCCTCATGGCCCCCCCGCAACTGCCAAACACCTTCTCCATGGACCTGAGCGGTTCTGTCTTCCCGGACCTGCTGAATGGGGCTCCCATGTCGCCGCAGCCGCAGCCGCAGCCGCAGCCGTCTACGGCCCAGAAAGGCAATGATGTGTACTTCTCGACCCCTCCACCCTCCATGAGCTCGCTCAGCCCTTCTCTCGTCCCCGGACTTAACACTCAGAATTTCAACCAGGCCCTCGGCTTCGCTGCCGGTCCGGACACACCCTCCTCTATCAACGGCGGAAACCACGGCGTACCTCCCGTCTCCACCATCACCGACGCGACCCGCACCGCCATCGTAAACGCCTTGTCCCAATGCTCTTCCTTCGGCGGCCGCAAGTATTCCTTCCCGAACCCGGGCTCGCCCATGTCACCAGGTGTGCAGAACAACCCCACGACTGTGCCCGATCACGTAAAAACCCTCCCCAGCACAGCTGACCTCCAGCGATACGTTGGGTGCTATCTTCGCTACTTCCACCCCCACATGCCCTTCCTGCACATCCCCACCCTGTCGTTTGATGTTCCCCCCTCTTCTTCCCATAACCGCTCCACCACGCTGGCGGGGAGTGGTTGTCTGATTCTCTCCATGTCTGCCATCGGAGCCCTCTATGAGCGGGACAACGTGCAATCCAGGGACCTTTTCGAGACGGCCAAGAAGATGATCCAGCTGTACCTCGAGGAAAGGAGGAAAGCCGATGTCAGGAAAGCCGATTTCCGAAGGACTCCGGGCTCGGATTCCAACTCCCAATTCAACGAGGGCGCAGTTCATACCCCCGTCTGGCTGGTCCAGGCGATGCTCCTCAACGTGGTGTACGGGCACAACTGCGGGGATAAGACGGCGAACGACATTGCGTCCACGCACTGCGCCGCCCTGGTAAGCCTTGCGCAGGCCGCCGACCTGCTCCGCTCCGTCCGGGTCGAACCGTCCGAGAACTTGGATAGCCATATGACCGATGACAGCTCATGGATCGGCGGCGGCAGTATGCGGCCCGAACCCGAGGAGCAGACCGAATGGATCCAATGGAAAACCACGGAGGAGCGGAAGCGTACCCTCTACGCCGTCTTCATCATGTCCAGTCTTCTAGTAGCTGCGTATAACCACACTCCGGCCCTGACCAATTCGGAAATCCTGCTCGATCTGCCCTGTGACGAAGAGTTCTTCGCCGCGGAGAGCAGTACGGCTTTCGCAGCCAGAGGTGGTGTCCGTGGCGCTAACCATAACCGCATGACATTCCACGAGGCCTTGGGCGAACTCCTTCGCGCCAACGAGAAGCGGCAGAAGCGAATGGCGGCGCTCAATGGAGCGTCCGGGGTACCTACCCAGCTGGGCAGTGCAGCTGGGGCCGAGCTGAAGCCCTCTACGTTCGGCTGCTTGATCCTCATCAACGCACTCCACAACTACATTTGGGAGACGCGGCAGCGCCACCACAACAAGGTCTGGACCACCGAGGAGACGGAGAAGATGCACAGGCACATCGAGCCGGCGTTGAAGGCGTGGCAGGCTGCGTGGGCGAGCAACCCGAGACACAGCCTAGAGCGGCCGAACCCGTCCGGACTGGGACCGCTCTCTGCGGATGCCATACCGCTTCTCGACCTGGCCTACGTGCGCCTCTTTGTGAATCTCTCCCGGTCGAAGGAAAGGTTTTGGCAACGGGACTGGGACGGCATGGCCGAAGAGCTCTCGCGCGGTAGCGAGGTTGTCCAGCAGAACGAGCAGTCGCCAGCTTCCAATGCCGACTCCAACAGCACCGAGTCCTCGGATGCTTCGGCAGCGAGCTCCGTCTTTGTCGAGTCGCCTGCCACGCAACAATCAGCTTCGCCCGAATTTTCGGCGGTCAAGTTCCCCGCCGCTCCGTCGGAGCAATCGGCGGCCCAGGCGTCGTCGGGGCGATCGACGTCGCGTCGGGAGAAGCACCTGCGCAAGGCGGCCTTTTACGCGGCCGACTCGCTTGCCATGGCGGACAAGCTCGGCGTGACCTTTGCGGAGTTCTCCAGCAAGGAGTTGCCGCTGCAGTCGGCCATGTGCGCCTTCGATTGCGCGCAGGTGCTGGCGGAGTGGGTGGCGACATTACAGGATCGCGTCGGCCGGTATCTGGGTATTCTCGGTCAGGACGACGTCGACCTCACACAAGTGCCGGCGATCATGCTCTTGGAGGAAGAAGACGTGAAGCTTCTCAGCAAAGTGCAGGACGTCTTGGCCAACGCCGACATCAAGATCAATGTGGAAGTGGTCAGCGGGACGATGGCCGCCGTGCAGATGGATGACCATAATGGCTACGCCGCCCGGATTTTGCGTGTCACTGCTTGTCTTCTCGAAAAAGCAGCTGTCTGGCCAGGTGAGAGCGGCAACAAGACTGCCGGCCGATTTGTTTTACTGACACCCCGAACAGTCACCCATCTCATGGCACAGAGCCTGGAGACCCACGCAAACCATGTGCGTGCCCGAGCGGAGAAGTCTGTCATGGCTTGTGAGTGAAGAGAAGGCATGTCATGGCTGGTTTTCCGACGATCAACTCTATATTTTCTCTACCGGATCCATGGGTGAAGGAAGATCTAGAAGCGGCATTACAGTCCACCCTGGAGCCCGCTTGTACATGATTCGAGATGAGCAATTGCGAGTCAAGGGAAGAAGAAGAAGAAGAAGAAGAAGAAGAAGAAGAAATACGTTCACATCGACAGAAAAATGCTTTTACGACGCATGAGATGCACGGAGAGAGACGGAGATACCCTGGTATTTGTGAAGGGAGGTTTTACATGCGATGCACGACAGTGGCTCTCGATGAACTGGATATTCGGCGGGCTTGGGAGTGCTGCTTTTTCAGTCCACTCGAGTCGGGAGTTGCTTGCCAACGGTACTCGGAAACGCGACTAACTACAACGAGAAGAGCAGGGCTTTGGTGGCGTTTTGATTTATGGCGATTTATTGGAACAGCGAATAAAGAGCAGTGACGGCTCATAGGACTACGACGGCCTATATGTTTGTATTTGTTTCCTAGCAGCACTGTGATGCTCTGGGACGTTGCGAGCGCGCAGCTGGGAGGGCTGGGCGAACGTACAAAGATTCAACACAGACGATGGGGATGCAAGGGGAGGGATTTTTTTTTTCTTTCTTCATGGCGATTCCGCTTGATCATGAACTCGGGGCCGACATCACGGATTTTCTTGGAAGGTGACGGTATGGAACAGGCGAGCGGAGGATTCATCATCCGGATAGTCGGTAGACGAGCCAGTCGATGTGAGCTTCTTTGTAAGCTTATAGGGCAATTCATGATTTCCCATCGAGCGCATGGTTGCTCGTGACCCCTCGAGTGGACAAAGACATCTTCGCTTCGTGTTGTCCATGTTTATACCGGTTGAGCTGAGTACAATAGGGCGACGAACGGACAGTCAGACGACCTGAAGACCTGGCCTGGATCACAACGAATGGTCAGTATCATGCCAAAGAAGCTTGATGCCACGGAGTAGAGATACTATAACGGAAAATCAGTGTCTCAAACAAAGTGACTGCCATTCCATCATGAGTTCGGTCTGGTAATATTACGGACATGTTTGCTTCGTCGTGTCAAGGTATGTCGAAAGGCATGTGACGATGTTGTCCATGATTATCTGGGACGAGCTGGGGATGTAGCATACATGTAAGAAGGGCTCTCTCTCTCATATAGACTTCTTTGAGGCCCCTGTTGAAGATACCGCCTTTGTTGGTATTATTTGTGACAAAGAGACTGTTAACGACGATCAAAGAGAGTGGGAAAGGCGGTTGATTCTGCGCAGTGCCGAACAAAAGATATTGTCTGCTTCTCCTCGAGCTTCACGGGTCGAAGCATATAAAAGTGAGAGTGTCCACATGGAATGGAATCTCGTCCAAGGCTAGGAGCAGCAGATTCTGTATTTCGAACCTTTCGTATGGTTGCAGGACAACTTCTTCGGAAAGCCACAAAACAAACCTATTCTTTTCATCGGTTTGATTCAACAGACAATCCAGCTGCATGACGTGCACGAACACCAAGGTGAGTGATGTCTACCCGACGACCAACACCGACCCCAGGAGGCCAGGGGTCCATCAATTCCCACATGCAGACCCTCGACCCCCTCGCCGCTTGCTACCGCGACTGTAAACCGTTGCTTCTCCATCCATCCTCGCCGACGCCACAGGAGTTCGAGACGGGGGTCAGAGCACTGGTCAAGTTTGGGGGCACGGTCGACTGGGACGTCGTGCGGCGCCGGTTACGCGAGGAGGCGACGATGGACGAACTCGCGCGGACGAAACGGTACCTCGCGCTCCTGGTCCCGTTGTACGACCAGCTCCTGGTGGCGAGGGGCCTTCCGTCGGCGCCGGTGGGGGATATCGTCTTTAATGAGAATGGTTGGAGAAGGATCGTCAGCGAGTGTGAGGAAGTTCTCCTTGACGGGTCGACCCAGGCCTGCTGCTCTTCGTGCGCTTCGTGCCGTTCGTCCTCGTCGAAGGCCGGGGGGGAGGGTCGGACGTCGCAATCCTCTTCCTCGTATTCGTCCTCTTCCGTGCTTTCCCCCTCCTCCGCCGTCTCTTCCGCACCTTCCTCTACCGCCTCGCCGAATAGGGTGCAAGCGGAAGCAAGGATACGGGCCAAGCCCGAGCTGCGCATCTTCTACCACGGCGAGGACATGAGGTGGGGCGTCCCGGTCCCGGTCTGCGGTTTCCCGCCGCGGATCGCGTTCACGCAGGAAGGCACGGTGACGGACGGACACCTCACGCTTCCCCTCGGACCGGGGACCACGGGCGAAGCCGTCCTGCTGGAACTGTTCGCCAGGGAGGACTTGCCGGGTTCGTTTTCCGGGGCCGTCGTCTCGGCGGACGGGTGGCTGTCGTACGGGGCTTTCCAGACGGTCAGGGTGGGGCCCGGGACGCTGGGGGAGCGGCATCTCCTGCCGATGAGGTGTCAGGGTCGAAAGTACGGCCTTCTTGGTGGCGGCTTGAACTGGGAAAACGCGGCGAGACCGGATGGCGTGGGGCGGGCCCGGAATGCGCACATGGCGAACGCTTGCACGGCGGGTCCGGTTCCGGTTCCAGGTAAGTTTGGGGGGTCCTGCGGGTGGAATGCGAACGAGACACCGCAAAACTCGTTTCAGGGGGGGGATCCCTTCCACAGCGGCAACGCCAACGACCCTTTCACGAGTAGGTCGAACGGGTTGTTTTCTAAGCCGGGCGGCGGCGGCGCTTTTGCACAGCAGCCGAGCCGGGTTGAAGATGTGGAGATGGGCGGTATGGACGATGTAGGTGCCTCGTTTTGTGCGTCGCGCCCTCGTTCTGTGTTTGATGCGCCGTTTTTGCAACGGGGGTTCGGGACCCATAACACGATACAGGCTCAACAACAGGTGAATGTGTTTTACGGCGGCGGCGGCGGTGCTGGTGGTAATAACGGCACTGACAGTGGCGGACTTGGCAAGGTTCGCATCGACGTGTTGCTGGATATGATTCTCGAGGCTCATGAATCGCAGAAACAGACTGCAGATGCAGGGTCGGACGATGCCGAGTCTGATGAGTCGGCTGAGTCGGCTGAGACCGAGCAGTCGGAAGAGTCTGAGGAGTCCGAAGAGATGGATGTAGAAACGCCCGAGCAGCCTCATCTTCAGAAGAACGGCCTCTCAAGTACAATCAGGGGTAAAAATGGCGGCTGGAAGAGACCAAGTGGTCACGCTGGACGCAAGCCTACAAAGAAGTTCAGGAAGAGAGTATCTCGTAGAAGAGGAAAAAGATAAATATACAATGCAATAATCTGTTTTGATGACTTTGAGTGCCTTTTCCTTTTCCTTCGTCTCTACCTTGTTAGGAACAGAAATGTGGACGGGGGTCTTCAAGTCTCCCTGCCAAGAACCCATTGAACCACCGGATGCTAATCCACAACGATCCAAAAGGTGATACCCGAGACTCCTCAGCTGTATATGTATTCCAGGCCGTTTCCCTCATATTCAGGCATCACCTCTCCCGATCAAGCCAAGCATCACGTCCTCGAAATCGCCGCTCAATATTTCCTTCACGTCCTTAGCAAGCGGACGCCCATACTTGGCCTTGTAGGCCGCTTTGGCAGCGTCCAGCCGACTCCTGTCCCAATACAGGGAGACGACGCGGTGGGCAAACAGCCTGTCCTTCGTCTTGGTCAGGGCCTCCCTCAGCCGGTCCGCATCGGCGGCGGCCCGGTCCTGGGCGGTCCGCAGCATGCGCAGCAAAGCGTCCTCCATGTCGCCGCGGAACTCCTTCTCGATGACGCGCTGCAGGTCGCGGTGGTACTTGCGGCGGTAGGCGTGGGCGATGGCGGCGAGCTGGGCGTCGCTGCTGCTGGCGAAGACCTGCGCCACGGCGACGGCGTTGACGCCGATGGTGCCCTCGGTGGCGCGCTGCAGCTCGGTGACCTTGGCGTCGGTCTCGTGCGGCAGGACGGGGGCGGCGTCCTCGGCGCGCGCCGCCGCCGTCCCGGAGAGGAGGAGCATGCTGTACAGGCGGAACAGGGTGTCGTTGACGTCGCCCTTGAGGTCGACGAGGAGGTCGCGGTTCTTGAGGCGCCGGTACTCGGCCTGGATGGCGCGCAGGTCCGCGTTGGAGCGGCACAGGAGCACGTCGTTGAGGGCGTCCTCGTCGGTGCCCATGCGGTTGATGGCCTTGTCGAGCACGCGGGCGTCGTTTTCCAGGGGGCCCCGGAGGAGGGCGAGCAGGGTGGTCTCCAGGGCGCCGCGGGTCTCGCTCTCGATGTCCGTGGCTAGGTCGCGGATGAAGTGGGCGTTGTAGTCCCGCACGAGCTGGGCCATGGCCCACGGGTTGGCGTACTTGGGGCTGGTCAGGATGCGGATGAGGGATTTCTCGTCGCATCCTATGCCTTTCATGGCCTTGCGGAGGCCTTCGACGTCGCTGTTCGTGTCTACTGGCTGTACCCAGGCCTTCTGCGCCGGATCATAGCCCGGGGATGCTGGTGTTGGTTGGGCGGCGTAGGGGCCATACGAGGATGGTGTGCCATGTGGTGGTCCTTGAGTCCAGGGCTGAGGAGGCTGCGTAAATGAAGATGAAAGTGTTTGTTAGCCCGTGCACTGAAGTGAAGTTCGTACCATTGGAACTTACGGGAGCTTGGTAGTAGTAGTGTTGCGGCTGACCAGGAGGAGGTGGTGGCGGCAACTGGTCATAGAATGGATGTTGTTGCTGCTGCTGTGGATAGGGTTGGGCCGGTTGGCTAGGATATGCCTGGCCAAGCTGGTGTGCTTGGGGTGGAGGACCCCCGAGACCTGGTTGATAATGTGTAGTCGGAGGAGGTTGACCCGGGACGCCTGTTGTAGCCGGAGGTGCGTAGCTGTAATAGGATTGTTGCTGATGCTGATAGGGTGGCTGTCCGGCTGGCGGTGGTCCTTGGGAATAGCTGCCAGTGGGAGGGCCTCCCGGGGGAGCACCTGGACCTGGCTGAGGACCTGGCTGAGGACCAGGCTGCCCGTAATATCCATAGGGTGGCTGAGAGCTCATTGGAGGTTAGGTTGGAGAGTGAGAATGAGATGAGAGGTTGTGTTTCTCATCAGAAGTTAGCAAACCCGCGCGAGTCGCGCGTGATATAAGTTATAAGTTATAACCTTTAGCCAGGTGGCTTAGCGGAGTCCAATGGTCTATAACCCCTATCCCGATTCCCGAGTCCCGAGCTAACATCTAAGAGGCCTCCCCTGCGCCTTAGTCCCTGAATGCCTGCCTACCAGTGGCTGTAGGAGAAGGCTACCTACCTAGAAGCTTATTAGCAGGCTAAGCTTATTAGCAGGCTAAGCTTATTAGCAGGCTAAGGTAGCTGGTAGCTTCCCTTAGGTAGCCACCTGCAATTTAATCGTACAAAGTACGAAGTACGTACAACGTAGCTTTTCACGTTCTCCCGTTCAAACGACAACTTATAGCGCCGCACGGACCGCGCCATTAACCAACCACAAGTTACCTAGCCCTACCTAGGGTCGCAGGCCGCGTCTTATTGGTTAGCCGCCAGAGGGTGTATATGAAGTATTTCCCGGTGCCCTGGCATCGTTACTGCTTGCCTCCGAGTCCCGTCAAACACATATCTGCTGTAGAATTGGTGTGTTAACAGAGGTTTCTGCCATTTAATTCACTACAAACCATCAGAATGATGCGCAGATGTCCGCGAATAGGTTACCGTAATCGAAGGGGGAGAGGTTCGAGAGATGACCAAATCGCCAGTCAGCATCGAAATTGCAACCGCAATCGGTCGAGAGTTGAAGCGGTCTACACGTACATCTCACGGTGCTCACCGACCGCCTCTTTAAACTGACCTTGATGACTAATCATCTATCATCCACTACACGTGGAAGTACTTTCTCCTTTATCGGTTAAGGTACCGGTAGCTCAAATGCTCAACGTGCAACGCATTTGACGTCATGACAGTCTGTTCCTGCCGGGAACTTTTGACCAATTTTGACCAAGTACCTCCATCATGAAGGCCTCATTGAAAGGTACATGTTCCAAGACACCGGTATTTGAAGGGCACAGGGGGCTTGTCCTTTCCGACTTCGCAGTTGCAGATTCCCCTTCGAGTCGTTGACTCCTGGGCAGAACACCTGATGCCCTCCCTCCAACTCGAGATGCATTGCGTGTCTGTACGCGTACTCTGGCGATCTTGCCAAGGCATATGCTCAGCATCCGCAACTCCAAGTGGTCCTTTATTAAGGTGTTCCGTTTCTGGCCCGGCTTACGGACATCCTTTTCTCCGGTCCTTGGCTGCCTCAACCAAGGACCACCCAGACACGCCAGATTCGAGGGCCCGAGACCTCAATCAAAAGGATGTCGATGAACAAGAGCAGGAGTTTGTCGAGTCCTTCTCGCGTCGGCAGCAGAATAGCCGGCCATGGCATCGAGCTGGTGGCGTAGCGAATAAACTTCCCAACTCGTTGTTATCCCTTGATCCAACAAACGGGGACAGCACCAGAGGTGAGTGTTTCCTTTGTGGACTGCGATGGGCAGATGGCTGGCGCCATCTTTACAAAAACAATTTTTTTTTTTTTTTTACCCTGCCACGATACCATGCTACGTCCGCTTTGCTGACTCTCGCTCAATTATATTTCCCAGGCCGACTGCTTACCACACCTACTCGACTCCTGAAGCTGATATTGCCCCTCCCATTCCGGATACCAAGGAACAGCAAGAGTAGCGAAAGGGAAGATGCCAAACGGGAGGAATCCAAAGACGCCAAAAAGGACGGTGATAATGAAGACGGGATCGAGCCGCTCGCTCTGCTGGTCCACCCCCAGCAACCGCTTTCCTATCTCGAGCGACTCATCCAGGCCGAGCTCCCCCCGATTTTCGACGGCAGGCGGGAACGGCTCCCCAATCTCGTCTTCCGCGCCGAAGGGGATCTCCAGGGGACAAAGGGGGACAAGGACGACGAGTCCGGGGACGAGCACGGCGGCGCCATCCGCCAGGACGACAACGAGGGCAACGTAGCCGCCTACTCCGGGCTGGGCCGCGAAGAGCCGGCGCGGTCGGAATCCGAGGCGAAATGGGTCCGGTGGAGCAGCAGCACGGAGATTGGCGACTTCATCTGCGACGCGGCGCGGGGGCGCGAGTTCGCCATCAGCATCGAAGGGTACGAGCCGGAGCTGCGGGTGGCGGTGCCGAGCTTCAACGACCGCACGCACTACATGCGGGAGCGGCTGCGGCGGATGTCGCGCCACATCAGGGGCCAGGCGCAGATCAAGGAGGAGTGCGACCAGCTGGCGAGCAAGGGGGCGCACCGGCTCGCGCAGGGCGGGTTCGGGGCGCTGGTCGGCTGGTGGGGCGCGGTCTACTACGTGACCTTCCACACGGAGGCCGGCTGGGACCTGGTCGAGCCGGTGACGTACCTCGTCGGCCTGACGACCATGATCGGCGGTTACATGTGGTTCCTGTACATCAGCCGGGACCTGAGCTACAAGGAGGCGCTCAACGTGACCGAGTCGAGGCGGCAGCAGGCCCTGTACGCCGCGCGCGGGTTCGACCTGGGGGCCTGGAAGGAGCTCGTCCAGGAGGCCAACGCGCTGCGGCGGGAGATCAGGACGGTGGCGGTCGAGTACGACGTGGACTGGGAGGATACGAAGGACCTTGGCGGTGAAGCGGTCAAGGAGGTGCTCGAGAGGGAAGACAGCAAGGACGAGAAGAAGCGCAAGGCGGATGAGGAGGAGGGTGAGGAGGAGGGCCGTCGGGGTGAGGAGAAGAACCGAGGGAGGGACCGGAAGGCCGAGGGAAAGCAGTCAGGTCGCGTGGCGTAACGAGCATGTGTTGCATGTGTGGTTTGTTTGGGTTTGTCATGGACTCGGGGGAGCATCATATATATACTCATACCATATGTACCTTACCTTGGATAGAGCAAGGCTTATCTTGAAGCAGCGACTGGAAATGTGGTGCCACGATAAGATGTCCCGGCTCGAAAAAGGATATGAGACTTCGAATGTACACCACTGTAGCAACCGGAGCCACTGATAAGAGACAGGTACCTTAGGTACCTTACTGAGAGCCCTACAACCAGACGGTGACGTCGCGTGTAAGGTACGGAGCATTTGTACCCCACCTTGGGTCTGAATCGTGGCCCGCCCCCGCCCCGGCCTCATTCTTCGTGCTGCGTCGCGTCACCGTCACACTCGGACTTCGATGCAGGTCTCGCCTCCACCTTCAACCGCAGTCACGTTCCGTTTCAGTCTATCCATCAAATGCCTTGAGACCATCTTTCTTTGGTGATTGAGGCCTTTTCACTACGGTCGTGTAACCGTGTTCCCCCCCTCCCCCTCCCCTCCCGGCGTCCTGAGATGCATCGATTCCGAGTCAATGTGGGCAGATTTTGATTTTGATTTCGAGGTTTTGTCGTTTTCGACTTGGTCCTCCTGTTGGGTAGGATTCTTCCTTTTTTCGTCCTCAATGGTCTCCCGCCCAAAACTTCACAATTACTCCATCCGCAATTCTCTTCTTCTCGAGCCCTTTCCCCGCTTCAGCATCGCAAAAAACCGAGAAGAGAACCACCAAAACCACGCATGAACGATGGCGACACCAACGGCTACATCAGTCACGATGTCACCTCCTTATATGCTGCGCCTGCCTGACGGCCAGAACTTTACAGTGACCCCCGTTTTCGCCGGCTTATTCTTCAAATCTCACAAGCTCAATACTCATCCAAATGCTTTCCCCATCGGCTGGACCGTCGTGCTCAACACCGAAGAAGGGAACCGAGACGATTCCGTGGATGCTGCTTCTCACCATCCAGGTACCGGCGAAGCTCAGGATCGCAGCCAAGAAGAAAACCAAACGCGTCCCCATCGCCGACGCATCAACCCTTATAAGAAACCGACGCTCCAGAACGACAACCTCTTCATCTCCACCACATCTACGCCTTCCAACTCCGAGTACAGGCCTGCTGCCAGCCCCAGCCGGCAGATCGCCATGATGCTATGGATCACCCTTTACTGGTACTTCCATCAGCCAGAGCCTGCCCCGTACCTGACCACCGAGACCTCCAAGAACACTCCGGAGAATGCCCGCCCCAAGGGGGAGTGGCGCATCAACATCAAGCGCGAGGGCGTCCTGCGTGGCCGTAACCTCATCCCCAAGCTCGAACGGATGGGCCTCGTAGCCAGCTTCCATTCGGCCGTCGGCACCTCCGTCGACGACTCGGGCCGCGAATGGTCTCGCATCTTCGTCTCCCGTCGCATGTTCTGGCAAGTCCCGGGCCGTCTCTTCCTCTTCAGCCTCAAGCGCAACTCGAACTCCTCTTTCCCCGGCTCCCCGCCAGGTAGCCGTCCGGTGTCGCCCAGCCGGAATGACCCTATCCGCCCGGTTTCCTACCACCCGAGCCGCTCGTCCTCTCCAGCGGCCATCTCCGCCGCGACCAGTGCCGACCTTGACGTCTACGGCGCCTGGGCTCCAGCTCCCACCGTCTTGTTACAGTCCCTGACCATCCCCACCGGGCCCTTCGACTCCACCTCTCACCTACCGACTTACTACCCGCCGGGCCCTCTGGTCTATACCATGACCGGAGGCATCCGCCACCCCCTTCGGCCGAAGCCTCCTCGCATGGGCGAGGTCTTCTACACCCGTTTTGTCCCCAGCGCCGGCCAGTACCTCTCCTTCCGCGTCGCCTCCGTCGCCCCTCAGCCCGTCCCGTACCTCGGTCCCGTGGGACCCTCGCCGCCCGAGAAACTACACTCGGCCACGCTGTCCGACACGTCGCTCTTGCAAGCCTGGATGTCCATCCCACGCGTCTCGGCGTTTTGGGGCTCCTACCACCCCCAATTCCTCGCCGATGCGCTCGACAGCCAACACTCCTTCCCCGCCATCGGCATGTGGGACGGCGTGCCGTTCGGCTACTTCGAAATCTACTGGGTCAAAGAGGACGTCCTGGGCCGCCACTTGGGAGGCGGCTCGGTCGGCGACTGGGACCGCGGCATCCACTTCTTCGTCGGGGAGGAGTGGGCTCGGGGCCGGCCCGCCGCCTGGACCTCGAGTCTGGTGCACTGGTGCTTTACTACCGATTACCGGACCATGAACGTGTGCGCTGAGCCGAGGATAGATAACACGAGGTGAGCAAAACAATTTACCCGCCCGGGCATGGTCTTTGGTTAAGACGCTGACCTTGTTTGATATGTGACGGGGGGAATAAACAGATGTGTTCATGTGTTAGAGCAAGCCGGGTTCGCAAAGGAACGCGAGATTTCCCTTCCACACAAGCAATCATTTTACATGCGACTGACTCGAGAATCTTGGGAGGGCCCGGGTTTGTGATGGGAGACGCGGATGTTGTCTTTCACGTCTCAACCGCCTCGTACGGTCCATTCACATAATAAAGCAGGTCGGCCTTGGCAAGCCCGTTGGTCATGTGTTTCGACATGGGATACTCACCTCCAACTCCACGCGGACTCGATCGTTTCTGTCGTATACTTACACCCAGTATAGGTCCAATTCCTTCTTCAGATCATGGTCAACCGCTTAGGAAGTGTGGATAATTTGCACGGCGTATGTCAGGGGTAAAAACTACAAGGCTTGGTCGTTGCTCTTTCATGTATTAATAATCAGCTTTCCAAATGCTGAGAAATCAGCAATGTACGTCCATGACCTAACCCCGCCCCTAATGTCCGGAAGTCGAACACCTCGCAGGCTCCCGCTCACACCATGTAGGAATAAGAGTGCACATAACCTCGTCTTCGTCTTCACACCCCGTCCATAGCATTTACACACATACCTGCAAACAAAACAAAACAAAATCACCGCACATAATGTCGACCCTTGTCAAGACAATCATCGCCACAGGCGCGTCTTCAGGATTGGTAAGGCCCACCGTTCTTGCTCACAGCCAGCAGCCTCACAGGCCCTCTGTCTAGGCACACACCTAACTTCCGCTTGTAGGGATTCGAGGCCGTCAAGCAACTGCTCCAACAATCACAACAGCGCTACCGCTTCATCCTGGGCGCGCGCCACGCGGCCAAGGCGCGGGAAGACTACGCCGCCCTGGCCTTCGACGCATCCGAGCACCATGTTACCGTGTTGCCCCTCGAGCTGTCGAACCTGCGCGACGTGCGGACTTTTGCACGCCAGGCTCTCGATGCTCTGGGCAATGAAAAGGTCGACTTCCTGCTGCTGAACGCCGCCATGTCCAGTGGCGCGGAGAAGCCTGGTCCCTTTGGGTCGAAGTGGTGTGAAAGTCATGTCGTGAATCATTTGGGTATGTTTGTTGTCGCTTACTCGCTCTTTTCTCTTCCCTGTTTGCCTAGCATTACGAGAGGAGAAACGTGAGAGACGGAGCTGACCATGGGGCATGTGCGCTCGTGTTCAGCTCAGCATTATTTGGTGCACTTGCTTCGCGACAAGCTTGTAGAATCCCGGTCGCGCTTGGTCTTTGTGTCCTCGGGGGCCGTCAGAAATGTTCCCGATCCGAGTAAGCCCCCCCCTATAGAGTCCCCTGAGTCCTTTGACGAAGAGAAGCTTGAGGTGGGTCCGCCGCTAAAGCATGTCTGTCCTCCCTTCTTGAAGCCGCCTTGGACGAGGACCTCAAAGGAGGCTCCGGCACCCCCTTCCAGACCGTCTATTCGGAGACCAAGTTCGCCAACCTCCTGGCTGCGCACTGGTGGTGTCGCCAACTTCGAGGCCAGTGCGCCGTCGTGGCCGTGTCTCCTGGGCTGATCCCCGACACGGGCCTGGGGCGCAACTTTGCGACGAAGCTCAGCATGGACATACCTGATGCCAAGCCTGTGTCTGAGGGTGAGTTATCCTCGGGCGTCCGAGCCGAGAATTTAATCCCTTTCCGCCGCTGAACTACTGGTGACGCTGACTTTTCTGGGACGGGACTGCAGGAGCTCAAAGCATTTTGCGCGCCTTCTTTAGGGACGACTTCCCCGAGGATCCCGACCAGATCTTCCTAACGAGCTGGGGCGAGTGGTGGCCTAAGGAGGTCTATGAGAAGACGCTCGATAAGGCTTTGCAGGATAAGTGGTGCCCAAGCAAAGAGGAGCTGGAGAATGAGATTGAGAGTCAACGTGGAAGCGGAGCATAGTCGTACAATTTGACTGGCATTGATTGCTGTTGCCGAGATTTCGTAACCAAGCAATGGAAAGGGGCATGGTCTATGAAACCTTGTACAGGACGCAGGATGATGACAAGATATCTTGCCTCTATGTAGGTAGGTAACGATCTTTGAAATTGCACGCTGCCGTTGAACTCGAAAAAATACGCCTCCAGGAGGACATTGTCAAAACAGGACCTCTGTTCGTCCGACTAACTTGCAGAGAAAGGATCTCTACTAACCAAATGGCGCCAGATGCCGAAGGGATATACACAAAAGATAAAAAAAAAACTATAAAAAAAGGCCAACGACCATACACTTTGTACGCACAGAGTTGAAGTGAATGCACATTGCCATGGCCACTTGACTAGAGACACCTCAGCCCCTAACTTTGTTGAACAACATTCATCTCATGCTGCTCTGCAGGGGTGGATATAGTATCCTGCTTGCCAACGATGTCCTTGTTCCCGAGATAAGGGAAGAAGAATAGGGGATGAACAACAGTCAGAACGAGGGCGGCAACCAGGACCATGGCACCGTCGAGGACGAGGAAGGTCGTCTCGTTCTGCATCAGTTCGCTACCCCAGCCGTTGGACATTTCAGGGATACTGTGAAATGCGTTAGTACGAGCGACAGCCATTCTTCGGAGGGTGAAGGAGAAGGGGGAGGGGTCGGGGCGCCCGAGTACGCCAAACCTACCGGTAAATGCAGCGAACAATGATGGCCAAATAAGCGACGGAAACGGCATAAATAAACATCTCAACCTTCCTGTTCATCTCAGGACTCGCCTTGCGATACGGGGCCCAAGACTCGGCACCGGAGCCCTCACTGTCATCCGCCGCCGAGGAACCAAGCCGCTCCGCGCCGTTGCCATTCTTCAAGCCACGCCGGCGGCGCAGAAGATACAACACCATCAACCCGCCGCAAAACACCATGTTGGCGAGCTGGAAAGCCACGCCGGCGACCAGAAGGCCCGAACCGACGTCCAGGATCGCCATATCCTCGCTATCCGACGCGACGGCCGAGACGGCGCCGCCCACGGCCTGGATGAGAATCGACATGAAATCGGTCCCGACAAAGACCCAGGGGTAGAGGCTGGGGCGGAGGAAGGACCACCGCGGGCCGTACCACACGACGAGGTGCTTGCAGGTGATGGAGATGGCGGCGGCGACGAGGGTCGGCGCCAGGATGAGCATCAGCAGCTGGACGACGAAGCCCGGGTAGTTCCAGGGGTTGTAGGAGAGGGCGATGCGCGCGGCGTAGCCCATCAGCTCGAAGGCGGTGCCGATGGCCAGGTAGGAGATGTAGGACCATGCTTTGGAGCGGTAGCCGAGGTAGGACTGGGCGATGAGCAGGACGGCGTATATGGCTACGAAGAAGGCGCAGGCGCCTGTGGTGAAGTAGTCGCCGTAGACGGTGAACTCGACGGGGCAACGCGGCGATACGCCATCGCAGGTGCTGTAGCTCGGGGGTTCGTATTCTGTGTCCATTGGTCGCTGGGAGAGGCCCGAAGAGGGGCGAGACTAGGGTGATTCTGTCGAGCGGAAAAGACAGTCGAGACCGTTAGGGTAGTCAAAGAGTGTAAAAACCTCAACCAACGGACCCCGGTGTGGTAGAGATCGGGCTTAAGGCGTAAAAAAAAAGAGAGAGAGAGAGAGAGAGAGGCAGAGCCGTAGAGACGAGAGAGAGGGCGATCTAGTCGAGGTCAGGGCTTTGCCGTGATGACGATAGAGGGAGCAAGATAAAGCACGAAGCTAAAAGAAAATGGCATCCAGAGTGGCCCGTAAGGGGAAGGAGTAGGAGTAGGCAGTAGGCCCTCCCCAACATCCTAAGCGAATGTAGGCTGTCGCTTGTCAATGGCTCAGCCCCATAGGCCCCATACCCCCATCATGACCCCTGTTCGGTCCGCATTTTCCGAAAGACTTCGTCGTAAGTCAACGACTCCTTCTATCATTAAAGGTCAAGTCACAGGGTATAAGCACCGATCAGGGACTGAATGGGCCTGAATCCTCCGATGGGATAGCCACGACATCGGGGATTAGGTTCTGTAAGGAACTTCTACTCAGGAACAGCCAAATCTAAGATGGTCTTCCTCGGCCAGTTGGGTCTCATCAATTGCTCGGACTTTTCGCGTGATAGATCGAGGGGCTGACGAGTGGGTTGGGTGTTTTAGCGTGGCCCGAGAGCTCCGGCGTCCCGAGTACGCTCGCACTCGGCTTAATCGTATCCGCTCCGAGCTCGGTCCCTAACCGAGCCTCTAAATGGTCTGAATGGCTCGATCTAGGTTGTACTCCGTAGCCTTTCGAGATTCCTTCGAAAGGGAAATTACTTCGAAGTACATTCCAAAGTACAAAGGACGGAGTACCTACCTTATCACACAACCCACCAGTCACACACGAAGTACCACCCCTTTATCTTGACCAGGGGATGGCTGCGCCTGGCCTTCGCATAATTTAATTCAGAGCACGGTCGCCTGTTCCCGTCCCGAGTTACTCTTCTTAGTATCGTAATCGGACTTGTCGAAATCAATCTACCTATCCGTACGAAGTAGTTGGGCCTAGCGCCGAGGTGGTATATCGGTTCCGTACTCCGTATATTGTTCGGGAAACACAGCTCGATGGACTCGGGACCCCATGGACATTAGATAACCCCGTCTATTATACATGACAAACCATTCAGTAACTCGCGAGGCGCAACCGTACTCTCAGGTCAGAAACCATGGCACCAGGCCACATCTCATCGGCCCGTGACAGCTAAGCGTTCATCGCCCTCGTCCTCGTCCTCCTCGTATTCCTCAGCCTCTTCCATGTCCGCATCGTCATCTCCCTCCGCGTCTCCCTCATCACTCGTCTCCCCTTCCCCTTCACTATCCCCCTCACTCCCCGGATCGTAGTCCTCTTCTTCCTCGTCTTCCTCATCCTGCAGCCTCTGTTCCTCCTCCGCCTGCGCCCTCTCGAGCTCCGTCAACCCATCACCCGCATTCGGCGCCGCATCCCCTTCATCCCCGCCGCCCTTCTTCCCGTTCCTCATATTCTCCGCGAGCTCCATCTTCGCCCGCCGCTGCTCCGCCATGCTGCGATCCTGCAGCCCGTTCCGCCGCACATACGCCTCGTCAATGCCCCGGTAATCCTCCTGATCCAGCATCGCAAACTCGAGCTCCTCCGTCCCGTCCCCGCCCTCGCCAGTGAAGACCTCGACGACCATGTTGAACGTCCGCTGGAGGACACTGGTGTAGCTGACGGCCGCGATGCGCGTGAGCGGCACGAACAGCAGCGGCTTCTTGAACCCCCAGAGGATCCCGTTGGGCAGGAAGAAGAGGTACCCGTCCTTGGAGCCCCGGAAGGCCTTGACGTGCACCGCTTTCTCGTTGGGCCGGTGGGGCTGGCGCGCCATGCTGTGGAACCGGGCCGGGTTGGCGGAGACGATCTCGGCGGGGTTCCCCGCGGAGCGGAGGTGTTTGGTGAGAGCCCAGTCGAAGAGGGTGCGGTAGCTGTCGGAGACGGCGGTGGCGTCGCCTGCCTCGGGGCCGAGGACGGTGCCTTGCTTCGGCGCTGTGGCGGGGATGGTGAAAACGAGCGGTTCGGCGGTCGGGGTCTCGGTTTTGGAGGGCAGGCAAGAGCCCCGCGGGAAGAGGATGTAGTTGTGCTGCACTTGTGCTTTTTCGGGCACTGGCAGATAAAACGCATACTCTTGAAGTATCACAACCATTAGCAAAAGAACTGGAGGGGGACAAGGGGGACTATAGGACTATGGGACTATGGGGGAAAAGAAAAGTCACTGGGCCAGAGGGGCCTTCGTACCAATGTCCGTCCAGGCATGGCAGATGCCCTGTACGGGCGCTTTGGTCCCCGGCGCGCGGGCGTAGAAATGGTTCTCGGTAAAGCATAGGTCGAACTTTTTGCGTTGGGGTACCGACACGGAGAGTTCCTTGATCTCCAGCAATACTTGCTCGTCGGCAGCGTCGCCGCCTTCTGATTTCACGACGACCTCCGACTTGATGCCATTCGTGTTGGAAGCGGTAAAACCATTGCCAACGCCGTTGTCGACTCGGCGACGTTTCGCGGCGGGTTCGGAGCCGTTGATCTGGTCGTAGACGAAGTTTGCGATGTTGTTGAAGAGGGTCACACGACCTGGTGAATCTGATGGTTGGTTGTCAGCATCGTCAGAACTGTAATCCTAGGTTCTCCCCTTCTCCCGTGTCCGAAGAAGGAAAAAGGAAAAGGATCTCCATACCGGCTGCTCTTTTTATTCCTTCGATAATGTCTGGTCGAGAGTGGAAAACGGCGCCCAGCCTGTGGCTGTCGAGACCCGCAGCCATAATGGGCATGTTGCTGTACAAAACAAAAACAAAAAGGGGGATTTTGCAGTTTCAAGGTGAAGGTTAGGATAACTATGACAAGCGGTATGATAGGCACTGGACGGTGAACAGAGGCAAGGCGATGCGATATCAGGGTGTTTCGCAAAAGTTGGCGTTGCTTGTTCCGAGTTGCAATTAATTACGAGTATCCAAGTAATTCACGGAGAACGCGCTTCAAGTTTTCGCCTTGACGTGATGCCGCATGGGTGTCATGTGTCATGGTACGTACCTTAGCTAGCGCCCGGGATTAATTCGGTTGATACATTGGTACTGGACATCCCCTTGGCATACTCCTATTATCTGTTGGTTATAGTCGGTACACACTAATTTCGAGTCAGACCAAAAATACCCCACCACTATATCACTACTACTATATTCGAAGTCTTCTATATATCGTATTTCTTAGTAAAGTTAGTAGTATTTATATAATCTAGGTATAGGAAAAGCAGGTCTCTCGAATAGTATAATTAGTATTTTATATACTACCCTTCGCTTTAAATTATAGTATTAATCCTACGCGGTATACTAGCTATTAGCCTTTAGATAAGCTCTTATTTAAACTCTTCCTATACTATAACCGCGGTGTGTATAAGTAATTCCCACGATTCGATATTCTTTTTTATATCCCCGAGGTTCGGTTCCTTCTTATAAATACGCTCCTTTATTAATTTCTATAGATTTTCTATAGGGTTAAGGTCAGGGGAGTATACTAGCTAGTCCACGATTTCGACCCTGTTTTCTCGAGCCTATAAGTATAACTATTTTTACACTACGTGCGCTATATACGTAAAGGCGTTATCCTAGGCGAAGATCTTACTAGGATTGTAGATAGTTAGAAGCTAGTCTTAAAGGCACTATAAAATAACTTAATCTATAACCCCTCCGCGCGGCGATTCGGGGTTACCATAAAGCTCGTATAACGATATACGCGCGCTATACAAAATCGCGCCCTAGAATATCTAAGAGTATCTTATTAGCTTAAGCCGTGGCTATATATTTTAGGGGAGTAAACATTCGCCCTAGTAAAACGTTAGTATAAAGTTCTTAAGCCGGGATAATAGCCTACCTTTCCGTAAAAAACCTAACTCTACCTTATACCCTGCCCGCGCGCGATAGTGCTCTTATTAGAGAAGATAACGCGTTTCCAGAAATTAAGGCCTTTGCCTGCGTATACCCTAGTAAAAATAAGCCTCTCTTTCGCGTGCTCTTCCGTTAGTTCTAGTCGTTAAAGCGCGCGGTAGTGCTAGATACCTCTACGGATAAGCTCCCTCTTAATTATCTCTATAGAATAGGTAAGGCGCGCCTAGGCCTTAAGTTCCCTACACGAAATAAAAGGGTTTTGCCTAATAAATCGAAAGAGGTACCTTATATCGCGATTAGTAAGGTAGCGTGGCCGGCTAGGCCGTGGGAGTAACCTAGCTAATTTCTACTCTTACTATCACTTATATATCCTATAGATAGACCCTAGGGATACGCTTATCCTACGCGCGACCTCGTGATACGTTAGCCCTATTTCGACTAAGGATATAATCCTTGTTCGTTTATACGGCGAATAATACTATTTAGGGGTCTATAGCTATTAAACTAGTATTATTACGGCTGTTTAAAGATAGAGGGTTATAGTAGGAATAACGTGTTTAAACGAGTTAAGGGTGAAAATATGGGTTTTGACTCGAAATTAGTGTGGGGCCGCTGTACCTTATTAAGGTATTGGTGTTTGTTTTCCAAGTATTCATTTATACTCCGTACGGTATACGGATACTTTATCAATCATCCCCTATCCTTGCCTAGTGCTATTAACACGACCGAAGAGAGGCGCCGTTATTATCGCACGTTAAATAGACACTTAAATGATTAACTTAGTAGAGCAGAATCTCGTATGTATGTATTATATTAAGTTATATCTAGGAGAGTCTTTTATACCCTTAATTTAGGTGGTAAAGACTCTATTATGGGTACTAAGTTATTTAGATCCTATCCGGTCTTTTCCGGTATCTGCCCCTATTATATCCGAAGCCCTTAGTTATAGTGTGGATCCCCCTGGATCCTCTATAGACCACGTCGTGGTCCGTGTGCCTATACGATACACCCCCTTAGTTATGGTGGGTCTTCTCAGGTTAACTGACTAATCAGAGGCTTCGGTTTAAACTAAACGCTCTTAACTTTTCTATCGTAAAATTAATAGTTAGGGGAAAACGCCCTCGTAAAAGGGATCTAAATCCGCCCTATTTAACCGTTTAATTTAATTCTATCTTAATTAGTTCCTTAATTCTAATTAGCCGGATCTGCTTAATCTATATCTATCGGATCTACTACGCCCTCGGGGGCCTTCGTGGTCGCTACGGCTTTAGCTTTAGCGCGTTTAATCTCTTCGTGTAGCCGTTTAGACTACTCGATATAATCCTTTTAATCGGTTAAATTAAGCTGTTACTATAGTCTTTTAATCCCCGCCTCTGGTAGTACCTTTATTAAACCGTCCGTGATTATCTGCTTCGTGTTAACGTATGTAACCTTAAAGAGACCTTATTATACTAACTAGCGCGCCTACTAGTTATATATATCGACGTGCCGTAGCCTTATCCGCAGGCGTTATGCCTTCTTATTAACGAGGTTAATAGTCTATTAATTATCGTAGTATAGCTGTAGTTACTATTAGTCTAACCGAAGCTCTAAATCCCTTAATATCCGGCTAACAAATAACGTCTTTTTAGCGGCCTCTATAAGAGTAAGCAGTTCCGATTCTATTAACGACATCGTGACCGTCGGTTACTTACCCGCCTTCTAGTTAACGGTTCCCCCGAAGAGCTTTATCGTATATCCTTATAAACTTTTACGGTCTGGATTATCCCTAAAAGACGCGTTACTTACTATTAGGAAGAGCCTATCCCGGCCGAATTCCAGGCAGTAGTGTCTTATATAGTATAGGAATAGTAGTATTTATTAAGCCCTCTTAAGATAGTTAGAGGAGGGATTAATATTATATTAGGAAAGCTTTAAATAGGCGAACGCGATATCGGGTCTTATCATGATAGCGGCGTATAGGATAGAACCGATTATACCCTGGTACTAGCGGACCTCGGGAATCGACGCGCGGGTGCTATCGCGGGGTATTACCGGCTCTATAGATAATAGGACCTTTAGTGGTTTTTAGCAGAGTATATCTGCGTAGTATTTAACCGCGATCTTCTCCACGTAGGAGGATTATAATAGCTATAGCCTATAAGTAGCTCTGTCCCTTAGGACCTTAATTCCTAGGAACTAGCGGATTTTTTCGCCTCCTAATAACCTATAGCTTCGCTTAAGGGTGGCCTTAAGGTTGTCGGCGTTAGTCTTATAGTCTCTATAGTATATAAGTCCGATATCGTCGACGTAGAAGAATAGGATTAAACCGTCGCGGATTATAATATAGGGGTTATTAGGCACGGCCGTGAATCCTATCCTCTATAGCGTGCCGCTAAATTCCTCTTACTATAGTAGTGGCAATACCCTTAAGCCGAAGAGGGCTTTCCGTAGTAATAGTACCTTACCTAGCACTTTATAGCCTTACGGTATCTTTATAAATACCTCTTCTTTAAGACTAGCGTTAACGAACGCGTTAACGGCGTCGAACTACCTTATCTTTAGGTTAAATCGGGCGGTAATCGCTATTAGTATACGGAAGGACCACGAGGCTAGCGTTACGGCGTAGTTATCTTTAGTCTCTAACCGTTTTTATTAACCCCCTTAGACTATAAGGCGTGCCTTATACTTAAGGAGGGTACCCTCCTTATTATATTTATAGGTGTATACCCACCTATAAGCGAGGACTTATTACTTATTAGTGTAAACGACTAGTCACAGGTTATAGCACTAAGTAAGGTCGTAATAATAGATTATCTAGAACTAATGAGGGAAAAGGGAAAAAGGAGAAAAGTCTACGGCGTTAGGCTAACTATAAGGTAGCGATAACTTAGCGATATAGGTCCGTTAACTAAGCGCGTAGTCAGAAAGATCCGGAGTATAGCCGGATCCTCTATATCGGGGTTAACCCGTGACACTATCCCCCCCTCCCCCTCTAAGGGTTATATAACCACGCGTTACCGTTATAGTTCGGCTCCCCCTTATATCGCGGTGATAAAGGAATAGTCGCGTCCTTTTATCTTACCTCGCCCTTACCTCGATATTAAAGAAATCTTAGGTTACCTACTAACCTTTATTTATATACCCGAAATAGTAATATAGGCCCCCCTTGCGTAGATACTATCCGTAGATATATCGGCCCTATTTTCCTTATAGGCCCTCTTTTCCTTTATTCCCCTCCTTACCTTTAATAATAATACTAATAGTAATAGTGGTTCCGTACGTATTCGTTCTTCCTTATAGCGACGACTCTTCTAACTTCTCCCGTCCTCGGACGATATTAGTAATACTTAGTTAGTTTAAGAGTTCTCCGTCTAAAGGAAGCCGTCTCTTACTCGCGATCTATTATAAGGAAGCCTCCGCTAACTTATATTATTTTATAGATAGCGTTAGCCCCCGGCGATAATAAGGGTAATAATAGTAGTAAGCGAGCTACCGATAACGATATAGGTATAATACTCTTATGCTTTAAAGCAATACTAACCGTATAATAGTTCGCGTTATCGCCCTCGCCGCCGCCTAAAAAGAAGAAATCGGCGGGTAGTCGGCCTCCTAAGCACCCTCCCGGTAGCGTTTATACTAAGCTATACCTCCTTTACACGCGTGATATCGCTAATAGGAAGTATAAGCACCTTTATCGTGGCTAGACTAATTAGGGGAAGAAATACTATATATACTCTACGAAGATATACCGGTATACTCCTCTCCTAGTATACCTTAAAGGCTACGTATAGAGGTTATTCGAGATAGCTACCCTTATTAACGACGATAATAAGAACGCCCTTATAAGGCCTCCTCCCTTTCTAAGGTCGCGACCGCTTCGTTAACCTTCTTTTAAGAGTAAGAACCGTATCTTAACGCCTACGCAGTATTCTAAGATACCTTTATAGCTAAGAAAGCGATAACGGCGATATTACCTATAGCTATATATCCCGCGGAGGCTCCTAGTATAGTAGTCGCGCTAGTCTTTTCTCCTCCCTTAGAGGTTATAGAAAAGATGGCGTCGGGACTAAAT